GAAAGAGCGGACGCGTTGAGACGTACCTCCGGTAGCAACCTGGAGTCAACGCGGCTCGGTTCGGCTGCAAGAGGGACCGAGTCGCTGACTATTTTTTTGACTCAGTGTTGTCGACCGGAGTGGCGACCGCTGGAGACGCAGCCACCGGAGTGATGGTAGTGGCGCGTGCGTCCAACATAGCCTTCTTCTTTCGACACTCGTTGGCCATATGCCCAGACTTGCCACAGAAGAGGCAAAGCTTGTTCTTGATTCTGAACTTCGCGTATTTCTGGCTTCAACTTCCCATCAGGACCAAGAAGGGAAGCGTGCGCTTTGGCTGTCTTCGTCTTGTCGTTATTGTTGGAAGACGACGAGGAAGCCTGTTGCTGAGAGCTGTTGGAGCCCTTGTTGCCAGAATTGAATTACACCACCGGAGACGTTTCCGTTTCCGGAGTTGTTGCCAGAGGAGCCAGAAGAGCCAGACGATTTTTTCGAAGAGGAGTCCTTTTTAGAACCCCCAGACCCAGAATTCGAGCCACCGGAATGGCCACCGGAATGGCCAGAGCCCGAACCAGAACCAGATCCACCACCATGAGAATCTCTTAACTCCCGCTCCCTCTGCTTCTCCGCTTCACGCTTCCAATACTTGCCGTCGATGAGACGGGCAGTTTGCTTGACTCCGTCCAGCGTATTAGCGTAGACGTAGTGCATCATGTCGTCCTTGATACGTTTAGGAAGACCGGAATAGAAGGTGTGTCGGAGAGCGGAATCACCCCAATTGGTGATGAGAGCGAGGGTGTCGATTGGATAATGTAAGTGGTGATCTTATCACCGGACTTCATCGTCACATTCCGGATTTTGTCCTCCCGTCGCCAACCGGGTCCTGAGGACCAAAGTTGTCCTGGAGTTCCTTGATGAACAAAGGAAAATTGCCGTCCCAAGCCGGAATCGCAATAGCCTGGCCCTGATTCATGGCATACAGGTTAGGCGTAAAATACGCCAATGCGTTTCCGCGCAGATACGAGGTGATGTAGATTATTTTCTCGTCATCAGTAGAGAAATCTTGCTCACGCTCGGCAAAGTGCATATAGCACTGGGTGAGGAAAGGGACGAAGCCAGGGATCGGAACCGTCGAACGTGTCCGGTGCCCGGAGAAGACTCCGATTGGAACGGGGCGCAGCATTGTTGCGCTGAGGAAAGTTGGTGAGGAAATGTTGGAAATTTTGGGAGCGCCAATCATAGCGCGTTGAAGATCACGGCCCGGAGAGCCAGCTCGAGGGACTCCGACACCACCACCTCCACCAGGTGGCCCACCACCTCCACCTCCACCTCCTCCGCCTCCTCCGCCACCACCACCTCTAGGGGGACCCCAGAATGGATTTCCAGATCCACCAGGGGCCGCCACCAGGACCACCAGGTCCACCACCACCAGGTCCGCCAGGTCCACCACCACCAGGAGGTCCGCCTCTGGGAGAGCCAGGAGGGGAGCCAGACACAGGGAAAATTCAAAACTTTCTTTTCCCATTAAAAGATGAATTTAATGTAAACATTTTAATTCTTCTTTTTATAGGGAAGAAAGATCATATATCTGAATTAGCATAAATAGTTGCTTTTCAAAGATATTTCCCTTGTATGGAAAGGACCTGTTTCAGGAAAAACTGAAATGTCAATTGAAAGTTCATCTTTTCAATACAGATTTGTATACCTATTTCTTTGTCGCAGAAAGGAAATATTTTTATTTTTTTCACAAAGAAGCTATTTATATTCATGTTTTCATGTCAATGAAAATAACATCTTTATATCTTTTGCAGAAAGGACATCATTTGTTTCCCCTTTCATACAAGAACAAAGAGCATCTTTCTGAAAAAGTCAGAAAGATGATGTTTCCTTACCCCTTTCATGCGATCAAAAAGCACACCTTTCTCTTTGTCTTGAAAGATGTTCTTTCTATCTGCTAACAAAGGTGCATATAAAGAAGACCTTTCTAAAAATGGCAGAAATATCGTCTTTTATACCACAAATAAAGAGGAATATAAACCACATATTTTTGAAATGAGTGAAAATATATACTTTATAGTACACAGAAAGGGGTATCCAAAGCCATATGGAAAGGTTAGCTTTTCAATAACTTTTCCATCCCTGTGAAAGACATTCTTTTTGTTCTTACAGAAAGCTTGATAAAGAAGAGTCATTTATGAAATAATTAATATATCATATTTCTTGGTTGAGGAAACATATATCTAAATATGTACATTCAATACATGTTTAAGAGGGAAAAGAAATTTTTGAATTTCCCGTGTGAGAGGGCGAAGTCAAGAATGGACTCGGCTTGCCGCTAAAAGTCGGAGAGGGGTTGCGGTTTGGTTGACCTTGACCGGAATCGTTTCCGTTTCCGGAGCGACCTTGAGCAGGGCTCATGGGCCTGCTAAAAGCATGCCGATACATCGGGACTGGCTCGCTTTCTTCTTCGATGTCGTGAAGGCGTGTGGGAGTGAGGGGTCGGTAACGTAAGGTAGGAGAGACGGGAGGGGAACTGACGTTAGAAAAACGACCCGTGTTTGGATGCGGAGTCGTTGGCATAGGGATAGTACTTGGATCAGGATCCTGCGGAGACATGACAAAACCAGGCCGGAAAGGGTTGGTCGTGCCAGTAGGTGTTCGAGGAACGGGAACAGGAACCGAAGTGACGGGAGCGCCAGCGTTGTAGGTGAGTTCGCCATAGGCGAAGTGAGAGGAACCATTTGTTCGTAGAAGCGGGATGAACGCCGTTGACCAGTATTGGCGGGGTCTATGTTGCCAGAAGAGAGGCGTACGTTTGACATGGTCAAAAGGAAGTGAGTTTGTAAATACTGTTAAGTGCCGTGTCGACCAAAGGGACGGAGACGGAGACGGAGGCGGAGACGGAGTCGAAGTCGGAGACGGAATCGAAGTCGTAGAGCACTTGGGGCGGAACACCACAGAAGAATGATTGGGTGACCGGGGCTTCCAGTTGACCAAGACAAGACAAGAGGAGAAGAGCGGAGTCGAGACGACGCTGGGAGATAGAGACCAGCAACGTTAATTTACAAACTGAAGTACGTGATAATACATCAAAGTATTTATAGTACGAGAAGCAACGGAAACGGAATAAGGTATAACAAAGTAAGTAACAAGATTAGAACAAAGTCAAGTAAAGTAGAAGAGGAGTTGCATACGAGGAACAAGGCATAGATGATTGCATAGATCATAAGTCGGAGTAATTGGAAACGCTCAGTAAATCTTCATTGCGTAAAAACCAAATACCGGAGACGGATATCGGAGACGGATGCCGGAGTCGGCACGGATATAACATCTACTTTGACTTCTCCCACTCTCCCAGCGTCTTGTACGTGTCGAACAAATTGTGCAGGGCGCTGGCCAGCTGCATACATCTCGGTCTCGTCATGTATTCGCCAGAGTAATCGGAGAGACAAGAGGTACCGCGACCACCAAACAACGATTCGACTCGGTTGGGGAGCAAGCGAGGATCCAATCCAACATCGTAGAAATCCGAGACCTTGGTTATGTCGTTGCGCTCAAACAAGGGCATGAATCTCTCAAATGCCGTCGACTTGTCAATTTTGAAAAGGAATGCTTTAAGGTCATCCTTGTCGACGGCGGATGAGGACGATGTGTTGAGCGGGGTACGACGTGCAGATCCCTCCGAAGTGAGCCCACGGTTTCTTTGGGTTGCTGAATTGCGCATTGCAGTCCCTCTATCCCGAGGAGTGTGCGGGCGATTTGGTGACTGGGTAATGGGGGAGTAGGTGGAACCGTTCTCACTGATGGTGACATGAGTGGGGGCCACCAATAGAGGCTTGTCTCGAGTACGCGCGCGTGAGCCTGGAACTGTCGCAGTGGGTCGTGTTGCTTTGCGCTTGCTGGGGCCTGAGGCGATTGGTTTGGGGCGGGGTTGGTTCATACACTTCTTGAGCTACGATTGAAAACAGATTTAGCGTGTGTGTGTCCGCAATAAAATACGTGCTCACCTTTTCTTCCTTGTTAGCGCGGTCCCATTCAAGTGCCCCCTTGATTATACCATCCAATTCTACTCGGTCAACGAAGTCCTTATCTTTCGATATGGTGTCCTTCACGGTACTGTTGTTGAGGTAGATGCGGTTAATATTGATGGGCCAGGTGTCGAGAAAACCTGCTATTGACGTCTGCGACGTTCCGCCATCGACTGCGATTCGGATTGCTGCCCGGGTTGGTCGAAGGAAACCTGCGACTGGGTAAGTCTCCTCAGTTTTCCTGAAGTGAGGGGTAAGCGCATATTTGGTTGCAAGCGGGAAACAGACGGCGCATCGTTGACGAATTTTTTCCCGCGCACCCTTTTCTTTCCGATTTGTACCAGGGGTTCTCCGCCTTCCCCGTTGACGCGTTTCCCCGAGCGAAGGATCCGTGCATTGCCGGGTGTAGCCGTGTGACCAGCAATTTGGTCCTCATCACCGTCGGTGTCAGAGACATCATGCGCGTTTAAATTTTCGTTGGGTTGGTCGCGATGTTCAGCGTGAGGATCATCACGCGCTTCCCCCGCAACCGATACGGAGTCGTTGGACATCAATGTATCTTCGCGGCCTACATCCTCTGTTTTGATCGCCACCTCGGGGGCCTCAGTTTTTATGTCCTCCTGCGAGGGTGTCGACATGGTGAGCGATAACAACAACTAGCTAGCGTCACTCGGTCACACTCGTGAATTTAACGATTCAACAACGCGTCCGCAGTTTGATCCGAGATCACTTAGAAGGTTCGGCTCCTGCCGCTTGCGGCCTTATCCCACCTCATGAGTATTGATCAAGCCATCACAAAACCATCACATCATTGACCGAGCACAGCACTACCAAATTGGGACGGCTCAAAAAAACCCGGTGTGGGATGCCTGCACAGCAAATTACTGGATTAGGATGGATTACTAAGACACGAATCGAGACGGCTGAATTTCACATTCATCTAATAGGACAAACCTAAAGGTTCGTCAATGATACATGTCCCATGATAAGAATTCAATCCTGTTTGGCTTTCTCTTGGATAACTGCTACGGAGCGATCTGGAAGGACTGCAGCGATCTCGTCTATCTTCTTAAACTGCCAAGGGAAACGTGAGGGGTAGAGGAAAGGTCGGAGATCGAAGCCTGGACGCAACTTGTTAGTGAGTCACCACCAAGTGAGCGAATGACCTACGATTGTCATCCGGACTGTAGGATTCTGCATGATAGGAAGGTGTGAGTGTGGTCATCTTATGTCGGTTGCGCGCATGTTCGAAGAAAAAGAGCTTGACTTTATCGGCAATCTAGCAATTTCTCAGTTGAGTTTTCGATTAGACGAGGTGGCTCGTATACCTGCACTGGCGACAAGAAAGAACCCCACTCATGCACCAACTTGGTGAACATGCTATATGGGCCACATTTTTCTACCTTGCGAAGGCGTCCAAACACGGACAATTCATCATAAGTCATTCCCATATCAGCCTCGTCGGCTTGCACGTAGGTCTCCGTGATTGGTTCTAGTTCTGCAGTTGGAACGGCGCTCAAGAAGCTGGTGACGTTTAATACCACAGAGAGAGATGCAGAATATCAACTACCTGGAAAGGATTGGCAGCGGGAAAGCCTTTTCAGCATAAGCGATGAATTTCTTCAAGTCCGTCTTGCTAATGCCACCGATGGGATTGATATCAGCAGAAGAGCAGTCATATTTGGTTAGATAGCCTCGAAGACTGACTATAGTGAGAAATAGAGTTCGTTCAGGACTGAAGCGTACCTCTCGTCAACATTCGCACTGCCTAGGACCAAAAGCCCACCAATCCTGCCTCGAGCCCAGGGCAAAAGTTGTGCAAACAGGTACGATAACACCATCCGCAGTCGTGCTTGTATGTTCTGTAGAGCCAAATTTTCCGCCGCTGAGCCTCCGTGAGCGCGGAATTTAGGCTCGCGTCTGGTGACACCAGTGAAAAGAGTGAGCACCGCTTTGACGACCATGTCCATGTTCAAGTCGACGTGATAGCTACTTGTTCTGAGACTAAAAATACACCTGGGCAACGTTACCCACCTTCCTATAGCTTCAGACAGATCTTTAGCACGTTGCCGCGTTTCTTTGCTTGAGTTCTCGGTGCCCATGTAGCAAGTATGGAATATGCGACCAGTAAATTCACGAGGATCAAGGGGAATATAGCTTGAGTTTTCAGGTTCACCAGCGATTCTGCGAGCATCTGAAATCACTTGCGAATCTAACAAACGATCAGCGATGAGGTGAACGATGCACATCAAGGAGGGGCACCTCCGCGACGGGCTGCCTCAGCTACAAGTCGAGACATAGAGTAAACGATGACGGCGGTCGCGCAGCTATCAATGCCTCCACTGAGGGGAACGAAATAACCTTGCGTGCGGGATCGGCGGAGATAGTCCCACAACCAGCACGCTGGACCTAGTCTGCTCTTTTCCAGCTGAATTATAATAGAAAGCATATAGGGGGACATACGCTATTTCTTCTTCAGGACTATGGTAACGGAGGTTGAAGGACGAGCCGGTAGACAGGAGTGCGGACATGTTATCTTCCCTAACACTGTCGAACTTGCCCGAAGTCAAAGCGAATGGAACTTCAACACGGTGGTATCGCTCGGCTGCGGCGGCTTGCATACTACGGCTGCTCTTTGCCCGATGCGCTCGGACATCCTCAATGTCGATTGTTGCGCTGACGACTTCGACATCATTAAGCGAAAATTGAGACCCTTGGGCAACGATGCGGCCGTTGACTGCGATTAACGCACATCCGTCATAATAGAGACGGTCACCATCACAGCCTTGTTGATTTGCATACAAGTAGACCCCGCCCAGTTTCAAAGTGGCTTCTTTGATAAGCTCAACGCGAGTGTAGAGCTTTCGTAGTTCGTGATGGCTGCCACTCGAGTTGGTGAAGATCTCTACGCCATCGAGACCCATAAGAATGTGGGGGCTGGCGGGAGTGAACAGCTCTTCACACAGTTCGACGCCAATGCAGGTATCTTGAGTGCTGATAACTGCATCTCCGAAGGGAACCTTGGTCTGACTCGGGTAAGGTGAAGAAGGCTCAGACTTAAGATAGTACGAACCTGGCCAGTGATAACTTGAATGATTCGAGGAAGATAGTGGTCCTCCCATTGGCGATGTTTCATCCACGGCGTGAAATAGCGCAGCTCCCGATAATTACCATCGTTTGCTAGCCACATTTTAGGGCGGATCAGGAGAATCTTGCGGTCGTGGATGATAACTCGGCAGTTGTAGATGACATTCTTGTGGACAACAGGCCTGGGCGGGGATTAGTCATGAGAGAAAGCGGAAAGGGGGGCGCAACTCACATCCCAACGTCGCAGACAATGCCCTGCGCTTCCTCTGAAGCCAGTATCTTGGCCAAAACCTCCCAGGAGTGAAGAACGGTATCACCTGAAGTGATTTAGACGCCGTCGATGAGATGTTGAAGCCTGATTGACCCTCGAGAAAGTGGTCCAAACATCCATACCCACTGAAGTCCAAATAAGTGCACGACATGCAAAGCCGGAGTCGATTTACGGGATTTCCAACTCGGGGCCGACTCTCAGAGTTGCACCACGTTCCTTTGCGGTCGCGATACTGGCGAGAATTCGTTCAAGGTTACCTTGGAAGTCCAGAGCCCATTGGTTCAAGGAGCTGTCGGAAGGTGAGCAGATTATAACGGATAAAGAGTCATTTCGTACCAGCTGATGAAAGTTCAGACGATGGAGAGTTGGAGAATTTATTGACATACGTTGCAAGGGTAATGTGGTGTCCCATCGTCAAGCCTTGCCCCTCGACGGATCAGCGATATGTCAGCTGCCGAACGACTTTCGCTTATCGCTCAATTCTCACCCTCATAAATACCCTCTAGTTGATGGAGCTTTATAAGACGCACGGCCGCAGTGCTCTCGCTTCACCCACCCACCATCGCGAAGAAGATGTCCGAGAAACACGATGCAGTAGACCTCTCCCAGTAACTACTTCCCCCAGTCTTTTTCCCTTGAAACTCAACGCTCGTTACTAGCCACATATCAGACTTTGCAAAGACGCTCGACAGTCGGCTTGCGTTCGGTAAACCTGGTCCTCCTGGGACCATCTCTTTAGACGGTGGTGTGCCAGAGTGAGTAGGCTGTCATATTCCGCATGAATGTCGATTCAAGGGCTCATATCATGACATTAGCACGGAATACTTTCCTATCGAATCCATTACCGTCGAATATTTGAAGCCAGACTCATTTCCCCTCAAACCCACCGATGCTCTTCCTCATGGTCCTGGTGTCCTTGGCTGGATTGCGAATGTGTTAACTGGGAAGAGCAACAAGACTACTGATTCCTACACTATCTCACGCCGTCTTGGTCCCGACGACCAGAGCAAGTTCGAGCTCAAGACTGCGCTCACTTATAGTCCCATAACTGGACTGCCAGCACTGGAAACAATTGTCGCTGACTGGGTCAAACGAGTACATCAGCCGGCTTATAGCAATTACGCGACTCTTGTGGACGTTGGTGCCTCTTGTGCCTGGAGTTCGTGTCTCAGCATTCTTCTCAACCCCGGAGACTCGTTTATCACAGGTAAAAATAAATAATCACCGTTATCATATTATTACTCACACTGAATTTGCTAGACCGGTATGCTTACAGTAAGTGACGTGACAACAAGTTAAACTGGTTTCACTGACTTCTTCTTTCAAGATGCTGCACTATACCAAGCCCGGGCTCGCGATGTTCACCCTGTCGCAGTTGCGACGGATCTGGATGGACTTTCTGCTGTTGATCTTGAGCATGTGCTGGCGAATTGGGATGAGAAAGCGCGCGGCTTGAGACGGTATGTCGCTCAAGCCTCATTTCGGTTTCTCTAGATTGAGACGGCTTTTATAAGTCCCCGCGTTATCTACACTCAAGGAGGTATCCAGAATCCAACTGGACTTGTACGCCCTTTTCTGTGTGCCATCCTTGTCGCACTAACCCAATCTGATTCCCAGATGATTTCCACCCAGCGCAAGAAAGACGTTTGTCTTCGGTCTCTCTAGGGAAAAATAGGCTGAGTTTCCTCAGATCTACGACATAGTCGTGCGCTATGATTTGATTATCGTGGAAGACGACCCCTACTACTTTCAGGTTGGCTCTTTCCGTCGATTAAACCCTACCGCCTCATATATTGCAGCAAGCCAGTCATCCATATCAACATAACAATACCGTTCCGCAGCCTCAGAAGCAATCGGACGAAGAATGGATCGATAGTCTAGTGCCAAGCTTCTTGCGGTTTGACTACGAGGGCCGGGTCATACGTTTGGACACGTTTTCAAAGACTATCGGTCCCGGAGGTGAGTAGATGCTTCGCCGATGGATGTCACTCACAACTTAACAGGCCGGCTCGGATATTATACCGGGTCGCCACAACTCCTTGAAAAGTTACAGGCGCTACACCAGTCGTATATCACCTTCCCGTCGGGTGTTGCTCAAGCGGTACGATGAATCCGTCCAGGGACTCTGTCATTTTAATAGTGTCTTTCATAAGGTCTTTGGTGAACTACTCCATCGCTACCAAAGCGAAGGCTTTGCTAGGTGGTTGCGTGGCTTGACTTCGCAATACGAGCTTCGACGTGGGTTGGGGTAGTCATGTTTTGAGTGAAGCACTGATTCCGACCAGGTAATTGGGCAATTGATGCACTGTATGATGCCCTGGACCTGCATGCCAAATCTCAGACTCGGGCGCTTGTTGCCTACGCTCCTAGCGACGGACAAATAAGCGAAAAATCGAAACCAAAGACTTCGCTGATGAGCTTTGTCCCTCCTGAGTATGCCTACTTATCTCTTTAAATTTAACTCGCTTCTCACACCCTTATGATAGTGGTGGGATGTTCATGTGGTTCAACATCCACCTTCACAACCACCCCCGATACCATGCTCTAGCGCGTCAGACATCCCCTGCAGCAGCCAAGAACGCCCTCGCAACTGAACTGTGGACCGCTATTGCTGACGCTGGAGTGATACTACGACGTGGAGAACTGTTTGCTTCCGAAGACGATGAAGAACGGGTGCGTTTAGGCGAAGAAGATATATTTTTGCGGGCAAGCTTCAGTTATGGGCCACGCGAAGACCTGGAGAAAGCTTTCAAGATTTTTGCCTCTGTGCTAGTCAAGTTTTTCGAGTAGATAATGACTAACATGCACACGTGATGGCATCACCTTTTTGGATTTCTCCACTTTCTCCTAAATCCTCATTCTCTCGGCGCCGTTCTGCACAGTGAAAATAACTACGTCAACGCTCCGTTCAGTATGTCCCTTGTCAGTTGTATTACATCAGATGCTGTCTGTCTTTCGTCGAAAGATCGGCATTGATTGAATAAATACCCTTGCCGCTTGCATGCGAGCTTTCGCTCGTCGACCATGTCTCTCTTCCAAGTCTCTTCCTCGGTCAGACAATCCGAAACCCAGCAGCAGCAGCAACCTGCCTCTGTTGCGCCAACTTTTGCTACTTACCGCCGCGCTCTCAGTCCCAACGAACTGTCCGTTCCTGTGTTTTATTTGTCTATTCAAGCTTGCTTACTTTGAACCAGTTCTTATTTTCTTCCTAGTCGAGCATATGGTCTGAATGACATGTTCAGTGCGTAAACCTCTCGACCTTCAACAACAAAGCCAACGTTATCTACTCTAGTTCGCATCACCCTCCGCGCCCCACCAAATCTCATTACGCCTCATCGACTGCACATTATCTGGGCAATACTGCGCCTCCGACACTCCTTAATGGCCAGCCGTGTGGAAATGAAGCCAGGCGCTTATGACGATGCTCATTTTACGTGCGTTGGTGTTTGTTTGTGGCGGTTTAGAGCTTACTAGCAGTCATCTCCCTTACAGTTACATCCCGCCCTCAAGCCCAAACGAAGCTATCCAGGAGGCTTCAGCATCTGTTCGCGTTCGCAATGGTGTTCCTGGCTCCGCTTTAGTCGAAGAGTTTCTTAATGGACCAGCCAGGCTTGGCGCCAATTGTCTTGCTCGACTGGAAGTTGGGCGGGGTGACTTCAGTCGAGGAATGCATGAGTACAATCTGGTTTTCAGCTTTCACCATATGATCAACGACGCGCGGGGGGTTTACGCGGCCTCGCAGTTCGCATTGGAACTTCTGGGAGGCTCTACGCCCACTCAACCTCCGTTGACTGACAGCCAACTCGCAAAAGTGTTGGAAAAAGAATGGAAACTTAGATGGGCTGCTGGCCCTCGTGATCTCAACGAGGTCATTATTCCCTCCACCGAGTTGCGCATATTGCGATCCCCTCCTACGAAATTCCAAGAAGTGGCTTGGAAGGTGGACCAGCAGAACGTCCAAAAACGCTTTATCGGTGGTCATGCCTTCCCCAAGGCTCGACGGCCAACTGTGGAGGCAATCAAAACACGGCTAATTCGAACAAAGTTCAACAAAGAGCAAACTATCGCCATTTTCGCTCGGTGTAAAGCAGAGTGTGTTACTCTTCAAAGTGCCGTGTTTGGTCTTATCAACATGGCTTGGATACGTCTCTTCTCTAAACACTCAGAGATCCCCGCCTCGACAACCCTTCCAATGCTTATGTATACCGCAATCAGTCTTCGGGGGTACCTCCCTCCCGTGTCTGAGCTTTCCTCATTTATGAGTCTTGCACTGGGGTATCACAACCTCGTCCTCCCTTCATTTCTACCATCATCTACCTCACCAAAATCCCTGTCTGCGACATTTTGGGCAAGGAGTAGGGAAGCACAGCGCCAAATGTTCTCCTACAGCCACAATCCGATGCTCCTAGGTCGCTCTGTTGTGGCTGCTGAAGAACGTGGCCAACGTGCAAAAGCCTGGGCCCGAATCGATGATGAAGCTGCTGGTATTCTTCCTCGCCGCGCTTCGCCTCCACCAACAGCGCAACCCTCGGTCGTCAATCCTGCCTCCCAGCCATCAGTTGCGCTGCTGGGCGTATCGCAGTCTGGCAACATTGACGGCATTTTTCGCAGAGAGCACTATCCTTTGATGGAACTGTGCGATGTTGTGGGCGGTACACGGAAAGGTCCTGGCGGCCTTCTTGTCTATACGAGAACAGTGCTGGAAGAGTTTAACCTCCTCCTGCTTTGGGATTCTGCTCCCTTCGACGCTGTTTTAATGGATGAGTTTTGGCAATACGTCGTTGACGGTGTCCATGAATATATTCTCGAAAATCCCAGCTTGAAGGGAACAGCATACCAGGACGATTGTGCTGCACCAACAACTGTCAGAGCGCAAGCAAGATTGTAACTCAGAAGAACCCACTATTCACATTCCTTTTTTTATTTTACTTGTGGGGGTTACTTAGGGAGTTTCTAAAGCTGCGGAGGCTGATAATTGTGTTATTACTTGTTTTGTACTGCCAATTGTAGAGAATTTGCCGTTTATGGATGCAAGCGTAGTGCAATTGGAGTGAATTGTGCCTCGCGACACGTGTATTTGTATGGCTCGACGACAATTCCAAAACTAAGATGCGAGAAACTTCACTGTGCCCGATAAGACATAAAACCCAGAGATGACTGTTGCCCACAATAAAACCCAACGAGAAAGAAAAAAAGTGAATGCCGCATCAACTTTGTGGTGGCGTTGTGCCTTTGGAGATATTCTCATCGCTCATGACCCTGCGATGGCCGCTGCCCTCTTGCTCTGGTGGAGGAGTAACAGCCTGACTGGGATGTGGGGCGCTACCGCTGCGAGATAATTTTCGAGCGAGGGTACCGAGCCCCAATGTCCACCGTTGACGCCGTTTAGCGATAGAAGGCGGTTCGGGTGGTGGTGAGACGGTGCGCATTCTTGGATGTGTCGGAGAATAGGCTGGCAGTTCAGCCGGGGAAGGAAATGAGGCCGGAAAGTGTTGCAACGCGGGCGGCGCGTTGATAGCAAGTTGGGGTTGAGAGGTAGAGGTCAAAGCAGAGGACGAAGGCGAAATTTCCGGTGAGCTTGACGGTCCAGAACTTGGGTCTGGAAACGGGTATTCAAACCGTGCTGAATGCAAATCGGAGAATGGAGTGCCAACTATGGCAGACGACGGAGAATGCAGTGAGAGGTCCCCGATATTAGGCATTGGGGATGGAGGGAGAGCTATGCGGCGTTGGCTCTGTGGGGTGAGAGGTAAGTGAAAGATGGGATAGAAACTCTTAGAACAAAACACACATTGACGTCACTGCTATTGGTTCCATCTTGAGCTTGAACCTCGTTGTCCGTGGCTGTAGTCTGAGTGTTTGTTGTTTGTTGGTCAACAAGTACCTCTTCTGCTTCAACTTTCTTTGTCTCTTCCTCACCAACGTCCTCCCCCTTGGCCGCTCGTTCCCCAGTCGGCTCCACCCCGTCCATCAAGCCGCCATAGACATGAGGATCGCGAGCCAAACGCGGTGAAAATGATTGTGACTCAGATCACGCGTCACTGTCACATAGCAATGCATGGCTTCGTTTTCCCCCGATTCCTTCAAACCTCTTCTGGCGAGGCTGGTTGAAACGCCAGAGTACTTTTCTGCAGATGACCTTACTCTTGCACTCAATCATATCTTCACACCCGATGCTGTATCACCAACTCAGATCGGGTCTTTCCTGACCGCACTCCACCTTCATCGAGTCGAACGACGCCCAGAGTCATTAGCAGCGGCTGCGGCAGTCCTTAGAGAAAGAGCATTAAAGGCTTTTGTTGAAGAAGCGGAGGGAGACTTCATCGTCGATATCGTTGGGACTGGCGGAGATGGCTATAATCTCTTCAACGTCAGTACAACCGCCGCTATCGTCGCTGCTGGTGCTGGCGCACGTGTCATAAAGGTATCATAAGCTCTACCCTTGGTTCTTTTTTTTTGACGCGCCATCTCAGCACGGTAGTCGTGCTTCAACATCATCCTCCGGCTCTGCAGACCTTTTGCAAGCACTTGGTTGCGTATTTACTGCCCCAGCGCCAGGAACAACGACGCCGATTCCTCGGATTCCCTTCACATTCATCCTAGCACCAAATTATCACCCAACCTTGGCTAGTATTGCTCCTTACCGCAAGACACTCCCATTCCGCACCATGTTCAACATTCTTGGGCCACTCATTAACCCCGCTCGACCTCAAGGCATGGTCCTTGGCATTGCTGTGCCAGAGATTGGACCCACCTTTGCCCAATCGCTCAAGGAAGGTGGTGTCACTCGTGCCGTTGTCGTCTGTGGCCACGAAAAGCTGGACGAAATCAGTTGTGCTGGGCCAACATATGCCTGGGAACTCAGAGATGACACCATCACTGAGACAACACTTACACCCGAATCCTTTGGCTTGCCAGTCCATCCTCTGAGCGCAGTTGCTGGAGGGTCACCAATAGAGAATGCGGAGACTTTCAAGACCCTCCTGACGTCTGGTAAAGATACGCCATCAACGTTGATTCCAGTGCGCGACTTTGTTTTAATGAACGCGTCGGCCTTGCTTGTTGTTGCCGGTATTGCCGCTGATTATCGAGGCGGTGCACGTTTGGCCTTAGAGAGTATCAATTCAGGCAAGGCTTGGAGTGCCTTTGAAACATTTCGGGGGCATGATCAAATGCAGTAGCTCCTTAGAGTATAGTACGAGTATGCTTTGGACCACAGCAATCTTCTCCATCTTCAACCATTGGGTGAATTCACCAGCGCAACCAACGAGTCCATGTCCCCAAGTTCCGGCTTTATTCCCCATACGTCATGCAGCCCTCCTAAACTCTCTCGAACACATCTATCGGGAAGAAAGCTTCAAACGGGATGTCTATGATCGTCTTGGAGGTGTTATCAGTGTGCCGTATGGTTCAGCTTCCCAGTTCAATGTCCACAATTCCTGAATTGCGCCTGGAACAGTACGGAGTCTTTCGATGACATGCTTCCTGTTGGCCACGACTCGCGATGGACTATATTCCAGACACTTCATAACTATCTTGAAGGGGCATTCCCGGCCATGTAGGTACTCTTTCGAAGCAAATTGCTCCTCATCGCGCCAGTTACTCGTCGCTCAATGTCACCCGGGTGAACACATATGGACTGGTGTTCCACTGGCAAGGCACCGAACATAATTTAAAGCCAATCTTGCTTGCTGCGCACCAGGGTACATAAGCAAGTTCCTCCACCCGTAGGCACTAATATCCCAGAGAACAGATGTTGTCCCTGTCGACCCAGCGACCCACAACCACTGGAAATATCCTCCCTATTCCGGGTACTTCGACGGTATAAGCTACCAGTTGTCACTCCTATTCCAGCTTACAAGCTTAGGAATCTGGATATGGGGGCGAGGAAGTGCTGACGATAAATCTGACTTGGTGGCTCAACTGTAAGTCTGCGCAATTGATCCAGAATTGCTGCGATGCAACTGTCCTCAGGGTTACCATTGAAACGCTTTTGAAGAGCTCATTCGCCCCTCGGAGATCGATTGTACTTGCTTTCGGTTTTGACGAGGAGTCCAAGGGTACTCAAGTGCGTGATAAGTAATGTCGGAGCTACGAATATCTCTGAACAAGCACTTTAGGGCGCAGGAAAAATTGCGGAATACCTGGAAAAGACGTACGGCCATCATGGATTCGCGATTTTGTTAGACGAGGGAGGTAAGCCTGATCTGATTAGATTAGATAAGCTCTCAAAATCAAAGATGGTTATGGCGAAAATGTTGCAGATGGGCTCATCTTCGCATCCCCGGGCATTTCCGAGAAAGGCTATTTTGACGTTAAAATCGAAGTATGGGCGGAAGGTGGGCACTCGAGTATTCCTCCTCGACACACTGTGGGTTCTTTTCTTATTGATCAGTGGATGGCCATGACTGTCAAGATTTACAGAGTATTGGGGTTCTCTCTCAAATTGTGGTTGCACTCGAAGAAAAACTTCATCCAGCTCTCTTTTTACGTACAGGCTCAGCGTTTGCCAACGTTCAATGCGCAATCGAGCATGAACCAAACATACCCTCCAGTGTCAAACACTTGGCCCGACGTGCACTAACCGACGACGGTGCTCTTGGCGATCTGAGGGACTATCTATTGCAAGAAGATCCGGTATACGACGCTATGCTTAGAACGACACAGGCGGTTGATATTGTCTATGGAGGCGAACAACAGTCCCTTTAGCCGGAAATGAACGCTGATGTTATTTTAGGCGTCAAAGCGAACGCACTTCCTGAAGTAGCCACGGTAATAGTGAACCACCGTGTTGATGAGCAATCGTCTGTCTCTCGACTGCCAAAAAAAATTTCCACTCAATTTGGGCAGAACCATTGCGGATGTGCAAACGCGCATAGTCCAACGGCTTCTGCCCATCGCCACTACATTCAACATGTCTCTCGTTGCATTCACGCCCAACTCCATACCGTCCCAAGTTAACCAAATCATCCTTTCTGATGCATTCAATACGGCGTTGCAGCCTTCCCCGGTCACGCCGACCGCCAGCAATCCGGCCTACAACCTTTTATCGGGGACGATCAAGGCGGCGTTGACCAGTTCTAGACGCTACAACTCCACGGGGGTGATTGTATCTCCTACCCTTGGACTGGGTACTTCTTCTGGGAGGGATGGTAGCAAAATACTGAGCTCAGTCACCAGGCAACACAGACACACGCTTTTACTGGGATCTTACCTCGAACATATTCCGCTACTCGCATTACGGCGATGCTGATGATTACTTCAGTGGTTTGCACACCGTCAACGAAGGTATCATATCATGTTGATGTTTCCACTAAACCAACTACTTACCAGTCCATTAGCGGTTCGAGGTGAAGCTGTCATCGAGCAGATTCGCTTTTTCACCATGCTAATTCTGAATTTTGACGAGTCTTCACTGTTGTAACGACTTGATAGCGGAGTCGGGGTGCCGCTGGAATCGGTTTTAAAATATGATTAGTACGCGAGAGGACCAAATGTTTGCTCACGTTAGAGAAGCTCAGTCCATCTGGTATCCTGAGGGCCATTGATACTAGTCACGGCGGATGCATTTAGGGGGCTGCAGAATAGGAAGGGATATCCATGGGAATGGGTTCGATGGGAACTTGTTGAACACGCGCCGCGACGCGCGGAAGCCACAGAAAATTCACGTGACTATAAGCGATGGCTCGTTTCTTCACGCCTCAACGATCCCCGAGCTCCATCCAACCAGACCACCAATAAAGCTCCTCTTACCAGGTTGCTCGGAGACGGTGTTGACTGATACTTCTACTAGTCATCGTGAGGTAAGTGCTGACTTATAAGATTCTAAGTAGTGTACCTGTGCGCCGTTCAGCATCACCACACTTTTAGATGGCTTTGACTAGTTCGGCACGCTGAGCTCCACCGAGAAAGTGTGTCAGCCACAAGGAAGCAGACCCAAACTACATGGAATTTCTCAGCAACCACCAAACTGGCTATCTGAGAATCCCCCGCGAACGCCGAAATCCCGTGCCAAATTACCTACAAAACGCATCTCGGAATTAGACCTACGAAAACCCGGGCCGCATTTAGACACTCACAACACAGTTATTAGCTGTTGGTATATAAGCCGCTTAAGGCCTTGAAGCGAATATGGCTTCTCGTTTTCTTCTCCTGCTTGCGAGCTTCTTCTTCTCCGTGGGCTGGGCTGCTGAGTCTGGGTCCAATTTACCTGAATACACGGTGAGTTTCCTTTTCAGACTGTGAATAAAGGCCTTGACACACTCTCCAGGATGGCGCTGGCCATCCAGTATATTCGCCATACGATTATCAGAGAGCTGGTTGGTTATCCTTGCTTGTAAATCGCTCATTGTTACTGAGACGAGGTCCATAGGAAGCGTATGTTGGGATCCACATTAGCGCGCATAATTGTTAACTGTTCGGCTTCTATAGGGCGGACCGTTGTTACTCCAAGTATGGGACTACTCTTTGCCTGTGAATTGTGCTGATACCATTAGGACTTCCATCTCGTCGATTTACTCAGTCATTTTGACCGCGAACGGATTCCAGAGCGCGTCAGTATCGGTTCTGGAAGTTAGAACCTCTTGTGACCTCCTTGTAGGTTGTCCACGCCAAAGGTAGCGGCGCACACGGATATGTGAGCCATGATCCTCCCAATTATTCTCCTGTTCTGAAGCAACACATTCCAGTTTGAAGTCACTCACGACATATCGAATGTAAATCGGGTTCTACTGAGGCTTGAAGTGACCCTGATGACAACTTTCCAAGCTAACCATGGCTGCTCCATTCTCCGAGGGTGTCGGGACAAAAGTCCCTCTTACACTCCGATTTTCGACGGTTGCTGGTGAGTCGGGAAGCCCGGACACCAATCGCGATCCTCGTGGGTGGGTACTATTTCATCATTTCACTTCTAATCTAATCTTATCACGAAGATTCGCCATCAAACTGCGAACATCAAAGGGAATATGGGATTGGGTTTTCAACAACACGTAAATGTTCCATGTAGTTAAGCTCGCTGATGTCTCATATATGCCTTAGTCCGGTCTTTTTCCTCAGGCACGTGCAGCTTGACTGGATTATAAATCGTTACTCACGTACGATTCAGGGATCCCACCAAGTAGGGCTTGTTGCAGCGTCATCAACTCTTCCAACATCAGCCACAGATTCCCTCTGTTCATTCACAGTCAGAAACGCGATCCAGAGACCAATCTTCGCTCCCCAACTATTCAATGGTTTTATATTTGCTGTCGTGATAAACTTTTTTCTAATCTTTTCGACCAGGGATTACTGGTCACAGTAAGTTGGACATGGCTCGAATGCTCCATAAATCATGGCCACTTTCAGAAATCAAGAGGCTATCGGTCAAGTCATGCGACTCTTCTCAAACCGTGGAACCCCGAAATCATGGGCTCAGGTGAGGAGAAACTGTTCCCTTGCCCTCATTAACAATGCGAGTAGATGGATGGCTTCAGTGGGCACACCTTCAAATTCGTTACAGCCTCGGGAAGCTGGCACTACGTCAAGATCAAAGCTACATCAAAACAGGGAATTGAGAACTTCAACGCAACCACAGCATTGGTGAGCAGTCGGGCAACTGTATTCCAATCCTTTACTTGCAATTAGCAACTCGCCGCAAGCAACCCGGACTATCTCACACAAGAGTTAAGGTAAGTAACTCAAATTCCCTTTCAAATCGGTGTGCCCATTATTGATCTCAGAGAACGTATCGATGCTGGCAATTTTCCGACGTGGGAGGTTGGGATACAAACAATGACCCTTGAAGAAAGCAAGAAGTTCCCTTACGATGTCGTGCGTTCCCACAATCAAAACACAAAAATTTAACTAACGGTCCTTGAGAACGATCTAACAAAAGTCTGGCCCGAAGACCAGTTCCCTGTGCAGCCAGTTGGCAACATCGTACTGAACAAAAATCCTCAAAACTGGTTTGCGGAAATTGAACAGCGTCAGTAGTGATATGGCAGGGAATTAGAGACCTTTGACCAGCGATTCAGTCGCCTTCTCCCCCGGAAATCTACCTCCTGGTGTACGCTATACGGACGACCTCTCTGTCTGTCTTCTAAAGCCCGATGTCATAGGTTGAACCCTCCAACGATCCGGTCTTGCAGTCTCGTATATTCTCGTGCGTCTATTCCGTTTGTTAGCGTTTGCGCATCGAACTTTTGGCCAGCTATCCTGACACTGCTCGCCATCGCCTTGGTCCCAACCACCTGGAAATTCCCATCAATTGCCCTGTGTCTGTGAACAACTTCCAACGTCCGTTGCCGCTCTTTTCTTGACACAACTTTCTATCTCACCATTGCCAAATGCAGGTGCTGCGTGGATGCGGGTTGACGGTGGAGCCGGGAATCTTGCCCCTTCAGCACCAAATTATCCATCCTCTTTTGCCTCTCCCGTCAGATATGCTCCCCGGCCTTACGATCTTTCCATGATCGCCGATCCTCTTGAGGGCCCTGCCTTGGTTAAAGCCAGCTACAAATTGTCGCCCAAGGACTTTGAACAGCCGAATCAGCTGTTCAACAAGGTAGTCAGACATTATTTTGTGTTCTCTACTGATCGCCTGTTAGGAATTTTCGGACGACGAACGCTCCTCTATGATTGCGAACGTAATCACAGCGCTCAACAGCGTGACCGTCAATCAAGTCAAGCAGGTCAGTAGACTCCGACGAGATACAAGCACAAATTCATTGACACCCTTCCAGCGTTCGTTGGACATGTTTGCATGCGTTGCGTCCTGTTCTCCAATGATCATTTCCAGTAACTAAGCATCATCATATAGGTTGATCCTGCTATAGCCCAGAAAATTGGTGCTGGTATTGGCTTGAAAGCATCATCGCCTCTGTCCTGCGGGAAATGAAGTATGATTACAAAGGCAATTACAAATGCAGCATACGCGTTGACCCTACTTATTAAATTCTTCTTGCCTCCTTTCTACTTGGAATACATTATATCTTGCTAGGCGTCGAGTTCTCGCGACGGTGTTTCTGTCCCCAGGCGAAACCCTTGTCGATGGCATCAGGTGCACTGGACTTATGTCTGAGGCATGGTGCCATCTTGCCATTGGTCTTGACATTTCCCAAAGGCTCGCGTTTGAACGGTGGCATATATTTGCTATTCGATACCATTGCTGACGACAGAACGGCGGTATTTCGAGGGAATGCATCGTCCGCTGAGTACATGCGCTGGTGAACGGGACGGGCAGAGGTGGATTGAACAATATTGCGAGTCTGGAGGATGATGGGCATATTTGTGCGCCAATTGGTGGAGTCGGATGGTTGTCTCCGTCGAGCGACATGGGTGCGAGGTAAATCGAGGACTTCTGCAGCACCAATTTTGACCGACTTGTCATTTGAAGCGTTCGCAGGGGTTTCGGTTGGAACTTGCACAAGGAGTTGTACAAATGGGGGTGATTTCACAAGCTGCATTTCCGTTATGGGTATTGTGTCGACTCGTTGCGGAGCTTGGGTTTCAATAGGATCTCCCTGGAGGATAGACTTCGGTCGCAGCCACCGCATATCTACGATGACCACAAAGATGACAATCAGGAGGAAGGCTTGAAAGAAGTCGATCCGAGACCAGAGACTTGAAGGAGTTGTGGCGGGTGACTGGGAGATGTCTGGAAGATAGTCGACGGGACTGATCTGTTGAATCGGCCAAACAGCAAAGCATAGATTGAGAGGGGCGTATGGCTTGTCTAAAGGGCACATGGCTTCGATAGGCAGAATGCGAGCACATGAGTTGGTTGGAATCGAGACGAGGCGCACATCATAGCGAGACAGAGGACATAATTCTTGGATTGGTGAGAGCGCAGGGCAAGTGAGCGTCCAAGTAGGCATCATATTCTCGCCAAACTGTTTCTCGTCCCTTGAAACGGCAGAGATGGGCGCTTCGTAGAAAAAGTCAAACGATGGCAACAAATACACAGTTCAAGGCATACGAGTTGAGGGGTGAAAAATTGAAGTCAACTGTTGCACAACGAGAGGAGCAATTATGCGGGAAATTCCACCCATAATGAATTGAGGCAAGTAGTATTCTCGTAGAAGACGCACAACGACCGACATGGCTGACTGGCGAGATGATAGTTGACAGCAAAGTGACGAGACTGTCATGTGACCTTCATCACGTTGCGCTAAGCGGCCATGCCCGCCTCGAGGCCCTCCACTCTCTGACCTCTTACGCGCGACTAATGGACGCGTCATCAGTATTGAGCGACGACGACTACGACTTCATTTCTCCGACTGGAAGTGTTGCCGACCTTGCAGCCTATGACTCTATTGTCGAGCCTCCCCCGTTGGCAGCAGCTCAAGATACATTCAACACCGTTCAATTGTCCGCTCAAGACTGCATGGACATTGCCTCTAGAAGCTTGGGCATTGATACGACTTCCCAAACCAAGACAAAGCGAATTTATGTAGATGGTGTGTTTAATAATCTGAGTGTAAGGTGGGGGTTTTCGGTCGCAACCCTGGCATGATTCACTCTGTTGCTCCAGAGATGTCTTGCAACTGAGGCAAATCAAGCTTTCTTTTCCTTCTGTCCACCTTGTGGCAGGCGTCTTTTCCGACGTGACTTGCGAACTTTTTGGCATGTCAGGAATGTCCCCACAAGTGGAGAGAGCTGAGGTCTTGCGGCACTGTCGCTGGATCGACGAAGTACTTGCAGAGGATGGGCCTTGCCCCATAAACTCGGACTTCGTCAACAAGCACAAGTTTGACTACGTCGCTGTTGAAGAGGGAGCGACAGTTGATCCGACATATCATAAGCTACGGGTGAAGGGGTACGACGAAATGAAGAGAAGTGGTTCGTGCTTGCTGTCCCTTAGATGGAGTGGCGTTTAATCCAATTCAGGCATTGTGCTATCGACTAGAAGGACAACCGGAACTGTGGGTACCACTCCAACTCCAGCTCGCTCTCCGTTATCCACTTCGCCTGTGCCATTGATTCCAGAGACTCCTGAACCGATTGATGTTTATGGAATTGGTATCTGATAACCGTCCTCTTTGTACTTGGGTTTGCCTGTTGGGTTTGCCTAATAACTTTACACTTTACCTGTAACATAGTGTGACTCCATGTGACGTGTCAAAGCACAAAGACAATGCGCAATTTAGGACCAACGCTTTGAACGACCCGGCACTATAAAATGACTCCCATGGCGCTCACTAATGAGAAGAACGAATCATGTCCCTCGTTGGCGACCCACTCAATTCTCACCTCTGGGGATACCTCATCCCTCTTAGCTCCAACCGAAAGCTACTCCGCATCGACTTCTGGCGCATCACTCCCGAGGTGTCTCTTGGGAGAAATCCCCAAACCAACACCCTCACATTGCCCGGTTCTTATGTTAGTGCCAACCATGCCAAACTCTGTTGGAACGGGCAAAAGGGGGAGCTGTCTCGAGTTGAACTGCAGGATCTATCGACAAACGGGACATGGGTATGATTTTTTCTTCTTGCCACGTAAATTTTTTTTACATTACAATAAGGTCGGAGATGAACATGTTAAGGGCCGAACTTGCCCACTTGTCTCGGGGGTTACCATTGGCTTCGGTGCACCTCTTTTCGTCAACAACCAACTTTGTCCTCACGACTACCGTTCGTTTCGGCATATATATTCCTCTGCTCTTACTCATGTCACTATGAAGGATACCGTTTCGTCGAGACTGCGTCGCTCCAGCGTGACCCTGCGACAGTGGACGAGTTGTATGTTCCACAACGCTTTCTGGGCAAAGGAACATATGGGTGGGTGACGAGAGGAATATCAAGACAGACCGGCGAGTCCGTCGCCGTCAAACTCATCAAATACCGCCAGTCGAATTCGGACATCTTTACTGAGGTTGGCATTCATGGGCTCCTAGTAATGCCACTGACGACTGATCATTCTCCCTTTAGATCGCTGCACTTGAGAGAGTTGATCATCCCCATGTGGTCAAAATGCTCTCCTTCCACCATGGCCACCCAGGCTCCTGCAGTCTTTGTAAGTTTACCGGTCGCAGCCATCTATGTCATTCATGCCACAATAGTCATTGCGATGGAGTACCTTGAAGGCTCGGATCTCTTCGAGTATATGGATCATGAGCAAGAACATCGGGTCTTGTGGCCTGATGGTCCGAGTGATCGAGGCATTCGTGAGTATGGTCAATTCCCTGCTAATGACCGCTCAAAGATCACCATTTCTAGCTCAAGAAATTTGTCGCGACATCATGTATCAGCTCTGCAACGCCTTGGCTCACATCCACACGCTTGGAATTGTCCATCGCGACTTGAAGCCTGAGGCAAGTTCAAGTTTATGATCCACTCCGCTATTGACGAATGACTAGAATATCATGCTCAAAGGGACAAATATCCGCAAACCATTCATTGTACTGGCCGATTTTGGCCTTGCCCACGTGGAGAGGGACATGAGTAAGCAGACTTGCTTGACGGTGAAATTCTTATGGCTCTTCCTCCGTCCCCACACTGAAACCTTCATCAGGATGTGACGGGCTCGTGGGTATATATGGCGCCAGAAATCGATGATTATAAGCATGCTGGATACGACGAATACGTCGACAGTTTCTCTGCAGGGATTGTCTTCCTTTCCATGTCAGTCCACAGCGTCCTAGCCCCTGTCAAGCATCCCTGATTCTTCTGTTCCAGGGTCACCTTAGTTTCACCATGGCTTGGCGAGCGAAGTGAACACCCTCCGCTACCGCCTCTCAATTGGGCACCGGTCACCTCGACTCTTCTTAACTCCCAAGGTGCGAATATTCCATCATCTCCAATCGCCTGGCGCTCAACTTTGTCAGGACGTCGGGTACTGGAGCTACTTCTCAGGCTAGACCCAGAACAACGCATCTCTCCAGCCGGTGCTCTAACCTTGCCCTGGCTGGACGGCTATCAACCGGTCTACGAGATTGATGACAAGTACAAGCAACTTTATCTTGACATGCCAGCAGATGAGCAAGACTTCGGCAGTGATGAGGAGGAGGAAGCGTAAAGGAAGCAAAGAAAAGTGTTTCTATTTCAGTGTGTGACAATAACAATGCGGATGTATGATACGTGTACAAGATCTATGTGGTGGCAAGCAAATCAGAGCGAATCGGTCATGAAGGAACGTAAGATGGAGGAGCTGAAAAATCATCACATCAGTGACCGCAACAAGGCATCAATGATGCGCTTACCAGATGGACGCGCAGAATTCTGCAGCACAGCCAGAAGAGATGTCCTTTCTTCGTCGGAAAGGTTGTCAGCGAAGCGCAAAAGACCATCCATCGCCGCTTTTCGGTCCTCCTTGGTGAGTGTAAGCAGGTTCCTCATCAAATGCTCCGACTTGAGTTGAGTGACCGTCTGGGTCAAATCAAGTTTTTCGAGTTTTTCTGCGGAAACGCGAGGAGAAGTGGTCGCATCGACACCGGCCAAAGAGTTAAGTAAGCGAGTACGATATTCGAGTGTTGTCCCGGGGCTCGCTTCAGCAATATCTGCAAGGGCGGCTGACCGAGCAACCTTGGCACGAACTGCCCAGTAGAAGTGTCGACGAGCCTCCTTCCAGACAGCTGGTTTTGCGCAGCCTTTGGCTTCCATACGACCTGTCCGACTAGAGAAACAAACATTTAGAAGGACACCAATAATGAATGAATAACAACGTACTCATGAAGGTCGGCGTAGAGTAAGGCAATTTGCTGGTAGGTGGGTTTGAGTAACGTTTCACGGCTAGCGAGCGCAGCAGAGGCTTCAGCGCGTTCTTCAGGAGTCTTGGACGCATTATTGCTGTCGCGCTTCAAAGAAGCATAAGTTGGGTCGAGTCGATCCATGAGTTTGACGATTTTGTCCCGTCGCATCTTGATTTCGACAATACCCTCTGGCTCAAGCACACCGGCACGTGCATCAACATCGGCATACATTTCCATTTGTTCCGGGTTGATCGACGGATCAAGAACGACCCATGCACCGCCACGAAGCTCACCGTTCGGGACGATGTAGACGAAAACGGGTTGTTTGTAGCTCGAAAGACCGTCGACAATCTTCGAACCCTGTTTCAAGACTTCGTCGTACATGTCTTGTTGGCCACCAGAGAAACCACGCCAGTTGGCAAAGATGATGAGCGGTAAGCCTTCACGGTTGAAGTCGAAGATGGCTTGGGCAGTCTTGTACGCCGAGTTGGGATACCAGACTTGACCGGCCTCCATTATATGCTGCTCGAAAGAAGCGGGGTTGGCAGGGTCAGCGGGAACAACGCGTTCAATCGTCCGCGTCTCAACTGCAATCACACCCATGGGAATTCCACCAAGTCGTGCTCGGCCAACAATAACAGTCTGAGCCCAGCCACTCAGAGTCTCTTGGAAGGAGTCCTTGTCAAAGAAACCGCTCGTCCACAAAGACGTCTCCTCGTCAATCTTACCCTCGATAAACCACCTTGGATCATACGCTCCCCTGGGCGGCACGTAGTCGATGTCACGGTCCCAAGTGTCAGGAATTTCACGAATAGGGAGGGGTCCGTTTTTGACTTCAGGAACATACGACAGCCAATCGAGAATCTGGGTGGCGCCTTGCAAGTCGCTGCTGGCGGTAAGGTGGGAAACACCATTCTTGAACATGATTTGAGTGCCTCCAAGCTGCAGATTTGACGTATAGACTTCGCGACCGAGAACCTTGTTGAGGGCTGGAGCTCCAGTCAAGATGATTGGTTGGCCCTCAACTTGGACTGCCCGTTCACCGAGGCGAACGAGGTACGCGCCAATACCGACCGAGCGAGCAGTCACAAGTGTGATGGTGAATATGTCGTCGTAGGCTCGCGAAGTTTCACCAGCAATCAGACCAGATCCCCTCAGCGACTCGACACCCAGACCGTCCTGCAAACCAATGATGTCGGTGATCTTATAGCGGCGCTCTCCATCAACCTCGACTTCCACAGTGCGAACTGAGTCACCACCCATCTCTTCAAGCTTGAGGAATTTCTCGCGAGTAAGGTACAGGTACTTGATGCCCTTCTCTGGTCGCTCGTTGTCATTCCATGCAACAGAAAACAACGGCAACGCTTCCTCAGCCAGACCAATGCGTGCTCCAGAGTTGGCAGAAAGATAAATACGAGGCAGGCCAAGGCTGCGCGCGTATTGAGTGACGAGATAGAAGAATTGATCTTCGGCCGGGCCGAACGAGCCGATCTTGTACGTAATATCATTGGCAATAACGACAACACGTCGACCTTGAGGGTATTCGGGGGTGCGGAGAGTGAACACCCAGGCTACCATACCCAGTGTGTTGTTGCCTGGAGCACGGCCAACTTCGATTAGCTGATCATTCTCGTCGAGGACAAGTTCCTTTGACGTCAAATACTCCTTGGGCATGACAAGAGAAGGGTCAGCGACCCTAGCCCGCACCCAGACATTGTTCAGTGCCTTGGAAAAGAGTCCAGGGAAGTCATAGACATAGGTGGTGCCAATGAGATGAGCCTGGTACCGCTTAGGCTGTAACGACTCCTTCGTAGGATATGGTTGATGGGCCGGCTCAGAATGAAGCGGTCCTTTGTCGCCGATGGACTTGAGAATCGTGCCCTTATCAGTGGAAATCTCCTGGTAGCCGTGATAGTTGACGATGAACCCGGAAACGTTGTCGATCGTGCAGCGAATAGGGGTAACGTTGCCTTCGTTGTCTTCAAGAGAGATTCGGATTTCAGACCCAGTGACATGCAGCCGCCACAACCGCTTCCCATGTCGCTCGATAAAGCCTGCGATGGCCGCTAGTACGTCTTCGTAAGTCACGTTGAGGTTGTAGACGAAGTTCAAGAAAATATGGTTGCAGTCGGCATTGCGATATTCGGCGGTAACGACTTCAAGAGCATCAAGAACGTTTGTGACGAGTCTGTCTGTTTCAGAAATGAGGTATTCTGCAGTACTCATCGAGCCACGAAGTCGACCAGGGCGAACCAAGGCTCGAACGAAGAAGCGATTGTCAAGTTGGTTCTCTTGAGCAACGGCATGGTAAATGTGGATCTGCTTCGTCTCGACAAAGCATGGCTTGAGGTTGTACTTGGACAAACGACTGAGCTCCAGTTGGAATGCAAGAGCTGGTTCGATGTTACGAATGGCTTGCTCTTCTGTCCATGGCCCATCTTCTGACCGAAGGGTGAAGTAGACAGGGTATTGCCCAGGGCGGCAGATAAAGAACGAGATACGACGGACCCCACGACGAGCCAGTATTTCACCGTGCTCGTTGGTGAATACCGTTAACTTCTTGGACCACGCATCTTCGGTCATGTCCTCCTCTTTGTTGAAGATACGGAGCGCAATGTTCATGACATTGGGTGGTTGGATATTGTTTCCGTAACGGCGACGATGCTCCTCAACATCAAAAACGGGCAGCGTTTCAGCAACTTTCGCAAAACCACGGGCAAGACTGTCAAGCGTGGGGAAGGATGCGATCGCACCAGTGCGAATGGGCTGTGACTGATGGCGATTGATCATGTACGTCAGGTCGCTGACAGAACCCGATCGCTTGGGTGCTGGTCGTTCGAGGCTTGGTGTTGCTGGAGGAGAGTGGGAACGGCCCAAATTGAAGCGCCAATTGACGACCGTAGGGACTTCTCCGTCATCGAGAGTATCTCCCTCTTCATAGTCGATCGAGAGGAGATTGTAAACGCGATATGCCCGACGAACATAGACTTCAAAGGCAGCTGTTCCAAGCGTTAAGATAAGGAACTAAGTTGCTGCCCGACTCACCAAGCGTGACAAGCGGATCTTCATGGTGGAAAAACGCTGGTAGCACGTCGTAAACCGTATAACGCGAGTCACTCAGTTCCTTCAACACTTCCGCCGACGGGGTCCTGAGTAGAAAAAGTTGGCAGGCATTTTGGTCTGATAATCATGAAAGCACCTCGATTTATTGTAGCCTTGTTCACCGTAGAGGGTGGTTCCGACCGATGACTTGAGAATAGCCTCCATTTGAACCAAACGCTCTTCATACGAAGGCATTTGCCCAAGAATGAGCACTTCGCGAGCCTTCAATGACACGTTCGTCGAGGACCTGATGATGAATAAGCCAGTTAGCGCAACAAAAGTCTGTGATCATACTTGGATTCAAGTGCTGCTAGGCCTTGCAAAACTAGATAGAGACGGCCCTCTGCATCGGACACATTGAGATTGCTGGTCTTGACGTAGTCAAGTATAGCAAGCACGAGTTTGGCTTTGTTCTGCGCCTTGATGTGACTGAGGACGACAGCAACTGCCTTATCCAGGTCGTCCTTATGTTGATCACGAAGTGCGAGAATTCGGCTTTCGATGCTGCTACCACCGAACAGCTTTTCAGTCGCGTCATATCGCTCGAGGAGTTGTGAGATGGTATCCTGCTCGTGACCTTTGAGACCGCCGCTGAATGCCTCCAACACCTGGAATAAAGGTGCCAGCTGCGCGCGGAACATGGTTCGGTCTTGAGCAAGAAGGTTGTCCTGAATGTAGTGGTCAATGGCCTTCTTGATACGGACTGCAGGGAACTCTTGTCCGGCGCCCTTCGCTTTTGCGGCATCGATAGCTGAACGAATGCTTTCCTCCAGTTTGACGGGCATGCGACCAGATAGGGCTGACAGAATGGCAGTGGCTTGGGAGTAGGGAAGTTCGGAATCGTGGAGGACTTCGATTAGGTCCTTGAAAGTTGGGATCATAACGGCTTGGTTATCGAAACCGTCGAGAATATCCTCAAGAGTGCTCAGGCAACGCGCAAAACGTTGATGCGGCTTGTTGCCAATCACTCCGGGCTCACCCATTGAAGGTAAAAGACCATCAAATGGACGTGCGTGTTTGACACGCGTAGGATCGTCCAAAGTCAGAATTCCCAGGATATCACCCGGGGCCAGGCTGACTCCAGGCTGCTTGATTAACTGAACCGTTCCATCTTCGGAAGCGACAAGAGGCATGTACATTTTCATAACCTATAGCAATGATGAGCATTCGATGTTTGTTCAGAAGAAGTCAAACGAACCTCGATCTCGGCGTATTGCTCTCCAGCATTAATATGATCCCCGCTTTCAAGGAAGTAACGAATCAACTTGCCAGGACTTGGGCTGCGAAGTTGAGTTGGGTCATTTTCTTGCTCGATGAGGCAGGTTTTCGCGTCGACCGAGAGACGCGTAGCACCAACTTCTTCGCGCCAATAGACCGAATGACTCCGTCCGTCAAGAGATATGAGCAAACCGCCGTCAGCGAGAGGTCGAGCGCCCACAGGAGTACGTCCTCCATTAAGATATAATGTCCATGCATGCATCGATGACCGCGCCACGGTGAAGGAGTAGCGAACATTTTCGTAAATGAAGTCGACACCAAAAACGGTCTTCAAAATGTCACGTGCAGGGACCTGGCCCTTGTTGAGAATTTGTTTGTACTCTGTCCAACAAGCCTCGGAAGCAATGAAAGCCTTCGTGACCGCGCCGCAAACGACGGCTAGAGTAGCATCCGGTCGCTCAGCGGTGAGTTTGTTGCTGATCAGAGAATCCAGCCACCCAGTGGTGATGGTGTTGTTTCGGAATGCCTCCAATTCGAGCAGCTTGATCAAATACTCGACAGTGTGTCGGAAGTCGCCGCGAATGCTGAGTTCCTTGAGGGCGACAATCATGTTCTTCCGACTCTCGTCACGGTCTTCACCGTATGCAAAAATGTGGCCAAATTGCGAGTCGGCGAACTCGTGAAGACCACCAGCCGTTGCAACAGAGAAGTAACCCCATACGTTTGTGCTGGAGCGGAAGTTGAGCTCTTGGATGGAACCAGATGAGGGTTTGAAACCAGCGTCGGGATTCTCAGCAGTGATTCGGACCGCAACAACATGACCCTTGGGACGAGGCTTTCGTTGTACTTGATTATAGTCGGGCTTGACCAGATCGAAGTCTATTTCAGATGAAGCATTGAGAGCAACGCCATATAACTGTCGAATATCCTTGATGCGATGAAGAGGAATACCCATTGCGACCTGTAGTTGCGCGGCAGGCAGATTGACACCGGACACGATCTCAGTTGTCGGGTGCTCGACTTGTAAACGGGGGTTGAGCTCGAGGAAATAGAAATCATCTTCTGCGTGGTTGTACAAGTCTGGTGCCAGGTTAGTATACGTAAAATGGTACACCACGTGCACTCACATTCAACCGTGCCAGCGCTGACATAACCTACAAGCTTCGCAAGTCGGACGGCAGCACGCTCCATCTGCTCGAAAGTATCCTCCTTCGCAATCGTGACTGGCGCTTCCTCGATGATCTTCTGGTGACGACGTTGTACCGAGCAGTCACGTCCAAAGAGCGAAATTGCATCACCGTATTGGTCAGCAAGCAACTGGACTTCCAGATGGCGCGCCTGGCCAGCGAGCTTCATAATAAAGATCGGAGAGCCTGTTGACGAGTTAGGAATGCATAAAGGTTGAATGCTAAGGAGAACGAACCTGGAATTTCGCCCGCAACCGCGTTATATGCATTTTTGAAAGCTTCAGGTTTTTCGACCTTGCGAATACCCTTTCCTCCTCCTCCTTCACTAGCTTTGATCATCACTGGCCATCCAATTTCCTCAGCCTTCTGTAAACCCTGCTCAACACTGGTAACGCAGGCATCTTGGTAAGCTTGGTCAGGCACGACGACATAACCGGTGTCAGAGACAACTGTGTCGGAAATTCCAGTGCCAGACCACGCCATCGTTGGGACATTCGCGCTTTGAGCGACGATAGTACTCGAGATTTTGTCGCCAAGGCTGCGCATGGCACTACCCGGAGGACCGATGAAGACGATTTTGTTTTTGCTAGCGGCAAGACTTTCGGGGAGACGAGGATTCTCTGAGGCATGACCCCAGCCTGCCCAGACCGCATGGACACCAGCTCTTTCAGCGATATCGACAATCAAGTCGACATTAGCGTAGTTGTTATTGTTGGAGCCACCAGGGACTTCGATGAAGCGGTCAGCCATCCGAATATATTCAGCATTGACCTTGAGGTCTTCTGGGGTGGCCATGACGGTGAACTCGACTTCACGTTCACTTCCGAAGGTCTCGTAACTCCATTGGCGGATGGAACGAATCTCTTTGACTGCAGCGATACCTAGAGAGAGTCAGATGCGAAGAGAAAAACGTTGGGAAAGACGCGATTCATACCGTTGTTCGCAATTAGCACCTTTCAATGACGGTTAGAGACGCGTTTAAGACGAAACAAACGGGTTATCTACCTTGGTGATGACAGTATGGCCGCCATGGCTTTTCACAAATGCTTGGACGCTGCCCGACGGAGCTTTGTCGAGTGCATTACCACCTGACCAATGTCAAAATTTTGGATGGAAAGATGCGAGAAGACGAAGACCTATGAAGTGGGTGACTTTTGAGTGGTCGTACGCCGACATGGTGCCAGTGACCGGCCTGGATGGTGGAAGAGGAGAAGAAAGAGACGTTGACGTTGGGGTTGCGATAATAATTTGGCTCCCCCAACCCCAGTAATTCGCCAGCGTGCGTGACAGCTAGTGACATTCGAGGGGTATGCGTCATCACCATTTACCCAGAAGATCTTTATTTACCAGAGGACGGCCGTGGCCAAGTACTACGACATGAACTATTCTAGTTTTCATCGCGTTTCTCATATCCGATGGTAGAGGGCACCACGCGGGTTACAGAACACGAGCCAGCAGTTATAAGTAGCTGAGACCGAAGATTCCACGCTGGCACATGCGTAATGGCGCGTCCATGCTGACTAGGAGCAAGTGTGGCAGCCGCGTTGCATGGGGACATCCTATAAGATGGAAGTGGAAGGCAAAGAAACGCGTTATTTGTCACACACCCCACTTGCTTCCCTCCTCCAGGTATCTTCTACTCGTGTCAGCCTCTGCAAACACAAGTTTCAACGCCCACAGTAGAATGGCAGAGAAGATTGACGCGACCTCCACGTCCACCGACACTGGATCGGGGCCACGAGACACAACGAGTGGTGGCCCTAAGGCCATCATTAAGAACGTCGACATGAGCGATGAAATGCAACAAGAAAGCGTTGATATTGCCTCCGCCGCTCTCGAAAAATATAACATCGAGAAAGACATTGCTGCTCAGATAAAGAAGGAATTCGACAGGCGGCATGGACCGACATGGCATGTGGTGGTGGGCAAGAACTTTGGGAGCTATGTAACGCATGGTACGTTCTTGACCCATTCAACACTTTTTTGTAGAGGCTCACTGGAACTTGTAGAGACCAAACACTTTATCTACTTCTACGTGGGCTCCCTCGCCATCTTGATCTGGAAGTCATGAAGAGCTGTGTGTTTCGTGTACCATCCTGTGTTTGCTTTCGAAATCTTGTCAAATCCATTCCATCGATCACATGCCCTTGAACAGTTTGACCAGAACAACCATGGACCTCGCGACTTTTATCTTCGAACGCGTCCTTCTGGAAGGCATGTTACTCGGTAAAGTCATCGCAACCGCAGGATAAGCAATTATTTAGAGCCACAATATTGCCGCTTGACGGTTCTTGGGTCTTTCCCGCCAAATCAACCAGCCATTCTTCGGCTTGAGAAAACCGCGATCCCAGTACATGCTGTTGAAAATATTGCTTCCTATGTTCGCAAGGCTCATTGTGTCGAGCATACCGACATTGTACCACGCTCAAGCCACGTTCAACCTGATCTTACTTTTCATTAGTACATGTGGTTTGCTGCTTGGTTGACGCCAAGCTCGCTAAATCTTCTCCCTCAAGGCGACCTCAAGGTCAATGTTATCTGCCCCGCAACGGAAGCACATATCCGTAAAGTTGGCATGGCATGTCTATCGATGGCTTCACAACTGACAAGAACCAGTACTCACCTCAAAACGTGATAATTCTGCACGAGACACCAAAGATGTACCAAGAGATTGTGGTTCCATTCATTGCCAGCCTGCCAACAGAACGCACCCAATGGTTTGAACATACAGCATGCTGCTTTCCTATATGGACTGATGTCATTCAAGGATCCAAGAGATTCTCGATGGGCGTAAAGAGCAATCCAAAATATTCTTCTCCTCCTCGTCATTCCTTATAATACCTGACATGAAATGGGACTTGCACACACTTAGTAGCCTCTACCTCGTGGCCATTGTCCGGGACTCATCCATCAAGTCGATTCGTGACCTTCGGACCCAGCACATTCCTTTACTCAAATCTATCCGGAAGGAGGCTACAGCAGTTGCGAAAGAAAAATGGGCTATCGAAAGCGGTGGACTGAGATTTTTTATCCACTACCATCCAACGTACTGTGGGTCCCTCACTGCTAAGTATGCCAATAAATAACACCCCCCTAGACCATTTCCACGTCCATATCGTTCATGCTAGCCACGATGGTGGCTTAGGGATGCGAGTTGGCCAGGCACATCTCTTAGACGATGTTATATCATTGGTAAGCAAGTTGCACAAAGAAGTCATGACTGACAATGATTGTGAAGCTTGAGCTTGACATCGGGAACATGCCCTCAATTTTCGAGATGAGAACCCTGGTATATGGTCTTGGAGAGCAACACGGGCTATATGAGGCGCTGAAATCAGCCCAAGAAGGCTTAGAGAAAGATTAGGTAGAAGTGAATCGGGTAATGCAGGACGACTCTAACCGCGTGACCTATGTGATGTGACTGATCCTGTTTTCTCCGCGTGCCGAGCAGCGACGCAACTTTTTCCAGACCACTCAATAGTTGGTCTCGACTTCGGCGGTCAGCAGTCATGCTGCCCAAGGTCGCGACGCATATCTTGCACAGCACCTCGAGGGCTGCTGTCGCCGTCCAGACCCAATCCCACCATACCTTTCGCAACGTCCTCCATTCTTCTCCATCGTCAGGCCCACGTGCTGGCCCGAGTTCTGGAGGAAGTGGTAGCAATGGTCCAAGCTCAGGCGGCCAGAAATATACGGGAAGTCGATACAACTCTGGCTACGCAGCCCGCGGAGCTGTTTCCCAGGCCAACCCCGCCACGTCTTCTCAAGACGCGTCTGTAGCGGATGACTCAGAAGAACACCATGCTCGACATGTGCCTATTCATACCACTCCCAAGTCAAGAGAGCGCAGCGGCAGCATTTCCACTCCCGCCCCTGGTATATTGAAGACCGTACAGATTCATGCCAAACAGGCCTTTGCCCACCGTCGATTATCGACAACCGTTCGTGAAGCCAACTCTGAACCGCCTCTACCACCCCCAAAAACTCCTACAAGGGCCCCTTCACCAATCCCTACCGACCCCGCTGCCCCCCAAACAGTGAACCCGCCTTCTATCAGTGACAGTCCTGCTCTTTTGGCCATTCAAGCCGCTCGTCGATCCGCAGATCCAGCCCTTGTCGCCCAAGCTGTCCGTGACTTGATTGACCATGTTTCTGAACCCACTGTCCGACAATATAATGCGGCGCTAGAGGCTCTTCGTGAGACTCGTCGGGCTGGAGAGCCTCTCACACTCTTTATGCAAACATATAATGCTATGCTGGAGCACTCACTGCTCCCTAATCTCCGCACTTACTTTGAATTACTCACCGCCATCACCGACCGTGACCAAGAGATTCATAACGCAATCGTTGCTCTTGAGGCTCGTGCTCGGCGAGGAGCTGCCTCCCCTACGGATCAGCAACGGATTGTCAACTTACGAGCTGAAAACACCTTTGATTCTGCCCTGAAGTTGTTCAACACTATCAACACTGGCTCATACAGCTCCAGTATCCCGCTGTACATTTATGTTGCGCTTCTTCGGTGTTGTGCTAATCACCAACGTCGAGATGTTGCCGTTACTCTCTTGACCGCCATTGAAAACCGTAACGACATCAAGCCCGTTTCATCTGTTTTCCGACACGTGATTCGCGCGTTTGGATCTCCCATTGCAATTAATGATGCTGGTCAGTCTTTTGAGCTCGTCGTCGTTTCCAGATTGTGATATTTCTCTCTCTAGAACTGGTATTCAATGACTATGTCGATCGGTCAGCACATGGCGAAGTTGATTGGACAATTGCCTATAATGACCCCAACGGTCCTCGTCGTCAGCACTTGCAAGTCTGGAATCAGATGATCGAGTCGTACTTCAGAGCGGGCATGCCTGACAAGGCGGTTGAAATCCTGGAACGCATGCTCAACTCGTCTGCTCCTGCCGCTTTTGGCCCTGCTGATGTCCCCCGACCGGCCTCCTCCACCTACACCGTCACAATCGCTGGCTTCATCGAATCGGGAGATGTCGACACGGCTCTTTCATGGTTCGAACGGCTTTTAGCACAAAAAAGAGCGCCCCCGTCAACCTTACGAGTCCGCTGTGGGTATCTTGCGGCCAGATATTGTCGCCTGGCAATACATGCTTGATGGCCTTGCCTTCGCTGGTCGCCTTGATGACCTTAACAGCATGTTTTTGAGACTGAAAGAGTGCTCCAAAACGGACGGGCTCCAGGTCCGAGATACAGATCATGATTTGGTATATCTTGCCAATGTTCAGCGGATTGGTGACCTCCCTGATCAGAAGGCGGTCGAGATTGGTCAATTCCTCGAGAATCACATCGTCACCGAGGGCATGGATAAGCCACGTCTAATGCGGCCCGTCTGGTCCAACTACGTCTCCCGTGGATTGTTTGAGGAAGCCATCGCCCTCGTCGCTAGGCTCGGGGGCAGCTTCCGGGCTGCCGCTCATCCCGTGACTGGTTTGATCCGCGAAATCCTGCAGCACAAAGGCGTTACCTTCGAAGTCTGTCGTCAGGTTGTCCGCCTTGCTGATGAAAGTGGGGTTGGTATTGGAGCAGCACCCTCTGCAACAATCCTTCACGTCTATGGTATTGAGCGCCAACGTGGAGTAGACTTTACTGCGTCTCTCAATGCACGTGAATGGTCCTGGTTGCTTGATGCGGCGGTTGAACAAGAAATCCTTCCCGCACACCGTCCTCAATCATATGCCTTCCAAGGTCTCGTACCTCTCCTCGAAGATATGGCGAGTTCTGGCCACGATCTCACACACATCGATCCTATACTTCAACGGCGTATCATCAAAAGCATTCTGGTTAAGCGTGGAGGTAGTGGTGTGACCGAACTGTTCGGCCAATTGGGATCTGGCTTTGTTCAAGCTCTGGACAACTATCCGACCGAAAAAAGCTTTAAAGACGATAATTCAGCATCATCTGAGGCGAGCTTCGATTTCTCTGCCTCTGTTTCCGATGCAGAAGCTTCGGATTTAGCTACGTCTGTCGACATCGAAGAACTCCCGCAGTTCCCACCCTTGCGTTTCGACAAGGAATTATCTACCTCCATTGAAGAAGTCCTTCTGAACGCAACAAAACCCGGAAATAGCGCTGTCCAACATGCCATTTCAGCCAGCGACCTTTTCCGTTCCGGTGTCGCTCGAGGTGTCAGCCCTGGTATCTACAATTGTGGCAAGCTGATCCAAGTTTTGGGTCGTGCCGGCGAGCTTGAACGAATGCGGGAAGTTTATATGGCCTCGCAAGGTGTCCTGCAATCCCTTGAATCAGACAAACCAACGCAAAGTAACGCCTGGTTCTCGATTGAGAATAGCATGATCATTGCCCTCGCTCACGCTGGTGATCTTGAAGGCGCGCATGTTCACCGTGTCCGCATGCTAGATATGGGTGGAGCCCCAACTGCCGATGCATATGGCGCTCTCATTCTCTATGTCAAAGATACAACGGATGACACTTCCAACGCTGTTGCTTTGTTCCAAGAGGCACAGGTTCACCGTGTTGTGCCAAACCAATACCTCTACAACAACATCATTTCCAAGCTGGCGAAAGCCCGCAAGGCTGACTACGCCCTGGAGTTGTTCGAGCAGATGAAGACCAGCGGCTTTGCCAAGCCTAGCTCGATAACGTATGGCGCTGTGATTGGAGCCTGCGCACGTGTCGGAGATGTTGTCTCTGCCGAAAATTTGTTCCAAGAGATGATGGCCGCGTCCAACTACCGACCTCGTATTCCTCCTTTCAACACGATGATCCAAGTTTACACTACGACCAAGCCGAATCGTGAACGCGCGCTCTACTACTACGAGATGCTTCGGACTGCAGGCATCACCCCAACTGCTCACACCTATAAGGCATGTTCTTTTTTCGTCTTTCTTTCTTTCTGTCCATTCACTAACTGCATTATTATAGCTGCTTTTAGATGCCTACGGTCGTATCGAGCCTGTCGACATTCCCGCTATGGAACAGGTTTGGGCAAACTTGCTCGCTGACAAATCCGTTCATGTCCAAGGAACCCACTTTGCGTCACTGATCCACGCCTATGGCTGCGTCGGCAAAGACCTCGACAAAGCCATCGCCATCTTTGACTCGATTCCGACCTCCAGCCAAGCTTCCCCACGCGACGCTTTGGTCTTCGAGGCCATGATCAACACCCTGGTTGCCCATCGACGAACAGACTTGATGCCGCATTATGTTTCCCTCATGCGGCGCGAGGGTGTTCATATGACCGCCTATATCGCGAATTTCCTGATCAAGGGTTATGCCGATGTTGGCGACATGGAGCAAGCAAGGATAATTTTCGAATCTCTTGTCGACCCCCCGAGCGGTATGGCTGCAGTCCACAACCACGCCCCGCATGAGCCAAGTCAAATGACTTCTGTCGACCCAATGGAGCCTGTTTATCGTGAACCGTCAACGTGGGAAGCCATGATTCGAGCAGAGCTAGGATGCGGCGATCGTGAAAAGGCACAGGCGCTTCTCCAACGTATTCAAGCAAGGTTTGTTTCTGGATGTGTTCTTTTTTTTTGTTACCTCTGCTGACCCTCGCTATAGGTGCTATCCTGAGGCGGTTTACAACCGCATTTCAGGAATTCTCGTTGACCATTCGATGATAAAGCCATGAGAAGGCATGATCTTACCCGCATTTGTATAGTAGCCAACTGTATACTAGGACACGACAAAAGTAGACACATAGCGTAGAGCATATTGTAGTAGCACCACAACTCAGTAGACTTGCTGAAGTTGGAATGACAGGTTGCTGATCAGATCACGTAAGCAGCATAGCGTGTTCTTCACCGACGACGTGGACTGGACCATGAATCTTTCGCTCTACAGTGTTAACGCGTTTCTCATTCTTGACACGGAAGGCGCACGCGTTCTCGCAAAATACTACCGTCCCAAAGGCCATCCACAAGGCGAATCCAAGCAATTCCAAACATTGAAAGAGCAGAAGGCGTTTGAGAAGGGTTTGTGGCAGAAAACCAAGAAAGCCGGAGGTGGGCTTAATCTTGCTTTCTGTTGCAAGGCTGATCTGTAGCAGGAGACATAATCCTATATGATGGCCACCTCGCGGTGTACAAGCATTCGTTGGACTTGATTATCTACTTCATTGCTGGGCCTTCAGAAAACGAGCTTATGCTTTCGACGGCGCTCAACAACTTTGTCGACGCCCTCACCCTCCTGATGCGGAACCAAATCGAGAAGCGTGGTGTTCTAGAGAATCTTGACCTGGTTTTGCTGTGTTTGGACGAGACGATTGACGATGGGTGAGTGCAGTCCAACAAGGGAGAGTTAACTGCTGAACTGGACACCAGAATCATTGTTGATACCGACCCCGCTGCCATTTCTTCTCGTGTCAGCCGACCGAGACCAGACACGACAGAAATCATCATCAACGAGCAGACAATTATGAGCGCATACCAGACTGTCAAGGAGAAAATGGCACAACGGATAGGCCAGTTGTAATTCTACTTTACTACTTTGCAACACTTTTTCTATCATTATTCTACGAATGCGCGGTATAGCGTCAACCTGTCCTTGCTAGCGAAAGAGACCTCTGCATTGGCGCCGATAAAAGCCACCTCGCCCTGTTTCAGCTCAACTTGGCCCTCCTTCCACTGGATTGTGCAGTTGCCTTCAGTAACGATTGCGATACTCGGACCAGCGAGTGGTGGGTGAGTCTCTTGGGAACCAGCCAACGAGACTTGCACCACAGAGAATTCAGGAATGGGTGGATCGTAGAGTGTACTGGCAGTGGTTCCATGAAAGGAAGTCGGTTTAACGACGTGGCGAGCAGGATCGGCAGCTTCATATGTGAGTCCAGCAACCAGATTAGGAATATCTCGCAGTTTCGGTGTAAGTCCAGCGCGAATGACGTTGTCCGAATTAGCCATGCATTCCATTATATCTAGAAGAATACTTAGCTACCACAACAAAAACCAAACCAAGTTATCACCTCCGTAGACATAGGCATGCGGCTCGCCTGCACCAAGGAAGATCGCTTCGCCAGCATTGAGGTGGACGTAATTCAGCAGGAAAGCACAGAAAATGCCAATATCTCCCGGAAACTGAGAATTGAGACGCAAAACCAGATCGACAGTGTCGGAAGAAACGTCTTCAGGGCGGGACTGGTATCGAGCAACAAGCAAATCGAGTTGCGATTTGACCAGAGTTGGTTCTGCGGTCATAACAGCAGAGAAGACATTTCTCAACGCCACTTTTTCCTCGGGGCCGTGAGGTGTTGAGGAGTCTGCCAGGGCCAGAAACTCTGCGACAATCGATGGTGGAACTAGGGATACTAACTCAGGCGTTACTCGAAAATATGCTGCAATTCGCGGAAGTGGCATGAATCCACACAAGGCGGCAAACGGAGTGAGCGCGAGAGCCATCTCTGGTTTATGGTTGTCGTCTGTGTTGTTGATGAATGCGGCGAAAGTAAGGTAACGTTTACTTTCGATCTACCTTTGTAGATGTCGGGTTGCTGAACAAACAGCACTTCGGCGGTCTTCTTGTCAGGATGGGTTTGTATGCTGAGTGCCTTCTCGATGGCCAGAACTTTGAACAAGAACGGTAGATTGCCACCAGTCGCGTCGAATCGCGTTGCAACAGAGTTTCCGATGAGACCGGGGTTTGCGGCAAGATGGTCAGAGAGGGCAGTATTCCCGTTGGCTACGAGCGATGGCGATTTGGGATGAGTGCCCATCCAAAGCTGAATTGCGGTTGTAGGTGGTGAGTTGTTTGAGGCGGTTGCCTCACCTCTGCATATGGGGCAGATTCGTCTAATTTGAAGCCAGGTATGCGTGTCGCGAACTGAGCAACCTTGGAACTAGAGCCGATCTTGCCCCAGTCGTATTGTTGGGCGGTAGGCAATATCTTGAACACTGACATGCTGGTGGTCAGCGATCAAAGTCGTAAATCATGGCTTACTCTCAGCCACATTCGCGTGTCTCTGTACTCTCAAATTCTTCAACAGCTTCGTCTGTTGAGCACTTCTCTCCTGCGGCCTCTACCACCCGATTCTCCCTCCCCACAACTCCTGGCCTCCCCTCACGTGTCAGACCAAATATATATGACCGCAACCTCACCAAGACACGGATACCAGAAGTCTCTGGCGCTGCCTTCACCTTCCTCTTTTCTGAAATGGTACAATATACCCAGAAACGAGTCAGTGGAATAAACGACCTCGAAAGGCGACTCAACACGCTCGGCTACCGCATAGGCACCCGCGTACTCGAGCTCATGGTCTGGCGCGCGGAATCGCAGTCCAAAGCACCGAAACGGGAAATCCGCTTTCTCCCAGCGCTCATGTCAATTCATACCCAGGTCTGGAGGGCAGTATTTGGCAAGCCAGCAGATGCTATCGAGAAGAGTGTGGAGAATGCAGACGAATATATGATAATCGACAACGACCCACTCATTGAGCGATACATCTCCGTCCCAAAAGACATGAGTCAGCTCAGTTGCTCCTCGTTCACTGCTGGCATCGTTGAGGCAGTATTGGATGGACTCGGTTTTGTAAATTCGTCCTGATTCTTTGCCATCTTGTTGACGCATTTCCAGCCCGCCCGTGTCACAGCCCATAATACGCCAACAGCTCAGGCTCCCTCACGAACAACGATCCTAATAAAGCTGGAGAAATCGGTACTAGAACGAGAAGAGGTGCTCAAGTAATTGTTGTGGTATCTGGTGTCTAGAAATGTACAGGCCATTGGCCAAGGTATAGGTTGTGCTACACGAAACGCGTCTAAAAATACAGTAAAGCAACTCCCTACAACGACAAGTCAGTATTCGCTCAAGAGTGGAAAGACGAGGCATACTTTTTTTATCGACCCTATGCCACAATTCGAAGGTCGACTCGAGAGACACAAGAGTGGTCTTCAACCGTGTAGATCCCAATCCTATATTCACCCACATGCCGCATAGCAGGACAACCATAGAGTTCGACCTCGTCTCCGTGTTTATGGGCATTGAGGTCGACCTGCAAAAAATCCGGCCATGTCCTTCCCGGAATCATCTTTGCCTCGAGCTTTCGCGTGGCTACGTAATCCGGAACAGCAACAGGAAGTTTGAAGGTCTCGCCAACCCGTATCTGAACAGCTTTCAACATGTTGCTTGATGGCTCATGCACAAGATGAGACGATTCCGGAGAAGAAAACGATGAGCGACCGTGAGTTGACGTTGTGGGGGTCATTTGGCCATCTTGGTCTCCTCCGAGAGTACGGACGTAGTGTATGCCTACGCTCAGCTCATCGGCAGCCGAATTGCGAACCGATTCTTTCAAGACCACTGCTTTCTGGCTTGGTACTCGGCGCGATGGGCTACCAGATGGATCTTCTTCCTCAGGAGGGGTTCGAGGCATAGGAACGCGGGTAGCACTAGTGAAAGGGACTAGCCGAGGGCGTTTGGACAATGCACTGTGAATACTGGGCGTTTTGGAGGCTACATGGATGGTCCCTTCTTCTGCTGACGAAATCGAACCAGACGACAGTTGTCGCACCAATCCATTGTAAGCATGAGTTGCCGGGGGAAGTGGGCAAAAATCTGATCTACGTCGAGGAATGGAGTGATCACCAGTCGAAGTAGAAGGCGAATTGGTGATAACAATGCTCCCAGGATAGCTTATAATGTTTGCATCATCGAAAGGGTTGGATGGCGAGTGCGACATGGTCTCAGGCAGACCATCCAACGCGGTTACAGCCAGCGTAGGCTTACTGATGACCGGACGTTGAACCGGACCTTTGCGCCAACTATCGTATTTGTCGCTGATATTCCTGGCAGTCTGCCGAATCCGCGTCAAAAAGTCACGCTTGCGCATAACTCCTGGGCTTTGAGCGCTGCTAGGAGTCGAAACGGGATCAGAACCACTTCTCTCCATAACACGACGAAGACCGAGACCAATACCTCCGTAATCAGGTGCAGCACGGGTGGGTGTGACAAGCTCAGCGCCGTCTCCAAACGGATTGTCCAACTCCATTGCATTTCGGGGAAGACTAGAGCCATAACCTTTCTCCGCTGCAGGCAAACCATACCATCTCTTGTCGCTCTCCGACCAGGCTTCTTGATCGACTCTGGCGCCATCATCGACCTTGGCACAACGTTGAAACGCAGAGAAGAACAATCCTAAAGCACAAACAGTCCCAATGATCCCGAAAACGATCGCCAAAGCAAGAGTGAGCTTGCGGTGAGCCGCGGCCGACAGATTTCCAGGGTTAACGTACGCTTTGTCCTTGGTCTTTGTCGAAGGAGGGATGGAGAGGCGAAGGAATGTATGCGAGGTTGAATGTGTGCGACGCGAGAAGGCGGTAAAGGTAATGTCAATGTGTAAGACAGATATATCGTCGGGAATAGTTCCAGAGAGAATGGAGGAGTTCGGGTCAAAAGATAGACAGTTGCCTTCGGGCGTATCGAATGCAGACGAAAGGTTGATGTCACCGCTTTGGTCATTAGTCGAGTTGGAGAAGTACGGAGCAAGACTGAAGTTGACTATACGAGTTGCACTCAGGACTTGGGCGGGTATTGTCGCAGTAGAGAAGAAGGATGGGACGATTGCGAGGGAGCAGTTGGTGTGCAAGGTCTGGTTGAAGGCGGAAACGGTCAGAGGGAGGGTGTAAGTTTGCCCCGCATAAGCGGCCGGAGGATTTCCAGATAAAACACGACTTGCTTGATCGAATTCCAGCCAGTTGAGCGCTGAAGTGTCAATAGCAAGCGAGGAGATGTTGGCTGGCTCAATTCCTTTCCCGTCGACCAGGAGACCTGCAAAGTCGTCTTGCGAATCCACCTTCGCCGTGAATGGGTTTTCAGAGGAGACGTTGATCGTCGGGATGTACTGGCGCTGCACAAGTTCATGGGTTGCCGTGATGATATCAAAGGGAAGCACCACAGCACTGTAGCCTTCTTGGTCTGAGCCGAAAAGAGACAGAGACAACGTTTGCGCCTCTTCAACATCGTGTGGGACAACTCCATTGACAGTCAAGCTCTCTTCGCGAAAGGTCATCCAGTCGGGAAGGTCAGATCCGTCAGCTTGCAAGACCATATAGCGGATGCGGTCGGACCCAGTTAACGTGTCGTAGCGAAACCCAATGCTGAAAGACCATTGTCGAGGTATGCGTAATGCCGGATGAGTGGTAGTCAATGCAGAATCTGGCGGGACAGGAAACACAGAAGACATGGAGGGGTTTCTTGCGTCAAATTGACTCGCCAGCGGAATATTGACTTTGGGAGGCGGAAAGGAGGAGATACAGATCGAGAACGTAGAAGAAGCGGAGGACGTGGTGTCGTGCGCGGTTATTGTGACTTCCAGATTGCCTTCGTCAGTCGTGGTTGGGATGCCACTGAAGCTTCGCTTCTGTGGGTCGAAAGCGAGCCACTTGGGGAGTGTAGAGACAGTGTAGGCGATGTTTCCATCAGATTTGAAGGTTGATGGGGAGAACGACCAGATGTAGGGTTGGCCAACGCGAGCGATGAGGGGACGCTGGTTGTCGATGGGAAATGCAAGTGTGACGGTGGAGGCAACAGCTGCCCATGCGAGGACGAGCACGTAAAAGAAGGGCAGCAGCATAGAAATGAGCAATGGCGAGGTTGCCACTCGTCGGAAAGGAAGGAGGCGAAGTCACATGACATTACTTCACTCTAACACAAAGACGCGGAAGAGTCAAAAACGATCGTACAAAGCAAGCTGACTCAACGAAGCAAGCGGCCCACAATCCAATCTTATCGGCCCATTCAGTGTCGCGTAAAAATATGTCACATCAAATGTTCTCTGGTGCGACCAGCGACACCACATTTCAAGGCCGGAAATCTACTCTGCGTAATGTTACATATCGACGCGTGTCGTTCCTGCCGCTACGAATCCGGCGTCCGCAGTCTAATTCCCGTCGGATACGGAGATCGGCGGTACTATACCAAGACAGCAATCAGACTCGAAAAAGCGGCAGAAAGGCATCCATGAAGGTGGCGTGAGGTAAGAACTTTGACTCACCCTGGTCTCAAGTATGCATAAGTGACGTGGTCAGAGAATTAGGTGAGTAAAGCTTTGGAGAATGGAGAGCGTTTGAACTTGCCACTATTGATTCCAACTCCGGAAGACGTACGGCTTACCGAGCTTATGACTAGGGCGTAAACACCGCTCTTTCGTCATCCAGACTTTTGGCCGATTGTGAAGGCTAAAATTCTGGCATCCGCGCCGCGTCATGTTCAGCCGAAACGCGGCAGAATCGATATATAGTCTTTTCCATTGACTCCTCTTGCACCCACTCCTCTCCTCAAACTCGCCATGTCCTCAGGCCCAACACCTGTTGCCTCTCGCGCGGCATCGCCAACCGTTCGCGACTCCACTTCCATTGTAGAAGAGTACACGGAGAAGAAGACAACCGCAGAGGATACCATCACTTACCCAGAAGGCCTCAAACTCGCCTTAATAACAATCGCCCTATGTCTTTCCGTGTTTCTAGTCGCCCTTGTCCGTGTTTATTTTTTTTGTACCTTTTGTTTGACTTAGTGAGAGTTTTTCAGGACAACACGATCATAGCCACTGCCATTCCTAAAATCACGACGCAGTTTAACAGCCTAGACGATATTGGCTGGTATGGCTCTGCGTACCTCCTCACAACGGCTGCATTTCAGGTATTCCGCTATGCCTTATCAGGGCCATCCATAGCCTAACCCCAGCCGTAGCTGCTCTTCGGTCGATTTTACTCGTTCCTCTCGATAAAATGGGTCTATATCGTCGCAATTTCTATATTCGAGCTGGGTTCCCTGATATGTGGGGTTGCTCCGTATGTGCTCTGAGCCCCAGTTAGCTTTCTCCTTTTACCTCTACCAGTAACTCGTCAACTCTGATCGTCGGTCGTGCTATCGCAGGCCTCGGTTCCGCCGGTATATTCTCTGGGGCCCTCATAATCGTCGCAAACACTGTCCCACTGGAAAGGCGGCCAATGTACACTGGTCTGATCGGCGCGATGTACGGAATTGCTAGTGTCGCGGGTCCATTGATGGGCGGTGTCTTCACTGATAAAGGTAAATTTACTCTTGCCGCGCTTTCTCTAGCTCACGGCGACCCAGTTACATGGCGTTGGTGTTTCTACAGTAACTATTCATGCTTTTGGTGTGATGCTAAGCTAAAAGCACGCTAGTCAACCTTCCCATAGGCGGGGTCACCCTCTTGGTCATCACGTTCTTTTTTACCGCTCCAGGGGTTGCGCGCAAGACAGCCAACAACACTCCCTTCTGGTCGCGCGTCATGAAGTTTGACCCAATCGGGACGGTCCTCTTTATCCCTGCCATTGTTTCTCTTCTCCTCGCGCTTCAATGGGGAGGCAGCAAATACGAGTGGAAAAACGGGCGCATTGTTGCCCTCTTCGTGCTCTTCGGAGTGCTGATCACGGGCTTCATCTTTGTTCAAATATGGCGACAAGAAGATGCTACAGTACCTCCTCGCATCCTGAAACAGCGGAGTCTGCTCTTTGGCAGTTGGTTCTCCCTCTCACTCGGATCTTCTTTCTTCATTCTGGTGTACTACCTACCTATCTGGTTCCAAGCAATCAAAGGCGTATCGGCCGTCAAGTCTGGTATCGATAATCTGCCCATGATTCTCTCGTTGGTCATCGCCTCCCTGATCGCTGGTGGAGGTATGCGAGTACATTCCACCCATGTAGCCTTCCTCATCATTTTCTAGTCATCACTGCTGTTGGATATTACACGCCTTTCATGATCCTATCCTCCGTGCTTATGGGTGTTGGCGCGGGACTTATCACTACATTCACGGCAACGGGGACTGGCCATTCACATTGGATTGGCTATCAGATCATCTATGGCTTGGGCGTTGGATTTGTGCGTACCGGTTCATCTTCACTACTCATTCTAATCGCGTCCGTAGGGTATGCAACAGCCTATCATGGCTGCGCAAACCGTGCTATCGCTGGAGGACATCCCCACCGGAACTTCGCTCCTCATGTTCCTACAAACACTCGGGGTAAGTGACTCTTTTCTTTTTTTGTGCTCGTTACCGACAGTGCGCCAGGGAGCATTGTTCGTATCTGTTGGCCAGAATGTATTCACCAACAAGCTCGTTGAAGGGTTGAGAGAAATTCCTGGTGTCGACCCCACTATCGTCCTCAGTGCGGGAGCAACATCTTTGCGGCAGAGAGTCGCCAGCGAACTGGTGGGTGCTGTGGTGGAAGCCTACAACAAGTCTCTTGTCTCGGCTTTCTACGTCAGCGTCGCAATGGCCAGTCTAAGTATCATTGGCGCCTTAGGCATGGAGTGGAAGAGTGTGAAGGGCAAGAACATTGAAATGGCTATGGGCTAGATTTAAAATGACGGTCGTTACAGTATAGGTTGTACGATTTTGGGGTGTACAATACGGAACAAAATAATGCTTTCAAACACTGGATTAGAAAACTAGAGGGCGTTGAAATGGTGCACGTGATGGATAAGACGTAGAACGACATTAGAATTTGTACGATTTTTTGTAAAATAAAAAAATGCTTTCAACCGGATCCTTTCCGAAAGCAGATGACATTAACAGTAACTAGTGGAGTCTCTATGGTCATGAAAAATATCCCGCGAATAGATGTCGACGTCGAACACATACATGTCTTCAAGCTCCTGGCACAAACACTCCCAGACCCGCAGCCTGAACGGCGCCGGGGTCTTCCGCATTCAGCGCGCCAATTAACTGGATAAGCTCTGCTCGAATCTCGTCGCCAACTTGATCTGGCGCACTGGGGTCGAGCACGTGAGCAAAGACGGGCAAGAGGTTGGAGATGAATGGGTGCAAAGCAGCGCCGTTGGTTCGGAAAAGGTAGAACAAGGCGCGGAATACCGGTCGGTTCTCGAGTGGGTCATTGCGAAGTGGTAAACCTCCAACGAGCACAGGCAGCACTTGGTCGAGGGGCACTGCTGACACGTTTCTTACAATCATACGAGAAACAGCCCCAGCAGCGTTGTCTTTGGCGTTGAGCGCGTTGGACGGGGAGTCGGCCGTGACATTGAACAGTGGTCGAAGAGCTCCGAGGAGAGGGAGGTATTGGGGAGTCAAGTCCATCTCTGAGTTCTCCACAAGCAAGCCAACTGCGAAGGCAGCATTACTCAGAACATCAGCTTCAGGGTCACCAAGGGCCTTGAAGCAGAGTTCGAGAAGTGGCTCAGTTGAGGGAGTAATGGCGCCTTTCATTCCAGAGATAATCTCAGCAAGGCATCCGATCGTCGACGACCGCTCATTGAGAGAGCGACTTTTTTTCTAAAGGACGACATGTCAGTTTCAAGATGTCGTATACCATGAGACGACGACGAACATAGTATTTGGCAATGAGCGGGTAAAAGGTGCTGAAGGCCGGTGCGAAGTCGGCACCAAGTGCATTGGCGATGGCGGAGACAACATCACCAGCAGATGCGATCAAAACAGTCTCGTACTCTGCTTGATCCTCGGGAGCCTCTTCATCCTCATCCTGGTCAGGATCTTGCTGGCATTCGGCCTTTTGGTCAAGGATTTCAATGGCCATCTTGGAGATTTCGTCCAAATCTAAACCGATCAGCGACATCATCTGAAAATAGGCCGGATCACGCACGGCCATCAACGAACGCAGGCCCAATTTTTGTGATGGTTTCAGCGAGACTGTTGCACAGTGTGGTCACGACAGATCTGTCAGAAAAGTCAGGACGACCAGTATGAGAATAAATGGATCAGAAACAAGTCAGAAAAATAATAAATAGTCTCATGCGCCGCAGCGTCGAAGTGAGCTGAGTAGTTATTTCATCTTGGAAGGGGGAGGGATGATAGTAGATTTGGTCGTAAACACTCACTTGTTGTCCTCCGTCTCGTACATCTCCAAGAGCGCTTTGAGAGCATGCTCATTCAGGTCCTTGACGGTACTTGGGAGCGGTGCATACTGCTTGCCTGATCAAAGTTACGCTTATGAATCTAAAGAAGTTGCGCACATTGAGACCGGCTTGCCATTCAGGAGCCCCGCTAAGCTCGTAGAAAGTGCGTATAATCTCCAGCAGCGAGTCGGTCGCACTTTTTCGAATGCCTTCATAGTAGTGTGAGAGTAGGTCGATCAGTTGCATAGTGCATTGTTCGACGAAAGGCAGGAACTGGGACTTGGTGGCAGCAAACAGGGTGCCAATTGTGTCGGCTGCGATTTCTTTCTCGACCGCGATGGCGCTGTTTGCGTCCATCATTTTCTCCACATCGATGTCCTCGATCTCCACCATGTTGTTACCATTGACGTCGACCTTTTCGTCAACAATTGTGATGGCATTTTGGGGATCACTTCCAGTACCGAATGCGTTTGTTGCTTCGAGAACGGAGACTGGCAATTTGTTCAGGATAAGGAGTAAAAATAAGAAGGGACTGACACTCTTCGCCTTGTTCGACCTGTGCACAGCTTTTAAGGAGCGCGGGAACAACTTCCTGCAGGTAAACAGCAAACTCGTCCTCGAAGACTTTGGCCATGACACCGAAGAAGAGGAAACTACATTCGCGCAGACGCGGACTGCCTATCTCAAGACCTTGGAAGGCTTGTTTCATCATTTCCGGGAAGAAGGGCCGGAAAACATCTTTGCCCACTGCCTCCGCGAATGTCCCAATCGCATCAACGGTGATACCACGCAGCTCGACCTCCTCGCCTTCATTGGTCAGCGAAAGGAAGGGCTGAAGACGTTCCATGATAGGCTGGAAATATGGCAAGAATGCTTCTTTCGCGGCATGAGCAGCGCTCCCCATAGCTCCTATGACCACCGATTTGACAGAGACGGGAGCGGTGACAAGCAGCCCAGTAAGGTGCTCCATAATCCCGGTAAGGTAAAGACCGATGTGGTCATGGAGGATTTCGAGCAAGGCATCCAACGCTGTGCAAGCTGCACGCTGGGTGGCCGGGTCATTGACAAGGTTCATGATGCCCTACAAATGAGTTAGACAAAACCAACGACAAGTTCGAAGCTTGGACTTACTGGGACAAGAACTTCATGTCGCGCAACGCATTCGTCGGAAAGCCATTCACACAGACAACAAACAGCAACGCAAGAGGCTTTTCTGACACCGGCATCACTGTCTTGGATTCCGGCCTCGATAACAGGCCAGATGGCACCCAACAGGGGCGTCATGTACTCGCTGCAACCTTCAACACAGATTCCCAAAGCCAGCATAGCTCCACGACGATTGTTAGCATCTGATGAAGAGAAGTACTCTGTGATCAGATTCCGCAGAGGAGGGAAAACCTGCGAAGGGGGAAGCCCAGTCGCCAAACCATCAATGATGCGAAGAGCAGACTAGCGGACTGTGAGGCTCTATAGACTATGGCACACAAGACTCACCCGTGAAGGAGCATCGTCGTCCACATCCTCAGGCTCTTCCTCGGCGGTGATTGGCATGAGACCATGGAGGATAGGCCCAGCAAGATTGTTAGACTGAATCTTGGATTTCTTGCTATCGTAAGATATTAGTCTCAAAATCAGCAAACGTATTGTCGACCCTACTAGACGATGGTCCAGTTCAGCGCATTTAGCGACAAGACACGAAGCTCGGGATCGAATGTTCGGTTGCCACCGAGTTGCAGCAAGAATTCGGCCAGTTCAGGAATATGCTTGCCAAGAACAGGAACTTCCTGCGCGTCGTTAGCCCTTCGCGGTACTGCGCAGAGAGAGAAAAGATATGACCAGTATAAGCAAGGTTTCAAGTACATCGAACAGTTGACGCGCTCCAGGTTCGTTTCCGCTCTGGACGCACTGGCCAATGACTTGCATGATGAGGGGAAGCGATGCTTGGAAAGCTTTCTGTTTCACGTCTTAAGAATCGATATGACCTTTTCTTGTATGCATACCACTTCTGCCTTGTCTTCCGCATCAAGGTAGGCGGCAATGACACTCATAGCCCTACAGTCAAATCAAGATGTGAATGAGCATACCCGAGAGCTGACGTACCGAACAGTCGTTATGCGGACCTCGAGGCTTTCAGGGTCGTTCAGTAGGCCGGTGAAAAGCGTGAACAAGCCATCAAGGTGCTCCTTGAAGCCTTCCACGATGTTGTCGAGCACAGTGTAGAGGATGAATATTCCGACTTCGCGGTGAATGGATTGAGAAGAGGTGCAGGTCGTTTGAAGGAAAGGTAATAATTCAGGCCATGCACCCAGGGGAAACTCGATGTTGGCGACGGCAGCAATGACACGCGCCACCGAATGACGAACGAGGTTACTGGAAGAGATCGACGCGTTATAATAGAAAGCATTGGACGGAAATGGGACATACATAGGGTCAGCGAGGACTATTTCGAAAAGTTTTTGCTTGAGTTGCCCACGATCGTTCTGAGCAAGCTGAGTCCACAGAGATCCGCTATTCTGTGCGACGCGTTTTCGCATCTCTACGGCAGCCAGTTGGCGAACCTGAATGTTTGTCAGAAGGACAAATAGCTGATAAAAGTTATCTGGGCTTACACCGTCTGTGGCAGCTGAGGTCGCGATGATCTGAGCTAACCCGAGAATACATGTCGCATTTTTGTAGTACTCGAGGTTAAGTTTTGCGGTTGCCTAGAAAGCGATCAGAGAGTAGAGGCGCGATGAGAGGAGATCTTACGCCTTTAACCTGAAGCGTGTCGGGCGATGTTGCTTGAAGCAGGAGGTCATGGAGACCTTGGACATAGGTGGGCTATAGAAACGATTAGTATCAAGAGAACACAGTGGAAATGCAGGGCGTCCTACATCCATCGGGGGGAGAAAGAAAAGGGAGAGAGGCGGGGATGGTGATGGTACAGGTGAAGAAGGATGGAAAAAAAGTTTGTTAGGAAATTTTGTTGATGCTCTCACGCGTTGATCAAGCTGGCTGCATGCGCAAGGAGAGTCAAACACGCGTCCATGTCCTGCATAGTTTGGACGTGGGGCGGAACCACTTTAAAATAATATAAGAATTAATAATACTACGGCACTCTTGGTCTCGAGACTACCGAAACCTAGTCATCTTGCGTTTCGACTAGTATCTAAACCATCTTACCCTTCGACACCGACCCTGCCACTCAAATCCTCGCCATTCGCGCGGCTCAAAGCCAAGTCGGCTCCCACCACTCACTCCTTCGATTCAATCCGAAACTGGATTGCTGAAACTATGTCGAATGAGGAGATAGGCTCGAAGCCAAGCTGGCCCTCCTCAAACGAAGTTTTCGAACAATGGGACCTTGCGATGCGCGTCGCTCATGACACCCTTCTCAATGGAAGGGTCACTGAACGCACACAATTCATCCATGACCACATCCTCCCACTATGCGACCAAGGTTTGAACTGAAAGACATCCATTCATAATGCCTGAACAATCGTAGAGCTTGGTTCGCGCCAAACAATGGATATATTTGCTCTTCTCACCAGCACTTACCCGCGCTACACCGATTCCGAGTCGCGTGCTGCAGTTGAACAAGTTGGAGCTGCCCTCATTCGTCAGGATACAACATTGGCTGAACCTGTCGTCATTTGGCTCAACTCCCAATCCACCCACGCCAATGCCCCAACCGATATATTCGCTCTTCTGTCCTGGGCTTGCGCGTTACTACCATTGGTTGTCGACACTCCTCAGAAAAACGAGCTTTTGCGCGTCCTAGCTGACTTGTATGATTCTCTACTTTCGTCACCGCGCGTAAAGCCACCACTTCGCACAGGCGGAATTACCCGCGTTCGGAGGGCATTCCGAGGCGTAAGCTCCCAACTTTCATTCAATTTCTGCTGATTGTGCTCGAGATATCAAAACAACTTCCCGATATCATAAGCACCCTCCTCGGTTTACGCGCTATTCCACTGTTAGGAACCACGATTGACGTAGTGATTCATCTAAAACACACGCCTGAACCTGTGGAGGCGCGATTGAGTGCTGAAACTAAAGCTGCTGTTCTTGACCTTTACTGCAAGGATGTTATTGAATGCAGAACTCCAGTACCTCGCCACATTCTCGTGGGTCCTCAGACTCTGCTTCTGCTGCGTTAAACTCTCATCATCTCTAGTCCTCGCTTGAGCTCTTCATCGCAACCTACGTGGAGTCAAGCAACTTTGACTTGGTCGTCCTCCCGTCTCTAGAAAAGGCGCTGAGTAGATCGAGTATAAGTGGTGGGTGTTATTTTAGCTGCAATCCAAGTTCGTTATCGTTTCTCAGGTGCTTGCGCATTCTTGACCACATACAAGAATCCGATTCCAGTGTCAGCTTATCATCGATTATTTGGGCACATTTTGCCACTTGCTCGCAATCCCTCATCAGTCTCTGAAGTTGTCCAACTGTTCAAATCTGCCATCGCTCATTTACGCGCCAATGAAGATCAATCCCAAGAAGTAAACACGGCTTTACAGAAAAGCCACGATGATATTATTTCACTCCCTCGCTCGCGTAAGACTGCGAGCGGGACACATCGAGCAACTCTTTATGGCATGTTGGCTGGTCTCGGTACTCCGGCCGATTCATCTCTCGACGAAGACGTTTCCAGTCTTCTCACCCTGCTGGGAGGCGAATCTGCCCCTGATGCAGCCGTATCTCTTGGCGATTTACTGACTACATGGATCGGAATCCTTCTGGCCACCAAGCCTTCAGCGCAAAGGGTTCAAGAAATCGGGGCTTCCGTAGCAAAAGGAATGGCGACGAAATCGAATGCAACCCTCCGAGCAACTTGGTGGTCTATTGGTGCCACCTTGTTATGGAATGATCATCTCCCCAATACTGGCTTCACTCGTCCTTTGTTGCCTGTGTTTGATACAGCGCTTACAGCAGTTGGGACAGGTTTGACGGCCAAGGAAGACGTCTTACAAGAGGCAGTCGTTGCAGCAGCATGCTTGTTGCGTCTAGCTGATATTAGCACGGAGCTGGCTAAAGAAATTGCTGGTTTAGCGACAGTGCGGGCTCTCAGTACTACAACGACCGGTGACAAGGCCACTTGGCTTTTCAACGAGCGTGTCTACTCCCGAATTGGTGTGCCCAGAGAAGGTATTGACCCAGACGTTGTTGCACAAGATGCTATATGGTGTGTCCGAGCACTAGCGGGAGCATGGAAGATTTCGCCAACAACACCGACGTATGTTTGTCTGCCAGTTTGATCAGCCTTATTGTTAACGCGCGGACCATAGCGCTCAATCGCGTTTAGGCAGCAGTCTTCTCCATTTCGCCCTTCGACCACATCCCAGGGTTCGCAAGGTGGTTATCGACACTATCAGCGCTCATCCCGGCGCCGGGGCTACCGTTATTGCTGGAATAGCTGCCTATGTATCGAAAAACGCTGCTTCCAACGGAAAAGTAGCTCATTGCGCGGCCTTTCTGGCTACTGGCATAGATCATAGCGAACAAGCAGTAGCAGAAGTGCTCATATTTGCTCATCATCACCTTATCAGTAAGTTTTGTCATGCGCTCTGCTCTGCGCAACAACAAAGCTGCTTTCAGACGCGCCTGGCCGCCAAACATGGATTGACATCTGTCAACGAGCCGGCATTGATCCGCGAGATGTCGTTGTTCGGCAGGGAGAACGAATCGTAGATTTGATCCTCGCTGGCGCTGCCGAAGATCCGAAGGTGCGTCGTTGAAAATTCCTTTCCAACTTATTGCGCTGATGTTACATGCTAGACCGGTCTTCCTGCTGCCTCGTATGCTGCTCTCACCACAATTGTCTTTGTTGCGCCAGACCTAATACTTCCTCGCATCGTTCAACAATTGCAAGCTGACATTGACTGCAACACTCTGAACTCATTGACTGAGGAAGAGTTGGGCATGTGGCGGATGCCAGAAGGCACGGCCTTCATAGACGGTATGCATTCCTTTACCTCTTCGCAACCTCCACAGGTTAAGTTTGTTGTGATAGTTCTCGCTTCGGCAAAAAATGAAACCAAAGCTCCACAAAAAGGGAAGGACTTTGAAATTGCGCGGTGGGAAGCCGAAGTCCGCAAAACGCTCGATAGCAAGAAGGCTTCTGGAACTGCATTGACTAAGCAGCAGCAAGCCCAACTGCAGGCACAACTAGCGCGTGAAAGTGTCGTTCGGCAACGTGTCAATACTCTCAAAACCAATCTTATCCGCGGGCTGGCGTTCATCCGAAGCATAGTCGCTGCTTCCACTCCAGATCTTCGTGTCTACGTACCGACAATAGCCCAACTTCTTTTAGACGGTGCTCTAAGGCAGGGCTCATTGTTAGTTGGTGAAGTGGCACTGGAAACTTACCTGGTCCGTGACTTGCTCTTCCACTAGTTTTTCTCTCTCTCAAGCTCTTCTAGGAGCTGGCTAAATGTTGCTCTGATCGACTCGATACTTTCCGACTGTGGCTTGCTATTGCCACACTTCGAAGTCTTAATATTGACTCCGTTCCAGAAGACATGCGAGCTGAACCACTAAACAGTATGTATTGTTTTCTTGCTGACGGTCTTCTCATGATTCGGACAGATTTGGTCATTCGTGTGCTATTGCGCTTTCGCTCCCTGTCAGAACAAGTTGCATTCGATTCTGCGACCTTTTCATACGCATTCCCTCTTCTCGCCACCATTCTTAAACAGGGCGGGATACAATATGAAGACGAGGACGAAAGTCTCGAGCAACTCGCTCTAACGATCGAGATCGTCAAGTTCCACTGTGGAGAATGTCAGTTACTTTTCTGGCCCTGATTTACTGAACGCCAATAGTTTCTGGCAGTCACTGATGCCGCATTCCCTCGTAAACAGACTATCGAAGCTCTCTTGGCTGCTTTGCGCCAACAACTAAAGCTTGCCAAGGAAGCTAGTTCTGCCCTCGTTGAACTAGGAGAGGCAGCACATGCGAATGCTTCCCGAGATGAGATTCAAATTTTGTTGCAAGGTACATTAGCCCAAGAAGCACACGTCCGAACTGCCTGTCTTCAGACCCTTCAGGTAGTTATATAATAACGATAGGATCATTTAACACTGATATCTTCTGCAGCCCTTCGATCTTACCGACTTGGATTGGAGTCCAGAGCTCTGGGCCGCATGTCATGATGAAGACGAACAAAATACACGACTTGCGCGCCATATTTGGGACGACAACGGTCTTGACATACCAGAGTCCTTCCTGCCAGAGCTTCTTGCTATGTTGGGTATGTGTGTCATGTGACAAATTACCCGATTCATTCATACTTGCATCCAGGTCATGATAATGTCTATGTTCGTCGTGCAGCAGCCCCTTCAATTGCTGAAGCGGTACAACAATGGCCTCAAATCCTTCATACCACTCTTATTATTCTCGAAGACTACTATCGTAGCAAGGCTAAAATTTTGGCGCCAGAGTTTGACGAATTTGTGAGTGAGCTTCTAATTTTTTGGATGATGAAAGGACTGAAATGAATTGAGGGCATGGTCATTGCAGCCACATTGGATCGCTCGGACCCTTGGCAGGCTCGAGCTGCATCATCCGCTGTGTTCGAGTTACTTGCACCACTACTCTCGGAGGAAGAAGTCGAACCATTTTTCGTCTTCTTAGTCCAAGACGAAGCTTTGGGTGACAGAGCTGCCGAGGTCCGCCAAGGCATGCTTTCCGCTGGTACAGTTATCATCGATCTGCATGGCGCAAGCTGCCTTTCAGTCCTGATTTCGATGTTTGAAGCTCATCTAGCCCAGCCGAGCCCAGCAACCGAAACTGGCGACCAGATTAAAGAAGCTGTAGTAATCTTATTTGGTCGGCTCGCTCGTCATTTGGATGCTACGGACCTTCGAGTCCCGTCTATAGTCGACAGATTGATCGAAGCACTTGAGACCCCTTCAGAACAGGTCCAGATAGCGGTTTCGGACTGCTTGTCGCCTTTGGTCAAACTCATGGGCGACAAGTTGGCCCCGCTTGTCGACAAGCTCATGACTGAGCTCTTTGATGCTCCTAAATATGCTGCTCGACGTGGTGCTGCTTACGGTCTGGCTGGTGTGTTGAAGGGCACTGGAATTGCAGGCATGAAGCAATTTGACATCATACGGCGTCTCCGACTGGCGTCCGAAGACAAAAAACGCTACGAGTCACGCCAAGGGACCATGTTCGCCTTTGAAACCTTGTCAACAACTCTCGGACGGCCATTTGAGCCTTACATCACATACGTGTTGCCATTGTTGTTGGCTTCCTTCGGAGACTCCACCAACGATGTTAGAGAAGCAACTCAAGACGCTGCTCGCATCATCATGGCAAACATGTCCGGATATGGCGTGAAACTCATCCTGCCTTCTCTTCTGTCCGGTCTCGACGAAAAACAGTGGCGTTCAAAGAAGGGTTCAATTGAGCTCCTTGGTATGATGGCGTACTGCTCGCCACGACAACTATCTCTCTCTCTTCCCATTGTCATTCCTCGGCTAACCGGTGTCCTGACCGATTCTCATGCTCAAGTTCGTGCGGCCGCGAACAAAAGCTTGAAACAATTTGGTGAAGTCATCACCAACCCTGAAATCCAATCACTGGTCCCTATTCTGCTCAAAGCACTCGTGGATCCAGGCAAAACGCCTAATGCACTCTCCTCACTCCTTAAAACGTCCTTCATGCATTATATAGACCATTCGTCACTCGCTTTGGTTTGTAACGAACATTTGGGACACATCTTTTCGCGCTCACGTGATCTAGGTTGTTCCGATCATTGAACGAGGTCTCCGCGAACGAGGAGCCGATACGAAAAAGAAGGCTGCCCAGATTGTCGGAAATCTGGCGTCACTGACGGACCCGAAGGACTTTGTGCCTTATCTCTCAAAACTACTTCCAATGGTTCACCAGGTCCTTGTTGATCCTGTTCCCGAAGCCCGTGCGACTGCGGCCAAAGCGCTCGGTACTCTTGTGGAACGGCTGGGTGAAATTCACTTCCCTGATCTGGTTCCTGGCCTTTTGAGGACATTGAAAACGGACACATCGGGTGTCGATCGACAAGGCGCCGCTCAAGGATTGAGTGAAGTACTCTCTGGTCTCGGTATGGAGAGACTCGAGGGATTACTTCCTGATATTCTTGCAAATGCTCAATCACCTAGGCCAACTGTCCGTGAAGGCTTTATGTCGCTACTTGTTTTCTTGCCCGCGACATTTGGATCCCGCTTCCAACCACATCTTCCCAAAATCATCACCCCTATTCTCAGTGGTCTGGCCGACGTGGAAGAGTATGTTCGCGAGGCAGCCATGCGCGCTGGGCGCATGGTTGTCACAAATTATTCATCAAAAGCCATTGATCTCCTCCTGCCTGAACTGGAACATGGCATGTTCGATTCTTCATGGCGTATCCGGGTAAGCTCAATCAAACTACTATTCAAAAACCAATGTTCACAATGTGTAATAGCAATCGTCGATCACCCTCGTAGGGGAGCTTCTTTTCAAGGTATCGGGCATTTCGGGGAAAACATCGGACCTCGATGAAGACGAGACAGCGGAAGTAGTGGTCTCGGAGTCCTCTAAACGCGCCCTTGTTGAAGTTCTTGGGACGGAGCGACGCGACCGCATTCTTGCTTCTCTTTACCTTGTTCGTCAAGATGGTGTCGGCGTCGTGCGAACCACTTCCATCCAGATTTGGAAAGCGCTCGTCAATAACACACCGCGGACAGGTCTGTTCAACGCATTTTTGACTTCGCGTGTTTGACATATGTTTTCAGTTCGTGAAATTCTACCTGAGCTCGTTCGCCAGATCCTGTTCCTCATTTCCAGCAATGAGTTCGAGCAGCAGGAGGTTAGATGACTACACGGAGGTCCATAGCCAAGCTAAACATTATTACAGACAACGGGGAGGACCATCGGAGAACTGTGCCGCAAATTTGGAGACCGTGTACTCTCAGAGATGGTTGCTATTCTCCGAACCAATTCGACATCTCAGGACTCAAGGACGCGTGAAGGGGTTTGCTTAATGCTGAGCGAGATTATGTATGCCTTCCTATCTTGGATTATTGCAGGGTTCACGATTTTCAGGGAAAACTCGACGGAATCACAACGTGAAGGCCACGATGATGACATAATCGCCATAGTCCGGGGAGCCTTAGTGGATGATGAATCGAACGTCAGGACAGCAGCTGCGAGGGCATTTGATATTCTACAAGAACATATCGGTCCTAAAGCTATCGACCAAACGATCCCAACCCTTCTTGATGCTCTGCGTCAGCCTGGTAAGAGCTCGGGCACCGCTCTAAAAGCTCTACGGGAAGTCATGAGTGTGCGTGTTTCTTTCCACACCGTGAAGTTTATATTGACCTCACTTTGCAACAGGTTCGGGCATCGACAGTATTCCCTGTGCTCATTCCAACACTGACCGCGACGCCCATGACAGCATTCAATGCTCGCGCACTGGCCACATTGGTCACCGTGGCTGGCACGGCACTGAGCAGGCGATTGACCACGATTATGACTGCACTCGTTAGGGTTCTTGAAGATACTCAAGATGAAGAGCTTCAAGGCGCGGTCGACGAAGCAGTCCGAGCCCTCTTGGCCTCCGTTTCTGATGCGGAAGGTCTTAATACCCTGATGTTATTATTACTGGGATGGTAAGTCTTGAAATACTACTGGAGTAATTCGTAATTCTGATTGTCAGGGCGAAACACGATTCTCCGAGACGGCGGGTCAGCGCTTGTGACCTTTTCGCGATTTTCTGTGAGGAGTCGACAGAAGATTCGTCGCTCTATCGAGTGGACTGGATCCGACAATTGGTTTCTTTGTTGGAAGACCAGCAAGTACCAGTCCATACTGCGGCATGGACAGCTCTTGATGTATTCGTCAAATCACTACCCAAGGACGAGTTAGAGCCTTTAGTTGTCCCCCTACGACGAAGTATCGAATCAACAGGTGGTCCTGGTCACCATGTACCAGGTTTCGGTCTGCCCAAGGGTATCGCTCCAACGGTACCCATTATCATCGCGGGCTTAACCACCGGAAGCAACGAGCAACGCGAACAGGCGGCATACGCCATCGGAGACCTTGTGGAACGAACAGAAGAGAATGCTATCAAGGCTTATGTGGTCCCTTTCACCGGACCGCTCATCCGAGTCGCTACCCAAGCAGCCACTTATCCGCCACCGGTCAAGACAGCGATCCTTGTTGCTCTCACCACGATGTTGGAGCGCATACCTGTCTTCGTCAAGCCATTCTTCCCTCAATTACAACGGACTTTCGTCAAAAGCGCCAGCGACCCTGCTAGTGTGGTGGTGCGGACAAAAGCGGCGCAAGCTCTTGGTGCCCTGATGCGCAATCAACCACGAGTCGATCCTGTCGTCACAGAGTTGATCACAGGCATTGGGTCCAATGACGATACTCTGGGCAGCAGTTTGATCCTAGCCTTGAGTCACGTGGTCAGAAATGCATCACAACATATAGGAGAAAAAGCGAGAGATTCTTGCGTTGAGCTTGCCAATGAAGCATTTCGAGAGACTCATGATGGTGAGAAGCTTTGCCACCATGACCGAAACCAGCTAACGTCGATAGAAACGTATACCCGTGCTATTGGTGATCTAATCAAGTCGCTTTCCGTCTTCCCCAATCTTCTTCGGCCACTCGTAGAGTATGTAATCTTTATGCATCAACTCTCTTCTGGTGCTCACAAGCGAACCAGAGCACATCTCGTTGGTGGAACACCCCCTTCCATCATTGCTTCGCAAACAATTCTAGCGGTCGTGACTCCAGATCAAGACGCAGAGACGCCAGAGTTAAATCTGTTCCAAAAGCTGTCACTGATGCCCGCGGTCATGCAGAAGATTAAAGAGAGTCTTGGAAGTGATAAGCCGTTCATCACCCGGCCTGCGCGAGAGGCTCGGGATGTTTTGAGGACGTTGGAGGAGCAGGGCGTACTATGACGTGTCGCACCCTTATAAGTAGATTGCGGAAGAATGTCGAAAATTTCCTTATGAGGCTTGGAGCGTTCTTTTGCTTGTGTTTGTTTGGCCTTCACGTGCCCATTTCCATGTTTCGCCATTCACGACTGGCTCAGTCGCTCCGCCCAGGCTTTGCACGACATGCGTCAACTCGAGCACCATCTCCTTCTTCTCCCATTAGAAATGGGGTTTATGGCACAGTCTTAGTTGTGTCTGCCGGTCTTTTCACGATTTACTACTTGGACGCGCGCTCTGCGATACACCGTTACGTTTTCACTCCCCTGCTACGCAATGCATTCGACGCGGAAACTGGTCACAAATTAGCCGTCAGGATACTCAAAACTGGGCTGGCTCCGAGGGACCCGGTGGTGGATGATGCTCGTCTGAAATCGTCAGTAAGTTTTCCCCCCCGGGTGACGCGACAAAAGCATGACATAATAGCTTTGGGACTGTGAGTTCTCGAATCCGGTGGGGTTGGCGGCAGGTTTTGACAAGAACGGAGAGGCGATAGACGGTGAGCACATCATTCTCTACGGGATGAGCATATGGTGATGCTGGCCAGGGTTATTTAACCTGGGCTTCAGTTGGGTCGAAATCGGGAGTGTAACACCTAAACCCCAGGTGCGCGATATGTCTGATCCACTTTTCCTTACTCAGACGTTATGGACAGTCGGGAAACCCACAACCCCGCGTCTTCCATCTTCCAGACGACCTGGCGCTTATAAACCGCTATGGATTTCCCTCAGAGGGTCACGCCGCTGTGTTGTCTCGACTTCGCGCGAGAATACCGCGTTTCTCTGACGACTCATCCTCCGCTTCGTTCCGCCCTGGTTCAGTGCTTGCCGTCAACCTTGGGAAAAACAAGGAATCACACCCAGACTCGATTGAAGATTTCGTTGCGGGAGTGAAAATGTTTGGAGAGTACTCGGACGTTCTGGTCATCAATGTATCGAGTCCAAATACTCCTGGCTTGCGGTATGTCCTGGAATAACCCTTTCCGCTATCTTCTGAGCGTATCAGAGGTCTCCAGAATCGGCAGGCACTTGAGAATTTGCTGGCTGGCGTGATAGAAGCGCGAGAGCAGATTAGTACGAGGAAACCAAAACTCGTTCTCAAGATCGCGCCGGACCTAACAGAGAGTCAACTGGTCGAAATGGCAAGCGTGATCGCGAGCAAGGCCATTGACGCAGTGATCGTGAGCAACACCACAACCCAGCGGCCTGCGAGTCTGGGAGATCGTGCGTTTTGGCCGTTATAAACCTTTTTTTTTCAACATTATTGACACGACTTAGTGAACAAGTCTGAAATAGGCGGCTTGTCTGGCGCCCCGTTGAAGCCTTACTCACTTGCGGCGCTCAAGACTCTCCGCCAGAATTTACCCGCTACTATTCCTCTCATTGGATGCGGCGGAATTTCGACTGGGGCTGACGCATTAGAATACGCCAGGGCCGGTGCCTCACTTATCCAGGTTTACACTGGATTTGGCTATGATGGGGTGGGAACTTGTCGACGAATTAAAGATGAGCTTGCGGGAGAGTTAGAGAAGCAAGGGACAACTTGGTCGGAGGTGGTGCAAAAGGCAGTGTCAGAGTTGAGTTTACAAGAGACACAGAAAGCGGCAGATGGAACGAGTAGGATTAAAGAGCTCATTGCAGAGGCAGAGGAGCTTAGGAGGATGTTAGATCGACTTGGAGAGTCGACACATTTAGAAATAGCATAACACGGCTGACTAATTGGTGTCGATCGCTTGGGTACAATTCTGGCGGCTACCGCCATGGCCACTCTTGTAGGGCCGTCCCCTTCTATCCTGGATTCCCCAAACAACTTCGCCTACCGGCGGTGTGGGCAGGAGCTGCACATCTTGGACTCAAATACTGGTATAACGAATGATCGCCTCGACTCTCTGCATGGTTGACGGTTTGCAAGGACATGAATTGAGCAAGCATTCGGACCTATGGTTTCAAGATGGGTCTGTCATCTGCCAGGTTGGTAGCACCTACAGTTGCGAGTAATCGACGGCTGATCGTGCTTCACAGGCAGAAACTACTTTGTTCAAAGTTCACTACTCGCAACTTTCGCGTCACTCCGTTCTCTTCAGAGATGTGTTTACGCTGCCTCAGCCACCCCGCTCCCGGGAGCGGGGTCAGCTGAGGGTTTCTGAAGATATCGTGGAAGACTGTGAAACTTGTCCATTAGTAGTTCTGCAGGATAAGGCTGACGGTGCGTATTAACGACACAACACCATTCGACCTTAGAAAACGTATAGACGTGGGCAACTTCATTGCCGCATTATACGACGGTCCAAACTTTGGGAATAATGGCCGTGAGGTGTGTTCCAGTTCAAACCAGTCAAGCAGCTTATTCAAAGTGTGTGTGCAAAGGACTTTGCTATTGTATCAGGTATTCTTCGGTTGTCCACCAAATTTCTCGTGGATTCGCTGCGGGAAAAAGCGCTCGCCCATTTATCCATTGCCTGGCCTTCAACACTGAAAGGTCTGGTTTGGTCTTACTCCAGAATGAGCGTGTTGCCGACCCGTTTCGCTCAGGCTGGGATCTGCGGGAGGATGTTGCCCGATCATTCGAGATGCAGACCTCAATGAACGGGGGCCACTTTTATCCTTCTCCCATCGTGTGTGCTGGTTAACTTTGGCCTGCCTTAATTTGACCTAATCTAGGCGGTCATCAACCTAGCTCGCGAAGTGACAGCACCCAGCCTTCTACCGGCAGCATTCTACGACTTGTGTCGATACACATTTTCTCAGATTTATGAGCCTTCTCAGGACGAACCACTTTACCAACCCTCAGACGCTCCGTCATTGTCTTCGGCGGACATGGCGCGTCTGGCCATCGGGAAAGAAGCAGCCCAATATGCTATCACCACTCTTATCCAATCTATGGGTGCCGCCCAGACTGCCCAAAGGCAGCAAGGACATTTTAGAAAGAACTCGACAGGGTTCATTTGCATGTCTGCGGCCGCGTGCCGAAAAGACTTTAGCGAACTGGTCAAATCTCCTTCCTTTTTACCCCATCGCATGCTGACCTTGGACAATGCATTCTTAGACACAGTTAGGTTAGTGCATCCACTACACAATTATTCCCAGCTAATCTTATCAGCCACCTCTCACTATCTATTCGATCGGGAACGAGGTCAGAGCGATCCTCTTTATGTCTCAGGTATGTCTTCCTCAGAGACAACAAACTTGGCCTTACTCACTTTGTTCTGCAGAGGAGATTGGCCAACTCAAGTCAGCTGAATTCTCCGAGTGCAAGGCGTGTGCACGCTCACTTGAAAGCTGGGCCTCTCGAGAGCGCAGCAAGATTTGGGCCATGATTAATGTCTGGTTTCGCTTAGAACAGCCGGTTGAAGTGCCTCCAACCACAACCTCATGAGGCACAATAGCCTCGTATACTCACTGACTATTGGCGATACCAGTTTGTAATATCTAATCTTTGTTTGTACAGTTTTAAGAATACAAGAATTGCTATCGATACAATCAAGAAAGTCCGGTCATTCCACCAGCTACCCCAGTAGCAGCAATTCGGGCTTGAATGTCAGCTTTGGAGTCACATGCTATACTCGTTCCCGGCTTGTTTACAAGCGGAAGCGCAGCACAAACAAGACCACCAGCGCAAGGTGTCGTCACCAAAAGAGCCTGCCACACACTGAGCGAATGCGTCGCCAATGCAAGCTTGCTCTCCATCAGAGCATGAGGCTGAAACGTCGAGAGTGGCAAATTGAGCGTTCAATCTCTGGGCGTCTAGGCCATTCTGCAAGCGGAAATCACTGGAGCTCGCCATTGGAGATGAAGCAGCAACGGAAGAGGTGGAAGACTCTGAGCCATCTATTCCTCCAGTCGCACCTGTTTGGTCGATACGGTTTTTGATGTCGTCTGGGGCGTCGCAGGTCACAAATGTGCCTGGTTCGGTAAGAGAGGGGAGGGCAGCACAAACAGTGCCTGTGGAACAAGGGAAAACAACAAAGCTGCCGTTGAGGCAAAGGCCAGTAGCCGTCCCAATGCAAGCTCTTTCATCGTCACTGCACGGCGAATCTGCGGTGAGCGATGCAAATTTAGTGTTGAGCTTCTGAGAATCCAGACCATTCTGGAGAAGGAAGTCGGAGGTAGAGTTGGCCACAGGACTGCTGGTCGTTGTTGGTGTTGGGTCAGACCCATCAACACCACCAGTTGCTCCAGTTTGCGCAATGCGATCAGCAACGTCGCTGGCTGTATCACAAGTGATGCTTGTCCCAGCTTTATTCACAAGTGGCAACGCAGCACAAATAGTACCACCAGAGCAAGGTGACAATTGGAAGTTTCCCGCCACACATTGAGCAAAAGAAACTCCAATACAAGCTTGCTCTCCATCGGTGCATTCAGTTGAATTCGTGAGGGTCTTGAATTTAGCATTAAGTTTCTGGGCGTCGAGGCCGTTTTGGAGACGGAAGTCGCGCGAGAGGAGAGGCGCGCTATGTGCCATCAAGGCGGCGGAGAAAATGACGAGGGGGATCATTATGAATAGAGAGAGGATGTATGTCGTAGTGGGGAAGAGAGAAAAGCAGTATTGGTGGACTCTTCAAATTGCTCATTGTTATATGTTCCTTTGAAGAACAATGGCCACTTGAGATTACGGCACCTCTACAATAAGCAACGTCAAAGTCTAGCTAACTTAAGAAAGCACCTTCTGCTTGGAGTTTATGCACCTTGAAGCCTACAAGTTCGACGTTCGTTCCAAGTTTGTTCAAAGGGTTGAGATCGCTGATGCGATCAGCTCACGTGAGAGTTTACCTTTCTTTCAAACGATCACCGTCGAATCTGCTTTCGATTCTAATGATTGAATATTCCGCGCAGTCAGACTCGGCGGTCGATTTTCTGGACAACTTCGGATTCTGACTCTGAATCTCTTGGCATCCGGGTCATTCTAGGTGACGGTCCGTCCGGAGCCGCCTTCGAGCTCCCAAAAATACGACGTTCAACCGTGGCCTAATAGAGTGATTATGCAAACCAATGTCGGAAATTTTCTTGGCGCAAAACTCGAGACCTCGTCGTGCTGTCTGTGACGGACCGGATTCATGCCGCAAGTCGAGTATAAAAGCTACCCCAAGCCAGGTCAATGTACCTCACAAGCAGTTTGTCTAATCAGCCATGCTTAACCAGCTCTTCACTGTTGTGTTTCTAGCCACCGCCGTTCTTGCTACACCGTGCGTAACTTGGAGCATTTTTTATGGATCTGTTAACATGTCTTCCTAGCATTGCAAACGGCACCTTCGTTGAGAAACGCTCGGCCACCAACGTATGGCCCACAGCGCCGACCACCAGTAGTCTCAGCAGCGCAAAAAGAATTGCTGCTGGTACTACTTTCACTCCCAGCGCTGCATATACCAGGTTTGTGTTGTGCTTCAGCTGTCTTGCTCCCCATCTTATCCTCTGAACTAGGTTTGACCGAGGATCTGGCGCTTGCAAAGGCCAAAATGAAGGCGTATGTTTATGTCCCGTCACTTCAAAACGCTTGACTCAGTCGGTCTCTAGGGCGACTCAGATGCCGTTTTCCTGCTCGAAGAAGGTGCTACTTTAAGCCGTGTCATTATTGGCGCCAACCAGGCTGAGGGCGTACACTGTCTTGGTGCGTCGCTGATCTTCAATGGGCATCACGTCTCATTATGATGTCAGGCTCCTGCACTTTGGATCACGTGTATTTTGAGGTCAGTTTGATTTTGGAGACATACCTCACTACGATTCACAGCTTTGAACCAGGATGTGTGCGAAGATGCGATCACAATCAAACAAACCAGCTCTTGTGAGTGGACAGGCCACTGCGTTAGAACCACGGCCCTGATTTGCATCGACAGCCGCTGTTTCTCGTATCAACTACGGAGGCGTGAGTTTCGATTTCAGACCATTTTCAAGTTCCCAGTATTGATTTTTTCTAGGCCAAGGTACCTTGATTCAGCAACAACTCACAGCCTTACTGATGCTCCTGCTCATAGAACGCAGATGACAAGAGTGCGTCTGATCCCTCTGGCTTTGAAACAGTGCATTGATATTTCGTCTAGTCGTTCAGCACAATGGTCAGTGTCACGATGGTTGCTTCATTAAAATTCGGCTGAACACATGGTATACAGGTGCAGGAACGGTTATCATCAACTCGGTATGCAGTCGAGAAGCTCAGAGTGATTGTCAGCATAACCTTTTGTCAGTTCTACGCGGAAAAATTCGGCAAACTCTATCGCAGGTTAGCAGCATCTGGTACTCAGTCATCATGGAATACTTAAGATGTTACTCTCTAGCTGCGGCAACTGCAAGACTCAGTACACGCGCCACGTTGAGATCAACGACGTTTGGGCCGTCTCCGTCAGTGCTAATGTGCGCTGCAATATCAGGCATTGATTCTTTTGGACACAGGGAAGCACCCTCGCTGGAATTAACACGTATGTCAACTCAGCTTTCGTATCACCAGCAAAGTCTCAAAGCTGACGCAGGAACTATGGGGACACGGCCAAGATCAGGACGACCAAAATTAGCGGACTGTCCGTGAACAACGCGTGCACCAAGTATACGGGCAACAATAGCGGGGCAGAACCAACCAAGACGGGATCTGGGCCAGACAGCCAGGTGAGTTTTCAAGTCCCCAAAGAAATTCTGTGTTTATGAACGTGTTCCAGTATTGCTTGTACAGCTCATCCGATATTACCACGGCATAAGTCTCCACTAAAATGATGTTGTACAAAAATGTGACGCGATTTTGCAATGGAAACTTTATCCAGTGAAAGCCCCAGAAAAAGAAGATTCTAGTTAAGTCAGGATCTATGGATGGACGCGAAGGTTAAACGTAAGAGAACGTCACACCGTGACATTCTCCACCATTCTCTTTCCCTGCTGAGTTATTCCAACCTGAACGTTCCCTACCTCCCCCTGTCATTTCCTCGCCATCACCATTCCCTTCTCCCGCTCTGACTTGATCGCTTAAAAAGTACGTTTCCCAACAGTTCGAAAAACCCCTACGAGATGAGATTCCGAGATATTTGCACGTCAGTCGGACTGGTGGGCCTTGTGCTCGCTGGAGAGGACGCTATTTTCGCTTTCACTGAACCAATTCGCTTGTGTACGCTGGCAATACGTGTATCTAACCAACCTTTGTAGGAGCGACGCTCTGAAAGAGAAGAGACACGGGAAAATTGTAACATAGTTGGATGTCTTCGGGGACTCCGCCAACCCCTTCTAATGGCGGCCCAGCCGTACCTTTAGTCCCTACCAACACTGTAACAACTGCCTCTGGGCTGACTGTACGCACGCGTATCGATCCAGTCCTCACAGTTGATGACGTTGTGCGACAACTTTGCGTCAACCTTAAACTCAAAGACCAGCCTTCCAACTTTGCCCTCCGAGATGAGACCGACGAGTTGGTCACGAACGACAACCTGAGAAGAAAGATTAGGGCCAAGGTCAATCTCAAGTGCGTTTGCTTGATAATCTACTCTATTTCATTTTTTATTCAACTTTTCGTAGACTGGTTAATGCACCTTCACGAGAGGCCATGGAGACTGCAGAGAAACTCCGCCTCCGCGACGACACGAATGCTCTCAAGATGACACTTTTTACGCTCCAGAAGTACATTCGGGCAAGTCGCTTGCTCGAGCCGGTTTTCGCGGCCACTAACGTGGCGGACTGCAGGAGGAGCAATTTGCGCAGTCGTTTATAAACTGCTCTGGTCTTTCCGATCTCATTGACGTTATATTTGGTGCTCATGGAAATACCCTTGCTGTTCGTGTTTTCATTTCAAGGCCTCAAGATTCCATTTCTTACCAACATATCCAGTACGCGTTAACGGCAATGCAAAACTTGATGGAGTTGGACTATGGCTGGTCTTCCCTAGACGACGCTTTCATCTTCCAAGTGGTCCAAATTCTTTCGTCCCCCCAGTCGCTCATCAATGTATGTCGGCCAGCAACTGCCATACTCAAGAAATTAGTTGAGGCGGATCCCATGACCGCTCCTGGGCTTCAGATTGCTGGTTCGAGTCGTGGGACTTCTGTTCTCCCGCCTGGCTCTGTTTATCGCTATGGGTTCTCTGTCGTATTCGAACAAATGCGGAAAGGTCGAGGCTTTTTGGAAACAGTGATTAGTCGACTAGGCAGTGCCGATACCGCCATGGCACAATATAGGTATGCAGTACCTTCTCCTTGTCGCTGTTTCACGTTGAATCGCCTCCAGCATGATGTTGATAAATTCACTTCTTTCTCATGCAAGTGACACCCGGTGGGAGGAGTTTATAGCAGAACTTGAGCGACTCAATGTCCGGAAAGCCGTCGTGGTGCGACTTGCTTTATTTACCTCGCTGCATTCACCAACCCCTTCAATAGCGTTTGATGTCGTCTCATACCATCGAGGACCTGACGTCATGCATCCTGGACTTCCAAGCCAACTTTATTCGTGTTATACATAGAAAGAAGACCACCCCTGTCGATCTCGAAGCAGAGCCTTCTCATGTTGTTGCACTGAAGGGTATCTGGACCAGTAGCCAGCTTTCAGAGCAGACCGACGAGAATGGTCAGCTACTCAAGTGGAGGTTATTAGGCTTGGGCTCCGAAAACATTGAGGAGGAGTTCAGCGACGTTGGCATGCTGGGTTTGGAGTGCTTGGTATGTCCTTGGCCGACTCGTATCTGTTCTAACCAACACTTACAGCGGAAATTCATCGAAGGAGATCCAGACTTCCCCAAGGTGAGAAGAATAGCAGGTTTCTTGAACTCCCTGAATCAAACCCTCCCGCAGATCATCCAAGAGCAACTGAGTAGGCCACTTGCGCGGCGGTGTCCGGTAGCCAGAGCATCGAACGAGGTCGTGGAAATCCTTTCGGAGCACTGGGCCATTTTCGCCCCTGGATGTACGTTTATATCTCATCCTCCGTTGCTCGACATACTCAAGTCGCTCTGTAGACTCGACATCAACAACTTTCCAGCCATTCTTCCTTGATTTCTACAGGGTCCACTCCCTCGCGACCCATTTCTTCGTTCGAATGTGGAGCGAAAGCGGGGCCTCCACTGATGACTTCGCGAGAGTGGCCGCTCTCGTTCGTAGCCAGTTTGTGTTTCCTTAACTCTGTGTCTCCGTGGCCTGATCTCCAACAGAACGAAAGTCTCGCTACGAATGGAGAATGTTCGACCTTGGCATGAAGTTGAACACGATTTCAATGCGTGCGAGTATCGCACCGTCCGGGAACGACAAATGAAGGAGTTGGAGGTGGAAGACGATCTGCTCAGCAAGATTCCTATACGGTGGGTCAATGCTGATTTTTTTGCCCCCCTGTGGGTTCCTAACTTGCCGCTCAAGAAATCTCCGTGCCAAACTTTATAAGGAGTCGTATGAGTTTGTGCGACAGCAACGAATACAATGTTTAATGCAAGGCGCCTGGTTTATCAACGCATTACCCGCAAACTCGACCAGTGCCAATCCACGGCGGCCTACTCGACCCTGGCGATTCCTTCGACTGGTGTGTCTTCTTTTTTTGTGTGTTCAAGTTCATCTAATATGGCCAGGACCCTGGAATGAAATATCTTCATTATGTGGACAGCTCAATCAAGTTTGCCATTCGCAGTGGACTGGAGGACCTGCCAGAACGCATTGAAGTTGCATCAATCAGTGAGATTGCGACCGGGTCATGTGCTGCTCCACCTCACGTGCTTCGTGAGAGTGATCTGCCACCGACATTCCCTCCAGTTGCATCACCGCTTTCCTTCTCACTGCTGAGCGCACATGAGGGCTCGATAGCAGATCAAATAGCGCCGGACCAATCTCGATGGGCGGACTGGACAGACGGACTGAACATGCTTAGGCGAGACGGTGGTCACGTATCGTCCAAGGAGACGGCTGGTTTTGTGCAGGCACTCACAGAGATTGGGTTGAAAATTAAACTGCTCGGTGCGTCATTTGGAGTGGTTTGGAAAAGACGTAGCTGACATAATGAACCATTAGATTTGTCCGGTGAGATGGTGGAAATACCCAGTGGGTTGGTTGCTGGACCACCCCCTTCCAATACGGATTTCTTTTTCTCTGATTTGGTGTAACTGCTTACTCTAGATTGATTGGCTCTCAAGTAATTGTACTACCTTGGATGTATCGAGAACAACTGCTGTGGACTAATTCCCTGTAATTCTAATTCACCTTTGTGCTCTACGCATCAGGTTTCGCCTTATCCTTCGTTTCTCGCCACCGAGGCCCTCGCCTTTGTCCCATTGCAAATAAGGTACTCGGGACTTTTCTATGCCAGCTACATCGCCCTCCTCCGTGCTTGTCCAGTCGAGCAAAGCCCAAACAGGAAGCTCGAGTTCGCCTTTGACAAGAACCCGACATCGAGGAATGAGATTCGGGGTAACTGGCGTGAGGACTTGTAGGTGTGACCCTGTCGGAGAGACAGCACGAATGACCGCAAGGCCATGGCAGATAGAAGTCGCTGGCGAAGGGAGCTCAGCCCCTTGCACATAAAGAACATCAGACGAGCGAGAGTCACATTCCACTAGGCCAACAATCGCGCCGTTGAGAACACGAGTGAGCTCTTCGGGTATGATGTCCTCGCTGCCTGGGCCACATAGTATGAACTGGTCAAATGCAGCGTTACAATCCACTTCATAAGGTCTTTGGCCGCACAGCGGAACCGTCGTGTTCCACCTCACACCAGTTGGATCAGTGAATTGGGCGTGGAAGTACGAGAGGAAGGCGATAGAACGGTGGTCTGCAGCGGTAAAATTCGATGTCAGGGACGACGGAGCTATGGGCTCTAAACAGTGGATATTTTCTGCTTCTGGAGACGCATTGGTATTGTTGTCCAGCTCGAACACATCGGTTGGCTGGACTAATTCTTCGATCCTTTGGGTTAGGTCTGCACCTAGTCCCTTGACCCAACCCATCGTGTTGACAATGAGGGGCACCATATCTGAGATTCGGTCGTCTTCGTCGTCTTCGTCATCGGCAATCAGAGTCATTACTTCGAGGCGGTACTTTTCAAGCAGCGACTGGATGGCCGCGAGGTAATGGGAAGGCAAATGTCTGGGGCTTGTAGCTCCAAGGTAATGGGCGAAACTGGGGATAGTTGGATGGGTAAAAGGAGGGCCTACAGACACCATAAGAACCATCGATGCAAGCACAGAAGCAGAGTCCTACCCAATACAGGCTGTTCCACGACATTCAAGGTAACTAAGCCTCCAGGAGTGAACTCTGATTGACCGAGATCACAATCGAGATAGGCAACCCTCTTGTAGCTGTGAAAGGATGAGGAAATCGATTGGTGGGTGGGAAAACCAACACACCGAGACAACAAGCGGTTCAATACAGCACGAGAGAAGGTGCTCTTGCCGACATTTTTGGCACCCTTCACGATGATTGTGCGCTCTTTTAGCTCGTGCAGCGCATCTAAAGCTTTCACCCACGTAGGAGGGAAGAATAGGGGCTGGATATCTTTGCTCGCATCCACAAGCTGTCAACAGCGTAAGAGTCGTCGGGCGCTGGTTTATTGTGCCGCACCATTTTGGCTCCCTTGACAAGTTCATGTTGGGGCCGAAGTCCGGAGTACAAACGAGGGGGAGAAAACACGCCCTCAAACACACGACAGACCTGGCCCAGCCTTTCGACGCCAGTCTGAAGGGCACTGATGACCAAGACAGCATCATTGGCGCCGGAAAATGCGGGCTGCAAACGTTCTGGGAGACTAATTTGGAGCAGAGAGGACGAGTTTAATGCCTCGATGACTGGGATTGGGGCACTACGCGGGGCGAAAACGCGATAGGATGTGGTTGAAGCCGTCAGAGAGGCGCCATATATTGAGACCGTTCCGCGCAACACGGTCAGCGAATAAACGCCTGCTAGCACCAGCTGCAGACCGGGAGACAGTGAAAGCAATACGCCAGACTGGAGGCCAAGCAGCCCCAGTTCTTCAGGCAACAGCTGGAAAGTGTTGATATCGGCTATTGGTGAAAAGGTAGAGAGTTTGTGCTGGGGAGGGGCCAGGGCGGGAGCTCGATAAGAGCTAGGTGGGATTGGCACATCGAGAATTTGGACTTCGTCGTCTGATGAGTCATTGACCTGTGCACTCGGTGAATATGCACGTTTTCCAGCGATGACAAGCTCCTGTGGATCCAAAGGGTCTTCGTTTTCGTCTTCTTCCCCAGAGTCCACGATGATGATATCTGCCGAGTCGATACCCTCCTCAAAATATCGTGCCTTCTTCTTTGCCTCTTTCTTCTTCTTTTTACGGGAAGAGTTTGGTGCTTGGGCGCTTAGCTTACGCTTTGAGCTTGGCTTGGACGGCTCTGAGGGTGAAGGTGGAGGTGGGGCAACGTTAGCATTATTAGCTGCCTGTGCCGCTTTGCGCGCGGCAAAAGCACTCAGCATTTTTTCAGGTTGTCACACCATCAAGTCACAAAGTACAGATTATCTTTTCTTTCGTTCGACTTGTACACTGTCAATGCATCCTAGACTGACTCAGATTATTGTAGTAAGGTCCCCAGTCTGATCCACTGCACAAATTCTTCTAAGCACGACATAACAGTCTGTTTAGGAGACTTACTGGTAACTCGCTGATATTGATGACCACGTTGTCTCTCTTGAGGAGTAATCGCTTTCACGACCATGGCCAGCATGATCCTGATAATATCCCACCTCTCCGCTTGAGTACCCACTCGAATAGTCGTCTTGAATACGACGGTGGCCAGAAAAACTGGATGTCACATGATCGTAAAAAGCCTCAGACACTGGGAAAAATGGCGCAAGACCATTGGAGGATATGAGATGATGGGAGGAGGCTGATGAACGGTGACTATTAGCCGGAGGTCCTTGAACAACAGGCGATTGCTGGCCGTCGTACCAATGATTGTGGGTTTCTCTGCGGTAATCTCGCACGTGTGAGTAGTTCAGGCGTTGAGAAGACGGGGGTGGTAGAGACGACGCTGATGATAACGGCGTCTCGGGAGAATTGTAATGAGGGTCTCGGAATGCGGGTGAATTACTACTGTAAGCCTCTCGAGGTGGCATTCGAGGCACGTAAACATCGGACCGATGAGAAGTCGCGGACAAAGGCGTTTCAAGATATGCCTGCTCATCGTTTCGCGAGATGTATCTGTCATGCGACTGGCCGTGGAACGAGCTTGACGAAGAAGACAAGGGAGGAGTGTTGTGAGGGAGAAACTGCGTGGTAATGGCAGGCACGTCAGAAGTCTGAAGCCGTCGTGGTCCTGGTATTTCCACTATAGGTCTTTTGATGGGCCGCAACTCTGGAGCAGCCTCTCTAATTTCAAAGATGGCATTCTTGGGCTGTTCAGCTCCTCGTTCACGTTTATTCGTGGGTTTGGGGAGTTCAGGCATCGTCAAACCCCGCCTCAAGTTGTGAAGGATGTCACAAAGTCGGCCAGCCGAATGCCACCTAAAGAAAAAAATGAGCACATTCATCTCCCTCATTTTTTGTATTCTTCACCGTTTCTCGCATTCGTGCAATCCTTGCAAACAACTGTCAACCCCGGCCATGTCCTTGGTAGCGTCGAGGACTGAGCCTGAACCATTCCTTTTGTTTGCCCATAAGTTGAGCAAGAGAAATAGGGCCGAGGAAAACATGGCGCTCTGGACCGAATGAGAAGGCGGTCGGTTGGATTACTCAACTCACCTGCATAAGCGGCATCGGCTTTCCGCCAGTTTGCTTCTGATAGTGTTCAAGAATCTGCACGCAGCTTCTGGCCGCATGTAAGCAGATCGCCAACGAAGGGGAATTAACCTTCGTGCTGACTTTGTCGGGTGGTGGAACATACGGCCGATGAACGAGCATCTTCAAATAGTAGTAACTCAGATGGAGGGCCACGCTTTGAGTCTCAAACACCGAAAACTCGCGTTGAGGGTTCCATTTCACTAAATAGAACGATTAGGGCTGATCTGCCGCTTGTAGAGGGCATACGATGGGGAGGAATGTCTTCCAGCCACTTGTCTAGTGTGGTGTCCAACTAGATTGTGTTCACTTTGAGAGATTTGGTAGTTAGAATGAGACATCATACCTCAACGACGATTCGCTGCTCCCAATCACTTTTTGTCCCGGTCGTCAGTCCGAATAGAACCTTTTGCTTGTTGATCGAGTACTGCGCCCTTGAGCAAGTCGGGTATTTCGGAGTTGTGTTACTTACGAGCGTACGGAGAGAGAAAGATGTGACTTGAGACAGCTGTAGCAAGCAGACGAATGCCGATATCATCGATGGCTTGCCCTCGGGTTGTTTAAAACCTTGGTCCCAGTATTGGTCATCACAGGGAATCGGATACTCCAAGTCCATGCTGGAAAACTAAGACAAATGGCGCAGTCGATGAAACGTCCTTACTCTTCATCTTGCATTGCACTAGGCCGACCGTAGTATGAGGAGGTTAGTCGATCGAAGTACATCAGAGCCCTTAAGACCTGATCAACTTGGCAGAAATACTTGATTATGGACTTACCAGAAAGCACGCTTCCACAACTCGTCTTCGGCAGTCCAGTGGTGGCCAGCATCCTTCTGTCGATGTGCCCCGACGTCTTGCGCTATTCTGATACCGAAGGATAGGTATGTCCATGAGGCATGTGGTGCAGTGGTCCCGTGAATGAACATAACGGCGAGCTGGATTGAGTCGGCCCGGAAAATTCTCAGAAAAAAGATAGCGTTTACTCACAGAAATCGACTGGAGATCATAGATTGACACAGGTGGCCCGAGAGGTTCACGGACAAGTTGGATCTGTTCAAACCAACGCCATCCACATGAGTGAAGCTTGGTTGTCCCGTCAAGAAGCACTCGTGGGTCTTCGCTGTATCGTGACCCGAGTGCACAGACAAGAAGATATGTCCCGGCAAAACCATCGTTGGTAAGGTGCAAACCACTTGATAGGTCCCTTTCGAATGTGGGTCGGTGGAGAACGGGGACAATCAAGTTTATATGTGCGAAGAAGAGCTCAACCAGTGATACTGCGAGATCTGGTGGGGGAAATGTGTACGTGGGTTGACGGGGTAATTCCGGAGACTGACAATAAGCAGTTAATCGCTTGTAGATGCTGTAGTGAGAGCGACCAACCGGCCTGGAGGCCCAGAATTCCTTATGGAGTCGCGCATTCTGGGGTTCCACGTCTTGTTTGACGTTGATTGCGGTCTGCAACAACATCGCGCCGCTGGAACGTCCAAAAAAGACATTGTCGGGGTGTGGACTGAGAGAGAGACGCTGGAGATTCTCAGTGAGGCTTAGATGGATTCTGTCGTCGTCTTCAGCGGGAGGGGGCGACTTCCAACTTGTGGTCTGAGCGAGATCAGCATCGGGAACCAACTGTTAGACGTACTCAGTGGAAAAAAGAGGTAGATAGGGTGGGGTTGTAAACATACGGTTTGCAGGAGTCTCTCTATTTTCTGAATCCGGGCTTCCATGTTGTCGATATAGCTAGTGGCCACATTATAAGGTTTGGCAAGGAAATGACGGAGGGAGACTGACCCCTTTGGCGGGCCGCGTTTCTGAGAGAGAGGAATATTTAGAGCAGGTTGTCGAGTAAGAAAAACGCGAAGACTTCACCTTAGCAGCCTCGACATAGGTGCAAGTATACCCATAAGCTACGCAAGAGGAGCAGTTGTGACTGGTCTTACTTGGACCGTCGCCTCATGACCATCAGTCTCGGCCGCCGTGAAAGGATACTGGAGTAGAAACCCTACCTACATTTTGTCTTTTTTCTTCGGCAAATGTCGCACGCTCTATTCACTCGTCTGCTACGCTTGAGAGCAGGTTCGTCGAATTCATCGTCGGACATGGAGGGTGAACAGGTAATTATGTACCCCCACGTGCAGATCAGCGGCCTTTCCCAATCTCGATCATCCAAAGAATACTAATTTAATCTTCACAAAATAATCAACTAGCTTCATACTGCACGGTCATAGAACCCGGCCACGGCACAGAAAACTTGGAGCTCCCATCCAAGTATGCGAAGCAGAGATCACGGCGAGAGCTGTCTTTGAATCTGTACCTTGGTGAGGAAAACCATTATTTAGGCACGAAAAGGCATACCTTTTCAGACTACCAGACTGTCCTGGCGCGCGTGTGATGCCCTTGTACGACAAAACAGTCTTGAGGACCTCTGACAGCACTCTCACAGTGAAGGCATCGCCAAGATTCTTGAACGCTCCGTCAGCGTAGAGATAGGACTCGGTCTTGCGGTCGGAGTCGACAGCCGTTGGGTTGGCATAACGCCCCCCCTAGCCACGGTTGTTAAAATAGGGCCACCAATACCGGAGACACTCACATCTCCGTAAACTGCGGCAACATCCAAGAAGAGGCGCGCATCCTTTGGGAAAGAGGTACCCCCCGCGCTGACATCAGAGGTTGCAGTTCCTTATGATTGTTTAGTCCAGTCTGGTATTGGCAATTGATAGGAACCCTTACGGTATACGCCACGGAAGGGAGGGTCCACCCCTGTGAAGCTTGGTGAGGAAGTATAAACAAATAATAAGGGTAGACACCAACGCAATGCTTCACGAATGAACCCGCTAATGTCCTGGCTAGTTTGGATCTTTTGTTGGTGTTCTGATCCAATATAAGCGTTGCATAGGTTGGTCAGGCCTAAAAAAGTTGAGGACGAAAAAAATCACTGAGCTTCAACCCACTGAGTGACAATTCAACGGAAGCGACCATGATTGCCAAGACCATATTCGCGACCTCTGCGCCTGGACGACCGAGATCACGCAGCCGCTTGACTATGTCATGCTGCTCTGTCTTCTTGTTTTTGAAGAGTGTTGCAACACTTCCAACTACAGAAAGCTACTTGTCTTAGTCACGCATTCCAGACAGGTTTGAACAACGTACTCGAGAAGTACCACCGATGTGATGCAATAGCTTCTCAACATGACTTTGCACTTGTGCTTCAACCACCTTAATCTTGGCCTTTTCGCTGTCCAGGAAGACGAAGGAATAAATGTCGCTGAGCATTGTGTACAGTTCGACAGCAGTGAAATCCCCGTGAGGATTGTCTTTCGTCTTGAGCTCAACTCCGGACTGTACACATTAGCCACGAGCACCCATTAATAAAGCAGGGTTGGACACACAATGTCAGCAGCCCAATAGATGGGCACAAGCCTGAGAACATCGCGGACGATGTCGACCACAGAAGTCTTGCCACCGACCAACTTGAATGACGACGAGGCAATCAGCTTGCTTGTTGTTTCACGGAAGAAAGTAGCAGCTTTGTTCAACAAATCCGAAGAACCAAACAGCTTGGTGAAGACTTCTTGCCGCTTTTCTTCGCTCTCGACGATGAAGAAGCCTTTGCCCTTGATAAATCTTGCCGAACGTGTGGCATATGTGGAGACGAATTTCGTGTTCTTGAGTACTTCTGCCACTGTCTCATAGTCGCTCACGATCTGCACAGGCCTTTCGTCTTTGGGACGTGCCATATCGTAACCATCGAGGAGGTGTAGTTTGGTTAGATTTGCCTTCATTGCCGTCGGCGTCATTAGAGGGAAAAATGCGTAAGTGCTGTTTTCGGTGAACCCATCTGGTAGGGTTCGTTGGAAGAGGCGTCCAAGAGTGCTTCCAAAGCCTGTTAATTTCATGAGCACAGTTCAATGCTAGTTGCAGGAGGGCGAACCGTATGCATCGGGATCACGTTGACAGTCCGCAAAGCCCCAGGCTGTGAGATTGAACGGCGTATAGTCGTAGGTGAAGTGCCGATCTGTGTAGATTTCAGAGGCATTTCGTGATGCAGGACTGAACAAGTACCCCCTCTGTATGTGTGATTAGTCAAGGAAGAGTAATTGGACAAACAATACGGACCTGGTGAGCGCAATTGCATCAGCGAGAATTGCACGACTGATTGTGTAGCCTTGCTGATGTCAGCTCGATGCGATCAAGAGATAAGATAACCGACCAGGGCACAACCCAGCTCCATCACCAAGTTCCTTCGTTTCTTCAGCCTGTGAAAGATGAGGGATGCCAACTATCAAGATAAAGCAAAAACCAACTTGAAGACCGACATAAAGCTCGAGGTATTCAATGTTGCCATATAGTTTCTCGGCGGCATCAGCTACCTCTGGATTTGGATTCCACTCGAGGAAGCTCGCGTAAGCTATATGAGTCTGTCAGTACAAGGGTAGCTAGCTGAGAAGTTTCTTACGTTTGAGCCCAAGATACTTTCGATGGATCAACAATGCAATCGGATACCACAAAAAACACGCACCCGTCTGAAATCGTTGAGACTGCAAACGCCCCATTGACGATTTTGTTCAATCCCCATTATCTCATGTAGCCGCATAGAGGCTGTTTTTCTCTTAGCCAGCTAATAGCCACAGTTTTTGTGCTGATTACTCACCTGGAGTACCACGAGCACGGAATGCAGCAGCAGGGTGGTCAGTGCTAATATCACGTGAGATGGACAAACATAACATTCAACCACTCACGCGTTCTTAAGGATACGACTGAGGTCTTCGTCTTTGAATGACCCATCTTCTTGTCTTCGGATACTGACAGGAAGTTTAGTCATCAAGCTTTCATAAGCTCAGTGATTGCATTCTCACTCTCCAAAAGTCCAGTGGTGGACGTCGGGGCGCTGCCTAGCCACCTTGATAGCTGCCGCCTAAACGCAAAATGTAAAACTTTGAATAAATTCATAAGGATTCCCGACCTTGAAGTCCTCACGCGTAACTTCCTCAGGTGCTTTGCCTTCGAATATCTGGTTGAACACCTTGTTCACCCATTTCTCGTCCTCGATGCTTGTTGTAGCATGCCATCGATAAAGGCAGTTGAACTGTTTCGAAGGTTAAGTGGTGATATCAGAAAGAAAGTGATGGACTCACTTCGACACTACAAACATTGCCCTGTCCACGATCGAACAGTGAATGTGCTTCGTCTCGGAATTCCTAGTAGGATTTAGCGTGGTTTGATATGGAACTATTGGAAGCGCTTACTCCAAAAGGATTCAGACTCCAGTTGCTACCCTGGCGTACCAAACCGAGAATAGACGAGAAATAATCCGAGAAAACCACGGATCCAAACCACCCACAGTTGACGAGACGCGCTGTCTGGAATAGCTGTTCGTCTTGAGCTGCAAGTTCCTTTTCGTTCAGAGTGCCAGGGTCCCTGTAAGAGTTTCGTTCGTTGATTTCGTATAGCCTTTGTGCGATATACTATCCCGAAATCAACTATAGGCAAGCGGGTAGCACTTGAGACGAGTAACGCACGTTATGGTTCCTGCTAAAAAGGACCAACAGGACACAGACAGCAGGAGGGAGGAGAAGAAGTCGGTCTTCGGCAAAAACATCTGGGTATAGTAGGCCGAGTCCAGCTTCGCGCTTGCGAACCGTGTCCTGCTCTGCTTGGCTAACACCGTACAAGGGAGAAAGATCGACATAAGAGGATGTGTCATTGATGTTGACGTCAGTGTGTGAAGTGCGGAAGACAGAATGAATGACGAGAGCGGCGAAACTGAACTAAGCAAGTGTCATTGAAGAACAGCGTTTGAAGGTAAGCACTCACCATTAAGGATGAAAGTCCTGCGGGATGCTCAACAAACTAGGGGCCGATTAGTTGTGAAAACAAGCAATGGTAGAATAACCCAACCCCCTCGCGTTTTAGAAGGCTAGAGGCATATGGTAAGGCTAAGACTTGTTTTGAACTAATGATCATACGCGTCAAAGAGTAATGAGGCATCGGGCAACTCATGCCTGGGTAATGGATGACTTTGTTGGACACTGCGGGCGTAAGGTGTGCCTGCCCGGCCCATATCGGGTGCATTGACATTGTTATTGCCTCCATCAGCGGTCCTCCAGGCGAAGTTGTTGCCAATATTGGTTGCGTGGGGGTGGGCAAGGTCATTGTAGACTGGAAAAACATGAGAATTCCGTGTCGAGTCAAAACCAGGCCATACAGAGCTCAATGATCTTATTTTGCAGCGTCGTCGCGAGTTTTTCGTTGGAAACCTTGGATACGAAGCTGATACCATGCTCGAGGGCTAGTTTTCGGTCGTCGATTTCATCGCGGTGCGAGACAGCGTCGACAACAGCAGACTGAAGTGTTGATTTATTATTATAGCTTGACAGGTAGCTGACAACAACACACGCACCAACGCCGATGTATGGACCGACTTGGCGCCTTTAGAAAGCTGGAAAAGCGTGGATAAGCTTGGTGGAGTTGGGTTGTGAACGCCAACTTGCCTGTTCGCTCAAACTCTGCAGAATCGTCGGGGTATCAGGAGGGTGGTTCCGAGTCGAGCCATTCGAGGGAGACTCTGTGACCGCGTGTTCTTTTCCGTTGGTGGCGGCTGCTGGTGAGGAAGTAGATGGTTGGCGCCGGAAAAAAAAAGAGGAGCGGCGATTCATGGTCGAGAAAAGGTTACAAGGCACTCAGGCGCGTCAACTGGCTTATATAGAAGCGAATTTTGGACACGAGAAGCGAAGAGCAAACGGAAAGAAGGCGCCGATGGCATATACCGTAATGGCATTTTAATTTATGGCGTTTCTTTCGGTCAAGACCAGCGTCCGGAATGCAAGGCGTGAGAGAAGGGGGCTTAAAAAGATGGCGCAAATCAGCTGAGAGTTAAGTCTCCACTCAACTCAATCAAAGCCGCACAGCTGGCGCATAGCCACAAGTAAGATTTTTTTTGTTTACAGTTTCCATTATCACGCCGCAACTGCAAGAGGTGGAACAGGGAAGTTGCTGCACAATTCGTCAAATAGACGCGATTTTTGCTCGACATCAACAACCAGAGGATGAGAGGGGTGCTCAGTGGAAAGACGGCTGAAGTGACGTTAGTATCTGGTTGCATGAAAGCCAGAATGCAAACGATCACGCACGTCCACAATTCGTCAGCTTCATTGCTTTTCTTCGCATCTATACCGGCTGCCACAACACATGCAGCCAATGTTTCTGCATCACCGCCCTTCTGTCGCTCCAACGACTCTTCCAAGTCGGACTTGGCGGCTGGAATTTCATTCCGGAGTATACGAGTCACGCCCCGGGCAGTGAGGATGTGGGTGGAGGAGAGAGACGGGTTGGCGAGTTGTTCAGTGTAGAATGAGTTTGCGTTGGAGTAGCCGTCTCGAGCAGCAACGAGGCCGATGGAAGACTCGATCAACTGAAGCAAGACATCGTCCTCTGCCCAATTCTTCGCCCGCTCAAATTCCTTCTTTGCTCTATCCGGGCGGTTTATGGACAAATAGATCTGCACAATGACAGCGACGCTATAGAAGCCCCAGATTGGTTAAAGAACATGCTTATTTCGAGGACCCACTCACGCTTCAAGGTCTTCAGTCTCGCTGCCCAGGGTTTCCAAAGCTTCTTCTATTTCTCCTGCACGCGCAAACGCCGTGCCAGCAATAACACGAACAGTCAGCTTGTCGTGTTCAGTACCCTCCACGTCGTCACCCTCAATCTCGACAGCAAGGTCGCGCAACTCTTCCAAAATAGGCTCCTGCTCTGACGATTCCGTCGCGGAAACATAACGAGCCAATGCCGAGACTGCTTTCAATGCGACATTTTCAGAGTTGGGCGGAAGAAGGGATATAGCGCCGGCAGGATCATTGAGAGCAATATGAGCACGAGCTTGGTAGACAAGGGTCGGAATATAGTCGGGGGACGATGAATCGGGAAGAGCACGGTTAATGAGGGTTTGGTATGCGGATAGAAAGAATGCAGTTTTCGTGTTGTAGAGGTCGGAGGAAGACATGTCGTCACGTGTAACTTCTCTCGATGCTTTCCACTACTCCTCCGGAAATCACAGCGTTCAGTAGCTCAGAGCTTGTAAAGAAAGCTCAGAATATTCTTGACTCGGAAGTGCTTCAACTACAAGAAGCTATATGCAATCTCAAGACTAAACGAAATGCACTTTCATCAAGTGAGTGCCAGATAACCAAGTGCTACTGAGCTTCAACAAGGAAGTAGTCAGCCGCCTACCACCGGAAGTCCTATCGCGTATCTTTATGTTCTGTGTCGTGCCCCATTCCTCCAACTGGATTGCTCAAGTCTCACATGTTACCCGCTATTGGCGTGCGACTTCGCTTGGTTGCCCACAACTCTGGGATTGTCCGCCCTTTATGCATCGACACCAGCTGGCCGAACTGATGCTAGCACGGTCTAAAACAGTCGTTTTCTCACTCTCGGTACCCTCTCCTGAGTAGTCGGAAACCCCCACTAAATGGCCACTAGGGAACAGTGGCCTCGATGACTGAACAACAGCGTCGCGTTTTCCTTCTTGCTCTATCTCAGCTATCGAGAATCGCGAATCTCTGCATAGATGAAGTTGAACCTCACTTCGTTACGAAGCACCTTGCCACTATCATCGGTGTGTAGGCTCTGATTGTGTCAGTTGGTTCTAATAAATAACACAACCTCAGAGCCTGCGCCGCAGCTTTCCTCCCTTGAATTATATGGCTCGACTTTTTATCCATTTTCGCCTGAGGTGAGATCTAGGTCGTATCAGTCTTTCTCTGTTAACTCCACGTCAGGAGTCCTATCTTCCCATAACCTTTTTGGCCGGCCAAACACCTCATCTCAAGACTTTGAGACTAGAAATTATCAGTCTTGATTGGGGCTCGACCATTGTGTCATCCAGTATTGTCCATATCAGCCTGAAGGACCTCCATTTGCAATACTCTTCCCTGGTGCAATTCATTCGCGCTCTTCGAAGAACACCGTCTCTTGAAACCCTCGAAATACAACATACGCTAAAAGACATTATATCTAGCGTTGACACCCTTGACGCTCCAAAAACTCGGATTTCCCTGCCAGCACTGAAGACATTGGCTGTCACCGGCGAAAAGACCGTCGCTGCCGCCTATCTTCTCAGTCATCTTATGCTTCCGCTGGGGACGAAGACCACCATTTCCTGCAAAGGCAATCAAGCCGACTCAAACCTGGCAATTATGTCCATCTTTCAAAGTTTATCGTCCACCGTTGGTCCCGACCACCTTAAATCGATTTCCCTCGTGGCCATGGATACGTATCTCGCTTTTCGTGCTTGGACGTCAGCTGAAATGCATGCCGGATCGATTGTTGACGTTACTATCTCGCCATCGAGACTAGGGGACACAGACAACTTTGTAATCGCAAGCAGTTCGCTGCCTTTACAAAGTCTTAGTGCCCTCCACGTTCATGGTGGCATGGAAACGGAAACATGGATTAGGGCCTTCGGTAACCTGAATGGTCTTGATTCAATCACACTTGAAGGTGAAGAGGGCAATGCTCGCTGGCAGTTTGGGCTTCTGGTTGCTGGCTGCGCTGGGTGAGGATAATAGCAAGCTAGGCGGTCTATCTTTTCCCAGTCTCCAAACTCTCACCATCGATTCGGTGCCCTTGCGTGGAGCACCAGACAACAGTTCCAGTTTTGACGCATTTGTGACCATGCTGATGGAAAGGTGCGAACGAAAACATAAAATAATAGCTTTAAGCTTCAAGGAATGCACGTTCCTCTACGAAAACGACGTAGAACGCTTGAAGGAAGTGGTGACCAATGTTGATTGGGATGGTTTCGACTGTTTCGAAGGGTCTGAAGCCGATGAGACTGACGAATCTGAGCATGAAGGATTCAGAAGATATCGTTGTGAGTCTTGCGGATATGAAACTTATAGAGGTTGATAGTTCTTGATACACCGACCGCTGCGTATTATAATTTATTACAGACTCTAGTTCAACGCGTTGGAGGAGGTGTGGCCACTGAAAGGCAAACGGCAAGTTATGCCACCATTTAATACAAACTGAAGACAAATTCCGTGTAAGTACAACTTTTTCCTATTCCAATACAACAAAGTCATGAAAGGTGGTCATTTCTGGGAGGATGAGCAAAGAGGCAGATGAATAGTGAGCTGACGCACAGTTTTGGGTAACTGGGGAATCAATTTCCTCTGCTTCTTCTTCTTCCAATCGCTGGTGTTCCAAACAATCTGCACGCAAATCGGCAGAGGACTTCTTCTTGTGAAGAGTACGGGTGCGAGGAGCTGTGGTTATACCCGAGTCTGCGTTTTCAGACGAGTCGGTTGGTAGAGAGACGTGATCCATCGTAGCGGACATAAGGTAGTCGTGAGGAGAGGTAGTGGGTAAAGTTGATTTTGTCCTGGCATCCTCTTTATATATGAGCCAAAGGAGTCACTTGACATCTCGGCCCTGCCATTGTTCTGCCCCTCCATTTTGGTGGGTCCAAGCGTAGGCTAGATCCAAGCACTGGCTAGATCCGATCGTGGCGGTGACCGGGATGTCGATTGGCCGACGCGTGACGTCACCCATTCCAACCGTTCATTCTCGCCACCATCGAGCCCCGTTCGAACGTATGTGTCCTTCAGCCACAATTTCTTTCTCGCTGAACCTATTTCTAGCATGCTCCGAAGCCCCATTCTGTCCTGCCTCACTCTTGCTGGTTTTCTGTACTGTTTGCGGTATTTCAATGGCTGGCATGTTTGCATTCTCGTTGCGGCTCTTGCCATTCTGGGCTTCAGCTTCGTTTGGTACTCGCCACCGCATGCAAATCTTGCCATGAACGCAGACTCCGCCCAGCTCGAAGATTCTGTTTTGCCTCTGGCTCTCACACTCTTGATCGTCTGGCAGAAGCAAGTGCTCGAGGAAGCAGCGAAACGCAAACGCACCACTCTTTGTCAGCCAGAGAGAGTAATTGAAGAACCACAAGCGCCACCGAGTCTGCTCCATCTCGCCGTGCTTGTTCTATGCATTGTCTTGTGTTCTCTTGCCACTGCCGTCCAATGCACACTTCAGACTCTCTTCGCCCTCATTCGTGTTCTCACTCTCCAAACCGACGTCCCAGAAGCAAACTTGGTTGAAGAGTCAGATACCACTCTTGTCGAAGGAGACATACCAGCAGCCAACTCCAACGACGATGTAGCCCTCAAACGCATGTTTGCAGAACTCTTCCCTGAATCACCGCTCGCCAGAACTGACCTCGAACAAGCGAAACCTCTGCCACTCCCCGATGTATATCGTAACGCTCCAACCATTGGGTCCCCTGCGGCCGCACACTAGCATTTCAACGAGCAGAATATTTTATTCGGATAACCTAGATTTGTAATACCATCATGTCACAGATTATAAGATCAATTTTCTTTTCTTGCGTCACGCTCAGCTGCTTTTCCTCCAACTCAATCGAATCGGTTCCTGTCGACGTGTCCCTTTCTGTTTTATGTCTCCTCTCTCTCGTACCTGGCCTATTTCTGCCCAAGCAGTGCTTACGCATCCACCCTGCATTGGTTCTGGTGATGGCCAAGAGTGTCGCTCCTCCGTGCGTCTAATCAACGCGCGGAAGGGCCCTTTTGAGAAATGACGGTCCTCGTTTACCGGTCGGTCATGGTTTTATTGGGTCCTACATCTCTCACTACAATGCTGTACCCCCTTCCATATTGCAATTCCATTCACTCTACACATGCTTTGCTCGTGAAAATGGCCCGACGTGGGGGGACGGGGGACTGGGAAGCTGCATCATGGCGAGGAAGTCGTACACTATGTCGGCGGCAGCAATGCCCGTGATGTCAGCGGAGTCGTAGGCCGGAGCGACTTCGACGATGTCTGCGCCGCTGGAAGAAGGGTTCATTGAGCGAGGTGAGTTGTTGGTTGGGTCTTACACAAAGTTGAGTCCTGATAAGCCACGAAGTATCCGCTTGACCTCGCGAACAGTCCACCCGCCAGGCTCAATGGTCCCTGTGGCCGGAGCGTAACCAGGATCTAAAAACAAAAGGTTGCGGGAAAGTGTCCTAGCAAAGAGGAAGTATACCAAGGACGTCAATATCGAGACTGATTTTGTTGTGAGCCAAAATGCACGACTTGGCAGACACTGACCTCAAATAGACAGGACTTTTCCCAATCCTCTTGCGAATCGTGTTTATCACTGCTGCAATTCCATAGTCGTCGATGTCTTCAGTGCTGATGACCTGGAATCCGACACTCTCATCGTGCTCTATGTCACTAAACCCCTTAAGTATATATGGGTCAGCCCCAGCAAAGCCCCGAAAGCCAACCACCTCACATTCATTTTGCAGCGGATACCAGCGTGGATAGAGGTGTTGGTCATCAACCCCTCCGCTGCTGCAACCGTGAAAAAGGTGCCGTGGGTGACGGGCTCATCGACAGAGAATGGAGGCCAGGTATCGAGGTGGGCGTCAAAATGGATGACGCTGAGCAAGTTGTGGTAAGACATGTGGGAATCAAACTCACACACATACCTAATCGGACCGTACACTTCATGCAATGCGCGTAGAATGGGTAGAACCTTGGGTGAATTGAATTTCAATCTGCCAACACGAAAACTTTCTTACAATCGTATGGTCGCCTCCCAGAGTCACCAGTCTCGGGTGCTCTTTCCCGTCCAGTGCAAACGCAGCGGTGCTTGGTTTATAAGCAGCCGATGTGCCTCCTTGAACAGGACGCGCAAGAAGGGTTGAATAGGCGGCCTCCATTTGGTCGAGGGCCTTGACATTGTCGTATGCTGATAAAGGAACCTTGAGACAAGCGTTAAATATGCTATCAATTTGGGGAAAATAGCCTAACATCTCCGCAGTCGAGTATTGCTGCCCCTTCTTCCTCTGGGCTGGTCCCCCATGCGAGTGTCGAGCGCGCAAGTCCCTGGCGCCGCGAGCCAGAACGAATAGCAAACGGGCCAAATCGAGCACCTGCAATCATGAATAGGCTAAGCAATCAGAGTAGCTACAAACCGGGACGATATGAGGTAGTCGTGTCGAAAGGAAAGCCCAGTAGCCCGATATCGAATCTGGCCAACCCATCGTCGAGACAGCGCGAGTAAGGCAAATGGGAGAAGCTGAGTGGCCCCGTATAGCCTAGGTCAACTTGGGGGCCAAATTTGCTTGTCCATGGCTCGGTGGAGACGTCAATCGGAATCCCCAGCGGCTCTTGCCCAGTGAAACGGGCATGAGCCCACCCAGCACGGAAAAGCAGCAGGACAAAGATGGCAGCCATTGACGAGAAAACCGCCGTCGTGTGTTTGTTTATCTGAATCAACCGATAAGACTCGCAAATTTCGTTCGCCGGGGCGGACCCTCTGCTTTGCAATGGCTTTGGCACGTTTCAAGCTCGTATTCTTCGTGCCCACCGCCAACACGCGAGCGGTGCTTGATCACCTATTTGAGAGGTTTCCAGACCATGTAGGCACCATGGGGAACTATAAGAAAGCTGCGTTTATCAGTCGCGGAACAGGTACTTATAAAACAGACAAGCCACAATCGAGACTGAAGAAGGGTAGGCCAGTTTCAGCCCACGGAAGGCGCTCAGCCCACCATTGGGACAGTCGGAGAGCTCGAGTTCGTAGAAGAAGACAGAGTTGAAGTGCTCGTCATCGACCAGATCCATAGCGTAGTCCAAGAACTCGTAAAAGTAAAGAATTTCATGCCTTTTTGCTGACAAACTCACTTCTTGTAGGTTCACCCCTACGAGGAAGTCGCCTACGATGTCTTTAGACTAGAGAACATTTGAGGCCACAAATTCGATTTCGTTCTAAATAATGTGTAGGGTAGATGGTATCCTTGTTTGTTTCTGTTTGGTCCGTCGGGGGGTGGTACAACAACGGGAGTAGGGTACAGGCCAGGCGATGGGGGAAGAAAGATCACGGCCAATCACAGATAGCTACAATTTCAACGCAGTGCTTCGACTTATTTACTTGGGCAGAATAGATGGTCGTGGAAAGGGAAGAAGAGAAAAGGAAAACTACTTGGGCTGCTTAGCGATGTCGCGAGCGGCCTTTATTAGAGGGGAAAGGGTGCGTAATGGTTCGCTCAGGGCAAAGAAAGGGTGTTGAAGAAGCTCGGTTGCGCTCGGTCGCTTCTCCGCATCGACTTCCAGAGTTTTTGCGAGGTAGTCGCTGAAGACTGCTGACAAACTTTCGGGGTTGGCAATTGTCGGTGTGCCGTTGGTTGCGATGAGGTACAAGGCTTTGAGTGGATTCTGGTTAAGGTAAGGCGGCTCTCCTTCGATCATTTCTGAAATGAAATCATTAGCAAAGGAATAAAAATAGAAAGCGTTCGCTACCAATAGCCATGATTCCCAGTGACCAGATGTCGACCTTGGGTCCATATTCTTTCCGTGTTACCACCTCTGGGGCCATCCAATACGGAGTTCCGACCATGGTTGTACGTTTCGCATGTGCTGGATCAGATATTTGCGCACAGAAGCCAAAGTCCGCTACAACAGCAGAGTCAGAAACTGAATCGAAGAATCACGGGAGTAACTGACTGAGCTTGATGTCGCCAACCATGCTGAGGAGAACATTATCGCTCTTGATGTCCCGATGGATGACTCCATGACGGTGGAGATGCTGGAGTCCCTGTGCAGTTTCACGCGATACGGCAGCGATCTGGCCTTCAGTCATGAGGTTGGCGGTAACAACGTCAGTGAGAGAGCCGCCCTCCATATACTCCATAACGACCCAGAGGTCATTCTTGTACAAGAAAGAGTCGATGTAGTTGACGATGTTAGGATGTCTAGAAGAGCGCATGACGAGAATCTCGTTGATAATGAGGTCCTTCTTAGGCTGCTTGTCGAGGTCCATCTGTTTGATGGCGACACACAGATTGGTGCCGACCTGGTAAGCAGTGTAGACCCCACCAGATGCACCCTGACCAATTTTGACGAGGTTGCGATAAAGGCGAGTTGGATCAGCGTCTGTGCAGATTTGCTGCAAGCGACGGACAGTGTCATTGTCCTTGTCTTTGTCTGCTGGTTTCTTTTCGCGTCGTCGGGGAGTCGCGCCAGTTGCGCCAGCTTTAGCGAGTGAGGCAGCGGCGGCACTTGGTGGGGCAGGAGCACGTGGTGGGGCAGCTCTAAGAGGCAAATCAGTCGTAGATGACCCAGGTGACGCTTTGGGAGTTGTAGTAGTATTTGAAGGAACACCAGATTTGGGTGGTGCGACCGGTGGTGCTCTGTCACGCATAGTATTGGACCGCTCAACGGGCTTGGCGGGTGGTTTCGAGGGTGTTCGCTGTGACGTAGAGCGATCAAGTGCAGGTGAAACGGGAGTTGGAGGAGTTGGAGCTGGTCGGTAGGCAGTTGGAGCGGGGGAAGTGAAACTCGAAGGCGATTTTTTTGGAGGCGCTGGCGGTGAACGCTAGATAATACTTGTGAGCCAGCCATAGATAAAGTTGGATACTAACTGGAGTCTGGAAGCCCTCTTCAGCGGGCGCATAGGCTCCCATTGCACCAAGCTTGTCCCAAGCACCACCCTGTTGACCCTCCTGGTAGAATTTGACAATCTCCATGACCGCCTGTGGGTTCTTTTCCTGCTCCGAGCGAGAGATACCGCTTTCTTGGAGAAGTTGCTGCCACTCCTTGGGCAGCCCAGTGAACTCGCCAGTGGAGGAATTGAAGCCGACATGGGTAAGATGGACTGGATCGTAGGGCGTGCTGATTTCTGGCCGCTTGGTTGTGTTGAAGATGAATCCGAGAACCGACTTTTTTCCCTTGGAGGAAGCTGTGCCACTGCGAGAGCGAATGGTTGGAGTGGAATAGTCGGTGGGTGTTTGGGGAAGTGGCTCTTGTGGATCGGCGTAGAACTGCTGGTCAGTTGGGACAACTGGGGTGGACAATCGACGAGGTTGGGGTTCGCCCAAGATGTCGTTGAGATTGGCGGTATTGGCTCTGGAAGGCCGGGGAGGGGGAGATGATGGGGCTGCCATTGAGGACCGACTGGCGAAAGGGTCGTTCAGACTGAGTTTCCTTGTCCGTGGTTTCTGGAGAGCGTTATGAGTCTTGGTTGGAGGTGGCGGCGCTGCTCGTTGTGGAATGGGAACAAACGAGCTTTGCAGTGTTGTCTGCCACTCCTAGTCGGGGTAAGAGACTGGATATGGTAGGAGGTAGAAAAAAAGAGGCAATATACTTGAATACTTTCACGAGAAGGTCGAGGACCTGACGAGGTCATGTAAATTGGCAACAAGTCAAGCTATGCTACATCTGATTCTAACGAGGCGACTAATATACCGCTCCCCACCCTTTGGACAAAAAAAAGTCAGAAAAAACCACTTATACGCTAGATCGCCGCAACTCACCGTACCACATTATTCCCAGCCGTTTTACGTCCGTTGCTTCTGCGATCAACTCGTTGACTGTGTATTCAACACTCATCGATTGGTCTAGTTTCCGAGCAACCCCTGTCAATGCTCGGTCAGCAGCCTCATCAGCAAGCCCGCTCGACATGTTAATGCCAATATTCTCCGGAATATTCAGGTTTATATTAGAGGTTGACGCCTTGGTTGACTCCTTAGTCTTCGACGCCCCTTCTTGAACTTTGTTGCGTTTGAGTTCGCTTGCCGTCCATGAATAGAGCGGGTCATGCTTGAAAACCTCCAAGACGGTCATAATGACCGCTGACTCGTGCCGTAACACTCGCAAAGTTTCTTCTGCACACCGCTGAAAAACTCCGTCGGTACCCGTTGACCCCATCCCATCAATTATATCACGGGTCAGTCGGAAAGGCACGAGCTCGGGAACATGCAACAGTTTGCCTTGCTCAAATGCGATTCCGAGGTCAATATGGACCACCTCTCCAGTTGAAGCATCCAGTAAAATATTCGACGTATGCCGGTCTCCAAGTCCCAGCACATGGCCTACAATTGACGTTGTCGCAACACTCCGAGTATAGGCAAGTCGCATGGTAAACCATGCCATTGGAGTTTTGTGCTTCTCGGTGAACCAGTGTCGCAAAGCAGGGCGGAATCTGCTGCAGACTTTCTCATACGCCTCCGTCGCCAACTGCGGTTTGCTTCCCTTGTGTTCATCCCAGACCTTTTTTAGCTTGGTGTTGGTTTCGTTCGGCTGCATATCTCCTGGGTTGTATCTGATTCAAACAATCAGTCAGTACTGATAGTCAAAAGGGTTGACACACTTGATATGTGCTCGGGACAACCAGCCACTCAATGGTGTCGTGTTGTCGACAAACTCAATGACGCCGGCTCGAGAACCAAGCGGAATGATTTTGTAGCCCCTGACATTCAGAGAACGTCGACTCGCTTCCCGATCGTTGGCCAGGACCGTGTTGCAGAGCGAAAAGACCTGTTCCATGACAGCATCTTGTCGCAAATCGTCATTTCCTTCCCCTTTGAACTGGTGAAGCATTTTAACAACTCCGTGACCCTGATCGTGTCAGAAAAGACTCACCAGTTGCTTATAGCGAGCACCATCGCTCCCCACACATTTCGTTATCTTTGGCAAGTTGATTCCGCCAGCAGTGTCAAAGGTTTGCTCGTATTTATCAATGAAGACACATTGATCGTATCTGAGCGTTGGATCCAACGGTGTGGAATGGGTGATGACTGGAACCTCCAGGTTGCTGATTTTGCGAAGAACTACCTCTGATGGGATTTGCTTGATGCGAGCACTGAGGATGTCGGGTTTGTTTTTGATTTCGTACCGAGCCCACTGTAAACAAGCTATGGCGAGTTGTTCGACTTGTTTGAGACGCTCGCTACACCGACCATCAGCGCGCAGTCGCTGGAAAATACTTGAGGCAGCTAAGGCACGAGACATGGCAGAATCCGAGAGTGGTGTTGGTGGCGTTGATGGTTGGGTAGGTCGGTTGGAAGAACGGCGACCCGTAGGAATAATATATTCTTGTTGTTCAGTGGGGAGTAGACTGAAAACCTGATACAAACTGTGGAACGGATGTTCGACGCACATCCGCATCACCACATTCTGTAAGGTGTCCTGATTGAGGCCTGACGATTTCGCGAGGCGCGCCGTCAGTTGATGCTGAATTAACTATAAGTTTGGGGAGGAAATTGCTTCAACGTAACTGGACCCACAGCTAGGAAGACAAGTTTCGAAGAAGGTGTTCGTTCAAGCGCTCGCGCAACTCTCTTCTGGAAGTCGTTACTATTTGCTTCGAAGTTTTCGAACCATAGTGAACAGAGACGAATTGGGCCATCGCCATCATGCTCAGACGAGGTAGCCAGCGCCCGAGAATGCATGTCGATAGCCTGGTTTAGGAAAGTTTTACGGGCTTCGGTATATTTGTTGTATGATTCTGTGTCCTTTGCCAATAACAGCTTGGCATCTTTGACGCCCTTGGAACTGTCGGATTCGCCTTGAGTTTTGCGTCGGTCTAATTCCAATGTCTTTCGTTCAGTGTAAACGAGAAGCCTAAGGACGTCTGTCGAGCCATCCAACAGGCGATATTGTTGCTCCGCAAAGGTGGCAAACTGACGATAGACACCTGCATGGGAAGGAGAGAGGGGGTGGGCAGAGTTTCTGTGCAATTCCTTGATAAAGGCAGTCGCCTTTTCAAAGTAGCGGACTCTGATGTCCGCAGGACTCCCGAGACGCGCCTCAGCCATCCAGGTCCCCTGAGGTCTGTTCAGCCAAAAAAAGCAATGGAGATCCCTAAAAAAAACCTACCAAGCTAGCTAAAATTATGGCCTGGTCCGGTTTGTGCAACCCCGTGATGTCTAGGTTCTGCAAAAAGTCAATGGCAAGTTTTTCTTCCTTCTGTAATCGTAGAACGTTGGCGAATTCGACGGAGACTTCGAGAGAAGGTGTTCCTCTCTCAAGTGATTGGGCTCTGATGATGGAATTAAGCGCAATTTGAGGCTGTCGGGCATTCCGCGCTGCTCGGGAGAGGCCCACCAGACACTGCTTTTCGACGTCGATCAGGGCACGTGACAGTGGCGACAACATATCTCCGATTTGCTGGCGGTCCTCTTTTTGTCTCACAGAGCGAATCAGGGCCATTCGGGTGGCCATGATGGTCTCAAAATCAGAAAACCTGTAGAATCATGGATAACCGATCACCGGAAACAAGATCCCCTTACTCGAATCCTTTCCTCAACCCAATGAACGCACTCCAAGCAGCCGTGTCTGGCCGACGATGGCCGAGACGTGCTTGATTTTCACTCTTAAACCATTCGGTGACTTGGTTGAGACACATCAGGTTTTGAGCTGTGTCCCGAATTTCAGTCAAGTTTTCCGAGCCCAAGCCACGAAGTCGGTCAATTTCGCTGAAAATTGACCGATGAAGTACAGCTTGAATTGCTGCTGGACTGCGAGCACGATTCACAGCACGGAGAGAGTTATAAAGCGAAACGCCCGGTCCATCACTGGTATGCTCCGGAAGATCCCATGTTTCGGTTCGCCAACCAAGTTGGTACGACATGTCAGATTTGACCGGTGCGCCACCAGTGAGGGAGGACTTCTGAAGTGTATCCATTGCGAGATGGTGGAATCCGAAGGAATGAAAGGCTTGGAGTAAGCCATTTGCTTCTTGGGCGTTTGTGGTTGACGATTCTAGCGCAGCGCTATGGAATTGGAATGCTTTGGTCCATTGCTTCTCGTGATGTAGTCGTTTGATGACAAATTTGTTGGTGTCGCGAGTCTTGATACTGTAGAATCCGTCTGGTTCGTCGATGTGAGCGTAAATGTCGTAAAGAATGTCCGCATGGCGGGCATCGTCCGTTTCGGATTTGGCATTTGCATCGGCCTTGATCAATTTATCTTTCGCGAGCTCCAAGAAGAGTAGGGAGGTAGTGTACGCGCCACAAAGCAGAGCCTTCCCCGCTAAGAGAGTGTAGTCGATGTCCAGCCACTTGTTGTAGGCGAGATAGTCAACTTTTACTGTGTTGATCTGGGGGTTGGGTGGATCAAAGGTGCGCAGATGTAACACGATATCAACAATCGATTGAATGCAAGCGATACTAGCGCCTTCCGATTCCAACACAGTGGTGAAGAACGAGGACAGCTGCCGCCTATAAGGCAGTCCCGAAATTGGTTGCCCGATTTCTGCTTCTCGTTCGCTGTGAAGAATGGACCGCACCAAAACAGGTAATGCATTTTCCGTGAACCCAGCATCAGACTCCAGAATGACGGAGAGTTGAGCATAGAATGGATCAGAGAGGGAAAGTATGTCACTGAGAAGAATTGCAACAGCACTAATCCACCGAGGGAAGTTGTCCGCAGCAGTCAAGTCATCGTTCCCAGTCAAGTCTTCCAGAGAACGTAATGGTCGGCTAATAGCAAGGCGCTTATATGTTTGCAGATGGCCAACTTCGTGAATATACTCTGAAGGGAGTGTTTTCCATGTGCTAGGCAAGGTTACCGACAAGATGAGGCGCAAAGTGTTGTAGGCCATATGAACCTGAGCCGGATCGCTTGCTTCGAGCATCACAAGGAGATTCTGGAGAATCCATTCACGTGGCAACGAGCTGGTACCAATATGACGACGATGCCTTCCTGTTAAAGTTATTGCTCAGTTTACGGGGGGGGGAATGGTTAACAACACTTCACCTCGCATAGAAGCTTGCTCTGTGACGAAACTAGTAATCATACCTTGATGGACTTCTAGCAATCCAGCAAATGCATCGACGTCCTCTCTTTCAAGCTGATTGGTTGGCGGAATGCATTCCCGCAGTCTCCAGAAGTCGGTCTCCGAAAATTGAACTTGATCACCATCCCCTGATGCCGCAATATCGCGCAGCTGGCGAACCAACCGAAATTTGTTCGAGACCATAGACGAGTCATTGAGCAGGTTCGACAAATTTGTTGAAGTAGCGGCACTGATCAATGTCGCTAGCTGGGGTGAGGGGGTATGAGGCCATGCAGAAAGAGCCCGAACAATGGAATCATGGAGGTGAGTTTGCGAAAGAAGGTGGACCTGATCATCAATCCAAATCCGAAGGTCTTGCCCAAGGACTTTCGAAAGCGGCAAAACTTGTTCCCCATAATTATCCGCGGAGCACGCGATCCGAATGAGCACATCCGCGAGACGTGGGTCATCTACTTGCAGATTTGGTAAGCAGTTAAAAACCCATTCCAGGATTGATTGTGCTGCTCTAGCAAGCTCAAACTGGACGATTAAAGAGGTTGCACCACGAAGAAGAACTTGAAGAAGAGCAGAATCTTGAGAAAATTCTGGCCGAATTGAAATCCAGAGCGAAAGGGCGTTGAGGAGCCTTAGCTGCTCGTTGACGAGGACAGTTCGGTGGATTTCCGCGAAAAGTTCGTGGGTTACGTGATACGCTGTCGCCGCCGCCGGAGCACCGGGTATTAGTTCGCTGAGCCAATGAAGAGCATGTAAAATCTCAGCAGTCGGACGTGCAGGATTATTTGGTGGATGGGCATCAAATCCATCATTACGTCGATAGCGAATCAATTCTCGGAACGTGTGAACAGCCACACCGGTCTGATCCGCCTGGAGGAGAGCCTCAGCAATTGGACCCTGGGCACTGAAGTCCTGATCTCCGAGAGAGCGAACGATCCAGAAGGAGACACCGTCGACGTTGTTACTGAGCATGGTGTCAAGATCACCGTCCCACGTGTGCCTCGTTAATATTGAAGCAAGATTCTGCTTGAACTCTTCATGGGTCAGAGGGGTGCGACGAATTGTGTTCTGGAGCAGGTCGTAAGCTACTATATCGGCAAAACATTCGTTGATGCCATCAGCAGGGGACTTGTGGAGGGTTGTACAGAGCTTGGAGAAGGATGACTCGTCTCTTGTTGCGATGTCGGCGACAAGGTTTGCAGGGGTGAATGCCTTAAAATTGGCTGCTGCGCATTCACGACGATCACGATACCCGAGGACATCAGGACGAAGGTTAAGCAAGTTATAGCCGTTGAACCGTAGGGTGAAGGCGAGCTGAGATGAGTATGCCTGGAATAAAGAGGCAGATGTTTGAAGATGAAGCCTCTCAGCCACGGCCAGGAGGATAGCCCGCGTATGAGACTCAAACTTGGCATCACAGAATGCACCTTCTAGTATGGACCAATACGCTCCATGTCGAACGGCCGAGCACACAATCATGATGTTGCCGAGAGAAAGGATCCGGGTCAGCATGTGTTGCCTACTGTTGGGACTTGTGAATGCAGGGAGGGAAAAAATATGACTACTCACTGCGTTAGCTCTTGTGGAAGTGAGTCGAAGATGGGTTTATAGACATTCTGTACCACGTTGAGACCTTGTGTTCGTCGAATGGTAAGAAGATTGGGGGCAAGCGCAGCAGCGCGAAATCGAACCCGAACATCGTCATCGTTGTTCATGATAGGGAGTAATAAGGTTGGTAGTCCTCGGCTGTTCATCTCGTCGTCGTCGGTAGCATTGTACCACGTGACAGCATGAGGATCGAGCTCCAAATAACCATCGTATAACCTCGCGAGTGCATCACGAGCTTTCCAAGATCGTAAACGCGTTCTGGATTGCCCATGAAGCATTTCAGAAAGCCAAGCGCAAAGTGTTCGAGTGTACAACGCTAGTTCACCGTCGAAATGAACCCAGCGCGAGAGATTTGATGCGAGAAAGCGGATAGTGAGTAGATGAGCAAGACTGCTTCGACTGTAGTACGGAATTCTAATCGTATCTGCCAGTCGCTGGAAATAGTTGATCAGACTTGTGGTTAACAATAGAAAACGCATACTTGGACGAAATTGCTGTAGTCGACATTGCTGAAGGCGATATGATTTTCTTTGACGTGATAAAGAAAAACTTCGAAGACTGAAAACAACCTTGACCTGATTTGGGGCGATCTTTCGAGTAGTGACTGTGGGTTGATGCATTCAAAAACCAACAACGTCAATTCTGGATCAAGGGTGGCATGGGCTGACGAGCGAAGCGGGAAGATGGATAAAAACGAGATGCACGCATGAGCAATGCGGCCAACATCAACAGTTCCGATTAAACGCCCACTTCCTGCTGGAACGGTGATATAGTCAAAGTCAGCATCACGTGTTTGGCGGGATTCGTGTTGATCCGTCACTCGTCGGAGAATATCGCGCAGGACTTTTACAACACCCTTGAAACAATCTTGGACCTATGTCGCACGTGAGCTAGCGATGAAGGATATAGGCGAAAAGGACAAACATCAGTACTTTGGCAAATCAACTCTTGAAGCTCGATTGTTTGTGATGTTGAATCCTCTCTTTGATCGGTCGCGGCAGAGAGGGCCTTTGTTTTGATACCAGACCCGATATCGGGTGGCGAAAATGCGACGCGAAAAGCTGTTTCGTCTGATATATACCCAGTTGCAGTCAAAGGCTCGAGTGCAAGGAGGATGCTGAGAATTTCAGGCTCCTTCCAACGAGGATCACGAAGCCACAGAACGATGACTTGAACCACCTTGCAAGCTGCTTGTATGACGCGTCTATTTGGGCGGGTGCCGTTACGAGACATTATGGCCTGGAACGATAGCGCGATTATGGCCCAGTCGAGCGAAGTACGAGACTTGGCGACTGTAAGGAGCGGCAGTGATTTATCGACAGTTGGCAGCTCAGAGCCAACGGTTTCCAGCCATCGGTGGAAAAAAGCCGATACTCGGCGCTCGCGAGGAGTTTCCTCCATAGGCTCTTCATTAATTCGCTTCCCATCGCTCGCCGTAGCTGCCAGATGTCCAGTGAGAGAAGATGGCTTGCTGGCCTGCGAAAGTCTCGGTAGTTTGGCATCGACAACGAACTCTCTAATGATGCGTGTTTGCTCTTCCTCGACCAGTGTCTGAACGATCAGACATTCCGGCAAGATGACGGAGGAAAAGAGATCGCTGCTTCGGCTAATACCGCAAATGGCATGGAGCAATAATATGATGTCGGTCATCGCATACGCGCCGATGTGTTCCGTTCGGTGAGGAGACCAGCAGTCAAGAAGCCATGATAATACCTTCTCCTCAAACTGCTTCCGATGTAGGCGAACGTCTTGGCTTGCGATCCTCAGTACTTGAGAGAGAAATGCACAGACTGAGTCGCAAGGAAAAGGTGGCCCTTGAACATCAAGATCCTTGGCAAGAGTTTCGATTTCCATTAAGACATTCTGAGGAGTAAGTGCGATCCTCTCCGTCGGTAAAGGAGACTGAGAGCAGAGCAACATCATATGCGCGGCGTGACAAGCAGCACGAGCTACATTGGGAGAATTGACGCGTCTGAGAGCGTGTGCCCAGATCACATCCCAATCGCGAGTTGGCGGAAGATTACCCTGGTGAGCGTCAGCATGGGCTATTGCAGCCACACACATCAATGCCCATGGTTGAACGACTAGGTCCGTGGAAGTGATGTGTTTCTTCAGGGAAGTGAAGACCTTCATTTGGAGGTCATCGTGAAGAGTCGTCCAATGTCGATCAACAAGAAAGAGGAGTGTCTGTAAGCGATATATGCGAAGAGTAGGATTGGTCGCAGAGTCCAGGGATGTAATGAGCGAAAGAATGGGACCCTTTGTAGAGGAAGAGAATATGCTTTCAGAGTGCTGATGCAACTATGAAGGTTTAGCGAAGCTTCACACGCTGCAAGGCTTATTTACCTGTTCCATGCAGTCAGCCTGGAGTTCGAGAATGGCCCAAGTCAGCGCCTGGCTTTCGACAATGTTATTTCCGGCTCGAAACGTTTGCGAGACAAACGCTTGTGGTTTATTGTCTTCAAGTCGAACTTCCAGTCGCATGGAGTCGAAAGAGAGACCACCCGCCCCACCGTCACCCTCCAGAACCTTGTTTAATGATGAAATCTGTTCTGGTCCTTTGTTGTCATTACTGGCTTTAAGATAAGGGAACAGAATGTAAAGCACGGCTACGAGGCACTCCTTTAAGCTTTTGTTCTTGCTGCCCCACAGTCCGACTAGAGACTGCCAGCTATTGGACGCGAAGCGCGAGACGAGGGTGGGATGATTCATCGAGAGATGCGACAGGGTATGGAGAACTAAACGCAAATAGTCCTGGATAAAAGATGCGTCTGGGGAGTACATCCCGACAAAACGTTGAAGTCGAGAAAGAATTGCACTAGGAAGATAAGAGTGGCTTGAGAGAAGGATTGGCGCGCTAGCAGAGCCCATGAGTATGCAGAGACAAGGCATGAGTTCGGTCTGCTCGGGACTCGGCACTAATAACTCTCGACGTTTGGGGTCTGGTTGCGAGGGATGGGGTCGCTTCCGTCTCTTTCTCGGAGATGCAGCAGGTTCATCGCTTTCATCAGAGTCCGGATCCATTGATGGTGGGCTGACAACTTCAGCAGCTTCATTTTGATCAAATTCATGCCGTAGGGGGTCGTCCATGATAACGTTGAATGCAAACTGAACGAGTTGCAGCCAAAGATCTTCTTCGATACGGTCCATTATAGGATTCCATTCAAGAACGCATCGCATGGATTTAATGTACTCAAGCGCGATGGGTTCCAGGAGTCTGTTCTTGGACGTCAAGAAGCTGCTGAAGTGCGCCAGCAAGTCTTTGGAGACTTGGTAGTGCTTGTTCTTGAAAGGGACGCTGACAAAGGCCGTAGTAGCCTGACGAATAAGTTGTGCGACATTGATGAGACGGTTCCTTGCTGCGTTGGATTTGGCATTTGTTTGTGAATTCACATATGTTGTTTTCTCCGTTCCAATGCAGAGTTTCAGCCTATCAAAAACATCCGCCCAGTTGACCGAATGGAAATCGCGTTCGGAGCTGAAGTACGAGCTGAGAGCGAGGATTGCACTCCCGCGTTCCGTAATCTTCGTCGACTTCAACAGACCACAGGCCTCTTGAAAAGTGACCATAGCAATACGCCTCTCATTCGGGCGGTTGCGTCAAGTGGCACTAGCCTAGCCCACTCAGTACAAGCGTCAGAACTAAGTTTGTTCTACTTACCCACAAAAGCACTGGTCGACGCAAAGAGAAAGCAAAGGAACGCGTTGAGTAACGGTCACATGTCACATCCACGCAATTCTATGAGAGGCACAAAAATCTCTACTATGGCTTCAAAACGTCTGCGATGCTTTTGGAAAGGTCGGAGGGCTCTGCATGCAAAGCCATATCCAGGAACCATGGCTTGCTCATATAGTTGCGGATTCCGTCGGCAAGCAGGAGAACGACATTCATGCCTTCTGTTTGCCCAACTTTCTGACCAATCGATGTCGCAAACCACTTCTCCGCACCGCAAAGGGCACTGCCACTGCTCCCCCCCACAAGGAGACCCTCATTCCTCATTAAACTTCTGACGGCAGCAAATGATTCGTCGTCCCCGGTCTTGACCCACGAGTCCACTTCATCCCGAACGAGGACGTCAGGAATGAAGTCGTAGCCAATTCCTTCAACAATGTAGGCTTTTCCATTATCCTCCTCGTTCAGTGCTTCAGGTACCGCAAGGATACTTCCTTTCTAAGAAGCTGTCAGTTAAAACTGTTAATTTGGGCAGGACATACGAACCGGGTCAACACCAACCACGATGCAATCCTTGTTGTGAGTCTTCTTGACTGCACGTGAGATACCAGTTATAGTTCCACCAGTCCCAGCGCCACAGATAACCACGTCAACTTTACCAGATGAAGGTCGTTCCGGAGTTGAGGGAGTCGAAACGATCGCCTCGATTATTTCTGGCCCAGTAGACAGCTCATGGATAAGCGGGTTGTTCTTGTTGCGATATTGGTCCAGAATAATGCCGCCGGGAATGGCTTTCTCCAACTTCTTAGCGATGCCTGCAAGTCGTGAAGGAATTCAGCCACGAGATGGTAAATTGTTGTTGGAGAGTCTACCTATGTGACTCTCAGGGCTATCCCAGGCTGCACTTGTTGGTGTACGGACAACCTCAGCGCCCAGCGCTCGGAGTCTGGAGACATGCGTGAGCCTTGGAAAAGAGTGTAGGATGATAACTGACGCAGCTTCTTTCTCCACTGACATTTTGTCGGGTAAGGTTATAATACATCGGTACCCCTTGGCTGTAGTATTCAGCAACTGTTTCATGTAGAAGAAGACTATTTTCACTTTTATTGCGCTAGCCATGGCGATCCCAATCCCTAGGCAGCATGAGCCAGAATCTAAGCGAGAAAGCTGAGAACACACCGGTATTACCCGACGTTGGCTCGATAATTACACTGTCTTTATTCAACTTGCCCTCTCTTTCTGCCGCCTCGATCATGGCTTTGGCTATTCTGTCCTTGATACTCCCCCCGACGTTGAGGCACTCGAGCTTGGCGAGCAGATTGCATTTCAGGCCAAGCTGAGCGGCTATCTTGTCTAAGCGTACTAAGGGAGTGTTGCCGACAGCTCCCAAAGCGTTGTCGATAATTTGTTGGTGCATGGTGGAAGGTAGGGTTGTCACGCAAGCTCAAACAGATCATCGGAACTTGAACGAAGCAAAAATGTTATCATCGACCACCATCAAAATCGGAAAAGAGGTGAATGAGTGAGAGCACTAAGTAGAACACTAAGCATTACAACCTGTCCTAAAGGAGAGACGATATATTTACAACATATATAAGGGGGGAGAAACCACGAAGCCTCCCAGTTTTCAGTCAAAACCTCAGTCGCGTGCAACCCAGTCAGCACTCCGTGAAACGAGTTCTATCGAATTGTCTGTTGTCCAAAACAGTCGCTCTGTGGCGCTGCGACCAGTCCAACTCTTCTGGTCTCGAAGTATCATGGCCTAACAAACAATAAGCTTCATTCGACTTGAGCAACGACACGACACATACCTGTTGGGCGCCGAAATTCCTTTGATCATGCGCAAACAGTTCAACGTTTTCGTCCAACGCTTCAGTTAAGACTGCCAAGTCTTGTAACATCGCTTGCATCGTCCGAACGGCAGCCAGGGTGAGCAACTCTCGACGATTTCTTGTTGTCCCACTAGAGCCATTATAGTTTGGATTTGGAGGGGGTAAAGAGCGACTGATGGTTTGCAGGACAGTATGCAGAATACGCTTGGTTTCACCAAGAATCTTCTGGGCTTGAGGGAAGTTCCGCCTGCTCACTAACACTAACGCTCGGGTGATCATGTCGCTGGCTAGCAGTTCCATTCGTCTGCGAACAATGACGGGATCAGAGACGGCCGCTGGTTGCCGAGAAACGCCTGGTTGTGCTGGGAGAAGAGTGACTGTGAGGAGTACTGGATGAGCAAGACGGCTGACATGCTTTCCAGCGGCAGGGTCGAAGAAAGTACCGTCAACCTCAACGACGGGCACTTCGTCAATCATACGGTCCATCATACCATCCGCAAAGTCGACTCCATCGTCGATGGCAAGTGCATCCAACCCCATACTGGCGACAAACTGGTCTGTCGCATTCAGCATGCGGTTGTGACGCCCATTACCACCACCCCGCATTGCAGCCATCTTGGCTTGCATATCCGAGTTGTCAAGCTCGAGTTCGATCAACATCTCCTTGCGCTCACCATAACGCAATTCGCCAACATCAACGTCAACATTCTGGCCATCGCTTGCCAAGATTGAGCTAGGTCCACCACTGACTTTGCGAATCCGGAAACGCAAGCCATCGACAACCTTCATGTGTAGTTTCATGCCCATCAATCCAATGGACATCATACCACCAACACAACCCGCGACGCAATCTCGGAGGTCATACCAATCTTTGACGAATGTATAAGTTCCGCTGGTGTGATTCGACATCAGCCAGAGTGAGGCAGGATCGTGGGAGCGACCATATCCGAAGGAGTGAATGGGAACATTGGAGGCCTCAGCTCTTGCCAGAACCAGATCCATTTGCGCTCGACGAGTGCTGTCGGAGGCATCTGACACAAGAATCATACCCGAAACCGGATTCTTGGCTTTGCGTTGCAGGACAATGTCAAGACCTTGATAACTAGAGGTTAGCGATGGTCTACCAAGTAAAGACACCATCGTACCGTGATTGACTGCTGTGACAACATCTGTCTTCTCATCTTTGCTTCCCCTCACCAAAAACTCGTCCATAGAGTCCTCCAAACGCACACCAGTCTCGTCGATGAACTTTTCTAACCTTCGACGACTTTGTGCTTTACCAAGAGCGAGGAAGGGCGTTCGTCGCACCCGACCAGCGGGACCAACCTCGAATGTAACGAGACTAAGGCGGTCCTTTGGAGACATTGACGCCAGAATGAAGTCGAGTGTCGCCTTGATGACACGGACTTTCAGTGAAGCTGTTGACGGTGCTGATCCAGGCGCTGGCAGCGAGATAACAAGGATGAGGTCGAGAGACGGATGAGGCAAAGGGGTTAGGTTGTTACTGGGTCCAGCAGAGGTGTATGGTGTGACGAGGCCGGTAGGGCTGTCGTAAGTGCTCAGCTCATCATCTTCACCCAGCGGGGTGAGCTTGTTTGAATAGTTGTTGCGCGGCGGAGGCATACTACCATGGCTGGTTGAACTACTCATAGTACTCCTGGCAGAGCCATTGAGGAGACTGCTGTCGCCAGTGCTTGAAGTCGTAGCACTTCCTCCTGAAAGCATACGCATGGCCTTGGAGCTCCCACCAAATTCTTCTATGTCCAACGGCCTTTCGGGTTCGGACTGAGGCTGGGGATTCAGAGCTTGGAATGAGTTGACAAGACTTTGAATCTTGTTTTTCCATGCTTCAAGCGATGCGCGTTCCTTGAAGATGAGAATAAAGCTGGCGAGTTCATCTTCCATGTCGATTGTGAGGCTCATTTCGCCTGCGGAAGAGCTTGCAGTCACATGTTTGATGTGGCGCACATAAATGCGCCCACGAAGACGTAAAACACCTCGCGGAGCACCTGTGGTTGAACTCGATTGGGCTTCACTGATGCCGGAAGCATTGGATAGCAACCGACCCAGTGATCGTTTACGCTCCTCGGCAACGCATATCAATGCCTCCCTGAATAGATAGACATAGAATTCCCGCACTATGGCATCGCGACGGACGCCGAGAAGGTCGTACATTTGAAGGGCACCGAGATCTGACATGGGATGACCTTTCCAGTCGATGATACGGTTGCGAAGGTCTTCGGTAATAGCATTGAACGGAGAGTCCTCCTCTGGTTCATGGCCATGGGAAGAAGGGTACTGGGGGGGAGAATGGTCGTCTCTATGATCAGACAGTTCGTGGCGGCGAGTAGAGTCAGGTCGAGGACTTGAATGACCTGAACGAGATTGTGTGCGAATGTCGGACATGACAGGACCCGGGACAGGCCCAGATGTGATTCGCTTGCCAGGCAGTTCAATAACGACAATGCATGTTAGCGGTTGACTGTTGTCGCTTGACCGAGTAATGGAAGAGAATTCTGGTCGGACTTGAATGGAGGGCGCGACGATGTACTGCTGGTGATCGTGGGTTGGATGTGATTTGATGCTCGTCGCATAATCAAGAGGGTCATCCTCGTTGGGGTCGTAAGGTGTATTGACTGGTTGGCGGCCCTTTCGGTTGGTAGGAGTGTCCCGACCAGGGTACAGAGAGCTGTTGTCTCGTGGACCCATGCCAGTCAGTGCAGCCAGTTCTGAAGCAAGATTAGCAGTCTTTTGGCTATTTGAAATATGAGCGCACTGTTGGATTTGCCTGAATCGCCGTCGCCAACTTTCATTGGTCGACGACAAACACCGCATACGCCTAAATTTGATTTGCGGGGGGACAGTCGAGCGCTGGTTGGGAGGGGGGCCGTATACAGCAGTGAAGCAAGCTTCATGAAGAGCATGACCACATTCAGGAACGATATGAGGTTTCTCTCCGGCAATCCGAAGTTGGAGGGACTCGAGGCATATGGGACAAGTGGGCTCCTCGTCTGCAGAATGGTGAGAATTGGTTTGAAACATAGAGTGGGAGAGCAACCATGGCGGCTGGATACCACGGGAAGAGGTGCGGCAGCATGCATATTGAGTGAGTTGTATGGGTGAGAGGAATTAGAGCTGGTGGTTGTGGATGTCGAGTAAACAGAGCGTAGAGATGACGCCCTATGCCTACTGCTAAAGACCGATGAGAGGGAAAAGCCGGATGATTGGGGCTTTGGAGCCGGACGAGGAGATGTAAAGGAAGGAGTAGATGGTGGCACTTGGTGAGAGTGATTTGAGGGGCCCCTCGATGCCCAACTCATCAGACCGGTGGTGGAAGGAGTGAAAAAAAGATGGATAATATCAGAATCGGAATCGAGCCCACTTCGGCCATTGACTATTACACGTGAACTCTCTTTCAGTCGTCCTCGACGACCACTGTCTACGCCTCTGGCTACGCGAGTCAATGCATATGCAAATCACATCTTCGATCATTCTTCTTTTTTTTTTCTTGCACAAAATCCCAAAGTCTAAACAGAAGCTTTCGACCCTGCAGCATCAGAAAACCCTCATCCGAGCCCGATTTCACCATTTCCACATTCTGGGCACAGTGAGCGCTCAAGCGCTCAATGCCCACCGAGAAACAGCAATTATTAGACTGTCTTGCGGCTGATACTTTCGAGACAATGATACTGATGAACAATGATGTTGCACTGGGCTGTCGCAAGTTGCTGAGGTACTTGCAGAGATTTGGCAACTGGTCATAGGACAGGACCCCCAGGGCCAAATTTGAGATTGACCTGGTTTAGGGGCTTGGACGAGAAATCGAAGTTATATGTTTTTATTTTTATTTTATTTTATTTTATTTTGAATTATTTGCATCGTCGAGCCAACACGAGCCTGGGCGGATTCAAAGCTGGTCTGACGCCCATGGAAGGTTGGATTGGGTTGGGAACTGTTGGAAACCGGCGCGTGACAGATAGCGTTACTTTATATTTCTGCCAGCCAACACGTCGATGGCGGGTAGGCAGCCACGGCTTCGCCAGCGCAATCCCCCTGCTCCGGTGTCCAATGTGGAATACGACCGGCTACATCAAGACGACCATGTTGCCGAGGTCTTCCAAAATCCTGTATGCGTTTCTCACCTTGTCCAAACACCATTGTACTCATTCCAACCAGCACTCCCGCCACCCCGTTGAGAAGCTGCTAGAGACTAAAAAGGGCAGCGTCTTAGTCGTCTCAGCCCTCACAACCCTCGCCTTCGCCCTCCGTTTCTATAAGATAAACCATCCCGACCAAGTCGTGTACGTGTTGGCTTTCTTTCGGCACGTGTCGCCCTCATAACGCGTCCCAGTTTCGATGAGGTTCACTTTGGCAAGTTTGCCGCGTACTACATCTCAAGGGAGTACTACTTCGATGTCCATCCCCCATTCGCAAAACTTCTCTTTGGCCTCGCTGGCTGGTTTGTCGGGTTCGATGGCAAGTTCATGTTCGAGAATATTGGCGACAGCTACTCGGAGAACCATGTGCCATATGTTGGAATGCGCGCATTGCCTGCCGCTTTGGGTAGCTTGACCATCCCCGTTATTTATGCCATCATGAAGGAGGCTGGGTATTCCACCGTTATTGCCGCCTTCTCTGCCGCCTTGGTCTGTTTCGGTGCGTTGTCACTTGTTTTGTCAATATTCTGTGGCTCATATGTCATATGTAGACAATGCACACATCGCCCAGTCACGCCTTATTCTCCTCGACGCCACGCTCATTTTCTTCTTGACTCTCACTATCTATTCCTACGTCCGTTTCAAGAAACTACGCTACTGGGCATTTTCGACCGAGTGGTGGACGTGGCTCTGTCTCACCGGCGTTTTTATGGCCTGCGCGTGGGGTTCCAAAGTTAACGGCATTCTCACTGTTGTCACTATCGGTGTCGCAGTCCTCGTCGACCTGTGGGATCTTCTAGACCACAGGAAGGAAGGCCAGACAATGGTGAGTAGCATCTTGGCTATTTCCCAGCTTGAACTAAAAATAGCGTAGGAATATTTCTGGCGACACTTCACTGCCCGCGCTATAGGTCTTATCCTGTTGCCTTTCGTCATCTACCTGTCTTTCTTCTATATCCACTTCGCCGTTCTCATCAAGTCTGGACCGGGTGACACTTTCATGTCCCCTGCCTTCCAGGAAACCCTTACGGGAAATGAAATGCTGCTAAATAGTCAAGGTGCGTTTTGACTCACTTGAATGGCCCATCGACTGAACTTGCGCAAGAGATCAAATACTATGATACTGTCACTCTCAAACACAAGGACACTAAAGTGTTCCTGCACTCACACGTTGAACGGTACCCATTAAAATACGAAGACGGACGAATTAGCAGTCAAGGGCAACAAGTTACTGGCTACGGACACAACGACACGAACAATCATTGGCAAATCATTCCAACTAAAGCTTTGCCGGAGAGTGGCCGTGGTCGATATGTGCGCAACGGAGATCTCATCCAACTTTTGCACCTCAATACCGAATCCCACCTGCTTACCCATGACGTTGCTTCTCCGCTTATGCCAACCAACCAGGAATTCACTACTTGGCCAAAGGACGATCATTCGCGTCACAACGACACGCTTTTCCACATTCATCTCATCGACGGTCGCGATTCGGATGTCGTCAAAAGCAAATCAGGATATTTCCGACTTGTCCATGGTCCAACTAAAGTGTCTTTGTGGACGCACTCCAAACAGCTCCCCGACTGGGCTTTCAAGCAACAAGAGATCAATGGTAACAAAGGAGCAACAGAGAAGAGCGCGACCTGGTATGTTGAAGAGATCCTCGATGGAAGTACGAGTGCTATTCTTTCATTGCATACCCTTCTGACTCGCGTTAGTTGAACCCGACTTCAAAAACCGTACCGCCAAGGTTGAGGCTCAGAAGCCCAAGCATATGAACTTTTTCAAGAAGTTCGGAGAATTGCAGCTCTTGATGTTACAGCATAATGCTGGATTAACCGCGTCGCACCCATATGCAAGCAGCCCAATCAATTGGCCTTTCCTCCTCAGCGGAATCAGTTTCTGGACCGAAAATGACTCACAGCGCCAGATCTATCTCATCGGTAATGTTGTTGGCTGGTGGACGTGTGTGGTTGCGCTGTCCATCTATGTCGGTATCTTGGGTGCTGACCTTTTGGCTCGTCGTCGGGGGCTTGATCCCATTCCTGACCGTATGTCATTCGTAATCTGCTTAGTAATACGGTTCTGATACTTTGTAGCTGTGCGCAACCGACTTTGGAACTCGGCTGGATTCTTCATGATCGTTTGGGGTGTCCATTATCTGCCCTTTTTCCTCATGAGCCGACAACTCTTCATCCACCATTATCTGCCGTCGCATATTGCTTCCTCCATGATTGCTGGTGCTGTCCTGAGCTTCATTCTGTCCGATTCCATCAACTACCCAATATCGGTCTGGGGGCCTACAACTCGAGGCCGTCCATCACAATACGCAGACTTGGGCATAAAAGCACCAGTAATCTTTGTTTGCTTTACGCTTGCAATGTTTGTAGTCCTGGTCTTCTTTGCACCATTGACGTATGGCACGCCAGGGTAAGTGTTTGATTTCTGCCTTGATAAGTCTGACTCTTTTTTTTCTCTCTCCAGATTGACAGGAGAACAAGTCAATGCACGTAGACTACTGTCCACATGGACCTTGCACTTCGCGGCAAAGGTTACCGTTGAGATGGCATAGTTCTTAGGCTTAGCCGTTCTGTACATACTACATAAAGTTTCTCTACCTAAAAAAAGTGTGGAATAATTGACTGGCACAAACGATCAAATCTGTTGGACTTGGTTTGGTTTGCGACCTTGATGTTCAACGCTCCCCGTGCCCAGCCACGGTATGGCGTCAACCCCACTGGAGGCTTTGGAGGGAGTTTCGTCGACGAAAACCCTCTCTCCGTCTCTGTTTATGACACGGTCGACCCTTGGAGCGCAACACCCAGTCCGACCGCGACACCAGCACCCGCAGCCAACAACTCAGTCTTCAGTTCTGTTATCGGTACTTATTTACGCTTTCAGCCGCTCTCAGTTATAATTGTCTTTCTAGCGGATGCAACAGTCCCTGCGATCTACAACCAGTCTTTCCAGCTCGTGGACACAACCAACTCGGGCGAAGTTTCCGTCAGTTCGCTCTCTCGAGTGCTTGGAACGTCTAATCTCCCCGCTGGCACTATCGACAAGGTCTGTTTACGTCGTGTGCAGTTAACAGCCTCCTCCTGACACAGTTTGAAGATCGTGAATCTGGTCAGCAGCAAACCTCGCGTCTCCAAACTCGAGTTTTTCGTGGCCTTGGCGCTGGTAGCATTGGCTCAGGAGGGGAAAGGTGCGACTCCCTCCCTCTTGCTTGCATTGGCTTATCAGGGATGTTGCCTAGATGTTAGCATTGAGCAGGTTGCAGCGTTGTCCTCTCAAAACACGCTTCCCGAGCCAACGTTGGACCTGAACAGACTCCCGCCATCTACTTCCACGTTTTCACCTATCAACTACAGGCAAAATACTGCCACTTCTTTCACACCAGATGACCCTTGGAACACGAATTCGCGGGTCACCCCTGGCTTTGATGCGCCGCCTCCATTACCATCGAGTCTGTCTGGCACTGGCCTGCCTTCATATTGGTGGAAGAAGCAGGAAACAGTCAATGTTACCCTTCTGGGACCCCAAGGATTCATCTTGAACCGTTATATGGTCTACGAGATAACTTCCTCGGTAAGCCATATACAAGCTTAACCAAACGCTTAGTTACGTGGTCAATAGCGCGGCGCTCCCGTGTCAAGGAGATATTCGGAGTTTGTGTTCGTTTGGGAGTGCTTGTTGCGGAGATACCCTTTCCGGCTGTTTCCCTCACTTCCCCCCAAGAGAATAGGCGGTGTGTTGTGTGCCGAGCTTGCTTGACAGTAAATTCTAAGCGTCATAGGTGATGAGGTCTTCCTCGAGCAGAGAAGGTGCGCTCTCCTCAACAACCCCGTCATCCATTCACATTTTCCAGACGCGGATTGGCTCGTTCACTCAACTTCGTGCTGTACATATTGTTTGCGTCGCTCACAGCTTGATGACACTCACAGCATATAACAGGAACCATCCCGTGATCAAAGAAGATGCCTTGCTTGCCGCTTTCCTTACTGAACCATCTTTCGAGTTGTGGCGAAAGAACACGCCCGTGTCGCTCGATGAAGAGTCTGTCAGCAAACGCGTCGACAGGAACGAGGAAATGACAATACCCAGTGATCTTGAGGAGAAACTTGCGTATGTTTGACTGCCTTGTGGGAACAGTAAAACTGACTCTTTCTGGGCAGGATTCTTCGTCGCAGGATCAATCCGCTAATTGAGCAATGGCAAAGAATATGCATATTGGCGGAGCGTATAATCAAGAGGCGAGAAGCAGCAGCGGTACGGATACCTCCTGCCTTCAGACCGGATGCCCTCCAAGCTCATTTCACTTTGCCCATATTCTCGTCTTCCTCTTCATCATCATCGGACTCTGAACACTCTCCCTCATTATTGGACTCAATCATGTTTACAACGCATCTACCACCTCAACAGGGCGACATGGCGCGGCTTACCAACACATTACGGGCGGTGGTTGAAGTGAATGAGCAATGCTGGCGCGGAGATGATTGTGAACTTTCCTCTGGCGTAAGAAGTGGTCTCCAACAAGTGGCCGCCCATGCTCAGCGACATTCCGAGCTATCTGAATTACGGGTAAGTGGTCTCACTATTTCCGCATCGCCCTGTCATACTCACCTTACATAGACGAGGGCATTATACGATACCACTCTGGAGCAAATCAAGGCTCAAAGAGACCTTTACATTGCGGTGAAGGATTTGCTTATTCGGAATGATCGGCTTTCTATCGACCAAGTTGAACGGCTCAAGCAACGCGTTGAAGCGACATCTCTCAAAATGGAGGGCGTAAAGGTTGCCCAGAAAGAGGGCTGGCAAGACGAGGTTGAGCGACAAGTTGCCAGCATTGAAAGGGATAAGGCGACCATTGCTGCACAACTCAGCCGAAGAGTGTTTATTCGCGCATGGTAAGGTTTTTAGACCAATCAAACTCATCTAATCTCCTTTTAGTCTATGGCATGAGCTTCGAGTTGTCCTCCACAACCGGGAGAATGCTTCAGTTAGTCAGATGATCCAAACTTTCGCCCAGGAAGAGCAAGTGTTTTCAGAGAATGTGACCAACACTTGGACTTCACTCAACGAGGCCGTCGAGGTTATGCCTTTTGAGTAAATATACCCCTAATGATAGTATGAACACGACACGACTTTGCCACGACACTTGGTTTTTTTCAGTACTTGTATGTGTGACAGTTTGTGTGACGTATTCTCGCCAGCCCTCTCCGATTTCTCAAAATTACCATGGTAGATTGTGCTTTCTGCTTGTTTGTGCGCATACCAACTATCCAAAGGTTGTTCTCGCAGCCTCTATATGCACCAAAGCCGGGAAAGGCACGTTCTGGGCTTATAAAAGTTTCTATCGTTCTGACGGGTTTCGTAGCCGTTATTTCGCGCCAGTTCTTGGACATGTCGCGGACGCGAATTGAGTCTCTACTTGCATCGTTTCCAAAGCTTTTGCCTCCGCCATCTAGCACACAACACACGCTGATAGAAACGCCAGACGTTCGCTACGTCTACCAGCCACTGGAAGAACTCTACATCCTGCTGATCACCAACAAGGCGTCTAATATCCTACAAGATATAGACACACTCCACCTTCTTGCGCGTGTTGTCTCTGACATGTGCCGGAGCGCAGCCGAGAGTGAAGTTGCAACACGAGCCTTCGAGCTACTCGGCGCGTTTGACGAGGTGGTTGGGATGGGTTACCGCGAGGGCTCTGTGAACCTTGTTCAAGTCAAGAATGCTCTGGAGATGGAAAGTCACGAGGAAAAGATTCAAGAGATTATCGCCCGGGTACGTCTGTCTTTGGAAAATAAGATTGCTTGCTGATATAAGTTGTCTAGAATAAGGAAGCAGAAGCTAAAGAAGAGCTGAAACGTCGTGCCAAACAGCTCGAGCTGCAACGGCGTGAACAACAGCGTCGTGCTGCAGGCAACTCTGGCTTTTCTTCGTCTGGATATGGCGGCGGCATCAGTGGCTATTCACCCGTACCCACTTCATATACCCCACCGACCCCCACTGTCTCGACTCCCATCAATCTTAATGCTGGTATAGGAGCACGCGCGCCTTCATTCAAAGCTTCTGGAATGAAGCTGGGCAGCAAAAAAGACCAAGCAGGCCGAACTTATCGACGCGCTTGGAGGCGACTACGTGGCTTCTGGTATCGGTCTGGCTTCTGAACCCCCAACTCCTTCCGTTGCTGCGGCCCCGCAGACTGTTCAATCTACCAACAAAGGCAGGGGTAGCCTGCCCGAAGTTGTACCAGAAAGGTTTGTCCCAAACCTTGTCAGATTCCTTTTCGAAACTCAATGATCCACATAGCATTCATGTCAGTATCACCGAGCAAATAACCTGCTCATTACTCCGCGATGGAGGCTTAGAGAAAGACATCGAGCTCAAAGGAGACATGAACCTTCTCATCTCCGACCCGGCCAACGCTCGCATTTCCCTGACAATGACAACGACAGACGATTCCAACTCACTCGCGGCAGCCTTGCAATTCAAACAACATCCACAAGTCGCCAAGTTCGATGCGAAGGCAAACCGCAATGAGGCCAAGAAGATCGCCCTTCGTGACGCCTCAAAGACCTTCCCCATCAACCAAAATCTGGCAGTTCTGAAATGGCGGTATAAAGGCAACGATGAATCCGCCGTTCCGCTTTCCAGTGGGCTATATCCTTCATTTGATGTTGTGTTTCAAGCTCACAATACGTAGTCAACTGCTGGCCCACACCTTCCAACGATGGTACATGCGAAGTCAGCATCGAATTTGAGCTCGAGAACGAAAGCGTGACACTTCACGACCTGGAGATATTCATTCCTTTACCGTGAGTTCATCTTATACCCTTGACCTATCCCGCCTCTTAATAGCTTTGTAGTGCGGGATCCTACCCGACGGTCTCATCACACACTGGTGAATGGTCGCTTGAACCCAACTCCCACTCGCTTGCGTGGACCACTGCCATTGTAGATGGTGGGTATCCCATTTTTGGGTCCTCGTTGTTGAAGTGCTGAATACTTTTCAAGCATCATCGCGAAGCGGTTCTTTGATGTTTACTGTTGGGGGTGATGATCCCGAGACATTTTTCCCAGTCCGTGTTGCCTTTGTTGGCAAGGTACGTGGCGAGGGCCAAATCTACTTGTTATTCTAAACCAGGAACAGGGCAGTCTCGCGGGTGTGGGCATTGCACAAGCGTCGCTTGAGGACGGCGGAGATGCAGTCTTTTCTGTCGACTCGGTAGTCACTGCCGATGGCTATTTCGTTGTCTGAGTTATTTTCGTACTGGGCATGATGTACAAATTCAACAGAAACCATCAGTTATTCGTTGTTTCTTGCCTCTTCCTCTTTACTTACCCCTCGCTCTTCAACCTTTCCACTGCGCAAGCCGCTCTGTTCCTTGATTCCCACCAGTCATCGGTCCGTCTGATTAATCACCGAATCCAGACAGTCACTATTCCTTCATTTAACCCATCACCACCACCATGTCGAAGCTGCTCAGCGACCTCTGGGCCAGCACTCCCCTCGGCTCTACGTTTCGCTCAAAAGGCGTAGAATTACCCATTGACGCCGAATCAGAATCTCTGATGAAGACTGAGGTCGTCGCCGAGAAATGCGATCTGAGGATTGAAGGAATGACTTGTGGTGCTTGTGTTGAGGTATCTGGCCACCCACTCCATTGACTTGGCTGATCACTAGCTTTAGTCTATAGAAGGCATGCTTAGAGAACAACCAGGCATCCACTCGGTCAAGGTCGCGTTGTTGGCCGAGCGTGGCGTTGTCGAATACGACCCCAGTCAATGGAATGCCGAGAAGATTATCAACGTGTGCCCTCTATACCCTCCTCATTCTCGTCCTTTTTCTGAATTAATGCTCCAAGGAAATCTCCGACATTGGCTTCGACGCTACATTGATTCCTATTACGCGCACCGACACCGTTACCCTCCGAATTTTCGGCATGACTTGCAGCTCATGTACATCCACTGTCGAGTCCGGCCTTAGCTCTGTCCCCGGTATCAACATTGTGGCCGTTTCGCTTGCAACCGAGACAGCCACCATCCAGTTTGACCGTGGGCTCATCGGCGCACGAGAAATGGTTGAACGGATTGAAGAGATGGGCTTTGACGCTATGCTGGCCGACCAGGACAACGAGACTCAGGTTGCTTCCCTCATGCGAACAAAAGAAATCTTGCTCTGGCGCTCGAGGTTAATATGGAGTGCCTCATTCGCAATTCCCGTCTTTTTTCTGAGCATGGTCTTCCCACACGTGCCCGGACTCCGAGACATCGTCGGATTCAACTTGTTCAATGGCATTTACCTTGGAGATGTCGTCGTCGCCATTGTCACAACCCCAGCACAATTCTGGGTCGGCGCTAATTTCTATCGCAGTGCTTGGAAATCACTTAAGCACCGATCGGCGACAATGGACGTTCTGGTTATGCTCGGCACTTCCGCAGCCTATTTTTATTCTCTATTTTCCCTCATTATCGCATCATTCAACACTACTCCCGACTATCGTCCCGCTCTTTTCTTCGACACAAGCACTATGCTGCTCATGTTTATCTCTCTGGGTCGTTTCCTGGAGAACAGGGCCAAGGGCAAAACCAGCGCAGCTCTAACTGACCTCATGGCCCTCGCACCGTCGATGGCTACTATTTATACTGATGCTCCTGCCTGCACTCAGGAGAAGAAGATCCCGACCGAGTTGGTTGAAGTCGGTGACACTCTGAAGCTCGTTCCTGGTGACAAAATACCCGCTGATGGGTCAGTTATCAAGGGCTCTTCCAGTGTTGACGAAAGTGCAATTACTGGAGAGCCAGTTCCCGTTTTGAAACAAGCCGGCGACAGTGTTATTGGGGGAACGGTCAATGGGCTGGGCACATTTGACATGGTTGTTACTCGGGCTGGGAAAGATACTGCTCTGGCACAGATCGTCAAGCTTGTCCAGGACGCTCAAACATCCAAGGCTCCGATCCAAGCTTTTGCCGATAAAGTTGCGGGTTACTTCGTTCCGGCAGTCATCGCACTTGCGGGCGTAACCTTTATTGCTTGGTTGCTCCTCTCGTCATTCATTGCCGATGAAAGCCTTCCCGCGATGTTCCACAGGCATGGAACAAGCAAATTCGCAGTTTGTGTGCAAATGTGCATCAGTGTTGTTGTTGTCGCTTGTCCTTGCGCTCTCGGTCTTAGTACTCCGACCGCTATCATGGTGGGCACTGGCATTGGGGCCCAGAACGGTATCCTCATCAAAGGGGGTCGGGCTTTGGAAGCCAGCAAGAGTATTCGTCGAGTTGTTCTTGACAAGACAGGCACTGTCACCGTTGGCAAGATGAGCGTTGTTGGCACGCACTGGGTGCCCGGCACGCAATCTTCAGCTGACCAATCCTCCTTGGACGGACCTTGCGCCGACGATTCAACCAGTCGACAGGCCATTATTTCCATGATCACTACTGCAGAAGCCAAATCCGAGCATCCGTTGGCTACTGCGGTCGCAGCCTATGGGAAAAGCGTGCTCAGAGATTTTCCCTCGCTTCCCCCCAGCTCTGTTGAGAGCTTCGAGAGTGTCACTGGAGCTGGTGTCCGCGCTGTTATCACCCATGGCGGCTCCAAGTACACCCTCCTCATCGGCACAGCTCGCTTCATTACCCAGTCTGACGACGGTTACATCCCTTCCACTCTTTCTAGCTACGAACAACAGGAAACGACTCTGGGTCGCACCATCATATTCGTTTCCCTCCTCCGCCCTTCGTCATCCAACCCCCTCCCGCTCCTTGCCGTTTCCCTGTCTGATGCTCCGAAACCGTCCAGTAAACACGCCATACGCGCATTACAGAAGATGGGAATCGAGGTGAACATGATGACGGGCGATGGTAAAAGCAACAGCGTTGGCCATTGCCAAGCAAGTCGGCATCAAGCCAGATGGTGTTTGGGCTGACATGAGCCCGAAAGGCAAAGCCACACTTGTCGCTGAACTAATGGAAAAGCATGGAGAAGGAGTTGCGATGGTAAGAAGGAATATATCGACTTTTCCAGCGTGGTTGCTGAAGACATTTACAGGTTGGCGATGGAATCAACGATTCTCCAGCTCTGGTGGCAGCGACAGTTGGCATTGCTCTCGCCTCTGGTACCTCTGTGGCAATCGAGGCTGCCGATATTGTTCTTATGCGCGGTGATCTCTTGGACGTTGTGGCTGCCCTGCATCTTTCCCGAAGCATCTTTCGGGTCATCAAGCGGAACTTTGTCTGGGCCTGCATCTATAACGTGCTTGGTATTCCTCTCGCGATGGGTCTTTTCCTGCCTGTCGGACTCTACATGCATCCCATGCTTGCTGGCGCGGCCATGGCCTTTTCCAGCGTCAGTGTGGTCACGAGCTCCCTGACCCTCAAATGGTGGAGACGACCGGCTGACAGCCTCATGCCTGGAGCGTCAACAGAGTTGGGCCCCAGTCTACTCGACAGCACACGCAATGCGGTCGAGGATGCCTGGGGGAGTGTCACGAGCATGTTCCGACCAAATCGGAGGGACGAATACGGCTACAGCCAACTGCCTGTGGAGATGAGTGCATCCAACAACGTCTAGGGATTAATTTGTTCTGTATTTGTTTTTGCGATCTCGCTTTCGATGCTTGCTGTAAACTACACTATCAGTATTTATTAAAACGGATATTTTGCCTAGATTTGTTGTGATAATTTGTACTGTTTTGCCCTTATTGGGACCACCATTCGGAAAACTTTTCAAGCAAGTGTGCAACAGCCCTCATCCCCCCAATCAACTGGCGGCCTTCTTCATAGAGCCTTGGCTCCTCCGAAGAGCCCTTGTCCACAAGGAGCTTTAACGCTTTCATCTATACGCAGCTATCAGTATAACCTCAACTTGAGAACAAAAAACCAACCAAAGAGCTCATTTTCCTTTTGAATCGCCCTATCAACTCTTCAAGCAGAGGCGCCGCCTGATATTCCTTCAACCTTCCCTCCCATCGCTCGCCGATGAGAACAGCGAACTCGAGTACGACTTGCAGTGCTTGACGCAGGAGATCCCCTGCCACGCGTTGGCTGGAGCGCAGTAGACACGCGGCGAGGATGTCGTCCATCAGCTGTGAATGCGCCTTCGAGAGGGAAAACACATCTGTGAACCCGGAATCAAACTTGTTTAGACGCGACGGCGACACTGAGGTGAGGAAGGGCTCGAAGTTACCCCCGATAGCGGTGTCCAAGACATAGGACGAGAGGCTTTGGACGAAGGATTGGGCAATAAAGCGGAAATGTAGCACTAGTTTTTCGGTCTGTGCCAGTGTCGGAAAGAGGGGCTGGTCAATGGAACGCGTCATTCGAAAGACGGCGCCAAGTGCGTGCTGAACTAAGAGGCAGTTAGATCAGCTGGTAATAAGCGGCTAACAGACCTCGTAAAAGGCGGAGGAGGTAAGTGAACAGTCTTTGATACTTGGACAATATATCCGGAGTTATAAGAATATCGAGTGGATGGGGCGGCTTATAGTCGATATAAAGAAAGTCCAAGGCCCTAAGCGGTCGTCAGTATACCAGAACAGACACTCGAAGCTGTCATACTCGATGGCTGAGGAAGCGTTAGAAACGTAACCTTGAAGTTAGAACTCAACCCACATAATGGATTCAACCACTGGTCATGACCTTGCTCAGTGGGTAGATCACGAATGGCAAAGCCGAGTCGTTTTTCGGCTTCAACCCAGAATATATCCCGACTACCGCCTTGATGTTCCTCAAACGAATCCACAATCACGGTTCGCAGGAAGAAGCTGAGGTCGGCACCCACCGGCGGCCATTCACCGCGTTCCAATAATGCAAAAGAAAGTCCAACGGCCCATGGCTGCCCCCCTCTAACAGACTCCTCACCGGCATCACGACGCTGAGCTGTGAATCTGGTGGTTTTTGCGCGCAGAGCACGCAACGAGGAGGGCACGGCTTCACCAGCATCAAACCCCTCCAAGTCGGAGAAAAGGGCTGCTGATAGTCGTGACTTGAAAGATGGCGCCGCAAGGAGAAGGTATGAACCCAAGAGTTGGAGATGCGACTTGAATTGAAGAAGCCGTCGACGCTCTGGCACAACGTCGAAACGTAGGTGCGAGAGTGGTGAGATGAAAAGGGCCAAAAGGGCATGGGCCAGTATTGAGGAGTGTTTAGCCAAAGGCTCGAGAATCAGAGAAGTGAGATGAGAAAATGTTGGCGTAATTGGGGGGAGGTTGTCGGGAAAGTTTTGGATGAAGTCGGGTAGTGGCAAATTAGGAATTGGGGGGAAACTACCTTGACTGGGTTCAAGATCAAATATCTTGAATTGGTTCATTAGGGCTGCGAGGTCGCCAGGGGTTGGTTGGGGTTGCATCGATCTAATCAACTCGTGTTGGAAGTGTGGCTCCTCCATCACATTTTCCCCGCTCCATAAGGCGTTAATGGCGCTCCATTGCCACAGCCATTCTACTTGCTTCACCTCCTTGTCAGAAACTTGCAAGAGAGGATGGTCTGGCTCGGCTGCACGCAGTAAAACCAACGATTTCTGCGCGGCAGGGATGAGTTCGACTAGTTCAGGGGGGAAGAACGAAGGAAATGATTCATCTTCCCCAGTTCGGTTTAACTCGACGGGGTTTTCTTCCTCCATGTCGTCCTTTTCATCATCCATCCCATACTGCTCTGGCCTTGTGGGCTGGTGCAACTCACTTGTGTATCCTCCGAAACCAACGGATCGCGATAATTGCTGAAAATAGTCGCGAGACACGGTCGTAAGGATGTATGCCAGGATGGCCGTCACAGTGTTTGGTGATTGGCGATCCAAATGAGCTTTGACTTGCTCATGGACGAGCGAAAGTAAGTTGGCTGGATCGCGGTCTGGAAAAAGATAATTTTGAGGAATCGTGTGCTCCGACTGGACATAAAATGGAATATTAGAGCACGGAAAACACACAAAAGTGAGACTGACACGACCACACAGTACGCCTAGTGCTCTGAGGACATTTTCTAACCACTCATATTCGCTCCAGATCGCCACGAGTGTAGTCGCGCCGGCTTCTTGTGGCGAGCACTCCGACAGTTGATTGCGTAGATATGCCAAGATGGTGGAGAGGCTGTGGGTGAATGCGTGGATGGTCGGTCCCTCTTTGGAGAACCTGACATGAGCATCAGAACACACTTGGCAGGTTTGAAAAAATGCACGACTTTGCACGCAGCGCAGCGACGAAGATCTCAAGTCTTCTTAACAATGTTCCAATTCGAAGAAAGCGTTCAACAAAACTGCGTGTCTACGTGGTGAATGAGCAGAGCGTCGAGGGAACAAACGCACCTGTTGGTCACAGTTTCATCCTTTTCGTCCAACAATATTACTCCATTTGCGCCTTTTCGCAAAACAACTGGAACAAATGTTTCCGATGTGGCATCCCAAGTATGCAGGGTCGAAGAGAGCCCGAGTACAGTCTTCTTGAGATCAACAAACAGATTTTCTTGCGAGACGTATTTGACTTCCGTTCCTGGTTCGTGTAAACGAGGGTAAGCACTAACTACAGCAGTCAGCTCGCATTCAGAAACATGGTTGGCTCGCACTAGTATCTCGCCGCTGCCACTACGAGACCGTGCTGTTCGGATAAGAAAGGGCTTGGAGAAGGATGTCCAGAATAGCCTGGTCGCAATGAGTCCCAGGAGTAGATTTCCTGCAGCGCTTTAGAAACTTCCAACAGCTGAGAAATGAGTACTCACTGAGTGTATTCCAGCGTGTTTAAGAGCGTCTGTCCAGATCGAGTCATTGACATGGACAGTCGCCTGTTTGGGAGGATTGAAGGTAAGAGATGCTAGCTCTTTAGGAAGCCCAAGGCTCGTGATTGGACTATTTGAGGCGTAGACCGACTTGTGGGATACTAGATTCAAAGTGTCGATGATAGGGTTCTGTGGTTTGTCAAGCATGACTGGCATAAAGAATCGTGGTTTGAATTCCGGAAGACCATCGTTTTGTGTGGACTCGTCATCAAACTGGTATACATTTGGCAGCGGAAAGAGAGTCATAGTGCAGATTTGTGACAACGCGTGACCTAACGCGACAACGACATTACATCAGCATCCTTCCAGCCCATCGTGGCATGGGGATACTCTCTCTAATATTTTCGATTCCGCCCAGCCACCCAACCAGCCGTTCGAATCCCAGCCCAAAGCCAACATGAGGTGCTCCTCCAAACTGGCGTAAAGCAGAATACCAGGCATAGCTCTCCCCGTCAGGGTCCATGCCTTTAATTTGCATGCTTGCTTTCAGCACATCTAACCTTTCCTCCCTCACACTTCCGCCAACCAGTTCACCTACGTGTGGCATAAGGAGATCAAAGCAACCCATGGTAACCTCGCTCTCTCCCTCTACTTGTGGATTCGCCCGCATGTAAAATGGTTTCAGGCCAGCGGGATAGTCCGTCACAAAGACAGGGCCACCGATAAGCTCTTCGCATAGCCATTTTTCATGTTCGCTTTGGAGAGCACCACCCCATCGTACAGGAAATTCCCACTCGCGGTCTACCTTGAGTAATTCGTGGATAGCTTTCGAGTAGGTCATTTTCGGCCACGGAACTGGGCTCGTCACTGTAGTCATCATTGCCTCTCGGCGTTTTTCTCGGTCCACAGTAGAAACCGAGTCGTTTTCGCGATGGTGCCACAAGACATCCAAGTCCTCCGAATTCATATTGCCCACTACGTTCCGAATGAGACCCTCGACAAAGTCACAAAGAGCAGCAGTTTGTAAATGAGGGTCTTGGACCGGCGCAACTGCCCATTCCGCTTCGAGCATCCAAAATTCGGCAAGATGGCGACGAGTAACTCCACGTTCTGCCCGAAAACAAGGGCCAAGAGTATAAACTCGAGTTAAGGCGTGGCAAAGCGCTTCTAAATGCAATTGGTGGGAGACTGTAAGGTATGCAGGTCGGGAAAAGAATTCGCGATCACGGTCGGATAGCGAAGGGTCGTGAGATGTTGGTGCCAGACGAAAAGCCTCGCCGCCGCCTTCTGCGTCTCCGCTTGTTAATACCGGGGTATGTGTGTAGGTAAAGTTTTGATCCTAGAATCATTTAGAAACGCAAAAAGCCGTATTTGAAGGTTCATACGGCGAAATATCGATTGATTTCGGTCATGAGCCGCCCCCGTAGACGAAGCATAGCAGCAATCGCATCAGTTCTGGCACGTAAATGGGTGTGGTCCCGCAAATACTCGGCAGAGAGAGATTTTTTCTGGATTGGATACGACTCTGGGTCGCATGAGCCCAAGATTTCAACTTTCTCCACTGAAAGCTCCTTCGCTTGACCAGCGCCGACACTGCTCACAATTTTTCCAGTGACATGAAGACTGGTCCCATTCGTTACTCTGCAGTTACAATGAACCTTCTCGACACTTGAATGAGAGGGACGCACTCTTTCACCCGCTCTTGGAGGTCACCATGAAAGACTGCCTGCAAGCCAGCAGCGGAACTTCCATCGCTCAAAACACCAAAAGCAATGCGCTTTTGCTTCCTTATAGATTTGACCCACGCAGTTACGGAAACTTCTTGGCCAACGGGTGCCGTGGAAAGAACCTCCTGGATCGTTGGAGGCAGTCGGAAACGCGTCGAGTATTTGCGAACAAGACCAGGACGAATGTAACGAAAGCCAAGTTGCATCATCATCATTTGCTCATTCCTACTTCTTTGCACTTGCCACTCGCCCAGTTTATGTCCAACCTTGGTGGGCACCGTGTTGAAAAAGCTGTGACTGCGCCCTCATCTTGTCTATAGGCACAGTATTTTTGGGAGATAATCGCAGACGCGTGTTTTCTTCAACTGCTTCAAATTCAACTGGAACACCGCCCTCTTCTCCACCACCAACATCCATGTCCAGCTCGTTCAATCCAGCATCAATTGTTACACCTGCGTTGTCATCCCCAAAACCACCGACGCCGGCTATCGACCCGGCTCTATCGCTTGAGTTAAGACTACGCTGGTTGGAGGCCATTCTGGTGGGGGTTAAGCAGCAAGATACTCGAAAAGGCAAGGAAAGGGAGGGGCTTGGTCGAGGAGAGACGCTTTTACGCGCTGCGGAGAACTTACAGAAGCGGCTGAACACTATCGTTACTGCAAATGACGGACTAAAGCGATTCATGGAACACTGTTCGTTGGTCCCCTGTCCAGACTTCTGGCTTTCCTGACGCTTTTCCAAGATGACCAGCATGCACATCTTCTGACTCCTTCATTTGCACACTCTGAGGATCAACCAACATATGAGAATATGACATCCGCCGAACTGGAGGCTTTCCTGGTGGAGATGGAGCCAGACATACGCGCCGCCGACCGTGATATGCAGGAAATTGAGGAATTGGAGAAGAAGGGGGTCACTGGGGCGGGTAAACTGGCAGGTGTGTTTGAAGCTATATTCCATCGTTTTTCAATAGCTATGCCCAAGAATACGAACACCTCCGACCACGGCTCGACGCGCTCCTTAGTGCACACGAAGAAGATGTTGAGCGAGCCACCGCTTTGGAAAAACGAGTGGCTAAACTGATGGAGGATCACGCTACCCAGGCTTGCTATTTCTCTCCATTAAAGCGGCATTCTGACTCACCATAACGCAGGTTGATGCACTCTCAGAACTATTTGTTGTGTGGGACGACACTTTGGTTGAGGCTGAAGACAAGATTCTTGCATTTGAACGCGACCGACAGGATCGTCGACGATTGGGGCTTACTTAGTCACAAAATTACAATTCCATTAATCTTGAATCTGAACTTTGATAGCACCCTGAGCTGGGTCTGCTGCGACATGGAAGGCATCCACAGCATCCTCGAGTGCAAATCTATGCGTCACCAATGGCTATTTTCAACCCTTTTGAGCAAGGTTAACAAAAGGTAAGTTTGTCTGACCTTGATATTGATGAGGCCTCCAGCTACCAATCTAATAGCCTTGGGGTACTGGAGAATATGTTAGTTGATGGAAATCGCGGGGGAGGTCAACACTCACCTGGTTTGCATATCGGTATTGGAAGCTTACGTCGATCTCGTTGGCGCTGAGATGCATGAAGGGGAACTAAAACGGGTAAAACTAGTGCCACAGGTTCAAGATGGGGCAAAAGCATACCACTTGCTCATTCTTGCCAACACCGATGATAAATACCTTGCCGCCAAATTGCATTGACTGAGGGTTCTGGATCAGCAGGAAGATATCTTCAGCAAAACATTCGACGTACGTGGACGGCAGTATGAACACTACTCTCGACCCCAGTACATTCCAGTGCCAGTTTAAGTGGGCCATCACCGGCAGCCTTGATTTCCTGTGCTTGTTCTTTCGATGTGGTACCACGTTTGATCAGGACCGTGCGAACACCTGGGACAAGTTTCTTTGCGAAATCAAGTCGGCTTTGGAATAGATCAGTAATAACGATAGGTTCTGCTCCTGCAGCACGAGCAGAAAGCAGGGATATAAGGCCTATCGGTCCAGCCCCACTTGAAACGTCATCAATATCTAATCAGTAGTCAGTCAAGATGTGGCTCTCACCAGATCAGGACAGGATCTCCAAGTCGGAGACCGGACCGCTCGATACCGGCCAGTGCAACTGCCAACGGTTCACAGAGAGATCCTTCTTCGAAGGTGACGTTGTCTGGCAAACGGTGGAGCCACTGGGCTGGATGAAGATGCCAGCGAGTAAGGGTACCATGGAAAGGGGGGGTGGAGAAGAAAACCACATCTGGACAAGCGTTATATCGACCGGTGCGGCAAGCATCACACGCTGGTTGAGAGCAAGGTACGCCTGCCTCAATCGCAACACGATCGCCTTACGTGAGGTCAATATGGCTTGCGATTTCACCGTTTTATCTACTCACCCACTTTCCACTGCGTAACGCCTTCGCCAACTTCGACAACTTCACCAGCGGATTCATGACCCGAACCGCACTGTGATTGAACATTGTCAACATCGGTGATTGTTCGGAAAGGCCACAAACCTCATCAGTGACTACCATCGAGTCTCCAATTCTTCCGTGTTGCCAGAAATGCACGTCGCTCCTGCACAGAAAATAAGTCAATCCTATTCATGGCATCGACCACCTTTCAAACCAACCCGCAGATTCCAGTAGCACGAACATGAAGAAGCACTTGACCTGGACCTGGTTTGGGTTTTGGTTTCTCGACAAGATGGATTTCGTGTTGGGGATTGTAGAAGGCAGCGATGTTGGCATCCGAACTTGGTTTCTCTCCAGCCGCAAGCACACGGAAATCAGGATGCTTGAGGACCTTGAGGGGACTATAGATCTCTGCGTTACCGACTTCAGCAGTGGTGGTCATGGTGCAAGAGTGAGAAAGCAGCTTCCATCGTTGACAGAAAGGTATAAGTAGGTGCACGAGAACCCTCTCGCGGACCGGAATGGGCCGGCGGTTGAGGTAGGTGGCTTGTCATTTGTGATGACTCAGCTGTTAAGTTTTGCAAGTGGTTGTCGACATTCCTTGCCGACCCTCCTGGCGGGCTCCTCCTCTTTCTCCTGACCGGTTCATACAACGATTCGAGCTCTTCCTTATTGGTCGCCAAACCAAAAGACATTAACAAGAAAGAAGCAGAAGGGACACAAAGAAATGCCACACCGCGTCGATGAGCAGGACTCTACATTCCAATCATTTGAATCCACTCAACCAAAAGGGCCTGGGCCACGTATTCCGTATGATGTTGTTCGAGGCTCACCCCCGCCTTCCGACAACTCGCCAGTATCGCCCCAGTCGAATGGCAACGACAATAGTCATGGAGAGCAATGGACTGGGAATCCTACTTCGTTGACCATAGCACCTAATGCTAATGGTGGCTACCCTCACTACTATCCGCCCCCGCCCCCAGCCTATATGTACCCGCAAGGCCATCCCATTTACCACCCGCCACCTTATCCATTGCCACTCGATAATCACCACTATCAGTCTACTTGGACTCCCCAGTCGACTGGTCCACCCCAAGCACAGGCGCAAATCGGTGTCTCTTACGCGCCAGACTCCGGCATTGTCTACACTGACGATAGTGCAACCCGACTAAGCGAGCGAGTTCGTCGCAAATGCTATAATTGCTCGACAACAGAGGCCAGTACTTGGCGAAAAAGCCAATTAGCCCTGGGAAAAGTCGTATGTTCTTTCCTCCCTTCATTTCTCGTCTTACTTTCGCAGCTTTGCAACAAATGCGGGTTATACGAGCGCACTCATCAACGGCCACGACCATCTAATCGTGAAATGTATCGATCTACGCCTGCGACAAAGGACCGCGGACCGTTGGCGACTGCGGCCATCTCTCGAGCCCCTGGATCTGCCAAAAGCAAAGCGGGAGAAGCTGGACGGCCCAAAGGCAAAGCGAATGTGGCGACCACCGAGGAAGCAGCTGCAAGTTTTTTTTTTTCATTTCTTTCGGGCCCCGCAACTGAATAACGTTCAGTCCTTGGCTTATTCGGACATAACGTCCTTGCCGACACGAAGCTCTCCCGGTCCATATGTTCCTTCACCAGCGATGATGATGTACCCTCCTCCTTCTAGCACCCCTCCGGCACTTTCCCAGTCGCCATCGTCTGCGTCTCCCCAATTGCAAGAGGAAGTACCTTGCGTTGACGGAGACGGCAGTGGCGGTTTGGAAAAAGAAGAAAATCCAGATGGGAGCGCAGTTAAACCCAAAACGAGCGTTCGGGCTTGGGTTTAGTCGATGTTCCTCTTGCGCTTACGAATTTGTCACTTTCTGGTCCTCAATAACTATGATACCGCCATACTTACTCTGTATTACCAGCACGCATACTTAATCTTGAATCTTGCAGACGCTGCCCAGCCAGGCACACTGCAACCAATCCCTGTTTCCCAGTACTTTCTCTTCAACATGTGGCGTGAATCACATGCGGACCACGGGACAATCACGTCTAATGGTTAGTCAGCGTTGGTCAGCTCTTAATGTCCATCCATTTCTTGTAGTTGTACAGGTTCCGTTATAAATAAGCTATCTCCCTGGCTTGTCTAACCTCTTGAAAGTAAAGCTACCAACCGTCAGTCACCGATTCATTTCAAGAAACGATACCTTACTTGAGGAATGCGATGTTTTTCTCCGCCCCAATGCCCTCTGTTGGCTGCATTTGCTCTGCAACATTGCCGAAGTCGTCAGTCGGGAAATAAGACGTGTCTGTGCTGGATTGCAGATGAGGGACGAATGGCGGCTCAATCTGACGGAGAGAACTCCAATCTGCCCCAAAGAAGAATGGATGAGACTTGATTTGGTTCACCGTTAGCCGTTGCTCTGCCCAGTTCATCATGCTGGATGACCCCGTCAGCGAGGTTGAAATATGAAAACTTGCCTACCTTCTGATAAGATTCTCTCCGTCCGGTGATATGTACACTTCGGGGGGGAATAACAAGATACGAAGGCCAGTCAATAATCTTCTTGTACGTGTCGCCTGGATTCTCGGAACAGAATGGTGCATAACCGACTAGACACTCGAAAAAGATGGCTGGTAGCTCATTAGATGGAGGAGGCTCGATGAACTTGTCAAAGCTTTACCGCCCAACGACCACCAGTCGCACTCTTTGCCATAACCATTCATCAAGAAGACCTCCGGTGCTATCTGGTGAAGACTATATTGAGCAACTTGTAACAGAGGGGCCGTCAACGCACATAGTCGGGAGTGCCCACGGTGGAATAAGCCTAGATCCTCGTGAGCGCGTGGAGCAGAAAAAACAAAGTCGCAAATCATACCAATTTCCGTCTATTTGCTTTCCAGGTAGCGATTTGTTCTCGACTCATGGTAAGGTTGATGGGATTGACTTGCACACTGTTGCGTGCGGGATTTGCGGCCTTCTCCTGTTCGAGATAGCGTTTGTAATAGTCGCCATCCGATGCCTTGTGCAACCCCGTAGAGAGACCAAAATCGGACAACTTCAGATGACCACTCTTGTCGATAAGCACGTTATCAGGTTTGATGTCGCTGGGTGGTCATTAGAGGCGAATGGCTGGCTAATACCACTCACCGATGAATATAGCCAAGGTTATGCACTGCTTCAATAGCGAGGATGCACTCCGCCATATAGAACCGCGTAACGTCTTCCGAGAAAACATCATACTTCATCAACATCGTCATAAGGTCACCTCCAGGGAGAAATTCCATCACAAGGAAGAGATAAAATGGGTCTTGAAAGGAGTAAAAGAGTTGGACTACCCAAGGAGATGTGCTCTCGGCAAGAACGTCGCGTTCAGCACGAACATGGGCAAGCTAAAGGTGTCAAACAATATATTATCTTGACAACCACGCTTACCTGATCCCGTTTGAGCATTTCTGACTTGTTCAAACTCTTCATCGCATAGACCTTGCCGGTATCCAGCTTTTGAACCAAGCGGACCTCCCCAAACGCGCCCTTTCCAATGACCTTGACAGTGCGGAAATCTGCAAGCGTGATTTTGGTTCGTCGCAACCGTAGATGTGACGCCTCCAACTTGGCGTATTTTCGAATCTCGCGGTCCTTTGCATCTTGAGTGTGAATTTGTATGAGGCGTGTCTCGAGCTCAATACGCCTAGTTTGTGTTGCTTGAACGAGGCAAAGATATCGAGGACACCATCGTACCTGGCATTGCGAGCGATGGCAGCTTCCACGGCAACCTTGTAGTAGGACGCAAGTTTGAGTTTCGCGGCGGTTGAACGAGCTATAGCGTCCGAAGTAAAGCCAGAAGTTGTGCGTTCAAAGTAGACGTAGTCAGGATCTGGATGGTGGTTGTTGCTTCAGGCATTGATTGACGGATGCAGGTTACCTTGCGACTCTTGGGACCGTGGTTGTTGTGGGGGAAGCATTGGACTGGATGGCCCATAACCAGACATACTGCTGGTGAGGGATTCAGAAAGAGCTGATGATTTTGGCTCAGTGTGACGGCGATCATCAAGGCTTTTCAGCTCCTCATATCTTCGCCCCGAATCAACTCGTCTTTCCGTCTCAATCCTCGTCGAAATGGACCTCGACGCGCTTGTAGATGATGGAAGCTACATCACTGAGCGGGCAAAACTCGAAAACAAAGTCATTCTTGATGAACTTGAACGCAAAAAGAAGGCCCGTGCTTTAGCTGTACCAACGGACGACAACCGTGTCAAAGCAAGACTCCGTGAAGTGGGAGAGCCTATAACTTTGTTTGGAGAGCGGGTGGGCCATTCATTCCCGAGTCACTCTTTTAGTTGATCGACTGCCCAGGCTGCAGACCGTCGCGACCGTCTCACATATGTGCTCTCTCAAATCAATGCAGCTCGTGGTGACGATGCCATGCAGGTGGACGAGGACTCATCATCAGACAGTGAGGAAGAGGTAATCCCATTGTCCCCATTGTTTCTCCCTGACTCACTCGTGGATTAGGAAGAGTTCTATTCGCCAGGCTCTCTCGAATTACTCGAAGCAAGGCGACGCCTCGCGGAGTACTCTCTGCCTAGGTCGTATTCTCCTCGGTAGATCCAGTGCAAGGTGCTTACTGTTCTTTTTTTCTTTGCAGAGCTCAAAAACGCATCGCCCAGCAGCGCTTAGACAGTAAAATGGACCTCGGTCGTATCGTCGACATACGCAAAAAGGTTTTCGCTGAAGTTCAAGTGCGTTTCTCTCAAATTCTAAACTATCTTTCTGAACCCTGGCGTAGAAATTCACCAATCTTGGCTCGCAAATAGGTGATGAACGACCTATCTCTCAGGTTCGTTTTTCGCCTAATAACGAGATCCTCGCGACTGGAAGCTGGTCTGGTATGGTCAAACTTTGGAATGTCCCCGCATGCACACTGATTCGCCCATTAAGAGGTGAGGATACCAGTCGTCTTGTCGGATTTCGTTGATTTTTCATAGGCCACAGTGACCGCGTTGGAGGTGTTGCGTGGCATCCGAAGGCAACCAAAACGCAGAACCCTAGCATAGTTAATCTTGTGAGTGGTGCGGGCGACGGCTGTGTGAATTTATGGGCTTTGAATGCGTCAGTACATTTTCGTCTTTGACTGTGTTCGACGCTGACAGGGCCATAGAGAATCCCCCCTGGCCATTATGAAAGGCCACCAGGACCGCGTTTGTCGGGTAGCATTCCATCCGTCGGGGGAATTCGTTGCCAGTGCTAGTTTCGACACCACCTGGCGGTTGTGGGATGTCAACACAACCAAAGAGCTTCTTCTACAGGAAGGTCATTCGAAGGAGGTATATGCAGTTGAGTTCCAAAACGATGGCTCTTTGGTTGCATCAGGGTACATTTCCCTCTAATGATTACCCACTCGCTAATTTTTTTTACAGTGGGCTAGACGCTATTGGTCGAGTGTGGGATTTGAGAACTGGTCGAACGGCAATGGTACTCGATGGTCACGTGCAGGCGATATACGCGATTGGATTCTCGCCCAATGGGTAGGTCAATTGTTTGTCTATGTTTGCATGATGGTGATCCTTGCTGCAGCTACCAAGTCGCAACTGGCTCTGGGGACGACACAATCAGAATCTGGGACCTGCGCTCACTAAAATCACTTTATACCATTCCGGCGCATCTGTCGAACATTTCCGATATTCGATTTTTCCAAATAGCTGAAAATGTTTGGAAGCCCCCTGTGAAGACGGATGCGGACAAAAGCAATGACATCGAAACCCAAGAGCGGACATATCGGTCCGGGCTTTACTTCGCCAGCTCTGGCTACGATGGACTCGTCAAGTTGTGGAGTGCAGATGATTGGCAGCTGCTTAAAACGCTCTCAACCGACGCAGGCAAAGTCATGTCCGTCGACCTATCAAGTGACGGTAAATTGTTGGCGTCTGGGACCTACAACCGCAATTTTCAGTTATTCTCTCCGGAAGACGTGTAGACAAGCCTGTAGTGTTGGAACGCTCTTCAACGATACGTATGAATAAGGACCTAGTTGGCCTTACCATTGTCGGCGTGATCAGCGATCTCATTGGATGACGTTGACACTGAAGTAGGTGCAGACAAATTTATCTCTAAGCTGCTTGCTTTGCTCTTGCTCTTTGCAGTGATTATTCAGGGTCATACACAGTCAAAAAGCTTAACGTTTTGAAATGTTCTGAAGCAGGAAGAAAGTGTCGGTGATCGGATTACTATGGGGGTTGATCGCGGGGAATCAGTATTCTGCCGGAAGACATTGTGGACCGCCAACGGCGGCCAACCTTTTATTTCACCAAGATGAAACCTTCAAAATTTCGACATCATGGCTTTCGACCACTTTTGTTTATATGCATAGGCCACACAGCCTTCAACCGCATCTTGTTCTACGTTTTATGTCCAGCTATTAACTAGAAGAGGAATTGATTGGGAGGACATTGGTTGATCTCCGTGATATTGATCCGGACCCCCTTAAACTCATGTCGTCACCTGTCGTCACCCTCATATTTTTTCGGCAAGTTCCCAAGTTCCTCCAACTCCAACTTTAGGCTGCATGTTGCCCACACACACGGACCTGAAACCACTCTCGACTGAATAGCTCCAGCCCACAGAAAGTACATACGATCAAGACTGAGAGGTCAGGTTACCAACCACAACACTCTCTGGACCCTACGATATGCACGACCGGCGTCACGAGAGCTTTCAAATTTACAAGTGATCAGGTCCTAAGCCGGCACACGCTTGCAATTGCTTCATATAACTTCAACGAGGCGATGGATTCCGTCTCCACTCATGGCCGTCGATTCGACAATTGACAACACCTACGGAGTGCTTTACGTCGCTGTTGTCATTTCTGCAGCGTACGCCCAGCCCATCTACTAAAATCCACCAATTTACTCATTTTCTAACAGCCTTTATGGAAGTGAGTAGTCTCCGCACGCACTCTTCACTCCATTGTCTGAGATGAAGTCGCAGCTGGAATGCTACAGTTCTGGATGTACATCCGCAAGTATCACTCGCGTGATTCATTCAGCTTACAAGCAGTGGTGCGTTGACAGCATTGGAGGCAGGGCCGCAGAGAAGTTGACCTCGGCGCCAGGTGGTTGCTGTGATCATATGTGACACTGTTCAAGAAGCCCTCATTTGCCATGGCGGTCAGTTCAAATCGCCCTTGTTTGACCTTGGTTCTAAGCTTTCATCCAGTGTATAAGTACCTCGGCACGTCGCTTGCAACGACCTATATCACTGCATTATATGCTCAACTCTTGATAGTGACTTCAATCGCCAATCCGCCAGTCTTGACATCAGTGGTCGAGTTCGTTCATAGTCTCCGCAGGCCTCCGCTGCTCTGACGTTAGTCTATTAGCACTCTTATGATCGAAATCTTTTTCAGTTGTGCTATCGCCACACTTGTGCAACAGTCGGTCGAGCCTTGTGTGTTACCGGCCTCCCTTACCCATGTTTAGATTCTATTGCTGGAGAATATGGCGCAGTAGGCTCCTCTCTTTCCCTAGCGTGCACCGTCGTGACACTGTTAAGTTGGCAGAAACGTCATTCTCACCGGGGCTGTATCGATGGTGAGCTGGGCATCCTCTGGTACGTGTTCACATTGTCAACACCAAAAGCTTTGCCCATTTCGATTTTGCAGCCGTCCTCATTGGTAAGAAGACTTTGCCGGCGAAAACGTGAACTGACTCTGGACAAGTCTATGCAATCAGAGCGTCAGCAAGCAGATCCTCTTCCCACACACGCGATTGACTTTTTTGTGCAGCCTTCAGCTAACGCACTTCAGTCAAATCATTGGGTTGGGGGTAAAGCTTCATCTATCAGTACTCATCCAGCTGACGTCGTCAGCAATGGGCAATTGCCGCCAGCAGCCTCACAGCCGGGGCAGATGTTGTGATCTCCATCACCCTTGTTGTGCTTTTGCACGCATCCAAGACGGGATTCAAGGCATCTACCGACTTGATCAATCGATTGGTGCCTATCTATGGACTTACTGCGAGTGGCAGTTCTCAATCCGCTTTCCTAGATGATTTTTTCCTTCAACACCGGCCTGCCAACAAGCTTTTGCGCCTTGATGGCCACCATCTGTGTTCGTCATCAATTCCCTCGAGCCCTCGCGATGATTCATTGTCGATTTAGGTTACTGCATTGCCGAATACATGTCTCTAGTGAGTCTGATGCAGTATAACGCGGCCTGGAGCTAAACAGACCTGGACAGCATCCTCTTTTTCCTTCTCCGTGAGTGGGCTTGACTTCGAGCAAAACACACACTTGCTGATAAACCGGAAGTTGGGCGGTTCTATACCAACTCCCTGCTCGTTACCCTCAACTCGAGAGGGTACATAAGGTCACCTAGAGATACCACAAGCAAAGAACAATATTCGCTCGAAAGTTCTGGTCGAGGCAGGGTTAGTTTCATTGTCTTTTGTGGGTCAAGGACTAATGAACCCAAGGCACCCATACGATCACGCGATCACATCACCGTCCGTATCGACACTGACACCATGCAAGATTATCGTGAAAGTCCAATTTCGAGCAGTCATTCGCCCGTTTCCAACACGAAAGGAACATCTACCGCTGATCTTAGACATGTCCCTTGAATAATTTGTACACTGAAAAAAAATCATTTGAAATGATGAACACAAGTACTAGTATGCTATAATGAAGAATGTGTACACACTCATGCTACATGTAATACTTAGATAATCCCATCACGAACCTGCAAACTTAATGATGGTATCATTGATTTAATCATCAAAGACATACTTTTTGCATGAAACCGGACACTCTGCTCAGATCGACCACCTGGGACTCACTTTCCACAGCAATGAGTAGAGTTTCAAGTAGCTGTCAAGTCATCAACGGGGTAATTATCAATGAAAAACCTCCATACATCCTCGATTTTATCGATAGGCTGCTGTGTTGATAAGGCGACAATTTTTTTGCATTGGTACTCCTTTTCGGCGCTGGCACCTTGTAGTCCTTTCAATCGTGCCTTCGTGAGATCTTCCATCCTCGCATGCCATAGTTTTAGGCGGCGCAGTTGGACGAGGCTTTCAAGCGAGTCGACAACGGGAATGGGTGGCTCGGCCTCCAAGTTCGACGCCATATGAGGCAACTCGCCAGTACCCATCGTTGGCCGCCAGCGAAAAGCGGGTCCTCCGTTATTCTCAGCTCCCACAATGGCGTCGCTGCTTTCGTCTTCTACCTCTCCTTCTGCATCGGGCTCTCCACTACCGTTACTCCTTCCAGTCCAATCAAATTCGTCCTCCTCAAGCAACGCTTTCTCGATGTTGCGTATTCTCTGCTGCACTTGATCAAGCTCCCCACAGCGCGCTTGCCATGCTTGTATTTGTTTCCGTTGCTCCGAAAGTTCACGAGTTGCAGCTCGCAGATGTGCCTGGGTAACATCCAAAGCGTCTTGTTTGAGCTTGATTTCAGCTTGGAAGTCGTTACTAAGACCCTGTATCATGACGGTCATATCTACGGAGCTCCTTCAGAAGTGAGTTCTTAATTAATAGTTCCGACTGACCAGCAATGACATCTTGACTCTTCTGGACAGGGGGTGGTGGGCCGCTTCGGAGAGCGGCAAGACGATCTTCTGAACGAGTACCGTCCTGCTATTAGAGAGTCAGCAGATGGACAAGCAAAATAAGGTTAACATAGAGTTACTTCGATCTCGACTCCAAAGTCTGCAGGACGCAATCCGAGTTTGTTGGGAAGGTGGCGATTAGCACCCACATCCAAGAAGGTTCGGACCATGCTTCTGTTACCTACTCGAGCAGCGATATTGAGTGCTGTGTCGCCATGTTCATCTTGCAAGTCTACCAAAGTCGCGAAATCTCCTGCTTGATTCTGAACAATGAAGTAGAAAATTTTGTCGAGGTAATATCGAGCCATCGCGCCACGCCCCTTGACCCCCGCCAAAGCTGCAACATGATGAAGTACCGATTTGCGAGACGTATCCAGCGTTCTGATGGAGGCGGAAAGGGCAGTCACCAAACTGTCGAATGTTTGTGAATCAAACGAGTGGGTAGCAAGACATGCTCTCATGAGAGGAGTCTCGCCAAGGTGGTTGCCACGTTGGATATCACCACCAGCTACGATGAGAGAGTTGACAGTACGCAAATGAGCTAAGCTGGCGGCGATATGAAGGGCCGTATGCCCTTGGTCGTCAAGAATGGTGTCGACTTCATATGGAAGAGGATTCTCGGTCGAAGGAGCAACTGCAGCTTCTGGTGTAAGCTCTCGTAGCACGTCTTGAACTGCATGTGGATCATCATTCTGACAAATGGCTGCAATGACCGCAGTCCGCCTTGGATCGCGAATGGGAGCTGTGGGGTCAATGAATTTGGGAATAGATGGTTTGGTGGAAAGTCGTGTTGGATATGGAGGGACGTCGGCCCCATTAGTAGATTTTGGACTGGCTGGTCTGGAAATGCCGTTTGTCACGGTTGGAGCGATGGCAGGAAGAGTTGAACTGGGTTGGATTGGAGGAGGCACAGTTTCAGTGCGAGCGCGTTTCGCTGGGGATGGAGCTGTTTCACCGTTGGAACGAGGGGTGGTTGAAGGTGGACGAGTGTCTGTTTCTGTTATCTAGTGTTAGGCATCTCGGTGTTTTGGAGGAGAAACAAAACCAAAACCTGTCGGGCCTACATCAATGTCTGTGGCGTCTGAACGGTTTCGTTTGAGCGCATTTGTTGGCGGTGGAGTTTGGGATGCAGTTGGGGAGAATGCTGTAGCTGGGCCGTACGAAGGCGACGCGTAGCCGGGCTGAGCATGGGATGTCGATGGCGTAAAGAGGCCTTGAGCACGACCCTGATTAAGCAGCCGAAGGGCTGAACCGGGCATTATTGGCGGTGGAGCGAGGCCTGGTTGAATAGCGGCTGGATAATGGCCTTGTGAGCCAGGAAGGGTGCCATATGATGATGCGGCAGAGAGTGGACGAGGAGAAGGTGCGCCGATGGGAGCAGAGAGTGGAAGTGGGCCGAGTGAGCTTGTGCTGGGTATAAAGTCGAAAAGAGGAGCCAACAATGGACCGACACCATATTGTTGGGCAATGTCGCGTCCACGCTCAAGTGGGATCCATGTCCCTTGATATTTTCCATAACCACCTTGCACAATCTCGTGTTTACCAGGGAGAATCTCCTTCTCGAGTATCTTCGTTCGGCGACCCTTATCGACACCAGCAACTTTAAGAATTTGAGTCGCGTTAACAAACGAGTCAGCGCGTCTTCTCATGACCGCAATGTTGCGAACCATGCACTCATAGACCTCAAATAAAAGCATATCAACAAAAGGATTTGTTGGCAACGAGGAAATGGGACAGACCTGCACCGAAGAGTAGACCGCATTGTAGATCTTGACCGAATTTGAGGTCGACTGCATCGTGGCAGGAAGAAAGGGACGCGTGCATTTACCGACATCACTCGCTTGTTCCCTCAACCACCAATGGAGCAAGGGCCTCCAGAGCGTCAATCGCTCCTCAGCCCGTATAACTTTGCTTATATTCGTCCTTCTATCCGACCTGACAATTCCCTTTAGTGAAGACATCGAGAAAACTCCGGTCTACCCCGTAGTCATGATGGTTCGCAGGGTGCGTTGCAGTTCATACGTCGACCTTTGGCATTCCATTCAAGTTCTTTTGGTCAGGATATAATTGTGAGTTGTTCCTAACGCTCGCTACTTTCAGCTCTGTTCATGATAAAAAAGCATTACATCGACACCCCTTTGACGTACGGTATGGTCGACGACCCCGCCTTTCGGCAGTCGCTCAAACCTTCACAGCGGCGTTGACGGCCCCGGACCTGACCTACACCCTCATTCATCCCCTTCTGGAGAAATATTGCACCCTTCAACGCGCACATTCAAACTTGTCCGTGTAAGGACAACCATAACTTTCTCAAGTTGCTTTAACTCATACGGAGCAGAGTGTTCTGTCTTCTTCTCAACAGGGTTCATTTCTTCCGGGACGAGAATATTTCGACCACGGCTGTTAGTCAGTCGAGAGCAGCGCTTTGTGAGATTTTGGCTATCCGGACTCTGCGAGATCATGGCAAGTTATCATCTCTTGTTCGCTTAGATGAGCTCACCCATCGAATGTCTAGGAAATAGCATGATGGATTTGACGGTCCTGCTAACCACTAGCTGGCCAAGTGTGAACTCTCTCACCAACGCTAGCTGTTAAGTAATAACGTGTCCCAGTCTATGCTGGAGCTGGACCAGAGGTCATTGCACATGGTCGTTCTGAATTCATCGATTTCGACCCAGAAGAACGTGTTGGGAACGCCATAGAGATGGCTATCGTGGGCAAAGCAAAGCGTTTTTTGAAGAGCTCATCGTGCCAAAAAGTCATCGACGGCATTTGGGCGTAAGTTTTGACCATTTTGACTCAAGACTCTGCAGCTGATCTCTCTTTAGCGGTAGATACGTGTATCAAGCTGAAAGTAGTCACTCCATTCTTTCTGACGTGAGTGCCGTGCAAAATTGGTCCGTACTCTGATTGCTTTCCAGACCTATAAACGAACGCCAGTTCATTTCTATGATCCTCATAAGGCACCATTGCTGGACCATTATCGGTTGACAACCTTGCTTTACAACCTACAGCATCCTGATTAACTATGGCAGGCTCAAAGTGCCGGCAGTTCGATCAGTACTTGAATACTCAAAGTCTGTTACTTTGATTCGCTCACACCAACCACCTCCTCATTGCTTCCAGCTTTCTGATCCTATTCGTTCTGTTCATTTTCGCCATTGAATTGAGTGAACTGAACCGCATCAACGCTGCTGAGCTTATTTTCATGATTTACGCGCTGGGTTTTACTTTGGAGAAGATAGCAGCCATGCAAGAACACGGCATCAAGGTTTATTTCAAGGGAACATGGGTCTGTCCATCATTCTCTTTTCTCTGCGGTTATGACTAAAGTAGACCTAGAACGGGTTCGATATGGTGTTCGTGGCGACATACTGTGTCTATGCTTTCTTGCGGATGTATGGCATATACCATGACCGTAAGCTTAATGCAGTTTCTTTGAACTTTCTCGAGCAATCCCACAGACGCATGGGCTCGTTCAATGGGCGTAGACCTTATGGCTCTTATCGCTTGCCTGTTGTTCCCTCGGTCAGGCCTCAGCTCATGGTCTGACGCTTTTCAACTGATCCGACCAGACTGGCTTTCGTAACACTCAAGAATAACTTGATGGTTCTATCCTTGCGCGCCATGATTCTCCAGTTCTGTCTTCTCATGATCATCGCCGCGTTCTGTTTCTGTGGCTTCCTCTATGCCCTTTGGACGTGCGTGGCTATATTTATTCAGAGGAACCGAATTTAATCTATGAGTTCAGATTGAGCAGAAATCAAGCCGGGTAACAAGATTCCTGTCTGCCAATTTCGTCTCACCTTGGCTGCTTATAGATATAGTATTTCCCAAATTGCATGGTGGATGCTCGATCTCTGGTTTGGCTTGGATGCCACAGGATTTGATCGTTCAAGTAAGTTGGTGGACACATCTGACTCGACACTCGCAGCAACTTAGTCTTTTGTAGCAAAATTTCACCCAGTATTTGGCCCCATCTTGGTGCGAGGTCAAATTGAACCTTGAATAAGTGTACTAATAGGAACTGCGTAGATGGTTACCTATGCGTGCATGAGCAATACGCTGCTACTTACTGGTATGGCCTCTTTATCTTATCACGCCACGTGACCGATAATTATCAGTTCTCGTTTCTGTGCGTTCTTACTTCATTTGCTTTGTTTGTGCTAGAGCAGAGCCAGATCCTTTCCAACACATTTGCCACGATATCAGAGGATGCTCATGCTGAGGTAATGTCTTACAGAGTTGAGAGCTTTTGTTAACTTTATGGCTTAGGCGATGTTCAGAAAGGCGGTTTCTACCATCGAAGGGTGCGACAGGTCAATACTATACTACTAACGCCCTCATCGACAACAGAGTGAAAGCCGACTCGCTATTTTCGTATCAGCCCCCGATTAATCTACTCGCCCTTTGTATCATGCTCCCCGCAAGCTACATCCTTTCTCCAAGGTGGTTCCACAAGGCAAGTTGACACTCTCTTTCAGATTCGGGCTTTAATGTAGCTTTCAGGTTAATGTTTTCATGATACGGTAATAGTCGACACCCAGTTCACATCATCCTTTTCATCAACACATTCTTTTGCAGATTGACAAGCTTCCCAATTTTGCTCTTGATCACGCTCTATGAGCGACAAGCAAAGAAGAATGGAACTACGAATATTTACGAGACGATAACGGTCATCACTGAACGTGTGGTTGAAACGCTACCGCGCCGCTTCAAAATTTTCAGTCAGTAGTGAACTTATCTTCGAGCATCCTTGACTGACTCAGATTAGATTTCTTCGAAGGACTAGCCGGATCTGACCATGACATTGATGCGGTTCGTATGGTTGCATCCTAACTGACGATTCTTACTTTTTCTGTTAGGTGTTCGAAATTGAAGATGAACTAATGGCAAGCGCATTGGCGGTTGAAGAGACTTCTGCAACTGAGGATCTATTCAAATTGCATGCTCAAAGGCGCTCTTCGCCATATTCTTCTCCCTCGCGGCCAACTCCACCTGCACAACCTCACTCAACGCCATTACCAATCACATCGCCCACCCCCCCACCACCCGCTTCGTCATCCTCTCCTCCAAATCGGCCGAATCCGATACTGGGTCCTCGCGCAAGGGTGGCGTCCCTCATGCACCGTGGGACCGAAGTCGCTCAGACTTTCACCAGTCCGCTTGCTCAGATTTTCCAGCCATTAGTAGTTGACGACGGGGGTATCCCTGAAGAGATCACAAAGCCCGATCTGCCAAGTCAGAATCGTGTTCAACTAACGCCAGAACACCGTCCAGCGAATGGTGCTGTTGTTCCACCACCACCTGCCGGTGTCAGTTACGGCCCAGCGTATAGAAGACGGCTTTCGTCAATGCATGCTCGTGAAGGGTCAAGCGGGGGTCAAGTTGGACATGTCAGACGCGCTTCAGAAGCACCCAGGATGTTGTTCCCGACGAGCGAAAACGACGATGTGTTTTCAGAGAGTCCAGACGATCGTGATTCGGCTTTACCCACAGCGGAGGATGTGGAAGAAAAGAAGGATGTGTGGATCCAACGCTTAGATAAGATGGAGACACGGCAGGAGAGGATTGAGGAGTTGCTGGAGAAAATTCTGCGCACTCTGAACAAGGAGGACGATTGAGAGGCATCAAATATTACCTAATCTTATCGGTACGCGATACAGCTGGATACGATATAATTGCAAACATAAGCTGGGCAATAAAGTACAAATAAAAGTACAAGTACACTTGAAAGGTCTGTGCAGCAGCCAGCAGTATTACCAACGCCCACCTTGGTTTTGTCCATCACGTCTTCGGGGCCATCCCGAATCGACAGGTGGCGGAAGTTGTGCATTGCCACCACCTCTCCCCCTCCCACGATTTCGGTTGTGATGTCCATTGTTGTGATTGTGGTTGTGATTCCAGTTGTTGTTGTCACGTGCTCTGCCAAATCCAGGCTCGTGGTTGTAATCGCGGCGCTCGTAATGAGGTTGTTGCTGATGTGGCTGGTTATACATGTTCGGTGGTGGCGAATTATAATGAGGAGGAGGAGGGCCATAATTGGGAGGGGGACCCCATGCTTGTGGCGGGGGACCTGGTTGTGGCTGCTGCGAGGGTATAGACATGGGAGGGGCGGTGTTAGGGTTTGGGATCGAGCTAGTCAAACTTTGGAGCATCAACCTGACTTGTTCTGGCGTAAGGGTCGCAACTTCTGCTGCAAGAACAGACGGCTCGAATGTGACTGGCGGTGGCGCGGCAGGTTGCGGTATTGACGAAGGCATTGCGCTTATGAAAGGGGGAATGGTAGTCGACACCGGAACTGAACTGGTGACAGCCAAGGGTGGCGGCGGTGGCGCGGCGAGTTTACCCTTGTTCAGGACCCAAATACCGACGAGCAGATTGGCTGTTCTCAGTTTGGGCAACTGGAGATTGTCCAGTAGCTCCATGTAGTCCGGGAGGCTGTCACTTGAAAGAAGTGGAATGATATATAGCTCTTTGCCAGGGTGGTGATCCTTAGGCCGACTGCCCCATGGAAAGACAAGCCCGTGCCGTCTGCGAGTTAATTTAGTCATGTGTAAGTGGAAAATCAGCACCACGATCTCACCCTTTCGCTATCAAGAAGTCCATTAGCACTTGAAACTCGCCGCCGGCAGTGGGCGATTCGGAGGTGAATGCCACAGCGATGAGTTCTTTAGTGGAATTCATCCGTGTTTGAAGCAGAAATTGACTCGATTTGTCAACAGGTACACGGCCGTCAATTCGTAAAAGCTCGGAAGGAAAAAGAGTCTTCCACAAAGCGGAAGTTGATTCAAGCGGTCGTCCAGCAACTTGACGGGCGGTTACAGGGGTTTCTTGGGGAATAGCAGAGTCCAGAGGCATGCTAATCTAAAAAAAATGCATTCAGTGGGAGCAAATATTGAAAGCAAGACGATGCACTGACCTTGCCTGTCCAAACATAAGGAAGAACATCGAAGGCCGCCTGAAGGATATCAGGTGTCGGAACCACAGTTTCTTTCTCTTCAAGGAACATATCGAAATCTTTGTCGTCGGTCTCGTCATTGTCAAGATCCATCGATTTTTCGGCTTCAGCTGGTTCAGGCGAATGTGCGGGCGACTCTTCTTTCTTTGGCGCGGTCCACAGTGAGTTCAGATCGAATGAGAGCCTGGGTTCAGGGTTGCTCGCAAACGGTGAGATGCCTGTTGTCGGGATGGTGGGTGATTGAATTGGGTCCGAAACGGGTGGTTTGGGTGAAGACGAGGTCTGCTGGTCTTGAGTTGGCGGCTCATCGTCTATGTTGATCAAGTCGGCCAGATTCATCTCTGGCTCTGCCAGGAGCTCAGAGATGGCCGGAAATGGCAGGTCTGTTGCCTCAATGGGGGAAATGGTCGAAATTGGGACACGCGACTGGACAGGGGCCCATGTGGCCGAAATAGGCGACTCGGGAGGAACAGACATGGACGAAGTGCGGGTACGCAAAGCTCGAGCAGCACGTTCGCGTTCTCTTTTTTCTTCCTCTGCACGTTGGAGCTCAGCCTCCCTCTCACGTGCCGCACTCGAGACATTATCCAGGTCTTCGATATCTTCGAAACCTTTGTGGGTCAACTTGGCACGTGGGATGGCCGTCTTTTCAAGAATCGAATGCTCCAATGCCTCCTGCTCTACCATTTTCATCGACTGCTGCATTTGCTCGTTGGCTAGATCAGTCGACGACATGAGCGAAATCTCTTTAGGCGTGATCCCTCCCGAAGCAATTCGCTTGTGAAGAACGGTACGGTCAACTTTGCTAAGATTAAACTGCAGCATTCGATACCGATCCCTATTAGACTCGTCAATGATTGTCAAACAAGGGAAAAGACAACAAAAACTTACTTATACTTGGCTCCAGCGCAGTTTCTACCCATCTTATCAGGCTCGCAATATAAGTCATACACACACTGCTCAAGATCGACAGCGAACTGCTTTGCATCCTCTTCAAGCTGAGCCTTTTCTGTCTCCGTCAAGTCCTCCTGCTTCTTCTCCCCGCCAGAAGGCACATGCGGATAACGGAGGAAAATATCTCTGAATACGGCTTCGAGCTTTCCAAGACAGAAACTCCTCGCAGGGTCGTCTTGCTCTTGTTTCTTTCTCTTTGCTGGAGGTTGATTACTCTTGGGTGCTTTGCGCTTCTTGCTGGCACTTGGTGAAGATCTTTTGCGCAACCGACTGTTCTTCTCCGACCCAGAGTGTTCAGAGTCTGACGATATAGATAAACGTCGAGCGCGACGGCGCTTTGCGATAGGATGAGCTAAGCTTCAAGGCAAAAAAACAAACAGTACCGTACCTTGGCCCTGTCCGCCATATATTCGTCATCACTATCGGGGTCCTTGTCTGATTCTGAAGGTGGTGGGTCATCGTCGACTGGGGACTTGATACGGGGTTGAATGGGTAGAGATGCATCTTCAACGGCATCGGGACCCTCCCAGAGTACTACACACAGATAATTAGTAGGCTGCAGCTGGAAGATTGTGACACATGAAGAAGAGAAAACAGTATTCGAACAGTGTTTATGCGACAACGACTCAACAACCAACAATGACAAAGCTGGCCAGGCTAATAACACGCAACTACAGCCAGTATGAACCAGACGCAGCCAAGGCATCACGCAGGAAGCTGATATTGACTCGTGTCGCGATATAACCAAAGCCAATATACAAGCATGTTCGACTACCCACACCAAGCGGAGGAAAAAACTCACAGACTGTTCTTTGTCCAGTTTTCGTGACACACAGTGGACAGATATAGACATCTACAAGCAATGAAAAGTCAGCAAGGAAAGAGAACAGACAAGTTGGAAACGACTGACTGATGTCGTCTGCGGTACCCTCGCTGAGATCAACGCATGAAAAGTGGTACCTGAGAGATGTAAACAAACTTGTGACGGGCAAAAACACACTGATAACACACCATTCTTTGCATTCTCCACAATTGACCATCGGAGAGCCATCATCGACACCATGACAAAGACAGTATATCTGCGAAGTTTTGATGGCAGAGTCTCGCTTCATCTTTGGCTTTGGCGGCGCCTTGGTTCGTGTTGTCGTCCGACTCATATTTGACCGACGATGTCAAGAGGAAAGAAGCTAGATGTGACATGTCACTGATCCTACGCCGTGATTTCCAACAACTCAAAAATCAAGCCAAAAAAAATATCAGGTGGAGAACGAGTTGTTAGGTCGGGTGCTGGCCCGTAGTCCGCCGGATGGTTGCTTCTTCCATCTCTGCTGCACACCCTCGAGGACTGATGGGCGCCACGTTCGTCAGCTTCTCTCATATCTAAACCCGGCGTGGCGATTTGGTTTGCGTTACGACAGTATACTGCTGGTTCTTCGCAAAGGGTCGTGGCGTTTGGTTATATAGAGTTGAGATAGAGTCTGAAGAGAGGACCTTGGACCCATGCCATAGTCGTCATTGAATACATCATAGCTGGATTGCGTATCAGAAATGACTTGTCCACCAGATCAAGCTGTTTGTGACATTTCGGCACTGAAGCTGTTACAGCCCAGCGTGGTCTTTACTGCCAACCAAGGTCGCGCTCAGGTTTGTCCTAGAGAGGTTTGCTCGCCGCTTCCCGCCGTGTTGAGCAGGACCGAGTTCTGCTTCTCTGGCTGTTCCTCTTTTGGCTGCCGAGTTTCCGCCTCCACAGCTTCAGAGACGGTCTACTTTGGGCTACCTCTGGCCTTCTAACATCCGAGACGTCGTTAGTAGTTTCCTATCCTCTTGCCAAATGAACGTCCTTAAACTAATGGGTTAGGTACAGAGTGATCCGATCGAGGCTCTCTTGTCTTCCACCGCACCTCAACTCAGTGTCGGCCCTCAGCATATGGCAACTGCTGTACTTTCACCTGTAAACGTTGCGAGTCGAACGTCTACGTCCAGTCATTTCATCATGCCTTCCCATCGCTCCCAAAAACCATCACCCACCCCAGGGGCTTCTTCCTCCCGACCTACCGCGTCAATAACGGTCCCTGCTACCCCAGAACCAGCGCCCAAGACTTTTCATCGCATTCGCTCGTCACTCGAACAGAGTCTTCGCACAGCAACGCGCTCAAAGAAAACAGCCCAACCTGTCGTGAGTGATTACCTCACCATATCGACCGGCGCTGGGAAGGGTAAGGAACGGGCAACCGTGGAGGATGTCAACAAGGACAACAAAGACAAATCCTCCAGACCACTTTGGGGCTTCCGTAGGAGTGGTAGAAGCTCGATAACACCTTCCCCTTCTCCAATACCACCCACTCCAACTCCAGACTACCCTGACGAATCTTTCATGCCTTTCGTTTCCCCCACTCTCCGCCAAGGGTCTTTGTCGTCTCCTGCGCTACATCTATATTCTCAGGCTTTGCCGTCACCCAAATCTCAGCCCGCCATTCCAGCTTCATCTTCTTCGACAAGTGATGCTCTCGTATCACCGAACAGGACGCGAAGGCCCACCCTCCAACCATTACAACGCAATCTGAGCGACCTTCCACCCACTCCGGCCAGAGAACGTGTATCACGTCACCGCGCTACCAAATCTAACCCACTCAATTCAATATCACCAGCTCCAATACAAATGAGAGTAGCAAGCTCACCACAAACTCCCCGTCGACCTGCTCGCGACACAACACCAAGCCCTCCTCCAACACCAACCCCTGCATCTGGTTCACGTGGGCACGTGACCCGCTCGTCTTCGTCAGCCAGCGCCGCGCCTCGCGGGACTAGTCCGATCAGGCCACGCTCACCGGGTCGCCGCGTCGTAACTCCACTGCGGAGTTTATCCTCTGCCTCAACTTCCCATCTCCCACTCTCTTCTTCTCCTGTTCCACCATCACCTACTGGTATACGCCGCCCATCAATCGATTCACAACGTAGAGTTTCTATAGACTCACCTCGAAGACCCTCATTCCGTGAAGAATCGCCTTCGCCAATCCGGCCAAGAGAAAGGACCCCATCTCAACAACGGTCCGGCTATGCCACCCGGCAACTTAACGCCTCAACCACTTCCCTTTCCGGCCCGTCAAATCCGGAACATCGTGACCTCATACGAAAGGCTACATCAATGCTGTGCAAAGAGATTGTCAAACCTCCAGCACATATGGCTCGCACAGACTCTGGGCAGAAAGATTGGGAAGAAGTAGAAGTCAGGATGCGGGCGTTGGCTCGACTGGAGCGTATATGGGGGAAAAGCGGCACCGGTGGTAGCTCGAGCAATCTTACCCTCGGTCAACCAACCGGAATCAGTGTCGGCGGAGAGGAACGGGAGCGACGGTTGTTCACTGAAGCGTTGCGAGACGGCTTTGTGTTGTGCCAGTATGTTTACCTTGGTCTTTACTCTGTTCCTGACTAACCGGTGATTAGATTGATGAATAAGCTTCGCTCTAGCTCAATCGTCAGACCTGACAGTCGGGACGACGGATTTGTCCGCACCTCAAACATCACCAAGTTCCTTGCTGCCTGCTCATCTTATGGACTATCTAACGAGGATTTGTTTCAGCGTGATGACCTCATAGAAGCATCAAGCGAATCTCTTGCACGTGTTGCTCGGACCATAATTGCCTTGGTCCAATATGTCGATGCGCCGATTGTAAATCGGTCCAAGTTTGTGTCAGGTCAAGCCAACAAGAAAATCAGCACCCCAGCAACGCCAACCGGTCCTTATGGTGGTCGATCTGCTGCCGCGTCAACACCAAACTTGGCCTTAAATGCTCACTCACCGTCGCCTACACCCCATGCCCGCAAAAGATGGAGTCCACCATCCGACTTACCTAGTGTTCGGTCTGCGAGTCCGGGCGAAAGCTCAGGCACTGGCAGTACTAGTCAAACACCAACTGCGTCAACCAACCAGAAGGAGAATATGCAACACGATCGAAACCCCGTCACCACCGATCGTCCACTTACCCAAGATAAAGAAACTCCCTTGTCACTGTCGCCACCTCCACGTTCCCCTCTTCGTCCCCAGCCTGCAAAAGTAGACGATGGTCAAACCTTTCGTTCATTGAGCCACACGGACCTTGGGCGATCGGCTGTCAATACCCCTGAATTGGGCCTTCGGCAGTCCTTCGTTTCTACCTCCAGTGCCATGACGGAGACGACGACTACCACCGTTATGTCTAGCTTGCTGGAGGTCACTCGCAGTTCTTCCAACAAATTCGGTACTATCCGCACTGTCACCACCGACGCCACCTCCGAGTTTCCAAGCATTACCAGGACAGAGGGGAGCTCTATTGCTGACGACATCTCTCGGAAACGCGGGGAAGCTAAACTCTATAGTCGAGAGACTAAGCTCAGCGAGAGCTTCATCGACCTATCTCGGGTTGAGGAAATGGACGAGGCCGGGACTGCTTCTAGGGGTTTGTCTCGGAAGTGGGAGCAGCAGCAACCGCCACCCGAAGTTCAGCGCATCGACAGCAAGCCAGCTATACGCCTTGGGAAGGGCAAGTGGCCTGATGACTTTGTCGACGCTTTGCAACCACCACCCAAGTCACCCACATCGTCAGAATTTGGCTCCCCCTCATCTTCTGGTATCACGGGTCCCCGCAAAATCGCCATCGTTGGAGCAAACAAACGGAACGAAAGCGTCGAATCCCTTCCCCAATTCCCTAGGCGACCATCTCATCGGGCACGACACAGTATTGATGCGCCAATCCTCCTTGCCAAAGAACGGCGTGATTCAAGCCCTGATGGTTTACCGGGTGGCAGTAGGGTCATGGCTCGTCGCCACTCCTCCAAGCCGTCCCAACGTAGTGGGCTTGCACCAAGAAGCGCGTCACGTGAAGGCAGCGACAGTTTTGTTCCATTTCCTCGATCTGCTTCTGGCGAGCACTCTCCTGCAGGCTCTCCGCCTGATCGCGCTACTTCACCTCTAGCAGACAAGCCTCGGCCAAGAGGTCGGTTCCAAAGTGACATTGAAGGAAGCAGCAGACGCCGTCCTCGACCGAGTTCTTATGACGAACTAGGAGCAAAACCGTCTAGGTCCCGCTTTGAGAGCATGATCAACTTGGGAGGGGCCTCTGGCAATACCAGCGCCAGCGATCTATTGACTCGGGACTCGTTGGATGGAAGCCTTGTTCGCAAGGCGCTGATAGTCAGGGAGGAAGGAAAGCCACCTACACACTTTGTCAGTTTTACATCTTTTCCTATCTTGTTTGAATGCTTACTCTGATTGTATAGCAATTGGGTAATTGCATTGGTCGCGGTCAATTTGGCTCCGTTTATCGTGCTCTTAACTTGAACACCGGCCAAATGGTGGCTGTCAAACGCCTGCGACTGGAGGGTCTGAAGGAGGAAGAGGTAACCCAGCTGATGCGGGAGGTTGATCTCGTCAAACGGCTCTCTCATCCTAGTATTGTCAAGTATGAAGGTATGGCCAGAGACGAGGATACGCTCAGCATTGTTCTAGAGTCGGTTCCGTTTTATACCTACGCTTTATCCCGTCTAACTCCTTCGCTAGATATGCCGAGAATGGATCGCTTGGCCAAACGCTTAAAGCTTTCGGGAAACTCAACGAGCGCCTTGTCGCCAGCTATGTCGTCAAGATCCTTGAAGGGTTACACTACCTCCATTCAAGTGACGTTGTCCATTGCGATCTTAAAGCTGCGAACATTCTAACGACCAAGAATGGGAATGTAAAGCTTTCCGACTTCGGCGTTTCCCTCAATCTCCGAGCTATGGAGCGAGAAATCAAAGATGTCGCCGGCACTCCCAATTGGATGGCTCCTGAGGTTATTGAACTTAAGGGAGCTTCCCCCAAATCCGATATCTGGTCCTTGGCGTGCACTGTTATCGAGCTTCTGACGGGCCGTCCTCCTTATGCTGAAATTGCGAATAGTTTATCTGGTCCGTTCACTCTTTCATACTTGTGTTGAGCATACTCATCTTTATCGTAGTCATGTTCCGAATTGTGGAGGACGATATGCCTCCGCTTCCCGAAGGCTGCTCATCGTCGCTTGAAGACTTTTTGAAGCAATGTTTCAACAAAGACCCAACGAAGCGACCAAGCGCGGAGCTGTTGTGCGAACATGAATGGCTCAAAAAGAACTGGGGCGCTCATCACAAGGTACGGTGTCTCAATACTTGTAACGATTGAGGAAATTCAAATGCCTATTTGAAGGAGTTACGACCGCAAGATAGCATTCCTTTCCTCCGCCGTGTCAGCGCCGACCTGCAAAAGTCGGATGCCGTTCGTTTCCTAGCGCAGCTCGATCCGCCAGATTCCCCGATTGACGGTGGCGACCCTATTAGCAGCTCTCCGCCTGGCCGTCGGGTCTCCTTTTCGTCGCGACCTCTTGATACCGAAATTTCTCCCCGTGACCATTCATTCGTGAAAACGACCTTTAGCAAACGTACGTTCTTCTTATGTGGCCTTGTTATCCAAGCTCATCACTTGTTTTTCTTAGCGATGGTCTGTCGAGTGTGTTTGCTCAATGTCAAGAAGAGCGCTGTCTTGTGTGAGCAGTGCAGTTTGATTGCCCATTCCAAATGCGCTATCAATGCCCCACCAACCTGTGACTTGCGAGCCCAACTCTTGCTATATGCTCAATATGCTGAGAAGGACAACCCGCGCAGCGTATACTCAAACCCGTTGGACGTTGTTTCAGAACCACATCCGATGAGCCCCGCTTCGGAAGTTGCTTATGTCCAACATACTCCTCGCACCAGTTTGGATGGAGCCGCTCCATCACCAGCTTATGGTGGATTGAATGCCAACCCCCCAACGGCGTTCAAGTTCATCGCGGCATTCAAACGGTCACGCTCCAACTTGTCGCCAGAACCCCCTGAGCATGCCTCGTCAACAACATCTATTCCCCAACTTCCAGCCAAGGATGTGACTGTGCAAAAGAAGCTACGGAAAGACCGTGAACGACCCCAGTCCGTCAAGAGCACGAGCACTTCGGCCAACACTTCGAGTATGAGGAGTGCAGAAAGCGCAGCCAGTAGGAGTAACGCCAAGTCTATGGACGAAGGTCGGACGGCCGAAATGCAACGCAAACGGTCAAGACTCAACTCCAAGACTGGGACATCAGAGGCCGATGGCGTTAGTGTTCCTGGCGCGTTGCCCGTGGAAACAAAGCACAAGAAACGGTCAGAGTCGCGGTCTAACTGCATTGTCCAGTAACTTATCCTTATCTTTTCTCTCCTTTTGCTGCATATTCAAAACGTTCCTTTGTGTATTACCAATTCCCCCACCCCGAACTATAACCATACCTCGCCTTGTCTTGCAAACGCTTTTATCCGCACTTACTTGTACTACACAACTATCGCATCTCGTCTGCTCGCTTAGTCTTAATCTTTGTGCAAGATCATGTGACCCATTTTGCTTGTCTTCGACTCTCTGCTGGCGGCCATCAAGGGAAAAAAAAGTATTTTCAGTCTTATCGATCCCTTTGTTTGTCTTGACGGCCTCATTGGACCGTGCTGCTGGCAGCTTGCCGCCTCATGCCCTCCCAAAATTGGCCCCGAAACGCAGAGATTGGGCCATGTCATCGCGGTCCTCGTGTTTAAGAGCTCTTTGAAGCCTTTCTGACTAGCTCGTATGTCCTCCCCCCGTTCACCCGACATTCTCAATTTGACACTGCGCTCCAGGGGATAATGTTTCGACTGCTCATTATTTTTGGCTTTGCCTGTCTGTTCTGCCAAGTTGGCATGTGCACTTCAACAAAAGAAACGAATGCGTCGCGCATGAAACGCGGTTTACCTCCTCTCCGTCCGTCAGCCTTAGCGCGGGGTCAATTCCGGAATAAAGGCACGTTTGGTCTTTGTGTGCCAGAAATCTGACAAGTAAATGGGCGATTAGTGTTGCCCAGCGCTAGTCCAGCCCCGCCAGCCCACACTCCCCCATCGCTGTAAAAACTCACTCGATATCTTAATCTCGCTCAAATACCCGATTAGAGCCTTCAACCACATCCAGGTCCGCGCCAAAGATGGTGGGCGCGTGTTGGGCAATCTTGACAACTCCATTCCGTGCGTGTGGTCCAACCTGCTTTTGTTTTTTGTAGTGGTGCTAATTTGGGTTCTGTAGCATTGGCATCACCCGTCGCGCTACGAATGATGCTCTGCGCGCTAGAGTCGTCGATAAGGGGGACCATGTTCAGCTTTCTGTCGTCCAGTCGACAAGGCACGACTCAGGTACATGTTGGTTAGTCGCACACACCAATAATAGGTCAGCGGCCCCGGCCACTTTTCTTTCTCTCTAATAATTCTCGCAGTAATCCCGAGCTAGCCATATCGTGTGGAACCTCAGTAGAGTCACATGAGAGAAGGAATCGCTGGTCGTTGCATCCATTGACTAGCCAGCTTCAAGGCTTGTTCGAATCTCTGCTTTCGACGTGCCTTGATTTTTATTTTTACAGTTCTCCTCGACGATAACCTTTCTCCGGCTGTAATCATCTACAGCGAAGAGGAGAACAAGCTGCTTTGGTTGGCAGATCGAGACACTTTTCAAGACTTGTCTCTGATTGTCGTGGTGCGTTTCCTGCGGATTTCCCTCGCTCACCGCTCCTGAGACCTCTTCAGGAATTGTATTGGCGCAACAACTAGCCAGGACTTGTTGCTGGTGCTCGCGGACATAATAGATAGGGCTACTCAGCCTCGCGTTTTGCGGACTTGTGTGTTTGCTTAGTCGTGTTTTTGGGCTGCAAAAAATGGACTTTCTTTCTCTGCTAGTGTGTGCCTTGAAGCTTGTGTTTACGCCGAAACTCAATTAAGCACTTATCGGTGCATTCCCTCGTTGTCATCCACGGACAGTTGATCTCTCTCAAGCTCTCAGAATAGCTATGGGTTCTTAAAAGCCGGACTTGCGCACGGAACCCACTAGCACTTCCCTTGCTGCTCTTCCGCTTTTGTCCTCTGCGTTGATGCCAGTGTCAACTCCCAAACTCGACGAGAAAGAGGCTATCGGCAGTCCTTCTGAGGAGGGCTCCAAGGCTGATGTGGTCTCGCTAGAGACGACAACCGGCGTAGTAGCGGTACCGTTCGAGGCTTACCTTTATTACGCCGCAATTCAGAGGCTCGACGAAGACCCCGAGCCACCAAAGGGGTTCAACAAGTTCTTGAACGGCTTGTCCCGCCACAAGGGCGACAATGTCAACATCGATGTCACGCCCCACCTCGAAAAGCACCGCGAAATTCCGCTGTCTGAGCGAGAGGCCGCGTCCAGGGCCCTTCGTTTGGCTTCTTGGAGTGAATATTCCCCCACATCATCTACAACTGCGGGACGCTGACAATGATATTATCTAGGTAGCGCGTTTTACTTGATCACGACGGACATTTTGGGTAGCCAGTTCTGCCACGGTCCCTTTCCACCTTGTTGATCGTTCCCAAAGGCCCTTTCAATGCACCATATGCCATATCCGTGACCGGCTGGGTCCCCGGCATCCTGCTCTACTTTTTCAGTTCGTTGCCCACTCATTTTGTCTGTGAATCTAATTGGTCACACAGTGGGTCTGATCGCGTCATACACCGGACTTTTGCTGTGGCGACTCTACATCCGCCTCGACTCCCCAAAATACGTACGTACGCACCCCCGAATCTCCATCTGCCACAAACTTATAGTTCCGCAGCCGATCCAAAGTTATGCTGACCTTATGCATCGGATCTACGGGACCACTGCTCGTCGAATCTCCAATGTCCTCCAGAGTGTTCAGCTGCTTGTTGTGGTATGTTGAAACTGTTGATCATCATCTTTCTTCTCTGTTAAGCCCTCCAAAGGTTGGAATCATTTGTCTTGCAAATGGGCAAGCTCTTTCACAACTTGCTAAAGGTCATGTAAGTTTCTGAAGCTTGGCTAAAAAATATTTTTCAAGAAAAAGAGATTGATTATTTCAAATAGATCTGTTTCTCTGCAGCCATTATTGTTTGGGCAATACTTGGTGGCATGATAGGACAGATTCGAACACTGAAGAACTATGGCTGGCTGGCTAACAGCGCTGTTTGGTATGTCATACTAATGATCTTGAGTTTATATACTTAAAATACAAAGGATCAACCTGATCATTGTGTTTGCAGCAATGGGATTTGTTGCTCACAGTCCACCAAACTATGCTGCTGCTGAAACATCTCTTGGTGTTCCTTTTGGCCCTATTCAAACTCAATTGTTTGCCAAAGTTCCATTATTTTTCCAGGTAATTCTCAAAAGTTTATATCCACCCTTTGATTGATATAAATTCAATAGGTTAATGGTATCATGAATATGGTAATCTATGCTGTCACTTTGAATTATTATTTCTTTAATTTTCAATTTTTTGATAGGTCTATGCATATGGAGGTGCTATGATTTTCCCAGAAATCATGGCTGAAATGAGGCGGCCAATGGATTTCTGGAAGGGCATGGTTATGGCCCAATTATTAATCTTTACTGCCTATCTAATTTTTGGTGCTTTTGTTTATGTGAGCATACAAGCCATCCAAATAGAATGTTCAGCTGATATACCTTTTCTAGTCAAAACAAGGGCAATTTGTCCTTCCATTAGCATATCAAGGTGTCTCAAAATATAGCTGGCAGACAGTGGGTATGTTATTACTTCTGATGATGATGATAGCTTGATCTGATCAAATACTGCAGGAAATAGTTTGTCACTTATTTCTGGCATTATTGCAGCAGGACTTTATGGTAATATTGGGATCAGTAAGTTATATTTTGGAATATTCCTAACAAAATTTGATTCAAGCTCAGAGGTCGTTTATCACAATATTATTGTGGACTGGTTCAAGGGTCCCCAGCTTATGAGCACAAAAGGGCACTATATCTGGGCTGGTCAGCACATTCTTATAATTTTTTAATAATTGACTTATAGTTTCTAACTTAGTCCTTGTTGTGCTCTACTGGGCCCTAGGTAATAATTTCCTAATTTGTTTAAATTATTATCTGACAAATTATAGCTTTTATTGTGGCCTCTGCAATTCCTCAAGTTGCTGTAATCAATGGACTTATTGCAGCTATTGCTATTATGCAGTTCACTTACACATTCCCTCCAATGCTGCGGCTTGGATATGATGTTATCAGTGATGCAATGGCAGCAGATTATCCTTTCAATCCTGCCACAGGAATGCCAAATCGAGTTGACACATGGCAGGACTGGTCCAGATGGAAGAGGGTGTGTTCTGACTCCTTAACATTTGAGTTACTGAAATTGTCTAGGGCCTCTTCTCTGGTCGCTGGTACTTCAAGCTATTTAATTTCTTGTTGATGCTTGCTGCATTAGCTATGGCTGGACTTGGTTTGTTTGCTTCTTCTCTTGAGAAGACACTTGACTAACATTTGGCAAGGTCTCTGGGCTGCAGGAGAAACAGCAAAGACAGTGTTTTCTTCAGCTGGAGCAGCTACTTCCTTTGGGTGCAAGGCACCAGTCTAAATGGTCATTTTATTCAAATTACCAGTTATATTTTGCTACTTTTTAATGAATATTCACGTTATTTGAATGGCAAAGAGTTGTTTATGTCCATATATGGAAACTTCATTGAGAAAAAATACATTTCATTTCATTCATCAATAACATGAGTCGATACACAGTAAAAGCCCAAAAGAATCTAAGGGAAGGCGGATCCTCGCACGGTCTTGATCCAGGCAGCACCAGCACCGGGATACTCCCAGACCATTGCACCGCCATCTGAACAGACGATAAGAAAGGACGGTCAAAAAGCGTGATAAATTTACTCCACGACTTGGCCTTTGCCTGAGAAACACAGGTAGCCAAGGTCGCAGCGTCCATGAACCCGTTGTTGGCGTAACCAGTCCCAGCAGGCTTGCCAATGACGATCTTCGAAAGCGGCACACCACTGGCAGCGATCTGGAAGACGGCACTATTGGGCCACGTAGAGGAGGACGTGGTGAGAAGGTTGTTGCAAGTCGTGTATTCGTTGGTGCCTTGGTTGTAGAACTATGACCGAATCAGTACGGAATGCACCATGCGATGACAAACCCTTTCGCACCTGAATATTATACCAGTCAATGAGGTTGCCAACCGCTTGGTGGACGCGAAGGTAGCCTCCGCCACCCCATTTGTTTGGCGAAAACCACGGCGCTACGGCTATATTTCCATGCCATCAGGGGATGCTTCGATAGGAAACGGGTAACAAAGGACTTACGGGCGTGGGTAATGATGTATTGACCTGTTGGGAGGAGTGCGCGCAGCTGGGTCGTGAATGTGATCAGCCAATTTTCCGCTGAACCATTGCCCGCGTCGAAGGCATTGAAGTCTCGGGGATAATAAGGATTCGAGAAAAGTCAGAGTTGAGCGCGTAATTAGTACCTTCGTAATCCACGTCGATTCCATCGAGTCCCCATTGGATAACCCAATTTGCCATCGTGGTGGCCTGAAATCATATGAGTCGATGTTCGACTCGAGGCACAGCACAGACCAATGTAGTCGGATTCGCGTTGGTAGAAGTGGGCACATCGGTCGAGCCAAATGCTGAGACCATAATCTTGATGCCGGCAGCGTTGTACTGCGACTTGATACTGGCACGTTCAGCCGCAGTGAGTGTGGTCCATTCATAGGCCTAGAATGGTCGCCATTAATGAATCGCATGCACAAACGGCAACCGTAAAACCTTATCCCAGGCTCCTTCAATCAACAAAAACGAGAGAACGCTGATGGGCGATTAGGAGGCGGGTCGAACGGCAATACTCGGAGACAAACAAGACATTGAAGCCCTACAATGTCAAGTTAGCACGGTCAAACGGGGAGATGATTAGACGGACCGTAACTGCCGAGACGGCGGGGGGTCCAGTAGTGCCTGGAACATAGGCATCGCCGTAAATAACCCAGTGCGGGGCTGCTGGTGTAGCTCTGGACAATATCTCGCGCGCTTTGTGGTCAAGGCCTGCAAACTCGGTGCCATTGGTTGGTATCGAGTTTACCAAGGGGCTAACTAGCAGAATGCTAGACACAAAAGCCAAAAGGCGGACCAAGGGGAGGGCGACCATTGAAGGGAGTTGACCTGCTCGAAACTGGACCCAACAGGCAGATTTATAGATATCACGCTTAGATTTGACCGCATGGACACCATATATGGCCTCAGTCAAGGAGTTGCCAGTCTGATAACAGCTGACTCGAGGTCCGCAACGAAGCAGCGACAACGAGTGAAGCCGTAAGCGATAGCGGTTCTGTGCCGTCTATAGGCAACTGTTGGGACGCGTGGTGAGACGCTCGGAAAGAACCATTGCGAGGCTGACCTGCTTGACTTTGTTATCTGCATCTGTGTCTCTCGCTTGCTGATGCAGAGTACAAGCTGGCGCATGCGACTGCTGCGTGTGATTAGGTCTTAGGACGACAGGTTACTCCTTTTTATGAGCAGCTTGGGCCAGCTGAGAGAGTTGGACTGAAGAGAGGCCACGCGATAAGTTGTTCAGCAGGTCGAAGCAAAGAAGTCTAAAAAACGCATGACAGTTTGTTGGCGCTTCCATGGTGATTTACCGTTGAAGCTTCCTCTCACTTTCGATGCAAAGGATGATAGCAATGATAGCCAAGAACAAGCGTCGCTGGAGAAAAATCGGACTTGGTAGTCGAGACCACGAAATTTGAGGTCACATCGGTCACCAAATACAGTTAGGTAAGCACTGGCTACAACATTTTAATGTTTGCTTGTACAATTACAAGGCGGGCTAAGTCGATGACGAGACGGCAGCTTGCGGGACTTTCTTTGGCTCCAGGCGAAATCTCTGTTTGGTCACCGCTTGCCGCTTCTTCATCCTTGAACGACACTTATCGCACAAAGAGCTGGCAGCACCAATAGGAAGAATTCGATGACAACTATGATTCCCGCATCGCCGCTGTGCGACGACGTCTTCATTGGTAGTGAAATCGATGATACCACCCGCTGGTCCGGAAATGTCTGGACCTTGTTCTTCTGACTGTTCGGCACTGAATCTACGTTTTTTCACTGGCTGCAAATTAGGTCAGTCTTGAGAGGAAAACCAGAGTTTGGAGCTTACCTGGCCGTTTTCAAACTGATAGTGCACGTATTCATTGCTGGTTCGCGAGTAAGGTCTGCCAGGGATATTGGGAGGGGGTGGATGTGACTGAGGAACAAAAACGGTCTTGCGATCTGGCGTTGCTTCTGTCACTGGGGGGTGAGCTGGGGCTGAAGCGGAAACAGACATGGTGGGGGTCGGCTCAGTTTGTGATGATGATGGTTGAGGTTGAGGGAGATAGCCTGCTGGAGCTGGGGTCAACGTGTAGTACTGAACAGGCGGTGGGCCGTGGGAATAATTGGGAATCCTTGGGACCGAGACAGGGACGAGAACCATTGCTTGTTGAGCAGGGAGGAAAGGCGATGGTAGGAATGGATAGAATGGAGTGGAGGGCGGTAGCTGAGTGTGTTGATAATGAAGGGGAGACGCCGCTATGGGCACTGCTGTCCTTGTTTCTGGTGTTTGGACCGTCCAGGATCGGTTTCCAGACGGCCCTTCATCGACCGATGGTATTGATGTGGAATGGTTAGGCGACAATGGCGGTGATTGAATCTGGAAGCTAGCCTCAGATGCCGCAGGGTTTTCGAGTATAATTTCAGAAGTATCCGTAGAGACGCTTGGCGCCGACCTTGAGCCATTCCATTTGGCTTTACAATTGGTACACGTCCTCCAGCGAGTGCCTGGCATGATCAAGTTGCAGCAACCGTCTTGTTTGCAAATCGCGGGATCCTTGTTCGACTTGGTATTACGCTGATTATATGAGTCAGATGGTATGGCCACAAAGACACGAGAAGGAACCTTAGAGATTGGGGTGGGTTGGATAACTTGGTTATCATCGTCATCTTCAACAGACGTCGCTGGAAGCGCTTCAGAGTTGGCCCTCTCTTTGCCCTTGCTCGATTTAGGCGCTTTTATAGGACCAGGCTGGATGAGCACAGTGCCATCCTCAGCCAGGATGCCCTTCTGAATCAATTCTCGCCCTCTCTTAATGAAACTATGCATTCGGTTCTGCTGGCGGTGTACTTCGCATCTCTTGAAACGGTAAGACCCCAATAGAATCTTGTGGCAATGGGAGACGCTGCAGACACGCAGGGGCGAAGAGGAGGAACTGGCTAATGTTGGACGCACAAAACGTGGATCGGGGGGAGGCATGATTACTTGAGGCTTGCCATGGGTCAGAGCTTGATGGGGAAGAGGGAGCGCAGATTGTGCGTCAACAAGAGCTTGTTGATATGCTTCCAGTTCTTCGGGGCACTCTGTAAGCGGCTGAAAGCGCGTCTCTTGGTAGAACTTGGGGTCAAACATATAGCACATACGGCAAGACCTTCATTAGCACGACGCTCGTCTTCCTTGTCAAGTAGTTGTTTGAGTTCTCTATCATGTTCTGCCCGAGCGGTTTTGGATTTCTTCCGTTTGGTGACCCCATAAACTCTATATCTGTTTCGACAGGATTGGCACATTTTGTACGGATAAGTCACTGCGGAACTAAGAATGAGTGCAACAAAAAGCTATGATCACTCACCAATGGACTCGACTATGATGACTTTGCAACCCTTGACCGAACAATAACGCGGCTTTTCGTCTGCCGACGTCTCTACGGGCGGCAGAGGAAGTTGAGGGATGGGTGGAGGTGTTGGTTCTCCTAAAGCACCCGCTAATGTCGAGCTCGATGACGGATTGTAAAGAATAGGCCATTCAGAAGTCGTAGAAGGACTTGCGGGTACAATCGCAGTCTATTTGCACCCTCAGATCTTATTCATTTGTGATCTATAACCGTACCTTATTGACTCTCTTCGGTTTGGCGCGTTCAGCTAATGTCAAAGACGCCAAAAGCTCTGGATATTGCTCGAGAAGCGTCTTGGCTGGTTTCGTGGGCGTCGGCTGGGAAGAAATGGTCAGGGCATAACTATGTAGGACCACGATTGGCCATACCTCAAGGGGTAGACTTCCATCTGAAAGACCCACGATCAGCGCCTTTTCTGCCTTCCTACGCGCTCTTTTGGAATCGGCGTATTGTCGATGTTTACCCCGACAGTTGAGACACATTTTGGGTGGTTTCCTGGCTAATGGGTCTGTAGGGACCTCGACAACCTTGGAACAACCGCGAACTGAGCATTGCTGTGGCGTGAGGATCTAAGAGCGACAATGAGGGTTGTTGTTTATAGATTTGTGTTGTTGGCTAGCTGCGCACATCACCAGCCTCGTCCATCTCGAGAAGAAGGTCAAAGTAGTCTCGTGAAGGTTGGGAACAGGTGATGTGATTACAACAGATGGGAATGACTAAGTATTATTTTATCGGGTTCTGTTCCTGCGGTAGTGCATTATAAGCTCTGCACTCTGCCGCCAAACATATTGCCTAACAGCGGCGATGCTCATGTCCAACGGCAACACCAAGTCGTTGCACAAAATTTCGTATAAATCCTCTGGCCTGGTTCGTGCCGCATCTGGCGGTGGCGGCTCGAGCTTCTCAAGCTTCTCTTGAACCTGAACGGCAGCGTGAGAATAAAAACAGGAGTGACAGGATAGGATTTTTTACATGAACAAGGAGTTTGCGGACTCGGAGGAAGCGACTGGCAGTAAGCTTGGACTGTGTGCTGGATATTCTCTCTTAGCCATCATACTCAAACTTCTGCAAGAACGTACGTGTTGAGCAGCTCGGGGAGTTGGTCATCTTGGTTGTCCTTGTCGATCCAAGGCAACAGAACAAAGCTGAGTTTCACCTGTGGCGGTGTACTCGGCATTCGATGCAACAAAAGATATTCAAGGAGCCATAGCGGCATCGCTTCCTCCAACGCGTGAATATCTCCGGAAGAACCTGTCGAGCCCACAGTGCCCCGGTAAATGGTCTTGTACGCAAGCTCATCCTCTTCCTCTATCAACAAAAGAATATGCGGTGACAGGCCCAGTGTTGGTGCTTCCGCTGAAGAGGGTGGTGATAATGGGCCTGAAAGTAAAAGTTGAGCGGGGGGTTTTCGATATCGGGTCAGGAGCAGCCTCCTTCGAAAAAAACAAAGTCAGAAATCAATCCTACTGGAGATTTTAAACTGACCTCAGCGATTGGAGCCTCGACAGTTGGCGGTAGAGAAGGTGTAGGAACATCATGGGCACGTTTCTTCCCGAAGCTCTTGAGACGTCCCATTAAAGTGGTGGGAGTATTGGCAGTCTGGGTTGCGGGCCCACCCCAGCCAGAAAAGTCGTCCGCCGCTGTTCCAGGAGTGGTGGCACTCAACGTTTGGCGAGGGCGTATATTAAAATAGTCAGTCTCTTTCCCATTTTCACCAGTGCGTGGTCTACGCTGAGGCATGGGCGTCATATCCATGCTGGCCGCAGTCGGCGTCCCTGCAATGGGAGACAAGGGTATATGGTCTTTTCCTCTTAACGGAAGGGGTATCAAGGGTGTTAAAAGGGGCGAAGCGCCCAATGGAGTCGAAGACATGACCGGCGCAACTGCTGGGACCATTCTTGAAGAGGATACGACTGTTGAGCTACTAGACCGACGACGAGGCTCTGCTGAAAATGATGAACCTCTGTGTCGAGATGATGTTTCGCTGGAAACGCTTGCTCGACGTTGAATAGATGATGTGGTGTCTTGACTATGGCCACTATCCCGTTGCGATTTTCGTGACCGCACCTCTTCTCTGATGAACCCGAGAAAGAGGTTCCTGAGCACCCATTTCCCAATATTCACTATCCCCCCAAAAATGAATGTCAGGCTAGAAACAAAGAGAAAGCGTACATTTGGCGTCGTCACCAAAACGACGGTCTCCAGCAAATCCCACTTCGTCCGCATATATTTCACTCTCAAAGGACCGTTCGTTCAAATGGACGGCCAGGACGCCAGACTTGGTATCAACTGTAGCCCAAGGCGCGACAACGGCCTCGCCTTCGAGTTTTTCTTGTACTCTCTCTAGAGCATCCCTTGGACTCCATTCTTGGCTTTTGACAGTGACATCATGAGCCTTTCGAGGAATAACTCCCACGCATATCCCACGTACAAGGTCCCAAACGCCAATTTCGCCGCTGGTGTCGATACTGATTGCATGAACTCGGTCGTTAAGCACTACGGCGCGAACCAAACCTCGTTCACCCTTCAGAGTACCAACAGGATCTGACGAGGGAACGAGTGGTTGGGCATCCGCTGCTAGCTCCCGACTAAAGTAAGCACCACGTGAGTTGGGTAGTGGTGCGCTTCTCATAGGGGAGCCCATATGAGGAGATGTAGAGGTATGCAATGCCGGAGACCGTAACCCCGGGACGCTAATGACACTAGCAGCAGAGTATAGAGTTGCAACTTCCGGGTCACGCATACCACCGCTGCGGATGGGGTATGGGTCAATGGGACTTGTGAGTCGTATCAGGCTGGCGTAGGGAATGCCGTGTCGCGTGTCTCCTTCGTCGCCATCATCGCCATCATAAGAAAGAACGGAGGGCGCGAGCGAGCGACTATCCCGTTCAAGACTCGAATCAAAGTCCTTGTACACGGTAGGACTTTTGGTGGGAGGGGGAATACGCCATCGTCGGACACTAGACGAGCTGGTTGCAGTCCAAACCAGAGAATCATCGGCAACAACTATCTTGTTGATACCTCCGGTCGCTTGTGGGGTGGTTGGCGAAACTTCTTCGCCGTCTCTGCATACGAAAACGCATTCGCCTTCGCCCAAATCGGTGTTCAGGTGAGACACATCGACGCGCGAAACAATCCCAGCACGATCTCCGGCATAAAAGGTTTCTAATAATGGATGCGCAGAGAATAACGACCAAACGGAGTCAGCGTGATGAGTAAAGGTGTGAAGGCAGCGTTGGGTAGCCAAAGACCAGAGTTTAATGGATGCTATATTTGCAAGTCAGAACATGAAACGACAAGTCAAGGCATGCTTACCATCGGCGGAGCCGGTGAGCAACTACACTGTTATTAGATTTGAAAGAGTGGACGCCAGTAACGCACATATTTCGCGTCTTCCGATAGTAGGATTGCTCGAATGTTGTCTGTATGACCAACCAGTTTGCCTTTCGAGTGATCAGATGCCATGAAATCTAGGAACCAAGCATACCTGAACGCTTTCCTGTCCTAGGGTCCCACATGCGCACAACTCTTTCAGGACCACCTGAGGCAATTGCGTGGCCGAATGGATCAGCAGCAAGCGCATAGACGGAGCATTTCGGGGAATTTGCATCGGCGGGTTGAAGGGTAGTCAGAGGTTCTGGCGTGGTTTGTGTGCGACTCAAGTCCCAGAGTTTGATTGTTCGGTCAAATGATCCAGATGCAATCCAGTTTTGAGTCCGACAAGAGGCCAAACAACGCACATAGTCGCTATGGATGCCAACTATAGAAGGGTCAGGGCTTCCAGCGGCGTGGGGAGTCCATGCTTGAACCGTCCCGTCAGAGGAAGCAGAAACGACTGTTGAGTGGTGTATCAGTCATGAACAAGTAGAAGAAAAGAGCGAACCGGTCTGATTGTAGTTGCAAAGCAGTATGTCGTTGACCCAGTCAGTATGGGCTTGCATGCATTGACGGAATGAGCTAGCCTTGAAGAAATGAGATTCTGGGGAAAAGAATTTAAACACGCACTGCAGGGACTGCCTCTAGATCGAGTTGCCATTCCTCTTCAAAAGGCACCTCCCGAATGCCTGACGAAGGCCTTCTTCTACTTGAACTTGCTGTCACCTCACCAAGAACGTCGCCATCCAATGTGGGTCGATCGTCCCCCTCTTCTCCCTCTTCATCGATAGCGTCGTCAGCCCAGCCTGTCAACGCTTCCCATCTCCCTTTTCGCCCAATGATATTATCCGCTGGAAGTCTATGGCGTAATGACAAAGAGAGGTCCCATGAAATCACCAGGCCATCACGACCAGCGGTGTAGAGAATTCCTTCCGGAGTTGTTCTGCCTGCGAGCTGGGTGGATGTGTCGACCGCAAGGGCAGCAATACCCAGGCGATGGCGGGGTCTACGACTTCGGGTGATTTGTTCATATTCTTGGCCACGGGACGGAACCAAGAGCGGGTGAACACGGCCTAAGCGGTCAACATCTTCAGGAGGTAACTCCAGACGAGGGACAGGCTCAGTGGGAGGGGGAATAATATACGACACTCGTCGTTTAGCTGAAGCGGGTGCCATTCAAAGAGGCATTGAGATCACGGGATTTCTTACAATACATAGAAGTACATGCAGCGAGAGAGTAAAGTATAATGAGACGACCTAGAGTCATAATGGTAGCAGTGGCAAGTCCTCCTGACAAGCCACAATCAAGCACCGAAACCGTAGAGCGTCCTGCCTGAACGCTTGAGGGCGTAGACAACGTCGAGAGCAGTGACCGTCTTCCGCTTGGCGTGCTCAGTGTATGTTACCGAGTCGCGAATGACCTGGGGAAATAGTCAGTCACCAGCGACCAAGTGCAAAGCGAGTAAACACACGTTTTCGAGGAAGATCTTGAGAACACCACGGGTCTCTTCGTAGATCAGACCAGAAATACGTTTCACACCACCACGACGGGCGAGACGACGAATAGCGGGCTTGGTAATACCTGAGAGCAAAAGTGAGCAAAAACATGAAAGAAAGAGTTGAATTCAACGTACCCTGGATGTTGTCGCGAAGAATCTTGCGGTGACGCTTGGCACCACCCTTTCCGAGACCTTTGCCACCTTTGCCACGGCCAGACATTGTTTATGAGTTGTTGTAGAGGGGGGAGGAGAGTAAAGTTGATTGGTGGACGTTGGAGACGAAAGTGCGATTGAAAGTTGGTCACAGACTCTCAGGTTCTTAAGAAGGCAATCGGTGGCTGTGCTGAATTCGGTCGCGCGTCAACAAAGTCACGCACAGGTCAACAAGACGCGTTCATTTATAACTTTCGGTCACACCTCCAATCACACTCAGCTTTTCTTGCTTCCCGACCACCACCACCACCACCACTCTACACTTCCAACAAATGGCCCGCACCAAGCAAACTGGTGTGTTGTCTTGAACCAGTTTTGGTCTCTTCTAACTCTCCACCTCCAAGCCCGTAAATCCACTGGTGGCAAGGCGCCTCGTAAACAACTTGCTTCCAAGTCCTCTGCTGCCCGCAAGAGCACTGCCGTACGTGCCTGTTGATCAACTAAGCTTTCTCTCTTACCATCGTTTTCCAGGCCGCAGCTGGTGGTGTCAAGAAGCCCCATCGTTTCCGGCCGGGTACCGTCGCTCTTCGTGAAATCCGTCGCTACCAAAAGTCGACCGAGCTGCTCATCCGAAAACTCCCCTTCCAACGTCTTGTCCGTGAAATTGCTCAGGACTTCAAGGTTCGTTTCATCGTCGTCGCTCATTAACTCCGTTGACCCCCCCTATCCAGACTGATCTCCGTTTCCAATCGTCCGCTGTAATGGCTCTGCAAGAAGCAGCAGAGGCTTACCTCGTCTCACTCTTCGAAGACACCAACTTGGCCGCCATTCACGCTAAGCGCGTCACCATCCAGCCCAAAGATTTGGCTCTTGCCCGGCGGTTGCGCGGCGAGCGTTCATAGACTGTTTCTTGTTTTGTCCATTATTTTTCCGCATCCTGTACTCTAGTGTATTCCCCAGCAATCAACAATGCAGTAGTGCATTTGGAACCCTTTGCCCAGTGTTGTGCCCATCTCTGGACCTACTTAGTGAGGCCATTAGCTCAGTAATGACAAGACTTTTCATGATGTTACTGCTATCCTCTTCTTCTGGCTAAATAGGCGCGCTGACACCGCTCTGTAGGTGTCCCATATTCGAGGCCCATACATATAATAGACCAAGCCAAACAATGCACCACTCAAATGCGCAATATGGTCAAATGTTCTGTGGATTGTAAGTAAGTCATCCTGAATGAACACGAAACTGGGTGTAAACCTCCAACCGCGTAGCAACCCCACAATATCCATTAGCACCAAGCCACCGACTGCGGTTCGAATAGGAATGTCGATAGGAATAAACATCACATTAACGTGTAGTTGAGGCAAAGCAAGCGCAGCGACAGCAACACAAGAGTAAATCGCGCCAGACGAACCCAACGAGCCACCGACAATGAATTTGGCAGCACTGCGGGCAGGTCCAGTCAGACGACCCTTGATGAGATCATATGCACGTAGTCGCAAAGCATGCGAGGCGAAGGATGAAAAGAGACCCGCTGTTCGCAAAGTCAAGTTGCGTAGCTAAGCTTGGATACAAGTGCATACCAGACACAAAGAACGCGAGGAAATGGTACCCTGTTGTTGACTCAAGAAGGTTTGAAGGACCATCACGTTGCTGCTGAAGTAGATACAGCCCTGTTGCTGCACCTGCAATCAAGTAAGTCACCGTCTTCACCAGCATCAAAGAAAAGTGTACCGAAACCGTGCAGTGCGTAACAATTGAAGAAGAGGTGAACAAAAGAGTGATGGCTGGAAGCGTTGGTAATCGAACAGCAGAGATCCCCAAACCACTGACCTAAATACACTCGTGAGAAGGGTACGGGTTCGGCCAGAGAGGGGTCGATGGATAAAGTTATGCATCATGAACGGCAAAAGGGTGTGGCTCTTCCAAGCAATGAAGACGGCCACATTGGCGGCGCATATACCCCAGCAAACTTTCTGGGCGTCCACGGCATTCAGCCACTTGGTCGCAATATATGCGTAGCTCTGAAGGATCGCGCTCTGTGGTATCGGTGCAAAAGCTTGGACTGCACGACTGAGTTTCACAAAGCCCTTTTCCAGAGACTATAAACAAACAGTGTTATTCGTAGAGAGCAAAGAAAAGAAAGTCATGCCTCCTTGAGCTCATAAGCTCTTTGTCTCATCAGAACCAAGCTATCGATAGAATCTATATAACCACCACCACGTTCTTGTCTCAATTGCGTGACGGCAGCATCCGTTTTCGCGTTGGTACGTGCAGAGGCCCAGAAATAGACGCCAACACTCCCTAGAACAGTAAACTCCCGAATGATTCAGCATTTAATACGCATTCTAGTCCAGGAGCGTACGATGGCTGCCTTCCGCGAAGAGTTTGGGGTTCGAAGATCGGGCTCCTCGTAGACATCTGGGCTGGACGCGTGCGATGGTTGTTGTGGGATGGCAGTGGGTTTCTCGTTAGCTTGTCGGGAACGTCGCTGAGGTTGGCGTAGTAATTGAGTGCCATGAAGGCCGCGGATATCAGGTTGACGAGGGCGCAAGCAAGGGACAAATAGACGAGAACATCGTGGTCCAAGAAGAAGCCGGGACATAAACGTAAAGCTGCCGAATTTTGTGATGAGGTCAATTCTATAGTCTATTGGCGGACTCATGGTACATTCTAAGTACATCTAGTCCCGATAAACTGTGCGTAGAACTCGAATATCACCAATGCAATAAGAGCAAGCCAAGGAAAGGCAGTTGAGGGTCTTGTCAGCAACGATGGCGAATCAATGGTTGATTGATCGTCAAGCCATGTTTGCCCCCGTGCGAACATGTCCCGGGATGAGAATACCTCGAGAATTTCGCATTCGAACTCGGGAATAGAGAGTTTGTATTTGCGCCATAACTGAGGTCCTTGGCCAAGCCCCTTTTCAACGGTCAACAGATTGTCGTCCTGGTTTCCAATGCCAACGCTGAGGAGCTCAAAGCTTGGGCTGACATCCAGCTTGCTGAACAGTTGGCCGATGCCGTACTTTTCTTCAATAAAGAGGTGGGCGCAACGTGCCGAGGAAATTTTCACTTGGGATGTCGCTACACAAACCACCTTGCCACCGCATTGGAGATGCACTTGTCGCTTCTGGACTAGTGGGGCTTCAAAAGAGGCTTGAGCTACGGCAGACGGATTCGGGAGAGACAAGGGAACGAGACTGCTATCCTCGCGTTTGACGAATGTATGGGAGTAGATAAGAGCCAGAACGATTGGACGAGCGAAAAAGGCGCTGTAGAAAGGTCAACATAGACCAAGCATCCAGCTTCTTTATGCAACGCACCTCAAGATACGTTGCAAATCGCCTTGCGCGGACAGCGCGACTCGCTCAATTCCGGTAAGTTCTTTCGGCCATGAGAACTATAAAGAGTTGTGAGCTACAGAGTGGGGAAGCCAAAGATAAAGCCCTTACGCTGACAGTAGTAGTCTTGGGAGTGAAAGAGTAGAAGGAAGACATGCAGCCGAAGGGGTATCAAGTTATCAACTGGCTTTAATACGAGGAGAGGACGCGAGATATCATTTGAAATTTATTTTCGGTATTCTGATAGACGCATGTGTTGCGACTCTCGGAGGTGAAGAAGGCGGGGCGCGACTGGTCGTAATCGGACATCGTTGTTGTCGGCAAGAAGCGATCCAGTGGTAATTGATGTTGATGTCACAACACGAACATCCCTTCTCAGCACTCACCATGTCGACTCCGGGTTCAGCAGAAGAAGACGACTCCAGTCCAGAGCCCTTAGCCCTTACTGAAGATGAAGTTACTTGTTCTCAAAGTTGGCTCTTCCAGCATCGTTGGATAAGCCCATCTGACGGCATACAGTTCGTGCTTTCTTGGCCTCGGCCGAAGAGGTAGACATGGATCCGGAGACTGTTGAGGAGCTCGTGCAAACACTCATCACGAAATCCACTGACAACGCTGCTCTGCATATAACGAATGAATCTGAGGCTGGCCTTGATCTTCGGGTCTCTGAACGAGACATGACAATGTTGTTTTCCGCGCTAGACGCAGGTACTAAGTGCACGTACCTTTTCTGATTTCCTTTTTTCTCATTGCTTCAAGAGCTACAAAGTTGGTCGCATCAACAGATTAGAGCCATGCTCCACCACTTGAAAGAACGCGGTTAGTGGAGTGATCCTCGCACGAAAATGCATTCAATGAAGAATTTGGAAGGTGCTGCTTCATTTATGGAGGAATATGTCGTCAAGCGCAACATTTCAATACCGCAACTCCTCCTGGCTTTCGACATTGATCTTGTTGGCTCGCACACAACTCCTCTTGGTCTGATCTGAGCTCTTCATAGAGCCCTGCTCTCCAAACGATGTCTTCGATCACTCTCGTCTACTTCCTCAGAGTCGCTATGAGTCGGGAGTGAGTGTGGCTGTCTTCAGTGATTCGCTGTCTAGAAACTGTTCCAGACTCCAACTACGCGATAAGTTGCCCGACTACAACACAGTGGAAGATGCAGTGCGCCTCATTCGAGAGTCACGTCGGATGATAATACTCACAGGTGCTGGTATAAGTACGTCTTGGTCTGCATTCCGCGTCTCGTCTCGTGATATTGTCAGGTGTTTCCTGCGGTATTCCAGACTTCCGCTCCCAAGACGGCATCTATGCTGCATTGAGACAAAGTGGCCAGTACGAACTTGATGATCCTCAACAAATGTTGGCATCATTCCATTTCCCATACTCATGCTGATATTGCCTAGGTTCGATATTCGTTATTTCCGTGAAAATCCGGCAGGTAGGTTGATTCCTCTTCTACCCATTGTTCCGACAACGAGAACAGTCTTTTAGTATGTCCTCTATAGGTCCATTTCACTAGTTAACGAAACTGTCCATCGAGTTCTTTTGCTCAGTGCGTTCCCGCTTCTAACTTGAGCATTAACTAATCAACTGACCCAGCCAAATATATCCCTCAAATTTTACCCCATCCCCCTGCCACCGCTTCATCAAGCTGGTCGAAGACAGGAACCAGGTTTTCCCGCGTTTGTTCAGGATGCATTAGCACTAATCAATGAGACCTAGTTGCTGCGTGTACGCAACCTTCCAACATTCTGGATCCAGCCTCATCGCTTCCAATAGAACTACACACAAAACATTGACACACTTGAAACCCTGGCTGGCGTAACTCGTGTTCTCCAGTGTCATGGGTCATTCGCGACAGCCAGCTGTCTCTCGTGTCAACGACAAGTACATGGGTCTGAAATTGAAGCCGATATTCTTGCCCAAGTCGTCCCATTGTGTTCAGTCTGCAACGTACCCACACCAGCTCCAAAAGCAAAGAAGAAAAGGAAAACGAGTACACCTTGGGACAGCGGAGATGATGACGAGGAGAACGATCATCCAGCCTATCCGCCTTGGGTTATGAAGGTCAGTACCCTCCTTTCCATGCAAATCTTACTTCATCATTGATAGCCGAATATTACTTTTTTCGGCGAAAAGCTTGGAGATAACTTTGATCAATCGCTTGCCGCAGATAGAGAGCAGGTCGACTTATTACTGGTCGTTGGCACCTCGCTCAAAGTAGCACCCGTTGCCGATATACTTGGTGACTTGTTTATTCCGAAGAGACGTGTTTTTGACTGTTCGTAGCCCATTTGCCTCACTCTGTTCCTCAAGTCACTTTCTTGCTCTCGCGGTCCATTATCGCTATTGACGGAAAGACCAGATTCTGATCAACAAAACTCCAATTCGGCACATTAATCCCGATGTGAGAAGTTGACAATCGTCCTTCTTTATACTAAAGTCACCATTCCAGATCGTACTACTTGGGGACGCCGATGACATCATCTTACACCTCTGCTCGAGGTTGGGCTGGGAGCTCCCACTATCAACTGCCGAAGCAGGACTCAAGCCTGCTTTACTGCGCGAAAGTACGAGAAAGAGGTCGACAGCTGATTTACATGCTCAGCAAGAGCCCCGGAGGATTGGTAATAGGTATCGCATCTCGTGTTCTTCTTTCCGCGTTAATCAAGCAACCTTACAGTCATATCTGGGCCTTTGAAGGCGCAGAAGGTGGCGAATGGCTCCAGCAAATTGAGGAAGCGATGGCTGCCTTGGAAGATAGTAAACCACAAAACGAGTCCATTGCCACAGAGTCTGAGAAGCACGCCAAAAAACCGCGTTTGGAATAGTTGTAGCCTTTATAAGTGGGTCAAAGCTGAAGGAATGATGTCTCCTGTCAAATTACGTGCAAACTTGATACCTTGCTTGCCTCTCCCCATGCGCCTCAAAGGTCGACCATCACTACCTCCAGAACTTGTCGATCTCATCATACAGCTCCTCGTTCATTCCCATGGCTCCACTGCCAGCCCAGCTCTTTTCTCGCAACTTGCACCGCTAACGCTCGTTTCAACACTTTTTCGACGCATCACTCTCCATCGTCAGTAACTCTGTGTGCTTCGTGGCGAGTGTGTTTGACCCACATTTGCAGAATTCTTTCGTCGTATTGTTCTACTCGAAATCGATCCCCGCAAAGCAAACTCAGAATGGAACCGGCTTCTTCGTCTACTGCTGTCCTTAAACGATCGAGACTGTTATTCCTGGGTCAGGTTTGTCTTTTTTTTTCCCCGCGCGACATCACGCGTATATAAGCATGTCCAGATGCCTTCTAGTCACTTCACGAGCACTCATTGGTCCGTTCGAACTTGCTCGTCTTTCTGAGCTGTCTCATCTCGTACAATTGTCTATCGACTTCGCGACAGAGGGCTTGGCGACACAGAAATTTGCCATGCACCTGGTAGCCGACGCGCCTCCTACTCTCAATATCCTGATTCTCACTTCGCTACCGAGCGTCAATATACCGCTCCTTCGTCTCGTCGCTTCTCGGTTTCCTTATCTCACTCGCTTGCACTTGAGTACGACGGAACGCCTCGATTGCCATTGCTGGAATTGCTACGAAGAAAGCCTTGGATGTACTATGCATTCCCCTATTCCAAGTATGTTTTCAGATGCCCAACATCTGTCGGTAGGTCGTCATTCCAGTAAATAGCCAGCCAACCAATATTTCTGTAGATTGTTTTCGCAAGAATTCTCCAACCACTCAAATTGCTTACTTTTCTCCATCTTGGCATCTTTCTCTCCGACGAAACTCTGATTGACGAGCACATTCGACACGCAGAACAACCTAATACGGCGGCGTTTGGACCTGAGCAATGCGTTATCTGTGACAACGTTGCAGAGCAAGTCCGCTTACGTGAGCTGACGGCAGCACTCGACTTTGCCCAACACCTCAAATCGCTCCGCACAATTGGATTCAGTTCATTCTTTGACCGAGCCATACCGGATGTCAACAACACGATAGTCTATATACTGAGAGAGGGCGGACGTCTGAGGGTGCGTAAGACGAGTTGGACATGAAGGGTTCCCGATATGGTAATACTTGTATGCTTGGACAATGCTATCACTCAAAGCGACCACTGGCAAAGCGCGGACGTCACAGCATGTCCGGAAAAGCTCGTGGGTTCTATATATATATTAAGGTCATTAGGACAAGTCACTCTCAGCAACGATGGCCCCCACATCCACTTCCACCACGACTGCCGACAAGAATGCTGAGTTTGCGAAACTCTTTGATTTATTCGAGATGCTTGCTACGCGCCGCTCGCGTAAAACCCCGCTCACCGATGCTGACCTCGACGACACCCAGACAATCCCGGTCCCAACAGAACTCGAGTCCGTATTTCGCAAACTCTCCAACAACTTGAACATCGTGCCACCGCGAGCAACTGGCAGAGCTCGTCGCAACACGGTAGCAGGGGTAGCGAAGAAAAGCCAAGTCAACGCTGACAGCGAGTCAGACGAAACGGATGCGGAGTCGATGGCCAAGTTTCCGCTTGGTCGAACACACGCATTCACCTTCCGCAAGATGATCCACCACCTCTATCAAGTACGTTCTATGTCCTGCTTCAATCAATCCTAACTTTTCTTAGGCCGAGGAATGGGGCACTAAGGTTCGCGAAGTGCTACAGCGCTCCAAGCTTGAATATAAGTCTCTTGCTGAGCAAACCACCACCGGTCCTGCCACAAAGGAAACCGAGAGCACGATAAACACGACTCCCCATGTTCCTGGACGTGTCTATTTCAAGACAGAAGTTAAAGTCAGTGGCAAGAAGCCTGCACCACTGGCTGTTCAGGGTCGTCGCCGCGCCCACTCGATTGGGGGCCTTTCTTCTCGTCGCAGTCTGCCAACTTCACCGACATCTCCAACTCCGCCCGCTCGTGCTTTGGATGACAAAGGCGCAAGAGCAACCAAGAAACGCTGCATTGGTCGCAGGAAGTCAGTTGCTGGTTTGGAAGGCCATGCTGACGGTTGGTTCTACGATGCCGCAATTTCATCCACTGAACGTGTCGAACCTCTCATGAGCTTGAGCGCCAATATTTTAAACCGACCACGCCATCAGTCGCTTCATGGCGACAAGCCAACTATCAGTCCCCATCCTCCTACTCCCGTTGTCTCGGATGACAATGTCTGCATCTCGACCTCCAATGCCGCTACGAAGCGTCGCTTCTCCCAGTTTTGAACGACCTACGATGAAGAAGAGAGCCTGAGAGAGAGAGAAAAAAAAATACCTAGCATTATGATACCCTTGTAAAATCAATTACAATTCCTTCCCGCAAAGATCAAACAAAGTGAACATGTATTGAGGCGCAGCCAGGATAACACACAACTGGTCAGAGTTAGGAACACAACTACCTATCCACCGCTTTCAGTCCGAAAAGGGTAATCTTACACCGTACAACAAACGGCATTCATCTTGGCTCGTCCGTTCAATGGAGGGGAACTTCAATGGTCGCGGGACTTTCTAGTCAAGTGTCTGTCAGACTTCGCAACACTGAAGATCGCAAAAAGGAGCACCTATATTCGCCTTCCGCGGCCACACTAAGCTCTTCAACCTCGCCTTGGATGCTGTTGAGGCTTTCGGCCGCAGCAGAAAAGTACGCGAGCTGAGCTTTGGCAAGCTCATTCAGATTCTTGAGAGGTTCCGGCTTTGAACATAACGATAAACTTCTAAACTGTTTGCAATGATGAACACAACCCACATTCTCAAGCACTGTCTTCATAAGGGTAATGGCAACCTCTGTCTTTTGGACAAGATCATCCTCAGCATTCTCGACCTCGAGTCTAGCCTGTTCTTGCTTGGCAGGGCTTGCATTCTTCAGTCTGAAAACCATGAATATGATAGAGCTCATTAAACAAAACCACACTCACGTCTGCTTCGCAGCGTCTAACTCAAGTCGGCTGGAGCGGACGGCCTGGCGGGCCTTGATGGCTACGTTAATGGATGTCGCCAGAGTTTGCTGCCACGGATGAAGGAAGTTGTCACGAACGGCGATATCGTGTTCAACTGAGAGGAAATTAACGACTGTCAACGAAAAGTAGCTGAAGTCAACAGACCTCGGGCGGAAGCAATCTTCTCCCAGCCATCCGCATACAATCCGAGAGCCTTGCCAAGTTTGTCACCACCGGTAGTGGTAGCCTTGATGACATTTGCAGCGGTAGTAGCTGAGCGACCGAGGGCATGAGGAAGAGTCTTGTGGACTTGAGGAGGTGCAGCAATTGGGGTTGGAGAAGGAAGGTTGGTTCCCTTCAAGTTACTGGACGCAAAGTTGTTTATACCGACGCCAATTGAGGTGGAGAGCTCTGCAATAGACTCATTTACAGCCACCGGATAGTCGTAGGCTTCAGTTTCGTATACCGTCGTTATTCTGTTGTCGCGTCAGTTAAGAAGGTTGGGAGAGGGGGACGACACGCACTTTAGAAGAGCAAGATGGGCGGCTTTCAAGGCATCGACTTGGGCTTCAAGGTCGCGGTATTCTGATTTACGGTCAGGTTATGAGAAAGGAGCTGGCTGCGGATTAATGACCTTGGGGCAGCTCAGTGATTTCTTCAGGCGCAACAGTCCCCAATCGCTCCTTGGTCGCTTGTATACTGGAGTTGAAGCCCTTGGAGAAGCGGTTTGCAGACGCGCTGAAGTCAATGCTGCTGAGAGAAGCGGAAATTTTGTTCCAACCCTCCATGGTAGTTGTAGTAAGAGGTATCAAGCACACCGCCTTCTCTGTGACATCACTCCCGCATTAATCTTACTACACAGTTCAAGGTTCACGTTTATGGCTAATGCTGCTCGGTCAGAACAATAATACAAGTGAGAAATACGACGGCGGCCACAACTGATACGAGTGCGAGATGTGGCTTCACTGCGACCAAGAAAGCATGCATCTTGCGAAGGTCCCTATGAAGCAGGATAGGAAGTAGAACAGTATTCAGACACTCTCAACTCACCAGTAGCCACAATAGTATTCATAACCGCCAGCGATAACGGTGGCGATGGCAGCGACAAACTGCAGAGAGGCCACAGTAGTGCCCATGGCACCAGACAGCTGCGTGGGTTTGTCTTCAGGAACGAGACGAGCGCGGAGAAGGACTGAAGAAGATAGCAATGAAAGTAAGAGCGCAAGCTTCAAATGAGACAGTAAATTTCGTTCCAACATGCAAAAGTCTCTTGCTATGAAGATCAAGATAAGCTAAGGTGCCATATGTGCTGTTAATAGTCACCCGTGCTGCCGACATTCTCAACAAGGTGGGAGAAACTCATAGCGGACAAAGACTTTGCAGCGGCTGGTCGGCAGCTTGAGTAGCTTCGCAACTGAGTTCAAGTTGGAGAAGCAAGCATGCGCCATCACGTGATGTTGGCAAACCAGGTCACCCACTCTTGAACACAACCACCACCATGCCATTCAAGAGTTTGAAACGACTCTTCAGCAAGAAGAAGAAACCCTCGAAACCAGCTGTATCGAATACTTTACCGATCATTCCAGAGTCAGGCAACGATTCTGCAGAGGTCGCGGCGATCCAACTCCTTCGTTCTTCCTCCGCCCGTTATGCCGTGGTCAGAGAGCTTGATTATACGTCCCTCCCTCCAATATGTTTGTGTTTAAGCAGCTCTACGCGTGTTATTCTGACTTTTGGGCCAGCACATCCAATCAACCGTGTTCTTCCAACCCCACCAACAAGTTCGACTGCGAGTCTCGCAAGCGCGACAAGTAGCATTAACAGGTGTGACATATCAGAGTTGAAACTCATTTGCTTATTGTCTTCGTAGCACACGGGGAACATACACGGTCAAAGTCCACCAACGTCGGCGGCATACCTCGACTGAATTCCCCAACGCCAACTGTGATCTAGAACCTGGGCCCCTACGGCAGAACAATAACAGTCAGTTACTGGGGCTGCGCTCAGACCCGTCCGTCGCAAGTCTCCTTCAACTCTATGATGAACATGGACAGCTGCCAACTGGGGCATTCTCAAACTCTCCGCCCAGAGAGGGCCGTGCACAAGTCGCCAGGAGCGGTTCGACGCTGCGTCAGCTGTTAGGGAATCCATTACCTGTGCCGGGATTGGATACTAGCGACCTCGGCGATATATCTTGGGCAGAACAATTCCTTGGGTAAAGGGTATTCGTCCAATATTTCGTTCGTTGCTGACAATGTAAAAGGGAAACTGAAAGCATCGCATCGACTGTGTCGTCACCAGGAATTACCACACCACCAACTGATGCTCGTTTTGCATTCCAAGACCCTCGGATCGAAGATGCTTCAACAACCGTTTTTGAAAACGCAGGTATATCATCGCTAGAAGTCGAGCTTAGTGACGTAGTCGAAACTCCACCACGAACTACGAGCAACCGAAGCCCGTATGCTGTAGCTGGTCCAAGCACGCCTCAGCGAGCCTCACAGGTGTTTGGATTCCTGACGAAGCGCCGTCAGTCGAAGGATGTTGATGATGATGACCAACGGTCCCTACCAGATTTGCCTAGTGCCTTGAGCTCGCCTTCTAGTGAAGAAATATCCCCTCCAGCAGACCGTTCTCGCTCCCATTTCTCATCAGGCAGTGGCAGTACGAGGTCTAACTCGAGGCCTTCAACGCCAACCGACATATCAAGCAAGCCAGCAAACGATGTCCATGTCCTTTTGCCCCATGGCCCTACGAAAGTCATTGTCACAGCTCCAACACCATCTCAGCACCATGACACTCTGATGCCTAGGCCCCTTCGTGGTCCTCGAGCACATCATAGACAACGCTCAAGTCAGTATGGCCATCGCGATCTCTATACCACACTCCCAGCTCGTCGGCATGTGTCACGTGGTTCGCATCGCAGCTCTCTTGGGTCGATCTCGGTTACGCAGGTTGACCAACAACCTGCAACCCCAAGCAGAGAAAGAGACGAGACGCCAAAGAAGGGCAAACGGAGATCAATCCTGGCGGTGTTCGAAAAGGAAAACCACATGTTGACTGCAAAGCAAGAGTTGCCACGGACGCCAATTCGGTCAGGTTCCATCTCACGCCCATTGCCACATCGAGGATCGTTGAGAGCTTCTCCAGCGAAGTCCCTAGAGCTATCGGAGACGGGGAAAAGAATGATGGCCGAAGAAAGGGTCAAGGGCTACAGTCGATATTTTTAGCGAGTTTATTCTTGTAACTGGTTGTATCATGTTCCCGGTGACACCAGCCTTCACCTTCTTTCCTCTCCCACTCCCTTCATGAGCTACGACCCTATCCAAAGCAACCACGGCCACCAATTTTACGGCCAGGATGCAAATCCATCGTATTATCAGTCCACAGGCTTCATCACCCCCGCCAAGCCCATCAAGCGAACCAACAACTGGAAGAAATTCGGTATACCAGTTGCTCTTCTCGTCGTCGCTGGGGTTGTTGTCGGTGTTGTTCTAGGGCTAAGACATCACAACCAAACAAGTTCTGCCTCAGGCTCCTCGTCCTCTTCTTCTGGCTCTGCGGCTGGCTCCGCTGGTGGGAGGGCAGTGCTCGCAACGGGAACGAACACGTGGTTTTTACCTGAATATCCTTCCACAACAAACACCGCTGCTTATACCACTCCAACATTGAATGCTGCCTTGTCGAGCTGGCCCACAGACCCCTTCGCTCCCTCCAGTCCTTCAGTTCTTTCAGTCCGGCCAGGTTACATAAACTCCCACTCCACACTTACTTTCGCTGAAATTGAGGACTCTAGATCGGCCCCGCTTAATCGCACCAGCCTACAAGTGGGCAGCTCTGCCAAACCTCGTTGCCAAGGATCCATACCTTTCTCTCTGGAACGCCACGATCTTCGAGAACGCCACACAATGGGATGCGTTGCCCGCCGTTGTCTATTTTATGGAGTGTGTGATCATGATCTATTTGGGCTATACCGGGTACTGACATTTCACCTCCAGTGGCGACTCTGGTATACTTGATGTTGCGCGACAAGTAAAACAGCGCGTCAAAGCTTTCAGTTATGTCTATCGAATGACCAACAACACTCACTGGGTCGATCGAACTTGGGAAGAGCTGCAAAATGCGGCTGGTAACGGCTCAAGCACCTGGACGTCAACCACCCCAGATGACCTGTGGAACTCGGTGAATGAACCTTCAGTTGTCAGACTGTGGTTGCTCATCCTACCCAGGCGCATTTCCTCGACACTGCTGAACTGTCTGCTGCTTACGGGATCGCCTACGACTGGCTCTATGATTTATGGTCCGCCGACCAGAAGGCAGCGATCAGGTCCACCCTGGTTAAATTTGGCCTTGGTCCTGGTGTTCAAGCTTACACAAATAGCTCCGTTTTCACTGGCTGGTACGCTTGCGACGGTTTGTGGGTGATCACCTACGACTGATCAGCATTTCTGTAGGTGGAGGGGAGGTGGGAATGGATTTGGCAACTGGAATTGGTATTTTGAATTCAATTGTTAAACATACACACTTACCATACCAACAGTGTTTGGTGAGAACGACACCCAAAACTCTGCAAATCTTCTGAACGTCTTGTAGTAATAACGGCTTGACGATGGCTTCTCTCGCTATTCTGGGCGACGACACGAGCGGGTTTGCGTCCCAACTGTTGGGATTAACGGTTGATAACGCCAAAGCAAATTGTGCCTTCGCCGTTTCGTCAGATGGAACATGGTCCGAAACAGCCGACTACTGGTATTTTGGGACGACAAGTCACGCAGAGATGGTCTCTTCGCTTATATCAGCCACTGGCTCAGACTACGATTTGCTCAAAGTCAACCCCAACTTCTACAAGACCGGTCTTTTCCACATGTATGGACAAGGCACAACCCAATTGTTTGCCTGGGGAGACAACGGCCCGAACAAATATACCGCCACTGCCAACTCGCTGCTACTTTACGCTGACAAATATAACATCCCTGAGTATGCTCTCTACCAACGCGATCAATTTGACGCTGGCGATCCATGGAGCATGTTCTGGTATAATCCACAAACGAGTGGCGCCTTTTGGGACAACATGCCTCTGGACTATGCTGTAATTTTCCTCAGGCTATGATGTTCGAATTCCGTCTGAAAAGCTATAGTTTGACAACAACACAGACCAATGGATGTCAATGAGAAGTAGTTGGACTGATCCAAATGCGCTCTTCGTAGCGATGAAGGCCGGCACACTAGTAGGACATCAAACGCACAATGACCTCGACGTTGGTGACTTTGTTCTTGATGCCATGGGCACACGATGGGTAGGAGAACTCGGTGATGGTATGATTCTTGGTTCTATCTAACTGACTCTCACTATACTCACAAACCCTATCAGGTGACTATCGCTCACCGGACTATTTCTCCAACGATAGTGAGTGAATTTCTTCGGGTTCTGGACCAAGAGACAAACAAAAATATAGCCCAAGGGAGTGCACGATGGATGTACTACCGCAAGGTACGTTGATTCTCTTCTCAAGCTCCATTTCAGGCACTGAATCAGATGAAGATGACAGAGGGCCAGAACACGATACTGATAGGAGCGGCTAACCAGAATGTGAATGCTGCACCGAAGATGACTTCTAAATCAAGCAATACAACACAAGGCTCGAGCACAGTCTTCACCCCCAGTAAGGATTCGACCGCGTATTTTGTCACGTAAGCTGCCTCTTCTGCCCATAGAAAATGTTCTATGTGACCAAAAACCATTGTAGCGATATGACCTCTGCCTATTTAAATGCGTGCGTTGATGCTATTTGCGTCTGTTCACACATCTCAAGCGGATATGCCATAGCAATTCCGTCAAACGAGGAATTCGGCTGTTGAATGGTCGCAAACAGGTGCTCTTACAAGACGAAGTCTCATCTAACACAACCATTATGTGGCGAATGCACACAAATGCGACTGTTTCTGCATCAGGAACGACCGCAACGCTATCCAGAGACGGCAAAACAATGGATCTCTCCATTCTCAACGCACCAGATTCGGCTACGTTTACCACGGCAAATGCAACTCGTCTGAACACAGACGTGACACCGCCAGCACCTGACCAGCCGAATCCTGACATTACGGTCTTGATTATAAGCCTCCCAGCAGGAACCTATAACCTCCAGGTTCTCTTTAACCCTCAGTGGAATGACGGGACCAATTTTGTGACACCTCCCTCTGTTCTGTTGGACAACTGGGACTTGGCCAGCCACAACTGATACCATATCTTATTTCAAGGACCTTTTACTAGACTAGTTTGACGCTACACATTCTTTTTTGACTACTCTGTGTGTTACATAATTCTAATGTGTCTTGATCACATGTGGGGTGATCGTTCGATAAATTCTCTCTACTTTACTTCCACGCCTCTTCCAGCCACGTCTAATTTCTCTCTCTTCGACGACCTATTGTCATGAAAATTACGCAAAAAATCAGTCAGGCCGACAAGGAAAGCAAGATATGGTGGTCTTTTGAGTACTTTCCCCCGAGAACTGCTCAGGTTTGCATATCCACGTCGCTTTTAATCTGAGTCTGAGCCTCTTTAGGGCCTGCAAAACCTGCTAGACCGTATAGAACGCATGCGGGCACTTGGACCTGAATTCATAGACATCACTTGGTGCGTCTAGCACAATTTTTTTTTTTTTTGGCCCGACATTGACATACTCGCTATAAGGAACGCTGGTGGTCGGACTTCTGATCTCACCGCAGAGATGGTCAAGACTTGCCAGGGTCTAATTGGAATAGAGACCTGCATGCATCTCACGTGTACCAACATGCCAGCTAGCAAGGTCGACATCGCTCTTCGGGTATGTCTTGGTTTGTGATCCAAAGCCTCGTGTTGCTCATTATTCTCCCAATAGGAAGCCAAGCTGTCCGGCTGCCGAAACGTGCTTGCCCTGAGAGGTGACCCGCCAGCAGGCAAGGACGAATGGGAGGCGGTAGAAGGTGGTTACGTCCATGGAATTGACTTGGTCAAGCATATCCGTCGGGAGTATGGAGACTACTTCGACATCGCAGTCGCAGGCTTTCCTCAACACCAACTGCTACCACGTGAGGAGCGTGATGTCGAAATGCAGTTTCTCAAAGACAAGATCGACGCGGGTGTAAACTTCATCTTCACCCAGATGTTCTACGACGTGCAAATCTTCATTGACTGGGTTCGCGCCGTCCGTGCTGCTGGCATTACCGTGCCCATTGTCCCCGGAATCGCCCCTATTCAGACTTGGAATGGCTTTATGCGCGCGACCAGCCTCGCTAGTATCGTCATTCCCCCATCATTCTTGGACGCGTTAGAACCTTACAAAAACGACGATGAGAAGGTGAGGGCAATTGGAACCAAGCTCGTGGCGGAAATGTGCCGCAAAATTCTCGACGAAAATTTGGGTATCCGGGGACTGCACTTTTACACCATGAACCTCGAAAAAGGCACTAAAATGCTTCTGGAAGAACTCAATCTTGTACCTCGTGTCGAGACCGTCAAGCCTCTCCCATGGCGGCAGGTTGGTCTATTATTCCATCTTCAGATTGTTTGTTGAGTAATTGGCGTTAGTCGCTCACTCCCAATCGGCGAACGGAGACCATCCGCCCCATATTCTGGGCAAATCGGACCAAATCATATATTTCTCGCACGGAGAATTGGGACGAATATCCGAATGGGCGTTTTGGGGATTCACGCAGTCCTGCATACGGCGAGCTCGATGGATATGGTGTCTGGATTAAACAAACGGTGAGTTGATTTTTCCTCCAAGAGTAGTCAGGCCTACTATTTTTCACTAGAAAGAGGATGCTCTCAAGCTCTGGGGCGAGCCTACTTCGTTCCAGGATATCACAAACCTCTTTTCTCGTTTCTGTAAAAAGGAACTCAAAGCTCTTCCGTGGTCCGACCAAGCTCCTGCAGGCGAAACATCCATCATCGCCTCACAACTAGCTCGCATGAACGATTATGGGTTCTTGACCATCAATTCACAGCCCGCTGTAAATGGTGCAAAGAGTGAAGATCCAGTTGTTGGTTGGGGCCCACGAAATGGCTACGTCTACCAAAAGGTATGCAAATCGGGTCTATAAAAATGCTGCTGCTTCTCATCGGCTTCTAGGCGTATCTTGAATTCTTCGTCCCGCCCGAGTTACTTTCCATCTTGCTCACGCATATTGAACGTGATAGTAACATCACGTACTACGTGATCAATAGTCGAGGGGACCTACGCACCAATACTCATTCCGATGGCCCAAATGCCGTTACTTGGGGCGTCTTCCCAGGCAAAGAGATTGTTCAGCCCACTATTGTTGAAGCCGTGAGTTTCATGGCTTGGAAGGTCAGCTCCATGTTTTTCTTTCAAGAAAAACCTGGCTGATACTCAATCCACTTCACAGGATGAAGCCTACGAACTCGGGCAACAATGGGCCAAAATTTATGACGTAGGCTCGCCCTCGCGACAGCTAATTTCCGACCTCATGGAAAGCTCCTTCCTTGTCAATGTCGTTCACAACAACTTCCACGACTCTGAGGCTATCTTCCAACCCTTTTTCAAAGCTGGCGAGGAATACCTCGCCACCAAATCAGGTAAACCGCAAGTGAATGGTCATTAGACGTCCCGCGGCCCTTGTAGATTCCGACTTGTGTATTTTTACCACCTGTAGCAACTTCGGGTTCAACCCCCGACCTATCAGCTGTAACCCTCACTCATTGACTTCCTTTCCTTTTCTCCGTAGCATAGCACTCGTTACAAGCACAGAAACTCTCTTCGCATTGCATCAACTGCATATTTCCTTACCACTTGCTTTAGACAAATAAAACTGTGTGACATCGTTACCTAATACTGTTGGACCTACACAATGACCACCATCTCTCCAGACTCGTCTTTGGAGTCCTTGGATCGTGTCCGCTATACCCCCGACGATTCGCTTTTAGCGGAATCCCTCACGCTCTCTTCTTTGTCTTCATCCACATCGACTACCCCACCAATTCCCGCTGGCTGCATGGTCCCTCTTTCTGTAATTATCGACCACCACGATGGTCCAGTAATGTTTCACTCAAGTCCGACCAAAACTCCATCAAAGGCGACCCTTACTGCTCCAACTCCCCCTCGTCTCCGTACTATGATGAAAGAGAAATTGCTCATTGAAACTTGGCTGGTCAATATGGTCGTTTGCTTGCTTATTATTACTCGCTGATTTTGCCTCAAAGAATGGTGTCGACCCCGACATAGCTGGACACACGCCGTGGAGTGGCATTCCCATCGAAGATCCTATTCCCTGGAAATCCGAAGGCTCTCTTCACACACCTCAGGCTTTCAAGTCCAGTATCAGCTCAGCACGCCGCCAGACACCTACTCAAATAGTTGTCTCCAAGCGCAAATCAAACCGCAATGCACTTGTTTTCGAGCGTGAAATCATCCTCCAATCGAATGATGGCAAAGCAAATCGGGTATCTCTACAAGCGTCGATGGAACCAGAGGTCGCTGCGATCGTTTCGGAACTACAAGATCTCAACTCTTTTTTCAAACAAGAACAGTCGTCGGCTCTCCCGCCCCCACCTTCTCTCATCATCTCTAACTCCCACTTCTCTCTCCCTGTCTCCTTTGAATCACCCGCCAAACAAATGCCCAAATCAAGCATCCCACTGGCTATGCGACGAGGAAAGATGCTTCCGCCTGTGTCCATCAACTCGCTATGTAATCAAACGGAATATCCTGGCATGCCCACAGCCTTTCTCGGTTCCCCTTCCACATACTCGCCCAAATTCGAATTCGCCTCCCAGCCCCGACGACGTTCAATGGACCTCAGAGATATGGTCACCAGTCTACGCTCTCAGTGTGCATCTATGGAACCTGCGAGACCAATCGACACAAGAGCCATTGAAGTCACTCCTCCTGGAACGCCACGGCCAGACGATGAATGGGCGTTTGCTGATGGGATCTTGGATTTCTACAGCCCTTCTCCATTTAAGTCAGAGTTTGTCAAAAAACCGCTGCGAGTCGATTTAGTCGAGTATGCTGCTGAATCACTCTCAACGCGATCTTCTTCACGTGCTGAGTCACTGGCCGTCATTCCTTCGGCACCTCCTTCTACTCCTCTACCACCTTGTCCTCCTATTCAGCGCGTTAGCGTGCGAAGTATTCTGAAGAGCTCCAAGAGTGTTCGTTTTGCCGAAGAAGTTGAAGTCGAAATCCCTAAGAATCCAGCTCCCGAACCCTCTCCTCGAAATTCGGCATCGTCAAAGCCTCGTGAACTTCGGCCACGTTCAATGTTGCATGATCCTCTGCGTTCACCTCCACCGAAGCCATTACCCGTCTTGCGACCTCGGCCTCCTCATCAAAGGAGGGCCACCACCCCTGCTTCATTTGGCAGCAGCTCGAATCCAGCGTCGTCCCCAAATAAAAGTCGACTTTGTGTTACTAATACCAACACTAATATCAACGCGAGCTCGGGTGGTTCCATACCAGCATCGTCATCCACAGGCGGTCGACATTCGCTCGGACGCGTTTTTGGGAAGGACAAGGAGAATAAAGTCACCAATGGGCGCTGGACTTTGAACGAGAATGTGCTGAAGAGGGCCTCGATCCACACCACGACTGCCAGTCCTGTGAAGAGTCGCATGCCCGTTCCGCTGCGCAACATTTTGACTCGATTCAAATAGGAAGCCATATAATACCTCTAAAATGCCACATTCAATAAGTTATCTACAGAATAAAGACCGTAGACCAGTGTTTGACGATGTTTTCGCCGGCCTTGTGCCATTCGAAATTCCTGACGTCGCGACAGACAATGACCGCATGGGCGAAGCGAATGGTGGGAAAATATGCTATTTCCTTTGTAATGGGAAGCTTGTTAAGATTGGCAGCGATGCGACGCTGGACAGTGGTGAGCAGCGGTTGAACTTTGTTAGGTGAAGAGTCGTCATCTGCACTGGTCTCTTCGACCAGGTCGAGAACAGTGCTCTCCACTTGACTTTCCAGTTTTGCGAGAACCTGTGCAAGCCTCTCAACACTTCCAGGCGATGCAGCATCCTCTTCTAGAAGCTTTATGCGTAAACGAGAGGAACGGGTGGCGACAGCAAGTCGGAAAAGTGTCAACGACAGGACAGTGGGTATAAGGAGTGGTATCATCAAATAGACCACCTTTGTAGTACCGTCAATTAAGCCCAAGGAACCGTACAGATAACGTACATAGTTGAAAGGGAATCTGAAAGTGAGCCATGGGGGGAGAGGCGGGCGAGTGAACTTGATTGACTTGAACCACTTTGGCGTAAAGACCATTGGTTTGGATTCCGGAGGAGGCGGAACCTCCGGTACGTTGTATGCTTGGACGCGAGGAGAATATTTGTCATCCAGTTCTCTAAAATCAAGTTGAAAATAAGGACAAGTGGTAGGAAGTTTCCCTCACACTTGGATTCCGTTCGTTGCGCGGGAGATGAATGGATCATTCACTTCAATAGCCGCCGTAACATACGGAACAGTCGTGTCATTGACAGCGTTAGCGTATATCCGAATGCTGTGGAAGTTGGCAAGAGACTGATAGAATATTTGGTCGGGGTCTGCCATGACTTCGAGTAATGGTCGGTCCTTGAGCCATTTGTCCACACAGTAGAACTGCTCTCCGGTGCGTGAAAGCAGCCGGGGCCCGATGAGTGAAGCCAGTGACGAGAAGAATGAGGAAGGCATGCGAGGGACTCCCAAGTGTGGCGTGGCAATAGTGTTGAAGTTGACGGGCGTTATCGTCTCGAAGAAGCCGCGTTGCTGTAGAATGCCCACTGTGTAACGTGCCACCAAACCTCCCAGTGAGTAGCCTGTTATTGAGAAACGAGTGACGGTCCGGCCCTCGCGTTTGAGCTCTGCGACTTCGTCTATAATCTAGCGTGTGTGTGAGTTGAAAAGCATATCCAGTGATGGCTTGCCAATAAGATGATACCTCTTGCACCACACGTTCTCCTCCCCAGTCAATGCCATCGTAAGTGTCTATCGGAGGAGTTGAATCGTCGTGATGCAACCGAGTGGGGCATAACAAACTTTCTTCCCGATTCGATTGTGGGCGTAGAACATGGAGTTCAGGGCCGGGATGAGTTTCTTTGATTACCCGAGCCAACTCGCCGACGTGGCTGGGGTTTCCCCACATTCCGTGGGTTATGACAATAAGATGACATTCTGAAGGAAGAGAGGCGGACGAGCCAGCGGATGCCATGGATGTGGAAGGAAAGCAGATGAAGGTCGGCACAGAGTTTAAATTTATGGCTGACATCATCACTCTGACCAGAGCTGACGCGTTTTTGCGTCCCGGCGTAGCCCGGCGTTCAGTCGGACCAGTTCAGGGTACGCACACGTGACCTGATAACTCTCTAATGACGCGAGGTGGGCGGAAAGTCGGCTACGACTACAACTGGGAACTGGTCATCGAATTTAATACTTGTGCCGAAAAAAAGGCGTCCTATGTATGACCAACTTGCACTGTGATGGACGACAACTAAAGTTTTGCGCAGGAGTCGATATTGATTTTGGCTGGAGAACTAACTTTGGAAAGGTCAGTTGACGCAACAACTCGAGCCCAGCACATAGAGCAAATAATGCGTTGACAAAAACGAGTCGGTTGGAGCGGTCGGCCGCGGCACAATCACGTTGTGATGACTGACCAGTGCAAAATTTGTCATTAGTACTTTCTCCTAACCACCACCATGCCTTCCGCTCTCAATGGTGTTACTCATTCACCACTCAATGGAGCGACAATGAAAACATCCTTGAAGCCCATTGAAGTCGCCCATGTACCAAGAACAGCCTTTTCGTTCGATTCGATGGAAGAGGCGCTTACAGCTTTTGAGGCTGGGGAATTTCTGGTCGTTATGGATGATGAGAATCGGGAGAATGAAGGAGACCTCATTATCGCCGCGTCGCATTGTACGACGGAGAAGATGGCGTGGATGATAAAACACACCAGGTCCGTCCATTTGTTTCCAAGCACAGTTCAGACCCTGACAAAGCGGTGGTAGTGGTTATATTTGTATTGCGCTTCCTGGAGAGAGATTGGCGGAGCTCAATATTCCGCTCATGGTACCGCAAAACCAAGAACGGCATAGGACAGCTTATACGATCACTGTGGACTATAAACATGGGACGACTACTGGGATTTCCGCTGGCGATCGTAGTCTCACGGTCCGGGCATTGGCATCTTCAAGCTCTGTGCCAGATGACTTTACTCGTCCCGGCCATATGGTTCCCCTTCGGGCTGTGGACGGGGGTGTTTTAGCCCGCAAAGGCCACACGGAAAGTGGTGTCGATCTCTGCCGGCTCACGGGTTTACCCCTTGCCGGTGTTTTGTGCGAGCTGGTCAACGATGACGCTCAAGGCACGATGGCAAGGAGGGACGACTGCAGAGCATTCGCCGATCGGTTTGGACTCAAAATGATCAGCGTGGAAATGCTGGCTGAATGGCGTCGAACTCATTCATAGAGCCTTCTAATTGTACAACAGCAAAACGACTAGTCTACATTGTAATGTCTCTTGTGCATTAGAGTATAACTTATGCTTTGGATGGCGTACGGCCCAAAGAATTCCCCACCTTGACCAGTGTCTCAACTGGGATGAGAGAGTTAGCGACCAAATCTTCATCGAATCTAGTTTTTTTTTCTCTCAGTTGAGCACGGCAAAATGGAGTTGAGGGCAACGCACTCGATAACGCCCTTGGGGAACAGCGCGACAACGGTGCTGCCTCCGTAGGCGAAATATCTAACGGTCGGTTAGCAGACAACAAAAGTGACGAGAATATACGTGCCCAAGCTCATCACCTTTCTTGATCACCCTGCCTTTTTCGCCGCCGTTTGTCCAGACAATGCTACCAACAAGTAAGGCACCAATGGCCACAAATGCAACTGGGAGACCAGTTGCCGTATGAGTGAGATATAACACAGAGCGAGTGTTGGCGGTGAACACATCAAAGCCTTGTTCGTTAACGGCCTGGGGATTCACGGTATAGTATTGTCCAGGAATATGAGTAATTTCGCCCACAGTGGCGTCAATGGGGCAATGGAACCGATGATAGTCGGAGGGGGCAAGACGGAAAATCGCGAGACTTGATCCGTCGAAAGTGGTGGCTTCATTGGAGCCCGCATCGACACCGAGAAGATTTGGGACAGTGAATTCACGGCCCTTTATCCAGAACTGTTTGGCAAGATCTACTGTGTTATAAACAGTGAGTCGGCAATCGGCAGCACTGCAAATAGACAAGGGGTCGTCTGCATGATCAACAGGACGTGCAGTTGGCTTAAGCTTGCGATAAAAGAACTCATTGAACGTTTTATACCTAGTGATATCAGCTTGGGACACAATGCATAGTGCAGAGCTTACTTGCTGATGTCAGGTTCGAGCAGTTCTTCCGTGGACAGCTGATAGGTCGCGATGAATGAAGCAATGTTTTGAACTGATTCAGGACTATCGTATACTTTACCCTCCTATAGCCGAGTTCAACTGCTGTAACTGGATGCGCCAATCAAAGGGTATACCTTGACGGACTGCTCGCGCAAAAGATGCTCGATGCTTTGCCAATGCAACAACTTTATTTCGGCAGACCCATAGAAGAGAAGGTGCATCCCGATTCGCGCATAGAGGGGCATTGCCTCAAATATCTAGGTGGTGATGTGTGAGAGAGAAATCAACGCTGAGAGGCATATAACAAGACCTGGTTCTTGGAGCCTCGGATTGCGACAAAGTTGCCAATGTGGTAGGCAGCAGCAAGTTTCTCGATTCCAGGGATGAGTTTATGGATCCAGGGAATTGAAAAGATTGTGTGTGACGAAGCATGTATGCCTTGGCTGACATCATGCTTCTCTGAGTGGTCAACGAGTGCAACCAGACCGTTAGCCGCCTCTTCGTGGCCGATATGGGGAAGATTGTCAGGATGAACCTTCTCCAGGGGTTTGTCGAGTGTCTATGAGCATAAGTTGGGAGACTTTGGCAGTTAAAATGGCTGCGATTTACCGGAGCGGTCATCGAGGTTGTTGGCGTGCGGAAGAAGAGCTTGTGAAGAAGGACATCTATGACGCCAACGATGTGGCTAGCCATCAACAACTTATCAGACCTAAAAATACCCATCATGATGTGATGTCCATACGACCACGTGACGGTTCATCTTTGACCGCGATGGCGAGCACCGTCCTCGACGACTACGACTCCCTTGACATTATTGGCAATGGATCCTTTGGTATCATCCGCAAAGTCCGACGTAGGTCGGATGGGAAGGTGCGGTGACAGTGTAACGGAAGACCCGCCTACTAATAAACACGAAACAGGTATTTGCCCGGAAAGAGCTCAATTTTGAGCGTATGACGGAGCGAGATAGGAAACAAATAGTTGCTGAAGTGTATGCCACTCCCCTCCTTCCACAGACTGACCTCATCGCTTCCCAGAAACATTCTCAAAGACCTGGACCACACCCACATTGTACGATATCATGACCGACATGTTGACCGCGACGCTGGCGTCCTTTACATTTTGATGGAGTACTGCGGTGGAGGAGACTTATCCTCCGTGATAAAGATGGCTGCGAAACAGAATCGTCCAGTGGCAGAAGACGCTATCTGGCACTACTTTTACCAAATACTGCTGGCTCTCAACCATTGTCACAACACGGGTGGCCATGGCCGGACCAGTAGCGCCGGGAGTGCTAGCGAACTTGAAGGAAAAGACCGCAGAAACCAGATCCTCCACCGTGACCTCAAGCCTGACAATGGTGCGTACCCTTTATTGAACCACCAACCACCTGTCTTAAGCCTGGCTAGTCTTCCTCGACGAGAACAATACCGTCAAACTCGGTGATTTTGGTCTCTCTAAAGCTCTCTCCACCGCAAGCTTCGCCAATACTTACGTCGGGGTGAGTTTTACCATGGCACAGTCAACATTTTCTCATGTCTTCGACCAGACACCATATTACATGTCCCCAGAGCTTATGCAAGAAAAAGCTTATGATTCCAAGTCCGATATCTGGTCTCTTGGCTGCCTCATATATGAGCTCTGCGCCTTGAAACCCCCATTTCACGAAGCGCAAACCCACAACGAGCTCAGTTGTTTGATCCGGTGCGTCCGAATCCTTCGACCGATTATTGGGCTCACAGTCGTCTAGGAGTGGTCGTATACCTCCTTTGCCCCGAGGCTACTCTCAGCAGCTGTCGACAGTGATCAAGGCTATGCTCAACCTCAATGTAATACCTCTCAAATGTGAAGTGCATAGCTCACGCGTTTTAGCCTGCTATGCGGCCATCAGCTGCTCAATTACTGCTCCATGAACGGATAGAATGGGCTAAGAAAGTCGCAGAATCGGAGAAAACGTGGGCTTTTTGGCTCATTCGATTTACAAGGCTAAATTTTTCGCAGCCTCAACTCCCTCAAGACTCATCGTGCCGCCCTTCACGTCCGGGAACGTGACTTAATGACTCGGGAGAATGCTCTCAATGAGAAGGAATCTCATATCACGGAGTTGATACAACAACGCGATGCCCAGATTCACTCGCTCCAATCACAATTGCAAGAGTGCCAGACTCAACTGCATCAGGCACAAGTACATATCGAAAATCAGCCAAGTCTCAGTGACATACAAGTTGCGGTGAAACAACGAGAAGAAGAGCTTCGAGTCCTAGTATTGCAGCGCGAGGAGGAGGTCAGCCGCTCAATGCAGAGACGAGAAGATGAAATTATGGAGGCTATTCGACGACGAGAAGCCGAGGTTCTGGATGCGTGGAGCAAGCGAGAGGAGGTATTGAGAGAGGAATTCCGCGCCATCTTGGACAACGAGCTGGAGGCACGCGAAAAAGTTTACGAGGAGAGAGATGAGGAAATGCTAAGAAGAGAAGCCGCAGTGAAAGAACAGGAGGAAAATCTGACCAACACGAAAGCATTACTAGAAGAGAAAGTACGGAATTTGGAGGATAAACCCAATGGTGAGTTCATCGGATCTGTCGTTTATTCAACAAGTTCACTTGGACCATATAGATGTCAAGAAGGATCGTGCACCGTTAGACGAGATACAGAACATTCTTTCTCGTGCCGCACATCAAGAGACCCCCAAGGTTGTGATGCAATCAAGAGCACCTCCAAAGGGCAATCAACTTTCAACACCACTACCTCGCAGCGCTCAAATGTCGGCTATGAAAGGCGTGGTATTAACAACAACTGGCGAAGCGTTGGCAACACCATCCCCGGTCGAGCTAGTTGCGATGTTTGACTTGACGAGGCGCTTCGAGGATGAGGTCATGGCGTCGCCCAAGGTTGGGCTCAATTTCGCTCAGGTGTTCGATTTCGAGAACAAAGAGAGAGTGGATCTGACAGCGAGACTGCGAGATGCCCATCTCGAATCGGAAAGTGATGCGGACGACGAAGAGACAACAGGAACTCCTATCGCTGCCCAAACACGCCCGCCACAGCGCATGTCAAGAAGCCGGACACTCGATTCTGAGGTAGCCCCGCCAACTCGCATTCGCCGACCATCTATTCGTACTGGGAGGAGACCAACATTGCCAGCATCTGTCTCTGATCCCACCGGAATATCCGATTCAGAGTCATCAAGCTCTCAGACGAAGCAGCATCGTCCAAAACCATTACCTCATCCTCATCTCGGTTCAACCTCCGGTTCCGCTCCAAATGTCGTCAGAACGGCAAGTGCGCCTGCGGCAAGTTATGATTTGGCGGACGAAGAGAATTTACCCAGTCCGTTTTTGAAGCGGACAGAGCGTGAACGAGCGGGGGCTCCATCATCGGCTTCGGTTACTGCTGGCAGTCCGACCCCTGTTAACAGTGGACCTCGTAAAACGTTAACGAGGAGGCAAAGTGGGGTCAATGCGCTTCGAGTTGTAGCAGCAGCCAATGTGACTGCAGTTAAGCAACGGGGATCGACTGGTGGTGCTCCACGGTCATCGATTTCGCGGGCTGGGTCAACTGGATAATCTTATGTTTGTTTCCCCTTTTGCATGGCATATGTTTTAATTTTGTGTACTTTTTTGAGTAACAATAGGAAGGCTCCATAATTGGCCGATTCAGAAAGCTGACTGAGCTGATTGCTCACCATCGGGACGAGAATCGGAACTCGTAGCACTTATAACAACGGTCCGCTTTGAACTACAGCAAGGAAACACCAACCCTCGTTAACAATGTCGTCCGTCATGCCGCCCATTCCCGAGGGAGAATTCATTCTCTTCGGAGAGGTTTATGCCCACCCAGAGCACGGAGATGCTCTTGAGAGGGCGTACGCAGAAATAACGCGGGTGGCCGAGCAGGAGCCAGGGATCATCTTTTACTGCCTGGCACGAGACGACAACGACCGTAACTTGTTCCATTTTTTTGAGAGGTGTGCATGTTCAACTGCCTGTTGGCCTCTGATTTGATTGGTAATAGGTACAAAGGACGGAAGGCGTTTGAAGAACATAGCCAGCAACCCCTTGTCCAGAAGCTGGTCACTCAGGACCGTTATGTCATGATCAAGGGGTTCAAAGCCAAAGTCGTGAAGGCAATCCAACCAACAACATCATCGTAGTGAATGTACTTATTTACTAGTCTGTCAATGAGTGATCGTGCAACTTATCACCAACCTTCATCATGCCCCAACTCACATTGGCGCAAGCCTTTGCGCGTGGAACTAAGAAATCTGGCTCAGAAAAACAACCACCACCCAAGCAGCCAAACGCAGCCCCAAAACCACAGCCAAGTAAACCTCAAATCACTCCCCCAAGCCCTGCTCAGAAGATCCTATTCGGACCCAGTGGCCCATATGCTGAATTCGACCAGTTTGCGGTCCATCCAATCACGCATAACGGTGTTATCTACCCCACATCGCAACATCTATTCCAAGCTTTGAAGGTTTGTTGCAGTTCATTCTCTCTAACGAACAACAAAAACATCCCCTTCGTTTATTTTTTGCCTTTCTGCTAGTTTATTGGGCATAGACCGGACATTGCAGCGCTCATCCGTGAAGCTACAACTGCTCAGCTCGCCTTCGATATCGCGCATTCCAATAAACCGTTAGCTCGTGTAGACTGGTTTTCTGTCAACGTCTCCCAGGTGCAACTCAACCTGACGCCCACATCACCGTTTGTCGCTGAGAATCAACTCCAGATGGAAGAGGTTTTGTTTCTCAAGTTTACCCAGTACGATCACCTGAAGCAACAACTCATTGCCACTGGCAACGCGGGACTATGTCAAGTAAGATGCTCTTCCTGTTCACGTGTTCTGAGTATAATCAATCCAAGGACTCGATGACTGACTCATTTTGGAGTGTCGGGCCAGACCTTTTGGGCAGTAATGAGCTGGGTCGGGCCTTGGAACGCGTGCGAGAACGACTCGGGGGCTCTCCCGCGCCGGTCTATACCATCGCTCAATGTCTTGTGATCAATTTCCAACCGCTAACACTACCTCCATGCTTATACGTCGACAGAAATGTCGCAAGAGGCCAGCGTCTGGTGAATTGCTGTACTGTGGAATGGCTTGTCTGCGTGCAGACATCTCACGAGTACCTCCTATATGTCCAGTACGTCACGAGGAGACATTCAACCTCAGCTAAGCATATTTCGCAGCGATGTCGGCGACGACCTCAGATTGGCGACCTGGGCTTCTGTGGAGTCACTTGTCTCAAAGCCAGTCGTGAGTGAGTGATTACATAATATTAATATTATTGGTCCATTCCGCGTGTCAGTAGTGTACAGTGCTTTTCAGTTAAAGAGACGGTAAAGGTCGTCGGCATTGTGGACAAATGTTCTTGATAGATAACCACTTCTCAAGACATTCCGTGTGCTTTTCGTCCGAAATGAGCTGGCAAATCGGTACAAAAAGCTTCAAGACTCACAAATAAATGGTGACACGGTGCAAGACTGTAATTTTTCCGTGAATTTGCTCCCCCAATGTGAACTGCATTGAGAATTCCGCCAGACCTCGCCTTCCCGGAGCCACCCTTATCGTCGAGGGAGGTCCTGCGCCGTCGCAATGATGGATCAGCATAGATGGCATCCATGCAGATTGCGCAGTCACCCAACGACAAGTCTGCACTTTCAACATCATTATCGGGAATAGGCATGACTGGGTGGTAGTCGTGAGCTTTCACGACAGCGTACTTGGAATCATTAGAAATGCCCCATTTGGTCAATTGCTGCTCACTTTTCGGGGAAGGAAGAAAGTTGGTCCCAAGGCGGAGTCTTGTAAGATGATCACGATTACCTGCGAGCACACAAAAAGGGCCAGATAGCGGGACCATGCTGCAATGATATGAGACGATACGCCAGCCAACGAAGGAAAAGGGAGTTAACATCGTGGCTCGATATCGAGAACATTCTTAGGGCAAAGCAAAAAATCTGAGGAAGTTTGAATGCGGGATCAAGGTTGTTGAGGAAGACGCACACAGAGCAATAGACAGTCTGCATAACGTTGTTCCCACGAGGTATTCGGTGGAGAGGCCACTGCTTCGACCCCGTCGAACGGATCGGACGATTTGTGGCAACCAAAACATCGAATATGAGCCCGCAACGAACATGATGGACAGAGTCGCCGATAAGATTGTGTGCACAATCAGCGAAAGGAACACAAATAAAATGAGCCCTATAGAACTGTTGAACGATCGCCACTACGTGATATATACCTCTTGTACTCACAAAGGCGCAGTTGTGGGTCGGTCCGGAGATGGTGGATGAAGAAGGCAAGAAATGACGGCTGTTGAGGAGTCGCATTTTGGACGTTGGGGGAAGGAAGAATAGCAGGAGCAGGAGGGGACAACGTGGCGGGAGATTCTGTCGCAGGTTCAGGTGTGGAGTTCCCTGTAGCGGGACCCAATGCCAGCACAGGTGGCCTGGCATCTTCGGGAGCCTGGAATTGGTGAATGAGCATGGCAAATTGCTGACAATTCATGAGTCATATAAGGATATTCAGAGTCTGGGTAGCATACCGCCTCGTTAGCGAAGAGAACACAGGCAAGAAAGGCAGGTGCGACCAGTGACAATGAGGGTTTGCCGTCGGCAACAAGCGCGAACACGGTATGACCTGCAAACGACAACGAGTCTACAGTTGCCTGCACCATAAACGTCCAAAATGACAGCCGTGAAATGCCAGTGGGTGTTCGACTATGTTGCATTTGCCGCGACAGCAGGACCAACATAATGAAGTAGGCCAACGCGGCACTCCCCGCATCTATTGAGTGGTCAACAGGAGGTCATACCGCGTTTGAAAGGAGCCTTTACACGTAGTGAGTTTGCGGAATAACGAACTTAAGCTGGAAGGTCGTGTGAGTTGAGAACTTATTGGATGTCGAGACGCGTACCCCAAGCCCTCTGTTCGGTGGAATTCATACAGTATTCCACACTCCTTACTCATTAACACTCCGCTCAGAGACATTGGTGGTGCGCGAACGGTCCAAACACCCGTCGGGTGTTGAATTTCCTCCTCGAGTTGAGCAAGAAGATGCTCTGCCACGTGCACAGGATCTTGCGCTATATATAGGGAAAATGTACAGGAGGTTTTTGAGGCCTCGTCTGTAAGAATGGAGGTCAAGTCAACCCCAGTAAAAGACTGAATGATCATACCCAAGGACAAATCTTGTTCTATGACACCAGCGTCAATAAGTTTCTTCAGTTTATCAATGCGGGAGGCCAATTCTGGCTCGATGATTCTTGCGGTGTCGTTTCTATATGCGCCGGGAACAATGGAAGGCAGGAATCGAAGATCAATGGGTTGGCTAGATTGCGTTGGTCAACTTCCAAAGCAAAACTACGGTGAGAAAGAAAAGAGGACCGACCCTGAAGACTGCGCGAGGGCGTACATAGACCCATTCGCAACAAAATGAATGCCTTCAAAGTCGAGACGAAGGTCTTCTGCGGTGAACTTGTCGGTTAATTCGACTTTTCCCTACGAGCCATATGAGAGTCAAATTATCGGAGTGAGGAATACTCACATGGATCAAAGTGACCTTTTCAGAGACATTAGATGTTGGCGCTGGCCGCTCAGCCAAGCTTAGCGCTACTTTATCTGACGCAGTCCAATTCCAAGACCCCAACTTATCCCAAGCCGCCGTTGAGTTGGTAGCTAGCATATACTGCTCCGCGAGATGAGACCATTCTGATGACGAATCGATTGAAGTCAGATTATAGAACGTGGTGTCGCCGTGATAGGTGCCGGTACTGTTAGCATAGTAGGAGGATGCGACGTCGAGAGGTCCGCCTTCCACCTTGAAATGACCGAGTAATGGAAGGACTGTGCCATCATGTTCGGGCTATATGGAGGTTGAGATCATTGCTTCAGCGAGAGAGCGAACTAACCATGGTAAAATTCGTTTCCGTGGTCCCGTTTAGCCAAGCCGTGAAATTAGATAGCTGCATTAAACGAGTTGAGTCGTTGAGAGTCCAGTTTGGTGCAACACACCTGGTAGGTTAGTGTGCGCAATGAGTCCTGATACTGGTGTCTAGCAAGGAACTCGTCGCCGTTATGGTTCGTGAGGAGAAATAGCATGAAAGAAATGAATAGAAAGTGAGGAATCGGATTCCTGGCGGGTTGTTGTGGGGCATCGGGGTCGCTTGGCGGATCCATGGTCGTGGACGTCGACGCCAAGCGTCAGACTCAGCTGATATGACAGGATTGTGACGAGCATGTGACCCCGTTCTCAACATTCTCCACCCAACCGCGCATTGCACGCGTTATGACGTCCCGCCACACTCCTGGCACAAGCAAACGCTGGAGTTACTTTCACGACGCCCTCCAGACCGCGAACCAGAACGTCGCGCGCAAGTGGAAGTTAGTGACCATTGTACGGTATCTAAGCCTATGTTCTAACCAACTCAGGTATCAAGACTTTGCTGAATGCTTCCCCCAATATGCAGAAGACGACCCAGATGGCGCGTTACAGACATTCAACCAAATCGCGGCCTACGTTGAGAACACAAACTTAGTTATGCGTCTACTTTCCTTTTTGGCAATCTCACTCATTGCTTCCTCAGCGCGACATGGATCTTATCTTCAAAGAGTATAACGCCCAAGAGAACATCGACATTCTTGACGACATGATAAAAACTGCCAAGGCACGCAAGGCTTCGGGTAACATCGGTCCGGACGTTTCCACTGCAAAGATAACAGCAGCATCCCTTGCTGGTGGCCGCACGTTTCCCATCCTTCGACAACAAGCGGAAAGACTGCGAGAGTCATTGGACAAAGTCAGATTTGTGTCTCGTTTCTGCTCCTTTTAAGACTCGTGATAGATTAGGGCAGAGAACTCCGTCCTGGTGGCAGATTTGGAGAAGACGGTAAATCAGGGAAACAAGATCCAAGAACAAGTGGTCAGCATCGTGAATAAGATCGAGACGGTCAGCGTTCTCTTTTAGTTTACTGCTTATTCTGACGCTTGCAGGCTTACGAGGCTTGGGAAAACATGCCAATGGAAGACGTTGAGCAGTGGACGGCTCAGATTTCGGCGACTACACGGCAAGAATTCCGTTCATGAGAAGAAGTTAATGTCCTTTGCTTATGGTAGCTTTGTACTCTCTCTTATTTCTGGCTATGCAGGAGTAATCAGTGCGGTCGTAATCGCCCCGAATGCCCACGACATCCCGTCTCCGCCGCGTCGGTGGAAAAGGCTTGGTTAGGCTTGGACCTAAGTAACATGACTGCGGACAAGGCGCCAAGTCCGGAATGAGCGCAATTTCTCATCGTGAATTTTTAGTTCTCCCAGTGGTCCTGCCACTTCGACCCAGCGCTGAACTGCGCTGAACGTCAAGGGTGTCTTGGTTGGCTTATGTTTGGCCCCAAGGCCGGCTAAAATGTTTCAATCAACGGCTGATCGGATGTCTTTGACCCGGATCAATACCGCCCCTCCGCAGTCTGCCGCGCTGCACTGGTTGTTTAAATTCCTTGCCTCTTTCATCCACGTTACCAGTGCACCCTGCACTTCCTCCTACCTATGTTCACGCTTTCGACAATACATCTGCCTATAATCGCACTTTTACTTTCTAATGTTGTTGCAAACCCAACTCCTCAACCCAACCGCTTTTCTATGCCCATTCAAAGGAGGCTAAACCCCCGCTCTATCGAAGACTTTGGGGCTTGGGCAAAGAGTAATCGGGCTGGGCTTACCGCTAAATATGGCGGCTCTCCGACCTCGAAGCGGAGTACTGGGACAAATTTGTGAGTTGGAGGCCGTTCGCCTGGCTTTCTCTCGACTGACGTCGTTAGGTTGACCAATCAAGGAGCCGATTCAAGTTACTTTGGCTCATTGGCGATTGGCAACCCCGCTGCTTCTTTTAATGTGATCTTGGACACTGGATCTGCGTATGTTGCGGCACAGTATCATGGCTTACCTCGGACTGATTTTCTTTATCATTTCAGAGACCTTTGGGTCGCCGGTAGCTCGTGTAGGCAGGGCTGCAGCTCAGTGCCTACCTTTAACCCTTCAGGATCATCCTCTTTCGTCAACGAAAGCACCAGGTTCCAGATCACCTATGGTTCTGGCGCTGCCGCTGGCGTCCTTGCCACTGACACAGTCCAAATGGCGGGATTTTCTGTTTCGAACCAAATTTTTGCCGTCTGCGATGCCGTTAGTTCGGGACTCCTCACCAACCCTGTCTCCGGTTTGCTGGGCCTTGCGTGGCAGTCGATTGCCTCGTCTGGTGCGACGCCTTTATGGCAAACTTTGGCCGCTAACTCGTGGGATTCGCCGGTCATGGCATTCCAACTAACCCGGTACCGCCTATTTCTATAACACACGAGACGTAGCTTATGTTTCCCAGATTCTTGAACCAGTCAAGAGCATCGGACAGAGAGTTTGGTGGCTCTTTCACGATGGGTACGTTTTTTCTCGGAAGGGTTGCGTTAACTCAAAAATGCTAGGTTTCGTCAACAACTCATTGTACACTGGTGATATCGAATATATCAATATGCCCACCTCGAGGAGCTCGTATTGGATTCTTCCCATAACCGCACTCACTGTCCAAGGTAATTCTGTCGCTGTTCCTTCTGGCGTCAACTCGTATGCCGCGATTGATACTGGAACCACACTCGTTGGCGGCCCGGAAACCGAGATCGCCAACATTTATGCCCAAATACCCGATTCGAGAGCCGGAACCGGAGATTTCGACGGTTATTATCTGTACCGTGAGCCTGATCCTCTTCCGTTCCTGATTCAATCCGCTCAACCATCTCCCATAGCCTGTGACACTCGGGTCACTGTCTCCCTTTCATTCGGTGGCTCAACTTGGACCATCAGCCCCGACGATTTCGCACTGCAGGAAGTTTCACGAGGAACTTGTGTCGGTTCATTCTTCGCGCTCAGCACAGGCAACACGGCGCCATCATGGATTGTTGGCGACACATTCCTCGTGAGCATCTGGATCATTATTTGGCACGGAACGCTTATCATTTCCTCGCAGAAAAATGTGTACTCTGTGTTTCGGTACAACCCCCCATCCATTGGCTTTGCAAAACTTTCGCAGGTGGCTTTGGCAATGAACGGCAATGTCGATCTTCCTGTCCCCAGTGCTACCATTGGCTCTGTCTCCGCCCAGGCAACCGCTGGGAATAATAGGAATTCCAGTGGAGTCGAGAGAACACACATTCCCACTGCGGCGCTTTCTGCAGCCCTGACTGCGCTCTGGCTGCTTACAACCATGTCATAAAGTCAAAAGGATACCATGGACCACGGACTTGAATCATGTAACATTAATATACTGACAATCAATGTACAACCAATTGAACATCTACTTCTGCCAGTGTGCTCCTTTTTCTTCCAACCCAGACAACATACGTCTCTTCAAGATTAGTTGCTGCCCGCCATATGTCCCATTCACCGTTACCCGCTGCCAACCACCGCTCCAAGAATTCCCTCGTCACATCCTCCGCCCGCAGTTCCATTACCACGACGACTTCTGTCTTGCCAGTCGTTGTAACGTAGTCTATCGCTCCTACAAGCGAAGGGAGAAGCGATGGATGATAGATGCAGTCAACCACGAGCACTAAATCGTACGCCGAGTCTGGAAGTGCGAAGTAGTGGCCTCGTCGGCTCGGTGGCAATGTTTCCAAGGTCTGCCAATTCAACTCTAGTGCGGAGATGTTGTGTCCTGGGTCTGTCGGAGAGCCGCCAGGCCAGCGAGGGAAATTGAGCTTCAAGTTCTTCGTTATCAGTGTCTGTAGTTCACTGATATCGGTAATGGTGTAGTGGGCGAATAGCTGCGAAAGCGCTATCCCGAGGAGGCCAGTGCCAGACCTACTTGTGTGTAAGACATCGCTATCGTCCATTGGGAAGAGAGTGACCCAAGTTCCAGAACATGGCTTGTCCGAATGCGCTCACAGTCGAAGAGTGCAGTTGGCAACTTGACATACTGTTCTTGCAGAATGAGTTTAGCAAAATCGATGCTATAAGCTTGTTCAACGCATGCCGATGGACATAGTGGCTCGTCTGCTTACCTGGCTTGCCAAACAACAGAACCGGTGTCCCCTGCCCGGGATCGTAGAGCCGTCTTGTCTTGAAGTAGCTGAATTTCGATGGTCTTTTCGCCGACAGTAGTTGTGTGCTTCCTTTTCCCCTTGCCTTTCGTTACCGTCGTCGACAGCAGGGGCTTGAGTTCGAAACTCAGCGACAAAACATCCTGGCGATTGTCGACGAAGCCCAAGCCTCTCGGTTTACTGGACGAGTTGGCTCGCGAGTACAAAAGAAAGACCTAGCGATAGTGAGTCAATCAAGAAATTAGATCAAGCATTTGAACCTCCTCATCTGCGTCGACGATCCGTTCTGAGCCTGGAGGAAGAATAACTAAGCATTGCATCATTGTGATTAGTCATACCCAAGTTATCAAAGCTTTTTGTAGATAAATACTAGTACAGCATACAAACTTGTCCTTAAGCCCGCGTCTCTAACCCGCGCTTGATTGCATCACAAGTGTCCTTCGCGTCGCCAAACAACATGCGAGTGTTGGGGAGGAAGAACATGGGGTTGGGCACATCGGCATAACCACTCGACATTCCTCGCTTCATCACAATAACCTGTTTGCTCTTCCAGGCGTGTAGAACAGGCATGCCAGCAATAGAAGAGCCCTTTTCAAGGGCAATGGGATTGACCGTGTCGTTCGCGCCGATAACGAGCGTCAGATCCGTCTCCTTGAAATCATCATTGATTTCGTCCATTTCCCTGCAGTCCTCGTTGAGTTGGTAGTGCATAGAAATCATGTGCACTCACAATACGATATCATAGGGGACTGATGCCTCAGCGAGAAGCACGTTACACTACAAAAACGGGCGCATTAGAACAGGGCAAAGGATATGTTTGGCTGCTGGCTTACTTGACCTGCAGTAGAATATAGGCCACATCGAGACGAATGAGAGAAGATACGCACCTGGCATACGCTAAGGAGGGCATTAGTTATTTGCACAATATCGGGAGGAGCAAATGACTAACCCCAGCAACAGGATGGATGGCAAACCTGACTGTGATTCCCTTGGCTCGTAGCATAGAACAGATGTCCGCGATAGCATACTGTGCTTTAGCCACGGCCATACCCTGCGGAGCATTAGTGGTAATCGAGTCCAGCAAGGTAAAACATACGTAGCCAACGACGAGGATAACGCTGTCAGAGTTGAGCAATGCCTCCACAGTATCATCAACTGATGTCTTTGTGATAGTCCCCGTAACTTCGCGAGTTTCTTGAGCGCCAGTAGCTATCCCTCCGAACAGCACATTGGTGAGTGACCGATTCATTGCAACACACTGAGACCATTAGCCCGCGTTGGACAACTAGAGGATACATACCATGATGTAGGACAAAATGGAGCCACTGACTCCGATCAAGGAGCCCACCGTCGTCAATAGAGGGTTGTCGAGCATAAATCCTTTGTCAAAGTTGGCCCTTATAATTCACGTAGACTCAATTAAGGCACCTTCAGCCACCAGGGCAAATCCGCTGAGATCAGTTAATAAATATCGTCCTGAAGTAAACTGGAGACGAACGAATAAGCGTTCAACACAGTTATTACCACGGCTGCTCAAAGTAAGGGTTAATGATGGAAATATAGAACGTTCAACGAACGCATGTCAGCGCCTCCAATAGCGGCCGTTGTAGTATATCCTTTGATGAAGCTCAGAAGTGTGCTCGTCGACAAGAAGGCCGCGGCAACCAACGGTGTCGAAGGTGCTGCAGACAAGAATCCGGCCTAAGAGTGGCGGATCAGATTAGGAGACGCGATCACGTGACGCTCACCATGGTCAAACCATTGAGACCCAGCAACGTGCTATTGATTAGATGCTTCCCTGGGAGCACCAGAGGTTTTGACGCCATCCGACCAGCCAACTTGAGGAATGCAACGATTGAACCGGTAAATGTGACCCCACCAATTACGACGCCAAGCTGTAAACAATCTGAGTCACCGCTAAAGGACAGCACAAGTTGGGTACATATCCGGTCACTAGATGGAGCATACTCGCGTGCGAGGGATCGGCGAGAATACTTCCGATAGAGGTGAACACGGCAGCAAGGCCGACTTGAGAGGAACATGAGAAAAATGCACCAAGCTTTTGGTGCACACTCACCGACACTGTGGAGCATCGCAACCATTTGGGGTAGCTCTGTTGCAGTAACGCGTCTGAGAGTTTCATTTTTTAACGTCGTTCACCGAAGATGTTAGTTCACACGAACCGCCCAACGATAGTGCCGATAAGCCCGCCTATTCCTGCACATCCAGCGAATTGCGCGAGAACAGGTGCTGGGAAACCGACAGCGGCAAGGCTTGCTAATATTCCAGACCAGACCCCTAACATCCCGAGGGCATTTCCTGTAGATTATGGCTTGGACTTGGTTCAGGATTCAAAAAAGATCCACTTACCTTGCCGAGCTGTGACCTGCGATGACAAACCAGACAACGAGCCTATGCGTGCTCAGTCTAGGAGGTATCTTTGAAATGAACATTGCTCTTACCGATGCAAAGAACACTGCTGGCCAGATAACCAGCTTGAACCAGACCCGCGGTACCTGTGCTTGCTGCAGCGAGGAATCCTCCAGTGAAGACAACTGCAGGGACGCCATATAGCCATGAGTATTCAGGTGGGTCAGTAGGACGTTTGAACATGTCAAGCATTCGCTGTGATTGTCAGCAAAATCAAAGCCCCATTTCACAATATACCTTGGTGATAATGAAACCTGGATCTAAGCTCAATACCAAGTGAACGGGAAACTCGACTCGACCTACCGCCAGCGACATTTACACTTGCTAAAAGCACTGAAATAGCGCCGAGCGCATGAGGGAGTGTTCCAGGTAAAAACCCGCCGCCCTAGTATTTTCAGGATCAAAGGTCAAAAAAGTTGGGAATGCGCATACCATGATGAACAAGCCACCAATACCGACCATTCCAGAGATTGCATTTGTGACACTCTGTCGCCACATGTTACTTGTGGACATAGTAGACAATGAAGGCTTACCATGAGCGGAGAATGCAGGGCTGGAGCAACTTGCCACACAACCCTGTAGCCCACGAGAGCAGCGAGACCGAACGTGAAGAAATTATCCATAAATGCAGCGCCGGTGGCCTTTCCCAAGGCCAGGACTCCACCCATGCCACCAGTAACAACTGCGACTTCTCTTGAAGTCTTTTGCCACGGTGTTAAAGCGACGGTAGCAACTTCTTCAACCTGGGGTGTCACAGGCGGTGCTGGTGGTGGGGGAGGAACGACCCGGGGAAGCACATTGCCTTCATGAACGACAATTGAACCACGAACGACCTCATCTTCTAGGTCTATTGAGAACTTGCTATCACTCCCGATCGAGAGTAAGAACTTGGTGACATTGTTGGAGTAGAGTGTTGATGATTGTGTCGGTAAACGCGACGGCAAGTCAGTATAACCTGTTGATCTTGCTCAGCATGGTGCGGAATCAACACAAATCTGTGTCAACTCGCCGATAACCGTGACACCGTTGTGAATATAGAGTTCTCCTGGGCGGGTTGCTTCACAGTTTCCTCCTGCTTCAGCCGCAAGGTCGACGATCACTGAACCTGGTTTCATGGCGGCTACCATTTCGCTGGTTATCAACTTTGGCGCAGGCTGACCCGGTATAAGAGCCTAAAAACCACGTCAAAACGGGTTTGACAACGTCTAGTTTGGACCAACGGTTGTAATAATGATATCAACGTCTTTGGCTTGTTCCATAAACAGGGCCTTGAAAGAGCTCAGTGTGATTTAGTGAGGATGGGCATGAACTCACCATTTCCGCAGCGATGAATTCCTTCGACATGACTTTGGCGTAGCCGCCTCCGCCCCCACCCTCTTCTTTGATCGATACCTCAAGGAATTCAGCGCCGAGTGATTGAACTTGTTCCCGAGCGGCGGATCTGGTGTCAAACCCGCGCACGATGGCACCCATACGGCGGGCCTATAGCACTGTTCATGATGAACGTAGTCAAGTTGGAAGAGTCCTACAGTTACGATAGCACTGAGACCAGCAACACCCTGCCAGCAATGAGCCAAGTTTGAGCCGTAGCTATATGTGACCCACCGCTCCGATGACTAGAACCTTTGCCGGTGGGATCTAGGATAGTCAGTACGGCACTGATAAGAACATAGTTCATCACTTGCCTTTCCAGCTGCTGTTGTTTGTCCAGTCAAGTACCTCGCGAAGTTGTTCGATGCCTCGAGGACAGCCTTATATCCGGCAATATTCGCCATAGAGCTGACGGGCTGACGTTAAAAACGAGGGAAACGCGCACTTTGAACACCAACCTCAACGCGTCGTAAGTCTGAGCACGGGATATGCGAGGAATCCAATCCATAGCGAAGGCATTGACTTTTCGCTGGGCAAGCGCGTCAACAATGGGTTTGTTCTGTACTGGGTACAAGAAAGAGATGAGGGTGCTCCCAGCCTTGACATTTTGTACTTCCTGGCCGTCCAGCGGCGGTCGAACTTTGAGAAGGATGTCTGACGAGTTATAGACTTCGTCTCGCGACACAATTATGGCGCCTGCAGAAGTGTATTGTTCATCGGAGAACTGAGCACTTGCACCTTTAATCAGTTAGTTGAAAGGACGCGTGGCTCTTGTTACGAAACGAACCAGCATCTTTCTCAACCAAGACTTTGCCAAACCCTTTCTTCCGTAGTACTTGAACGTTTTGTGGTGTGAGTGCTACCCTTCGTTCGCTCTGGAAGGTTTCACGAGGAACGCCTACAGCCAGACCAGCGTAAGGTGTGCCGGCAACGGTACTGGCAGCTGGTAGTGGTAATTAGTTTGGGTAGAGAATGTCACATGAATATTGTTATACCTCGTCGTAGAGCAAGAGAGACTAGACGACGTGAGGGTCTGAAGAGTACAGGCCCGCAGGCCATGGTGGTGGTTGTTCAGTCGAAGTGCTGGCAGCTAATCAACTTCGAATCTCGCCTAGCAGATCGTGCATGCGGTCCGGAGGCTGATGGAAAATACCCCGCATCTCTACTCCGGGGTACTAGTGATAAAACATTTGGAAAAGGTACGACTATAAACTGAAACTCAAGCAAGCATATACCGTTGTCAATTCTTGGGGGATATAGACCAGAAATTCATAACAAAATGCACAACATGACATAACCGACAAGGAACAAGTCCAGACCCGGTAATTGTATCCCGTTAGAGCCTTACTTAAGGCAGCTTCCCACTTTCTCGCGATGACTTCAGTCTTCGGTCCGAGGTTTTGCCCTTGTACTACTCGAAGACTGGACTGTTGAGAAAGTGCTTGCATTTTTCTATCATTGGTTTTTGAATGAATGAGCTTTCTAATTGAGAATATCAGCTCTGGATATGCGTGGAAGAACGTAGACAGTTGTGTGGTGCTGTGGCGGCAGAAAAATGCAACCTAATGCAACTTGAAGGCGACTGTCACGTGTGTCACAAAACATATTCGGCTTGAGGTGACGTCCATGCTGTTTCTGCACACAACCCTACCACGACTCCGAAATGGTTATCGCTCCTTGAACATCGCTCTGCCCCGTTGGCCACTCGCAAAACGTATCGCGAACCCTTCTCTACCATCGGAAGCAACACTCGCACAAAAAGTTGGTCGGCCTTCCATTCAGAAACAAACCATTGTAAGCGCCATACTGGCGATCGCCGTCTCATTCACTCTAGCCTAGTTTGTTCTCTCAGGAACATTGCTTGCATTCACATATGCTTCTGCGCTAACCACAGTCGAAACCGAAGAGGCGGTCGAGAAAATGACGCGTGGGCGTTCAAGGACTTGGCCTCATACAATAACCTCCATCGACATGAGAAATGCCGCCGACTTTGCTCTGGCTCAGGTGCGCAGTAATTCCTCACTCTTTTCATACGCTTACTGGCTCGGGTAGGAACTACGAGAGGGACTCAAGAAAGTTGGATCTGCTACAGAAAGCCTACCGGTAGCGACGCGTAATCGTATCATGCGATTATGGGCAACGGTGGCTCAATCATATCTCAACGTGTCGGACGGGAAACGACTGTGCTGGAAATTGTGTTTACTGAATATTGGCGTGTGGCTTGCTTTTAAATCTCGACGGTTACGGCCTTTCATGATGCATGGCTTTGCCCATGACCCATTGTCAGGGAAGTCTTACACAATGCTTACAAGCATATTAAGGCGTGTTTTCCCTCCAATTCCCAGAAGATAATACTAAAAAATGCAGCTCTCCGGTATTGCCTCTTCTCGGGTTGAACTTGCTCTTCCTAGATGGATTTGGTACCTTTCTCGGCCTTTCAGAAGATAAAATCTCAGAGGCACTTGTCAGGATCTTCTGCTGCCTTTCACCTCACCCAACGGCAAGAGCGAATACCAGATTCTCAACTTGAAGCGACCTCTCGTTACCATTTTCTAGCTTTTTTCGTTTCAGGTCCGTACTCCGACACTACATTGGTAGTTGATTAACCCACTTTGCCAGCCGGACTATTCGCGGCCCTTGCCTCTCATATTGTGCACGTTAAAGTGCTGTACCCTCGCCTAATATCGCGGCTTTCCGCGAGCTCACCTGCAACCTCAAAACCAGACACATGGGCATCAGCCTTGCGCAATATGCCCCCTCCAACTTCTCGCTTCCGCTCATTTTTCCGACTACCTCCACCACCGTCTCCTGCCCCTCCAAGACTTGCTCCAAGATTTGCTGGAACTGGTGCCCTCTATGCTCTCATGACCATCACAGCGCTAGGTTTCCCCAACGCTGAGATCTCACTCTTTTATCCCCCTAACTACTCTGTGCCGATCCAATGGGGCGCCTGTGGGCTCTTGCTTCTTGATGTTTTTGGTATATGGCGTGGCTGGAAGTCAGCTCTTTCCGTCCCTGTTGTTATGGCTTTTGTTGATTCATGAGCAGGCTTTTAGATCACTTCGCTCATTTAGGTGGGGCTGCTTTCGGAGGGCTATATTATTTATATGGACCGGGGGCGTGGAATTGGATACGTGCAGCGATGGCAGACGAACCAGAGGAAGAGGAACGATGAGTCAGACATGGTGTAACTATGATGCCATCAAATGTTTTTCTACCTCTCATTTCTTCGTCCACCTCCCACTGCATGCACCACTGCACTCTCCATAACTCCGCAGGTGGCCAACGATCTTCGTACAGAACTCTTTGAGGGTGATGCTCTCGACATCTATTATCAATGGATCTCTGTAAAAACAGGCGAGCAGACTCGGCCTGCAAAGCTCACAACATGGCGCGGGCAAGCAAGCGCGTATAAAGAAATTCCTGTGCCACTTCCCAGAGGGCCATCCAATGGTCTTTGGAGGCTTGTTCTGACGACCACTCCCGATTCCTTTGCAATACCCATGGACGAAAACAACATCGGGGTGCGGCCCTTTGGTGTGATGTCTATGCCCGTCCAACTGGGTTCGGGGCAAAGTTTCAAGGGCAAAGCAAAGCTACAGGATAGAATCGAGCGAGTCTATGCCCTGGGAGGAGACAAATGCGTCAATGTCATCGAGGAGACTTCCTTCGATCTCGATAAAGTACGAAATCTCCACTATTTTTTCCTATGCGTTTGATCTGTTGTTGGCCGTAGAAAATATGGGACAGCGGCATTGGATTGAGTTCGTGGCTGGTAGCCAATCAGTTGCCGTTCCTCAAGGCGCCCAACCCTCTACGAATTTTGGAACTTGGGGCAGGAACTGGGATCGTAAGTCTGGTACTTGGTTGTCTCCGACCAGAGGACCATATAATCGCCACAGATGTTGGTATGTCTTGAATCTAGGTCAACATGAGTGTCTTCTAATGGCGTAGAATCTGCTATGCCACTTTTGCAGCACAACATCTCCGAGAACAAGTCTACCGTCAAGGCAGCAGTGTTGGATTGGGACGAAAACCACTTGCCGGAAAGTGTCCAACAGTCTGAATCATTCGATGTTCTCATGTATGCTCGTCCTGCTACAATCAACGTGGATCTCTATAACTTGCTATAGCATGGCCGATGTGACCTATAATACGGCTTCGTTTCCTTCACTGGTCGGAACCCTCAAGAGAGTTATGACCATGGGTCCTTTGCCACCCCAGATCATATTGGGTTACAAGGAAAGAGATGCGGCAGAGCGAGAGCTTTGGTCTATGCTCAGAGATGAGAACAATATTGAACTTAAGCAAATAGCCACAGTTGATGGCAGCGGAGGAATGCCAATCGAGATATGGACGTCTTAGGACTCAATAGAAAAAGTTGCTGAATGCACTACTGCATTGTTGATTGCTGGGGAATACACTAGAGTACAGGATGCGGAAAAATAATGGACAAAACAAGAAACAGTCTATGAACGCTCGCCGCGCAACCGCCGGGCAAGAGCCAAATCTTTGGGCTGGATGGTGACGCGCTTAGCGTGAATGGCGGCCAAGTTGGTGTCTTCGAAGAGTGAGACGAGGTAAGCCTCTGCTGCTTCTTGCAGAGCCATTACAGCGGACGATTGGAAACGGAGATCAGTCTGGATAGGGGGGGTCAACGGAGTTAATGAGCGACGACGATGAAACGAACCTTGAAGTCCTGAGCAATTTCACGGACAAGACGTTGGAAGGGGAGTTTTCGGATGAGCAGCTCGGTCGACTTTTGGTAGCGACGGATTTCACGAAGAGCGACGGTACCCGGCCGGAAACGATGGGGCTTCTTGACACCACCAGCTGCGGCCTGGAAAACGATGGTAAGAGAGAAAGCTTAGTTGATCAACAGGCACGTACGGCAGTGCTCTTGCGGGCAGCAGAGGACTTGGAAGCAAGTTGTTTACGAGGCGCCTTGCCACCAGTGGATTTACGGGCTTGGAGGTGGAGAGTTAGAAGAGACCAAAACTGGTTCAAGACAACGCACCAGTTTGCTTGGTGCGGGCCATTTGTTGGAAGTGTAGAGTGGTGGTAGTGGTGGTGGTCGGGAAGCAAGAAAAGCTGAGTGTGATTGGAGGTGTGACCGAAAGTTATAAATGAACGCGTCTTGTTGACCTGTGCGTGACTTTGTTGACGCGCGACCGAATTCAGCACAGCCACCGATTGCCTTCTTAAGAACCTGAGAGTCTGTGACCAACTTTCAATCGCACTTTCGTCTCCAACGTCCACCAACCAACTTTACTCTCCTCCCCCCTCTACAACAACTCATAAACAATGTCTGGCCGTGGCAAAGGTGGCAAAGGTCTCGGAAAGGGTGGTGCCAAGCGTCACCGCAAGATTCTTCGCGACAACATCCAGGGTACGTTGAATTCAACTCTTTCTTTCATGTTTTTGCTCACTTTTGCTCCCAGGTATTACCAAGCCCGCTATTCGTCGTCTCGCCCGTCGTGGTGGTGTGAAACGTATTTCTGGTCTGATCTACGAAGAGACCCGTGGTGTTCTCAAGATCTTCCTCGAAAACGTGTGTTTACTCGCTTTGCACTTGGTCGCTGGTGACTGACTATTTCCCCAGGTCATTCGCGACTCGGTAACATACACTGAGCACGCCAAGCGGAAGACGGTCACTGCTCTCGACGTTGTCTACGCCCTCAAGCGTTCAGGCAGGACGCTCTACGGTTTCGGTGCTTGATTGTGGCTTGTCGGGAGGACTTGCCACTGCTACCATTATGACTCTAGGTCGTCTCATTATACTTTACTCTCTCGCTGCATGTACTTCTATTGTAAAAATCTCAATGCCGGACTCTGACCGCTTTTGCCCTGAGCATTTCCGTTCTTATCCCTTTGTTGGCCGTGGCGTCTGAGGAGTTGTGCTCTTTATTTGTCCAGTAGCACGTTATCTCGTTTTTCATTGGTGGATAGAATGACCTCTAAGACGGCGATGCACAGAAAGGACCCTCGTTTGACATTTCACGGTGCCATCGTGTCGGTAAATGGTAGGTTCACTGTTGCCACTTTACAAAAAAGAGTCGAAGATCTGGGAAGCCGGGATGGCAAAGCCAAGTGACCTGCATGCAGTGTCCATTTTTAACCAAGTTGGTGGCGTAGCTGGTGGCGTCTGAGTGACTAATGTCACACCGCGTTTCAGTCACAACGCGTGCAGATGTCCGGTGAACATTTCAACCTCACTCCTCCCCTCGTTCCTGCAAGAAGATCTCAGGATCTACTCGAAGCCGGACAAGCCATTTCCGCATCTCTCTCACCTTTCGACAATTCCATCTCAGTTTTCGCGACCAACGCTGTACAGCTTGTCCATTCCAATTCACGTATCCACTCAACCTATTTCCAGCATGCATCCCAGCCAACTAAACGCCCCTCCGACGAAGAGCAACCCATCTACTTTTCCAACATTGATGCTGTTCCATCTTCAGAGAGAAGACTCGTATGTTTTTTGTGGATTTCTAGGGACAAGTCGAAGTCTCTCATTGGCCAGTTCATCACAGACACCCTCGTAATATTCGCTGCCTTCCAAAACCTATTAAAGAGCGCCAAAACAAAAGACCCCGACTGGTGCGTCGTCCCTTTACAACGTGGCCTCGTTGTCTCAACGCCCACAAAGGATGCAGAACGACGATAATCTAACAGTGATGCGCAAACTTTCCATTGACTACGTCAACTTCATTAAGGAATGCTGGATTCACGCGTCAGTACGTGTAGTACATGTGGTCTTTGGTCTCGGTGCTTATTAGATCTACAGCATGACATTCCTAGGCCCGAAGGACCCCTTCAGTTCAGCGCAGATCATTATCGCAGCCTCTACACCTGTTTCTCCCTTTTTGTGGTTCTATACTTACCGGAACCGGGTTACGAGGAGGCTCCCGTCGGAGAAGATCTGATGGAATGGTTGAACATCCACTTTATCGAGCCTTCTACGGAAGAGGGCGACCATTTAAGCTCTCTACAAGCGCCCTGGGAAGACGATTCATTTTGGCCATATTTGACCAGGCATGTATCACCTATAGCCCGCGCCAAAAGCTCATAATATCAAGGGCAACGTTACGGGGCTTGTCCAAGGCCTCTGTTTTCTTCTTTAACACGCTTTCTGAGCACCCTTCAGTTGACCTTCGTGATCTAGCGGAAAAAATAGCTGCGATAATTGCATCGCAACCCCGCCTTCAGAATTTTGCGGCCGAAAAAGATTTTGCGAGCGCCTCCCGAAGATGGAAAGACCAAGTCAAAGCCATCCGTGTCGAAATGGAACAGATACCGGAGGGTGAAAGATTTGACGAGTTTGACAATTGGTGGGATCGTTTGAGTGACATTGTGGGTGTCTTGGAAGGTCGGGGCGAAATGGTGGAACGCATCTGTGCGGAACTCGGGGCGGACTGGAAAGAAGTCTGCGCGGCCTGGGGCGTTTTCGTTGAACCCAGACTTCGGCGACAAGAATTACCGTAAGCTGATCGCTCTATTTTCTTCGCTTTGCTAATGTGTGCATGGATAGTGAAGTCGTCGAAAGAATTCTGGATAGTCTGCCACCTGACCCTACCAATCTCGAAGACATGGTACACACAACTTTGCTTTCAGGCAAGCCGTTAGACGCGCTACTACATGCCTCTCAGCTCGATCGATGGCTTTCTGCTCACCTCGCTGATATTATGGAGCCATTATCTCTCCTCACAGGACTTGAGGAAGACGGGTGCGTCCGCTGATCTTCCAAGCCATCCAAGCTGCTTATATTCACCACAGTATATCGGTTCGAGATGAGCATATTTTGGCATATGCCGACTACCTCCACTCAGATCCAGCTCTATGGAGAATAACTGTGGAATACATGTACTCGTGCGGAGATGTCGGAAAAGAGAGAGGCGATCAAGTCCTTATTCGTGTGCCTCTGCGACTACAGGCAAAAGGAGAGCAAGCCGAAGAAGGTCAGATTCATGCGGGAAACGTGGTAGGGGTCCTCAAAGACGTTAATCAAACCTGCTTCGATTATAAAAGGGAGGCGGCTAGGCGGACCGTTTGCAGAGTAAGCTGTTTGTTATTGCTTTGAGCGACGGCGGTGTAATTTTAACCCTTGGACGCTAGATAGCAGCTCAAAGCTTCGTCCGCGAAAAAGACTATGGTCTTGCTGTCTCATACTGCTGCTCCGCTGAAGATTGGCAAGGCCTTGGTCGGGTTGTTGACTGCTTGCTGGAAGAATATATTGCCAGCGGTGAGTGTTATCACATATCGCACTACTACTCTTACCATTTTGGTGACAGGGCCTGCTTCCTTTGCACAATACGCTTCCGACATTGCTCCATCGCTTCAAAATCTAGGTTCGCAGCAAGCCATCTCCCACGGTGTCTTTATTCACCGACTCATGTTCGCGGTTCGGTATTCAAACTTCCAGCAACTTCGAACAAAGTACGATCAGTCCCAAAACGCTGCTTTAGATTTGGTCGCCATGCTACGAGACCATATCGCTCCGAAATCCTGGTGGGCTGTGCTCTTGTGTGACGCCATCGACCTCCTGCAAAATCGTATGTCAGCAAACATTTTTCTCGGCCGTACTTTCTGATTTGTGACAGCGTCAATGCTCCTGTTTTCGACTGCAGGTGCCGCTGAATTACTGAACAAACTGGAGGAAATTTTCACGCGGTCTGCCCAAGGCGATGGTGCTGATTATCTCGATATCTTAGCTCGGACGATCCGTGGAGGCGGTCACAAGGAGGCATTGGAACGGTTAAAAACCGTCCGCCTTGCGCTCGCAAAATATTTTGCTAGATCTGCGGTATTAAGTCCCTGACGTTCGATAGAAATTGGATTTTTTTTTTCTTTCCATCGGCGATTTGTGCTGGACGAGGGGGCCAACATTAACTTGAGGGACTCTTCGCATCTGCATTGAACTCGATTAGTGTTGTCGATGTTGCACGAGCCTCTCCAGGCGCTCAAGAACATTTGGGGTAGGTGTTGGAACTAAAACTTCTTGAATTCGCATCCATTCTTGGGGTTCGTCCAGTCGTGTTCCAGGACCGTGGTGTGTTTTCTCCTTCCATTTAAGCTTGAGCAATGAGTTGGAATATCCAACCTCCTACATCCTATGTGTTGGGACGCAGTGGCTCTCTCTGGCTCCGTTCGCTGCGAACATATGACCGGGAAGGACCGTTCTAGGGTACTTTTTGGCACTAAACCCTTCATTCGTACTCATTACTATCAAGGTCGATTGTCAACGTCCAAACTGTGCCTTGAGCTCGACTCATATTCGCTCAGCGCATGAGTGTCAAAATACCTGTGTTCAGAAGTCTGTGTTATGAGTTTTACCCGATATCTCAATTCTGAATTCCCGAAGATCTGCTGGGACTATGCACGTCATGCATGATCAGGCGCCTGCCCGATGCGACAAGTGTGCGCTCGGAAAATGACTACAGTTTTCGGGTGGTTTCTTCGCTTAAAAAGTAAATATAGCCTAGTTAAATATAATCTGGCAACTGGGTGTCAGTTCTCAATTTCCGCCTCCTCCCTATCTTCTCTTGAAAAACGCGCTGGCGCTGACATATGGAGAGAAGCAGCCAGCCGATTGGTAACTTGCTCTGTCGCGGGTAAGTATGCAAGTGCAATGTTCACAGCCTGGTGTAGATCCTCTCAGTTCTGCCTTTTTAGGAAGTTGGACGAGTCTCATGAAGCCGAAGAACGGACCGCATGATCCGGGCCCTCGGATTCTTTCGCACTCCATGACCCCGAGCGCAGCAAGAGGTCTAGTCGTCGTCTTAATCGAAGGCGGGTCAGACGTTTCGGAAAAAGAGCTGACAGGTAGCCAAGGTTTAGACTGGAAATGTTTATGACGTCATTCACAGCGTGGTATGAGGAAGAGCATGTTCCTCGTCGTTTGACCTTGGCTGGCTTTGTTTGTATCACCATTCTGTGCCAACACGAGTTCAAGTTCTACGTTAGGATTCAGCATTCCGTTACAAAGCTATTGACTCCAAAACGCCGACATGGTTGACAGTATACGACATTGAGGCACCGGAGATCGCCAATTCGCCTGCCTATCTTGCACTCGCGGATCAAGCCTCGGACAATGAGAAGGCGATTTTGGCGAAACTGAGCGGTCTCAGTCGTCGAACCTATGCTCATATTCGCACGTTCTCCCACCCTGACACCAATACCAACGATTTGCCGACGCAGTATCTGTTGGCTGTTGGATTTATCATGAAGTCCACTGAAGGGGAAGCGGAGTTGGATAAATGGTGAAGGTCTTGAAATCTAGCTACAGGAATCTGACACCATTTTGGACCACAAGGTATAACGAGGAGCACATGGAGCTTCTTTCCAAGGTAAGTATGGTGCTTTCTGCTTGAAGCCAGACACGATTTGCTGCAAGGTACCTGGATGGAAGCAAGGCAGAAGATTTGTCTTGACCGACCACACCGCTCGAGGCGAGTTTGTGGGCCAGCCAGTCCATAACTATTTCGCTTTGCATTCCTTTGACAACAAAGTGGGTCGATGCTAGACGGCGCAACACTGGATCTTGACACCTTCAAAGGACTTTGCGGATACGGTGGAATTCAAGCAAGCTACCAGCACTGAGTGGAGAGCGAAAGTTATGGATTTGTGCATCAGTCGCGAGGCGAGAACGTTTGAGCTATATAAGAATTTTGGTGTTGCTACCAAGTAACAAGAGAAGGGCCTCGGTTGATATATTTCCAAGTTCACGTGCTGTGATGACTTGGTCATTAACTCTTAGCCAAGATCTTGCAACACTTCGCTGGCCGTTCCTCCAGCTTGGACGCGTCGCTCATGGGAGAAGACTCGTATCCAAACTCTCAATGGGACCCCGCTGACAACTCCGACTACCATAGCGGCCCCAGCTCCTACCACCACCCTGTCCAATTAATTGACCGATCCGAGTCTTCACCGCCAGCGGCATCCCAACCACGGTCAAGTTCGGATTCTGCTTGGCGCGATACCAATACCCTTGAAAACGATTCCCTTCCTCCAAACGAATCCGTTACTCTAGTCGATGCTACCTTCGACGAAAACATTCTCAGGTCGCTATGCGAACTGGACGTGAGTATTCATCATCTCTGTGGCTTCTCTACTCAACGAAATTAGTGTGGTGTCCCCTTACTTCTCGACAGAATTAAGCAAAGCATGATATCTTGTCGGGTGCGAGAGCTTATTTCACCGACTGTCCCAGTATTGATTGTTTCCAGGAAGCATCTGTGTTCCTCAAAAAACGGGCAGCAATAGAGGAGGAGTACGGAAAGACTATGCATAAGCTCGCTCGGACCACCGCAGAAACATATGGCATGCATGACGGAAAGGCCGGGTGTGTGGTATACCGCCATATCTTGCCTATCTTCTAAGCAGTTGTACAGAACCTTCGTTGCCTCCTGGCAGTCCGCCATGAAGACTCATGAAGCTATGGGAGAGAGCCGACTACGATTCGCCCAGCGATTGAACGAGATGAGCGAGGAGCTTGCAACCTTAGTAAAAGAAGTAGAGAAAAATCGGAAACAGGTGCGGATTGCACTCGCCATGACTCGAAATAATCGATCTCTTGAACGCATTACTAGACGAAAGAATTGGCCACGCGATATGAACGAGCACTCCAGGAGTCAGAGGCCGTAACAGAGAAATCCAAGAACCGACTTGATATTGCTTCAGAGGAACTTGAGCGTGTCCTGCTTCAGAAGGAAGGCGAGTCGTTGAAGGACAATACCGTTCAACAACGGGCGGGTGGTGCAGGTGGAAAGCGGGCTATTGGCAAGGCAGTTGCTAAAGGCGGTCTCCTTCTCAAGGGCAAAAACCCCGGAAACGTATGTCTCTCAGTATTTTTTTTGTGACGGCCTAGACTAATCAACTTTTAGATTCAACGTCAAGAAGATGACATTCGGACGCGGGTCTCAAATGCATCTGACGCATACCGCAAGGCTGTCACCGACACACAGGCAATGAGACAAGAGTATTTCAACTTTCAGCTACCTCGAATACTTCGCGTAAGCCTACAGCAGGTCACGTTGCTCTATCTGAATTCTCCATCCAGGCCCTCAAAGAATGCGCGGACGAAATGGATCTAGGAACGCAATACCATCTAACACGATATGCCTTCCTGTTTGAAAGCACCATCCTCGGTGACGGCTCCACTCTTGTGCCTCCTCCTGGTGAAGAAGGTTGGTTGTGGCGTTTTAACCCTCTGTTTGACTTACTTAGACTCTTAGGTTCTCCGCTTAACCCTGGCTTGAAAGCTACGTTAGAAATGATCGATAATCGCGGAGATTTCAAAGCCTACATGCATAACTACGCCTATGTCCGTGGCCCTGCTACGCCGCGTGGGCCCCGTCGAGAAGGTCCATCTGAAGAAGGCTTCGTATGTCCCCATTTCTGCCTTTTGGTCTGACTAAATTCGGAATAGCTACCACCACTCCCTCCGCACCAGCCAGCGACAGAAAAGGTTTCTCAAGCTAGTAATGGTGTAAATGGCGCTATCCATGCGACCTTTGGGGTTGATCTCGCCGATCAAATGGCAAGAGACAATGTCGAGGTTCCACCAATCATGGAAAAGTGTTGTCAGGCGATCGAGAAATACGGATTGGAGTCTCAAGGAATTTATCGTGTGAGTGGGACGGTGACCAGAGTTGCCAACCTACGCCAGAGACTCGATCGAGGTATACGCTTATTCTCTGACCAATATTCTGACTGAAAAGACATAACAGACCTCGACTCGGTTGATCTCGACTCGCATGAGTGGTCGTCAGATATCAATAATGTTTCGAGTGTCCTGAAAATGTGGTTGAGAGAACTTCCTGATCCACTACTCACATTCGAACTTCAGCAAGGTTTCGTTGACGCGGCGAGTAAGTGTTTCTGTGCGCCACGTGCCGATCAGTAACTCATGGTCTTGCAGAGATCGAGAATGAGCGGCTAAGACACATTCGATTGCATGAACGAGTTAATGATTTACCGGATGCCAATTACGCTACCCTCAAGTACTTCATGGGCCATCTCCATCGGTGGGTCTCTTGCTACTGTAGATTCTTCTTACGGTGTTGACTTCGTCGCAGGATAAACCAACACGCCGCGGAAAACTCGATGTCCATACAAAACCTGGCTATAGTCTTTGGTCCGACTCTGTTTGGTCAGATGAGACCGACAGAGGGTGGAGCGATACCTATGCCTGACACGACGAACCAGAATCTGGTGCGTGCTCTTTTTATTTGTCCGTGTTTGGTTGGCCAACGAGCAACATAGGCCATTGAAACGATCCTAACGCACTATACGGATATTTTTGTGGACGAATCTGAGCAGTAATGCTATTCTTATTTAATGACTGTGATGACGTGATACCCTTCATACCCGCGCTGGACGCTCTGGTCAGCTTTTGTACCCCCACTGTGTAGCATTCTCATCTACCTACTTAATATGTACACTTGAATATTTGACATGACAGATCAGACGGCAACCCAGTTTCCTTGACTGTCGTATTGCCATTCATGGCCTGACGGAAACAGAATACGGCGAAGAGAGGGACATTCCCGGAACCACTGAGCGCACAAAGCAGCTTCTTCGGCGTAATTAGCTTGTTGGACGGCGTTAATCTCTGTTGGTGAGAGATCAAACACTACCAGGTGACGGAGGTCCCGTAAGACGGGAGCTAGCCCAGCTAAGAGTGTCTGCAGCCAATTAGTAAGCCAGTTTCGCAGAAAACACAAAGGCAAGACTCACGATACCGGAAAGAGCATAATGGAGGGTGTGTCGAAGGGCAAGACGCACTCGCAGATGTTCAAGTTGAGGGAGATACTCGGCGATGCTTCGCAGGAGAACTGGTCGGGCTTGCATTGCTGATAAATCGAGCATGACTAGCGGCATGCTTGTGAGGGCGAATCGCGGCAAATTCTCCCGGTTGACGTCCGAATCTTGGCCAATGAGGGCCAGCGCGGTGACTGGTCGTCCTAACACAAAGGGTCAAACGTGGTCAGGGCTGCAGTCTATCGACTTGCCCGGAAGTATCGAAGCTGCAGTGTCTGGGGAGCCGCGAAAGTAGGTAAGAAGGGGAAGCGCAGTCGGAGGGAGTGGAGGGTTAAGCGGAGAATGGGCATCAGACAAACGCAAATGGCGTAAGATTGGGACGGAGGTGGCTAGAAAAATCGGGAGAAGGTGGGTATACGGATGTGTTGGAGGCGACTTGGCCCATTCTGCCCCAAGTGAGCAGTATCGGAGATGAGGAAAGTGGCAGTTATGCAAAAGTTGCTCGATTGCATGGATACCGCCACTATTAGAGCCGATCACGGTTCTGTTTGCGGGACCGAGGAAGACATCCAAGCCCTCAAGGTAGATTAGAGTTTGCAGAGTTTGGCTGACTTCGACACACGCATTAGCGAGGTCGAGATAGGTAGAGTTATTTGCTCCCTGCCAGCGAATTTGTAGTCGTTTTATGGTTTCAACGAGATGAGGTCTAGCGCGAATGGACCTGAAACAGCGAAGGGAGCGTCGAGGGAGGGGCGATTGGGAGGAAAGGGAATCCGATATGGAAATGGAAGCATACAAGAGTCGTTCAGCCACGGCGTTGAACCGATAGGACACACAGGAAATGACAGCGAGCACATGGGGCGGAAGAGAATCGAAGATGGCAGCTAGAGTCTCGTTGGGAAGAGACATGGCGCAAAAACACCAACATGGCTGTTTTATGTTCGGTGAATTGCCGGATGGACGTTGTCGTTTGCAGTTAAGCCGCGCATCAGGTCACACACACACACCAAGTCAAAAAAAAAAGTTCATAAGACTACAAACTCATTCGCCCAATGACGAAGAACTCCTCGACCAACCTGATGGTCTTCCCATCCACTCTCCAAGCAAATGATCATCCCGTGCGAGTTGCGAATGCCGGGGCGAAATGCTGAATATTTCTTCAACGCGGTCACACTATTCAGGCCTCGAACCATTCCTAACTGGACCGGTGACATTTCAGGCGCGTCTGAATGGACTTCGGAGACACAGGGCATTTCTGGAGGTGTTTCAAGTCGCGGGAGGAGTTCCTTGACGCGCTTTTCGGAGGCATAAAGAACTATGGGACAGTAGATTGCCAGGTATAGAAACCAGAATGCGATCAGCAACGGCAGGCAGAGGTAGAGAATCTGGGTATGCAGCTTATGAGAGAAAGACAGAAAAGCGGCGCTCATAAGAGCGCACCATGTTCCAAGGAAAGCTCCACACAGTCAGAGGACCGTCAAATTTTCGTGGTTTCCGAAGCCAGGGCCTTGCAGGTGGTCGTCGTAGGGAAAAGCTTTGGATGAGTGGTGAAAATTCGGGAATGTAAACTCTATTCAGATGACGATTAGATACGACTAGCGCATGCGTTTTGACTGACGGAAGCATCTCGTCTTCGGAGTGTTTAGCATACGGATCGCTCTCTTCAATGGCTCCGCTAACATATCGGACTGTCACGTCGTTGATTCTGTAGAGGATGTTCAGCCTCACGTAGAAACCCATTGGGCCAGACTAACGCGTTGGAATATATAGCAACATTCTTGAATAACGCCAGACCTCGGCAAAAAGAAGATTCAGGATGCGCCATAGCAGATAGCAGAGGTCGGCCGGTCTCGCCATACGTGTCAGAAAGATGTAGTTGGGCTCCACTGCGACCGAGTAATGCAGTTCCAAGGGAGAACCAAAATTTTGAGCTATATGGTGGTGGCGGTATTCCCACATGAGGCGTCGTAAACGAGGTATAATTCATCGGTTGGACTTTGTCGAAAAAGCCCCGGAGAAACAGCAGCCTGAAAAAACGATTAGCCCGCGTATTACTTCCAATGCAAGCCCAAACCAACCCAATTAGATAGCGGGCAATGAGCCCCCCCAGACTGTAGCCAGTGATGGAAATGTGAGTGACACGTCGGTCGACGCCGTTGAGCGCTAGAATAGCAGCATCCAACTAAACAGCTAGTCAGTACCCACAGTGAGGTCCCGGTTAAGACTGGATTTTCCTCTTCTAGTAATCGATGGGCGTTGACATCTATTCCGTCCAGCGAGAGGCTGTCTTCAAAGGAGCGCGCATTGAGCACATGGACTTCATGGTGTTTCTCTGAGAAGATCTTCACGGCTTCGTTGAGATGAGCTGCATGACCAGTGAGCCCGTGAATAAGGACATGAAGGTGCATACTAGAGCGGGAAAAGAGGTGGTAGGCGTCTCCGGCAAGGGTAAGCTGGAAATCAATGGCAAATAGATGGATGTAAGCAAGTCCACGTCATTGACAAATCTTATCGGGCTGGTGATTATCGTCCAATCGTGGGAAAGACATCAACGCTTGCCTCCTTCCCTCACATCTCCTGAAAAAAAAAAACTGGTCAAGACTACCGCCGACTCGGATGAAAGGATCGTATGATTCCTATGAATGTTATGCCCATCGCTCGGTGACCTCTATCTCTTCTAGATGCGCTATCCGGACCTTTCAAGATTTTAGTCTTCCAACAATGTCTTCGCTCTCAAGTTGGTGTGAACCTTGTTGAGGGTCAATTTGGCAATGGAGAGCAACGCGTTTCCGTTTAACCTGTAAGGCACGCCATGCGCCGGCGGCGTCCACAAAATGCATCCATACTGGGAGTAATCCCAGTCTTCCTTTGTGTGTTGAATGTTCTTGAGACGTTTCCAGTATCAGTCCCATGAAGAAAATTAACCTCTCCAGCACCTTGAAGTTGGAGCAGTAAGAGCTAGTTGCGACACATAGTGTGTCTAGCCAAAGCTGAAGACTAAATGCCATGCGGGCCATCTCTCCTGTGGTTATGGGCCTAAACTATACGTATCAACCCCTTCGCAACTCTGCCTCAAGTTTACCTCCAAACTGGACGCCCAAAAATGCAAGCTTATTTGACACGCAGGCACAGACGAGGAGGATTAACCTTGCATTCCCCCTGGTTTTTCCAAAGCGATTTGTCCCTGCTTCAATACGGCATGTTCTTTGAGATTGTGACTATCAATGCGAACAAATTTGGTCCGATCGAGCCGCGATTGACTTTGGACTTTGACCTCCATCGTGCCTCAGGAAACTCGGATGCCAATCTTCCTATCGGAGCTGTAAGCATAATCGCACAGGAAGGCTGGTAATCGTCTTGGTATTGGTCTCGCCGGATGTTTGCCAGTGATGCCCTTATTGAATGGGCGGGGCATATAAATATCAAGATGGGAAGTTTGACACTCATCCCTCGACCATGTTTCCTACATCCTTCACGGACAGCCCTGAGTACAAGGCTAGGTTGAAGGTTCCTTTCTCGCCTCCCAAGGTACGCCCGCCAACCCACCAATTTTCCTGTCTAATTAACCGATCTAGCTCACCCTCGCTCAAGTTCGGGCTGCCATCCCGCCCCACCTTTTCGAGAAGAGCACCGCGAAGGGACTTTTCTACCTTGCTCGCGACTTTGTTTGTGCCTTCACTCTCTACAAGTTGGCATGGCAAATCGAGCCGGTTGCGCAACTGATTGAGGCTGCGGTCTCGCCTCAAGCTGCAACCGCCGCTCGATGGCTGCTTTGGTCAGCCTACTGTTTCTCTCAGGGCATCGTCTTCACTGGATTCTGGTGCATCGCTCATGAGGCCGGGCATATGAACATCTCCCCTCACGGCTGGGTCAACCACATCACTGGTCTCATTTGCCACTCCGTACGCATCGACAGCTACCACTTTTTTGATTGAGAGATGCTAACTCAATCTTTATCTTTTTTAGTTCCTCATGACGCCATTCTTCGGCTGGCGTGCTTCGCACAACGCGCACCACAAGGCGACTATGAGCTTGGAGCGTGAAGAGAACTGGGTCCGTGAGTAGTCAATTTTCTATTCCTCTGCAGTCACATGATCGTTAATGATCGCATTCTCAAGCCCACACTCGCAAGGAATTCAAGCTCCCCGAGAAGTCCGTCGCACAACCCAATGACTACACCGAAATCTTTGAGGATGCTCCTCTATACACGCTCATCCGCATGATTGTCCAACAATCCATTGGCTGGAACTTCTACCTCCTCACCAACGCGACTGGCCACCCTCGCTACCCTGCGGGCACCAACGTCAGTTTCATCGTCTCATCTGGTATCAGTCGGACTCTGAACTTGTTGATAGCACTTCTCACCCAGCTCCGGTCTCTTCCGTCCCAGCCAACGCAAGGGCATCATTCTCGCCGATCTCTTCATTCTCGGTTCTGGCTTCCTTCTCTACAAGTGGGCTAGCCAACCCGGTGTTGGTCTGCTCAACTGGTTCCGCCTTTGGTTCATTCCCTACTCAGTGCGTGTCTTGACACACTTGCGGGTGTTGCTGTCTGAATTCGATTATCTTTAGTTCGTTAACAACTGGATTGTCATGTTGACCTTCCTTCATCACTGCGACCCCACCCTTCCCTACTACCGCAAGTCCCAATGGTCCTTCCTCCGTGGCGCTGTCTCCACCGTTGACCGTCCGTTCTTGGGCTGGGCTGGAAACTTCTTCCTCCACTATGTCTCTCGTTTCCACGTTGGCCACCACTTGTTCTCCAACATTCCCTTCTGTATGTGTTGATCGAGACTGAGTTTTGCACTGCCCTGATTGCGTCCAACAGACAACCAACCCGAGGTCACTGAATACCTCAAGAAGGTCATCCCCGAGCACTACAACTACGATTCGACGGTCCGTTACTCCAGTCGATGTGATTTGTCTTTCTAATAGCTTTACAGAACATGTACCGTGCCTTCTGGCGCAACTTCACCCAATGCTGCTTCATCGAAGATGAGGGTGACATGGTCTTCTTCAAGAACAAGAAAGGAGAGGCCCAGCGCGAGTTTGCTTCCGACGCTTTCGAGCGCCCTACCATCGTCCCGACTACTGAGGTTCCTGCCCAGTAGTTGACGAAGGTACATGCGCCCGAATCCACGCTACAGTCTCCGTTGTGGCGTTGAGCAGCGGGTCAAGTCCTCCAAATTTCCAAGATTGTAGAACTGCTGTAGATTCGTCGTCTGGTACGTGAGGCGGGTAGAGCGAGAGGGCAGCGATAGAAAGATAGGTATGGTAGGGGTCTAGATTTAGAAAATGCACAAAAAAAGTTGTTGAGCCCTTCGCTGAAAAAACAAGAATTTGTATTTAACCAAGTACCTGGATCATGCCCCGGTGTCTTTGCGATTCCGCCATACTTGAACTGGCAGCTTGCGATGAACTGAGCATTACTGTCGACTAGATCTTCTGCGTCGAGTATCTGTCGGAATTGGAGAATATGATATGGCTAACTTGAGCACGAACTTTTAAGCTGGCCCCACACCAAAAGCTATAGCAAGCATCAGCCTCCTTGCCTGTCCGTCCTCGAAAGCCGCCTGAGGAGTGTTGGTTGTGGATGAGCCAGTGTATCGATCTAGAGCGTTGGCCGGCGGTGAGCGGTGAAGAAGGTCGTGCTAGATGAATAGAAGCGAGTGCGATGTAGGTCGGGCCACCTGGAAATGACGGTGAGATTGCAGGTTTTTGTCAATATTTGGGACAGATACCTGATGCTTCGCAAAAGGAATTCTGGCCATAGCCACCTTCGTACGACTGCAACACCGTCTATGAGCTGATCCGTTCAAGTTGAAGAGAACGCAGGCTGACACGACACGTTTCGATGTAGTTCAATGCGCGAGGGACATCGATGCCCGACCAGTCTTCTAACATATGGCAAATGCTGAAGGCACAGTAAATGGTACGGAGGTCAGATTCCCCGAAGCCTGGGACGATGGAGAAGCTGAATAAGGGTTCAAGTAAATCATTATTGAGTGGGAGACGCATACCTTCCGTCCTCTTTCTGACAAGATCGCATGAATTTTATCAACCCTTTACGATCCAGTCTTAAGAAGTCATCTCGCAGAATGGCGAGTGTTAACAGGGCAGTGTAGGTCATGACCAAATGCGGGCCATTGTACGCGCCGTATGGTTGCTGTACCCAATGGCTTCAGCGACAGCGCCGGCAAGCGGGATGAATAACCTCGCTTAGAGAGTCCGGGGTAGCGAAGGGGCTCGGTCTAAAGCCAGAGCCATTAGGACCATCTAGATAGACAATAGATTGTGGGATTCCGCAGTGAGCAGACGTTGCTTACGCGTTTGTTGCTCCCATATCCATTCTCTGAAGTTCTTGCGATCGGTATCGGTAGTTTTGGAGTCTAGCGCGCCGAGAAGGTCGAGGGTCCCAAGGCAATAAAAGCCCACAGCCATTCTGTTATGAATATATTGAGCAAGTTAGATTTGAAGGAAAAGACAATCCAACCGGGTCGATTCTGCCTCAACCTGAGACGCTGGGAGGCCAGTTAGGCAGCGATTTACGTGCCCGGCATGGCCGATTCGAGAAAACTTCGGAAACGATGTCATTGAGCTGGAAGAAGGAGAGCAACGGCGCGACCACGTGAACAACTACTAATCGCGTATTTCAACAAAGGCCTGGTTCTGCTAGTATTCTCTTTCGACGACTGAGTCGTATATATGCAACGCTCATGTCTCCCTCCAACTCGTCATGAGCAGGGTAAGTTAAGTACTCTAGGAATAGGGTGAGGCTCATCCGTGTCAACAATGTTGTTGGTTGTTCAATGAATAAATCAGCCCAAGCTGACCGTCTGGCCGTCTTGGAGACTCATTTGAAGCCATAATCTCACGCGTGAGAAGTTCTCCACCCACGAGTCCTGTCAGAAAATAGCTGCTCACTGCAGAAATCGGTGCTTGTCATGCGGAATCCCCAAGGTGATACACCTCAGCATAATGTCTCGCAGATTCTGCGGCAAAACATGTTGTCGTGGTGAATGGCTGGATGGTGGGCGTTAGTAACAGTCCGGATAAGGCAAAATGTTGTCATCCAATATTCCTGATCCATCCTGGTCGGAGCCCCGAAGATTTTCACCACAACCTGAAACAAACGCGGCTGGAGGACGTTGTCCAAGGGGAAAGACGAGTGTCTACGTGGGAGGGAAAATATCATGGTAAAAAACAGCTTTGACGAAATAATTAATTGGATAGGATCCCGAGTCCGAGCCGTTGACGCCACCAACCAACGAAGTGGATCCTATTGTTGACGGTGGCGTGGGCCTTCCGCGACCTGGTAACTTGGGTGTACCTTTTTTAGAGTCAGTATATTCCGACGTCGGGCTACCACCGACAGCTTCCAGTTGGCTTCCAGCGCCGGGGGAGGACAATGAGAAATAGGCATTACGAGAACGGAGCCAAGATGAAACTCGACCCACTCTTCACGGTCATGCTCTGCTTTATTCACCGAGGGTGATACGCGACAAAAGCGCACTAGTCAAGTCACCGTGTGCTAGACACGAGGTAGTGGGTGCAAGTCGTGCTTTGTGAGCTCGAGTGAATTTGCTTGGGTTGAAAGACGGCTTCAACTTCTCTTCAAGGAACATTAACTTGCCAAGGGCGAATCCTCAACGGAAAGCGCGTCATAGAACTTGCAAGAACCCCGGAAAGATAATCAATTCACGCGACAGACTCGTCTGCTGCCCGTAATCGTTTCAAATCGCCGTGGATTTGTCGTGAGGAGGCTTCTAGGTGAGTTGCTGAAGCCTCTAATGCGTGACATTAGCGTGACGGCCTGAGATCTCGATCGTGTAATTTGCCTGGCAGTTTAAAAGCCGTGAGGACACATGGTTGGGTTCCCCATTCCTCCCCGACCACTCAATGGCGCTTTTCCGCACAAACTCGCCTGTTGGTTACTCCTCTTTCTTCATATCTGGCCTCCTCTCCCCTCCCAGCTCGTCTCCCGCCTCAGTGAATTCGCGCGACTCTTTTGACTTTGGCTCACGTCGAGGCTCATTGCCCACCGACTCTTATCGGATGTCTGGTGCATACGAAGATGACGAAGCTTCCATGTTCTACTTCACTCTCCAGCCTCGACGCGACAGCAACGAATATCGTTCCTTCTTGTCCCTTGACTTGGCCGAATCGCTATCGTTGCGCTCACGCAGCATGAAAAGGAAATCTTCCTCTGCTCATCGTCTACCACGTTCTTCTCGAGACTCTTTCTTATTTACAGACCGGTCCGTGATTGTGCTTTTTGTCTTGCGCAGTTCTGACCCTTGTTGTAGTCAGATTCCAGATTCGCCCAACCTTCTGCCTCCACCTTCGCCAGTTGGCTTGTCGCCTACCTCTCGCTCCATTCCTTCCGCCAAACCAGTTCCGGCCGCCATTCTACCTGACACTCCCTCTTTCTCACGCACAAAAGTGACCCCACACGCGCTTAAGACTGCGTTAGCGCCGCAACGAAAGCCATCGGTCTTATCAAACGCAACTCGGGCGTCTGCCACAACTTCTACAGTCTCTACTCGCTACCGCCGGAAACGACGAGACAAAGCGTTGGACTGCCTTGAAGGAAGACGACCGTCCCCTCCATTCGCTGCAACAGAGAACTTCATGAGCCTTAGTGACGACGAGGAGGATGACGAGCAAGTGCAGCACCATTCAGGCGCCGTCCCTATCATGGACCAAGACCTCGACACCCTGTTGAGCGATGACCAACTCATTAGGCTCATCGCCAGGCTAGAAGATGGTGACCTGCGGACCGCTCCTTCTCCACCCTCCACGCCTCATTCTCGCGAAAGCAGCTCGCACTCGTCCAAACCCCGTCACAAATCTGCTCTTGGGCTCAAGTCATTTATGGATTTTCATAACGAGGACGATACCTCAGGCTGGAGCTGGCGGGGTGTCGTCGAGGTCGCTTCCTGAATCGCCACCACTTTCCTTTTCTGCATTTACCTCCGACAACGACAGCAGCGTTGATTGGAACCGCATGCCTGTTTGTGTAAAGAAGGCCAACAAAAGAACGAGCATTTCGCCGTTCGGTCGCTGTACCACCAAGAAACCAATATTGAATTGCCATGCTAATCCACTACTGGTACCACCACTTTTATTATCGCATTGTATGTCTTGACTCACTCCTGCTTTCTGTAAATCGCATTCCTGTACCATTTCCTAGTTGCTGTGAATAGTCCATCGCTCCTTACCTATACTACGAACCAATCAAACCAATTGAACGCATCGTTGTTCCCGAAATAGTAGGTCGGAGGAATACGCTGACCGGATCATTCACATTCTTGAGCAACAACCGTCATCGAGGCAATGAGGAGGCGACCTTCAACAAAATGTCAACCAGTGCAAGTTGGGTGGCGTCCAGAAAGCACCCAGGGGGGACGATCTTCGTGTGTTCTGGCCAGAACAGCATTAATCAGGTCGCGAATGAGGACCAGGCGTATAGAAGGCAAACGACTCATGCATGTTGCCTGATGGGTGCGGACTCCAGATGGTTGCAGAAAGGTCGGCCACCGGGCGGGCCCAAAATCGAAGATTCTCGTTATGATCAATTTTTAGGTACCGTCGGTTATTAGGCGAAGAAAGGCTCCGGATTACAGCACCGGCACGGAAAGACCGACGTCAATCATCAGCCGCGCCAAATAATAATCGCTTTGACCGCTGTCAAACGTCATTTATTTCCTGTTTCGGACTCTCATGCACATCGCTACTGCTGGCCTCGGCCTCGCCTTCACGCTCTTGGCGCTTATACCTGACACCCTCGCCAACTCAGCCATCCATTCTCGGCGCGGCTGCCGTCCTTTCCATGCCGATTTCACTGCTCCGAACCCACAAGGCGCCTTTGACTCTGGATTCTCACTTGTGGATGGATCATATGCGTTCACCAACCGCGGCCTCGAGTTGTATCTCAATAAGCCCGCCGGGCAGGTGACAACTTCGAATGGAACAAACGATAAGGTGGGATGGGGTACCACGATCAACTCGACTGTGCCGTTCAGGTCCGTGATTATGAGCATGAGATCTTCGCGATTGACTACAGCTTCAGGACTGGCAAAGCGACCTTCGAAGTCTCCTCGCCGTTGATCAGCGGACTGGTTGTTGCGGGCATTCTCATAGGCACTGACACGGCTGACGAGATCGACATTGAATTTGTTTGTGCACAGCACAAGACCTGGCAAACCAATCTTTTCGTGGAACCACCCAACTCGCCACCAGAGTACAACCTCGGATTCAGCACAAAAGAGCCTGTCGACAGCATCGACCAAGTTCATTCGTATAGCATCGACATGAATGACGCGAGAATCCAATGGAGTCTTGACGGGAGAGTATTCAGAGTCTTGAATAAAGGTGGGATAATGTGTTTTTATCCTTCGAGCTCTGATATTTAGTCAGAAAACTGCATGCGGAACGGGTATATGCACTACCCTACGCACGAAATGAGACTTCAGTTGGGTATTTGGGATGCTAGCGGGCCAAGTCGTTCGACAGCGTCGTGGGCAGACGGTCCTGTTGACTGGGAGCACGCTCCGGATCGTGTTTCCGCAATAGTTAGAAGTGTAACAGTTGAATGTTGAGGTCGTGTGCTCTGAGAAGTATCGCGGTGTGACTGAACCACGTGATCGTATAACTTTGATGTCCTCACCCCCATGGGCACCAGACTCTTCTCCGCCCTCCTCCCCCAATACCTACGGTGACTCTTCCCCGCCAGCGTCTCCTAGAATTGACCCCGACTGCCTCGTTTCTCTGCCTGCTGGCCAGTTCGATCTCTACGCCGCCTCAGCGAAACCCTGGATACCGCCTGACAGTGAAAAGGGCGTCAAAAGAGCCAAACGACTCAACGATTCTCCATCACGTGAAAGGCAGGAGAAAAAACGACGTACAGAGGACTACTTGGAGGATACCGTCGAGATGATGCCCTTCACACCGACACCAACACCGCGCCAGTCGACCGTCCGAGCAGAGGACGCAGAAGCCGCAATTTGGGACAAGGCGGCCTCGGATCTCATCGATAGTGGAAATGGGAGCATCCTTTTGGAGTTCGTGCTCGCATACTACACCGTTACTTGGCTTTACTGACTTGGAGAAGTGGTTGTAATTTGACCTCGATTCCGATGAGGTTTATCGACGATCTTGGCGCATTTTTTGCTCCGTTATACGTCCCACCACCACCGCCCAACCCAGTATTACTGCTAGGTTCGACCCGCACGTTCAGTCGGGTAAAGACAGCTCCAGCTGTTTTGGGTCCCGGCTCCTCTCGTATCTCTGGCGAAATAGCGCTGTTTTTAGGCGTGAACCACATCAATATTCTGCCGAAAGAGTTATTCCAGGTGGAGAAGCTGACAGTTCTCAGCCTACGTGCGCAATCCATATTCTTGCTATTTTCCGTGTTCTTAAATGAAGGTCCAGGTTCCAATTGTCTAACAGTGCTCCATCCGGATATTCGTTTTCTAGTAAACCTTCACACCCTAAACATCGCCAACAACCAACTATCGTATCTTCCAGCCGAAATTGCTCAATTACGCCTCCAGAATCTGAATGTCTTCCCCAACCCTTTCCTCAGCACCGACAGCATGACGGTCATTCCACATGGCACGGGTTTCGTGTCTCGAACACAGAGACTCTTGCCGCGTGTGACTCCGCTCGTGGAGCTGTGTCTGCGCATCCTATTCACCTCCGACTTGCCTGGGGCCAACACCGTGAACGATATTCATTCTCGGCGTCTAGCCAAGTACTACGAACTTCCTATTCTAGAGAACGGCGAAGCGACCAAGTCACCTCCGCCAGGGAGGAAGCGTTTCACACAGGTCATGCCCATTTCACTGCGACGAATACTGGATGGGATACACCCCAACAGTGTTTTCGATTGGGATGGCAACCTCTCCGCTGAGCATGATATCGAACTTGGGGTCTGCAGTTCTTCTAAACATCCTCACAGTCGTCCGTCCGTTTTTGTCAGGCCTGCTGAGGAGCGATTCTCGTGGGAGAAGACGGTTGCGGGTGTAGATCTTGGTGATGTGGTGCCATTACGATGGCAAGGGTGTAACAGTGGCTGTCTGTCGTACCTAGGGCCAGAAGAGGAGCATGCGGAGGAGGCAGAGGAAGATGAGTTGAGGGTGGTACCAGGAGATTTGCATTTGGATTTTGATGATGAGACATAGTAGGACTATCAAAATTTTCATTGAGTCATGGAGGGTGAAAAACTATAGAGTGAATTGCACTGAGGGCTTGTGAGAAAAATCTAAACAACCAAAGAGTTGTAGAGCCAAAAAATACACGCAAGGGGAGTCGAACCCCTGCCGCTTGCTACCGAGCTAAGCTACTTAATGGAAGGCAAGCATGATAACCGCTTCACCATGCGTGTGTCGTCATGGAGTAAGTAACTCTTTGGGCCATTGCATCTCCCCCATTGTCTGATCCACATCAATCAATAAGTAGAGTCACTTTCTAGTATTAGAATGCAAAAAGTCTATTGATACAGTTACACATTGCTTTAGTTAGTAGGAATGAGTCCAACCCTCCATTTACCAAAATGCACACCACCCAGCAAAGCACTGACACAGATTTTCTAGCGACATTGCCTGGATAATCAGTTTCTCAACCTGATCCTCTACGGAGAGCGCGACATCAGGGTCAAAGTCACGACCTGGACACTGTTTGACAACCATTTCTTCGTTGAAAGTTCATGAAACGCACCCGTTAGCTTAGCTTGCACGCGGTTGTAAACCAGCAGTGCCTGATTGTTCCGCACTTCTTGGACTCCAGTCTCCCCGGCTTCTGCGAGACAATTCAGTATCATCGAGGAGAAGATGGGAGGACAGCAAACCATTAAATATATCGTTTTCGTTAGCTCGTAACGGTCTTGGGATGCCGTCTGGCCGCGCGGAAACCCATGCCAAATCTCCCGGTCTGTTTTCTTTCGAACTGCCCTCTTCGCCCTGACCAACATCTGCTTGCATCAATCTCCAGTTGATAAGTGGGTCGTAAACGAATGCCTCCAGCACCGCCATCAGCGACTCGTTGTTGGCCCTCAATACCCGCATCGAGATCTCCGATGTTTTGCGGAATGACCCTTTAATGCCGCCGACCTCCATTGCGTGGGTCAACATCCTCGTCAACCGGAAGGGCACCTTCTCTGGGAACTTGTCACGATGCATCGCAACCTCGAAACAGTCTCCAAAGTCAATATGGACCACCTTTCCGGTCTTGCGCGACATCATCACGTTCGAGGGATGGCGGTCGCCCAAGCCAAGGATGTGGCCAACCATGCTGTTAACGGCGAGTGAACGCGTATAAGAGGCTCGTCGCTCTAACCAGTGCTCTGAATTGGTAGACTTGAGCCATAGGATTTTGTAGAGATCGTGGCCAGACGTGTTGTCCATGGCATACTCAAACACTTCAATCTTGTGGAGTAGTGGGAGATTCTCGTAGTCGGGAGCCATCTGAAATTGCTCTCAGCATTTTTGAGAAGCGTGGAAGAAGTTGACCGTACTTGGAGCATGAGTCGGTACTCAATGTTCAACAACAGTTTGATAGAGTGTCGGTAGTCGCGAATGAGCTCATGAAGAGTGTCGCTCTCTTGGATGGCGCCAATAAGCCCAGCGTTAGGCGCGAGTGGAATGATAGGGTTGCGTTGGATGTGCAATTGCCGTTTGAAGCTGTCGGTGTCCACGGAAAGCAAAGTGTTAACGAGACCGAACAATTGCATGACACGCTCGTCTTGGCGGAGATCCTCGTGACCTAAAGATAGCATTGGTTGCTGTGCTAAATGTCCTTCCGCACATACCTTTCAGAATATATTGGTAATCCCGGCCATCACTTCCCTTCAAGGACATCCGACGAGGCCGCTGTTTGGATGTGATGACGGCTAAACGCTGAACAAAACTACCGATACGGATGACTTCGCGGCCACTCTGATAGGTGCCTGTTCTCCCAGGTTATTATGATTTAGACCTAGACATCTAAGCGTACCTGGGACTGCAAGATCCAGATCGCGAATGTTTTGGAGGACCGGGGAAACATACTGCAAGTCGAGCGCCGTTAGCTGGGGTAATTGCTTCTCGATTTTTTGGAACACCTAATCCAAATTCGCACCTTTAGTGCCTAGTCTGAACAAGAAAAAAAACAAGTCACGTACCGCAAAATAGATACCCCATGCGTTGTCCAACTCCCGTGTCTCTCCATGTTGTCGATATCGTCGACAAGCCTCTCGAGCATGTCTGAGCTCTGTACCAAATACCTGCGTGAACGACGTTTCCCGGACGGTTTGCGGACCCTATATTAAGTCAAGTCAGATGTCTCGAAAAGGAATAAATAAGAATAGGATAATTACTGCTTCAAGCATTTCATGCAGTGGCTCTAGAACAGCGAGCATCCCGTTCGGGTTACGCAACGTGTAGTACATGCGGGAGGCTTCTTCCAGTCCTTCATGCCACATCTCGTGCCAAAGAATGGCGACTCGAATCAATTCCCGACTGACGACACTAGCCTAGACGGGCTGTCAACCTGCTCATCGTGCGGGAGTGAACGACAAGGATGTACCTGTTCAACTATTTTCGGACTGTGCTCCCGCATTCGGTCCATGATTCTTTGAGCTGCCTCCTTTCGAGAAGCACTAGGTGATTTCGAACCGACGGTAAGCGGATAGATGAGTGCCTGGGGATGTTGTTTGCCGACTTCTGCAAGTAGGTTGCTGACGTTGCGATGGATGTTGGTATGTGGCGTTTGAATGCGCGCAATGATCTAGGCAAGCTTAGTTTCGTCGACCCTATTGACAAAAAGGGAAATATGTGCCTGGGGAATCACTGGCAGCCAAGTGTCAATCTCCACAGAAGAGAAACCGGCCGCAATAGCATGAGAAATATCCTCGTGAGCACCATACTTGAACCACAAAGTCAATAAACGAAGTGTGTCCTGTAACGCGTCCTCGTTGCGCAACGCAATTGATTGAAAAAAGCCTAATATGGATGAGTCAGGCAACAACAACACAGTGTAGCTGAAGCTACCATTGATAGATTGTACTACGTGCGTTGGAAGGAGGTCAGCCGTTAAACTGCTATTTCTCTCATCCTGGCTGTCGAGCTGACTGACGACATTGAAGTTGGCCATGGCCCACGTATGCCATGCTTTATACCAGCCAGGATCAAAATGAGTCGCGAGAGCGTATGAGTCGACTACATCGTTGATGCTGCTACCATCCTGCACGATAGAGGTCATGTGATATATGACAAATAGTTTCACACATACCCGGTACCAATCCTCATTTAGCGCTACCTGCCATTCGCCCTGCTTGAAATAACATCGAGCTAAAAGATCTTTCAGCTCTGTCATACGTTGTCCGGGTAGTCCAGCTCGTTGGGCGTGCTCGTTTGTGTTTCTCTCCGCGGCCAGGTCATTGGATAAGCTGATTGTGAATTGACGTAGTTCAGCAAGACAAGCTTCTTTAGAAGCCGCTTCGGTATCCTGTGCCCACATGTATTTGAGCTGGGCATAGACAACGTTTGGTGGCGCCCTTGTCGGTTGATGTTCGCGTAAATGTTGGAGCTGGCAAAGATAAGACAAGATAATCATATGTCAAACTGGAAAAGGAAGGCGACTTACCCGATCTGGCGTGAGCAACGAGTTGATCGTCTTCTCCGCCAAGGCCATTCTGTCAGATTTGCGACAGAGATTTGCGAACTTGATGAAAGCAGTTGGGTCATCCTCAGGGTTGATGATGAGGGTTCGGACTTGGAGTATCCGCTGCCAAACTTCGACTTCAGGTTGACATCCCTGAAGTCGCTTCATCCAAGTTTTCCGCATCATTTGTTGGCGCTCTGGCTGGTCAGAACATTGTTTATATGAGACCACTTCCTCCAATTCGGAAAGCATCTGCGCGCGGACCATGACGCTGAAATGAGTCAGTAACTTGATATCGAAAGTGAAAGAAATCATCATACTTGTAGGAACGGGCGTAACCGGGTCCGCCAAACGCAGTCAATTCTGGATGGAGGAGCTCCCTGGCTTTGGAAATGTGTGATAGAGCCTTGGAGAACTGGTTGTGATGAACCGAGAGAATGGCCCTGTAGAAGAATCGGTCAGGCGAGTCGGACCGCATGGTCGAGATATAATTGTCCATCGCATCCCACTCGCTCAGTGACCACGCTGCAGCGGCCGCCATGGGCGCAATTTGCCGCCGTTCTTCATTAGTTGATGTTGACCACCGCTCATCAACGTCGGAAGCAAGATGTTCCCATTCGCCTAGGGCATGCAAACACCGCATTCTGCCGATTTGGAACTCAGAAGAGTTAGGATCGTTCTCCACTTTCTCGTCGTATATTTCAAGTGCTTCTTGCCATTGACCGAGACGCTCATACCATTCCTCCTTGTTGGTAACGTCGTACTGCTCACGGGCAGTAAGAAGAGCACCAGAAGCAGCATCATGTTGTTGAAGACGCGTATTGATAGATATGAGTGACTCCAGAATAGCTGGCGATGGGTTGGCGAAGAACTCGAGCTCCTTCCAGTGTAACGCCTTGGCATAGGCAAGATACTTGGTCGAATACTCGCCCAATGTGTTTTGGTCGATAGGAAGTGGCTTCTCTTCATGCTCCATATATTCACAAAGATCGAGCAGACGGCGAATCACCTCTGAAGGGGCCACAGGCGACGTGAGCGCAATTTCAATGGAGCGAACAAGATGATCCTAAGTTGCGCAATCAGAACAGCGGCAACTCCGCAAAGGGTAAAAAAAAAAACCTGATATTGCTCATAAAGCTCTCCCCAGCACGATAGAAAAGCAGCATTAAACAGCTCCTTGCCCAATGCACCTTGAGTTTCAACCAGGCTCATACAAGCACGTAGAGCATGCGATGGGCTTTCTTTGATGAACTCAACCCCGACACGATGGATCCAGTCAATCCAGTCTTGACGAGTATTGATTTGAGCAGTATCCCACGCTTGCTTGAGATGGATTTGATTGACGGTAAGTTTGGCCGCTTCAGGAATGGCGAATTCCGGGACTTTGGTTTCACTGAGCCTGAGTAAATGTTAATCCAGAATACTTCTCCAAGTGCAAGAAATGCGGACGAGAAGGAATTAGGTTCATGGGTCAGTCGCTCGCCGTTGAGTAGCTGCTGTACTGCGCGATCATATGCTACGTGTTGTATGGGATGACGAATCAGACACTGAGTGAAGCATTCAGCTTTACCAAGACCAGAGGAACCAGACCTACTTTGTTGATCGTTGGAACAAAAATCACAAAATCAGAGCCCAGTTGAACCATCAAGGAGCACAGAGTGTCTAGAACGGCGACTCTCAGCTCCGATACTCCCCTCTCCAAGATACGCATCAGAGGGTGCACGATTCTCGAAGCATGATCTGAAAAATTGACGACTTTGCTCAGTCTGTCGACTGTTACAATGGCCTTCTTGCGCAAACCGGTACTTCCCAGTGGAGACTCTGCGGATCGCATAATAATTGGAATCACGAGATGGAGATATTCTTCAATATTTGCACCGAATGTCTGGAAGGCTTCAAAAATCTTGACTTGGGTGTTCATCCGCTTCTCGCTTAATTCGCCTTCAAAAGTGAATACTTTGAGAAGCAACGGGAGGATAGTCGGGAGGAAGGGTTTGATTTCTGCGGTAAGGGCACGACCAACAGCTTCAATCAGAACGACGATTGGAGTTTGGAGGGTAGAATTATCCCAAAGTTCGCTGGCGAGTCCTAACACCTCAGTTGCATGGTTTCTGACATGTGATTTGATGATTCCAATGAGAATCGCGAGCTGTTGCAAGTGGAACTCTTGAAGTCGGGGAGGCGATGATCGAGTGACAGCAGCAAATGCTGGCATAATCTGCCAATCAAAATGACATCATCGACGGCGATCAAAAAAGAAAACACACCTGTGGAAGACTACCAACGCACTTTAGTCCTTGAGTTTTGAAAATCGCCATTATAGCCTCGATAGCGGTGTGATGCTGAGGACTCGAGGCAGGGTCCTTGAGAACGCGAAGAAGGCCTGACATGACAACTGTCTGGAAATAGTCGTCCGTCGAGGAGGTGCTAGCACTCGTTGTTGGCGGTTCTGCTGATGTCACAAGTGGTACACGGTTTATCATTGCAGTTTCAATCCCCGTGCGATCTGTCACAGCCAGCTGTGGAGACGATTAACATCTAATCTAGAAAAAGAATCAAGACAAAGGCAAATACCTTGTGTCGATATGGATCTACAGCCCCCAAGATACCCATAACTTTGACAACCTCCCTTTTAACCGCCTCTGCACCTCCGGACCCTTTTGCCACACCTCCAATTTTAATAAGTTTGGCGTCCACGCTCATCGTCCCACCGGAGCTCGAGTCTGATCGAAGCATTTTGCCCAGGACAGGTAGTAGTTGTGGGTAGTCCAGCAATGGGTCGACGACGTAGCCGGTGCTGCTACAAACCCTTCCCAACGCGTTTAAAGCGGCTTCGCGCTTCGCCAGGCTAGGGTCTTGTAGTGCTTGAACGAAAAGTGGCATAAGCTGTGGTATACGTTCACGAGCCTCTTCACCACCAACGGATGCCAACGTGCCAAGACAGATCAACATCGACGCAGAGACGTTATTACCGCTGACCGAGGAGGATGCGGATGCTTGCGCCTTTTGCAAAAGAACAGCAAGCATCGGAAGGGCATACGGAGCGATCAACCGTTGAGTGTGATGGACAAGCAAGGTTAACAGCCGTGTTGATTCCTCACGATTTGAGCTGCAACAAGTCATTTCAATTCGGATGCACTAGAGAAGGATACGTACGTCACGCTAGAGTACTCGAGCTCAGTTAATAGCTGGATCAGTGTCTTGCGCAATGAGGGCATTACATAAGCTGGATTGTATCTGGCCATGCGCTGAATATATGAGTTATCCGAGAATAAGCCAAAGACAGGCATACCCCAATCAAGCCGGCCGCTACGACGCGATTTTCAAAGACTTCGTCGTTGAGGGCTATGAACAAGCTACGGACGTTCTCGGCTTGGGAGAGATGCTTGTCGAAAGCTTCAGGAGTGGATGCAAGGAGGGACGAGAGCATCGTGTGCCGTATTGAAGGGTCTGGAACGACATCAGCGGATCAAAGAAACTTGGCAGGACCAACTGACCGGGATCTGCGATTCCGACGGTTAAAAGCTTCCCAAGAACATCGCTCACGACCTCAACCGCATGATGGTACGATCCTCCACTTCCCACACCCATAGCGCCAGCAGTCGTGCTGCTACTTGCACTGCCAACGCCGACGTGTATTTCGTGGTTGATGTTCTCATCATAACCACTGGATGCTCCTCCTCCAAATAGTCGTACACAAGCGGCCGCAGCAGCTCTTCTGACTTCCGGTGCATCGTCCTCGATGTATGGCAAGGCGTTCGCTTGGGCGAAATCAGTGAGGATGTGACCGGAGAAGTCGAAGGTGGCAAGAGTAGTCAAGGCCAAAGTTAGCTGCTCCTTGGTCGGTGGAGGTACATTGGACATTGGAACATGAGTTGCTGAAGTACCTGTGGAGGCTGACACACTGCTTGCTCCGCTAGTAGAGCCTTGGCCGCTTCCGCTATGACCTAGACTAGCAGCACTGGACGCTCCAGGCATTCCTGGTCGTGTGTAACCTGTCCCGCTCAGCATTCCCCCCAAGACCTCCAACAGTCGCTCCTGAATAATCCCAAGGAGGGGTGGAATAGCATGTGCAATCTGCGTTAAACAGACACGTAGAGCCTCGGAGAGACCGGCTGCAAACAGTAGGTGAAGATGGTCGTGTAATAGAATCGTCAGTGTCGGTCCAACCGCACCAGCCAGGAGCCCCAAGGCAGCCAACAAGGAATCGGGCGGGGGAGGCGCTCTACTGCAGCGAAGTCAGCATGTCTTGAAGACGGGAAGCCTGTTTCACACACCCTCGCCCACTCGTCGCTCCAGCTGTTGCATTTTCTCGGAGCCTTACTTTGATATGGTTCATGATGGCCTCCAAAAACGGCTTCATTTCTGCACCGACCGCCGTCGCTGTCAAGCCAATGGCCATAAGAGCATAGTCGCGTTCATCTTTCTTGTCAAGTTGCGAGAAAAGATGGTTCATCGCTTTATGAAGAATCTGGTCTTTGAAGGCGGGTGTGTTGTAGGATGCTAGGGTTGGAATCATGGAAACAACCATACGACGGACAGCGGCATCCCGGTTTGCTCGAAAACTGAGAACTGCTTCGGCGGTCTCGATAAAAGAGTCCTTCATGAAACCGCCAGCGTGCAAAAGTAGTTCGCGGTATGCAAACAAGCTTCCATGAATGACTTCCGGTTGAGTATACTTGAGTCCAGCTTGAGCATCGGCGAGGATTTTCGCAAGGTATCCACCAGGCTGGGTAGAATTGTGTGACTGCCGTTCTCGTTGCGCGCTTATTTCGAGACATGCGGCCAATAACTCGGCAGCGGCTTCTCTAACGACCAATCTTGAGTCTCGAAGGGGAGCCAATACTGCGCCGTCAAGAACAGCGGGTAAATGGGGGACGAACTGGGCAGGCATATTTAGGGCCAGTTCCTTCAATATCAGTGCACCTGCATAACGCGCCATTCCCAACGAATCGTGCTTTTCCGAACTCCCACCATGGGTTGATCCTGTAAGCAAGATCGCACTCTGGACTTGCTGTTCCATGAAACTCTCGCCAAATGCAGGCCCCCCAACAGCGAGAATGTGACCCAAAGTTTTAGACGCGGCGAGGATGAGGGAGGCATCGGGGTTGGGTAGTAGATGCTTAACATAGTTGTAAAAGCGAAATAGGTTGTGTTGAGATTCGATTGCGACCTCGCCCTCCGCGTCTATGAGGTGGTCTGTTGGAGCAAGTTATTGTTGAAGACGGTGATAAAATTGTAGCACGCACCGATGGCAACCAGTCCACCGATATTGTCTATTCCATTAGAGGAGTGAATGAGCTCGAATAACCTCCGGCTGATATTCTCGCCCTCTCCATCTCCAGCCATGCCAACTGTGCTACTTGCAACATAGCGTCGGAGGTCAATTGCACTTTGTAAGCGCACATCTGGGTTTTTGTTCTTCAATCCAGCGAATATGTTTGCTAAGACATCCGCTGCAGACGCGCCGGTGCTCACAGGCACCGAGCTAGCCATGGACTCGAGGACCAAATCGAGAGGTGCGTGGCTGTGTCAGATCATCATGGTCACGTTTTGTGTGCACAACAATGCATCCACAACCAAAAACTAAAGCACAATGGATAAGGAAGCCAAAGTTGCAAGATCTATTGTGAAAGCAGTATGTGAACCGTCTGCTTTGGTGAAACTCAGGCTCGCTCCAAATGGGGATGAATTTAACCTTCGCGACTGACCCGCGTCTTCGACGTGGGACCGAGCAAAAGTTTTAGAACAAGGGCATAGCAGTTACTTGCCTTCTCTCACCCCACCATGCAGCTTCCGTTCAGCTTCTCTTACCTTGTCTTCACTCCCCGCCACGTTCGTCTCCCTGGCGAATTCGTGGAGAAACCCACTACTCCGCCATCTCCAACGTATAATGTTTTGCTCCGATCAAGGCTGCCTGAGTGCTTACAAGCTATTCGGCAGCTCTCCATCGCGCTCGTTCCCCGCAAAGACACCGCGAAGCATCAGATCAAGGAGGCAGATACGCACTTCAACGAGTGTGGCAGAAGACGACCATTGTCAGGTGCGCCTTAGCTATTTCGGATTCCCACCACTACCTCATCGTTGCATTAGCGAAAAGATCCATTATAGCCGCGCAAAAAAAAACGTCAAAGTCGTACAAACTAATAGGATACAGACTCAGTAGTGTTCGAAAGCGAGAGAGTTAATGCGTGCGATGAGAAGTTAAATATGCAAAGAGAGTGCAAGATAACAAGTTTGGTTTTACGACCCCATATCTGGGACCCCGCCGTTGGTGAACATGGCCTTGAGTGTCATATCGTTTCTCTTCTGTCGGACCCGCTCAGCCTCTTCTGCGCCTCCTGTCATGCGCAACTTCTTGCCAGCAACAAAGTCACTCAATTCGGCATGCATTTCGTCTGACCGACTTGCGAGTTCCTTTTCCCTGCTTTTCTGGCTGGCCTCGATAGCCTTCATCCGTCGTTCTGGATCAACTGCGGCACCCCGAATCTCAAGCATGACTGTGCTCAAGCCACCATGCCCTTCTTCAGGAGGCGGTGGTCGGAATCCTTTGCGACCGCTCCGACCCACGGAACCAGGGCCTTTGAGGTTGATGATTTTCTCCACGTGACCGTAGACTTCCATCAAGGCTTTGTGGTCGTCCAGTAGGTCCTCGAGGAACTGCTCTTGATGAGTCAAGAAGCCTTGCTCATCCACAATATTCTGCAACTCTTCCTCCCACGTCTTCTTCCACATCGGCTTGATCGTATTGATATGGTCCTTCAGGCTCTCCATCTCCGTGGCCATCGAGTCAATGTCATTCTTAATCGTCTTGAGGTATTGAGCTTTGGGAGTGATATGACGTTTGACAACATCATCTTTGACCCCCTCAACCAAATCTTGAAGTTTTTCAACCTCCGTAAGAATATTTTGACTGCGAACGTCAAGCTTCTTCTTGCCCGTATCAATATACTCTCGAGCACCGCCAACATGAGTTGTCGCCAGCTGCTTGACGGATTGGGTTTGGGTGCGGAGTTGTCCTAAGGAGTCCTTCGTCGATTTCATGAACTCGGTATACAACTGTCGCATTATGCCCAGATCACGACGAAGGTTTTGGACTTCGTCGAATTGGGTCTTGAGGTCCGTCATCACCCGAGATGAGTAGTCTGACAGTACTGAACCACCTGTCATCTGTGGTTGGAGGGATTGACCAGTCACTTGCGGTTGGACCGGAGGGCTGAAAGAGCCAGTGTCATCGACAAAGCGCGATAACCGCCGGGCTACATTGCGGAATTGGCGTTCTGTTGGTCGAGGGGCTGGTGTACTTTCCGCCAGCGGTTGTCCAACGATAGTGGCCGGGGAGATCGAGATCGACTGTCGCTTTGAGTTGTTCACGGCCAATTTTAGATCCTTGAGGTCCTGCGAAAGAGTTGATATCTGGGCGTCGATATGTTGTTTGATTTGGTCAAGCGCTTAAACAACGTTAGAAATGCTATCATGCAACAAAGGTGACACAAAAACTCACGTTCGATGTTGAGAGACAGTAAACATTTCTCTTGTACCTCCTCGACGTCTTCCAATTCATACTGCACCCCACTCGAAGGATCACGAATGTAGATGGTGGGGAAATTCTCAAGGCCAGGATTGTATGAAAACTTGTCAACGAATAGCACTCGCAGTGACGCGAAGGAAATATTGCGATCGACTTTGGCCTTCTTGACTTCACGGCCAAGTTGCAAGAAGATGGTAAAAGGTCCTGTCGCGGAGGATTCGACACCAGTCACAGCCGTTTTTGAGGGCTCAGTGGTGGAAGATGGCGGAATTATAGGTTCCGGGGTACGAGACGGTGTTGCCGGAAGTGGCGGAACAGGAGGAGTGTTGGCCTTGCGCCCTTCATTACTGCGTGACCTTGAACTTGTTCTTCTTAAAAGCGTCGCAGCAACATGTTCTACTGGTTCTTCGTCATCTGCCTCCGTTAAGACGGCAAGCTCGCCTGGGGTCAATGCTGACGAAACAGCAAGTGATCTTCGATTTGAGCCACCAACACCCGTCCGAGTTGAACGCTCTCGTAGTGTAGACCCAGTCATCTTTGAGATGTTGTACGTCGAAAACCGCTTTGAGGCTCTGCGTTCAAGGGCATCACTCTTCTTCAGCGCTGCTAATGAGTTTTCCATCGCAGGAGCTTGAAGTGAGTCGATGGGTGGGGTGTCCGGAGGCTGAGGGGACATTGTGCCATTGAGTCGAGTATCCGAGTCGTGGTTTGGGCTGGACGAGTCCACAACGACAGTGGGAGGAGCAACAGGCTTATCCACCAATGAATAGCGCTTCATGTGAGCTGGAGCAGTAGGAGCTGTCTGCTCTGCAGGGGTGGGAGAATTGGATGGATATTGCTCAAAGCTATCTGGCGCAGGTGGTTCGATGGGAGGAGGGACTCTAACTCGTCGCGAGGACTCCGCAAACTCTTCATGGGGTTGCCCAGCCTCGGGTTGCACAATTGAGGGAGAAAATCCACCAACGAATTGAGATTGTTCTGGAATCGTAGTTCCGTTGAGAGAGGGTGATGATGGGTCTATCCTTCGTTGTTGGGTGCTGCGACGTGAAGAAGTGCTATCTCGGTCACGAAGTACTGAGGTTGGCGTTGGGGGTGTCTCCACTTCGCTGGTTGTCGACCGGGAAGTTTGTGAACGGTGGGTGGAGCGAGTACGCTTGCTCTCTGAACCCGACTCGGAACGATGTCTGTGATCAGACACTATTCGTCGATATATCGACTGTTTTCCGCGTAGACCTTGGAGGAGATTGGTGATTATTTGCCTCACAGTGGGTAGATAGAGTTCGAGGTTGTCTGGGGTGGCATCTTCTGCGAGGCATTGCTCCAGGACATTCCGTAAGTCATCTGGTACTGACATGAGTTCTCTACGGTAGCGCGTCGGCGTCAGGATATAACGGGAGGAACGGCGACGCACGCCATGTCAATGTTGAAAGCAGCAAAAGCAGCAACAGCAGCATTGAAGTCGTTTCCAAGTTGCACATACACGTCGCTGACCGCATTTTCATCAATTTGCACCAAGCTCCATTGTGTGAGCGATTCAAGAAGTTGTTTAATAGACACAAGGAGGCGAGTGACTGCCGACTCGACAGCAGGCTGACGATTTGGGTCAGATCGAATCGCAGGCCTTAAAGTTTGGCATACGTGAGCATTCCTTGAGGTGCTTCTGTTAGAGCCTTGGTCCCGACGCGAGCTAGATGAGCTGGAGGTCGATGCTGTAGTTCGAGTGGACATGTCGAAGGTCCTGCACAAAGTGGCCAGAAGTGTGATTGTGTGACACTCGGCGTGACAGTATGTATGTTGGTCCAACTTGAACTAAAAGAGCGATAACTTAGAACATCGTCCTATCATACATGGCCACTATGTCCGCGCACCCTTCCCTACTAATACCAGGTCATCTAATATTTCCTTGAACCCATCATGCTCTGTGCGTTTATATCTAGACAAGGTTGAGTAGGGTTCTGTCCGACAGCTGATGGCTGGCTCACGTTCGGATGGTCTCCCCGAAATCTGAGATGTCGTAGACACGGAAACGACGATCGAATCCAAGTTTTCCGTACCCAGAATAGGAGCCACCTCCACCGAAGCAGAACCTGACATTGTTCAATAACATTTCGCAGCTGCAGCAAGCCCAATTACCAGACACCGTTGACCCTTCGACAGTTTTCGGTCAGATGCGAGTGACCATTTCCAATGACCTTGACCTCTGGTGTAGGGTCTCGCGAGTTATCCGTTTCCAGTGCCTTGAGAATGCCCTTGGTGAAAAAGCCGTCTGAGTCTGTAGCGCTACCCTTGTCTTCTTGGCCCGAAATCCCAACGTCAAGAGGACGACCATTAGAGCCGGTATCTGCTTTATTGTACGTTTCGGGAAGGGGCATGTGGAAGAACATGAGAGCGTTAGGTTTAGCGAGTTTGCCGATTTGTGGAACTAGTTGGTCAGCACGTTGTCGCCTCCAAACATGACCGAGATCTTTTGTGCGATCTGGATTGAAAGGCCGTTCAATGGGTTTAATGGAAGCTACGATGAGGTTATAGATACGCAGATACGAGAAAGTGTGGAATTCGTACCAGACTCTTGCATAAACCAATCAATTTGGCTTTGGCGAATCCAGTCGTATGCGGTGGGTGTGAACCATCCCCAGAGGTTATAGAATCCCCGAGAGTAGCTGCCGGAGTCCAAGAAATATAACGTCAAAAGGTGCATCTTGCTCCTGTTCACATGTTAAGTTGCCAATAATTGAGCCAAAAATTACGAACGGATCTGCGCTTAGAACCTTCAGGACATAGTTGCCCACTCCATGAATATCTTTGGGACCTGCCTCAACCAAGCTGTAGGGCAAGGCCTTCATAAGCTTAACTTGCTCTTCTTTGGCTATAGCTCCACTGTCTTCGTCGTGATTTCCGAAGACAACTGCCCACGGTATGCCCCTCGACGCGACCTCTCGAGAAAATTTGGCAAGGACGGATTTAGAATCCCAAGAAGTTCCTTGCCCATTCAGTTGATCGCCAGAGAAAACGACTAGATCGGGTTTCTCAATGTCAAGCATCACAGATATAAGGGTTTTGGAAGTGGTACTATCAGAACCGCCTGGGCAAGAGAAAGAAGTAGCGGTATCCCTGCAAGGAGTTTCCGCGACGGAAAAGTGAAGGTCAGCGACTTGGACGACTTTGAACTGTCCATTATGCGAAAAATGGAGCGGCGGAGCGCGGGGAGGTACTGCCAAGTCTGCATTAAGCATGAAGAAGGGGGGATATAATGACCCGTACGTTTTACCCCTCGCCTCATTGTCAACCAGGCGCTCTGCATGGGTCCTTTGTGAAGCATGGTTGCCGGCTCGAGCTTTTCGAAGCCATACCATGGAATGTCATCACCATATAGCACGTCTAACTCGGTGATCAAGTTGGAACGCTCAGCCTTGCTCATTTCGCTCGCCGTTTTTCCAAGCTTATACCAGAGATGGAGGGCAGGAGCGGCCAATACTCCGGAACGCAAAGAAGTGGGGGCCTTGACCCAATCTTTCGAAGGTGGCGACTGGGAATTGGACAAAAGTTTTATGTCTGTGATGAGTTTGACATCCTGTCGGCTGGGCAGAGGTCAGGTCGATGACGGGGCCATGTAGGAAAGCAGCATACCGTGTGCGGCGATAATAGATGTTCTAATCGACTCAGTGCGAGTTGAACCGCTGAATGCAAGGACGCACCAAATACCCAGAAAAATAGCCTGCATCGAAATTCAGATTTCTGGACCCACGGTTAGAATGTCACAAGAAAGAGGCATAGTGATGCTATACCTATCTACCCGGACGAACTTGCCCATCATGGCATCCTTCTCCGGGGTAGAAGCAGGATCACAGACGGATGCGAGTCTAGGGTTGACGAAGCAATGGGTAACCGCGATTTCAGAGACTAGATGTTGTCAAGGTAGGGACGGAAAGGCTTTTGCATACTCACAGCCAGTATCATGAGGTAGCAATGGTGCCCATCCATCTAATGGCAGACTAGCCCCATCCACAGTCTCCTCCGTCTGCGTTACATTCCACCATTCCACCCCCCCAGATGATGCTGACTCTGCTGGTTTCGGTTGGTTGGAAGTAGAGTCTGTGCCTATATTAGGCCTTGGGGCGGTTGAGACGGACTCCCATGATTGCCAGCCTAAGCGCTGGAGAATTCCGGGACCAGGGGTGGGTTGGTAGAGAATGAATATAAATATAAGCATGCAAGTGAAAGAGACGAATGTTGATACTGGGATTGAGACCCCGCTGATGAAGCGCCAGCAGCGTGCTAAGGGAGCCATGGTGGTAAAGGAGTGGTCTCCCACACTTGAACTGTAGGGTCAGCCGATGGAGGTACGGTTATATGGTGGAGTGAGGGAAGGTGAGTTGTTTGCACGTGAACTTAACCTCTTTTTGGAACGGCCATGTTTCGCGCCAGTGTAGCGCGTCTCTACGCGGCTTCCAAACCACCTTCATCAACGAATGGGCGGACCAAGAAGCCACATGTGCACAACCCTCTCTATAGAAAACAAGTCTCTCTGGCTCTCGCAAGATCACAACCGCTTGCTGTTCGACTGCGTCGTGCCCAACGACATGCTCAGCAAATTGGCCTTCCTCCCTCTACCGATAAAAAACCCTCACAAAGACTCGAGCTGAACGAGTTCTTACGCCAGCGTGATGAGCAACCGCTCAAACAAATTCGCATTCCTCGAATAAGAGGCATGACTGTTGCCTACCATGAAGGAAAACCTTATACGGTTGCCGTCGAGGGCAAAAAAGTCTACCTTCCTAATATCGTCATCAGGCTCGTTCGAAACCACACGCCTCCCAACGAACCCTATAACCCATGGCAAGCGACCTTCCGTGTTCCTAAAAACCTTACGAAAACCGACATTCGGAGCTACCTCATGGCGGTTTATGGCGTTCAGACAACTTACATCCGGACGGACAACTATCGCGCAGAGCTTACCCACCGACCAGAAAACCGCAATGTGAATAATCATTCCAAGCCCAGTATCGCCTCATACAAACGCGCCATTGTTGGCCTGGTGGAACCATTCTACTATCCCCTCCGCCTAGAAGACATGGTGCCAGACCGACGAGAGCAAAGGGAAACAGAGATTGAAGAAAAGTTGCAGATCAAGGTGTTCCAAGAGCTGGAGATGGTCAATAACCAAAACCGCCGGCTGGCCACCGCTATGCCGAAGCACAAGCCTTCCTCTTTTTGGACTACAGAAGTAAAACTCACGCGGGCCAAGGAGTTGAAACAGAATGCAGACGAAAGGATAAGGACAGAGACGTTGATTGCACAACAAGTGGAGAAATGGCGGCAGAAACGGGCAGCGGGGGAGAAGATAGTATTAAACGTGCCAAAGGTTGGCAAGAGTGAAGTACCGACTGTCGTCGAATAGATTGAGATTTCATCGTTGGAAACTCTTCCTGTCACGGTGTGACTACCGCTTCCTCCCTGGTTTCAGACCACAACGGCCCCCAACAACACCGTCGTGTACATTAGCAATGGCATCTTCGGTTTTTTACAAGTTCAACTCTCAAAAGACCGAGTCTCGAGTGACTTTTGACGGTACTGGCATTTCAGTATTTGACCTGAAGCGCGAAATCATTCTAGCCAACAACATGGGTAAGGCGAATGACTTCGACCTTTATATATTCGACACCGGCTCAAATAAAGGTGAGTTCTAGTAAACATTTGAACGTTTTTTTTTTGAAAAAAAATTCCTTGCAGAGTATGCCGACGACTCGGAAATCATTCCCAGGTCCTCCTCAGTTATCGTCAAGCGAAGACCTGCCGCTCGCCCGGGAAAAGGAAAAGCATCTTTATATATTGCCGGAGCAAGCAGCTCAGTTCACACATCCGAGCAAATCTCGAAAGCGGGACCGTCGGGGCAAAGCATGTCATGGCACAAGGGTTCCATGTCTAAACGGTTCGATGTCAAAGAGGACCCACAACCCAAAGCTGCTTTGGTTCGTCTTGCTTTTGGATTACTCCAACTGGTTCATTAATTTTCGTAGGATCCCAAATCGACTTCAGTTGATGACGACGAGGCGGCCGCCATGGCGGCAATGTTCCAAGCACAAACAGCAAATTGGGAGGAAGCACAGGAAAAGATGTCCCAGTTGGTGTTGCTGCCTGCTCTTGATAGTAGTTTATCTAATTCATTTTGTGCTTCTTTTTGCTCCCTTCTTCCACAGTGCACAACGTATCTACAATAACTCTCGAGGGACAGGCTTTGCGCGTGGTGGCAAGACTTTCATGCCACATCAAGCTGCCCCCCAGATTGAACGGCCTCTTCCCGCCAGCTACGTTTGCTATCGATGCGGAAAAAAAGGTCCACTACACATACTGTTCATTCTTCTCAATGCTTAGATCGAGTAGGTCATTGGATTCAAGACTGTCCAACGAACAACGATCGCGAATTCGACCACCGACCTCGTATAAAGCGTACAACGGGTATTCCGCGTAGCATGCTAAAGGCTGTTGATAATCCCAATGAGCTGGGGCAAGGAGTCATGGTCACTCCAGACGGCGGATATGTCGTAGCTCAGCCTGACTCGTAGGTGAATTTTGTGACGCCTTGCATTGCCTAAATGCCTTTTATAGTGCATCATGGCAAAAACAAGTGTCTCGATCAAAAGCACTCACAGCGGCCGAAGTCAGAGACAGACCGTCTACGGACCCTTCTCTCGTCTGTCCAATCGACAATAAGCTACTACGAGACGCCGTCAAGACACCCTGCTGTGACACCAGATACTGTGAGGAGTGCATCCAGACCCATCTCCTTGAACGAGATTTTGTCTGCCCCAACTGCTCCAAGAAGATCGCCTCACTGGACAAACTCGCGGTGGACAAGCCAATGCGAACCAAGGTACTCGATTACATCGAGAAAGTAATTGAGGAGAGTCGTGGGGAGGCTGGTGAAGATGGCGAGGCTCCGTCCGTGAGTACAACATCATTCAGACTTGTAGCGTCTCATGCTTCTGTTCAGACAACAAACGAGCAAGACGCCGAAGAAGGCGCATATGATGGTAGTATGGACTTGTCCAAGATTTTGAACGAATCCATACCCCAACTTCAAGCCCAAATCTCCCAGCTTTCCACGGTGTTACAGAGCACATCACTCCCCAATCATGTGCGCCAGAACACCGAAATGCAATACCAGCACCTTCACATGCAGCTTGCTCAACTACAAGAAATGGCGGCCTTCATGCAGATGCATAACGGAGCTATGATGACTAATGGTGGAATAATGCCAGGATTCAATCAGCCCACTGGCTGGGTGAATAACCTCTATCCTCTGAATCAGCAAGTCAACCCGCAAGACTCCGCCTACCAACGTTTACCAGTCAACAACCGTCGCCGCCCTCTTAAACGAGATCGCCCTCAGGACTTTTTGGAAATCGGTGGAGAAGGCGAAAGTAAAGTTGCGAGGTATTGGGAGTAGGACACACAATGCTCGAGTAACAGTAGATGACATGTCGATCACATCTGATCGGAATTGATTATCCTTCTCTTCCATATTTGACGATTGTTTTGGGCTTGCTGTGCTACCGACGTTCACGACCTTGTACTATATGGCGCCAGTAGAAACGGAATATTATGACTTGGTTTGTCTCCTTTTTTTTTACCGTGCAGCGACAAATATGGTTCACTTTCGACAGCTTGGAGTTGCGGTGGATGCTGACGACACAGAACTCAAGAAAGCGTACCGCAAGCAAGCAATGAAGGTGCCTAAACCGTTAATGCCACTCAATCGTGTTGCTCTTGCTGAGCGAAAGTCAGTACCATCCCGACAAGAACAAGTCTGCAGACGCTGAGGAGAAGGCGCGCTCTCTCTGCCATTAAAATGACCTCATCCTGATATTGGTTCTAGTTCAAAGAAATAAGGTCCGCCATGTGTAACCTCGCTGTTAGCTCTAGTGCTCAACGCGCATAGCAAAGCCTACCAAGTTCTCTCGGACTCGGTGCGCAGCATCTTCATTTTTTGAGCTTCCTTCTGAATCCACCCAAAGAACCTGCGGGCGGTCTACGACAAGAATGGAAAGTCTATGGTGGATAAGGAAGGAGGGGTGAATATGGAGGACGCAGCCGGCTTCTTTGCCAATGTCTTTGGTGGTGAGCGCTTTGCCGACTACGTGCGTCATAATTTGCCTCCATAATTCACTACCAACCGTTTTATTCCTAGATTGGAGAAATCTCAATCATGAAGGACATGACTACGACTGCGACAACCATGATGACCGAAGAGGAAAAGCTGGAAATGGAGAAGGCAATGAACGAGGGCTCGGCCACTCCAATCAACGGTCCTGCTGCTGCCGCTCGCAGTACTCTATCGTCTGGCTCATCAACACCCGCCGGAAGCACCTCGCCTCCAACCACTCCTTCACAGTCCCCTTCGGGCATTACTATGCATTCGGAAGCTGATTCTCCGTCTCCGGTATCCACACCGTCGAAAGAGAAAGATAAGAAGAGGTCGAAATTAACGCCAGAGCAGAAGGAGAAACTTCGCGAGCAAGATCGAGAAAGACAACGGGTAATGGAGGCCCGCGTAACAGCGCTGACTACAAAGATGATAGAACGCCTGCGACCCTTTGTGGAGGCAACACGTCCAGGAGAGAAAGACGACCCTGAAACTCGTATTTTCGAGGAGAAGATGAAGAGGGAAGCGGAAGATCTTAAGCTGGAGAGTTTTGGTGTGGAGGTGTGGATGCGTGACTTGACCCAATCTGATCCGGCTAACATTTTTCGAGCTATTGCATGCTATTGGCGGGGTTTACATGATGAAAGCGACTTCTTTTATGAAGTCCAAGAAGTTTTTGGGAATGTAAGCATGCGTGGCCTTGCGGTAGTCTCAGTGACTTATCGCCACACCCAGCGCCGGATTTTTCTCCCGCATGAAGGAGAAGACAGACCTTGTCAAGGACGTATTCGGGGTCATAGGTAGCGCGTGAGTTGATTTCGTTCGGGGTCTATCACAGGCCGCTGAAGACCGTGGAATAGATTGAGCGTCCGAGATCTAATGCTTGTAAGTTCTGACGATCGCCCGAGTTATGATTGACTCTGTGCCTGCTCCAGGAAATGGAGAAACAGCAAGCAAAAGGCGAAATCGGCGAAGAGGAATTGAGGGCCTTGGAGATGGACGTCACGGGAAAGGTACTTATCCGAGTTTTCTACTTTTTGTTTGTCCCATTGATTTGTTGGGTAGATCATGCTTGCTTCTTGGCGAGGAGCACGTTTAGAAGTAGTCCAAGTTTTGCGTACCGTAAGAAATAGTCTCTCCGAGTGTCGCTTCTTATATCTCCCAGGTCATCGACAACGTGCTAAAGGATCCAGAGGCATCCGAGACAGTATTGTTCAATCGAGCAAAGGTATCTTGATCCCCCCCTCATTCTAGCTTGCTTAGTGCTGTGGCAGGGACTACTCATTATGGGAGCAATCTTCAAGTCCACGGTACCCGATGAATCCGACGAGGAACGCCGAGAACTCGAAAGGTCCATTTTCCTTTCTATATTGCGCCTTCAAACTGAAACGAATGATTTAGGATGGTGGCCGAGGCTGCTCAACCCAAAGGGAAACAATCGGCTACTCGGGCTGCGAAAGCTAAGCGAGAGCAAATGCTTCGACAAGAGACCGAAAAAGCCAAGTAGAGTGTCTGGATTAGACTTGTGTTCGCCATCGTGATCTTCGTATATCTACGCTCATGCGGCTGCTTTAATATGGTCCGGGTAATGGATGGATTGATTTGGTAGATCAACTCGATGAGTAAATTGTCTGTTCTGTCAACAAACAAGATCAGAAGTCCTCTTGGACCTCCGCTACTTTCGGTCAAAGATGCGGTTTATATTTGACTCCGTTAAACAAGTTATTAGCTGTAAGCGATTCTTTATGATGGGAAGGCTGCCTTGACCTAGTGATTTGTCAACATCAACACAACTCTATCAATACGTTCACTGACCTGCTTGAAGAATGCCTCGTCCCGTAATGCACGAAAACCAGTGTGCGCTAGACCTTTGGTGACGAGCATTGTCGCATTATGAGCTTTCTGTGAAGCCGCTGCTTTCGCAAAACCAGCAGTATGATTGCCTTGACCAGGTTCCGTTGGGATGGCTGTCCAACGAATCAGTGATAGATGCCAAATAAAAGGCACGAGCACGAACCGAAACCGGGGTGGAGAGCAGGAAGCACTTGGTACAGTTGACTGATTCAGCGATTGGCCCTGATGCCTAAAGTCTACATACCATAGGTCACATTACCCTTGGGGAAAACAGAAGTCAATACATTGTAGTGGTGGTGGTGAGGTTCGAGACTGCGTACAAAATCGGTCGAGGCAGAAATACTTGTCTCAGCCACAGCGGAAACCTTGTAGCGCTTCATAACGTCGGCAAATTCGGCGCCTATTGAGAAGCACGTTAGGAGCAGCCGGGACAGACAAGGAATGTACCCCCCAAGCACAGAATTTTGGCGTAAATCTAGATAAGCTTGTCCCAGTGTCAACTTCATCTCACAAGACGTCGCCAATGCAGCTGCTCTATTCAGACCGACCCTTCGTTAAGGTGCTTTGGAAACAGAGTGGATCATACTGCAGACAGTTCTTTACACGCTCCACGAACAAGGCGAGATCTGACGCATTGGGAGCTCGAGCAACCCACTGCATCTTAGCGTGGTCAGGAATAACTGGCATGGTACTTGTTGGTCTATAGCAAGAAGGATTAAAAAACGAACCATTTGGCAGCCATTCTTCGTTGGATGTGATTATTCCATGGACGCGATGATCTGGTCTCATTTGTTGTCGCAAGACCGATATCGATCCATAAGCAAGGAAAGCTGCATCTAGTGCATTTCTGCCTTCCCTTCAGGGGGGTTAAGCATGCTAAGAAATGTCCGAATTGAACGCTCACCATGGGGCGGCAGCAGCGTGGGCACTGACGGACTTGTTCACCGTGTATTCGGGACTAGACACGCTATCGCTCACTTTTGCCCAAAGTACTCCACATCGAGTTGCTGCAACGCCGTGGATGTAGCAACACCCACTGAGTTTATGGGACCAGGATTCGGATGACACCTGCGTGTGGAGATGAAATGAACGAGTAAATGTCAAGTTTCAGATTCCGCACATTAAACAAAGATCCATGTCGGCGTAACCACCTTTTTCGAGTAGGATGACTTTCCCGCCGCCTCCCTCTTCCGCTACCAAGTAGTCAGAAGCGTTCAGGAGAGAGAGAAAAGTTTCGGTTTCTCTCACCAGGTGTTCCGAGCAGTACAACTGTACCAGCGACATTGTGTGCTTCTAGGGCCGCCTTGATCGCGATAGCAACTCCGCAACCGCTGACGGCTATGAGGTTATGCCCGCAAGCATGACCTTGCCAGAGAAAATCAGATTGTCGGTGCTTCTAGAGCAAGCCGAAATGAGAGTACCGATGCCTTTGAGGGCGTCGTATTCTGCGAAAAGTCAGACGCAAAAAGGCAGGGAGAAAAACAAACCCGAATTTACGCCCACGACGCGACCGCCCTTTCCATGGGTGTACTCTGCTCGAAAGGCTGTCGCAATACCTAGATAGCTTTTCGTCACTGTGAAGCCGTGTGCGGTCATGAACTCGGTCAGAATCTCGTGTGCAAAACTTATTCAAGATGAGTAAGCAGTCTGAAGCCGAGAAACGACAAACACTTCAGCGAAGCCAAGTTCCGGATGCGCTATCAGTATATTATCAGTGTTCAAGTTTGTGATTGGCTCTGGAATGGGTTGGCGGCGCACCATGGATTCTCATACTAAGACTGCGGAGCTGAGAATCGATTTCATCCACTTTAAGGTCAATGACTTGAGCGTCAAAAGACTCGGACGAGTTATATGCAGGAGGAGAGATATCAGTGCTGAGCCACCAAGTCGTTGGGTCGCTGAGAGAATGGTCGCATGCCGTTATGTATTGTCGTCGCTGAACTGAATTCAGACTGATAATGCAAAGACCAATAGCCTACTTCGGGCCCCTTGTGTTCCACAGAGGGAAGGCTTGGTTGCTGAAGAGTGGGAGATGGCTTCGGGTTGCGTGATTTGCTCCATGAAAACCAAGAGAAACAGCCACCAGGAGTCGACATGGTCAAGGGAAAGAGAAAGAGACGTTGCCGAGGCACATGGACATCATAAGTTCCTACCGGCGATAGTAGTGAAATGTTTCTGTGGTTGATGATGCGTCGCGGAAGCGGCGCACTCCCCGCGCTCAGGGCGGGGATCACATAACCAACTCCAGACTTTGGTGCCAGAACATAACTAGTCCCGTGATTACTCCCTCACTTTATAGGATCGGTGGAGCGTTGTCAAAGACAAGCTGGGAGTCATGAGAGAAGAGACATCACTTAAGTAGTCTTTACAGCTCATAGTGGTCCGTATGAAAGAGGGATCAGTGACCCACAATGGTGACATGCCATTATTATAATACTCTTCCTTCCTTTCGGTTTACCTTTCTCTTTACTCCTAAGAATAGTCCAAAGCAGTAATCAAAAGCACAAAACCTTCGCTGATGAAAATCTTCACGTGACTCTAAAATCAACGCCAACAGCCACAAAAGGTAAATCGTTCAAAGGGTAGTAAGAGGGATGACTTGATTCAATTACGAATAAAACTCGTAAGCCGTTGCCACAGCCCGAATGGCTGAACATACACATCCTTTCCTCGAAGACCCACCTTGATATTCCCACTCCGAGTCTGTACGCGGCAATAGTCGGCTGGCGGTTGTTCTGCACCAACTGGCTGAGGGCCCACCAGAACGAGATATTCCGTATCTGTCGACTTGATCACTCTCATCTCTGCTGTGATGCCAGGAAGAAATTCAAGTTGCCCCCTGTTCGTATGAAGCTGGATGGCCCCAGAGAAGGTCTCGGTAACAAACAGTACGACATGGCCTGTTGACCAATATAAACTCAAATTGCTCTTCTGAAGATTAGGCAAAAAAGACTCTCACCGGTACGAGTATTCACTTCGACGTCAAACCGTGGACGGACTTTGGCCCCGGCGATCAAGTTCAGGCTAATATTGCCCGACTTTGTTGAAGCGTTGACAGACGCCTTTGCATTTTCGCTTGCATACCCTATAGTGCCTAGATCAAGTGAGAGGTTGCCGCGACGCGACCTGAAAATGGCGTCTGGAGTCTGTTTCCGTTTTTGCCTCTTTCTTCGTCTCACGTTGACTTCAGGTACGATACTGTGGGGAGCGACATAATATGTACCTGACCACGAAATCCGATGTCAGCATCTCGTTGAGCGGTGAGAAAATGTGGTTCACCGGTCACATCCGCGAAGCGTGTTTCCAAATAAATTCGATTGAGTGGGTCTGGGGAGAGCCGAACGTCTCCTCCTGAGCTCGACATAGCTGCGACCATCAGCGGCTTTCCGGCTTCCACCCCGTAACCATCCTTTTCGTTGGGGTACGGCGGTGGCTGAGCGCTCATCTGTCTGAATAAATTTACACTCTTGGCTTGGAGATAAGACCAACCTCGAGCAGAAGCATTAAGAACGACTCTCGCGCAAGAGACAAGTGCAGCCTTTATAGAGGTCCCACTCAGCTGCGCACTGGTCATTGTCATACTGCGGTCTGCTATTAGGCAGTGTAGTGCTGTGAGTGTCGCCTATTCTCACGTCCGGCATTGTCCATCTCTTTCATAATCAACTCACACAGAGTTATCGCTGGGGAGCTCAACGTACTTGTTGACGAAGGTTGCCAAACGTCCATGTACGGCAGCAGAGAATAACAAATGACGTGTGACGCATTTTCTGCGTTGTAGATCTGGAACATCCCAAAGAGTCGAGAATATCCGTGCGCGAATGGCAGTGCGTCGACGACGTAACAAACTTCTTGCGCTTCCTTTTGAACCAAGAGGGAATCAGTGACTTGGTGACAGCCTGGGTTCCGTCAAATTTCTCACCTTCCTGTGCACAAAAAAGGCAATTTCAAGATGAAGCAGTCAGCTGAGTGGGTCGGTGACTAGACTGGCCGTAGCAACGGATCCGGTCGTATCGCGGTTGTTGAGTCTGGAGAAATCAAAGCCCATTTGGTGTGCCCGTCGATGGCCCTTCCCGCGATTAGATGAGAGTACCCAGCATGGTGGTGTAGAAAATAGGCCGCTTGTCGTCGTATATCTTGACCGTCGGCGCCAGTAAGGTAATTTAAACAGGAGCCCGAGCGATAGAGTTAACCATCATAGATTATAAGATCAAACAAGTTGAGGCCCGAGTGTTCCGACCCGAGGGAGGTACAGCTGAAGGAATATGCCTTCTGGAGAGCATCTGAGAGGAGGCCAGCACGCGATAAGCATTGAGTTTGATTCTGCATGCCGCTCGCAGAATGGAGTCGGGTGGAAGAGCAAGAAGGACTGAATGTAACACTGTGAGACCGGGTTTGCTTTCCGAAGGTTGAATGAGAGAGACGAGGAAGAGATCCAAATCTTTGATGATGCGGAACATTGCGAGCAAAGTAATGCATATAAAGCCGTCATTTACAATCGGGCAGGACTGGTCCGTTGGTCCGGACTTGCCATTTATCTGTTGTGGCTGGTGGCGCGGAAGCAGATGGCAAGAGTTGAAGCTGGGGTCGTTCGGGTGTCGCACGACGCTCGGGCGCCGCATTCAGCCAAAGGTAGTTGCAAAGTAACAAACGAGTTTTGTTGAGGAGCTCTTCGAGGTAGCAATAGAGAAGAAGCAGTAGACGAAGAGAACGTATCAGTCACAAGATGACCCGGCCGAAGCCCGGTTGGAGGGTGAGACAGGTGTTCTACAGCCAATTGCAAGACAGAAACCCAGTTATTCATGAAAGAAAGAAGCTCACAAGCTGGGAACACATATCAACTGCACTCAATGATCGACGGTGGCCAAGACTGCGCCAAGGGCTATTTTCGACCCCGCGGGACCAAATCAGGCAAATTGAACCAAATGTTACAACTTCAACTTGAGTAGATGTTTGCGTTCTAGGTGGGAAGCTGGAGTCAACAGTGTTCAACAGTATTGCACCAGAGTTTAGACGTTCTCACTATGCACGCGCTCTGACCCGAACACGGAAACCTCGTTTTTTACTCGCTCTCTACCTCGCAAAACTGGCCGAGTTACTCCGCGTCTTCGTCTCCGCTCTCGTTTGAGTCGGATCAGAAGCTGCTTGTTCTTGTCAAAAGAAATTTCTCGACAGGACTCAGCAGGTATTCCCATCGAATTAGGATCGTGACGCAAAGACGGAAACGTCGGTCCTTGTGAGGCAACCAGCAACCTGGATACGTATTACTGACCTGCAGCCGAATAGCTCTCGTTTCTCGATATGAGGCCCAAGACAGGCGGCTTGAAGAGCAACAGAATCGCCGTAACAGAGAGAGATTGACCACAGGAAGCCAGACAACGAGAAGTGCCACGCATATCAACAAAATGGTCACGAACAAGTTGAACGAGCATTTGTCACGGATGGTCACCCCGAAAATCACGCCTGGTTGGAATCGTGTCGCATGCAGTCGTCTCCGCCTTCTTCATTGGAGTCCGCTCTTCACCCCCTCGACTGCGTCATTTGGAAATGCAACGTCCGGGCATTCTTTCCGCAAGCCACCACGCGCATCCTGTTGTTGGATAGCGTGAATACCGGCCTTTTCTCGAGCGTTCACTGAACGGCAAATTCAACGTTATCAATACCTAGTGTTTATGCAGTGCTATGTAGTACAAAAGTTATAACAGTCTAGCAGGCAGCTTAAGTCGACTGTCCCACTTGAGAGTATCCTGAAAATGCAAAATGTGAATCCAAGAGGTCGTAGACGCGGGTATCAACCATTAAGTTAACATCCCGAAGAGACGTGCTGTCCGAGATATTCGCGGGAGCACAGAGAGAGAAAAAGTGAGCAGAAACGGAGCCGGAAGCCAAACAAGATGCCGCCGCCGCCGCCGCAAGCAATGACACTCAAACGCCATATTTGTGTTTGAGCTCGATAAAATCTTTGGGTTGCATTGTGGTCCAACAGCTCAGGAGGTTGACCATCTCATGTTTGCCCTCCCTGTTGCGAATGAGGAGAAAAGAAACTATCAGAGAGAATACGGACCGGTCTTTCCTGATCCAATCCGTTCTCAAATGTCCACCTTCACGCCAACCCGCTAATGCACTTTCACCATCCGACTGGGTCTGCAATTCCATTTCTTCTTCTTCCTTTGTCTTACTGCCCTTCTTCTGACCCCACTGACATTCTGCACTGATATCGCTAGACCAAGATGTTTCACTGGGTTCGCGCTTAATGACTGGTGTCGAAAAGGAGGAAGTTGCGAGCTGATTGATGAGCGCTTCACAGGCAACGGCAGCTGTGCGGTTTGGGACGAATGGGAATGTGATATCTTTGAAGCTGTTAGACTTTGTCGGAGAGGAGGACAATAATTCAAGACGGACCGAGGCGAGGAACACGATCTGGGGTGATAACGAGGAGACTGCGACACATGGGACAGTCGACTGACTCGTGCCAGCCACCGCATGCCTTATGCAAGCGGGAGAAGAAATGGCGAAGGATGCAGAGAGCGCAAAATGTGTGACCGCATTGGCCGGGATTGAGCGAATAGGGTTGGGCCATAATTTCGTAGCATCTTGGGAAAAAGGATGAGGTGGCAGACAACAAGGTGGCAAATGGCCCACAATGGACAAGTAAAATGCTCTTCAAGTATCGACAAAACTGCTTGAGATTCACGAATGGCGGCTTGAGAAAGGATGGCGTCCGCCTCCTGCTCTCGTTTGAAGATGGCAGCAGAACGGGCGTCGAGTTCGGCAATGCGGAGACTACATTCGGCCTCCCTTTGCTCCAATGCTGATTCGCGTTTAACAAGTTCAGTGGGAGTGATTCTGGTCGACCGACGAGGTGGTTTGACCTGGTCGGTCATGCATTCTGTCTGGAGGGCCGCTTTTCGACGTCGGGTGGGTCTGGGGGCTGGGGGTGGCGTTTGTTCTGTGTGGTAAGTGGATGAGTTTGCAAGATGGATACACAAAACGATCTGCTGACGCTGAGTGGTTATGCGAGTGCTGCGTCTTGTCGAGGCTCGCGCCATTCCGGTCACACTGTTACAGTCACGCTGACCTGTCTTGTTCGGAATCCCGTTTCGCGGTGTCCCGAATTCGAATTGTTGCGGCGAGCGATAGATCTCCCCACTGCACACTTGGAAGTATGCGTGTGTGTGTCCTTAGACGACCTTGCAGACAAGAATCATGGGGGAGAGACAGTGACATCCTGGGAAACTGGTGGATTAGGTGCATTACCCTTTTGAGTCCGCGCCAGGCACCACATCATGGTTATATTGTATTCTGAAAATGGCTGAAATTGGGAAGAATTGCCTCCGCGGTTGGGTCGTTTGTTTTTGGATGGTGGTGGGCGCCTGTGGATATTGAGCGGCTGGAAATCGCGACTCTGCTCAACCGTTTGCCACACGGGACCGATGGATTGAAGACAGACCGAAGTTCTTAATCGAATCCCTTCCAAATCGGGCAGATCTGGGCATCAAATCTCGATTGACTCTTCACTCTTTGAGCCTCATTCAAAAAGCGGCCATGTAATCCTGAATTGCCCCAATGCTCGACTCCCTCCCGGCTCTCTTTTCCATCGCCAACCACCAGGTCTCGCTCCCTCCGAGGCATCCTGACCACGTCCCGCGCGCGTTTCTAAATCTACCCACCGTGGAGGAAGACGACAATACAAGAGAGCCTACGGGCAGTTTCCACTATCATCTTGCTCCCGCTCCAAATAGTGCTCCCCACGACCAAGACCGCTTCTATCTTCCAAAACTCGCTACAACAGACCGTCGTCTATCAGACCCAGTTCAACTCACCGGCACACATTATACCTATGCTTCATATGACGACCCTTCTCCCCACACTCCCGATTCTCCCTTCTTGCCAGGCTCTTTGCGTCAGCAGGCTGCCTCAGACTGGAAGCAAGAGGAGCTTTCGCCGCCTTTTTTCGGCTCTCCCCAATACGCGGTCAGGCCTGACGAAAATACCTATGGCCCATCTCCACCAGGAACTGCTACTTCGTCATCATCCACCCCCACAACACAGCCAGCAGTCCCCCCACCTGCCTCAACGACAGCTGCGACAAATCAAGACACCGAAGCGAGCAGAAAGACATATTCCTTTGTCGCGCTTCCTGGTAATACTGTTCGCAAACGGCCGCGGCGCCGATATGATGAGATAGAGCGTCTATACCACTGTTCGTGGCCTGACTGCAATAAGGCGTATGGTACTCTCAACCACCTCAACGCCCATGTCCAAATGCAGAAACACGGTCCGAAACGGAGTCCGAATGGTAGGCAAACTAATACCATATACTATCATCTCTCGGTCCTAACACTTGTTTGTAGAATTCAAAGAGCTCAGGAAGCAATGGCGCAAAGCTAAGAAGGAACTCGAGTCGCCATCACACCATCCACAGTTCGGTCTTGGATTCGGTGGAGTGCCTTCTAGTGTTCAGCTCTCTGGGAGTGCAGGACCGATTCGACGAAGTATGAGCACCATGAACTTGCGTCGAGACGACATCTATCATCAGCCCTACTCGACACAACAACATCAACGGTCTTATTCTCATGGATCAACTCTTTCGCCTCCGTCTCTGGGTGTGACGATTCCTCGTCACCACGATTCGTACGGCAGCTATGGCGTTGCTGAAAGTCAGAGCCCGCAGAGCGCGTATTCGCTTACAAGCGCCAGTGACTATCGCAGCTCCACATCTAGTTCAACATCGGGCATGCCGTCCTCCTGGCCGCCTGCCTTTTCACACTCTCCCATTCATGGGTATTCGACATCTTCGTCTTATTCGCTTGCCAGTCCGACAGGCGAACACAGCAGCTCATCATACCAACGATCTCCAGTGCGAAGTTCGAGTACTGGTGGTCTGCCTCCCAACAGCATGTTGTTGACACCTCTCGGTTCATCTCGAGAACCCCAAGGTTATGATAACAGCTACTACGACGACGATAAAGGGCATCGCCGGTCGAACAGTAGGAGTGAAGGCTATTGATTCTTATTTTCCTGCCAGCGCAACACGGACAGAATAACAATTTTCTTGGAACTTGCTCATTGTGTAAAACCCCCCCAACGGTACTCCCTGGACCGACGACGATCTTGGTTCTAATACCTAATGACCTCTTGGTAACATTCGACTTCATGTTGGATAACTTATCCTCTTAGTTTGTATTTGTAGTATGCTGCTTTTTTCGGTGCTCATAGTCCTTATACTTACCTAGTGCCCACTCTGTAGCTAATCTAATTAATTGGTGCAGCAGAACAGAAGTTAGGAAGCACACGAGAAAGCAGCTTACGTGACATTTTGGACATTTCTTCTTGTGCGAGGGACACGCTCTCTTTGACACTTTTCGGAACAAATTCTATCGAGGGGGAGAGGCGGAATCAAAACAGAAAACGTATCCGCCTCAGGCATTTGTCTCCGTCTTCTCGCCAAGTCGTGGTAATTTGACGATTTGTCTGGTTTCTATTTCTCTTTCGTCGCGTATTTTGCCGGATTTTCCGGTGTGTTGACTAATCAGCGACGATATATTTGAGGAGCACTGGCAGCAGGGCAAATGGCCGAAAGGGAAGGATCAACCAATTAATCGCAATATCTACAAAAACTGCGGGCCGCGGGCGGTGATGGCGAAAGATGTTGAGGTGATGCGACTCGCTGCAAACAACGACTGCCGAAAAACAGAGATTCAAAGAGTTGCTATTCAGATCCTAACTCGAGGATCCACACGCACTCCTAAAGTAAATTTCAACCTCCCCCGGCTGCCGATAAGGCCCCGGCAACAACCACAACAAGCAAGTCGACAGTGAAATCCTAATAGACACGTGAAGGTATGACATCATCACTTGCTTCTTGCAACTTTTACTCTCCACCACCATGACCACTCTTGAAACACTGCCCGTCGAACTCTTCTCAGATAATCTTCTCCTGGAACTACCTATTGAGTCGTTGCTTCAGCTCGCCTCAACAAACAAGGTCGGCGTCTTATTCCGTATCAAAGTCCGTTTATGCGTGATTTGATTTGATCTTGCTCCTTCTGTTTCTTTGCCAGTTCTTCAGCTCCCTCTGCTCTGACGAATTACTATGGCAGCGGAGGCTCAAATCCGACTTCAATTTCTCTGGCGCAGGGACGGCAAGAACAAGTGGTTGGAAGTTCATCTACAGAAACATGTACAACCCCAAAGGTACCCTCTGTCCGTGCATCACCGGTTTGCATCTCACTTCAACTCTTAGTATTCGTCTGGGGGTAACCGTTGATATTCATTCCACTTACTGCGCTCTCACACGGATCGCAGGGAAAAGGCTAATGGCAGGCTCGGTCTCGGGGCTAAATTTCCAAAATCGAGTCTTCTTGGAAGCGGTGTACCTTTCCCAACAAGACTACGCATCCCTCAGGCGCGCATTGTCAACATCGTTGCCGGAGGAATGTACGGTGTCCTCTTTATAGGATCAACCCGTCGTCATCAATGCTAGGTCATTTCACGCGCTCGATTCCGAGGGCAGGCTCTGGGTCTGGGGTATGTATACGTGACTGTCTTCCATGTGATATTCAATCCTATAGGTACTCTCAACAGTCTGACAGCGGCACTCAACTCTGAAGGATTCTCTGAACCCGGTAAGGTAGCGCATACACCGTTACGCCTGGATCTTCCCGTTCGGATTACGGAAATCAGGTCAGTTAATAGGCACTGCGTCATACTTTGTCGCTTACAAACTTGAAGCTGTGGCAGACTCCACTCTCTGGCGTTAGACTCCCAATCGCAATTATGGAACTGGACATCATGGGGGAGACCATTCCTGCTGTCCTCTCGCCACATCACAACCGACTCGAAACCAGTCCAGGTCGAATGTGGATGGAATTTCTCCTCGATACTGACAAAATCCGGCGAGATCTTCGTCTGGTGGCCGTTGTCGAGCGAAATGGGAGACCAGATCCGCGACAAAAACAACGAAATGGATGAAACAAAAGAATTTGCTGCCCGCGCCGCGGAAGGAGTTATACCATGCGTGCCGTGGTCCCTCGACGCTCCCGATCTTAGTCGATTGCCACCCTTACCTCGCTTGCCGAAACTCGTTGAGACTGGTGACAACGCCGAATATGACCAAGTAAAGATCGTCAAGATCGCAGCTATGGACGCTCGACTTGTCGCTCTCACCGACCAAGGGCATGTCCTCCTATTTCGGGGTCTCGAATCTGAGGATACGCTTGCTGACGGCGCGTGGTCATATGTGGGCAACATATTCATGGCTACACGTTGACCTGATTGAGAGTTGAATAGCTTCCCAATTTCAGCGAATTAAACAGAGTCCGGACGATGCCGCCCTTCAACGGCACCCAGCCCGTTATCGCGGCACCACCGACAATGAAGATCACTCATGTGAGCTGTTTTAATACAAGAGAGACTCAAGTAATGTCGTTAGATATCAGCACACTTTTTAAAGTTCTTCGCGTATTCGACAGGAGCAAGCTCCATTGTGCTTATGGGCAACACAGAAACGCAAGACAACAGTCCGCCACATATCGAACCTACGTTGCAAAACAGATCAGTTATTTCTGTGCATGTCGGTGACTGGCATTACGCCGCTTTGACTGCTACAGGCGAGCTGTTGACATGGGGCGGGTACTCGGCTGGGGCGTTGGGATTAGGCGACCCAACTGAGTTACCTGTTGGAGGGCCGGGCGGCTTTTCAACTGAGCAAGCTCGTTTGAATGCTCTTGATCGCGGCCTCGGGAATCCACCGAACACGACTCTGCCAACCCAAGTCCGCTTTGACCACGCTCGCAAGTCACCAAAAGACCGTTTTTGTTTTCTAGCATGCGCTTCTGGATGGCACACAGGTAGGAGCTTATTTATCTTGCTTCTGATTGGCCGGGCACTGAAAGAAGAACGCGACAGGTGCGCTGGTCATTGATCTTCAGGTCAATTGCTTTTGTGACTGATTGACTGGATTTTTATTTATTTATCTACCCGCAGAAGGACGCAGACGACAACAAAGAATCTGAAGAAGAGGACGAAGAGCTTGTGGAGATTCGACCACCAACACATGTTCGCTTGAACCCAGCCCCGCATTTGCCCATTCCTGGACATGGGGGAATAGGGGGCGGAGTGTTTCGGGTTGGATTTGCTGGCCGCGGCTTGACACGTGGAGGTCAGGCGCGAGGCCCACCAACGGCTTGAATGATAGACATGAGTAGACGGATTAATTGGTATATGTGTTTCCATGGACGTATTCTTTGCGACTCGAAGCGGGAGCAAAGGGTCTGGACTTCAAGGCACGGGTGCCTGATCTGCTTTTGAACAACGACAGCGGGTGGCGCGCAACCTTGGCCTGCCAGTTGTAAAAAGTGTCTGGCATGGGGACTGACGCCCGACAACCCACCGACCAATGGCGAGGTTCGGTCAAGTTGGGTAGATTCTGTCGTCGAAGCCGAGATTTTCATGCATCAATACCACCAACTCTCTCTCGCTCTACTTATGTTCCGCCCAATTGAAGCTTGACGCGACCAGTACGGAGATGTCTACCTGCTTCGATTTGGACACCCACTTGCACCGTATCGCGCCACTGAAAATGATCCGAGACGAATCCTACTTGAGAGGCATGTAGAACGGTCATAGAGAAGGTCGCCGGATTGGGAAAACCATTGTGGCTGAAGCTTGACGGACATTTGCGAGATAAAAATGATGGCGATAGTAAAGTGGCGAGACGAGGGAAGATCTGAAGCGTTTGTGCACTACCTCGCGGTACATTACACTGAATGGAAAGGTGGTGCAACTTGGATCTCCAGCCATTCCCACAGTTCCGCACCAAGTTGTGGGTCCTGCGTCCCAGCGTGGGGTTTGCCAATTCGGGCCCAAGGAATTAGATACTGAGGATACGTCAACAAAACGAGTAGAGATACAGATTCGAGTGTGACCTTGCCATTCAGCTGTGCCGCTGCTGCGGAAGTGCCAGCGTAAAGTTGTGTGAGGGCACCGTAAGAAACATCATGGAGAACTGTCTTTTCCATTACGTTCTATTCCAACGGCTATTAGAGTTTTCTTTTTCTGAGATGCGACATGTGCGTACAATGACTGAGCCTAACATGTCGGTGCAGGTCGGTCTTGATAACGCCCGGGTGAAGGGATGTGACCACAAGTCCCTGGTCGGCATATCGCCGACCGAGTTCTGCTGAATAGGTCACCAAAGCCTGCAGAATAATGATTGAGTTGGCGTGATACCAATGCACCGATAAAGACGAAGATAAGTACAAATTTACTGAGAGTACAACGCTTGAGTGCCTGCCTTCTTGCGTTTGTTCTCATCGAGTATGTCCTTGAAGTGGAGTTGATTCATCAGGTGCATACCGCTGGATGTGTTGACCACACGAGCGCCATGAATGGATTGAGCGCCGGCTAACAAAGCGGGAAGGACGAGTTTGGTGAAATAAAATGGGCCTGCAGAGCGTCAGGCGGATACGGTCGGCATTCAAAGAGAGAGTCAAGAACCCAACACGTTCGTGCCGAACTGAGCAGATTATCAGTTCAGTCAAACATTCACCAGCCAAATTCTACCTGCAAGTCATATCCGTCAATAGTTCGGTCCTCGACCGGCGGCATCATGACACCTACAAACAAGCGTTTGACAACAGTTAACAGGAAGAACGGAACATACCGCCATTGTTAAAGAGGACGTGGAGTTGGGGTTCCTTACTGAGGTAGCAGGTGACCTTGAGCAACAACACCCTACCTGCCAAACAGTCAAGGAAAGGGGGCCCGACCTTTGCAACTCTTCAGCGGCAACTTTGACGGACTTCAAGTCACCGAGATCGAGTTTGAGGAATATCGCTTCTTTCCCAGTAAGTTGCTTTAGGTCCACGATAGCGGATTCCGCTTTTTCTTGACTGCGCGAGGCCATGTAGACCTTGGCACCGTGGTTCAACAATACGCGAACGGTCTCCTTTCCGACGCCTGCCTGATTGGTTGGCGCAACGCCCTCGTTAACGGAAGTCAAACTCACCCGAGTTCCCGCCAGTAACTACGATGACTTTCCCCGAGAGATCAGGCACGTCTTCAGCGGTAAATTTTGTCTTTGGAGGGAAGCTTTGAGCCAGAATGTCGAACATAGCCATGACAGCAGAAGGTGAAAAGACGATCACATGTAGGCAATTCCGAATGATGGCCGGCCAGCTCCAATACGCGGTCCAGTGACTTCATCGTTGCCTGCGTTCTACGCGATCTCCCCAATGAGATCAATTGTAGGTCTCATTGAGATTCGTCAAAATTTCAACTTCCTTTCCCACCAACCGCCACCGAAGCAGCACTGAGTTGTGAATCCTCGGCTTATTTAGTCAGATTAGGCTTCTACGTTAGACTAAACATACTTATCCTGCAGCGTGACAAGTCCAAATGCAGCATTCGAGCCAACGTTTCGCCCAAATAGGTATCTTCCTCGAGCAGCGGCTCCGAATCATCTCTTCGCGAAGGGTGAATAATGCTTTCAGGGGCTCCAGAGAGAATCAGTTACTTAATCTATGGCCATCAAGATGAGAAACCCTATACATAGGTGTGGTGTTACAACAGTCAAAAGAAAGCACCAGCTAAAATAGTGAGACATGCGTGAACGAGAGCAGTCGTGGAATGTGGTCTTAGTATATAATTCAGGTCAGAAAGATAGGCTTTGGTAGATATTTGAAGCTGCAGCGACAGGGAATCGCTTTCGTGTGGTTGATGCTCGGTGAACTTGATAGGGCGGTTTACTGCTCGGAATTTGGTCAAGGAAGGCCGGTGCCTGGTTGGTCATTATTAGCACAATGGAATGGAAGAAAGAAGTACACACCGCGCGTCTCAGTTCTTCGTTTCCTTCCTTGATCATTTCAACAACCCTTGCCATCGTGGGACGTTCGGCAATATTGTGCGCCCAACATTGCTGCACAACTGCCCAGAGAGAGTCGCTGATCAACGATCGCCCAGATTCTGGATCACGAGGGCGGGCTGGTCGTTCTTTTGCCATGACGCGCAGCATAACTGCCGCGTCGTGTATGATGTCTGCGAACGGAGGTTTGCCTTGTATCAACTGATCGTCACGTGAGCGCGAGTATGATGTAAGCTGTAGACCCTACCTCGATAGAGACGAAGGCGAAGCTGTAAACATCACTGGCGAACGTTCGACGAAAATCCTCAAGACCACAAGATTGTGGTAAATGTAACTCAGGGGCCATCCAACGCACTGATCCTCCACGATGGGATGTTTGAGTAGCAATAGTGGCATCGGAAAACACAGCCAATCCGAAGTCGGCCAAGCGGGCATGCCAGCCGTCGTCCACTAGAATATTCGAGCCGCGCAGGTCCCCGTGAATGATATCTTGAGAATGAAGATAGGCAAGTCCTTGGGCGATCTCTAATACCTGTTGGAAGATGACAAACGCAACAGACATTGGTTGGTGCAACGTGCCCTATGCTCGACATTAGCATTCCCATTCTCAGCCAGATGTTTGAGGATGGTTCCATTGCGTTGCCATGGGCTGACCATACATAGGAATGTTGGAAAGCTTTCAGCATCTATTCCAAAAAATGGTTGCACGAAAGGGTGTTGAAGGCGTTGCCAAAGTAGAGCTTCTCGACAAAACCGCTGATGATGAGGTGAGAACATCATTAGAAGAAAGGCAAGTATTTTACCTGCCGTATTCGATGTCTGCCTGAGTCCCGTTGAAAAACCCGGATCCTCTTGAGAGCAACATCTTGTTCCTCATATGATGCACGATAGATGTCACCAAATGTCCCACCAAAAGTCGCCTCCTTGTCTACGCGCAGAACACCCTGAATAAAGAGTGAAGCAGGCAATGTATCGGAAGCCTCTGAGAGTTTGACAAGCAATCTTCGTGCCTTGAGTGTCAAGTTGTCAGAATTAATAGAGGCAGGAGAGGTTAGAGGTTGCGGTAATGTGCCTTTGTCGAGTATCTATTTTCTGAATGAACACGGAACAGGACTCGGAATGGCGGTACCCACATCTTGAATCAAATCTACGCAACATTGGGCACTTTCACCCCTCAGATGCAATAGTTTCTTCTTGGTTTGTTCATTGCTAATGGCGCGCTGCAGAAGTTTTCCCATGGCAAGCTCATCCTTCTGCAGCGCGATGCGTAAATGTCTACTGCTCGAAAGATTGAACATGGAACAGATCTTGAGCAACTCGATTCGAACTAGTGTGCTTTGAACGAGACTCCAGACAAGATCGAGGGATGCCAGAAATTGAACGAGCGAAGTCAAAGCGGCTTGAAATCTGCGGGGGCAATCAGTTTCAGGGCACTTCCTATACGAACACGAACCGAGTATCCTCGGCGGGTTTTGCTTGTGCCACGAAAGCAATCAGGTGTTGATATACCTATCGTTGATTAGAAAAAAATACGGAACTATCAGATAGTAAATACCTTGCTGTCAGGCTAAACAGATGCATGTTAACAACAGCAAACAGATTTGGAGAAAACGCTTACAAATTCTGGAGCCTCTTGGTCTTTATCGTCGGTATCTTTCCCTGCCACTAGAAACATCTGCGCTCGTGTCCCGTTTTCGAAGGTCTTTTGCCAAACTGTCAACTCAGCATGGGCCTGTTCTGTCGTGGTCAAAGGAGGAGTTACTGAGCGCATTAGCCGTGAAGAGCCGATTGGAGGTGATGGTGACTTGGCTCTGATTTCTTCAGGACTGTGGACTTTAACGAGAGCTATGATGGTGTTGGCAACACGCGCAAGAGAATATCCAGTCGCCTCTTCGAGGTCCAATGGGAGGAATAAAGGTGGCTGCGGTAGTTCAAGCTTGGCAACGGATGCAAGAAACTTGGTTATGTTGATGTTACTTCCAGATGGTGCCCGGTCGTCTGGTCGAACGATTGTGTTACCGTTGAGGGTGTTGAGTAGTCTGTGAAGGGGTTTGTTTAGCCAATGTAGATGGAAATTACGTCAGAACACACTGGCAAAGCACATAGCCATCCCTCATGGCCTCTGCAAATATTCGCAGCTCCTCTTCACCCTCGGTTGCTGCCGCTGCCGCGTCGGTGGTTGCATTCGAGGTATTGATATTGGATGATTGTTGCCTCCAGCGTCTGCGCATTCTTGTCAGTGGGCGCAGCCGCATCTCCACTAGGTCTACCGGTTTCTCGCCACCAGGATCACTCTTCCGCAATAGACGCGGCTCCATAATACCACAGATTAAGTCAACTGCGTCTCGTAATTGTTGTCGCTCCGTTGACCGGATTGGAAGTGGCGGTATTGGAGCTGAGTGGGAAATTGACCGCGTATGGGTCGTGGAAGTGGAATGAGAGGGGGAGTGGGAGTAAGGAAAAGAACGAGTATGGAACGATACAGTCGACTTGGAAGCTTCTTCATCCACAAGGAGAAGGCGCGAGGAAGCAGGTGAGTGCGTCGAAGGCCGGAATAATGGTTTGTCTAGCGACTCGGATGGAGTAGTGGGTGAAAACCAGGAAGGTGTCGAGTTGCTCAGGCTGTAACCACTTATGATATCATCCAAATCGACCTCAGCAGCGTTCTCTTGCGCTTTGAATAGCGTTAGTGGGCTAACAGCATAGATAGAGTCGTGCCAAGCGTAAAGGTCGTTGTCAGAATTGAAGGAGAGAATGTAGCGCGTCCCGCCGACTTGAATTAATAGACAGTGCCCTTTCCTGGGGATGTGTGTTCTTTCCATTCGCGTTATGCCATTGAGACTAATACGCGTGACACAGTCGACTGCCATCTTGAGAGGTATATTCAGTGATTTTTCCATGGCGGGAGTAATTCTTACAGCGTTCCGGTAGATCGTCAGACTGGCTGGGCGAAGAACGAGCCAGCGTTTGGAGAAAGACCTCCATGAAGCCAAGAACCCAGCTCGTTTCACGGAAACATGGCCTTGTCGCTTGATTGCGTTGTCAATTGAGTATAGAGCCATCGAGGCTCCAGCACTCCAAGTCGAGAACAGAACTCGTCTTGGGTGCGGGAAGATCGAGGGCAGTGAAGTAACAACAATCAATGCTGAGTCAGACGCGCGTCTATTTTCATGAAACTAGCCATCATTGGTGGTGGACCTGCAGGATTCTATCTTGCCTCTCGAATTCTCTCTCGCTCATCCGACCCGGCTCTACGCATCCATATATTCGACCGACTATGGTCTCCACACGGTCTCGTGAGATATGGCGTAGCCCCAGACCATCCGGAAGTCAAAAATTGTACCCATAAGTTTGACGAACAAGTCGCGTCAGATGGTCGGTTCAGCTTCTTTGGCAATGTGAATGTTGGGAACTCTGCTCCTCTTCAAAACACTATTCATATCCCACTCCGCGATATTCAACGCAATTACTCGCATCTCGTCTTTACTACTGGCTGCACAGTGCCAACCAACCATTCAGCCTTGCCGCCATCACCTTGGGTTATTCCAGCCCTCAGATTTGTACATTGGTACACTCAGCATCCCTCTTCGCCTCCAGCCCCAGCTCTCGACAAGATGACCCGCGTTGCGTTGATTGGCAATGGCAACGTCGCTTTAGACATTGCTCGTATGCTACTGACCGATCCATCTGTACTCCAGCAATACGATGTCCCAGTGTCCGTTCTCTCCATCTTGAAACAATCAAAGGTCTCGCACGTCGATATTCTGGCTCGACGGGGGCCACTTCAAGCGGCGTTCACTGCGAAAGAGCTTCGCGAACTATTGAATCTGCCCAATGCCGCGATGGAGCCTATTCCGAGCGAACTCCTTGCTATTCCTGCGGACACTACGCCATCTCGAGCCCAATCACGTATTTTCCAGCTACTTCAGAAAGGCTCCAAGATGAGCTTTGGGAACACACCTAAATCCTTCTCACTGCGTTTTTTCGTCAACCCAACCGGTCTGGTTCCTCCTTTGAGCGAGGGGATGCCCCAACTCCAGCTTGAACAAACCTCACTTGACGCAGCTGGCCGGGCGCTTTCTGGTTCTCGTTTACCGCCTCTGCCTGTTTCTCTCGTGGTACCATCCATCGGACTACAGCCAGACCCAGCTTTAGGGCCTATAAGAACACGTGCCGGACGCGTCTTGAGTGCAAATGGCCATTCAGTCCTCAAGAACATGTATGCCGCAGGCTGGGCGGCCACGGGTGCTCGCGGTGTAATTGCTACCACTATGATGGACGCTTATGCAGTGGGGGATACTTTATTAGACGATTTAGGAGGTTGTGAAGGAGAAATGCACATGAACCCGGAACCATCAGATGACCGACCTCCCGAAGTCATCCAGACTGCAAACAGGATTGTGACCTCGTACGCGGATTGGAAACGCGTTGATGCGGAAGAGGTACGCCGGGGCCAACAACAAGGCAAAGAACGTGAACGAATGACATGGTCAGAGGCGCGTGCATTCTTGTGGGATCTTTGACCAGGGGGGGTGCTATTATTTGACTATACGCTACAACAATTAATTCACCGTTCCTACTCCTGATCAAACGAGATATCACTCGTTACCTCTGCTCCAGCCGATACGTACAGCTCACGAAGCATATTCCCGATAGGCTCTTTGTTGACGGTCTCAACAAGCCCTTCGACCAGCTGTAAGATGCCTTGGAGAGCTTCAACTTTCTCGAAGCGTTTTGCATCGTCCTGGGAGAGATTTTCCAACTGCTCAATCGCCATGACTTCTGGGTCTTCCAGGTCGGGAAGACCTTCCTTTATTTCACTGATATGTTGCTTCATACGCGTTATCCAAGCCGCTACCCCAGCAGGAATATCGTCGCTGGGAACCTCAACCTCAATCTGGTTTGCGAGGTTCAACGCGAAATCAAACGATTCCTTGAAGGTAAGGCGCCATGACAGGGAGGTTAGTCTCCCATCTAGCAGCTCCAGATAGCGAAGCCGACCGCGTTCGTATTGCTCGCTCGGACTGAGAGACTTTTCTTCGTAATCACGAGTATCTTCAAGGACACTGGCAGCGGCGTCTTGATCATTGACTTCGGGAAGAGATTCTAACTCTTCTTCTACCATAGTGAGCACCGTTTGCTGTGCCTCGATCCACTCCTCCATGCGTTCCGCAGTTTCTTCAACAGTCGTAGGGGGGCCGGAGTGGGCCATTTTCGCATTATAAGGCTCTCTGACCGTGTCTACGCGCTCCACCAAAGCTTTGTTTCGCAATCGCCATGGGTCGGTTGGATCAAGCTCTTTCCGTGCAAGGACCAGCGCTAGAGGCCATTCAATGGTGACCTCTTGTTTCAGCCCTTCTTCCGTTAGTGGAATGTCGGCGCCAATCATCAACGAACGCAGAAAACGGGCAGCGATATCGCCTTCAGGATGGTTTATGTCGTCAGGGAATGCCTCGTGGTAACGAAGAAGGGAGCTGAACGTTCTTAGATATCCGTGGACGCCCACACCCCAAGTTGTCTTTTTTTGCATGATGGGTGACAGAAGTGGTTCGGGAAGGTCTGGGTGGTGATTCCCAGTAAAGAACACCCGGGTTAGATCATCCCAGCCGTGTGAAGGCGGTGCGATATCCAGAAGGTGGTTGTTCAGAATCTTCCGACCGGGCTCCCAGTAAGGTCCCAATGATGTTTCAGGATCACTGCCTTGCAAATATTCTGTGATCATAGGAGTGAGTTGAGGGTATTGAGGCAGTCGCATGTCGGAATAGACCTGGACAACTCGGTTGTAGACAATGAAAATTTGACGAAAGAAACACACCCAGAATGCAGCTGTGCCTCCGTGCCTTAACACCCTCGTCAACTCTGGCCACAGTCGTTCCCAGTCAAACCAATGAGCGGCCTGGGCTAGAATGCACATGAGCTGTCTTCCCTGAGTTATATAGACGGACAACTCGCCTGCAATAACCATGTCGACGCTGCTATCAGGGAGAAATCCGAGCTCTTCGGCCGGTGCATTGACGAAAGAAAGAGATTTTCCTCGTTCGCCAAGAGTTGCTGCAAAATTGGTAGCTTCTGTAATCATTTTTGCGCTCGGTTCGAGTCCTATTACGCGGGAAAAGCCAGGTCCATCTTCTGTTTGTGGGCGGAGGAGCTCAGCAGTGGCTTGTCCAGTGCCACAACCGAGATCAAGAGCGTGCTTCCACTTGGCGGTTGCGCCAGGCAAAGTTAGTGAACGCTCATGGTAAGAAAGAATAGAGTCGAAGAGCATTCTAGGGTATGTCGGCCTTGCCAAGGCATACATGGCCGCATTGAACGTGCTTTTGGCGAAAGTCGCCATCAACGTCGCGGAATTTTTCAAGGGAGAACAAAAGGTGAAAGCGATAACGTGACATGCCATTTTTTTTTTTTTTTTTTTTTTTTTGTATCTGCATTTATATACCGCAACAAGTACACTAACTACTAAGACGCGGTGGCCGGGGCGGTGGATCCGTCTGGCCGCTCGGCGGGATGTTGCGCCGGGTTTTGTTTCGGGCTGGTTGGGGTGTAGCGAATGACGTGACATGCCAAACTCTTCCTCTTTCAGGATGGTGCGAAGGGCCGCAGCGCTTACTTCCCAACTGCGGCTTGGACTACGAATGGCTTCCACTTTGAAAGCTACGACAGAAATTCCTCGAGGAAGACCAGGCATCATATTGCCAGTACCTCACGTCGCACTCCAGTGGCGACAACCGCCAGCCTCATTGCCACAGTCCCCGACATTCTCGTCTGACTCCGAAGAATCAACACCAGGATCAGCTACAGGGCCGGAGTTCAAGTTTTCGAAAGGACCTAGTGACGGGATTTCCATTGGGGATGTGGTTCTGTTCCTCGCCATAGGTGGTTCGTCACGTCCTCGCAATCATAAGGCGAAAGTTCGCTTACAACTTTCACAGCTCTGATGACTTTTATGGGGGAAGGAGGAACTCCTATCTCGAAGAATAATCAAGTTGCCTCTCTTGAAAAGCTGGTTGCCTCTGTCGAGATTGCCAAGATTAAAGAAGACGGCGTTGCATTGACGGCGCACTTCAAGAACATTGTCCGCACCGTTGATCCCACCTTGGACGAAAAGAGATTGGTCCAGGCCCTTGAGTCGACGGAAACCTTCGAAATAGCTGAAGTTTGCGGTAAAATCCACCAAATCGTCAGTGAGGATGGTTTGGATAGGCAGAAGAAGGTCTTCGTAGTCTCAACACTACTGTCAAATTTCCTGGCGTCCAAGCGTGGCCAATCAAATGAACCTCCAGAAGATTGGGTACCAGAGGGACGAGAGACATCCGCATAGGTGGACGCAAATTCGTTTTAACTGTGGCCATTCCTTTGGACACCAACCAGCTCCCTATCTCACCGCCAATTAACTTCCGAGAAATATCTTCGGTTCGGAGTTGATCAAGATGTTCACCAGCGGGGAATAACTTTGTGCTGTTTATGTACAACGCGCGGTTTCACTTCGATGGTGCACTTCCCAAAATAAGAACCACGGAGAGTAAGCATAGTGACGCGTCCCTTGCCCTTCCGCCTCGGCGGAATGCATCGACAAAACTTACCTAGATGCATGGCTTGGTATTAATAGTAGTCCTGGACCGGCAGATTACATGATTGGACAATCTATCGTGACCGCGATTTCCCGATTGTCTTTCCTCTCTCAATACGCCATAAGACTTGGGCAAATTCAACTCGGAACCAATTTTGTGATTTCAAGATTTATTACTTAATGAATACCACGACGCGTCAGTGTTCAACCTCCTACGAAAATTTCAGAGTCATGAACAAGCAAGAAAGCTTCAACAAACAGGAAGGATGGGCTTTGGGTTGATACATTGACACGCGAGAAGATTTCTGGATGGAGGAGCCCACGGCCGTGGCCTGGCTATCTGCTATCGTGCGAATTCGGGTGCGACGGTCGTTGCGGGCATTAAGCGTCCACATGACCGAAAACGCCCAGAGGTCCGCAAGCATCATAAGAAGAGAGGATGGGATTGGGGAGAGACTGGGTAGGACGTATGTCAACACGCAGTCCAGAATTGCGCTGAGACACGTCAGTATGAATGCGTTCGCCATCAGGTACTTCTTACATTGTAGTTGCTGGAAGGGCAGACTGGAATATTAACACAATGAGCCTCGTCAGCTTCGATGCAGTGGCAGCAAAGGCCTTTTTGCGGAATCTGAGCAGGAAAAAGGCGGTAATGCCGGATAGGCAAATGTCACCAGCTATTCGAGCTAAGTAAGCTCCAGAGAGAAGTTGAAACACAATTCTGACGTACTTATAACAATTGGATAGGCGGCGTATACTGTGAATGATCATCACCTGAGGGAGTGTGTAGGCGATACAGCGACGCACTAAACTTGATGGCACGATCAGCGCCAGCGGCACCTTGAGTGATCAGAAACATGGCCTACACAAGTCAAGCTGTGGCTGAACAGTTACGAGATAATCGCTCACCCCGGCAAAGCTCAGGGAAAAGGCTGCGAAAGCCATCAGAGCAACAGCGGTGGTGAGGTAGATGTTGTTCCTTGAAATCGAATAGAGGCGATAGATGTAGTAAATTTGTGAATAGCAGACAATGCTGATCACCTATTGAGGGAAGTTTTGAGAAGTCCTCCCTTAGCGTAAACATGCACACCAGAATAGCTAGGGCCCCCACGATATCGATTTCGAATTGACTGATCACAGGGAGAACATCAAGTGGGTTGCCAAAGTAGAAGACAACCTTTTGCCAGACGTAAACGCTAGGCAGGTAATCAGAGAAGAGAGTAAGTAAGAAAATGACATGTGCGGACAGGTTGAGAGCGGACTTTGCCCAGACTAAGCAAAGGAGTCCAGCCACATATAGGCGGAGAAAGATGCTGTCAGTGCTGCCATACTCAGCCGCATACGTGCAGACCTTGACATTTGATTGAGGAGAAACAAAGGTGTTGTTTGTAAGGACGGACCTGGTGCGAGACTACACCAAGCAGAAGAGTATCGACGCCGGTGCCAAAAAGCTAAAATGTTATGACACTGAAATACAGCAGAGCGATGAGACTCACTCTGGCGCCAAGGGCTTCAGATATAGTTGGCAAGCCTGATAAGGCGGCTGCCATGGGTTTGGAGGTTCTTCAACTTGCGCTTATCAGTAGTGCTCTGTTTATATATAGACATGAATAGCCGTGTCTTACTAGGACCACAATGGAACAATGAGTGCATCGGTAAGAGCATTGCGGCCCGCGCGGGTGTCTTGACAATCGAGTCGGTTCAGGTCCAGATTGTCGCTGATTGGAGTTCGGGGAACTTGATCCGTGATGACGCTCACAGCCACAGCTGTCAACGGTTTTCACTGTATGTCAAGCAGAGGTTATTCTGCTTGGGCTATCCCATCCCTTTTGTCCACACAAAGTCTGTCCTCAAAGCTTGGACCAAGCTTGGCCTCATCCGAGTTCGAATGGACAAACTAGCACGTGTTTCAATCCTGACTTAATGCCGACCAATGAGTTCCTTGTTTGGTCTTCGGCCAACACTATTGCTTCTGATAACAAAATGCTTAACGAGATCGTGAATGTCCATCGGACTACTGCCACAGTGCCAATGGAACCAAGACTAGGTTGAATTACGCTGTAACTCGACTTCAGGTTTATGCGTAAGTATGGTCAAAAACGAAGAGGCGAAGTGGTGTAATCAAATGCCGCGGCGATCTATCCCTTCATTTATGTACACCTCGTGTACTGGTTCTGTCATCACTCTGATGTAAACTCCCCCTTGGTTTCCTTCTTGTCCAGTCGTTCCCTTTCAACCCATGACGGCTCGTCTGCGCGGGCACCAGCCCGCTTTCAACCCGGAATTCTCGGCCACAGTCTCTACACAGTTCGCTTTCATTTCGGTGACCTTGATTAGCCTCCCCTGACATTGTCGCAGTAAACTTGAAGAACTCCTACGAAAGGTTACCGCTCAAGCGTCTGAATATGAGCACCAGATGAAAGATATAGAGGCCAGTACCTTAATGCTCACCCCAGTGCTGTATGCTGATGTTCCCTTAGTCTAAGCTGGCCGAGAGTCTTAGCAATTTTCGGGCTATCGATGGTCTCCTGCAAGAAGCTTTGGCCAGCCTCAGGGTGCGTGAATACCGTTTCCTTTTTACGAGTCATCTCTCACCAGACACCACAGAAAAATGCCCAACAGGCAGATTATGCACTCAATAAACAAGTGCCGCACATCACCGACCAACTTGACGCTTCGATGGACTCTTTGCACCAACTTGCTTTGGATCTTCCCGTTATTCAAGCTCAGGTGACAGACATTCGTGCGGTCTATGACTCTGGACGTACGAAAGCCCAGAATCTTGTTGCTGATTTGACCTGGCTCAATACCGAGTTCTATGAGCGCTGGCGGCTCATTATCTTCACAAGCTCCAGTCCAGTCTCATGGCGTTGGAAAGCCCTCATGCGTTTCTGTTTCTCACTCACTTTCATCGCATTCGTGTGGCTGAGCTTGACTGCAATTCAAGGTGGCTACCGTGCCCATCGTGGTGGATTGGTTTGGGGTGAGCGACTAATGTCGTGAGACCATGTAGGATTAGCTATGATACCCTCTACAAATGTAATTTGTAAGTATGTACTTGGGGAAACCACGCCCTGATCCGACTTTTGCTTTTGACGGTCATGGACGGCTTCGATGATCTTCTCAGTTCGTCGCGCGGCGGAATTGACCACAACCCCTTTGCCGACCCTTTCGCGAACCGAAGCTCTTCGCCAGACCCTTGGTCTCAACCGTTTCGCCAGGAGACAGAGGACGTCTATCAATACCCGCAATCCACTACTCCTCCTGTGGAAGAGCAAGAAGTTGAACTAGAAACACCCGTTGCCGTTGAGACTTCCGCTGCTGCCCCAGAGTCAGAAGAAGGCGTGCATTCCGACCCGTTAGACTCTGCTGCTGCTGCTGCTGAAGTAGACAATGTCTTGTCTCCCGGCTTCAGAGAAAGTGTTGAAGAACCAGAGCATGACCCCAACTTTTCCGAAATCGCGACGATACGGCCAACAGAGCCCGAAGAAATGCAACCTTCGATTCCCATTCCCGCTGATCATCCTCATGCCCCACCACCACCAACAACAACAACAACAACAACAACAGCTCGTCTTTCGGAAAGCGCGCCTTCACTGCCTCCACAGTCCACTGAGCCCAGTTGGGGTCCATTGGGCCTCAATTCAGCTCCGATTCACTCCTCTTTCCCGAATCTTTCACTGGGAGGAGAGCCTGCGCAGTCGGCTTGGGGAGAACATGACAATTGGAGCAACGACCACCAACCACCAACACGCCTTCCCACCGACGATGACAGTGACGATGACAAACCCGTTTTACAGACAGTTCGACATCCAGAGCGGAGCGAAAACCCTGCAGTATGTCTATGGTTTTTTCCCGGGTCACAATACTTGTGAAATACATACCACCAGAAACTCACGCAGGACGGCCTTCCACCTGTTTTTGTTATTACCGTGGACGACCCTCAAAAGGTCGGCGATCCCATTCGCTCTTTCACAATGTACACTGTGCACACAAGGGTGCGTGCTGAAACCACTTCACTCGCCATTCGCTATATTTCCAATTAGACCACCTCGCCGCTCTTCACAAAATCCGCTTTCTCAGTTCTTCGTCGCTACTCCGACTTCCTTTGGCTCTACGAAACGCTCTCTCAAAACAATCCGGGTGTTGTCGTGCCGCCAGTTCCCGAAAAGAGTCCATTTGGTCGGTTCGACGACCAATTCGTCAAGCAACGAAGACAGGCGTTGGAGAAGTGTATCACGAAAACCGCAAACCACCCTGTGCTGATGAAGGACCCCGATCTGAAACTCTTCCTCGAGAGCGACACATTTTCACTCGATGTGTGCTTCGTCCCATCTTCCTTACACTCTCTCCATCCTAATCATTCACGCAGATTAAACATCGCAAAGCAGAGATCGCCCAAGCCAGCGGTGGACTCATGGCTTCTATTGGGCAAAGTCTTGCAGGCCCCAGATTCTACGAAACAGACGAGGCAAGTTGCCTGTTCATCATCCATTCGAAACGACTGACTAGGTTCTAGTGGTTTGATCGTCAGAAGGTTTATTTGGATTCACTCGAGGCACAACTACGTGGTTTGGTCAAAGCAATCGAGACTGTGTCTAAACAGCGTGAAGGTATATTCTTCTTGATACAGTTTAGCGCCGTCTCAACCCGTTATCCAGAGTTGGCAGTGTCGATGGGTGAATTCGCTCAAGCCGTATCGGACCTATCGTCATCGGATGTGGGTAAGCAGCTAGCCCAGTCACTAGCAGGGCTCGCAGAGGTCCAACGCAAGACGCAAGACCTCCAACACCGACAAGCAGAACAAGATCTCGTGACGCTGCTTAGCACTGGTAAGGGTTTCTGGCTCTTCCTGAACTGAAATTGACCCACAAAAGCGGACGAGTATTCTCGATTGATTAATTCTGTTCGGGTAGGTTTTCCAGTTCGAACTCGAAAATCCAGTTGATGTTTTTGCTAGCTTGCGTTCAGTTCCCGCATTCGGAGCTACCATTCATGGCGGTCAGCCGAGGCTGAATCGGTTCGTGTCAAGCAAACACATGAAAGAAACCGAGCCCAAGGCCGGATTCCAAACGAGCGCGTAGGTTACTCGTTGACGCAAGTATCGGAGGTGAGTGGCATGGCATGGTGCTCAGGCTGTTTGACGTATTGGCATTCCAGTCTGAACGACGTGCGCTGGATGCCAAACACGAATTCGACCAAGCAACCAAGCTCGTCAAAACAGAGGTCGCTCGCTTTGAGCAGGAGCGAATCGACGATTTCAAAGACTCACTACATGCATTTCTGGAGGGGATGATATCGCGACAGAAAGTGGTTAGTCGATTTGTTCAGGCTGTGTTGTGTCGCTCATCTTAACGTTCAAGTTGATTGGTAGCTGGGAGAATTACCAACAAATGCTGCTAAAAAAGGTTGGAGGAGGAAGAGGCTTACCGCCTGCTGCAGGACAATCAGCCGTGCCAGTTGCCTAGTTGTTTTAATGTTTACTTGTAAACGTCTCCCACAATGATGTCATGCCTCATTTGCTGCCGACTCCGCATTTGGCCACTGACGATCACCACCTTTTACTTTCCCTCCTTCTCCACCCCTCTTCATCTATGCATTCGTCTGGCCTTGGCGCATATACGCCGGTCCCTAGCAGTAGTCATCTGGACCCTCCGTCAACAGGCCACTCTTCAGCATCATATCCCGACTCGATTTCAAATGCTGTGGCTCGAAATGCCGTTGGGTCAGGCTTTGGACCATACGCCGTGTGTCTTGTTGCCCCATACTTTGACTTCATCTCTTAACCTTTACTAGTACCCTCAAAACAACAACCGCGATAGCATACCGTCGAGCTCTCAGTTCAGTCATGCCCCTTCTTCCGCCCCCATTGTCATGCGACGAGCTAATACGGCAACACTCCAACCACAATACTGGGATGCAGACTTGGATCTCGAAGACAATCTCCACGACGTGCGAAGGCCAGATCGGAGCTCATTCACCCTCCTTTCTTCTCGTGGATGGGCAAATGCGTCGATGTTGTTCATACTAGTGTGTGGACTAATTGCGTTATTCTTGGGCTATCCAATCGCCACCGCGACCGGCATCACGCATTCAGCCACTGGAGCGTTTAATATTGGTGGTATCAATTCAACGGGACAAGTGCCAGTGTTGCTCGGAATGCCAACACTCATTGATAAAGACACGCCTGAAGACGCCTACTCCAGAACGGGGGTGACAGACGGCAAGAAATATAACCTCATCTTCTCCGACGAGTGAGCAGCTATTCTCCCACTCGTTTCTTATTTATTTTTAACGCCCATTAGATTCAATACCGACGGGCGTAGCTTTTACCCAGGCGACGATCCATGGTGGTGGGTAGTTTCTCTTGATCATAAACGTCCTCACGATCCGTTTACAGGGAGGCAGTTGACCTACACTACTGGCCAACCGGTGACCTGGAGTGGTACGACCCGGGTCAAGTTACGACGGCTGACGGGAAATTGGTTATCACGATGGCTGAGGGTTCGTACAATCTCGGGGCCCGCTTGCAAGCGCACTGATATGCGTGTTAGTTTTAAATCACGACCTTAACTTCATGAGTGGCATGATCCAAGGCTGGAACAAGTTTTGTTTCACCACTGGTTATGTCGAAGTACGGGTCAGTCTCCCCGGGTCGCCTCGCAGCCCAGGTTTTTGGCCCGGGGCTTGGTCGATGGGCAATTTAGGTCGCGCGGGATATGGTGAGTAGGTTTTTCTAAAATTCATGATTCGTCCTGAAATTTCCCTCAAGGCGCCACCACTGAGGGAACTTGGCCATATTCCTATGACTCGTGTGACCTCGGGACGCTCAAAAATCAAACGGACAAGAACGGCAATCCCGCTGCGGCCGCCACCGGAAATAATGGAGACCCGCTAAGCTTCCTTCCTGGTCAGAAACTCAGCGCGTGTACTTGCTCTGGCGAAGACCACCCGGGCCCTTCTACTTCCAAAGGAAGGGGAGTTCCTGAAATCGACATCCTTGAGGCTCAAATCGATACCTCTCTGTTCAAAGGCCAGGTTTCGCAGTCATATCAGATTGCGCCCTTCAACTACGAATACGAATTCGTCAACACAACACCGGCAATCTCCATATATGACACCACTCTGACCAAGTTCAACTCGTACAAAGGAAGTGAAAACCAACAGGCTGTGTCTGCCTTGACCTATATCCCGGATACTGTCTATAGCGACCAAGATTACGGCGTCTACGGTTATGAATGGTGGTCCAATCCCAACAAGAGGTCAGAAGGCTACATCACTTGGGTCAGCAATGGGACCAAGAGTTGGACGGTAACTGCTGCCGCTATTGGTAAAGACGATGTCTCTGAGATCAGCGCACGGTTGATACCAGAGGAGCCGATGGTATGTTGGCTTCCTCAACTACCTGCCATCCGTTCACAATCCACAGTACCTCATTTTGAACTTGGGAATGTCGCCCGGGTTCCAAGCTCAAGATTTTCAACACATGACCTTCCCTAACAAGATGTACATCGACTATGTGCGCGTTTACCAGCGCGAAGGCGTTTCTGAGGGCAACACCTGCAACCCGTCCAAGTACCCGACCGCCGATTACATCAACAAGTTAATAGTCTTTCCTCCGCCGATGCCTTTTTTTACCATGCTGATCGGATGTTCCAGGCATGTAAATGCGTATTCTAACCCGAATTTAACCGTCTGGGCAGACGCTGGCTACAAATTCCCCAAGAACTCACTCTGGGATGGATGTTGAGAACCGAATGGCGCGCTAATCACTCTACTTTACGACGGACATGATGACCCTAATGTACCATTTGCACGGACCTATGTAGAGATACGGAACCATCTGTACTACACAACCTCACCTATAACTTGATCAAACACTTGGCATAAAAGAGGACTGTTGATTAAATTTCTCACGGAGGACAGTCAGAACGATGTTCGGTAACCGCCACACTTCTTTCTTGCTCTTGCAGCTGTGAACGGGCTATGAATTCTGCCTAAACCATTGTTGCTGCTGGCGGTGGGTAGCATCCATGTCGGCTGACCTTCATATCAACACGCTATCCGTTTTGTTATAAAGGGCCGCGGTAGCAGTCCACCCACCCACCTGAATGGCGTCAATTCTCACCACATCCAAGCGACAATTCGCGTTTAACAGGGCTGACCATGGCGGTTCCTTCTTGCGCCCATCCACCATCCTTGAAACCCGCAAAGCATTCAAAGAGGGCACTATCGATGCAGCGACCTTGCGACAAACAGAAGATGCACAAATTACTGAACTCATCGAGCAGGAGAGGGCGGTGGGCATAAAGAGCTTCTCAGATGGCGAGTTTCGGTGAGTTTTTCTGTTCGTCTCGTGCTAAGCCACTCAGCCGCGGGAGTTAGCCGGGAATACTTTCACCTCGGTGTGTCACTGACGGCCCCGGGCCGCCAAACCGAAGATGGCAATTTAACACAGAACGCGTCTAGACTTTATCGAAAACCTCGAAGGCATTAGGATCAGCAGCAACCCGCTCACGGGGGACAAAGACACTGCGACCTTACCGACAATCTCGGTCGTTGGGAGGATAAAACACGTGAAGCCTATCCAACTTAAAGATTGTGATAACTGCCTTCCTTCCTTCCTGTCGAGGTGAAGATCTAACGACGATGCAGTCCAATTTCTTCAAGCCCGGATCGACTCGAGCAAAAAGGAAGTAGTCAAAGTCGCGATTCCCTCACCAACGATGGTGCACTTTCGCGGCGGCCGGTCAGCCGTCAGTTTCGAAGCTTATCCCAACCTCGACGAGTTCTTTGAGGATCTGGCGGAGGCTTATCGGACCGAAATCAAAATTCTTGCCAATGCTGGGTGCAAGTACCTCCAGGCACGTAACAAGTTCTTATACTACTCCTACTCAACCAAGTCCAGCTTGACGATACAAATTTAGCCTATCTCTGGTTTGCTCGCGAGTCTTTATTTGGTTCTATTGCTCACCGATATGGTTAGCGATCTGAAGATGCGCGAGGCGGCTGCTGGGCGGGGAGAAGATCTCAACACACTTCCCAGGCAGTACGCAGAACTGATAAATTCGGCGCTGAGAGATAGACCTGCTGGAATGACTGTCGGCATCCATCTGTGTCGTGGAAACTTCCGGAGCAGACATTTTGCCGAAGGTATGCGTTTTGCTTCTACAAACATCGTCAGTCAATGTCCACTAGGTGGCTATGAACCCATCGCCCAAGTTTTGTTCCAGCTCCTCAATGTTGATGTCTACTTCCTGGAGTGTTTGTGCTCATTGTGCATTTTTGTTGCTGCTCTCTAACAGCTCTGCAGTTGATACGGAACGCGCCGGAACTTTTGAACGTACGCCTTTTCGCATTTCAGATGGGTTGCAAGCTGATACTTCTTGGCAGCATTGCGGTTCTTACCGAAAGGCGAGAAGGTGGTTATGCTTGGGTTGATCAGTTCGAAAATTCCGCAATTGGAGGACAAAGAGATGATTAAAGCACGGATCGCGGAGGCAGCAAAGTATGCGCCATTAGAGCAGTTAGCGCTTTCACCGCAATGTGGATTTTCAAGCACCATCCACGGCAACGAGGTGGGTCCTTAATCAAGGAAAACGCCTGGATTAAGCTTTAAGGGTTGTCGCAGATCACCATCGCCGACCAATGGGCCAAAATGAGGTTAGTTAGAGAGATCGCGACAGAGGTTTGGGGGTCTTCTTGAGAGTAGCAATTTAGAATTCATCGCGTTTATAAATTTGGGATTGTTGTGGTAGCTATCACGTGACCGCGTATTGCAATTGATTGTTCAGGTCGTCTGGGGGTTTCCTTACTTCCAGGAGCAACCCAATCTTATGACCCGCACGCGCCTTGCTGGTTACTATATGCTTTGCGAGCGTATACTGTACGCTGAGAAATTTGTGTCAGGTATTATTTAGTCAACAAGTCGTACGATGTCATGGACGGCATTTATTTAAAGTCTCGAACCTTGTTCAAACTTCACACCGACCACCATGGGGGACTCAAAGTCCAAAAATGCCAGCGCAGCCAAGCCAGATGTCATCGTCATCTCTGAAGCTGGCCAAGAGGTCGACAAGCGGCTTGACCAGCACATGAGCTACGAGTTTGGGGGCCCCTTTGGCGTCGCCGCCATAATGACGGGCTTCCCGCTGCTAATGTACTATTTGTGGATATGCTTGTGGTTCTACGATGGCCACCTTGTGTACCCCACCGCGCTGGACGATGTCCAGCCATTCCTCGGGAGGATGTGGTCCCATGTTCAGGAGGTGCGTCACACCAAGACACTCTTTTTTTTTGCCTCCTATGTTTCCCAATAGGATGCCAACCCATCGCTGTATGCCTGGAAGGTCTACGGCGGGAACATGGTCTTCCAGCTTTTCCTGGCCTGGGTGATGCCTGGCCACATCCAAGAAGGGCTCCCTGTCCCGTCGCTGGGCTACAAGAAGCTCATCTACAACTGCAACGCCCTGGGCTGCTTTTACGCGACGCTCGCCACCGCTTTTACCCTCCACTATACCCACACCTTCCGCCTGACCGAAATACTCGACAACTTCGGCCACCTCATGTCCGTCGGGATGATCGTTGGGTTTGCGACTTCGTTTGGCATGTACTTCATTGGAGTTGCCACGGGCAATACCATTCGCATGTCTGGCAACTTCATCTACGATGTGTTCATGGGGGCCATTTTGAACCCCCGGCTAGGGCCCATCGACCTCAAAATGTGGGCAGAGGTCCGCGTGCCGTGGGTAATCGTCTTCTTCCTGTCAGTCTCTGGCGGCTGCAAGCAGTATGAGGAGTACGGCTATGTCACTCCGGTGAGCCTTACTTGCTACCAACTTTTTTTTAAAAAAAAATACTGATTCCACAAATAGAACATGGCCTTTATGATATTGGCGACTGGCCTCTACCTCAATGCTTGGTTGGTGCCTCTGCTTCTTTATCCTGTCAAGAAGAGCTAATCCACTCGTCAGTGCCAAAGGTGAAGAATGCATCCCCCAAACCTGGGATATGTACCACGAAAAGTCTGTTGCTCGCTCGCGGTCACATCGTCCGGTTGACTGATTCTTTCGCTTAGATGGGGTTTCATGGTCATCTTCTGGAACGCCGCAGGAGTTCCTTTCGTAAGCCTGCCTTCCGTTTCTGCAAAACCCCAGCTTATAATGGCGCTATAGTCATACATCTACTCGATCGTCTACATGGCGCGGCAAGATCCCTCCAAATACCGCTTCCCGACTCCCGTCTATGTGCTCATGTTCGGGACTCTCCTTACCGCCTATTTCATGTTGGTCCACTCCAATTGAAGAATACCCCCATCCTCTGACAAAGCGCCGCAGCTGGGACACCTCGATGTCGCAAAAGAGCAGATTCAAGATGCAGACTCAAGGGATTACCACATTCCGCAAGTCATTCCCGCAGCTACCGTGGTCCATTATCAAAAACCCCACCTACATCCAAACCGCTCATGGGTTCGTCGCAGCGTATTTCCGGCCGTCTGTTGCATATCGTTAATGCTCTGTTTTTTTTTTCTTATAGCAACCGCCTGTTGACGAGCGGGTGGTGGGCATACTCACGCAAGCCTGTTCGTATTCATCTTTTTCTGCATGGCGTTGTGCTAACCTACGGCGTAGAACTATGTCGCAGACTGGACAATGAGCTTCCTGTGGGGGGCCATCATTGGTACCAACAGCATTATACCCTACTTTTACTCCATGTTCTTCATCACCGTGCTCATCCATCGAGTCGGTCGTGATTTCGAGCGGTGCGCAATCAAGTACGGCAAGGACTGGGAGCGCTACTGCGAGGTCGTCAAGTGGAAGTTCATTCCGGGGGTATACTAAAGTAACGAGGATATAGTCTAATGCATGGCTCGTCTATGTGGGCATTTTGAGGCACGCTGTTTTGAGCCCGTCTAAGGGAAAACGTGAGCCACGGGCCACAGAGCAAAACAAGATTGCGTACCGCCACTCCATCTAGACACTTCGATGAGGAGATTGCGTTTGTTCTCCACCGCTGTGGCGGATCGCAGTTCATAGAGGGTGGCTAAGGGTTGGTTAGAGAGCGAGGAAAAGTACAAGAGAAAAGCACCTACAAAGATTAAACAAGAAGGGCTCGGCTACAACGACGCTTTCAGGCGACTCTTTCAATGCACGTTCCATAATAGCAATGCCCTATTCCTGTCAGTCAAGCTCGAGAGAAAAAAAAAGCAGACTCACCTCTTGTACTTTTCCCTGACTTAACAGCGCCACACAGCGGTTGTTGACGGCGACGAACCGTTCTGGGCCTTGCTGTAGGGCCGGTCCTTGGAGTATCTCGTTCACCTGCACCCAGTCGCCTTCCGCCGCGGCCATCAAAGCGGCATTCATCTCCACCATCGACTCTGGCGCGCCGGCAGCGGCAAGCTCGAAACGGGAGGCGGCCATGGCGAGGTTACCGCACTGGAGGTATATTCTCCCAACAGCAGAGTGTAAGGCGGGCGAGACAAGCGTGACATCGCCCTCTTGCTGTTCACATAATGGTTCCAGCAGCTTGGTCGCTGCAGCAAAGTCCTGACACGGGACATATCAGAGAGGCAGAAATAAAAGGAGACAAAAACACAGAGCACCTTCATCTCGACCAACTGCGAGGCAATGATCAAGCATACTCTTGCTCCGCGCTCCTTCCACATTGCGACGATTGTAGCATCACCCTTGGCTCTGCGGCATCGCATTTTGCATTTTCTCAGCAGGCCATATAACGCGTCGAGGTAGCCCATGTGATCTCCTGCCCAGTACCTCAGACGGGCATTCATAACCTCCAGCTCAAACGGCAGCACACGCTCAAACAGCCACTGCCGTGTTGTTGGAGGCTCGACGCCATTCAGGACCGTGAACAAATTGGTGCACTCGGCGGTCGTTTGGTTGTAGAGTCGTAACCTCGACAGCGACGATAGACGAAGGTACCACAGCTAGTTTCTTAGTGAGGAATGCATCTCAAGAAAAAAAAAATAGGCAGGACTCACTCCCAACACAAGCGAAAGGTCTTCCGGGTCGGCTGTCACGATCCTGTCGCGCGCCATCCTCGCCAGCGCACGCCAGCTATTCGACATCTGTGCCAATCAATGTTCATGGGTGTTGCTTATTATATCTTACACCACTCACTACAAGTGCGTGGAAGTCACTCCGCTGCCACTCCCCGGTGAGATCCCTCATCGGACGTTTCTCTGGAGGATGAATATATTTGTTGAGGAGTGTAGTCAACGGATCTGTCTATGGGACGCCCGATTAACTGTCAAACCAGCCACCACGTTAACAAGCTCGGCCGTACATTGGGAAGCGGGAGAAACATCGTCGGGATCACGAGGGCGGGAAGGTACAGCTCTGGCGCGTCCTCTTCGTCGCTGTCAGAGTCTGTAGGCGGTGGGGGATCGTCTTTGTTGAGATTGGGCGATAACAGCGGACTTGCGATTTGGTGCGGGGAAAGTGGAATTGGTGCAACGAGGGGAATTTGGATTTCCTGGACGGAACGTGACTCGGTCGGCGTAGCGCTCTCTTGCTCTTCGTCTGAATCGACAAGGAAAGGGTCGGGTGCCTCTGGCTCGACATATGGCTTTGTTGATTCGCTCACACCAAACACAGAGTCACTCTCCGTAACAGGCGTGGACGGGCCAGACATTGTCGAATTCGAGTCGGACGAGTGGCTTATGCTGGGCACGGGGGAAAGTGGGATAATGTCGATGACGAGGGGAGGAGGCAAGCAGCGAGGGTGAGTGTGACCAACGCGTTTGATCGCTCGCACGAGCTTTCCCAGCGATGCCTTGAACGGCAATTTGGCTGGAAAGAGTTGCATTGGAATTGAACTGTAAGGCTGTGGCCTGCTTCGAGGGTAGTGTGTTATCGGCATTGAGATTAAGCCCAACCAGCCCTCGCCAGCCTTTTAAATCTTGCCCATATGGTCTGGACGTCCGGGGCAAACCGGGTTCTCTTCTAGTCAAGACTCGTCTCGCCCTAGTAAGTACTAATAGTCTGACCTTAGCTTAATTTTCCATAGAAAGCGACAATATCGATACAAGAGGAAAATTCACATAAGTGCTGACTACATCGCCGCCTGTCTGTTCAGAATATAGTGACTCAAATCTTGCCATCCCCCACCAACACGGACCATCACCTTCTTGGTAACATCAGCCTTTCCAGGGCGGGTCAACGTCGTCAGTTTGCATGTTATCACTTTCCTGCTCAGCGCGTTTGAAAAGGCGTATTGTGCCTTCTGCTCCTCGCCTTCCTTCGGCAGTTTCTTGATCGGTGGGTCCACCCGCTCAACAAGCAAACCATGCGAAATGGCGTTCACAACAATGGCAACCTCAGCGTCCAAAGGATCACGAGGGTTGCCAGGCACGTATTCATGCAACGGTCCACTCTCGGTCGGCGTATACATGCCAGATCGTGATCCAGAACGAGATGGCGTTCGACTCGTTGATCCCTCTCGGAAACTTGAGGGTGGGAGTTTACCGGCGCTGCCCGGCAGTGATGGCCGAGCTGATGGCCGAGATGGAGTCCCAGGAAATATCGGTAGTTGTTGCACACGTGCACGAAGGGCAAACTCGGGAGTCTGAGCTCGTGCAGCATTACTTCTGAAGGTGCTATCATCGTTGTTGTACGACATGGAGGAAGAAGGTCGTGATGCGGAAGAAAGATGTAGGGTTGGGATTGGAATTAAGGAACGACTTGGTGGTCGCGGAGGATGTGCTGAGGGTGAGAGAGCTCGCTGGAAAGTAGTAGTTCGACCCTCATCGTCCCACCCGTCATCTGACATTGGTGGTGCAACAGAGGTAGATCGAGCTTTACTACTGGGGGCTGGAATGTGGCTAGGTGTCTTAGGTCTTGCACGTGGAGTCATAGGTATTCCAGGTGTGTGTGATCGAGAAGGAGTTTGCGGCCTCGAAGGTGTCTGTGCACGTGATGGCGCTTGTGACCGGGACGGTGGTCTATAATTCGGAAGTGGGGGATGGGAGGAGGGAAGAGGTGGTCGGGAAGAGGATTGTGTCGTTGACACTGATGAGGTAACGGGAGACCAGGGTCGAGAAGAGGCCATTGAAGTTCTCGAAAAACTTCGTCTGAAAACACCACCAATGGTAGACGAAATGTCGTTATACGTCCCTGTAGCTGACGGAGGGCGTTTGGGTGGAGTTGCCTTGACTGTTGCCATCCCACTGTCATCCACTTTAGTTGAACTATTCCAACCAGGTTTTGATGAGACTGTTCCATTGCGCGATTTCGAGTCAAGAATCTTGTTGCCGCGTGGAGATGAGTCTGGTGTTACGCTTTGTGTATGTCGATGCCCTGGTCGCTCAGGAGTTATAGGCGTAGGCGTAACGGAAGGGCGAATGCCAAAGATCGAAGTCCGGTGTCGAGCTTTGCTCTGCGTAGGCTCTGACGACGGCGCACGCAAAGTATTATTCTTGTTGATAGAGAGTGGGGTGACTGTACTGCCAGCGATTTTCCGTGCAAATTTCCTGAATGGTGAAATGGAGCGCGAAATAGTGCTAGCCGCACTGCCAGTCCTCGAAGGCGTATTAAGATGACCGTTGCGACCTGAACCCACTTCACTCGGAGTCTCTTCGCCAAGCAATAATCTGCGCGCTACGTCCATTTCAGCATCTGTCCTTGTTATTCGCTCCTTGAGACTTTTCCACCGTTGAGCAGATTCTGCATGTCTTCGCAACGTTTCTCCATTCTTGGTGACCCGGTCTCGGACGCCTTTGTCGATAATGGAGAGAACTTTGGAAGTCGCCGGCATGTAGTGCCTTGAATGCCAATGATCAGGCTCAAAACTCAAGCTTGATCATGAATGAACCTACTTTTTCTTCGCCTCAAAGGATTCAAGCAAGGAGGTGTACGTTTCAAAGGTAAGAGCCTTGTCACCAGATTGAGATGAGATGGAATGGGAGAGCGGGTCTTCGTAATGTTTATGGACCTGCCAAATGAACTCCTACCCACTAGTCACAAACTGAAAGTTCTGAAAGAGACTGGACACATACCTGGCAGCGATTGACGGCTTTCTCCAGACTAGACATCATCCCATCCGCTTGGTCCGTGACTGTTCTAAAGACGGTCAACCACTTGTCCTCCTTCAACTCCTCTCTTAGGACGTCACTTTCGTCTTGCACGGCCTCCCACTCAGCAACCAACGCAGAATGCTTGCGCAAAATGACCGCATTTGGGTCACTGTCTGGAGTTGTTGGTGTTTGCAATATTGGCTCCAGAGAATCGCTGATCAACTTCATTCCCTTTGAAACGGTCTCAATCCGCTCATCTAAGCTCATGAGGGATTGGTCGATGATGACGGTGGTGCCGGCATTGTCGCCAGAGGCTTGCGACTTGTGACGAAGCTCCTGAATCTCTATGCGAGAATGGTCAGACGAGATTGGATAGACATGTGGCACGTCTCCGCACCGAATATACGCGTCTGAATATCCGAAATGGTGTATGAGAGTTCCGTTATGTGGGTTGAGATGGCGAGAAGTCGCAAGTCTCTGAAGAATGGCCAGATATAATAGGTGAGAAAAGGCACGGAACGCGACGTACTCCTGGCTCTTTTGCTTTCCCTTTCTGGTGGATGGAGCAAGTTTTGTGGTTATTGTGAGGTTCTCTGGCCGGCTAGTCAGTAGACGGTAAAGACACGCAAGAAATTCTTACCCTCATCCTCCTGATGGAGCGACCGAGAAGATGACGAGGACATTGATGATGGAGATGGAGGGGACCGAAGGCTGGTTTGAGATGCGGAGAGAGCGAGGGTGGCCATATGGGAGAGAAAACAAGAAGGAGTGAGGTGGGCCAATTATTCGAATGTAATTGGGGGTGGGGGCAGACAAAGTTGTGGTACAAGGCTTGGAGAACTTCGCGTCAACTGGACTCCGGTCGTGAACTTGTGTCGTGAGGGTATATGGAGATGTCGAGGCCAGTACGACGCGACGATGTTCTGCTCGCCGTTGCAGGAGCGCGGGGTTTAGAGAGGGTGCAGGTGTGACGTGACGGTCACATTCGATAAGACCTCGTGTCCATTACTAGAAATACAAGTATAGTACTACGTGAATCGCTACAGTATCATAAAATCTCTTCACCAGAACGCGCACCAACCCGAGAAACATTGACACAAATTCTCCATGGCTGTGGCTTGTTGAATCAGTCTGTCCACCTGTTGCTTCACAGTCAAGATTGTGTGTGGGTCAAAATCCCGCCCAGTGAGCTTGTTTTGCACTCGATGGTAGACTGACAGGGCTTTGCTGTTAGTGACCTCCCGAGCAATAGGGTTGCCTGCTGCGTCTGTCCGAGACCATGTTAATGCAAAACCATGAAACCATTCGGCAAGTCGTACCGCTAAAGATAAGATTTTCATCGGCTTTCAACTTCCGTGTCGGCCCTTGTGGGTGGACAGCAACACGAGCGAGCTCGCTAACTCTTCTTGATTCCGATCCTTGAAGAAAGCCGTTGTCACACCAGATTATATCAGGAGACTGAAATGCGTACCCGTTCGCCGCATATCCGGACTAGGTTGTGTTAATCTCCAATTAACCAATGGGTCGTAAATGAAAGCCTCCAACACAGCCATCAGAGACTCTTTGTTGTCACGAAGAACTGCCATCGTAATTTCGCTGGAGATTCTGAAGCTGCCTTCGATGCCACTGACCTAGGATAAAGTCACGTTGCGTTCTAGGTGGATCAAGCGGAGACTGACCTCCATAGCATGTGTCAACATTCTTGTCAACCGGAACGGAATTTTTTCCGGGAATTTCTCCCGATGCATGGCAATTTCGAAACAGTCACCGAAATCTATCTGAATAACTTTGCCAGTTTTCCGCTCGATCAAGAGATTTGACGGATGACGATCACCGAGACCGAGGATATGCCCAGTCATACTGCTGACTGCAAGAGACCTAGTAAAGGTTGCGCGCCGGTCGAGCCAATGCTCCGAGTTGTTACTCTTGAGCCACAAAATTCGATAAAGGTCTTGACCAGTTGTGTTTTCCATAGCATACTCGAAGACCTCGATTTTCTGCAGTAATGGCAAGTTCTCGTAGTCAGGAGCCATCTGGATCATCATGCGGTATTCAATGTTGAGGACAACCTTGCGGGATTCCCGGTAGTCCCGAACAAGCACGTGGAGCGTGTCATTGTCTTGAACCCAGCCCAAGAGTCCAGCATTCGGGGCCAAGGGAATAACAGGATATCGTTGAATGTGTAGCCTTCGCTGGAAACTCTTCGTGTCAACCGATAGTAACGTATTGACGAGACTAAATAGTTGCATGACCCGCTCATCTTGGCGAAGATCTTCATGGCCTGTAGTACTCGTCGTTAGCAGAGGAGAACCGACGAAAGCATTTGAACCTTTGAGAACGTATTGATAATCCCGCCCATCACTACCAGTTAAGCACAACCGTCGGGGCCGCTGTTTAGATGCAATGACAGTCAATTTTGGACTGAAGCGTTGAATAGAGATGACTGGGTGACCACTGCGATAAGTTCCTGAAGGAGTCTAAGTCTGAGATCAAGATGATGAGGGAAGGGAATACCAGGAACAGCTAGCTCCAAATCGCGGGCTTCTAGCAGCCAAGGCGATACATATTGCAAGTCCAATGTCGAGAGTTGTGGTAGTTGTTTCTCAACTTTTTTGAACACCTGACGAGGTTGTCAATGAATCAGAAGGGTGATCAATACCAAAACTAACCGCATAATATATATCCCAGGCTTTATCCAGTTCGGATGAATCGCCGTACGTGCGGTATCGACGACATGCCTCCCGGGCCTCTCGCAACTCCCGCCCGAAAACTTGAGTAAACGAAGTTTCGCGAGCAGTTTCTGGACCTTTCTCCAGGAGGTCATGCAAAGGCTGTAGAACCGCGATCATCCCATCTGCATTCTTCTCAGTGAAGTATAGTCTGGATGCTTCCTCAAGTCCTTCGTGCCAACGTTCGTGCCACAATATCGCAACTCGGATCAACTCGGAGCTGACATATTCCGCCTGTGCGATGATGAATTCGCGATAAGAAGAGCTATGTTTAGACCTACTTGGTCGACAATAGCAGCGCTATGTTGCCTCATGGCATTCAAAATATCGTTTGCTGCGTTTTGGCGCGATTTGCTTGACGACTGCGACGCCACAACAAGGGGATAGACCAGTGCTTGGGGGTGGTTGCTCCCAACAGCAAGTAAGATTCGGTGTATGTCTTGTCGCACATTGGTATGGGGAGTCTGAATTCTGGCGATGATCTGGGGTGTGGTAAGCAGAATGAGGATATGGTAAGCACAACTCGCCTGTGGGATGACTTCCAGCCAAGTGTCAATCCCAACTTCCGAAAAACCTTTGTTCACCGCCAAACTGACATCCTGGTGTGCACCAAATTCAAACCACAGAGTCAGCAATCGAAGTGTGTCTTGCAGTGCCTGCGAATTCCGAAGCGAAATCGACCGGAAGAAACCTATGATCAGTTAACCCCAAGACTGTGAATAAAGATGCCTACGGACCAGTGATTGCTTGAACGGCATGGGCAGCGAGATCCTTTGATGGTAGTTCATTAGTGCGATCTTGACGGTCTTGACGGTGGCTTATGACATCGAAGTTGGCAAGAGCCCATGTATGCCAGGCTTTGTACCATTGGCCGTCGTAGTGTGTGGCATGTCGATAGGAGTTCAAGAGATCATCGTAGTATTGTTGCTGAGACACCCATCCTGGTCGTAATTCCGCTTGCCACTCTCCATGTTTATAATGACAACGCGCCAGCAGCCTGGATACAGCGGTGACTCGCGGTTGTTTTGCCGTTGCAACTCGGGGGTCAGTCTCGCTGCCCTTGTTTTCCAGCTCGAGGTCTTGAGTGAGATGGCCTATAAATTTTCGGAGGAAGCCAATAGTATTCTCTCGATCACCATTGGCCCACATAACTTTTAGTTGGGCATAGACAACTGCTGGAGGGACATTGATATTATGTCCAGTCGTATTCTACCGCTCGAGGTCAATTGGCTCCAAGCACTGAATATAAACGCACGAATGGGTGAAGTGAATCTATTGCTTTCTCTGCCAAGGCCATGCGATTTGTGGAACGGCACAGGTTAGCGAATTTAATCCACATGTCAGGTTCGGACTGCAGAGAAATTAATTCGTTGAGACACAAGAGCCCATGCGTTACCTCTGGATTGACGACGAGCGTCCGCACTTGTAAAATACGCTGCCAGACATCAACATCAGGCGTGCATCCCTTCAACCTGAATGATCAATGAATACTGGTCATTGAAGGGAACTTGACATCGCGTGCCTTTTCATCCACATGCGTCGCATTGAGCTCTGAAGGCTGGGTGAATCAGCTGCTTTTTTGTACTGGATTATTTCTTCAAGTTCGGAAAGAAGCTGCGCGCGGACCATGATGCTGCATGAAACGGTCAAAATTTTGCTCAAGGTGTTTGGTGGGACTCACTTATAGGATCTTCCATATCCGTCGCCAACAAATGCGGTCAGTTGGGGGTGGAGAAGATCTCGTGTCCTTGCGATGTGCTGCCAAGCTCGGGGGAAGTTATTCTGGTGCACGAACAGGATGGCTTTGAAGAAATGACGGTCTGGCGAGTCAGATTTCATGGTATTGATATAGGAATCCATCGCATCCCAGTCAGCGCGAGACCACGCAGCGGCTGCTGCCATTGGAGCAATCGCTATTTTGTGCTGAGCACTCGCAACATCCCAACACCGATTGACATGACTAGAGAGCTCGTCCCATTCGCCGAGAGCATGAAGACACTTCATACGGCCGATTTCCGACTCTATCGAAGGGTGATCTCCTGCGTTCTTGTTGTATGAGTCGAGAGCATTTTGCCATTGACCCAGCTTCTCGTACCACTCTTCGTTCTCTTGTATGTCATACTTGTTGTGGGCAACATCCACAAGTCCACTCGCAGCGTCGTGTAGTAGTAGTCTGGTGTTGATCGATATCAGAGACTCTAGGAGAGGGGCAGACTCCTCATTGAGGTACTGCTGCTCTTTGTAGTGTAGCGCCTTCGCATAAGCCTCATGGCGCACGGCATGGTCGCCCAAAGTTACGTTGTCGATAGGCAGGGGCTTGTCCTGGTGTTCCATGAATTCCGCAAGATCGAGGATGGAGTGAATAATTTCGGTGGGCGCAGCTCGCGACTCTAGAGCCATTTCGAGGGCATTAATAAGTTCATCTTGGGTTTGATCATAAAGCTCTGTCCAACATGACAAGAAGGCCGCATTAAAAAGCTCCTTTGCTAGAGGTGGGTGGGCATCAACTAAGCTCATACAGGCGCGTAGAGCGTGCGACGGAGACTCTTTCATGAATTCTAATCTCACCCGACGCATCCATTCTGTCCAATCGGAAGCCGAGAACACTCGAGAAACATCCCAAGCTTGGCGAAGATGCGTTTGGTTAATGACAAGTTTGTTTGCTTCAGCTGGCGCAGAAAATTCTGGGAGTCGCACATTTTCTTTCAGGCTAGCCAGGGGTGTTAATTTTCAAGGAATCTCTAGTTGTGTGTGTGTGTGTGTCACTTACATGGACTCTAGAATGTTATCTTCCTGCAGTCGCTCGCCATTGAGGAGTTTCGTGATCAAAGACTCGTAGCGGGGGTGGTTCATTTTCGTCCGAATAAGACTCTGCAACAAGTCAGAATCTTTTCACTCTTTCCAAATCAGTGACAAACTTGGTTGATCATGGGAACGAAGATAGCGAAATCCGAACCGAGTTGAATAACCAAGGAGCATAATGTCTCCATTACGGCCATGCGTAGCTCGTTGTTTGCCGTGTTAAAAACACGAATCAACGGGTGGATGATGCGGGAAGCATGATCAGAGAAATTAACATGTCTCGTCAGCCTATTGATAGTGTGGATTGCTTGTCTTCTCAATATCGTCGAACCATCCGTTCGCTCGTAAGTTTTGACAACGACAGGGATCACAAGATAGAGGTATTCCTCTAAAATCGACCCAAAAGTCTGAAGAGCATCAAAAATTTTGATCAGTGTTTGTGAGCGCTTCGGGGCTGTCTCATTCTCAAACGCGCGCATGAAGAGAGGAATCACTGTGGGCAACAGGGGCTTGAAATCCGCCGCCAACGCGTTCCCGAGTGCCTCGATGAGCGACACAAGTGGTAATTGAAGGGAAGCTATGTCCCAAAGTTCTTTCACCAGCCCAAACACGGTTACAGTGTGGTTGCGAACATGTTGTTTGACGATGCCAACGAGAATTGCTAGTTGCTGAAGATGAAACTCCTGTAAACGCGCCGGAGAGCTGCGGGTTACGGCGGCGAATGCGGGAATGACCTAGTTTACTGGTCAGCGTCGTTAAATTGAACGGGCTTGCCGTACTCTAGGTAGGAAAGCAACACATTTAAGGCCCTGTGTTTTGAATATCGACATGATGGCTTCAATGGCAGTGTGATGGTGGGTGTTGAGAGAAGGGTCTTTGAGAATTTCAAGCAGCGCGTTCATCACAACGGTTTGGAAGTAATCGTCCGAGGATGGAGACAGACTAGGCGTCACCAAGTTCACCGCAGTCATGGCTATCTCCGATGAATTTTCTGACGATCGGTTCTGATGAGGTCAGGTTGGTTTGCTTGGTTTGTTTGGACCTCCCACCTGTCGCGCGTATGGATCTAATGCACCAATAGTTCCCAATACCTTGAGGACTTCGCGCTGAACCATACCGCTCGTTGTCTCACTGCGCAGAATCCGGTTAAGCAATTGTAATAGTTCCGGATGCTCGAGGAGAGGATCAATGACATAACCCGTGCTGGCGCATACTTGACCCAAAGTGTGTAGAGCAGCATCACGCTTGATGAGAGACGGGTCACCGAGTTGTGCAATGATGACCTCCATAAGTTGTGGCACGTAGGGTAGTGCTTCCTCGCCCGCAACAACGGCTAGCTCGCCCAGACACATAGTTATACTCGCGGCAACGGTCGGGTTACTGTCGTTGGCCTTCAACATTAAGGTTGCCAGGATGGGTAACGCATATGGCTTCATGAAATTGTGGGTGACGTTGACGAGCATGGTCAGAAGAGCAGCACAGTCCTCCCGGTTCCGCCTGGAGCGAGTTTTAGCTTGCAAGTCATATTGTGACGAAAGTGGATTTGTACTTGGCCGTCGCGTATTCCAACTCAGTCAAGAGTTGAATCAATGTTTTACGCAGAGAAGGGACCACATAAGCCGGATTATTCTTTGCCATTCGCTGTTGTCCACGTGAGCAATGCAGATAGCAACCGTGGTTCATGGACGCACGCCGATGAGACGAACAGCGGCAGAACGGTTTTCATAAACTTCGTCGTTCAGGGCGATGAAAAGACAGCGGACGTTCTCCGCTTGAGCCTATCCGCGTATAAGTTGACGATTCTTTGGAAAGACCACGTTACCAAATGCTTATCGAATCCCTGGTGAAGTGACAGTAATACCACTTTCCGTATAGAGGCATCTGTGACAGGTTTGATGACATCATACGTTTTCCTGAAGACAGAATGTACCTGGATCGGCAATTGCCACAGTGAGAAGCTTGTTCAACACATCACTGATAACTTGAGTAGCATGGCTGCTCGACGAATAAAAGATGGGATCCCGAACGAAAAGACGACAGCATGTGATAGCGGCTTCCCGTCGAATATCTGCGTTGTCTTCTTCGAGGTAAGGCAGCGCGCAGCTGCGAACGAACTCGTTCAAAATGTGGCCTGCATCTCTAATTGGTTCATTTCCTTTAGTGTCAAGAAGGTGCCATACCGCTGAAATCGAATGTGCCCAAAGTACTGAGCGCCAGTCGTATTTGTCGAGGATCCTTGTCATTAGAGGTCTATCAACAATTAGACAGATAGAGCATGAGAAATTTTCACTGAAACCTCTGTTGCAGTGAGCGGTTGCTCAAGACTTTCCGACTTGCGCGCTGGAAGAGGTGCACCAACAGGTTTATAATGTTTTCCACTCAGAATCACGGAAAGAAGATCTAGCAGACGGTCTGTGATCGCACGTAAGCAATGGAGATTGCCACGATTCAAAACACACCTTGAATGAACTTCAAGAAAGGCGGAATGTTGGTGGACACAGCGACCAATGCATCCTTCAGACTTTCGCTCAATCCACATTTGAACATCAACTCGAGCACATCCGGGAGCCATTTATTTAGGGCGGGGCCAACCGCAGCCGCCAACATGGCGATACAATGGAAAATTGGAGTGTAGGTGTCTCCAAACCGCTTCCTGCAAAGCATTAAGTTGCGAGTCAAATTCTCCAAAGATCATACTTCGGCGCTTGCAAACCTTGCCTGTGACTCCCATCAGTAGGCGGTAGAGTAAGATAATGCAACAGACATGATACGATCCATCGTATTATCCAAGAAGGGCTTCATTTCACTTTTCACAACGCCCGCGGTATGACCAATCGCGATAAAAGCTAAAATTGATTATTGATTGCAGCTTCAGAGAGCCAAAAAAATGCAAGTCATACCATTAGCCCGGTCAACAGGTCTATCCAACACATCCAACAAATGGGCCATCGTCTTTTTAAGGTAAAGGTCGCTGAAGGTTTGTGTGTCATAAGATGCGAGCGATGGGATGATGGTCAGAACCAGCTTGCGAATGAGTGGGTCTCTGTCGGCGCGAAAGTGGAGGATTTTTTCCACAGCCGTTGTGAAAACATCTCTCATGAACTGGAGCAAGAATTAACACAGGCCGACAAGAACATTTAGCGGATTCATACCATGCCTCCGTGGATGAACAACGCGCGATAAGCCAAAAGCGAGGCATGAACAACTTCGGGCTGTCCTATGAGACATCCGTCTTCGGCATCCTTGAGGACTTGGTAGAGGTAAGGACTTGTGCGCTCGCGATCAATGACGATTTCAAGGCAGGCTGAAAGTAACTCTGCTGCCGCTTCTCGGACTACAAGCCGCTGGTCGCGCAAGGGTGCCAGGATGTTTTCGAAGACCATACCAATGTGAGCATAGAAGTATGTGGGACTGTTTATAGCAAGCTCCTTGAGGATAAGGACACCGGCATAACGAGGAGAGTCTTGTTGCTGAATAAGATTGATAGCAGCAGGCACTTGATGGTCCATGAAGGACTCGTTGAATGCACCTCCCGCCGAAGGCACATGACTGGTGGCGGTCTTGGAAGCTGCAAATACGATTTTTCCAAGAGTTTGAGACGCCAGTAACATCAAGTTAACGTCTGGGTCTGGTAGAAGGTGCTTGACATAATTGTAGAAGCGGTACAAGTTGCGTCGGGAGTCGAGCGTTTCTTCACCCTCTATCTCAAGAAGGTAGTCTGTTCAGTGAAAGATCAGAAAGGGTGGATAAGAAAAACCGCAACGCACTCATGGCTAACAATCCACCCAGCTTCCCTTCTGTATTCTGACGGTGCATTAGGTCAAATAGACCCTGATTAACCGTGTCCCAGACGGCACCTATGGGTTATAACGTTGAACAAAGCTCTGGGTAATATGTATGGCCACGAACCAGCAACGTCTGGGGATGATTCTGTCACTGCACTCAACACCTGGTTGCGAAGGTCATACGCGCTTTTAGCGCGAGTCTCTGGGTTGCTGCTTTGAAGGCCGTGGAATATGGCCGACAGTATTGTATCAGGGTCTGAATGGTCCCCCATGATGAATCCTGCACGTCGACCGAGTCGACGTTGAGCAGAAGTGACCGGCGGTGACACGCGTCACAGCGGAATTATTCCTATTTTATTTATTTACACATACAGTATTACATTAGAGTTTATTCTACCTCCATTGGGACGATATTATCGTCCTGTGCTTCGTTAGCATGCTGCTCAATGGTTCTACGCGCTGTTTTGAACGCATCTCTCAAGACTGATTCCCTGTTTGCTTTGAACGTCCTTGGGTCAACCGAGTTGTCTACGCCAGGGAATATACCCTCGAGAGACCAGATGTGAGAAAGCTTACGCATCGCCTTATGATCTTCAAAAGGCGACCTCAGTATTTGGGGCAGAAGTAGAGGGTGTTGAAGGATTCGAGGGTAATACCTGCCGGCCACTAAACTGAGGCAAACCGCAACTTCATGTCCAGGTTTGACAATAGGTCGGAATAATAATCCTTTCGGTGGAAGTGGCATAGGTTTGCGGGATGCATCTCCAGGAACTGCTGGCGGTTGCTGTGTGGGGGGAGACACCCTCCGGTAAATGTGGTTTGTCGGGGTCCCGCCAGTTTTCGTCCGCCAGCTCATATAGCATTCCAGCCGCTCGCACCTGCCGTGGTTTGCCTTCAAGGACGAATAGAGAATCGATTCTCAGAAATACAGAGCGGAGGCTGACGTCATGTTCATCGGCGATGGTTGGATCGGTTCCGGATGGCGCCAGTATGAATTGCGAACCCTCAGGAGCGACACAGCTGCGGGGCAATTTGAGACGAACAAGGTCGTCCACCCAAATACGTTCTCCACCCCACCATAGGCCTTGGAACCGGGTTTGGGAGAGTGCTTTGAGTGGGCGAGTATTATTGGCACCAGCTCGCTCAATTGCGGATGTGAGAGACGAAATTGAGCCGTGAGGTATTTGTTGTGGTACTTGGATTTTGGCGTCCCAGTCGTCAGTCACAGACCAGTGGTCGGTAACGTTCGAGGCAGTTTGCAGAGCAACAGCAAAGGAGGTCAGAACAGCATGCCAGGAGGGCGGCGAAGCTGATGATTCGGGGAACGGATCGAAATTGGCAAGCGCTGGTTCGAACAGATCTTGCCATTGTTGGGGAGTACGACGCATCATTTCAACAAATAAGTCATCGTGGACGATGTAGGATTGGTATGGCAGGACTCTAGTATCATTCGCCACGCAAGTTCTCGAAGTGGCGAGAAGTTGGACAGCATAGACATGGAATTCTGGAGGTGATTCGCGTCCTTGAGTCATAGGAATCCGACCCAGGTGGTACTTCTCGATAGTTCCGGGCCAAAAGGTGATTTTGAGGTCTCTTGGACCTTTTATGGGCGGATCGAGGGCATACCACACAAGCTCATCCTCCCGAAAGTATCGAGGTATGACAGATTCCTGTGAAGCGATTCGGGTAACTGCTCTGATGTCATGACTTCGCTGGGTGAGCATAACAACATTAGTTTGAATGTATGGGGAAACATCGGGAACAGCCTTCTGCATTGTCGCCTTCGGAATCTCCCGCCGTGGGTCGGGTAATCTTGTTCTAGAAGGAAGTGGGTGCTTTGGACGAGGTGGTCGCGAAGGTGAGGGTCCAGGCGATTGAGATGCCGAGCGCATGATGTCGGACATGGCCTTGCTAATTTCGCGTTGAGGTTTCTTTGAGCAATACTTGCATTTGCAAGCCTCTTTTTCGTCTCCCATAAGCCAGATCGCATGCGGAATGAATTCTGGTACGGAGCGAAATCGGTACCCACAACCTGCAAGGAGACTAAATAAATCGTTCTTTTAACCCGTTCAACCACTTGCCAAAAAGATAAACATCGTGTCTTGGAGCAGCCTGTTTCCCTTTGTGATGGTCGAACATACGGTATCCGTCTGGAAATTGGCGCAACACATGTCGATGACTTTCGTGGTCTGTTTTGTGTCAGCGTTAGGTAGTTGTAGAGAATGGAGTTACCCGGATAGTTAAAGTGGAGGGCAATGGCGTCGCCAACGCTTGCGCGCCATTTTATGGCCAGCGACTCACTAAGTTCGACGAAGTGCATAAAGTTGACATTCCCTTCCGCATCAACAATTTCAGTTGTGTTGGATGGCCAAGTTGTACTGCTGCCGTCGCTTCGGGGAAATTCAATGAATATTGGATTGTTAGGAAGTGAATGCTTGGTTGAATGCGCTCGGTGCGACATGAAGGAAGGATAGACTGTGTGACAAGCGTTACTACCTTTCTTTTTCAGCAACCACCACAATGAAACCTTCCTGTTTTTATCCCTTCCGTCCTCCTGTCCCGGCCCTCTTTCATCTACGCTCTGGATGCATCCCTCATCCCGAGACGTTAAACATGTGGGCTAGATCAAGAATGTGCGACCTGCAGAATGCTCTTCTCAAATCTTTGGTGGGGAAAAAGTGTTTTGATGGTCTCAAACATCCTAGTTAGAGGTAAAAACATCTCTCCTTTAGTCCTCTTATACCCAGTATGTCCTAGTCGTAGTCGTTGAGAATTTACTGCATTTTCAAAGAAGAAAGACGAGCATCGCACCCAATCCGCTTTTGTCACCCACAATTCCGAACTCCCATCCATCTTTCCCAACACGGCAGCTCCCTTCCATGCGAGGACGACAGGCTCCACTTCCTTCGGTGGCGGAATTATCTGAACCTTTTCCATGTCCTGAACCAACGGTGTTGCAATTGCTTGCAGTCTACAAACGACCCTGAAGTATTTCCTCTCCTCCACTTGAAAGACCCAACGTACCTGCTTTCTAATCCATGAGCCATGCCAGGAATGTGTGCGCCTCCCCCAATGACAACGACTGCCTGCAAATACTTGCGAATCTTTTCGTCGCCACCAGCTGCACGAGCGCTATTAAATATGGCAACATCCAACGGTAATTTGCTCGCTTCAAAGGCGACGTCGATTGCTGAATCTCCAGGACTCTTTGGCGCCGCCGTCGGCTTGATGGTTTTGCCATCCTCGTCAACCTGGACGATCTCCATGGCCTGGCTCTCTATGAAAGCGTTACGGGAAGCAACAGAGGCAATAGTGCTTCACGCACCGGTGGGGGGCTTAGCCGTTGGTGTGGCGGGCATCAGATGTTGCGTAGAAATGATCATGGCAGAGGTCTATATACTGAGCGAAAGCAGTCAAACAGAGCATAAACACTGACAATGCGGTCTGCAGGATGGTCCACGATTTCGTCGGAGACGTCCGGAAGAGAGATAGGATGCTGCTTGTTTCGCTTTTGTTCAAAATTAATCATGCGAGGTTCAAATAACACCTGTTGTAAGCCATCAGAGGTGGGGAGCATTGAATAGTGTACGCACCATCGGTGCCAAAATGATCTCGTCGTAAGCGCGGAGACCGTATTTTTTCGTTGGCTTAGAAGGCTGCCTAACGATAAAGTCGTATAGGTTGAGGCCCACATCAGTCTACACTGGATTATGAAAGATGACTCCATAAACATTGACGCACTGACCTCCGACAACGAGCAAAGTCTCGATTTGAGATCCTCCATAACATTCCAGTCGTAAGTTTGCGCCAAGTCAATGTCACGATAAGGGAATGCGATGCGGGAGAGCAATACGAACAGAAACTCTGTGATGTCATCTCCTCCCATGTTTAAATTCAGTCTGTTGGTCTGTTCAACGTGGAGCCAAGGGGTTACGTAACAACAACATCGGTCATGCTTACCTTGTGTCTGGGATGATCAGCCCCTCGTCAACACAAGCAACGCTCGTTTTAACGGCGCCTACATCCACGACACAGGCGCTAGACAGCCCAGCTCCGTATGTCGCAGCAAGTGACTCCTGAAAAGCTTCTCAGATGCGTTGATTGACGAAAACTTGAAATTTCACTTGTTGGGCACAGAGCTGTTTGAATCCCATCGTAACTAACAACAAGTGCCCAAAGTGATGAAGATAGGCGCGTTCATATAAGTCTGGAACGACAAGAACGACCGAGTAGTTCTGACACTCGTTAGAAGTATTCAAGACCTCGATTTGTGGCCTACCCGATAGTCGCCTGGGGTCACATTGAATTGTTCTGCGAGAGTGGTTCGAATGATGGTTTCGATATCAGACAAAATAGACTGCGTCGAGCCATGATAGTGTTGTGTGTTGAATTTCGAGCCACGAATGGGCCAACGGACAGCATAACCTGATGCTTGGGGTTCGGCCAGTCGTAATGCCTGCAACATCGAGCGTCATTGAAAGGGAAGAATAGGAAGAAAACCAAACGACCTTCTCTCCAACCAAAACATCTGGACCATCGTGAATCCACTCGATCTGGTATGGATCGTTGTGCTCGGCGATGATTTCTGGCTCAAATTGCTTATTAAATGTCAAAGCAACGTTGTCCGCATTCGGCGTGACTTTCAGTTGATAAAAACGCATCCTATCCCGGAGGGACGAAGTAATTTCTTGGATTTTTTCGGAGAACTGCATCCCCAAAATGAATAAAACGCGTTAGAAAAGCGTCCAGATACCACTGACCTCGTCTTCAGCCTTTGGTCCACCTTCATCAACTACCATCTCATCGCCCGACTTGGGGCGGTCAATGCATGGTACGAAATGAGGTGCCGGTGCACTCCAAGGCGGGTAAATTTTGCGCGCGACAACGTTTGGCACTGTGACTGGAAAGACATCGGATGCTCTGCCAATCCGCATCCGACGCGAACCCGGGTGAATTACGATAGTTTGAGCCCCTCGTCTAGTAGCACAGTTAAGCCAAGTTATAGTCATAAAAACCCTGTTAAGCACCTAAATTCCTGTGTTGGCGGTGGATCGGCTTTGGATTTTGCTTGCGCGTTTCTTGTCCAGATAGTTTGGGACTCGGACTTGAGGTAATTGGAAACAGCTTTTGGATGGATAGCCACGGGAACAGAGAAGCTAGTGTACTTGAGCCCGTCTTCATCCTTCCGAGCATTGGGAATTCCACGAGGCATGGAGGACTGAGATGAGAAGATGACGGCGTTTCCACGCTGCCAAAGTTGACTTTGACGTAGCCGATCTAATCAGATTCGGACGATAAAAAAGTATCTGGGAAATGCTTATTATTTTTGAAAAGAAGTAGACAATGAGGATTGATCTACGGCACAAGGTCTCATACTGTACTAAAATTCATACAAGTCCAGTTTGCGGTCCCTTCGTATCGTGCTTCCAGAACCTCCAACCCATGATGATATCCTGCAATTGTGAAGGCACGAGTAGATTGATGAACTGCAAAACCTGCCTTTTGAGAGCCAAATAGAATTGCTGAGAGAGAAGGCATGATAGGCAACAGAACATTGTAGCCAAAGTCCGATGGTCGGACGTGGAAGATCATGACTGCACTGAGGCTAGATCGAAAGAATGTCAACTAACAAGTCAGTTAGGCAGCCATAAAATGTACCTTAGGGCAAGTAATGTCAGTATGCTGAACAGAAAAACCCGTATCACCATCCCAAGCGAGATCTGCGGGTCCGATGAACCTCCGTCCTGTAGCTTTTGGAAAGATCTCTTCGACCAACTGCGGCGAAGCAGGACAGCAGCAGCAACTGAAATTTCAATCAAACGGAGACAAGATAACCAATGGCAGCGTACTCTCGAAGCCGAAGGCAATGAAGAGAGACCATCCGCTTAAGACCGCACTCACTATCGTCCTACAAGAAAAGGTCAGAGATTCATTTGCTGCAAGTTTTTATGTGTAAAACTAACGGTAAGCCGGTATTGATATGACAGAACATGTTGTTGGGTTCACGGCTGACAGTTGAGTGGTCTTGCAAGCCAATCTTAAGAGCAGTTTGAGAAGTTGATCACTAAAAGACGAGAACATAGCACGAACTACTAGGGCCATGATGAAAATTGACGAAAAGGCGAGAATCGGGATTGCTAGCAGCTAGATAATCCGGTAGGATGAGATACTGAAAGAGGGCTTAGAGTAGGGAGGACGAACGAAAGGTGCCCGTCGCTTTGGAATCCAGCTCAGGGTTCCAGTAACACTAAAGTGAAGCGAGAAATATATCTGAAATTCGTTGTGACCAATCAGAAAGATAGAAAGAGGGTACACACGTCGACAATGAAGCAGACTCCAGATATTGTTGCGCTAGTGATGTTTAGAGAGAGGCAGAACAGTTCTGAGACGAGTTCACAGACAGAGCAGGCACCGCGTGAATCACCGAGGCTTGAAACATGCAGATTCCATAGGGAGGCTCGGGTCCGAGCTGATTTCCAGCAAGCAGAAGGAAGGAAATGCAGTAGACCATCCAAGATGAGAGAAACGCAAACCACAGCGCGCTTCGTCGGACGTTTCGCGCGAAAATGGGAGGCAGGATAACGATGGTAAGTAGCCCCAGTCCGATAGCGTATAGTGAGTTCATTAAGTCTACCTGCCAGCGCAGCGTTTGACCAGGTATCGGTTCTGTCGTTTCTGACTGAACATTCGTTGAGTTGGTGTGAAATCAAGTACGCACGTATAACCCCAGACGACATGACTCTCCAGGAGCCCGGAAACCAGTAAAAAAGAAAGGGAAAAGCAGGCAAGACCTGCTTGGGAGAAAAAGGCAGAGAACGAAGTGGAAAAGCCTCGGCGTGGCGATCATGGGCGACACACAAGAAGATCCTCAACTATGTGTCATCACAACTCTACTCCGGTAGCGATACAGTTCAGTTTATTTCTTCTTCTTCTTTGCCTATTCCGTGAAACAACCCATCTACGACGAGGACCATGCAAGAGCAAACTAAACAGCGGGGGGAAAGTAAGTAGAGCCGGGGGGGGGGGACAAGGAAAGGACACGGTAGGTGAGAGATTATCGTCAACAGTATAGTAGGCGAATAATTAATGTGAGTGAGGACTTGGGAGAAAACGAGTGCGATGCGTGTCCATGTCTGGTAAGATGCGCGTGAAGTCGTTCCTGGCGTGAGAGAGAGAGAAAGAAAGGAATGTCTAACGCAATTAGGCGGCGCTGTACAAGAATAAGTTGTTCGTCGCCGCGATCTGGTTGATGGTAAGGTAAGCACCATAGGACTAAAACAAGCTCACAGCAATCGTGTTCTCCTTCGGGTGCCAGCTAGCGTGCAAAATCTTCTTATTGAAGTCGAGCGTCTCCAGTTGCATAGCGTCCCGCAGGCCATTCTGCTTCATCCCATTCTTGGCACCTCCTTTATTACCCGGAAGTGGACCACCCATCTTCTTCGTCTTAAACGCAGACTTGTCTGCCTGCAGCACGACATCATTGAGTGTGTCTGTGTCATAGATGCGGAAATAGTTGTGGTAGGAACCCGTAAGCACGTGCCTACGAATGTCAGCGCCAATCGGACCGATAGCGCTTCACACATACTTGTCGTCACCACCCCAGAGACATTCAAACTTGTCAAAGATGCAGTCGTTTTCGTACAAGTCGCACAGTTTGCCGCGAAGATGGTCATGGATAGGGATGGTCTTCACTGGTCGTGCCTCCATGTTAACATCCCAAATTTTGAGGGAGAGGTAGTCGCGGGAAAGAATATATCGACCGTCACGACTGAACCGAACATCGGAGATCGAGGAAATGATCTCCGAGAAGAATGATCGTGTCGTTGGATCCTCTTCCTCCTCAAAACCTAGATATGGTTATGAGGTCTTCAGAGACATTCGTCAACACCTACATTTCGCATGCCTGTCACATAGTGCCGACTCCCGCATGTCCGCAAGCTTGATGTTACTTCGCGAGCTCGAATACATGAAGAGATTGCAGTGCGATGGGTGAAATTCGGTGGCGGTAATGACTTCAGTCAACTCCTCCATGTTGACTGGTTTGATATCGACAATATCTGGAAATTGGGTGAGCATTGCGTAAGCCGTTTTCAATTAGTGGAAAACGAACTGAAGCTCTGGTTGCTTATATTTAAGTTCCAGAGGTTGACTCGAAGATCGTCTGCGGAGATGTAAGTCTCCTGGTCAGAATTAACGGATATGGAGTGGATGTGGTAAGCGTGGGCGTTAGGGTACACTTTCCGAGGGACAGCAGCGATGATGTTGTCTTGCGGTGTCATGCGAGGCAGTCTGAGATGACTACTCGATGTTGGTGGTGGCAGAGGTCGTTGTCCATCGTGGTGATTCGATTCCGACACAACACGCAACGACTTCTCAAACACTTTCCAGAGTTTTATTGTTTTGTCTGTACACGAATGAGCCCCCATAATTTGTAGCGATGATAAGGCTGACACACCATTGGTCGATAGCAAAAAGTGGGCCGAGTTCTGTCGCCTGCACCACTTTATCTTATTGATCTTCTCTTCGATTTCCAGCGACTTTAGGTAGTCGAACTCGGGCTCGTGTGACTGAAATTCAGTGTAAAATTTGTACTCGCAGCCCTTTTTCTGCGGTGGCTTAGTGGGACCCGCAGTTACCGGACAAGGGACACACCGATTCGTTCCGCTCAAAGAGAACAACACGACCTCCCTTGTCTCCTGTGGCGAGGTAATTCCCAGTCGAGTCGAACTCAACGGTCGAGATGATATCAGCTACGCCTCGAGGGTTAGGCACTTCTCACTGGCTTATCTCAGTCTTACCTTCAGTGATGTCCTCGACCTCGGCTTTGTCGCCAAAACATTGGGCAAATCGCCACCCTCCGGAGCCTGAGGGGTCGTCCATTAGAGTCTAGAGTGTAAAGGTGTCGCTTGGAGTTGGATGTTATGACAAAAGGAGCAACGTGACAGCGCGTGACGTCTGCCGAGAATTCATCCTCACACCCAACCACCACCACCCACCACCGGTACCCGTGGCTCGATTTGCAAGAAAAATACCTTCTGAGTCGCATTATAGGGAATTTTCGCTAATGCCTATCGCTCCGATCACCGGTCATAACCTTTTTTGCGTTTGCTTCATGCTCTGACGGAGAACAGGCATGCTCAGAAAACGTTTCTGGCTTGACATCACCACCGGGCTTGGTCTCGGTGTTTCTGCTGCCGCAGCTTTCTGGTGCGGAGTTTGTGTTGGTCGGGTTCATTAGGATTAATCACGCTACCAATAGGTATGGTTACGAACTTCCATCTCGTAGGCCAAACCGGTTTGTATGTTCCGCCTCTCGCTCATCCTATCCGTCTTCTAGGTGCCCACCGCGAGGCATTTTACTTGAAACTCGAGCAGGAGAAGCTGGCCGCAGCGCAGCAGTAAACAAGTCTCGACGCGCCTAGACAATGTCCAGCATCAATATAAATTACTCCGTCTGGTTATCGTAACAGTCCCAGCTTTCTGAGCTCTTCGCAACTGGGAATAACCTCCTTCTGTATCCTTTCGACCTTCGCCCAATCCGTCCCAATGCCAAACACGCCAATCTCAGCCTCTTTCAGACGCATTTTTCTGGCGGATGTAAGTCGAGAACAAGTGAAAGCGTGGCACCTACCGATCTGTACCGGCTTGACACTCCGCATATAATTTCTGGGAGTATGTATTGTCCACTCCCCGTTCAAATTTCGCGAGAGCTGGCCCAGCTTTCGTTGGGTTTTGGTCAGTGTTGGTCGTAAGCTTCCTCCAGTCGATTCCGTCTCGGGCGAGTTCGGCTCCAATCACAGGATGCCTCATTATCTCGTTCGGGTCCATGAAGAATTGCACCCCCAGACCACCAGTATGCCTTTCCGCAGAATATGTCGAGGTTGCGGACCAAGAAAAGTGAGGATCTGGCACGGGAGGTGTAGTGAAGAGGTTGGGAAGTGCGGACAATAAAGAAAAGGCAAATAGAAGGATGAGAGGAAGCAGTTGAATGAGCACCGACCGTGGCTCAGCGTTGGCTTGTTGAGGTCGGGCTCCTCCACCCATCCGTGTTGTTCGGAAACCTCCCGGGCCAAATGAGGTGGTAAAGACTACCTCAATGAGACGCGAAGGGTAGTAGTCAACTTTAAATCACGCACCAGTGGGCCCACCGAAGCCTCCAAATCCACCGTTGCCAAACGCCTGGCCGCCCCCACCAAAGAACATGTTGAATAAATCCTCTGGACTAAGCTCGCCCTCAAATCCACCTCCGCCGCCATTGAAAGAGCGGAAAGACGATGCCGCAGAGGCCATGCCGCTAGACCTATCCTCAGGGTCAGATCCACTTCGGTCGTATATCGAACGCTTTTGTGGGTCTACGAAAGATTTGTGAGGAATTCATAGCTAGCAGAAGCATTCGTGGTAACCTGATAAGACCTGGAATGCTTTGGAGACCACTGAGAAGGAAGCTTGTCAATTCGAAGTAAGCATCGGACGACGATTATAACCTACATTTGAACGCCTCATCCGCTCCAGGTGCACCATTTTTGTCAGGATGTAACGCGAGGGCAAGCTGTATTGTGGCATGAGGGATAGTCGTACTTATGCAGTAGAATGCATACTTTTCTATAGGCCTTCTTGATTTCCACGTCCTCGCATTCGCGCTTGACAGCGAGAATTTCATAGTATTCGGTTATTTTGCAAGCTCGAACCCGACGAACCACCTCTTTCTGCTCTGGAGTGTACTCTCGCTTCTCTCCGCCCATTCCACCAGCAGTCCCGCTTGACGAGGCGTTACCATTCACATGACGGTGCTTTGAGCCTGACGCTGAGGGATGTGTTTCTGTCGCACTCGACGTGGAGGCCGCTTCAGAAGCTTCAGTGCTAGTTTCGGCGGAATTTATGGTCGCAAGTAGTTGGATAGCGTCCGGTGTCTCGAAAAGGGAGATAGATTTCTGCGCAAATTTCCGAGCACTGGGATAGTTGCCTCCAGAAAGGTGTTTCTGGGCGATGGCAAGACATCGTACTGCCTCCTCTCTGTTACTCTCCATGAGTGGGAAGGAGGTCGAGGACGTGGAGTGTTGTCGTTGTGACACGCTTTCCCAAATAGGCAGATTTATGTATTCGGATTTATTTGACCAAGAAAATGCAGATTGATGCAAGGAGTTATATGCAGGCCAAAGCGGCGAATACACTTTCTTTCTTTCTTTTCAGGTATTATTATGTAAGTGGTTCATCTATGCACACACAAACCATCGCCGGATAACCCTGAGCATTGTGTTAGTCCTAGTCTCTTCAAATTTGCGGAGAATAATACGCACTGGGCGAGCAAAAGTCCAGCAAACACAACTTAACCAGAGTTGGGAATAGGCAACTTCCATATAGACAAACATATAATGCCAATTATATGTTTGCAAACGATACGAGCTTTTTAGCTCGGCGTAACGCTGTTGAAGAGAGTCAATCAGCTCAGATGTCCAGTTCTCATCCAGTCGCCTAGTGTTGCCTCAGTAAATTGCGACTTGGGAAACAATAGAGAAGCTTGCCGCCATGTAAGCTTCAAAAACAAAAATTGGTGTCACGCCGGTAATTCTATCCTATCCTATCCTATCCGGAACATCGTACATACGCGAAGCCAGAACCGTTCATCAAATCCGAACAACAGGCTTGTCATGCACTGCGGCTTGACCAAACTTGTGTGCTGCCGTCCGGAGATGAGTTCAAGAGACCCAGTAGTTATGCCGCGCTTGAGGGCCTCCAGAACAACAAACTTGGCTGTACGCATTTTATGTGGAAATCATCGACAGTGATGAATCGTTGAACCAGTTTCCTTTGTGAACGACCCGCTCCGACGCTAGGAATTTCAGGGACAGGCGACGTTGCATGGGCAGAGGAGTCGGGCATAGTGTATTACTAAGTGTAATGACGGGTGAGTGAGTTGCAGCAAGCCTGCTGACGAGTGCGAGAAGTTGAATGTGGAATGTTTGCCACTGGCAGTGTTGTGTCAACCGTGAGATAAAACTCTCTAACCCTGGAGCAACAGATACACCAACTTTCCCCGCAGTCCAACAAGCCCCAGAAGAGCTCGAATAGGTCCACAAGGGTTCTTACTACATGAGTCATCCACTCGATAGGATGGCATTGGTCCCATAAGCCACGTCATGTGGTTAGAAACCAAAGCTTGTAAGTAACACTGCTCGCGACGACAACCCAGCTTTCGTCAACTCTGACGGTGCTCTCAAGTTCTCCTTGATGAATGTAGAATGCATCAAGTCTCTGGCTTGCCTTCATCGTTGATTCAATTCCGTCATACCAACGAACACTCCGTGGGTGCCTACTTCAACAACAACTATGATGCTTAGTACCAGATGTTCAGGCTGTGTCAGCGTACTTCTTGGATAGGGAAGCAGATGGGAATGGCCCGGAATGTGAAAAGTTTTGTTCGCCGCAACTCAACCAAGCTAGTGTCAAGCTATATATAACAGCATCATCGCTCTCATGATACTTTCCCCCCACGACCCGCTCTGAGTGTCCGTAACCCATGTCCTCCCCTAGCACTGTGACCGCAATCCAAACTAACCCCCCGTCTGGAAAACTAATCTTGTTCGATGTGCTTACCATTCTTGGATTTACATCACTTTCATTGGTCGTTCTCGTCGCACATTTCTCCTCTCGCATACAGCGAAATGCGTTATGGTTTCGGCATATGAACTCCTGGATTATTTACTCGGCGTCATATCTGTTGCTTATAGGGCATCAAATGGGTCCTGAACCCCCCTTTGGCTTGTGTGTTCTCCAATCTGCCTTGATATACGCTGCTCCGACACTGTTGGCATTTACTTTTCTGTATAGCTTATTGCTGAATACTCCGTCTAGACCAAGCCTCACAGCAGTAGCATTTGTCATCGATGTGCGCCGTGACTTTGGCCTTTATTCTCAGTGCTCAAGACTTAGGTTCAGCTTTACATCACCCTTTCATCAATCGTTCAACGCAAAGCAAAAATCCGACCCGCAATGGCGAAATTGGTGCGCTATGATATGTGTAGCTGTCGATTCTTCAGTCTTATAGTCAGTGCAGTTGATCGTCTTCCCGCCCTTCGTTTACGCCACCGTTTTTATGGTGTCATTACTGGTTCAGTACTCAGTCTGTGTCTACGTTACCACAGAGTCTGATATGTCGCATAGATCGTTCCCGATACCACCTACGTCGCTCGTGGAGCAGACCACCTTTACTGTCATATCTCTTTGTCCACACCGTCAGTCCGCTCAGGCTGACTGAAGCTTGTTTCCGGTTGAGCAGTCTACAGCACCTGGATAGCCGCGTTTATCGTCATTGGCGGAGGGCTGATAATTATTCCGCTTGAAAGTCCGTGATTATCATGACGGTTTAGGGCTGGATATTGGCGCTAATCGAGCTAGTCTGGATTGCCGTCGTCGTATACCGCAATTGGGCAGCATTCCAGTACATGTCCAAGGGCGAGAAAGAGCAACAATCCCATGTTTCTCTTGGAACATTCATGCGAGTCGCGGCCTTCACGATATTGTACCTGACGGGCATTTGGTACGCATACGGCTATAATTCATGTTTACTATGTTGACCGTCCGCTCCTAGTGTCGGCTTCATCACTTTGAAAGAAAAAGAGACAACATCGGTCTCCAATTGGCAGCTGGTTTTGCCTACGGGTGTGTTCATCCGCAGCTTCAACTCGCCCCTCTTGAGCCTGTTCCTAGTGCCTATCCTGATCGCAATAATCTTTGGGTCCCAAGAGGTAGGAGGAGGCACTTAATAGTAGCAATTTACCCCAAGCTAATGGTATGCTTGAGGACTTACTAGAGACCTATGTGTTTTGGAGAGAGAGGAAGCCAGCCACCAATGCCATTAGACTTGATTTACCTATAGCTGGCTAGTAGATAGAGATGTTGCTTGGATGTTGCTGACATCCAAACGAATTTCTTTGCGATCACAAGATTTGCAATTGATGACGCAGTTACAGTTTCGTCTTTCCGACCTCCGAAGACTCCCTACCCGCTCCGTGGGACGTTCCCTCCTTCTTTCTTTACCCCACCACCCCGATTCAGTCTTCGGTCAACACTTTCGCTTTCTTTGACGCCGTTGACCACCAGAATGGCCACTCTCCCTGTCCCTCCTGCTCCATCTCGAACACCCAGCGGCGGTTACGCCTTGCCAGGTGAGCTGAGTGTCTATTCAAGGTCAAAGTTCATGGGAGTCAGAGGGAACATACTACATCTCCAAGCCTTTCCGGTCAAGGTCGTCCAAGAAACTTCGCGCCATGGTCGCCTTTGCCCCGCGCGAGTCCCATTTCGATATCAACAACCCTACCTCCGGAGCGAATGAATTCCGCGTGCGTTTAGTTGTTGAAACGAATGGGACATTTTATGACTTATCTTTAGGGCTTTTTCACCCTATTCTGGATATCGATGTTCATTTTCACCGTTAGCACGTATATCCGGAGTATAGAAACTAACGGACACGCCTTGAACCTGCGTTTTGCGACCATGTTTTCGCGTGACGCCATTACGCTGGCTTTGAGCGATGCGCTCCTTGTTGGCTCAACTGCTCTGTGTGTCCCATTCGCAAAAGCCATCAGCAAGGGTTGGATTCGCTACTATTGGACTGGTCTCATCGTGCAGCATCTATTACAAACCACGGCACTTGTTGCCGCTGTCAGCTGGACTTTCAATCGCGACTGGCCATGGGTCCAGTCTGGGTTTTTCACGCTACATACCTTGGTTTGTGTTGGTCGTGTTGCTTGAACACTGTCTCAGAATTTTCTTCCCAGGTCATGATCATGAAAGTCCACTCGTATATGACGGTTAATGGGCATCTCCAATATGTTTCTGAGACAGCGAACTCCTTGCTTCATCGCATGAAAAAGGCAACTGAGGCAGCTGGAGGTTGGGATCAAGCTATCAAAGACGCTGAAGCTCGTCGCACGGAACTGGAGTCTACCAACAACTCAACTTTGGATCACACTCCAAGCGAGACCCCTTCTCTTCCTCCAGGCACGACGACCTCTTATGTCGACGCTACAACTGCTGCTGCATTACAACAGCGTCTCTTCGCCGTCTCAAACGCTTCCAAAAAGGACGATGACTTCGCAAAGCATAGTTCGGAGCCACACATTCTAGTCAATCACCCAAATGAAGGCATTGCTGCCATGGCTCGAGATTACTCAGAACTCGCCAATGAGCTCACCAGCACTGGTCCTTATAGCGTTTCCTACCCAGATAACATCACATTCAAGAATTTCGCTGTGTATCAGCTGATACCAACGCTTGTCTATGAGCTCGAGTACCCCAGAACCAATCGCATCAGGCCGCTTTACGTCTTCGAGAAGACTGTGGCTACATTTGGAACATTTGCACTACTCTACACCGTCACCGAAACCTTCATCCTCCCACGTGCAAATGTCGGCAACTCCTCATTTGCTCGCGCCATGTTAGACCTATCACTCCCCTTTATGATCGCCTACTTACTACTATTCTACATTATATTCGGTATGGCCACAACAACCAAACACGCGCAAACTGACGAACATGACAGAGTGCATCTGCAATGGTTTTGCAGAGCTCTCATAGTAAGCCTTCCGTTGGGGAATCGGTCCATTCTGATCCCTTCAGTTTCGCGGACCGACAATTCTACGAGGATTGGTGGAACTCGACTTCATGGGACGAGTTTTCCCGCAAATGGAACAAACCAGTGCACACATTCCTCCTCAATCACGTCTACGCCTCTACCATGGCCAGCTATAGACTTTCTCGTGGCGCGGCCATGTTCATCACCTTCCTCTTAAGCGCATGCGTCCACGAACTGGTAATGGTCATTGTAACAAGAAAGTTCAGGCAAGTAAACGGTGCACCCATGTTCCACGACTAATGGTGTCCCAAGATTCTACATCTTTCTTCTCCAGCTGATTCAGATTCCCTTGATCATGATTTCTCGACTGCCTGTAATCAAGCAGAACAAGCTCATGGGAAACATCGTTTTCTGGCTAGGCTTGTACGCTGGCTTTCCGCTGCTCTGCGTTGGTAAGCCGTTCAGAAAGTCTTGTGCCTCTATTGAAGCTGACAAAGAATTCAGGATATGTGACCTATTGAGACGAGACGAAGGGAGCCTGTATCTATATATCTCCTTAATCTATTTGTGGACGGAGTATTCTGTAAAATACGTGTTTTCATGCTGCGAGTCACGTGCCACTATGCTGTTTGCCACTCTGCCTTGTGCGCCACCAAGTAATCCACAAAGCTGGTCGGTGCCTTGCCACTGTACTTTGTGATGTTCTCCACTCCAATTCGGTACTCTGGCTCGCGCATTCCTTGCTTTGCCTCCTCGAGAATCCCCAACAGATACTCTGCCAGGACACTGGGGATCCCTTTGGAGGCCAAGTTTTGCACGAATTGCTCTGGATTGGGGGAGGAAGTGTCGATGTCGGCTCGGCCTGTTGTCAATTTGATCAGCTCCCAACTCTGCTTGGCTGTGTGCAACTCTGGTCCACACAAATAAATCGTCTCTTTCCCACCATCTGGCTGTGGTCGCTCTACCAACACGGTACCGCCTACTGCACCGATGTCCTCAGGCGCGATATTGTCGAAGATGGCCCCCTCGACGACAACGTTGGCCTTGGGTGGCTTGACTGAGGTGTCCAGATATTGTTTGATGTGGTTGCTCGCAAACCATGCTGGTCTCAAAACAGTGAAGCAAGGGAATCCGAGGTCCTCGATGTTGATTTCTACCCGCGCATGGGCGTATGGAATTGGCTCTTGCGGTGAAACAGCCCGCAACTGTTTGCCTTCCACTTTGAGGGAATAGCTGGACAGGAAGACAATGTACTCGACACCGGCATCGCGCATTGCCTTCAAGGAGGCATAACTGGAGTCCGGGCTGTTGTGTATGAGGTAAAGATATGCCGCTTTTGCACCAGAAGTGTTGATGGCCTTGGCAACAGAAACTGGGTCGTTAAGATCCGCTTGGATGCGGTCAAATTTGCCACCCTTTTCAACGTCGGCGGGGATTTCGTGAATTGCTTTCGAAGTGTCGCGCATAGCCAACCAGGCATTGGCGCCTCGTTTATGTGCCTCAAGGGCGACAAGACCGCCTACAGTGCCTGTAGGCCCGAAGACGATGACGTTTTCGTATCGAACACCCATAACTCTGTGGTTTGCGTGGGTAATTGCTGGATACCTTCCTGCGGTCCCATAGGCTCATACTTATAGACATTTCTCGATTCGGAATTCGAAGTTTCAGCCTCTCTAACGTGAAGGCAGTGGACAGCACGGTCTCATTCTCAACCGGGTGCTCTCCCGAGTCAATACAAAGAAGTCAACATGCTGACGCGCCGAAGACGACTTACTACTCATCGATTAGCTGCCTTACGATTCTTCAGGAAATCATATGATTGTATGGTTTTAGACTGGTTCATGAGCTCATTGACATTGACCTCCAGCTGATGCGACTGCTATGCCATACTTACGATGCAAATATTCAAAGTTTGACCTTGAATTGACATATGAGCACATTGACGAGTCCGAGCCACATCGCGCGATCCGCTTCCATCGGCTCCAACGGGGAACGGGGTAAAAAAAATTAATTGACTCGAGTCGAGAGTGTCGAAAAAATTGCCTTTCTGGGTTCCAGGCGTTCATTTGGAGATCTGCACAGTACTCTGATCCGTCTGAGTAATGGCATAATTACATTTTTGTGGCAACAACATCGATATATCTTAGAGAGCTTTCCACTCCTCCTTGTGCGCTTCCAGATAGTCAGCAAAACTCGTCGGCTCCTTACCCGCGTATTTGCGAACATTTTCGACACCGATTTGGTAATCTGGCACCGCAAAACCAGCTTTCGACTCCTGGAGGGCTCGCATGAAGTATTTGCCAACGAAGTCGGGTAGCCCCAGCAACGCAAATCTTTGGAGGAACGCCGCCTCAGTTGTTGCGGCCGTGTCAATATCGTGGCGGCCAGTGATTTTCTTGATAAGCTCCCAAGATTCTTTGACACTGCGCAGTTCTGGCCCGCACAAATAAATTGTCTCCTTTTTTGCGTCGGATGGCCGCTCTGCCAACACCCTCCCTCCAACCAGGCCTACATCCTCTGGCGCGATGTTGTCGAACACTGCGTCCTCGTAGAGCATTGGCGCCTTGTAGTTGGGCTTGCTCGAGCGATCGAGGTAGTTCTTGAAGAAATTGCTGGCGAACCAGGCTGGTCGCAAAGCGGTAAAGTAAGGAAATCCAACGTCCTCCACCGCAATTTCGACCTGAGCGTGGACGAAAGGGATCCAGTTTTCTTTCGGAATGGCGCGTAACTCCTCGCCTTGTCCCTTGACATTATAGCCCGACAAGAAGACGATGTATTCGACCCCGCCTTCACGCATGGCCTGGAGAGCACCGCGGCCAAAGGTCATGTCGCCATGGATGAGGTAGAGATATGCTGCTTTGGCGCCAGAGGTAGCGATGGCTTTGGTGACGGAAGGAGGGTCGGTTATGTCAGCTTGGACACGGGTGAAATTGCCGGATTCTTCGAGGTGGGACGGAATGGCGGAAATGGCCTTGGAGGTGTCCCGCATCGCAAGCCAAACCTTGGCTCCTTGCTTTTGGGCCTCTGCCGCTACAAGTCCACCTATGGTGCCAGTAGGTCCGAAGACGATAACATTGTCGTACTTGCGAGACATTTCGGATACAAAGTTAACGTTGCAGTTTCCGGTTTGCAGGGACCCTTAAATACGCCCGCTGCAAAGACATTTGTCGGTTGTATGACCTCACCTGGTCAGGGACCACTTGCGTGTCGGTGCGTCAACTCCATCACGTAGTTGACGATGGATGGCCCGCAAGACAATGACAGATCATGTGATAAGCTGATCGAAGAAATTGCTTATAAACCGAAGAAAGACTCGCAAAAAGACACTTTTATTCATAGCAAAGTCGTTAGCGTATCGTATAGTCGTATCAGTATCGTAAGAGTTGATAAATACATCCAGCATGGCTTAGACTTTCTTCCCAGCAATGCCTAATCCGCGTCGCACCAACACCCTAAATACTACTGCACACATACCAAGACTGACGAGAAGCAGATATGTCGGGATTCCCGCAATTGTTTTGGGACCGATATCTTCTGGTCTTGGTTTCGTGTTGTCAGCCGACGAAAAGCGCATCAACAGTTTCCGAGGGTCAAACCGAGACATGGATGGCTGAACCTGAGTGACAGATTCGGTCTCCGAGGCAACCTTCGATTTAGCCTCCATGTCGTCAACCTTCCTCTCAACTTCTTCTAACCTCCTTTTGAAGCCCTCAACTAGCAATTTCAGCTCCTCCCTCTCCTCATCACTCTTAGCTAACAGCGCACGAATTTCAGCGCCACGAGCCCGACCACGGGCAGCAGCATCTTCAACAGCTTGATTAGTTGTCTTTGATGGTGTAGTGGGGACTTGATCAACGGGGGCAAAGACGCTTTCTGCGTTGGGTGTCGAGTTGGGGACCCATTTCATGGTACTGCGCGCCAATCCAGTTCCAGACTCTTCTGTCTCCGCCTCCCAAGCATGTACGCCTCCACTTGATGTTGCGCTAGGATGTGGTTTCCGAGGTTGTGGAAGTGGTCGACTCTGTTGCTCGATTAGAGCAAACCCATTTAGATCTTCGAATGCCTTCTTTGAACGTCTACCCTTCTTACGTCCCCAGGTACCGATGGCTAAACCGTTGCCGTTCATGCTGTGGCTTCCATTAGTTGTCTCGCGAGCCAAAAGCTGCTCGACAGTCAACTCCTCCTCGCTGAGACTAAGCGCTGCAGATGCATCCATTGGCGCTCGAGAATTACCAGGACCTTTCACAGTGGCGCCCGTGTCGTCAGGAATCAGCAATCCACCTTGACCAATAACACCATCAGGACGGACAGGAAGTGGTCGCATCGTTGCGAGTCCCTCTCCGCCAAAGTCACCATTTCGATTGACGGTTCTGAATCCACTTCCTCGCTCCCTCTCTGGGGACACGCTGCCTTCACTCTCGCTTCCGCTACTTTCGAATGAACGGACCATCCCTTGAACACGGCCATTTCGGAAGCGCCCTCCTGGGGAGTCTCTTGTTGGACTGGGTTGTGAAAAGAATGGTGATGCAGAAGCTTGTATGTGTGGGGAGGCAGAGGGTTTTATGTGTGGACGTTTGGAAGGGGTATCTTCGTCGTCTTCAGGTTCCTCGACTTCATACGTCCCGTATTCGATGCGTGTAGGGGAGCCCCTTTCGCTTCCAGAGGCGGAAGAGACTGGGGAGCCAGTCTGGAGTCGGTAGTCAAGGACTTCCTGACGCAAAGCTCGAGCAGCAGGTCGCAGAGAGGGAGGTGCTCTGGACATGATTGTCAGGAACAAAAATAAAAGGAGGCACAAATGAAATACCCAAGGGCAGCCAAATCGTCGTCACCCATCTTGATAAACGCACGACCACCGACTCCTCTCTTCGCGGCCCATTCACCTGCTTCTGCCGACACCGCAGAACCTAAATGTGCAGCCAGCTCCTCGGGTGTCCATCGTTTTGGCGACTGCTTAGGCGGCGCATTCGCAGCGTTAAGAGCGGCGATACTATTGTTGCTGACATTTGGTGGAATTGGAAGGGCTCGTGGTCCTTGTAAGCTTGAGGTTGAGCCGTTTCCATTCGGAGCAGAATAAATGTCTTCGCTGCTGCTGAAGCTCCGGCTGTAGCGATGACCGCGATATTCCCCTCGTCGTCCACCACTTCCTTTGTCGTTGGTACGGTCATTACCTGGTGAGGGAGGAACGGGGACATAATGGTGTTTGGCACTGGCAGGCGACGCCGATATTGAATTTGAGCGAGCCAAAGCGGCGGTAGAGGTCGTTTTAATAGGATAAGGGTGCGCGTTGGGCTTCAGGTCGCCGGCCTGCGACGAGTTGGAATAGGTTCGAATATGTGTGTGGGAGATTGAGCCAGCATCGCTCTTAGTTGGTGAAGAGGGTCGACTAGAGGGTGTAGGGAATGTGAAAGACGAAGACGGTGGACTGGCTGCAGTGGTCATCATAGTCTCCGTCGACATTCGTGAGCCGCCTTTCAGAGCGACGTCGACGATGACACAAAAGAAGTCAACCCGGATTGGGATTACTTTCGTGGGTGTCAATCGCTTTAGCTCAAAATATGGCTATATCAGGGCATCTTCCGTGAACAATCATATGACACGACTATAACGTGACCGCATACAGACGAGGCGAGGAGACAGATGAATCATTGCTCAGTGCTGGGTCGTTAGCACTCTGGCGTGAAAGCATCGCTGTCGAGTATCGCTTTGGAACGCGTTTCTCTACCTCAATTGTATCGTAACCCTAATAATAGTCACGTACTTATGTGTTACGTATGCCAGTGACCTCCAGTGACCAATCTCGGACCCGTCCAAAACCACCACCACATCTTTTGAATTTTCTGTTTCTACTCTTGAAATTCGATCCTAGGCCTTGCTTGGGAGCTAATTTCCGAGAAACAGAAAATTCAAAAGATGTCCGACCTTGATGAGCTTGCGAGATTCCGTGAGGAGTGGAAACGGGAAGTCGAGCAACGACGCAACCCTCAACCTACCGCCTCTGCCGCCTCTGAAACCTCTCAAAGGCTTCATAATATCACTTCCGACTTCAATGGGCTTTCTCTAGAGTATACTGAGCCGTTACCTGGTCCATCAAGCGAAACTGTCTCGGGCCGCGTCCCGACCTCCACTTTTTTCACCAATAGCGTCATCCCCGACTCGGTTCGGAGCGCTTTGGCGGTCTACAAGCGCGCCATTCAGCACGAGCAGCAGGGAGAGTTAGACGAGGCGTTGAGATTGTACCGCCAGGCTTTTCGCAGTCACCCAGATATCGACAGGGTTTACATGTCGATGGAGCTGTTGAATTCGATAAACGTCGCTCAGACTGAGGAACCTGAGAAGCTGGACACTCGGGAACGAGAGAAAGTTTTGGTCAACACCAGAGAACAAACAAGCGTTTCTGTCATCCCAACCTCGCTCGCCAAAGTGATCAATGGATTTCCTCAAGACATCGTTTTCTTACCCGAGGACGAGAAACTACCTGTTCATCTAAATGTGCTTCCTGAAGAACTACTTGTTGCGATAATACGACGGCTGGATCACACAACAATCGAGCGATTCGGTGCTGTCAGCAGAAGGGCACGCGTCCTTACCCTAGATTCGTCTGTTTGGAGGTGCGTTCACGTCACTTCATTCTTTCCTATCAGTTAATGTGTGACATCAGAGAGCTTGTCGTCTTGGTCTACAAACATCCACAGATCCCCCACTTCGAGAGCATCGTTCCGGTCATAGCGCGATATCAGTCTGACTTTCGCCGCCTTTTCGTTGAGCACCCGCGGCTTCGCCTTGATGGAGCGTACATCGCCGTCTGCCACTACGTGTATGGTGCTGTTTCTCTTCATTAGGCGGTGTCTAACTCCCTTCCCATATAGACGACCTGGCTTGAGTGAGAACACATGGGTCAACGTATGTAGTACAGAAACAGACCTAGAATCGAAACTGATATCTGGGTTTCAGATCAGCCATCTGATCACCTACCATCGCTACCTGTTTGCCCAGTCTGTTCAACATTAACAAAGCCTGACCTTTTTTCACAGCCGATTCTTCCCTGACGGGAAGGTATTGTCGCTGTTGGCCAACGAGGAAACCCCTCCTGCACAAGTAATTCATACTCTGAAGCTTTCATTGCGCAAGAAGGCGAGCTTCTTTCTTGGTGGTCGTGCTCACATAATGACTGTTATAGGGCTTGTACATTGGCACGTGGCGATTAGCAGGCTCAAACGTGATAATATCCAATCTTATCGACGCCAGTGGGCGGTTCCCCATTCCGCCTCAACCAGTTTCTGCGGATGAGCCATGTGCTCGATATGCTTTCAGTATGACGTTGAACCTTCGTTCTCGTCCTCTTGGCCGCTGGAACAAACTTGAGTTGACATCATACAACTCGGTTCATATAGAGAGTGGAGATTCTTCGCCGTTACCCTTGAAGCACGACCGTCCGTTTTGGTTCTCAAAGGTCAAATCGTTTCCGGCCTTTTGAACTCGGATTAGACATGACATGTATAACAAATGGTATACGTTCTTTTACGCTACGACTACTCAGTAGAAGCTGAGAAGCCTTGTTCATGACTTGCGGAACGTGGAAGTGTGCCTAGTCCAAGCTGGCTGTAACGACGGTTTTGCGAGCAGCTCCTCTTGTTCTTTTGTTGCTCAGAGGTTATCATCAAGGCGACCCTTGAGCTGAGCACAACAAGACCGAAAGCTGAAGAATGAACCGTCGATAACTGCGTTCCTGGAGTTGGAGCCAATCTCTTCTGGGCCCAAACAACCGCGGAAATCAGAAGTCTGCCCTTTCCCCCATTCTCGGCATTTTGGCCCCTTCGTTACACGTTGCTGTCTTCTCAAGTCCTTTTAAACCAAAGAACGCCCAAAATGTGTCTTGACTTCGAAAATGCTCCCCCGTCTGGCCTTGTTCGTTGCTTCAGCTGTTTTGGCATCAGGTATTTTGTTTCCTTCGTAGTTCACAATCGAACTTGACCTTCTGTAGCCCAATTTACTCTTCCGCCCGCCTTGCAGGCTGCTCAGGACTCGGCCACGTCGATCGTCGTCTCTGAACCCGTCACGACCTATACTAATGTCTCGTCCATCGCAAATATGGTGTCGATTGTTGACCAGAAAGGTGGTGCCCCATCGGACAGCACCAGGCCTGGCTTGCCTCAACAAGCAACCAAACTGACTGCCCTTGATGGCAAACTCGTTGATGCCACTGTCCCCACAATCAATCTTGAACTCGGCGGGGCGCAAAGACGAGAAGCAGTCGACTACGAGCAAGTTTTCAGCGGTTCAAAGTCTGGCGAGCCCGATGCTGCAATCGAGGGAACGGCATATTTGACCTACTTCTTGGTATCGAATTCCACGTATCAGCTTGGACTCGATGAATGCTTGGCCCATTGCGATGAGACTCTGGGATGTGGTCAGTTTTGTTTTTCTTGCTTAGCGAGCTCATGGAATGGTTGATAGCTTTTGTCAACCTATACTACGAGTTGAATAACCCGTATCTTGATTTTGTCTTCCCCGAGAAGTCAAACTTGAAATGTGTTCTATACGGTGCGCCGCTCGATCAACGACAATGACTACCAATGGTCTAATGCTTATTAAAGGCGATGTGCATAACGAGGAGGAAAAAACGGACCTCGGAAACGAGCTTTTGCCATCAATCCGGACCGTCATTCAGCAGAGTAGTGGATACGCCCTACAGTCGCTCAGAAAACCGGCCGACCCAGCAGGCTACAAGCTTGTTTTTGGGCCATTGTCAGCCGCCAATAACGCTCCTCAGGTTTGCGATGCTGTTATGCACTGAAACACAGAACATGACCAGACTGCAGTATATGGGCTTTGCCTTTCTCGATAAGTACGACGTCAAGGCCTGCGCTGCACTGTGCAACACTCGAGGAGCGGACAGCAACGACGGAGCCTGTAAATTCTTCAATATTTGGCGGGCGGTTGTGAACGGAAAACCGGCGACATACACTTGCGCGATGGTATCTTCATGTCTCTTTAGCTCCCATGTTTAGCTTCTGACTGGAGGTCCAGTACTCGGCACCCACAGATGCTTCGACTGCAACCAACACTGGCCAGGGTGACCTCCAAGTGACGCGTTCTCGTGGATATGTCAGGATTAATCATATAGTCGACGGGACATTCGAAGCCTACGTTTGCGACGATGGCGACATCTTTTGCTTCACGGAAGAGGCTGCTGGATGGGTCGGCAGCTCTCCTGCTGGGGGCCAGGATGATGCAACAATTTTCCACTACGCCCCATATGCCCATCATGGCAGCTCTGTTGCCTTGCTAGGGAGCGCGTTTGGCAGCGACGCCTATCCGGGGCTCCTTCAACCTGCCTGGCCCATCACTGGCCTCAGGCATGGACGAACATATGTTCTTGGCTTCTTCCATTCAAGCTCCTACAGTGGCGAGGAACTGGAGAGCGACTCTTTCGTGACAGTCTGGTGGGGTCGATCGTTGGTAGGGAATATCACAGTTGGCTATAGCACGTGGGCGTACTACGAGTTCAAGGTCGTCGCAGGCAGGAACAACACGCTCTCTTTCATCGGGGGTCAAGCTCCAGCGTATGACTTCATTGACGATGTGAGCCTTTTCTTGCTGTATTGATCGTCATTCCTTGCTACATCGTGTCGCTTCTGAACCCAATGATATTTTCTTGAGTTGCAAGCTATCTGGACTTGAGGCAAAAACGTGGTGTCATGACACAATACCTTACCACAGTGCAAGGCATGCCCAAGGAGGTGGAGAACCGAATCGAGCGCAGGATACGCAACTTCCTATGGGCAGGTAAAAAGAGCGTGACGATAAACAAGGAAACAGTGTACGCACCGAAAGAAATTGGCGGCAGAGGCCTCCTTGACATCCGGGCCCGGAACGAAGCCATAACCATAACGTGGCTCCAGAGATACCTAAATTTCGGCCCCGACAGACCCTCATGGGCATACGTCACAGACCAAATACTGATAAGGAATAAATCTGACGACCAAAAATATGGAAGTATGGAAACACGCACCAGCCCGTACCTACAACACTGGGAGCCCAAAGTATCATCGGCCAAAGTCGGAAACGACCTCGCACGCCTGATCAAGGCAGGAAAAGACCACGATGTCGGCATCGAGGCAATAGCTGTGTCCCGAAACATACAACGCAGTATGCCAATATGGCACCACATCAAGTCCAGCGAGGATGACTGGAGGGTCTTCCGCTACCCAAAGGCAACAATCGAATGCCTACACAAGAACCACAAAGTCAAGTCAGTCCGAGACGCGGAAGAACTGGCGAACAAAATGCAAACACGAAGACATACGTCACGAGTCGACTGTAAATGTACATCGTGCCAAATAACGAGGGTGGCGTCTAAATGTAAGCACCCGAATAAGTGCTACGAGAAGGCGAGAGACATGCTACATACCATCCAAGACAAATGGGACCCCAGATTGGCCCAGCCGGAGACGATGGAGGAACTCCTTGAAGACACACCGGTCGCACTCGATGAGAATATTGTCCCATTCAACCGGAAAGTCACCACACGAGGGTCCATAGCCGACACATTCCGCGTCTTCAGAAATGGAGCGCGAAATAAAGCAAAAGCGGCCCCGGACACTTCACCGCTACCCGCAAGCGGCCCAGCCGTCACAGTCTACACAGATGGGTCAGCACTTAAAAACGGAACCCCCCAGGTGCAGGCTGGAGCCGGCATCTTCTTTGGGGAAAATGACCCTAGGAACAGGTCACTGAGAATCCCCGCCCACCTCTCGCCATCCAACCAGGTTGGAGAGCTGGCGGCAGTAAAAGAAGCCGCAGAAATGTGCCCCATCGACCGCCCACTGCACATAATCAGTGACTCAAGGTACACAATCGACGGCCTCACGAAGAACCTACAGAACTGGGAAGATGTCGGATTCTTCCTCGTGGAAAATGGTGAGCTGGCGCGCGCAACGGTGTCGAGGATCAGAGAACGCAGGGCGGAGACGACCTTCCAATGGGTCAAAGGCCACGCTGGCAACGAAGGGAACGAAGGGGCCGACGAACTGGCTGGCCTTGGTGCAACACAAACCCCCGAAGACGAAATTCGTATGGATTTGAGACCAGACTTAGTCCTCCCCGGGGCCAAACTACAGGCGATCAAACAGTCGACGGCCTACAAAATAATCAGACAAATAAATATGGCGAAACCGGACTACGAGGAAGCCCTCAATAGACGGGCCACAAGGGACAACATGTCCAAAGCACAAAACGCGATTGAGTCGCGAGAGGACACGACCGCTACCGAGAAAACAATCTGGAAAGCGACGAGACACAAAGATGTGTCACGCATAATCCGAATCTTCATGTGGAAACTGCTGCATGGGGGCTTCAAAGTGGGCAACCACTGGAAGGACATCCCACAGTACACAGACTGGGTAGATTGCAGGAAATGCGGACTCACCGAATCCATGGAGCATATTCTGACAAAATGCGAATGTCAGGGACAGGAAGAGATCTGGAAATTGGTGAGCAACACATGGGAAAAGAAAACAGGCAACGAAATTAAACCCACAATCGGCCAGATAATGGCCTCTGGTGCCCCGGCGCGAGCCAGGGAAAGAGTAGTGGCGAAGAGCGACTATACCGAGTACTAATATCAGAGTCAGCATATCTCATTTGGAAGCTTAGATGCGAACGCGTCATAGGAGATAAACCAGAGGCGTCGCTTGAAGAGATCAGGAACCGCTGGCGCAAAACAATCAACAACAGGATAGAGATAGATCGTGCACTCACCGATAAGAAAAAGTGGGGCAAGAAGGCCATTCGCCGCTCGGTTGTACAGGCCACCTGGGGCAAAACACTGAGGGACGAGGACCAACTGCCGTCGAACTGGACGTCGACGACTATCGGGGTTTTAGTGGGTATCGGATGAGCTGGTGATGATGGCAAGCTGTGACTGATGAAGCCGCAAGGCCGAAGTTGCAGCGCTGCCTGAACTAGCAAGGCCGAAGCCCCACACAAGGCGTGTACACACGCCAGTGCTATGGAGCATTTCCTCGAGTGGACCAAAATCAGGCTTGGTTTAAATCCCAAGGCCGCCAAACCACGGGCAGCGAGTGACCGACATAGGTCGGCCCGGATGCGATGCGGAATCTCGAAAGAGATAAACGCGGAGATACGGGGAAGCGTTAATTCGCCCTTACGTGCTACTATCCCAAACGTGCCACAAAAAAAAAAAAAAAAAAAAAAAAAAAAAAACGTGGTGTCACGCCGTGATGTGACACTACAAATAAATGTTTTGAACCGGCCCCCACGGGTATCTACGCGTTTCCCCTTTATGCGCCATGGCAGAAACGACGACGACGGAGAGGAAGGGTATATTTGAGCGGACGTCAGATTTCGTTTGGAAGCACGGCACCTTTTTCCGCATCCATGCCACCGTCTTTACCATCGTGCCCTTAATCGCAGCGGGGGTCTTCTATGGATGCAACGGACGCTACCACGTCCCATTTATTGACTGTTTATTTCTCTGGTGAGTTGTCTCCCGCTGGTCGAACAACAGCAACCTCAAGCAATGTTTCAGTTATTCAGCCATGACGGTTACAGGTCGACCGTTTTCGTTGTCTGCTATTCTGGACTGACCGACGTTCCAGGCCTTTCTACGGTTAATCTGTCCACAAGTGATCTCTCAGCTCCATCGTAGACGCTTGAGCTGACTTTATGACAGCAACTGCATGGCAGCAAACAATATTATTTCTTTTAATGCTCATGGGGGACTTTACTGTTGTTTCTTGGATTGTACGTGCGCTCTTTCAGGCGCTGTTTGGCTTACTCTCCATTCAGATGGTCCTAGTTCGAAAGTGGTATTTTAAGAACGTTTGCGAATACGTCAATTACCAAAATCACCGAAAACCCAAGCCTGTTAAAAGCCGTTCAATATTCTTCAAGTCGATTTCATCTCCAGTAGCTGTCTTCAAGCAGAGAGAAGAGATTCCAGCGCAAGAAAAGGCTGAAACCCCCACCTTCCAATTTATCCAACCCACACCAGGAGTTACACTAGACACTGGCCCCGAACGTGTTTCAAAGGAGCGACACGCCGACCTTGGCGACGAGGAACACATACTAGGAGATGTACGGACATTCAGCTCGTCTCCTCGTGCTGCAAGTGTCTTGCTTTCTCCTGTAGCCACGCAGTCTCCACGAGGTGTCAACTTTGCGCTCTCGACCTCAATCGACCAGCAAATACGGCTGCAGACTGTTCGTGGTATGTCACATTTGACGCAGTGAAAGCGATCCACTGATGACAGACAATAGAGGGTGTTGCATTTCCCCGAAGAACGGCTACTGTCTACAGTAGTAACCGAAAAGTGGACCCACAAACTCAGAAGTTCGAAGGCTTCGGTGGATTTCCTGGTCCGTTCAAACTAGCAAAGCGCTTGTTCAAACGTGGCGCTCCAACAACGTTCCGAAAGATCGAACGCAAGCTCACGTTGCCATATGTCGAAACACTCGAAGCCAAAAAGGTGCCTTGGCTGTCATTCGATGGCCTGGTTGTTGGGCGGAATTCAGCATTTCGCACGGAGACCTTGTCGGATGATCAACTTGAGGTTATTGGTGGGGTCGAATATCGGGCCCTGAGGTTATTGAGCTATCTCATTCCTGCGGTTCGTGGTCCTGGTCTATCCCCTGTAGTCGCTTACCTTGTTCTATTAGTATTTTGTGGGGACTCAGCTCTTCTCGTTTATACTGTTTGCTCCCTGGATCTCGACTACACACAAATACGATGCGGTTTTTGAGGCCCAGCCTCGATTAGTTCAAAAGCCTTGGTAGGACTGAGAGTAATTTTATGGAATCATCTCATAGTCTCATAGGTTCTCCTTGTTCTTAGTCCTTTCGTCGTACTCTGGCGGCGGTCTCTCGCTGGTGGATATGTGAGGTCTCTGGTTCCATTTGTAGCTTACTGAAGTGTCTTTAGGGGAATGGTCCCATTTCAAACAGCTTATTTAATGGTACTTGCACTCATGTTCGTCATCCTCGCGGGTAATCATGCCTTGGTTGGTAGTCCACTTCTTCTATGCCTGTCTGAACTCTTTTTCTAGCCTATTTTGTGCGTCGGGAAAACAGCTTACTAGCTTGGCTTACATCGATTCAGCTTAAGATTAATTATGTGTGTGGTCAACCACTGCGATATTGCCAAGTTAACTTCTCGGGGTAGATGGACTTGGTCGAAAATCGCTAGAAAGGGGACAGAGACGGCTGACACGCTATCGTTCCTGCTTCAACATCCTCGTCGGTGCGTGATACGCCGTTCATTCATAGCATGCACCTCATTTTTCTATGCAGCTGTTTTCTATACCTGCGAGTTGCTGTTGCAGACTAGTCAACGCATGGGAGACTAATTATCTATCAGCTTCCCAAGTCACCAAACGTGGTTCCTAACCATCCTGCTTATTTTCTTCAGGTAACAATGCGTGTCGTGGCCATTGTTCCTGTCCCGCTCACCAGTTTCCTAGTGCAGTCGAATGGGCTGCTTTCGCAGTTTTAGGTGGCATATACCTCCTCTCGTCGACCCACAAGCTTTACTAATTAACGTCGTGTCAAGACATAGGACTCCCATTTTACAACCAGATTCCCAGTGGACCCCGTGCCCTCGCTGGTTTATTCCAAGGTCTAGCCGCTCGAGCGTCTGGATTAGCCATCGTTCCTCTGGCATCCTCATCTCCAGCTTTGCAGTTAGTGTGGCGGGGATATCTTTAACCTGAGTTAATGTCCTTTTCCTAGGTTCTTATACGTCGTGATGATGTACATTGCTGTAAGTCATGTTCGCCTCATGTCCAATTTGTTGACCAGCTTAGGTTTATCCTGTGTGTGCGATTCCTCTGAATGTTCTTGTGACAACGGGTGACAACTGTGGGTCAGGTTGCAATGACTATTCGGTCAACAAATGTGTACGTCTCCTTCTAATGACTCCAGCGCTATCACATTCCTATGGCTATCTAGATACGAATCTGAATCGCTTGGAGTGTTTGAAGAGCCTCCCGATGAAGCCGATGAAGAGCCAGCCGACCTCGATAAGTTTGAGCCGCGGGAGCGCATAGGACGATATCTGGTGAGTATGGTTGGCAGTATCTACATCAAGCCTGACACTCTTCGTTATAGCTGTGGCATGTTGACCGCCAGATGGCCAATGACATCTGGTGGCTTGTCTGCGGGGTGTTCCTTGTTGCAGTAATCGAGCGCCACAACATCATGGACGACTCAGAGAATAAGAAATGGTTCGACCTGTTCCGCGTCGTTTTTGAACTCGTTTCGGCGTTTGGTGGCATTGGGTTAACGCTGGGTGTTCCGGATAACAACTTTGCGGTATGCTTTCATGAAAGTAACAACCTCGTGATCTGACTGTATGAAGTTTACCGGCGCTTTCCGTCCGCTTTCCAAGTTGGTGGTGATTGTCTGAATGTCGGTCACCTATATTATTGTTGGTCACCTGACAGACAGTTTGCAGGCTTCGTGGACGGCATCGCGGATTACCTGTCGGCGTTGAACGCGCAGTTACTTTGCCGCACGAGCTCAAGACGGCTCAACGGGCAGCACAAGACAAAGGGGGCAATAACGCGCTTGGCTTGAACGGTTTATCGCCAATTGTGGAAGCATAACAGGCCTCTACATGTACTTAGAGAATTGATATGGGTATAGTTGTCAGGGGAGGTTCAAGTTGTATCCGTCAGAATTTTCTCTCTTAGTGTGAGGTACCCGACAAATGAATGTCCCGTCAAATAGGAATAGAAAGAAAAAAATAGTCCGTGTTTCAAGCAGCGCCTAAAGGAAGAGTGCTGCAACTACGCCCGCACCTATGCCCATGACAATTCCAGTTGGACGACTGGCCCCGCCAGTGGAGGAAGGCGGCGGTGGCGGTGCTAGAGTAGTAGCACTGCCATCTGAGGCGGTGCTGAGGGGAGGAGCGCTCGACACTGGGGCTGAGCTTGAGATGGAATTCTGCACACTCGATATCGGGATGCTGCTGGGAGTCACCACCGAGGTTTTGGCACTGCTAACGCGAGTGCTGGAAGTTGCTCGGGAAGTGCTAACGCTCCGTGGAATAGAGCTACTATGCACGACGAGAGAAGAGCTCGGTTTACTGCTGGACGCCAATCTAGTTTTGTTTTCGTTAGTTCTATGTTGACCGTATAAGGCACACGCACTGAGAGGACGACGCTGAAAGCGAAGGCACAGACTTTTGGGCCAGGGCAACAGCGGGAAGGACGAGCAGCGCAAACAGCCAAGTGACCTTCATCGTCAAAGACTGGATCGAAAGAGTGTGAGGCAACAGACGTGAACTAGAAAGAAATGCCACAGATCCGCGCGTCCATGGCTTTATATACTTTACTGCCCAAACTCGCAACCGCGTGGGAAGAGATACAGCTCACGCGATTGCATCGAGCAAACTTCGACACCGGCGCCGAATTCAAAACACACCCCAAGAATGAGTGGCGATTGTCGGATTTTCCCGGGGCGGCGTAAACTCACCTCGGTCCCAGTTCAAACCCTGCTCTGATATACTGTGGGGATTGGTGCAAGAGTAAACTGTGAGAGCGTTGCAACCGTCACTGCCAGACCATCCAATTGATCACCTGTTCATCTTGAACTTGAAAGCATGAAGGGCGGGAAGACACATTTCGTTCAGTGTTTCTGCTATTCTGGGCTGCACACGACTAGAGTGCGTCTATTGTGCATTACTGCCGTCGGAATCTAGCTTAGAACGGTATATATGAGCCAAGGTCGAAGATAGGGCGGATTCTTGGTGGAAGGAAGCCAAAAGAAACGCGGTCCCGTGACACGTCTATGATTTCATCAAATGATGTCATGTCAACTAATCTGATGCATTCATTAATCCATTGCCAACATTTCCTTCCCCAGCTGGACGATCTCTGCATTCTCGAACGTGTCTTTCTGCGCGCCTCTGGTCACGAGTTCTATCATGGCGGCAGCAAGCTCGTCCACACGGACAGTGCCAAAGACTGCGTTCGAAATAAGCTTTTTGAGCGTGCCTCCAGCAGGTCGGATGATCATCGCTGGCTTCACAATGTACGTTTCCCACACTGCTTTTCCACGCAACTGAGAGAAGTCTAGCATGCTGGACTCAGCTCGGCCCTGCTCAAGCTTTTGGTGAAGTGCAAGCGCAACAATGGCAACAAACCTTGACGCGCCGAACAGTCTGCGACTTCCACAACGGTTTGGTCTGATCTCGCTCCGAGAACATTCCACTGCAATAGACATAGCGGAATGGTTTTGTGCTCGACCGAACAGAAAGGATCGTGTCCCCCAGAGCCAGAGGGTAGTCGATTTCAACTTCTGGAACAGCAGCACGTGCACCGAGAGCCCTGGTAATTCTTAAAGTTTCCTTACCGTTTAGCGAAAGGATAAGACGCACCAGATACATGCATCTGCTTCTTTGAACTCGCGTTTCACCTCCTCTGTGTAGACAGTGAAATCCTTCATGATGAATTCTTTAACCTTTGGGTCGTGTGTGGTGATGGGGAGTGGTCGTCGACTGAGCACAACAATGGAGGAAATGGCAGGATTGCGCAGGCATTGGGCCAGAACCTCCCCGCCAACGAAGCCCGTAGCACCTGTTAAAACGATTTTGAGGGACATGGCGGTGGTGGAAAGCAAGGAATGAGGGGGAAAGAACACATTCAGCTTTCGGGTGATAATCCGATGACATGACCGCGTTTTGTCAAAATGAAATAAAAATAACTTGGGTCTGCGCTACTCTGCGGTCATCGTCGCTGCGGTGGGTTTGTCCTTCTGGGCCTTGCGGCTTGTGAGCCGCGCAACAAACTCATTGAATCCGAACATATGGTTGATTAGATAGTCCTTTGATGCACATCACTATTTATACGTTAGGAAGGGGAAAGACAACTCACCCACGCAAATCTTGGGCGGAAGGTGTCGACGAGCCATACCAAGGTAGTATGCTTTCCGATCCAGATCCACGAGCTGGGCTTTGTTTTATGGGTTTCGCGGACGACGGCACGTGCATATACTTCTGTGGGGGTCATGGTCTCTGTTGAATCATTCATGGTCAAAACATCCTTAGTGACAAAAAAGACAGACCTCTGGGAATGTTGATGCGATGTTCTTGGTAGAGATCCTCCATGGGTTTGTACAGCGAGTCGTCGGGGAGGCTGCCTTTGCGCCAAATATTGCTCTCAATTACGCCAGTCAGCACCTATATACGAGGTCAGTGAAAGCCGCCCAACCACAAGTAATCCCGACCCACGTTGATAACCTTGACACTGGAACGAAATTAGCCTCGGCTTTTCATCCAGTAAAAAACCAAAGAACTTGAAGGGCGCCAGCTCTATGCGTGCCGAATTCGAAAAGGCGTGAATTCCGGCCTTGCTCGCATTGTACGCTGCGCTGAACGGGCTGGGCATGATCCCCGTAATGCTCCCAATCTGGGCAACTCGGCCGTCGCCTGACGCGATGAGCAGGTGAGAAAATTCGGTGAGCATCACCATCGGCGCGGTGAGGTTGACGTCAATGATTTCGCGAATCCGTTCTGGGGAGGCATCGGTAATAGCTTGGTCGTAACCTACAAAACAGCCCTTCAACGAAGAGGAACGACTGCGGGTAGTGTTTATGGACCTTGGCCACTGGAGGAGAACATCCCTAAGTACCAGAAATATGGGAGAAATGTAAACGCACGCATTATTGACTAGAACGTCCAGCTTTCCACCCGTTTTCAGCGAGATGTCCTGTCTGAGTTGCTGGATTGCCTCCAGATTCGTCACGTCCAGCTCAGACGTCTCTATTCCGAGTGCGGCTAGCTCCTCCATAGACTCCAGCCTCCTCGCTGTTGCAAACACACGGTAGCCTGGGAGTTGTCGGTTCCAAGTCAATCCAGGCAGAAAAAACTGGACCATAGCGGTTGTACTCGATGGCGAGCGCGTGACCAATGCCGCCAGCCGAGCACCCTGTGATCAGGACAGACTTGCGTTCTGCAGGCATGTTTGTGAGAGAGGGGAGCTTGACCGACCAAGACCATTGAAGGATCTACACGGATCACGTAAACATTTCTCACAAGTAATACCTCGAAGCACGGTTTGTGAAGCAAAGACAGAAACAACTACATACTCTATAAACAAACTTCAAGTTATTCCGCTCTATTGTGCAGCGACCGTCTCGGTTACCTCCACAGTCTGCGTTTTGCGCTTTGCCAGACGAGCGACGAACTCGTTGATGCCGAATGCGTGGTTGAGGAGGTAATCCTGTTCACATGAGCAACATAGCGAGGAAGAATTAGGTCGACTCACCCAAGCCGTTCTTGGGAGGAAGGTATCCATAAGCCACACCATCATCGTGTTCTTGCCAATCCAGACCCATGGGCTGGGGGTTGTTTTGGTAGTCTCCCGAACAACAGCACGTGCGTATTCTTCCGTTGGTGTGGTGCCCTCTATCAAACCGATTAAGTCCAACCTAATAAGAGATCAAAGTACATACGGCTAGGGATGTTGATGCGATGTTGCTGGTAGAGGTCCTCCATAGGCTTATACAGCGAGTCTGCGGGAAGGCTACCCTCGCGCCAAATCTTGCTATCAATAACACCAGTCAAAATCTAGTATAGTGTCAACAGACAGCCAAAAAGAAGACTCGTAGTAGACTCACGTTAATAACCTTGACGCTGCGAGCACCATTAGCACCATACTCGGAGACAAACGAATGTCACGCACTTGAACGGGGCCAACTCAATTCGTGCCGAGTTAGAAAATGAGTGGATGCCAGCCTTGCTTGCGCTGTAAGCCGCATTAAACGGGATCGGCATGATGCCCGTAATGCTGCCTATTTGAGCAACACGGCCGTCGCCTGAGGCAATGAGCAGGTGGACGAATTCTTTGAGCATGACCATCGGCGCAACGAGGTTGACTTCGATAATTTCGCGAGTCCGCGCAACCGAGGCGTCCGAAATAGCTTGGTCGTAGCCTTGGCCGCTGAAAACAAAATTACACCACAAGAATCATTGAGTCGAATAAAACGCACGCATTGTTCACGAGAATATCGAGCTTCCCGCCGGTTTTAACCGAGATGGCCTGACGCAGCTCCTGGATTGCATTGGAGTCGGTCACGTCCAGCTCAGACGTCTCTACCCCAAGGCCAGCAAGCTCGCTCATCGAGTCGAGCTTTCGCGCAGTAGCAAACACACGGTAGCCTACAACGACGCGTAAGACATTTATCGACTGCACAAGCAGCCAAAGATACACACCGTAGCGGTTGTACTCGATGGCAAGTGCGTGACCAATGCCACCTGCAGAGCAGCCGGTGATGAGGACAGACTTCCTATAGGCCGACATTTTATGGTGAGGAAAGGAAAGGAGAGGGTGTGGGTGGTGGTAGGAACGAAGATTATTTGCTGGCTAGCATCTGGTTCACAAACTGATTTATCAGTTTTGCTTATACCGACCGGGAGTGACCAAACCGAAAGTGCCCTGATTTGTGACGACCACCGCATCACTCATGCCGCTGTCACGCTCTCACGTCAAAGAGACTCTTGCTTTAAAATCCCAAAATACTTACAAAAGAAAACAGCTTGCCTAGAAAATATTTTGGACGGTATTCCCAGAGTATGGTAAACCAAAAGTCATATATGCATGTTCAAGACATATTATTTTATTGGTAACAAATGTAAATAATCCTAGTACTTGGCACAACTCATACAGTTCATACCAGGGACAATAACAATTTACATGTTTAATAACTTGAACAGATGGAAAATAAAACTTAAAAGAAAGTAGACTTGATTTGCAAGTAATGGGATCACATTTCAAGTTCTCAGATAGGATATAAGTCAAAGCTAATATCAACAGACCATTTTATAACCATAATCTGTAGCAAATAAATACGGCAAATGTGCCACAAAATATAAGACCAAATCTGCAAGGTCCAGCAGCAAAAATGTACCTAATATATCAGAGATAAGTGAAAAAATGGCTATTATATATATATATTAAGAGAAAAATCCAGGTAATAATATTTCTTTTGAAAAATATTGAGGCTTAAGTGAGATGCATCTATTATTAACAAATATTCTGGATTTTATGTCCTGATACAGAAGACAGCTATAAACTAGATGCTGCTCATGCAACCCTTGACAGTGCGCAAGGCAAGCAGAGGGTGTAATGTATCAGATCCTCTCTGATGTTTTAAATAGACTATGGTGTTCCAAATCCTCCTGGGCCGGACTCCGCTGGAGTCCAAATAACTTCAAGAAATTTCCTCAGTCCTGGGTATAGGTTGCTCCAGGAGATGCTGGTGTCATGCACATCAGTATTTGCAACAATTGCCATCTGCACTTATCTGTAGTGTATATGGTTGGGGGGGGGCATGTACGTAGGTACAGAAACCACATGTTTCCTTGTAGGGACCAAAGCAGTGAATACACTTTCTTTCTTTTTTTCAGAACTTGATTTCTCCTTGACCAGATTAAGTGTTCTTTTCTTGATGATCAATTAGAGCTGTTAAACATTAGAATTATGTTCTACTTTGGGAACAATCTTTAGCAGAAGCCCTGGTGTGATTCAATACTTTGAAGAAATATTACTCTGAGTTAAAAATCAAGCTTAAGCTCTTGTGAGGATAATATTAATGTAGAATCTGGAAACACCCACATTTGCTATCTTGGACTCAATTGCTACTACAATGATGAAAGAAAGAACACTTTTTATTTACTTTCAATCAGTTTGTGCTACGCCGCTCGTCGGCCCTACCTTGAATCATAGGCGGTGGTATTCATCCTCTAAGTGTGGGAGGCAGCCTGATTACTGCCGCTTGTGTGACGATTGGAGTCGTGATAGAAAGCTCGGGCCATTGTCGAGACGATTCACTTCAGTGGATGGAGGAGACCGATGGAGACGAAGACAAACGTCAATGATGTGACTGTTGGTGTCGTCACAGATAGCTTTTGACTCAGACGCCGTCTATCCTCCCAAAGAAAGTGTTCCTTTCTTCTAGTCGGTTTCCCAACCACACAAGTTTTATGTCTCAGTCCGACTACTTATTCGCACAATTAGCTGGCAGATAAATCTTTTGCCCCTTCCTGCTGCTTGCGACCCCACTCCGTATCAACCGAGGTGTGCAACGGGAGATGTTTCATGCTCAAGCTCACCACCAGGCCGAGTCCGCTGATTCCAGCGAGGACGTTCCATAACACCTGCAACGATTTAGCGAATGCATGGCGCACTTCGGCCTTGAGAGGTTGCGGAAGTTGACGAATGGTGGGTATGACCTCAAAAGCAATCTGCGTGCCGCCAGGAAACTTGGCTAGAAAGTCGGCTGGAAGGCGACTGGTGAGTTGATTCTGCAAAACCGTTCCGCCGATCGTGACACCCCAGATCTTGAAGAAAGACTCAGCTAAGATCTGATGCGTTGAGTGTAAATCTCACCAAGGCTAAGTTACGAAGGAAGGTGAAAAATGCAAGAGCGGGGCCACTCTGCGACACTGGGATCGGCGCCAAAACAGGGAAGTAGGTCACGACATAGATGATTCCCAATCCGACCCCGATGAGGGCCTGGAAGCCGTAACACAATGAACGACCCGAGTTTTCGTCAAGGGTTGCCAACAACGCGCAGCCGATGGTCATTAACATCCATCCAACCCACAAAGGCTGGCGATACCGTAGAGTTTTTTGAACAACAAGACCAGAGAGTAGGCACGACGGGCTAATGGTGTAAGAGAGACCGAAGCCATCGACACCCGCCGCAGTTGGCCCAGCGTCTCGGCAAGCTTGGAAGTAAACAGAAAGCCAATCTTCACAAAAGATTAGACAACTTGAAAGCACTGGAATGAAAACTGTTGTCACATGAGAGCGTCGAAAGAACGATGCCGTTCAGGAAATTCTGGGCATAACCGCTAAATGCCGTGCGCGTTGAGATGAGTGATATAGGTACCTTGCAAAGAATTCAGTAAGAACAAGAAAAATGGTTTTGCCGCACGATTGGATATTTCGGGACGAAAGCTTCGTAGATCAAGAAAGCACCAGAAAGCACCCATCCCGAGTAATCCCAGAGTCAGTGGGACAAGGACCTTAGCAGATGTCCAAGCAAATTGGATTCCCGCCCATGTAAGAGCAATCACAACGGAAGTAGTCGAAGCCACGACGAGCAAGTTGCCACTAATGAAGCTCAGGATCTGACAGGAAGAATATAACGAGAAAAGACGAACAAACAGTCCAGACGTTTCACTTTTTCTGTAAGGGGTATATTGGGAATTTTGAGCTTTAGGAAGACCGTAACCAGAATAGCGGCGACTCCACAGATGGGCAAGTTCAAATAGAACAGCCAGCGCCATTGACCACGCTGCGCCAGCGACCCTCCGATGACTGGCCCAGACCCTCCACCAATGCCCCAAGCACTGGTACCATATTAGAGTGAATACTTATGGCGCAAGAAAATATCACAAACAGCGCCATAACACCGTTAAAGGACCCGCGCTCCTGCAAAGGAACGAGGTCTGCGAGAATAATCTGATTGAGAGCAGTAATCGCGCCACCACCAAGCCCTTGAATGGCTGAAAACGGTCAGGCCCAAGTCTTGGTATAGACACAAGGAAACCGTACTCCGACCAGCAATGAGGACATTCATGTTGCGCGCGGCGCCACACAACGCACTCCCAATGCAGAAAAGAGTAATGGCCGCCAGCATGATGGCACGTCGCCCAAAGATCTTCAAGTTCGTCAGTCGAAAGAAAGCAATCAGTTAAACACACATGGGCGAGCCCACCACAGAATGGGATCAACGCAGTACATCCCAACGTATAAGCCGAGCCAACCCAGACGAAATGGTCCGCCTTCAAATCCTGAACGATAACAGGAAGTGCTGTTCCGACTGCAGTCTGGACGATAAAAGTTGAGTTACGGGGACGAGGGTGGTCGACATACGAATTCGATGGCCGTGAGCAACATGCATATCGCGAGGGAGAAGATTATGCACCAGAACCGCCAGTCTCGAGTAGCGGGTTCCGAATCGAGTGACTCGAGTTTCTCATCTGGTTCAGAGCTATGAAGCAAGCTGTTGGGCGGAGCGGCCATGGGGAGTCTGCCTTGAAGAGGAATTGAATTTGCACTCCCAGTTTATTTCTGCCACTTTCTACAACACAGAGTTGCATCATGATCACGGAACAACATCGAAGCTGGCTCGGAAGGGAAACAACCCAACGGCGAATGAATGTCCAAGGCAGGCTCGGGTTGCTCGGGCGCCGGTTATTCGTAGGATTGCCAACATCTTTCTACGGGAGAACCTCGACCAGTCACCAGCGACAGTGTTTTCCAAGTTACTGTAAGCTGATATCGCCGCGTCTTCTCAAATGCGTAGACCAAAAATGTGGGTGCGAATGCAAGGCCGGTCCTGTTCATCAAGTATGCGGTTCCAGAAATGTCCACTGCCATAAGAACGCCGTCCGCGCAAGGATGGTTTTGAAGATTTGGTGATCACGAATCGTGTCCATGGCCATATCGGCCAAGTATCGCCGCCAACCTGAGTTCTGCATGGTCCATCGAGATGGCCTACTTCGACCACTGCCAAATGCTGTGTGTGAACAGGATGCCGATGAGGATGAAAACATCATCCTATTTGTGAGTGTCAAGGAGGCGGACCATGCCCATTGCCGCTTGTCGATCCAATTGGAGGAAGCGGTCAAAAAGACACAACACGGTCACGAGTGACATTTCACAGCATTTCACGTTACTAGTACAGTGCCTCGTTCAAGGAGGTTCAAGGACTACAGTTACAACATTAAGGTATTTAGCAAATAACACAATCCGCCTCTGGCCTCGCCAGCCGTGCCTCTAGCCTGAGCTGCAAGCTCTCGTCTGGCTGGATATACGGACACCCCGCATATTGTAGTGTGCCAAGCCCGCTATCGCCATCATCCAAAACCACGACAATTTCGCTCCGTCGATGTCTGCCTGTCGAGTATAGCTGCTCTGGCGCCTTTAAGCGCACGGAGAGTGTCGGCCGAGGACGGGGCTTTCCCGGGCCGAAGAAACCCGATCCAAAGCCCTGACTCGGTGGCGTTAATAGAGCGTCAATCGGGGCGGGTACCAATAACCTCGAGTCGATCCATGTTGGGGGACTGCCCTCCAGCAGGCCCAGACTGATAAACCACGTGCCCGGTGGGGGCTGCCCTGCCCGCCGTCGCTCGCTCACGTGAAACGCCAGCCGCCACATGCGCCCACGCGCAATAAAGTCGAGCTCGATGTGTTTTCCCACGCGCATGCGTGTCTGGAAGCGGACAATGGCCACGTCTACCGCAAAGGCGAACTCGTCGTGGGGCACATTCTCCACGGTGATCGCATCAGGCGGGATGGATGCGTCGAGGATGAGCTGGTCGGTCGGGGAGAGCGGGGAGAAGTCAGGTGACGAGCGCAGCCGCTGAAAGAGCGCCTGGTCTGACGTCAGCAGACACGCCAGGCGGATTTCCGCGATCGTGGCGGGCGTTAAGGGTGTGGAGAGAGACAAGAGGGTGGTCAGGAGGTCGGTGGTTGGAGAGGAAGACGGGTTTTCGGGTGGGCGCTTGATGATAGCCCAGTAGAGCGGAGTGTGGCCTTCAACACTGGGTTCTTGTAGCAGGGCGCCGATGCTCAGACCGTTGGCGGAACACGCATCAGAGCAGCTTTTCAGTATACTGCTTGTGACCACCGCCGAAGCCTCTCCCTCGTCTGCCTGCTTTACGAGGTCACGCACCAGCCCCAACACCGTCGACCGCACCTGCCGTGACGCTGGTGACGCAAATCCAAACCACGATGCCGAGCTGGGAGGGGCGCTTTTCAACGGTGGGTAGGCAGAGCTGTTGCTGTTGCTTGTAGTCGTGACTACTGGAGAAGGTCGTTTAGTGTCCGATGGCGCGCTGGAAGAAGTGCTGGCTTCATATGCAGGCGGTGCATCGAGTGGAATGCCATCCAACTTGTCGTCGGGGAGGATCATAAGTAGGGAGAAAGAGTGAGTCGACTCATTATTAGGCGCCGCCTTTTGGCTGAGAGGTGTCAACTGCGCTGATGGTGTGTCGGGCCATGGCTGCGCAATCAATACGGCACAGATTGATGACATCAGATAAGATATAATCCTAACTAAATTCTCGCAAATGCAGGAACAGCCTCTTTCGCAAACTTCCCCCGTGTAATCTGCTGCAATACCTCCCATTTCGCCATCCCTCCATCTACAGGCGTGTGGTGATAAAGCGCACGGGCAGCAAACACAACCGGGCCGACGCGGCCGGGCACCGCTGCTGACAAAGGAAGGGCGTCAAACGCGTCTTCGATCGCGCGGCGGGCGTGCTGCTCGTGGCACATGATCGCGCCTGAGTCGCGTCCCCCGTGAAGACCGGGCCCGAGTGTCTGGAGCAGTGCAGCGTGATTGAGGTGTGGGAGGTGGGCCATCGTCGTAGCAAAGTGTTCCTGTTTTTTGAATTATTTATTATTAGAAGAGAACAAAAAAGGAAATGCTCACAACAGCGTTGTCGACGACCTGAGCCGGCGCCATACCTTCCGCCCAGGGCACACGGTCGATGTCCACACTTGCCACCAGAACCCTCAGATTGACCAACTTGCTCACTTCGCCTGCCATCTGTGGACCAAACGACCAACACCCACCATACTGGGCCCTGACCGCCAATACCCGCATCGTCGCTGCGTGATTGGTCAGCGCTGTGAGTAATCGCATGTCAAGTGTTGCTGTCTCCTCGTAGTAATCCAGGTCTACCACAAGCACCTCCAGGCCGCTGTACGTCTCCAGATACTCCCCAAGTCCGGTGCCGATCACCGGCAGACGCAGCTCCGTGATCCGTGCACGGGCATCGGCCAGCGCTGTCCACACCGCGGGGTCCAGCTCGCCCTTCCCGGTCACCGCGAGGTGGGTCAGGTCGCGCAGCGACACTGCATCGAGCATGCCCGGCGGTAGCGTCACGTGTTTTAGCCGCGGCGTGCCGAGGGCGTCGTAGACGGCGGAGAGCTGCACAGGTGGGCCAGGGAAGCCGTCGGGATCGGGGTGTGGCGCGTACACGTGCAGCGTGGTCAGGTCACGTGTTGAGTCGGCCCGGAGGAGCGCGTCACAGATGTCGCTGCCTGCGTACTCCCACTGCTGCGGGTCGTCGAAGGAGAGCCGGAGGGTGTGCAGCAAGGGGAGGCGCGGCCAGGCGGGCCCGCAAGTGAAGGCGTGCCAGTTGATGCCATTGTCAGCGAGGTCTTTGAAGGTTATGTGCAGGGTGGTTAGCGAGCGAGCGAGGTGGGTGAAGATGACGGAGAGCGCGGGGCGTGGAATGGAAAGTGTGTTGAATGTAAGGCTGCGAAAAGTTTTTTTGTAAAAAAATATAAAGAACAAAAAACACACACACCTTGCAGTGCCGATTTCTGGCAGCGCGTTTAGAACACGGGTTACTAGCGGGACCATATTGGCCTTGCTCCTCTTTACTACGACTTTCAGCGTTCTCGTATGTTTTGTCCAGCCTGTCTGGCCACGTGCCACCGCCTCGAGCATGTCCCGCTGGCTGCCCCCCAACACAACAGTCAGCGCCGCGAAGAATCGGGGTGCCAGTGCAGCCTCAAATGCGTGACAGACGGTCCTGAGGGCCTTGACACGCTTGGGGGGCATCGACTTGCTCGCATGGGCAAGGATGTCGTCCACCAGTTCTGGGGCGAGACGCTCAAACGACATGGTAGCCGGGAGTAACAAGTTAGGGGCACGGATGAGTCAGCTTTATAGGATGGTCCCGCCGAGCGCCCATGTTCTGCTCGTTGTCGATGCCGTGCAACTCGTCATTCCCGTGGCTGTCATCCACAACGTGTGTTTCTGGCCAGTGAAGTACTTGCGCTATGTTGGGTACTGCGTCGCTGGCGCCCTCGGTGTGATTCAGCTGGGTGGGGAGGTTGTGGCGGATGACGGGGTATTGGAAGAGGAGAAGGTGTATCGTTACTTTTACAATCGTGGGTATTTTTTTTTCGTGTCCAATGCTTACTTACCTTATATGATCAGTTGGCCTTGTCTCCCTCTATAAAATCCCCAACACCTACTCTCTCCACCCTTCGCGCTCAACTAACCTCGCGTGACGGCCGATGTGTCTTTTCCAGCACACAACTCCCTGACATTGCCTTCCTCGCGCCAAACAAGACCACCGACCCAACAGCCGCCAACACGCTCTCCGTCAGCCCGTCCATCCGTGCCCTGCTCAACGCCAGTAAATTCGGCGTGATCAAGACACCCAATGCCATACTCGATAGCACGGATGTCCGGCCCGCCCCGCCCCGGAGCCTGCCGCCAGAAATGCGCTTCCCTGCCGACGCGCGGTATCACCTACATTGGCTGGTCGAGCATTGACAAGACCCGTTTGAGCCCGTCGGGCCGGCGGACGCCGCGCTCCGGGCCGGAGATGCTACCCCGCGGCCATCGGACAGGGTGTTGGAGGCGCGGTACGCAGAGGCGGTCAGGACTGCGTGGGGACAGCATGGTATCGGTCACAGTTACGGGCACGTGCCACTTGTGCCAGACGATGACCACGGCAGGTTTAGACGCGCAGCGCGGCTCGTGGGGATGCTGTGGACCCACAATCGACTTATCGAGGGATTAAGCAATTGTCCGTAGATGACTAACAAGATCGTAATGTACTCAGTCAAAGTCCATAAGTAGTCAGGACAGCCTAGAGCGGCCGACGAGGGCAGCGACCTCCTCCGTGAACGTAGTGATAACACCACCCACTACCTGGAAGTCGCCAGGCTGGACCTGGAAGCGTGAAAAGCCGAGCCCAAGGTCGATGGCAGGGGCAAATTTCGCGCATGCATTGCCGAATCTGGAAATCCGTAAATGGCAATTGCAAGCACTGATGTACGCAAACAACAGCGAAGCTGACGGGGTGTCTCCGCGCGCGCGGAATCGCGTAGAGCAGACGGTTGTCGGCGGCTGCAGCAAAGCCAGCAACCGAGGCGAGAACAGCGAGGGTAGCAGCATTACTAATTGGGTGGAGAAGTCTCCATGTGGACGGAAAGCATTCGCCGTCGTGACTTTCGGGAGTAGCGCCAAAGGGCGCCAAGCGCTATCTGCTATATTTGCTACTTAGTGCACCATGCTCGCCGCATCTGCCTGCTTGAACTCCTGCCTGAACACGGCATTCCGCATTGGCAAAACGACTCGTCCGTGCCCCGTTATGGTAGTAGCGCCCCTGTCCCGCCTCACGCACTTGATATATCTCCACGGTCGTCTTATACCCCGGGTTTCCATCCTTAATCGACATTTAAATGGCGCAGACGATCACGAGCAAGGACCAAGCCGAATAGAAGAATTCGGAATCGAGAATGGCCACTGGCACTGGCTCAGAATGAAGATAGCATTGTTTTTTACCGACGAGTCTTGGTATAGACTGCACTCGCAGCATCCGCCTGCCTGAACTCTGTGCCAAATGTGCCCTCGACATCTGCACTCGAGAAACGGCTCCCCGTATTCTGATTGTGGTTGGAGTGCGTCCCGTTATGGTAATACCGGCCATGTCCAGACTCGTGCCGTTTGATGGCCGCCTCGCGTACTTGGTACATTTGGACGGTCGTGCGATACCCGATCGTCTCGGCATCAGCAAGAGTGATGCCTTCCTCGCGCGTGCAGAGTTCGGTGTACGCTGAGCGCAGCCACTTGGAGACGTCGTATTGCCGCGCCAAAACGATTCGCTCGACTGGCGAGAGGTTGTGGGTGTCGAGTCGGGTGATCGCGAGATCACGTGCAGCAATGAAGAACCACATCGTTGACAACTTGAGCACTGAGATCCAGTCGTCTTTCGGATAAGCAAGTAGTTGAGGGATGTCGCTGCGGTATTATGTAAAGATGATAGATTATATTAAGTACTGGTTTGGGACACCCACAGCGGGTAGAGGACTTTCAATAGACGCTGAAAGTCGAGAGACTCGATGCCCTCGAGCACAAATGGGTTGGAATCACTGTTTCCCTCAGCATCGTTGTCGTTAACAGAGGGCAGCGACAGTGTCGTCGAGAAGATGTCCGAATTGTGTTCGAAGTGGTATCGCGGGACTTTGAACAGACGATCTTCGACCTAGCAGAATGAATAAGTGGGTTTGCGAGAGGATACAATGCCGACTTTGAATATGATGCTTTCGAGATAGTACTTGGGAAGGAAGTAGTCGACGGCTCTCATGCTTGGTAGGAATTCAATGGACGCCTCATAGACATCAGGAGATGAAGGAAGGCAATAGGCTGGGCCGGGGGCAGAGTAGGCCATGACAATTACTGGAGAAAACCGGTAGGAGTCCAAGTATACTTATACGCCTGCAGTTTCGCCTCGTGTGCGCCTTATCCCAGCGTCAATCTGCGTTTACCAGAGCCAGAGCAGTCCCATGGTCGTAAACTTGCTTCCTTTCTATCCTTAGTCAAAAGGTGGTGGCTTGCATAGCACTGGATTTCATATAATGAAGACCGAGCTAAACATGGCTGTATCCGAGCCAGAAACAACGGCCTTCCTTTCTATCCTTGTCGACGGCGTGGGTAGCTCAGGAGCTGAGATAAAACGGACTCGAGAGTTGAATCCAAGTAGCAGCAGTCGTAGTTCTTCTTGTGAATTGGTTTTGAATTGGTCAAGAGCGAGATTTCAGCGCCTGTCACAGCGTGACTGTACTGCTTTCACCCCATCCCAACCACGGAATCTTGCCTTTGAATGTCTATTTATTCCTAGTCCTACGATGTCGAGACCCTACCAGCCTCACTCGCGCATACCTATCCAATCCGTACCATGGAACGACGATGAAAAACCATCCTTCAATGACCTCTCCAACCGGTTGCGAAAGACATTATCGCGCTACTCGCGCTACTGGTCTCCACGGCCCCACCCGATGTCTTCGTCGTCGTCAGTGCCAGCATCGAGCTTGAAGTTCGTGCTGCTCTGTAGCCTGTGGTACACATCCTCCGCCTTGTCGTCAAATACCGGCAAGGCGATCCTCATGCAATTCAAGTACCCCGTCACCCTCACATTCGTCCAATTCGGCTTCGTGGCGGCGTATTGTCTGCTGTTCATGTCACCGCTTGTTCAATTCTCAAGAATACGCCATCCAACCCAGGCGATTCTGAGGAGCACGGTCCCTATGGGCATGTTTCAGGTCGTTGGCCACATCTTCTCCAGCTTGGCTATTGCGCGGATACCGGTTAGCACGGTTCATACGATTAAGGTATGCGTCATGTCCTCTTGTTTTACTCTTCCTAAACGAAGCTCAGGCTCTGTCTCCTCTCTTCACCGTTGCGGCATATGCGCTGCTGTTTGGTGTAAGCTACTCTAGCAAAACCTACGTCTCCCTTCTCCCGCTCACCATTGGTGTGATGCTCGCCTGCTCATTCGACCTGTCCGCCTCGAATGTCATCGGTATTCTCTGTGCCTTTGGCTCTGCACTCGTCTTTGTGAGCTCCAACATCTTCTTCAAAAAAATTATGCCCTCCACTCCGAATGGGATGTCCCAGCAAACTTCGTCGCACAAACTCGACAAGCTCAACCTGCTACTCTACTCTTCCAGCATGGCCTTCGTCCTCATGATCCCTATCTGGTTATACTATGACCTCCCACGTCTCCTCGCCGCGCCGACACTGGCTGAGTCCATTGCCCAAGCTTCCAATCCCCCGCCCGCACACTCTGTGACCTACTACTTCTTCATGAACGGCACTGTCCACTTTGCGCAAAACATCATCGCATTTGTCATCCTCGCCTCCACCTCCCCTGTGACCTACTCAATCGCGTCGCTCATCAAACGCGTCGCTGTTATCTGCATCGCCATTGTCTGGTTTGCGCAGCCCATCCACCTTGTCCAGGGAATCGGCATTCTGATGACGTTTACTGGGCTCTGGATGTACAATAACGCCAAGGGCGATGTCGAGCGTGGAGAAAAGCAAATGCGTCGAGTAGAGGCTGCGCGGGACCTGGCGTTGCCTGTCACGAAGGAGGATGCCAGAATGATGGCCCCGTCACCGCCACCGCCGATGGTGATGGAGAGCAGTGCAGAGTCTACAGGCACGGGACCGAATGCGGGGGGGAGTATTATATGGCCGACCAAGAGCGCCGTCGCACAACCTTCACCATCATCTTCACCAACAGCATGCCCCACCGTTGACGATTCGTGTTACACCGCCAGCGCCAGGCTCTCCAATCGACTCTTATCCTTCCCCTCCACCCTCTTTGGACTCGCCTCCCCGCCCAAGATCACCCCCATTGCACGCCCACTCCCATCATGGATTGCCTGTTATGGCTGCAGCATAGGACATCAGTTTTTTTTTATCATCTTCGCCGTATCTATCTCCTACACTACATAGAAGCAGTTGGCTTAGACAGCGCAGACTATAATTTATAACTTGAACACTCGTTTATTAAGGCCTCAAGTTACTACACTGACGCGTTTCTACTCTATCGCGGCCACAAAAAAAAGAAGAGAAACAGAGAGAAGAGAGTGACAAAACTATAATGCTAATGAGAGGCGTCCCCGTTTGCTGCTTCCTGTCGACGGGGTGCCAAAGCCAACAGACGATCCAGAAGAGGCCGAACACGCCATTGTACCTCCTGCCCGACGCGGTTCACCTTCTCGTTCAACGGCATATTGGGTGTCGAAAGAATGTCACGGAGAGTCACGATCGTGCTGTTAAGCTCTTGCGATGCGGCACCAGCAGAGGATTGGACTGAGGCTCCAGTCGCAACGAGCGAGGTTTGGATCGATCTGAGTTCGGTGATGAGACGGTTCGAGAGGGCGTCAACACGGGCGCCAGCAATCTGGGCCAATTCCGTAATTGAGTCGGCAGTCTGGGAAGCCCGTTGTCTGGTTATATCGTAAGTCGGCCATGACTTGCGATAAGAGAAAAAAAAAGTGACTGACACAAGGACAGTTTGGTGACTATAGTCGTACAGCTGGCCAGTGACATTCTTCGAGAGTTCGTAAACACGCTGAACCTGGTACTGCGTGTCGGTGGGTGCGGAGGTATGGAGACGAGTGACGGCGGTTTTCTCGATATAGTCGACAAGGGGAGTGAGACGCTGCCAATGAAATGTGAGGTTTATGAAGGAAAAGATATGGCCAGATCGCACTTGGTCAATTCCATAGGCGGCCTCTTTGGCGGGGGTCGTAATGCGTGTCTCGATGGCCTTGTTGGCGTTCTCGCGGGTTTCTCCGACCATCTTCGTCACGCTGGCACTGCGCTCACGAACGTAGCTTGAGACCTCCTCTGGTTTGGCCTGGAATGGGTAGGGATAACGCGTTTCGACTGCATCGACAGCCTTGTTGGCGTAGTTGTCGGCCGAGACAAGCCATGGGCCAAGACGAACATGGAGGGGAGCAGCGTAATTGTAAGCAGAGGCAGAAAGGTCTTTGGCAGCCGAATACGGTGACGAGGTATAGCGATTGTTGGCGAGGGTTGCGCTGACCTGCTGAACAGTGTAGGCCACGATGGGGATCGACGCGACACGGTTGATAATGGTAAGCTCTGGCGCTTGGGACTTCTCGCTGTTTGACGAAGAGGGCATTGGAACGGTGGAGGTCGTCATGGTGTCAAGGTAAGAAGCAAACGTGCTGCTGAAAAGCTGGCTCTTATATCGCACCTTGGCATGTGATTTTATGTAAGCCGCTACGGCATTCTGCTTCTCTGCCTCTTATCGAGCGACGGCGGCGTCTGGCTTTTCAGATCTGGGCTTTGGCGTGGAGCTTCTCAGGTCCAACTAGTTTTGGCCCAGAAGTTCAGATGACCTTCTAAAGTAACTCAGTAAGTCTACGCTCAGCTTTGCTTATGACGGCGCGTGATATCGACACTTTATCACGGAGCTTCGGCTGCTCATGTGATATCAGATGCTGTGCAAGCAAGACGCCGAAATCTTAACTGATAAGCCGAATCTATAGCTCGTGAGCTCTAGCCTCTCTCTTCTTCGTCCCTTGCCTCTGCTTCGTTACTTTTTATTTAGGACGACCTCAGACAGCTCTCTAAGCACTCTCTCGCCTCGGATTCTCCTATCTCAACTTTGGTAGCGCATTCATCGGATGTCAGAAATAAATCCACCATCGGCGTTGCGTCGGGCACTAGAAGTTCCCACGAACATTCTGCTGATTGATTGATTGATGCAACCTTAACTTGTCCATCATCAACCATCGACAAAAGACCAATGACCAAATTTTGCGACCACAGGCGGGTACGAGGACTCCGCGGCGGCGGTGGCGGGCGGATATGCGCCTTGGTCATGCCCCCCCTCAAATCAAGGGTCACCATGCGCTGTAAACAGCGACAACATTTCTTCTCGAAATGGAAGCCTCAACGCGTCCAGTGTCTCCACTTTCGCAATACCCATTCGCATTCGGAGCTTGCTCGAAAGACTCTACTGAGGATAGAAAACGAACAGAATGCAACTTATTCACCAGTACCGCTTTACCTCCTTTCCGTCGTTGCATTCATTTGGTCAGCCAATCTCCACGCCATCAGAACAGACCGAGGCCGACTGGGTCAGAGCCTGAATGTAGCCGTGAATATCCGAACTCCGACGCGACTGGTTTCAGTCTCGCCTCCCCTCTGCACAACACAACGCGCGATCCATATAACACGGAACGGTGAAAGCCTTTTATCGCATCGCCACGGGTTCTTCCTCGAAGATTTCCAACTGTCCACTGTCGCTCGTTTGCTTCCGCCACCATGCAGAGTGAATTTCCAATAAGCGGAGGTTGGAACTGGAGGGGTTTGCCGCCGAGCCGCCACACTCGGCACAACAATGCGAGTGAAACGATCTACCTTGGTGTGACCAGACAGCTGACGAGTGAGCCCGAAGCTGTCAATCTGCGCCCTCAACATAGGCAACAGGCACATTCACTGTCAAGAATGATCGCAAGGTGTTGCCGGTCCCTTCGGCGATCACTTTCTCCCCTCGGCAACCATCTTCCCGAATTTCAAATTTCGCGGAATCATTTGCATCAAAAAAGGAATCATGCAATGGCGGTCGTATTTCCGCCCGTCTCTTTCATCGCGAACTGCGCGAGGTGCTAGTGGCAATGACTCTCCTGTTCACCATACACTGCCCAATGCGGTTGCGCGGCGTCAAGTCCCGTAACGACTCAATAGCGATCAGGCAGGAACTGCCAAGAGGAGTTTCGACGTGGGACCTTTACCCTACTTACTCTAAAACCCTATCAGCTCGTAATGCCAGTGTTCTGTGGGTCCAATTTTTCTCGCCTTCTTTGGTGAGCAAAACAATTATGTGCAAAATCGAGCATTCGGCTGTGCGTACGCCATCTTTATAATCGACGTGTTAGCACCAAAAAAAGTGTGACATTGCTCGATCGCCTGATCGAATCCAGAAAGGTATATCGAGATCTCGCGTTCAACGACTCCGAGGCATCCAAGGGTTTAACTGGGTATTTATGAGGGTTTCTTTGCTCGTGTTCATGACATTCTCCCAATGCCCCCCTCCAGACTATTCGGTTGGGCTCCCGCCAATGCCGATGGCGACGATGTTCAAGTTGACGCTTCATCAACCGGCCAATTCACCTTTCAAGTTCGTGCCCAAGGCTCTCCAGCCACTCTCCCGACCTCCATGGGCTTCTTCTCGTCGCCTGACGATAACCACTCCCAAGAGCATACTCCCCGACCGCGCAATGCTTTTATCATATTTCGCACCGAGTTTGCGCGACTGCACCATAGTCCAGAGACCAGTAAACAGCGACGCATCCAGAACAAGTCCTCTGGCCGGACTGTATCTGGCAAAGCCGCTGACGCGTGGAATAAGCTTTCTGAGCGCGACCGCGCCCACTACAACCGTCTAGCCGAAATCGAAAAGGAAGAACACGCTAGGCGGTATCCCAACTACCAATATCGCCCCCGCCGACGTGGCTCGCGTGTGACCCGTCGTCCCTCTGTGCTGACTCCTTCTGTGACAATTACGAGTCCACCTCCACAAAAACGTCGGCGGACAAGGGCTTCGAGCTTCATCTCTAGTGACGAGGAGTCCTCCTCAGAAAGCAGTGCACCACCGTCTTCCCCCGAGTCGGACTTTCACCTCAACCTGCGACTCCCTCACGAGCCCCAGCCAACAATTGTCACGATCGATGAGGAGACAAAGGGCGATCGACGTCGTTCTTCCTCTGTCCCCGTGACCCTCAATGAGCACGACTACTTGACGGCAGCTGGCTGGCCAGCCAGTGTCGTTGAAAGCACCGCCCGCAACGAACGGCAATGGGAGCTCCGCCCGACAATGCTCCAAAGCAAGCGTCGCTCGCGGTCAGTCACAGAGGCCGACCTCGCTAGTCTTGGAATTCCTCCCTCTTACGAGACCGATGCTGTTCAGGTTCGTTTTTTGTCCTTCGCCTTTTTTTTCTTGCGTTGACGCTTACCTTATCCCCAGTATACTCCCCGACTCGCGAATAACCTCACCATCGACCCTGCATCACTCTTTTCCCCGATGCACATCCAAGTCTCCTCCTCCTCATCATCATCATCATCGCTAGCCAACTGGAACGGCGAGTTGGAAGCCGCGCAGACACCCGCTCCATCTCCCATTACCTCAGCTCCCACTGGCACCCACATCGCTCCCCTTCCCCTTCGTCTCGACACTCCATCATGGCTGCCAGAAACGTACAACAGCCAATGGCCGCTCGACTCAACGGGCCACTACGTGCCAATGCCCCCCATATTTGCACGTAGTATGAGCGATCCGGGAGTTGGCGGTGAGCTCACGGTCACCGCCATTTTGCAACAGCAGCAAGAGGAGCTGGCTCGGGCAGCGAAGGAGCAAGACGACGCCGCCTTCGCTACCTATTTCTCGCTCAGCGGGCTCGACTTGGAGTCGCCCACGAGCCCTTAAAATACCCTGGCTACCCAGTTCCCTCCTGGTTTTTGGTCGTTCGTCTTCGTTGGCGCCGAAAAAACGTTGGTAGTGTCTGTTATATCCTCGACATACCGTTATACATACTGTACACTATTTATTCCCCCTTTATTTTATTTGTTAGTCTATAGCTCACTTATACACAACTTGGGACTTACTTAAGCTTCCTGTACTACCACGCATATATTTTCGCTTCTTTGCATTTGATGGCGCACGCGCTGCGACGTCGGGAACAAGCGTGGAGCCGAAAATCGATGGGCAGAGCGCGGCACCCGCGGATAGGGTTGGGCTAGTGAAACGGAGTGCAAACCCAATCGAGGGCTGGGGTGGTCGCTCAGAGCAATTTCCTCGGAAACCACAAAGAGGAGGGTAGAATAGGTGCAACCAGCCAAAAAAAATATACTTCCCCTCTCTGCGATGCGAAGCATTGCAGCACAATCTACGCTGACCCTAGACCGCCCGTACTCCGACGTCCATCGTCAACAAAGGAACCCAGGAAAACAACTGCTGGGCATCGGTCAATTAGTCCGGGAAAGCCCGAATATATTGCTTACGTTTTAGGTTTGCAGCCTAGATCAGCAGGTTCGTGTGGATTACGGTATCGTGCCGCAAAGCCACAAGAGCGGAAACGCGGTTGACGCGAGGGGTTGGCGCTGTTAGTAACCGGGGTTCGGGGCTGACCCGAACGTGAACCGCTCTTTGAATCGACTTGAATTCCATGTCATCCTTCACATTCAGTTTGAGGTCCGCTAACAGAGAGTTGAAATTTACCTCTGAAAGATAGGATAAATAGGACAGAAGTAAGTTCAAACGCTTCTGGATGGCGGCTGAAGAATATGATGCCTTGAGTGTGGAGACGTGATAAAAACAGGGCAGAGGGTACTACACAGCAGGATATTTGAGATGATGCGAAGTCGTTTCAAGTAGATTCCGAGGACATAGTACCTTGAGTCCTTGACTCGTCATACCCTGCTTGAAGGAAGTCGGGCCGGTAAAATAAGGTTGTAGTGATGGCTCCAGTCGTTATCGAGGCATTGCAATTGCTTCACGTCCGTCGCAATATTCAACTGGAAGATGGGTTGCTGACTCACGGTCATGATCATCATGATGGGAGAGTAAAAGCAAATTTCAAGAGTATCCTAAAATCGCATTTGCCTCGCGCAGTAGCTGGCCGTTCCCAACGAACGGCCGGAACCCCATTGCCTGCTGACTCTCGGCTTGGGGATGAACATCTCCTTCGGTTGCTCTTCCGACAAAGTCCGATTCACCAGAGCCGCCAGGAAAATCACTCCAGGAGTCATTTTAAATGTGTGCGGTAGGGAAAGAGAGGGCTTACGGAGCAGGGAGACCGGCCAAGAAGTTGTTGCGCTGGTCGCGAAGGTAATGAGCACTGGACAATAGACAAAATCAGGCCCGAGGCATTTACAACGAATGGAACACAAAACTTGTCGGCAGTGAGAGGAACGGCGGGAATGTACAACACGGAAGAATCTTGTACCCCTCCATGACGAGCTTCAACCGCATGAATCATATCACAATGCCCTGTGATGGGATTAACTCTGGGTACTCCTCCGTGGCACAACTCACAATAGACTTGGTCGCCGGGCTCCACCATTGGTACACTGACCATGGTTTCGGCCAACTTGAGATGAGGATGTGTTATGTTGTTGAGCTCCAGTCCCGTTCCCATGCCTGCACCCACAAAGTTCGGGTTATCGACATCTGGCACATTCCAATTCTCGAACTTGAGCGAGGGCGAAGTCGGATCACGTGGGCGGAAGAAAGGTCGCAGAATCCAATACGCTGTTGCAAGACGAAGGGAAGGGAGAAGTTGAAGGGTGCCCTGTCCTGGTCCAGTATTAGACATTGATGTCCAGCCTTGCCACGGCCGGAAAATTGAGCATTGATTTCTTGATTTGAGAGAGCGTTAACGAAGACAGTCAAAGACCACCAAAGTTCTTACGGCGCATGATATAGGTCCTGCTTGGCGTTGACTCTTGGCGTTGCAAAGTACGGATCGTAATTCCTCCATGAACTACCGCCGTCAAGAATTTTGCTAAAACATTTGCGATATTCGAGGTCCTCCCAGCGCTCAATGGAGCCAGCGTCCGCATGGGGACCCAACGCGAATTTCATGTCTCCCGGAAACCGGATGCGAAGGCGGTCAAAGTATGAGATGGGTGCGTCAAGACGGATGTCGTCAGAGGAAGTGTGCCAAAGGGAAAGTAAAGCTCGTTGAGTAGCAAGAATATTGGGGTGGGTACGCGCTTGCATTTGACTGACAGTGTTGTAAAGCTCGTAGACTTGAATCTTGTCGGCGGGAAAACCTGAGTAGTTTGAGTAAGAGAATGTCTGCAGTATAACGAACGAACCTTTGACTTTGTCCGCGTTCACGGCAGCATACTGCTGGATAGCGAGCTTCCATTCAAGTGCTATCTTTGACAGGTAAGGCTAATAACAACACACGCAATATGACACACCTTTTGGGAGACAGCACCTTTCACTACAACACATCCAGCTTCTCGAATCTTGATCGACTCTTCCGCGCTCAGTCCTCGATGAATGGCGTCTATTGAGATTTGCGGAATCATCTGCAGAATATAATGTGAGCAGGTAAAGCTCGACATGCGATTGGTGTTCACTTGTTCGCCACTTTCTCTGATGTGTTTCGTCTCCAGTTCAAGTTCTCCCAGAACCTCCTTCCAACTCTGCTCAAGGCTTCCTGTGCTCTTCTCCCAGATGGCTCGTTTGAGATCAGCAAACCGCGGTGGAAATGCATGAACAGCGTCGTCGGGACGCAGCGAGGCAAATACGGCAGAAATGTCACCTTCTCCCTTCTGAGAGCGGCCACTTGACGCCATAGCAGCCATGGTTGTTACCCCACGGGTCAATGAATGGCGGGCTGGAAAAACAACATTGAGCATGGTGGTTGAGTCTGAGCACAATGACCATGCTGGCCTATGTATATAGCTGGCCTCGGTGTTGGCACGTCGAAGGTCAGCAGACTATAGACTGTCGGCCGAATGACGGACACGCTTCGTTGGCTACAGTTCGAAGCATTCTTGCAATTCAAAGCTGACTTGGAACCGTTGAAGTTGCGATATGCGGCAACTCGTGCTTCAGACATCTGCGAAACATCCTTGTTTTCGGCGAGGTAAGTAGGTATAGTGGGAGAAAGATGACGGCTCATTCGGCATGAGTTGGTGTTGATGATATTGATGATGTCTGTTGTGTTCCTCCTACTCTTTCGCGCTACGCGTCGTCTTCGTATGCTTCAACAGGGGAGAATTCGAGCGCTTGAGCTTCACCATGGATCTCGGAGGATGTGGGTTTCGTATCATGTCACAAATGTGACCACAACTTTTTCTGTCTCAATCCACCTCAGAAAAAATGTCTAAAACCATCTCCCTCAACCTCAATCACACGCCTTTCTCTCTTCGGTCCGACTGACTATCATACAATCAAACACGATGAGAAATCTTTGTGGCCATTGGAGCCGAAGTGCCGATAATCCCTCTTAAACGTTTACTCAGCGATGCAATCCGCCGCGGCTAGTTCTCCCAGCATTTCTCTTCTTCCCACTTCTCCCCGTGCCTGGCGTAAATGTCTACTTCCGCCCCCAGCGCGTCCCCCTCCATTTCTGACCTCAAATCCACACCCCAAGAACAACAATTGACCGTTAGCGAAGGGAAAGCCACTCCACGAGCACACGGTGCAGGCTTTAGAGATGTAGAGGAAGCAATAAGCCTCCCGCACAACAAGTGCGCTTATCCCAGTTTCTCCTCTGCTTGTTCACTGACTCTGATGGCAAAGTATGGTGCTCGTCATGGCCGGCCTCTTCATCACTATGTTTCTTTCGAGTTTGGACAACACCATCGTAACGACGGCGCTCCCGACTATTTCAGCAGAACTTCATGGAACTGCAAGCGACTATAGCTGGACTGGCGTTTCCTATGTGTGCCGTGTCCGATCTCTTAATCATTGAGACTGATGAAAGCATATAGATGCTAGCGTCTGGCGCCTTTGTTCCATTGTGGGGTAAACTAAGTGATGTCACCGGCAGAAAGGTGTGGCTTTCTTGAAGAGTCTACGCTAGTTCTTTAATGCCATTTTAGGCTATCCTATATCCCTCAATAGTCGTCTTTCTTCTGGGATCGGGATTGTGTGGTGCTGCTAAGGTGTGTTTTCCGTTCTAGACCTCGAACTTCATTAATTCGTGGCCTCAGTCAATGCCGTGGCTTATCGCATGTCGGGCAGTCCAAGGTATAGGTGGGGGTGGTATAGGTAAAATTTCGCCCTCGTTCTCAAACCATGACGCAGACATTGTTCCGTAGTTATCATGGTACAAGTCACCATCTCCGATATCGTCACCCTGCGAGATAGAGGTAAATATTCTGCGGTGATCGGTGGTTGCTGGGGTGCGTCAAGCCTTTTCCCTCTGCCCGATTAGCTTTTGTTCATGTTCCCCAGGCATTGCAAACGTGCGGCGTTTCATTCTTGGCTTTCCTTCATCTCGAATGCTCTTCTAGGTTCTTGGCCCCATCCTAGGCGGGATCTTGACAGAGAAGGCGAGCTGGAGGTAAATTTCCACTTTCCGCGGCTGAGGAAAATGTTCCAATGTTCAACAGGTGGTGTTTCTGGATTAATCTCCCAACCGGAGGAATCGCCGGGATCATGCTACTATTTTTAAACCTGAACCCTGTCAAGAAGATGACTTTGCGAGAGTTTTTCGCGCGGTTCGACTTTTTGGGCATGTGCGTCCCTTTTCGATTCCACCAGGTACAGCGGGACATAATCGCAAAACTAGATTCCTCCTCATGTCTGGAACTGCTCTGTTTTTAGCAGGACTCTCGATTGCCGCAGACAATGGATGTTGGTGTTTTTGTGCCAAATGTTGGGAATCGATGACTGATAGCCTCATATAGTTGGAGAACCTTCAACCGTAGCACTGGTTGTTGTTGGCTTAATTTTGTTGTTGGTTGCGGGTGTCGTGGAAGGGCGCACAACGCGGATGGCTGTGATTCCGCCCAGACTATTCAAGACACGAACAACTTTAGCGCTCTTCGGCCTCACTTATCTTCATGCGATTGGTTTCATCTGTAGGTTCTTTCCACGCAGTTAGCCCTCCCACAATCTGATGACTTAATAATAAAGGCACGACATTCTATCTTCCCGTCGTTTTCCAAGGCGTCGATGGAGACAGCACTCTCCTCAGCGGCATCAAAATGTTTCCTGTCGCGCTTGGCGGCTCATTTACAACCATCCTCGTTGGCCCTCTTGTGACCAAAACCAAGAGTACACGGCCGTTCATATGGACGGGAACCGTAATGATGGCTGTTGGGGCGGGCTTGTTAATCACGCTCTCAGAATCGTCGCCTCTCGGGCATGAGATGGGGTTCACGTTGTTGCAGGGTATGGGCACAGGATTGGTGAGCCATTCGATTCGCGTTAGTCCACAGACCAATATTTTTTTTTTCCAGCTATTCCAACCGCCTTTGATCGCGCTGCAAGCCGCCATGCCCCTCAAAGACATGGCTGCTTGTACTGGTGCAGTACGTGATGTACTAAGTTTACGAGATAATCTCTGACTCTACCTCCTCCAGTTTTATCTGGTCCGGTATGAGAACAGTCTCTCTGTTTGAATTTATATGCCGACAATTGAACTATAGAACTCTCGGAATCACATCAGGCATCTCCATGGGAGGTGTTGCCTTCCAGACCCAACTTAGTCACCGTCTCCGACGGATACCTGGCTTTGCAGAAACCGCAATGGCAAGGAGCATCCTTGAGGGAAACTATAAAGATATCAAGGACATTACGCCACCAGACCTGAAGCTTCAGGTCACCGTAGCTCTGTCACGGTCGCTGAGGACGATTTTCATCTTCTTGACACCGGTTGCGTGCGTCACTGTTTTGGTGGGTCCTTTATTTTCTTGAACGCTTGAACTTCATCACATCTTATTTTATTATTAAGCTGTCGCTCATGATACGGCACTACAGCTTGGAAAGGAATTTTGTTCGCACTTCGAAGGGTGATGCGACTCCTGATGCTGAAAAGACCATTGCGCCGGTCGAAGACATGAATGTCCTCGAAAAATAGACTAGATCACCGTTTGGTATAGATTTCTTTTGTAGCTATATCTGCTGCCTTGTCTGCTTGATAAACTCCGAGTCGCTCCCAGCAGCGCTCGTCTCTCCACCAGCTGAAAAAGTAGGGCGGACGTCTTAATAACAAATTCTCTCCAACCGTTTAAATTCTCCCAGTACAACCCGTCAGTATACCCACACAAGGCGGCCTTGGTTATCGACCACAGCTGGAGATGGGCAATGCGGCGCGGTCCGGCTTTCTTATACCATCTCTAATGTCGATTTTCTCATTGCATCTTCAAGTTGTGTCTTCAAAAACAGCTATTTCCTGGAACAATGACGGCGTTATTTAGAAACATGAAGAGTATCTTGGCCACTTTGAAGGAAGAATGCGCTGGTCCCCGTGACGTTGAGATGTGAGGAAGCGTCCCGATGAAAGGGTAGCGAATATCAGCAGCATAGTCATACCCCAATGCCTCGACGTGGTCAATTCCGTGCCCAACGTATATTTGCAAACACCTGAGAGTTCTGTTTCAACTAATTGAGCAATGGAAACCAAGACAGCGTCGAGAGCGTTGGGGAGAACATCATTTGCCTTCTTCCCGCAGAGCAAGGCTAACAAGATCCAAGGAGCTCCCCAATCGAGTTTAGTACTTCCATTCAAGAGGAAAGGAGTCGAATCAAAATGCGTGAATTCCACCAATAAACTGAATGAAAAAGATGGTAAGGTAGCACATACAGTACACAGCCCTAGGATACAGACGGGGAGAACGAGTGTTGTGTTGTGTGTGTGCAAAGAGAGTGAGCATGCAATACAATACCGAGATCAAGCATTCTGGAGCAGTCGGCGGGGAGTGATCATGTGATTGGCGGGGGCGTGGGTGCGACGGAGAGTGGGAGGGGAGCCAGGACTTTGAGTCCGATTCCACATGTAAAGACGGGGTGTGACAGTCGGCGCGGGAGAGGGTGAAGAGAGAGCGAGGTGAGCCATTGGGGGAGGCGTGCTGGGCGTGGCTTCAACAACAGCAGCAGTCTCCGTCACAATCGGCACGGGAACGGGCATTTCAGAGGTCGGATTGGCGCGAATAGCGACAACCTCTCCCCCACCACTAACAGACGCAAATTGCTGGATTTGCGCAAGCAGCTGCTCGTTGATAGTCAACGAAAGAGTATCGTTGTTTGGCTCCGACTCGGGAGTATCGCTTCCAGGGTGTTCACCAAGGTCGACCTCTCCACGATCTAGGAATGCCTCATATTCTGCAGTCGCAAAAAACTCGTCCGCATCCGGGTCAAATCGGTTCGAAAGACTCCATTTATGGTACACAACCGGTGGCTTGTTGTCTTCGTCGATGGCTTGCGGAGCGACGGTAACGGTAGCATTGGCAGCGCGGCAGCCATACCGGTCAGAAAAAAGGGCGCGTCCCATCGTAGGTTTCGATGATAATGATACTTTTGAAGGGGGGTATGTAGCACGAACAGACGGACAAAACAATTAAGCAGTGCCCCGTATCGTGTCTTTTAGATGAGGAGGAAGGTTGGGGGATGACGAGGAGAAGAGTCAGCCTGGCCGTTGACTGTCACAGACGCGTCAACACTCAATGTCAATCAGTCACGCTCACGACCAACCATCGTTCCAGTGTTGCGGAAGTAAACTACCTTCTGAGGACTAATCCCCACTACTCATTTCTAGCAATGCCTCGATACTCCTCCCTAGATCTCCATCGTTGGCCTCTAAGACGAGCTGAACGACCTCTACCTCCATCGCAGGGAATATTTGTAATAATGTTTCCCTCGCTGCTTGAGCTGCTTGTTCGTGGGCACTATCGATCTGAGCTTGCATTCCAGCTAAATCAAAATTCGGTGTTGGTGTCCTTGAAACAGAGTCATCGCTGTACCCGCCGATCTGGAGTGATTGTAGTCTTGGGGGCACTAGTGCAGGGCCAGCATGAGCCATCCGTGATGGCGTATCTTCACCGCCATATCCGGGAGTTCCTGGCGGAGTACCCATCGGGACTTTGCGCACCCGTTGTTTATACGGAGTTTGGATTGGGGGCACAAACCCATCACTGCTGGCCGGCGTTTGTGGGTGATGGCTGTAATAGTATTGCTGTTGTTGCTGCTGACGGGTCTGATCAGGATGACTCCAATGTGGGATCTGAGGTGGATTGACCTGTTGTTGCTGTTGCCTATTTTCCCTTCCTAATTCGAAGGGCGCGAACGGCCCGGGAAGATATGTCGCTGCTCTGCTGCTCTCCCCTGGTGGTCCACCCACGCCGTCTAACGCCTCGTTTAATATCCTGCTTAACGCGCTTAGTGGTTTGGATATCGTGTCGCCCGTCTTCTGCAATAGTCGCTTGGCGTCCTCGGAAATTGTCTGGATGCCCTGAACAGGTGTTGAGATTGCAAGTGGCTGAGCAGACTCGTCTCCTTCGTGCGAGGAAGTAGTAGAATGAGATGAGACGGATGTAGCATCGGAAACCGAGCCTCGGGAGGGTGTTGACAGGAAATTGGCAGGGAGGACATGCGGCAAAGTTGGCGAGGCGTCGGCGGGTAAGGATTGGATGGCGGCTTCGACATTTTGCTCAAATTCCTCTTGCGAAATGTTTGATAAGGACGTATGATCCATCGTCTCGATGAACGAAACGGCCCCCATTAGGCTTGATAGATAATACCCCGCCTCGCTTTGGAGCTTAGTGGGATTTCTGAATCGATTTATGAACCTTGGAAAACATCAAGAAGACTCTTTTAGCTAGCCAAAAACATACTCGACATTTGACAACAGGTGTTCCGGGTTCGCCTTGAGCACAACGAAGATTAATATAGGCAGGAAAGAGTCCGCGCCTTCCTCTTTCTTCAGATGACGTATGAGGCCTGTCTCATATTAGGTGCCACGACTTGAGAGCAAGGAACCAGATGCGGACCAAAGATGACTTTGCAACAGTTGAGAATGCAAATAAGCTTGTCTCGGGGAGCCTTGTAGTGGTTGACCTTGAGCAGCTCTGGGTCGTCGTTAGAACGTCAGTAAAATTAATAGATCACAACTCACCTTGCTGCGCAAACATTAAAAAGCCGCCACTTCCTTCGCCAACGGGAATATCTAGATGAGTTTCCTCTATCCAACCGAACAGTGCTATTCGTTGGGTGAGTACACGATCACGCTCAAGGTCATCAGCCGTTATCTGCCGGCGCGGAATCGTAATGGCGATTTGTGGGGTAAATGTACTAGGAGAATGAGCCCCACATAAGATAACACTGTTGACGCACAATTGGTAAAGTTGGTTCATGACCAGCTTCTCCATACCCTCCATCGCATTGTCAAACTCAGCATCAGAAGCATTTTTCCAAATCTCAGACTCCCGCATCGGTCGAGCGATGAACTACAGATATGAGGTTACTTGGTCCACCAGTTTTTAGGACACTGCGTACATTCAGAAAATCCTGGATGATCTTGACCTGGTCACCAACAGTAAATGTCCGTTTTGAGAAGTTGCTGAGAAACCTGGGAATTGTGAGCAAATAACGATGTCGGCACATCATATCCTCACGATTTGAGGTATTTCGCAACAGCTTCTGCATGACGGGACTTCATTTGATCCAAAAACCTTTGGAAATCGAACGGTGGAGGGTCGTCTGATGTCGTTGGTGGCGGTTCGGGTGTCCTCCCACTCATTTCTGGTGCTCCAGTGGACTCTGATTGCTGCCTCGTTTGTTGCTCCACGAAATTGGAGAGCTTGGAGGGTGAGGGGACTGGGCGGGCATTATCTATGGAGCCGGGCCGTGACTTGGGCTTGAGGGGGAGGGAGAATGTCTTTGCCAAAGAAGAGAACGATGGAAAGACAGATGCTGACGGTGTTGTTGGGCCGGGTGTTTCAATATCCTTTGAGGGTGGTGTTGGCGGTGGGGAAGGTGTTCTTGGCGGCGGTGGTGGTGGATGTGGCTCTGTATTCTCCCAGGCCTCCTTTGCTGCTGCCTCTTCCTTATTGGCAAGTGGGTCGAACTCCGAGATAACTTGTTCAACGTTGGAAGGTTGGAGATCGAGCGATGTGGATGGCTCATTCTTAAACCCTTGTGCAAACGAGTCGTCTAGGAGTGACGAATCTGAGAGTTCAACTGGTCGGGGTTCGGCTGGGGTTGCTTTCTCTTCTTGTTTGGGTGTTTCTGACCACGGATTTGGCTCGGGAGTGGATGCTGTCGCGTCCAAAGACATGATGCTCGTGACATGCTACTGCGACGCGTTCGTCACACGGCGTCCTTTTCCTTTTTCCAAGCAACAGCACTCATGGTCCTGATACTCCAAGTTTTCCATTTCACCTTCTGGTCAGTTCGGATCTTTTCACAGAATTGTGTATAAGGAATCATTCTGCAAGAAGCGCCCGCCAGTCATAATAGGTCACCCCTTCTCAATCAACGCTGTAAGTAACAGTCACTGAAAGAGCCGTAAATACTTATCGTGTAGTTCCCAGTTGTCTCTACCACTCATGGCTGACTTCTCGCCTCAGAGTTCTCCAGCATCTTTGCCCCCACTTTCACGCCGCCGACGCTTCCTCCGAGCTCTCAAGATCTGGCGTCGGTCAAACAAGACTACTATGCATGGCCCGGGGGATTCCTTTGGTTGGCACGATATTGTATTAGAAACTCCGGCCGAGCGCGAAGCACGTGAGGCTAATACTCGTCAAAACAGCCTTGCACCTATCGCTCGCTTGCCCCCCGAGATTCTGGCAGACATCTTCTGTCGCTGCGTCCCCACATCCATTTCCGACATCCAAATCGGCTTCAAGAAACCCTCCTCCTGGCTGGCAATCCCTCGTGTCACCACTTACTTCAGAGATGTTGCACTGGCCAGTCCTGATTTCTGGAGCACAGTCGTATTGTCTCCTCCCCAAGTTACTGCCACAATGCTCATTCGCTCGCGTTCGGTGCCGCTCATCATCCGAGCTGACCTTAACAACAACACAGACAACTCTCCGGAACCCATCATTCTGGAACATACTGCCCGTTTAGGGACCCTTCACATTTCCTCCCCACGATGGCCGTTGTTGACATTCTTGTCCAATTTGGAGCATGCCGAGGCCGCCCCTCACCTCCAATGTCTCCAGTTTGTCAATAATAGCAATGCGACAGAAGGGGAATCCTTCACATGGCTGCCACGGAATTTCTTCAGACGTGAAGAGGTGCTTCGAGGTCACAGAGCGGGGAGTGCGCCAGGGTTGCATCTACATCTCAACAATTGTGCTTTCCCATGGGACTCGCTATGGTACAGACAGATAACCCATCTGCATTTAGAGAAATTAAGTACAGAACAGCGACCATCCACCCTAATCCTTCTCTCGATACTGGCGGCGTCTCCTGGTTTGCAAACCCTCGCCTTGATAGACATGTTGCCAGTGACACCACCTCCTGGCCTACAGACCGTTTCCCTTCCGTATCTTATGTCGGTCACTCTCAAGGACAATTCTCCTGCTCGTTGTCGACATTTCCTGCGCTATCTTCAAATTCCTCCGTTGGCCAACGTTTATGTGTCCTGTCGTGCGGAGGGCAATGGCGACTACTCGTGGTTAATTCGCAACATGACCCGACTCTCGAGTTACAACACCGTTAGCATCAAGCAGAAGGATGGTTTTGTTCTCCGGCTCAGCCACTCATCAACATCTTGCTGCAGACATCTCTATGTCAAAGCTTCCGAGTGGACTATCTACTCTATCCTCGCCACGACCGAAGGAATAGTCCGTTCACTCGCATGGCAGGAGGTCACAACGTTGCATTTGCATGGCTTCGATGCGGTTTTGCCTATTGTACCCGATGGCATGGCAGAGGACCGTCCCCTCTTTCTTTTCGATAGTATGGGTCGTTTAATGGAGAACGTCCACACTATACACTTCCATGGCGGATTTCCCACCCGTTGGCTCGACTTCATGCTCACACAGGCGATGATGCTTGTCGGTGTCAGCCACTTTGAATCTTCTTTTGCTAGGAATGGTCTCTCTTTTCGTGGGCCAGACGGTGCGCTGAGCCATTCGTGGCCCAGGCTAGCGAGACTCTGTCTCCATGGGGTCAATTTTGAGGTTGGGAACAGGAACAGCGTCGACTCTGAGTTATCATTCGAGCCTGACATGGAACCAACACGTGCATCGATTCTTCACGCTCTCTTGTGGGCAAGACGGCAAGGCGGCGCGCCGCTTCGGACGCTCGATTTGATGGATAAATGCAAAAACATCCCGGACAATGAATTATCGTGGTTCAATGCTTTTGTGGACGTTGCTTCATATGGTGTCGATGGTAAACAGCTGAGAACCAGGTTTGAACCACTTGAAATGGACACAGAAGCACTCGCAGCGAACGCTATTGGTATTTTTGCTAGTATGGTCACGACTTTCGCCTCTGCGTTGAGGAAGCAGATGTAAGCATGTACATTACCTCTTATACCAAATTCACCTGTACCTCGTTCCATCCCAATGTCATACTCACCAGCCATTTGCGTCTGTGACTCTCGTCATCCCCTTCTCGCTCCACGGACCAGACGCGGCTCTGGTTACCGTTAATCTCCAGCTCAACCAGGTTTTGAACATCGAAACCTGACGCAACAGCCAAGTTCTGTATGTTCATTTTAGCAACATCAGGAAAGAGACACTCGACACCACATACCAAGAATGCCTGGATGGTATATCGCCCAGTGTGCAGACCAGCAAATATATGGACTCGCGATTCAGTGGACCGCTTGAGTGTGGATTTGAGTGACTCTATGAAAATGCCATGGAACTCTGGGTTCCAAAGCGTGTCTGCGGCAACGACAAGGTCGAATTTGTCTCCGTCTGGCGAGAAAAGGTGGGAGGGATCGGTGCCCCACCCATAGGGCAGCGCACGACAATTACTTGCTACCCCGTTTGACGCCACGTTATCGGCGAGCGTTTGAATAAGTAGGTCATCGGGGTAGTCGCTCACAACCACAGAGAGCTCTTTGTGAATCTTAGCGATTGCGATTGAAGGAAGGCCCGCAGAGGCACCAAGTTCGAGCAGTTTTACTCGCTTTCCGGCTGGACATCGCGTGACGTGGGCGGGTATATCGAGACGTGAAATGTTTTCAGCCAGAAAATGAGAGGCAACCCAGACTGATGAGGCATGCAAGGACCAGTTTGCGGCTGCGGTATCTGGCGTCTTGAGTGTGATTGTGGGTCCATCGTTTGGCAGTTTGAAGGCGAATATGGAGTTGGCGGTGGAGAGAGTTATGGGTGAGTAATCGTACAAGGCCTCCAGAGACGAAGAGAGAATGTCTTCTGCATCTTCATTGCCAGGTCCAAGCGTCATCAGATCCCTACTAACAGAATCAGCTTTTACCTCAAACCACATTCCTCTCTCAACGATCGTGATGGGACTCAAGACCACTTCCGCTTCCAATAAATGGCTAAGCCAGTCAGGAGGCTGCTGCTACTCACCCCCCCTCTATTCATGACACCAACCCTCGAACAAGATATCAGAGCACTCAGCAATGCTCTCTGTCGAGTATCGGCAACACAACCCTCTTGGAAGCATCCAGAGACCAACCCCAAAACATATGCGCATATTGCAACACTCTTAAGCCGATCTGGCATGGGTGCTGACCTGGTTCTCGAGGGTGTTGCCACCCACCAACATTTCTCCTTATTCGCTTTTCATCCATCGCTTCCTTCGGACTCTCAAATACGGATAACAACGAGGAAATGTCCACCAACACTGGCAAGCGATGTTGAGGCTATTCTGGAGACAGGGTAAGTACGCAAATTCACATTGTTTGTAAGACCACTGGCATATATCATGACAGTCTCCAGCCTACCGACTTCATGACACATTGCTCCCAGGCCCTCGCTATCGTGCAAGCCTACCCTGGGCTTGACATTCCTGTGGATACTCGCGACCTTCGACAAGACAAATGTCTCTCATTCTTCTTACAACGGTCCCTGGGCCTTGTAGTTCAGCGATTCACCCGCCCTAAGCAACTATTCCCCACCGATGAGGCACCATGGTGGAAAGTCCTTGCTTCCTGGGAGCCAAACTCGGAGAAATACTTCCCTCGTCGCGAATTCACGTTAAGATCCCGCACCATACTGATCCTGAACGCACTGTCGCCCGATCTCGTAAGCAGAACAACGGTCATGGATGCCCAAGTTGCATCGAAATGTGTAGTCGCACTCGTAGTCCTCTTGGACGTCATCAACGGCAACCTGCGCACGTGCCAAACAGTCGAAGAGCGGACTGACCACGACTGGGACAAACTCAGGGTGACTCTGTCTATGCTCTACTCTCTGCTCTATGAAACCGACATTATTCGACACATATTCTACAATACCTCTTTGTCAGCATTCCTCGTTTCACGAGCTATCAGCCGCAGCAAGTGCGACGGACCACATCTTTTTCGTCAGCTGCAAGCAATCACCGCTTGCCAGCGTGCCTTGTTAACGGTCTCCGGGACCAAAATCATCCGTGCTGGAGTTACCATCGAGTTCACCCTGTTATCAGTGCCCTCTCCCAATCCACAAATGACCACAACCCCAATCATGAAGCTCGTTCAAAAAGTATACCCCAACTGTTCGTTCAATGCACAAGCCGATATCAGGGCCCACTTGGGGCGGCTGGTACTCTTGGAAGACCCACCTCTGTTTTCACGCCACCACAATACCATGGCGATGGAAATTTTCATGGCCGTAGATACCAAGCAATGTTGTTTGGAGGGAGGATCTGATCCACGGAAACTGTGGGCCCTCAAAGAGGTGCGACTTGCGCTTGTTATTCTAATCCGATTTGACAACTTGCTTAGGGCATGCTCCAAATACTCCACAATCGCAAAAGCTGCTGCTACGCCTGTGACTTACTCGCGACATTACTCACATACGACCCCACCACAACCGTCGTTTCACTAATATCGACTGTCTTAACACCGTGGTCCCCACCACCAGGCACTCCCAAGCCCCTTCTTGCCACCTTGCGCAGAGAACTGATGGCTCAGCTCAAACACCACCTCGATTGTGTGATCCAATCCACTCCGTCATCCACTACTTGGTCGTTCGAAGGACGGCAAATTCCGAGAAAACTGAGTCCTAGCCAACTCTCGGTCCTTCAAGTGATCGAGACATTGAAGATTTGCGAAGTCTGAAATACAGGTTATTGCGATTGGATGGATACAAATGGTGCTAAAATGATCTGAGGGAAATTTGGGGTTTCGTGGTTTGAGAGGTCGCAGTGTTGATACTCCCGACGGCTCGTCGTACGGATTGCTCAAGCAAGTCGCGAATTGGAGGCTCCAGTTTCCCGGCCGCTTCTTTGAAAGCCGCTGGCGAAGAGGTCGCGTATGTTAATAACTCGCGTATGCTTTGGGTAGTAACCGCCGTTGCTGCTGCTTGTGGATTTGACAACAAAAGGGTGATGGTGGGCAGGAAAACTCCCAGTAGGCGGGCTTCTGCAGAATGTGTTAGCAATCTATAGAAACAATAGGCAGGGAAACGGACTTTGTTCTTCTGGAGCAAACCCATAGAGCGCCGAGAATGCCTTCCACACCTCACCCACAACAGCAGCATGAGGTCCAGATATTGTGCCATCGCTGACCAGAGGTGCCATCTTCGCGATGTACTCTACAAGCCCAGGGACAAGCAACCTGGTGCACTGGTGTAGTAATGGGTTACCGGACGTTGATGCCACAATCAGGGTTTTTGCGCAATGCATCGCAGGCAACGAGAGCTAAAAAAATCAGAGTGACAACAGAGAAAATGAGACATGATTCTCACTTCTCCAACGTCCAGCAGTTTCTGCGTGATAAGATAGCAGCAATGCTCAATCACCGGTTCTCCCACTTTGACTGACGGAGGGATTACGGTCAGGATGAGGACGGCCGCTAGTAGGTTGTTCTTGATCTTTTTGGTCGACATAGCACCATCCCGTCCCCTAAAAATCGTCAGTTTCAAATACGATGGGAACGGCCTCGCTTACGCCATCTCGTCAACGTTCAACAAACAAGCGGAGATCAGGCCATGGACAAGCCTGCTGTATGTCTCAGCAGCAGCAGCAGATGTTGTTGGTAAATCGAGAAGCGACTTAAGAGCCGGCAATGTAGGGCCAACCAGGTCAATCTCCGATGACTCGTCTTTGAGCAGTTCTGCGAAGAACAAGGTCAAGGGGATGGAACAAGACAACTAAGAAGACCAACCGCTATAGAGTAAAATCCCAACCCCGCGCACATCTTCTCGATGAGATCCTTGCACCGAACTTGCCACAGAAACGAAGGCCGTGAAAGCCGTCATGATCATCTTGATCCGATCAGGCACATCACCATCTAGCCAAAGTTCAACATGGAGCAACGATAGAAAAACCAACGCACGAATAATAGAGCCTCTTGCAGCCGAGGTGGAATGTCGCAGGACATGCGAGCATATCCGTAAGCAGTGAGATCGTAATGATGGGTGGGACAGTGGATCAGACCTGCCGAGCGGCCATCAACAAAGTATTGCAACAGTAGGAAGTAATGCGTACTCATCAACATAAGGGCTTTGAGTCGATGTCATCGTACTGAGAACTTCGATAAGGTGTGCTTGAATTCCAGCGGTTTCCGTCATGGCCATACGGTAGCATAGACTGATGAATTCGTCAAAAATCGCGGGCTCGAACATCGCTTTTCCAGCATATTCAGGTCGAACAAGAGATTTTAGTGTTTGAAGTGCCGCAATGACGGTGGCTTGGCGTGAGGCAGTAGGCGAACTCGCTTCAGATGACGCAGTTGCAAGCGCCTCATACACAAGGCCAAAAATGATGAAGAAGAACATCGTCGGTTCAGTGCGCTTAGTGTTTTTCGGAGGCACAGTTGCATCTTTGCCAGGTTCGAGGCCATCCATCACTATGAGTATATTGGGATCGTTTGCTTGCATGGTGGTCGCAACGGCTTGCAGGATCACGGACCAAGAATTAGCGTAGTACTATTTTGAGTTGAGTGAGAGCGAATAAGTGCTAAGAAAAGTGAACAAACGGGTAAGAGAACTTCTTTGCCAAGACTGGAGTAAGAAGAGTCGAGTGCAATTGACGAGGTGTCGTGCAGGAACTCCGAATCTACTCGAATGCTGGCGTAATCACGGAGCGAGGCCAGCCACAGGGAAGCCAGAGTCGCTCGGTAAGGCTTGATAACATCGACCAAGTATGACTGTTGCACACTTGAAATCTCAAGTTGCGCCCAAGCAGACAGCGTTGAAATCCTCAACATCGCAGAAGCATTGGGGCTAAGCTCGCCAGTGTCACCCAATGACAACATTCCAGAGTCTACGTTTTCAGTGAGTGATTATGAAGAGAGCAAGAAAATATTGATACCCTGTGATTGATCTAAAGCGGCAGTTAGTAGCTTTAGGATCCTTCCCATTCGTCCGACGTCTTTGACCACACCGCATCCTACAAACACCGCACACGCGTGGACCGCCGAGGCGAGAATTTCTGGAGTGGAATCAGAAGAAAATGCAGGCGTAAGTGCAGCTGTAATCGGTGCTTGATGTTGTTCTAAGAGGAGGGCATCATCATAGGCCGGGTCGGGAGAGGTGGCAAATATCTAATGATGATACGGTGAGAAAGGACAATGAACAGTTTCTGAACTCACCTCAATGACATCACGAAGAACAATTAATCCTTCTAAACGAATCTCCGTCACATATGCGGCTGACGCGGTGAAAGCCATTTTTATGAGATCAGGCACCCTGGAAAAAAGCAGCTGAGTTAGCGAAACCCCGAGGGTCCGAGCGTAACGGATATCGAGGTGTTCTCTCCGCCCACTCGTCGAAATGATGGTGCAAATCGTATGGAGGCATTGAAGGGCAAAAAGCTGCGTCCTCCATCGCGACGTCCCCAGTTTGCGTCCACTAGAGCTTCCGTCCAGACCAACATTGAGAGATTCACCTTCGTCATCCCGTGGCCCTTGACCAGACGCGGCATCGACAACCTGTTGAGATGCCGTTGTCCGCGACATGATCCGCTGACACAGATCAATCCAAGCGGATGGGTTATGAACAACCGTTTGCTGTAGCCAGCTGGTGATAACATCCCGGACACCTTGAACGGAGGAATCGTCATCAAGCATTCCAAAAAGGTCTTCAACAAGACGATCTCCGCCGAGGCGCGACATTGCGAGTGCATCTTTTTGAACTAGCTGATAGAGCGCGTTGATGGAGGCAAGCTTCAACGGCCGTTGTGAAGAAGCAAGATAAACCCGGAACTGCGTGACCAACTCGGGAATATCGATGTGTTCAGGAGCGAACATGAGGAAATGTTGAGTGCACTTGATAGCTTCGACACGAATACTGTTGTCACTTTCAAGCGAGAAATCGTGGACGAGGTTGAGGATGAGTGTCCGTGTTCGGGAGGATTCTTGCATATCTGGACCAAGAATGGTAATGATGGCGTCAGTTATTTGACAAACAACAGGATAAGCAGGGTAATCTCCGCTCAAATTGGCATTCGGAAGTGTGCCGCCTTCACGCTCGTGAGATTCCATCGTATAAACTTTGAGTAGCAGGCCTAGAGTGCTGGGAACAAAGGGAGCGTACGCGAGACTGGCTGCATGCATAACAGTTCCCAGTGCAGTCAACGCCCAGAAGTGAACAACAGGATGGGGGTCGTTACTCAGAGACATCAGTACATTGACCGTCGTCTTCAAGAGTGGACCAGCAGCGAGTCCTCCCACGTGACTATAAATGGCACCAAACGCAAGAGCGCATCCAGCCCGTCCGTGAGGATCTCTGTTGTTGACAACCTGGTCGACAAGAGATTTCGTTTGCGCTGTCAAAAAGTTGGTCCCTGCTAGGTTGGCAAGTCGGCCGATTGATTCGCTACTAGCCACCCGCATCACAGGGTCACCCTCGACCAGCGTATCCTTCAAAAAGGGCGAAAGAAGTGACGTTACTTGGGAAGCGCCAAATGTATCTCTTGCACGACGAGCTTGTGTTGCCATTGCTTGGCGAAGAGCGAGCACAATTGCCACAGCTCCATTGATTGAGACAGCAGCCTTGCGCCCGGTATTCTTTTCCAATTTCGGAGAGCGAACAGATTCTACGAGAAGTGTGACGATTTTAGTTGTTGTTGCGAGGTCTTGAAGAGGAAGAAGCTGGGCAAATAGTTCAATGGCAGTGTCGATCACCGCAGTTAACGCTGGTGGTGGCTCGTCCAGTTGATATTCGTCATTTGACAGTCGAGCCTGGCACAGAGACAATGGATCGTGCTCGCATGCTCCAAGAATCGGCTTACGAAGCTAAATGGATGGTGAGGGAGTTAAAATGAGCCCAAGTGACCGAATTACCAGACTATCAATTGCAACATCAACCGAGTCTCGATTGAGAGAATCCCTCTCCTTCATTTTCTTCCCATCCTCTCCGATTTCATCCGAAATGTCGATGAAAGTGACCCCATGAGCATATCCATCGCCATTGCTCGTCCAAATGCCCGCAAAAGTCCCTGAAGAAGCAGCGATTGCTGCCTGCACGGCGCTTCCAGAGCCAGGATAAGAATCTGGGCTAGAAAACAGTGAAACACAAGACTGGAGTAATGTGCTCTGTGTGACTTCGGTGATGCCACTGAAGCCAAGTGCAGAGAAACATTGGTGGACTCGTCGGCGGAGAAGCGCTTCTCGTACTGGAAGCGGGAGAGTCCCGGATGACGCCGAGATTGCCGCCTGCTGCAAAGCAATTTGGGAAGTCGGATCTGATAGGCCGAGTGCATCTTGTACTGCAGGACTAACAAAGTTGTTTGCGAATAAAAGTGCATTACTTAAAAGAGAAGCAATACGCCGAGCAACGTCCAAAGTCACCAGTGTTCCAGAGTTGTGTCGCAGAAAACAGAGAATGGCGCCAAGAGCACTTTCTCGGACGTGTAACAGAAATCCCCATTCTGCATGAGTCCTGCCAGCGCTAGCATCTTTGGTTGTTGGCTTTGGAAGTGCGTTGCGCCACAGAACAAGAAGTTGAGGCAGATGTGGTCGCACAAAATTAGGGCCGAGAGCCATCAGTGCAGCAAGAGTGGTCCAAGCAACCTCCACCTCTGTCCCAGCCACACGTACATCATGTTCGGCCGCTCGCTTGAGAATGGTGGTGGCCATATCGAGGACTTTGGCGGACGCATCGTAGGAAACGTACAGTGGACGCGCTGGTATTATAGACACGAGCGCAGCAAGACCATATGCATGGCCCAGAGCTCGAAATGGAACGTCGGAGGAAGTGGTGGGTGTAAGCAGGTGAGTTAGGTCGCGTTGTAACAACTCCATAACGGTAATGATAGTCTTAGGAAGGCGCAAAGGTGTTGAATGACAGAAACAACGCAACGCCCAGGCTGCATTCACGCGCACAGTATGATTTGGGTGGGCAAGGAGTGTAACCAAAGGTTCAGAAACAGCATCTTGAACGGGGGGCGGAGCGTTTCCCAACTGCTGTAATAATCCTGCAACCTCTCGAAGCACAACTACAAGCACATGCTTCCCTGGCGCAGTGGATCCTGGCATCATAGCCGGCCATCGTTTGAGGTAGACATTGGCCAGCTCCCGTATGGCACCAATTTGGCCCTGTTCGCTGAGCATCCGTTCTCCGATCAGATCACGGAGCAACGTTCCAACAAGTGACCGCATAAGCAAATTTTCATATCGGGTCCGTGCGACGCGTCCCAGAGGCCCGACAATTATTTCGGTTGTTAAATGAGATATGATCAATGCATAGTGCGCCTCGACGAAAGAAGCGCCCAGTTTCGTGATCAACGCCGCATAAAAGTCGAAAATCCCAATACGAGTCTTGCGGGGCGTTGTTGATTTGTTGAGATGGGTAGAAAGAGCAGTAAACATCTCTGAGGGCGTCAGAGTTGGTTTGATACTATCGGCAGCTGCATGGGCAGCGGCTGGGGTGATATCGTCGTCGTCGTCGTCGGCCTCTCCCGGCTTCTTGTCTTTTTTCGCTGCCTTGGGCTCCGCAACGACGATTTGACGAGCAGTTTGAGTTGATGCTAAAACATGCCCCACAAGCAAGGCCAGAGTATTTCGAGTTAACTGATCAGCTGCATCTAGGGACTTGATGCACTGGGCTAGAATCGCTTCGACATCAGCCGCCGACGGGAGTGGCTGGTCTGGACCAGAGTAGAGGGCAATGAGCACCTGTTTACTATTGAGAAAGATACCAAAAATAGATGGAAGAAACGAGTATACCTCGGCAGCTCCGCGTTGAACAGGAAGACATTTATCTGTGAGGGCATTGCGCATTTGTTTCGAAAGGTCTTTGAACGCTGCCTCAGTCACAGCACGACTGGCTGTAGTCAAAGATTGTTGGAGGGCAATAAGGGCGTGATATCGTAACAAAGGAGTCTGGAAGCGGTCAGAGGGAGTAATTTTCGGTAACAACACCTACAGACGAAGATCGCACGGTGCGCATCACTGTCGTCGTAATCTCCATCATGAAGGACATGAACTGGAGCGAATGAGGACTCCTCGATGTCTAGAAAGTTGTCGCGCACCTGCGAGCCGAAAACCTTCATCAGATCTCCAATAACCGAGAATGCTGCACTATCTCCCAGTTGAGCTTCCAATCGTATTGCGATAGTTGAGTTCCACACACATCTTGTGAGAGTCACGGTCAGGCGTCTTGAAATCAATGACGACCTTAATCAAGGCTTGCAGTGTGTCGAAGAGTGTTCGCGTTTCGCCACGGGTGTACAATAAAACGAAGCATCGCGCGGCGCAGTTGCGTAAGGCGCGTCCTGGGACCGGATATGGCTCGTGGGAAAGTATAACCTTCACCAGTGCGCTTTCGACATCGGCTTGTTTGGTTTTAAGATATTCCTGGAAGCTCGTCAAGGTTCTGAGGAGTCTTTTCTTCACTCAGAGGACAACACACCAACGGAGTCGACTTGATAGCCTTCTCAGTTGCAGACAGCCATTGGAAGAGGTACATTTCGCCATTCTCGCCCTTGATCTCGGCCTAATTTGAGGTTGTTAGCGTGTCGCATTTGGGTTGACGAGGGGAGAAGAAAGCACCTCCTCTATGTCCTCGATATTGACGGGTTCACCCGTCATAACCTGAAGATGATCTGGTCAACCAATCAGCTTGAGAGTAGTCCTACCGCTCACTTTTCGCAACAGCCTATAGCGGTTGAGTACAAATGTTTGGGAATTGGAAGAGGCGGCCTGCACACAGAGATGATGGTCGAAGAGTGATCAGGACTTGTGACGTGCCAATCTCAGGCTTTTCCCTGCTCGTAGGGCTTTGTGAAATCTGTTGGGTCTTCACTGCTTGGTACAATTGCACAAATATTTTACGCGGATATCAAGGTCAAGCAAAGCCAAATGCCTTTTCTCTCAAAGTTCGACCGACGGCTGACGCGTTGCGGCTGCAAAATCGAAAATTTCTTCCATTTCCATGAATGCACTTTCATAAGTCCCCTCTTCGACACCCGGATTTTGGTCAAATCCGCCCACGCAGCTAGATATATGTCTGCTTGTCAGCCAGCCGAATCGTTCTGTCGGAAACCCAATACATACGATGAGGGTAGCCCAATGGCGTCAACATCCATCAGCTCAGAGCTGCTGTAATCGGGAATTAACGTTGGTTGTGGCTCATATTCATTCACCCGGAAGCCGTTTTGGTCGAAGAAAGGTTTTCCGAAATGGATTGGAGGCGCCTGCATATCAGGAAGTCGATGCTTTTTGGGTCTCCCTCGTCCCCGCTTCGTCTCTCCACCTCGTAGCTCAGTAACGGGTAATATATGTACAGAGGACGAGTTCTGTTCTTCTCCTGCCTTTTCTTCCCCTGACTGTGATTTCCCACTCGACGTAGACCCGGGCCCGTGTCTCTTGGTTGGCAGCGTATATGCTTTGTGATGCTGGGCCGTATTGCGAATTCGCTTGTTCAGCTCAACCCCCATGTCGCTCTTCTCCTTCTCTATCCCAAATATCTCGCTGACTTCAGTTGTTTCTGCAAACGTCGCCGACTTTTTTCGTTTCAGTTGTGGGCGCGATGTTTCAGGCTTTGAAAGACTGGACTTGGAGGGTGGTGGCGCAAGGCGCGGTTTAATTGAGATGCGTTGGATGGAGAGTCGATCGTACGGCTTCAAAAGAGAGGTATATGAACATGCATATGAAAAAATGAACAATGAAGTTCACAAACCGATCGTAGAGGATCCCGGTTTTGGGCGGTGACTTCAGCCTGAGGTGTGAACTGCGAAAATCGCAGTTTCTCTTCTCCTGATCAATGAAAGTCAGTGCCATATAATCAAACATGGAAGAAATGCAACTGATGTACGCAGGGCTTGGATAGACCTCCTCGTCGAAAGCATTCATGATGAAGGTCCGCTCCTGTCCATCCACATTCGCCCAGAATCTTTCCAATAGCGCTCTGTTGTCCTTATTAGTGAGGTCCAGATTCGATACCGGCTCCCAGCTGTAGACAGTCAGGACAAACTGGACGTCGCGCGGAAGATGAAACCCAACGTGTTTTCTTCGGATGGGTAATCAGCCCACTATGCGTTGATCAGCCAGCAGGAACATCTGAATCGAGTCTGTTCACCTTGATGCGATACTTCTGGTATCGACAGTCAGCGTCCACACGCATTGCCAACACGGAAAACACTCACCCAGCCATCGTGCGTAACATCGAAGTCGTAGATGTTGCCACCAGGTGACTCAACACGTTTGGCGGCGACGATTACTTCTGGTTTGAGCACACTTGGGACAATACCATCTCACTCTAGTCATTTACGCACCAACATACCACTTTTTGGTGGGCGGCTTAGACACCACAGCGTTGTTATGCTTTCTCTTGCCCATACTCCAGTAAAAGAAGGAACCAAGTTGAGGTTTTTTTGACTTTGATCCTGCATGACCTGATTGACTGCGCGTGCAACTAACCACAAGAGCATTGTGCGTAGATCTAGAACTAAACCATTGTTTATTGCGCTCTAAATTAAAGTGTTGTTCGTAGCAGAAAGGTGCGACTTTTCCTCACGGCCATCGAGCCAGCTGGTACAGAACGCACATCGCTGCGCCTGCCAAAAAATTCAGCCTTATGAGGAAACAAAAAAAATAAGCTCACAGTCTGTGAAATGTCCTTTCGACAATATTTGCATTTCACGATATGTCTGATAATGGACTCTTTTGTGAGTAACGAGTATACTTCGGCAATTCCATAGAGTACAATCCCCAGGGCTAGGAAGGTGACGACGTTGTTAACGAATGCACCCCATGCGAGTGTGACCGCCCCTTCACAAGGTCAACATATTGTCAAGGGCCGAGAGATTAGGCACGCACCATCCGCAGCAGCCTGCTCTAGCGTGTTGTAAATGGCGTGTGGGGTCCGTCCTGCACGAAGGACGGAGAATTTAGCAGGAAGGTTTCGGCCTAGGAAAGGCAGAAGAGAAATCGGAGGGAGTAGGACATCCTGGATTGGGTAAACGAGGCAGATTCAGGATATTCTGACGCGTAACGGACAGTAACAAGAGAGTTGACGAGGTTGGAGAAGCCGCCAGCCTACGTAGTTGCCTTCAATGGGATTGTCGAAACCGATTCTCCAGAGACGTCACCATGATTAGACCGACGGCCACCTCGAGCACATTGTCGCGACCCAAAAAGCCTGGTAGACTGTTTGAGAGTGACAAGAGAGATGTTCAGACAGAACATACCCTTGAAGCCAGCCCAAACGCCTTGAACGCGGCGGACGACATTGGTCTCGATGTCTATAGCCCAGTTATCCACAGCTTGCGTCATGGGCGGTCAAAAGCACCTATAAGTTGAGCACGCTCTCCTTCACTCATGGTTGAGAGCAAGCCAAGAGTTCGGAATGAATTACGGTACAGCCACCGATTTTAATTGAGAATTTTGAGAAGGATGCTCGGGTTATAGTACATTGCCTTAGGTATGCAGTAAGTAGATTAGTATTATGAATCGGTGGACACAGTCTCTGAGTTTTCAGAGCCCGTCTTCACTGCAGCTTCAGCTTCAGACTTTATTTTAGCCGCCTGCGCTTTTTCCCTCTTTGCCCTCGCCTCCCGTTCATCTGCAACCCACTCTTTAACACTCCGAACAGCCTCATAAGGGCGAATCTTGTAGGTCATGAGATACCCTTGCAGAGAGGCCATCGACATTTCTCGCTCCGGAATCGCCTCCGCAAATCGCTCCGCAAGCGCCGCAATTTGCTTGGGGCGGAGTTGAGGTGCATGTTCCCGATGGGAGGTACCAAAATATGTCGGCTTGGCGTCGCTTTTCTCAGAGGGCGTGGGATCCAAGTCAATCACCGCATCTTCGTCAGCCGAGTTGTATCCCGAATCGTCATCTTCAGCTGCCTTCCCTGTGGCTTTTTCCGCTTCCTTCTTCTTGGCCGCGTCTTCATCGAACGGAAGATAGAACTGGTTGAAGAGTCGCTTTGCCTGGTATCTGCTTGCCAGCTTGAACTCGACGTGAATGTCCATGCGACCAGGTCGACATAAGGCGGGATCGAGGGAGGTATATTTATTGGTCGTGGCATATAGAATACGGCCCTCTTGTGCAGCAACGCCATCAAGAGCATTGAGCAGACCGCTAAGACTGATACGACTTGTACTAGCACCGGCAGCCATAGCAGTGGGCGGTGGTGGAGGTGCACCCTCTGAACCACCAGGAGCGTCCGCAGGAGTTGAAGGTTCATCGCGGTTAAGGTTTTGGGAAAACGCACAGTCGATGTCTTCCATCAGACAGATGCATTTTTCTATATGCCAGGAGGCTTCAGTTTTGGTCCACAATGATGAGGACAAGTCACTTACCTGGGAGATTGGAGATCAGTTCACTCAGAGCTGAGTCGTCGAGGCCAACGCGAGAGAGCGAGACGATGTACACATCAAGAGCCAGTTCTCCAGCGATGCTACTGATGATACTTGTCTTTCCAGAGCCTGGCGCTCCGTACTAAAAGTTGTCGTTAGCAAATTGCAGGATATGGACGAAAAAGCCCGCACCAGAAGGTAGCCTCGACGGAAAGGGATTCCACGGGCAGCATACCACGGTTTGCTCTCCAAAAAGTCGCGGGCATCGTCGACAAGAAGCTCCGCAACACCAGGGTCCAAGATAATAGAGCTCAGATTCCGTTTCGGACGCGATGCAACATTTCTCCAAGAATTGTTGCTGTCCGAGACAAAGATGGAAATTGAGTGCTCCGACGCGGCCATGTATTCCTTCTTCGCTTCGAGCAGGAGCTCATTCAGGACACGATGGGTTCGAGTGAAGATGCTGGTGACGACAAATCAGGAATTATCTTGTGGTAATGTAAGCATAACATACTTTATCTGCAAGCGCTCTTCCTTTTGGCCATAGTAGCCCGTCTGGGTTTGGACTCGGGTGACAGTCATATAGCGCCTGTAAAATTATTCGTCTCAGATCCTCCAGTCGCCATGGACTTGCTCACCTGTGGTACCACATAGAATAAGAGAGCGAAGCTGAAGGGAGGTATGCGAGTTTCCGACTTGACAAAAGCGATAGGTCGTCCTCCTCCCCAGGAACGATTATTGCAGATGAATTAAGACCAAAAGAACGCGTCGAGACTTCAACTTCACGAGCGGTCTCCCAAGACGACTGCTTGGAGAGCCAAACCATCATCCAATCTGACAGTTCTCAGTGGGCAGACGACAGAAAGGGGGGGGGAACACACCATACGAGGAGTCCTCTTCGTGAAACGACGCCGTTATCCAAAATGAAGCAATGATTTTATAGTAAAGAGAGAATGCCATCCTACGCAGCGTCTCGAGCGCCCCACCAAAAACGATCAGTTTTAACCAATCCGCAAGGGCACCAAATGATAAGAGGAACGTCGCTAGTGAAGAAAGGTCGGTTATTGAAGGTGGAGATGAGGTTGTGGTCGAGTTGCTCAGTCCGTTGGCGAACTCTGTTGCATTAGATGAGGCGGCATTGGCTGGACCATTCAACGCGCTGAAAACTTGTTGGGCGATCGTGAAGTACGTCGCCATGATGGGAGGGAGGGAAAGTGTCCTGAGCGCCAAAGCGGGGTTTTAAAATGAACGTGGACAGCGAGTCAGCACAGATCAGACTCGGAGGCGGTCAAAGTGATTCAAATTTGCTGCTACTTAGTGGGGGGCTGTGCAATTCGGCGCTGGGTGCAGCCGTAAATCCGATGCAGAGTGTTGAGTTGCCGCAAAGGAAAATGCTAGCCAAAACCAAACTTGACCCCGCTAAATTTAACTCTAAAAGTTACTCTTGAGTGGGTCGAATCGAAGAGTGTGACGCCGTGAGCGTTACAGGTGGAATGACTTGGACTCCTTCCGGACCGCAAGCATCGCTTGACCTCACTCACGTCCTCTGTTCGTGTGATGCTCGAGAAGAAGCGTATAGCTAATGGTTGGCTTCAGACGACGATGACTCTTACTTCTCTTTGGCGTTGGCCCTCCTAACACTTTCGCCGATCTTGCTTATGGTATGGGCTCGCAACTCGTAACATCCCTTCGTTGAACAATTCTAGCCAGCCTATGCTGCTCTTGCTGTTCAGACGCGTGAATATGTCATCATAATAATGTGGGCGGGGCAACTAATCGGCGAGGTACTCAACCTTGTCATCAAGCATACTGTGAAGCAAGCGCGCCCTTCATGTATGTTCTCCAGGAGTCAACTATGCTTTTCTGACCCAGTTCAACCAGATAGCGCTGCCAATGGGTATGGGTTTCCTTCCAGCCACAGCCAATACATGGGTTATTTCGCAACGTACCTGGTTTTACACCTCTACTGTCGCCATCGATTCGCGTCAAGTGGCTACAAGCTATTGGATGGAGCTTGGAGGCTTGCGCTTTACGCTGCTATTATATCTTGGGCTGGCGTAGTAGCTTATTCTCGGTACTATCTTCGGTACCACAGCCCGTCGCAGATTTGGTGGGGCTTGGGCATCGGAACGGGATTAGGGGCGGCTACCTATACGTTTGCCGAACTTCTCCCTCGGAAACGTCCGCACTCGGCGCTCGCAAAGCTAAAAACCTGGCTTGTGCGAAATCCAGTCTCCAACTGGTTGCAAATTCGCGATGGATGGGATGTATGGGCTGATGGTGGCAGGGAGACAGAATGGCTACGATGGAGGGACGAGTGGGAACGGCGTCGAGTAGAAAAATCGAAATAGATTTTTCCATGGCCCCCAGAAGATCGCCATCAGCCAACTTTTTTTTGAGTCGTCCGACCACGATGAGGAGACTTACTCATGCTCCGTTCAGCCATGTCCACCATGCTGCCTCAGTCCTCAATTCCCCTCTTCACAACTGTCTCTGCTTTCCGTCAATGGCGTAACATAGCGCGTCGAGACGGCAAATCAGTTGGTTATGTGCCAACGATGGGGGCTCTTCATGAAGGGCATCTGTCTCTCGGTATGAAAGGGTGTCAGAGCAAGCATGGGACTAAAACATCCGTCTAGTTCGACAGTCTCTGGAAGAGAATGACCTGACTGTCGCCTCCATCTTCGTGAACCCAGCACAATTTGCCCCTCATGAAGATCTTGCGACTTACCCTCGCACCTTACCACGCGATCTCGAGTTATTGGAGTCCACTGCGAATCATAAACCAGTAGCGGTCTTTCTTCCCACTGTCCAAGAAATGTATCCCTCCGGCATCGACCAGGATACCGCTGCGCAAAGGGGCACCTTTGTGGAGGTGAAAGGCTACGGTGAACAAATGGAGGGAAAGAGTAGGCCGACTTTTTTCCGTGGCGTGGCCACTGTCGTCACGAAATTATTCAACATTATCGAGGTCAGTCTAGGCTTTAGAATTCATGGACCTCCATTGATTCATTTTAGCCTACGAATGCATATTTTGGCCAGAAAGACATCCAACAGTGCATTGTACTGAAGCGGCTGGTCCATGACCTCCACCTATCTCATCCAGATGCCGCGCATCTTCACATCGTCCCGACCGCCCGCGATCCAATCGACAATCTTGCACTCTCATCACGTAATGCATATTTGTCAGAAGAAGGGAGAAAAGTCGCCCCAGTTTTATACGCAGCGCTCACTCTTGCGCAAGAAGCGTGCCTCCAGGGGCTGCCCAAGAATGTCTGCATCGAAAGGGCAGCTCAACTCATACAGGAGACGGCATCTACATCTCCGTTGGCTTCCGACATCAAACTCGACTACATCGAAATCAACGACTCAGACACACTCGCTCCCTGGGATTCCAACCAGTGCTATGCCCCATCCACCACAACTCGGCCAGTGATCATCAGCGGAGCACTCTGGGTTGGTAAAACTCGTCTGATTGACAATGTGTTATTGGGTCCTTTAGAAAACATAGGTGTCTAGTCCGTGAAGTGTCTGTTTATTCCATAATATACGAGTCTTTTCACTTCATCTTTGGCGCACCGAACGTGAGAACATTCAATGGCTGGAAATCAGCCTGAGGTTCCTGTAACAGTTTAGTGATCACTTTTCTAGGCAGAGGAAGAACCGACAAGAAACAAAACAATGTTATCTTCAGTCACACCCAACTCATCAACACCATAACTTTCCACAGTTGCAGACGGCAGACGACGGGAGTTTTCGCTGGGGAAAAGTCCAGAGCGAGGACCCACCACTGACCAGCTCGAGTCGAGACGCGGTGCTTTTTCTGGAAAAGGCTCGAATTCGATCACGTTCAACGCTCCACGATGACTACGCTCGCTGTCCAAATAAACGACCCGCGAACCAACTGGATAGGGTCCGCGTATATTTGCGCTCTTCTTGCTGCGAGAAAAGTCCTTGATCGCAGAATATTGGCCCCATAGACTCCAAGGCACGACATGCGACTCTCGACGACGGTATGGTGCTGTGCTGAAGTAAACTTCGTTGATGAAGAGCCAACTTGCGCTCTTGCTTGTTATAGATTTTGCTTCAATGACCATCACACGGTTTGTGGGGTCAGGGTAAAAGAGAGAGCCAGGGACAGCAGTTCGCGCGGCCTTATTCCCCGCAAATTTGACAGAGGAGGGCACCCAGTGGGGAGGGAGTTCGAATTGGCGGATGAGACTCATGCGTGCGAGGTACGAAATGTTGAATAAAGACAGCATCGGGGTGTGTCCGCCTTGATTGGAGATAACAAGGAGCAAGTCGCTGTCTAGCATGAGAATATCTTGGTCGTCGATCCACTGTAAACGAAAATGAGAAACTAATTGCGTCGAAGAATAACCCTGTGACGTACACGTGCCCCGAGGTTGCGCCAGTCCATGAAAAGGTGGCTAGTTTTTCCATCTGCAAACTCCAGCGTCAAAGCTATCTTCTTGCCTTGAATCACGAGGCTGGCTTCTGCAACAGGAACAAGGCTTTGGGTGGCAAGCTCGTACGATTCTGCAGCAGCGCGGGGATGCTTTCCCGAGGTCCACAAGTCACGGATGTGAATCTGGACGCCGATTATACCGTTTTGACTAAGAGAGGTCAATAACGAAGGAAAAAAAAAAGTCGGCCAGTATGATAATACCAGAAGATGTGGACACCAATCATTAACCCCTGCATCGAGTCGATAGCCATTGTCTCAAAAGGCGGAGTAGGGAAGCTTCGGTGACGAGTTAAAGCGGGAGTTCGCCCAGTCCGGCACGAAGGAAGTTCGGTAATCTCGACCGTGTTGTAGACCCCATGAGGCCGTATCTGGTGAATAAATCCACCACTGACGCCGATATGCGCGGGTCCCGGCGCTTGAATCTTGAACTCGTGTGTCCAGTTGAGTTGAGGCCAGTCGAGACGGTAACTTGACAAAAGATGGAGGCGTGCGAGAATCGGTGCATATTGGAGCAAGGTCGACCCATCGCGCATACCAGCAACTGCAAGCTCAATATTGTACCGAAGGGTGTGGTAGGTCATGGTGAGGGCATAGACACGTTTGAAGGCCTGCTCGTATGATTAGCAACCTCGACGAATAATCGTGAAGAGAGTACCTTGCCGACCAAGAACAAAGACCGCGGGTCGAGATACTCCAAAATACGAATGAGAGCATCATCGGGGATCCGGTAGTGTCTGACTTTGGGGTAGTGTGCTCGAACCATAGTGGGCTGGGCTTGAAAAGTTGCTTCCCATTGAATTTATACGCAGCTCGCGTATCTTTCGTCGCTGTGCAGAGGAAATAAAAAGCTTGTTGTGTTTTGTCGTCGGTAAACGCGTATCCTTGTTCTCTAGCGCAGCTGGGGATGGGGCCATGGCGCATAAGCTTGTTGGTCGGTAGGCGGGTCATTGGCCGTAAGATGTCTTTTGTGCAAGAGAAAAGAAGCATATGTCTTCCTTGTGAGAGTGCCATGTCAACGCTGTTGGACTGGGTGAATTTTTGGAAAACCACAGGTCAATCTGAGAGTGTTGCGTCCAGAGGAAGCATCAGAGCCAAATCTTGACAATAGATTCCAAACGTCGGGGTCGGCATTTCTATACTAGGAAGCCACGAGAGAGGCGCGCAAAAAACTAAGGCCAACAAAAAAGTAAAACAATTGCACTGATTGAGGTCAGGGAAGAGTCCAAGTTTGGAATGTCACCGTGACAGGCCGTGCTTACAGTATCTCCTCATAGTACCATTTAGTCGTCCCCAGATCTAGAGCGGCTGTCCGAAATGGTCTGTACCAAGTGCGAGAAGAAACTCTCTAAGCTTGCTGCACCCGGTCCGTGACTTGCAACACAATCCTCCAAACTGACCACCTCTCAGATCCATTCCAGTCATCGAGTGCGAGCATCAAAGAGGGCTCCCGCAAAGTTGGCGAGAACAAGCTTTTATCAAGACCTGGGAGCTCGAAGAATCGTTTCCAGGTGCGATGTCGCGATTGCCTTTCCGTCAGCATCTGACTGTGTGCAGCCTTATCAAGGGAAATGTAAAGATTGCAAGCAGTCTGTTACACAGAACAAGGCAAAATACTGTCATGGTGCGTCACTGAGAATCCGAGTGTGCAGAAACTCATGTGTCCTAGGTTGCGCTTATAAGAAGGGTATTTGTAGTAAGCCTCCGTTCCTCGACGAAATGCTTAGACTCAACTCTCCAAGGCATATGTGGCAAACAGGTCCTCGATACGACCGGCTATGTCATGTCAAGCAAGTGAACGATGATGTTAGAGCTTGTATGTGTTCCTATCCTCCCCTTGAATCTACCTGTATTTGAACTTGGCAAAGAACCGTAATACGCTAAGCGACTATCCCCATCCACACAACTCGCCAGCATCCATTCATCGCAAGGGGATCAACCCCAACCGATGACAACATATCGTGAATGTGAAGGAGTTTTGGTCGGCCTGTGGTTGGAACTGTGAAGCAGACTTGCGCAGACGGAGAGCAAAGAATTTTCCAACTCGACACCGACGATACGTCATGCCATCATCAAGTATTTCTGCCCAATGTGGATTTTTTATGAACTTGTCTATCGTTGGGTGTCAGACTACTCAAGAACGCCCTCTCGTTGAATCGGAATGTTTATTTCTGGTTATGCAACAACTAATGTGGTTATAGTTGCGCATCCGTTCCCTCCGGCTTAGATTTGGTCATGAACGGCCAATGAGGTGGGTCTATTTGAACGATACTCGCTGATCTCAACAGGAGTATTCTGTCGCCTTTCCCAAAAGAGCGGGGGCGGAACATACTGCCGCCGTAACATCTCGATGTCAAGACGTATGGCCTCTGCATCCAATTTCGGAGGCTTTGGCTGACTTGAGCAAGCCATTCGAAGAGAAGAACGACAGTCGGAGACGTAACTCTTCCAACGAGCGAGCATGCACGTGGTTCGGCTCGGCATCGCATACTTTGGGCCGGCCAGTGCAAACGCTCGGTTGTAGCGCCTTCGTAACTTTTCTTCGATGCGACGTACGTCAGGCTCGGCAACAATGAAGCGCACTTTGCCACTAGAATTCATCGCCTTCTCCTTGTCGTCGCTTTCAAGCCAAAGTGGGACAGGCGTAATGTTATTTGTGGGTGGGCAGACATTGTTTTCAGATTCTACGCACATCAGACTTGTAAGCTGGCAGGCCGAGCACTTAGATGGATTGGAACGCACCTTTTAAAATCTTGTGGGATGGACCCTCGTCAACGGCAGATGAACACGGCTTCAAAATCGACTTTGGGGTAGAGTGGATGCGGTGTGGCATCAAAGGGGATGATTTAACAAGTCCAATGGTCATGCAGAGACTGCGCGCAGAAAGGGTGTTCGACCGTGACATTGTTACTGAGCTGGTGGTTGTTTGAAAGAGAGAGAGAGAGGCGTCAATCAATCTGAGGAAGGTATTTATCTGAATGGGACCAAGCAGTGTAGAGACAGGGGCGATCTGAGACCCAGGCAGAACCTTTCCAGAAATCACAACCTTGTCGGTGGTGGCTGTCTAATTGTTGGCGATTACAAACACACGGACTGAGTCCTGTCATGACAAAGTTAGACCATGAATCCATCATGGAACTCCGTTCGTTATACTCGGAAGACGTTCAAACGGCTATCCCATCCACAACTCGCCAGCATCCCTTCATCGTAAAGTGACCAGCTACAACCAACCACAAACTCGGTGTGCGGATCGTGAATGTGAAGGAGTTGTGGTCGGCCTGCCGCTGGAAGCGTGTTCCATCTGCGTATGTTAAGCAAACTTGCCTGCAAGGAGAGCAAATAATCTTACACTCGACATGTCATGTCGTAACTCGCCGTTGCAAGTACTTCTGCCCGATGTGGACTCCATTGAACCTTTCGGACTGCGAACTCATGGCCCATTAATTGCGTCTCACAAGCCCCACCAACTTGCCCCGTCTCCTGTAGCTTGACCATTCGGCAGTCCCAGACTTTGGCCAACTTGTCAACCCCTGCGCTCGCGAGAATAAATGGTCGATATTTGTTCCAATCCACCGTTAAGATCTCGGTCCCTGAGGCAGGCACGGTTAGCACTGCGGTAGAAAGTGGGGTTGTGAAAGTGTTAGCGCCAGGGCCAGTAACATAAGACGGTGTTCGGAGGTCAAACATCCTGAGAGTTCCGTCTGTTGAACAGGAAACGACCAAATCTGGTTGGTGAGGCGAGAACATGGCTTGGTAAACACAAGACTGGTGGGCGTGTAAAGTGAGGACAGATCGCGGTCTTTCTGGTGTCCACTGTAGCCATATCAGTTGCAATTGAAGCTGAGACCGAGGCACATACGAGTTTGACGTTGCCGTCCCAAGACGAGGACACAAACATGTCCTTTTTTATATTCGACCAATCCACAGAGAAGACCTCGCGAGTGTGCTCTTGCCAAGCGCGAATAGGAAGATTCTGTTCTGACTGCTTGGGACCAGCGAAACGTGGAGAGTGAGGGAAAGTACATTTAGCATCGCATCCCACAATCGTATCGAACCGTCTCCCGAGGCAGTCACCAATTGATTCTCGTGTATCTCAGACCACGCGACATCGTATAATCCGTCTTGTGTCTCGAAACTTCACATGCATCTAAGCATTCGTTTGGCCAGAGTGAGCCACTTACTGCTTGTCCAGGTTGAGGGCTAGAGTCCCATTTGGACCCGGTAAAACTGAGACGAGATGGAGCCGACCATTGCCGACTAGGCCAAAGTTGGCGGATGAGGCGAGAGCAAGTCTCGTTGTGTGGAAAGGGGACCATGCGACAGCGAAATGCGCGAATCCGGGAGTCTGAAAGACTGCTGGTGGTGGTTTGTTCATTTCAAGATGATGAAGGTTCAAGTCATTAGACGCGTATTTCACGTGCCCGTCTTTGCATCATCTGCTATTATTCCTCGACCGTGGATTGTAGACCTGACCACTCTACCGTGACCTGCTATTTACTGTCCGATGTACGGAATCTGCGTTAATCTCCCAAATAATTATGCCATCGTCTGCTGCTCCCACAATGAATCGCCCGTCTGGCGAAAACTTGACATCGTGGACCTCGCCATTCAGGTCAGTCAAGATTGCAACACAAGTCTGCGTTTCGATGTTCCAGACACGGACAGTGTGGTCATGTGAAGCTGAAGCAAGCAGCTGGTCGTTTGGGGAGAAAGCGGCGTTTGTGATGACAGCGGTATGACCCACGAAGAACGAACACTTGACCTGATGCGTTACTGTGTCATAGACAAGAGCTTGGTAATCACCACTCATTGCCAGCATCGTGGCGCCAGTGGACCACGCCAAAGCATGAACTGGCTCACCATTGTTTGAGTACGTTGCCTCACAAGAGCCCGTTTCAACGTCCCAAATTCGAACTGTCCCGTCCGGGAAACCTGTGGCGAGCTTTGGCTGCTCGACAGTATTTTCTTTTTTCGGAGAGGTTGATATGCCAGTGAATGCTGCGCGGTAAATGCGATCAGCGTTTTCCCCCGAGTCCTGAGTCCAAATAGTCCGCCCCGTTTCTGCATCATGAACTGCCAAAGAATTAACATTGCTCGTTACCACGTAGCGCAGGTCATGCGATATCGCCAGGATCCATGTCTCCTTGCCACCAACTCTTTCAAACTGGATCAAATCGCTGGAATCTACCTGCAACGAGTAAACGCAACCTTCGTTTGATGCCCAAAACACTCGTTTTCCGTCTGGTGAACAAACAGAGAAAGACATTCCGCTTGGCAGCCCAGGCGTAGTAATGGCGGAAAAAGTGTCTGTGCTCATATTGATGACCCATGCTTCTGAGCCGACTGCGCCAACAAAGATGTGTGTACCGCTGGACGGAATCTGTACTCTGAGCGCCTTTGATGGAGGTGTTGTACGGTAAATCCGAGTTCGGGCACATAGAAATGCATTATGATAACTTCGAAGTTTCTTGGACAGTTGAGTAGCAGTATAAAAGGGCTTTGAGGAGTGAGTGTTGCTGGCAGAAACCAAAGTCTGTTCAAAGGCCTGCATGAAGTCGAGATACGGGGTAATGGGTGACAGTCGAGTTGTTGGTCCGAGTCCATCCATTGGTATGCAGGTGGCAGCTCGATACAAGACCGTGAATGACACATCAACAGTGTTAACGCCGGGACGAGGCTTGTCGTTGACCCATTTATGAATGGCGAGTGCAACCCGAGTAATTTCGAGCGCAATGTCGTTCTCAGGAAGAACGGCAGTGCCTTTTGACGAGTTACAAATTCCATAGTCATAATATGCCACGAGACTTACTAGCCAAATCCACTGATCGAGGGAGCATGAGCTCGACAAGAAGCTTTAAGCACTTGATGGTCGTTGAATCGTGGAACACGTGAATGGTGATGCATTGCTTCAGATAGTGTAGTGCACGTAAGACTCTGGGAACAGGAGGCAATGTCTCGAAGATGAGCTTCCAAAGGTTGAGAAGGCGGGTTTGATCACTCTCCGCAAGCTGATTAGCATCCCCCACTAGAGCTTCGGATGTGACAATCTGCACCAGCAAATCCACGGTGTTTTCGGACAACTCACGGAGACGCTCTTGGACGATGGACTTGAGCTTGATGTTGGACTCGACTGCTTCCAAGTCCTCGGAGGCAATATCTAATAGCAAAGCTGCTTGGCTGAATGCAAGAGTCAAAGGAGATTGAGATTCGTCCATTTGCCAGTGGAGTCGGCGCTTGGCAATGGGAATGTCTCTGTCAGTCCAGTCTCTAGCTGCTGATCTGCCAATAAGTTGGAGGACACCATAAATGAGAGGGGATTTGTAGGGACAGTCCTCGTAGAAGATCGGGAGAACGATCACGAGAGCGGAGAGAGCAAGCATAACAAAAGCGAAAGCACTCGTGAGGCCCGATGCAATCTTGAAGTTGAGTGTCCATAAATATGTGACAAGTCCGACAACAAATAGGACGAGCGCAAGTTGGAGAAGGACCCCCAGTGTCGAGAAAATGACGGAAACCTTCCAAGCTTTAAAGCTTGTCTGATAGAACCCACGGAGCATGAGACCTTGCTGAAAGTTGTTCTGAGCAACTTCAGTCCATTTTTGGTATGTGTGCAACCATTGCTTGATGAATATGCCGAAGAGAGCGGATCCAAGGCTGAGAATCAAGCTGACGAACCATAGTATGATGACGGCGAGGACAACAGGGGAGGTACTTGCGGTTGGAGGCAGAGCAATTTCTCCAGGCTTGCCCTCCATATGTGCAAGGATTGATCGTAGGACGATGGCCGAATCTTGGGTGTAGTCGATGTTGAGAGTTTTGTACACGTCAACGATAAACGCCGTGAGAACTGCCGAAAAGAGGCCAGCCTACGTGTTCTTGAGTCAGGCGGGAGAACAAAACTGCAACGCACAAAAACAAGCAGAGTATCGATTTCAGTGTCGTATTCCTTGACCATTATGTCATCTCTCCGCTTGACCTTTTCATATGCTTCCTTCCAGTCTGAATCCTGTTTCAAGCATTGTCAGGGTTTTTATCAGTCGCACTGCTTTGTACCTTTTGGTCGCTATCCGCTGGAACCAGCGGCACACGCATCTATGAGAAGTGGCAGTCAAAGTAACCGTGGCATTGTTCTCGACATACCTGGGGTATCTTCAAGACGGGGAGGAGTGGCATGGGATGTGTCAAGATAGATTCTGACAGACTAACGGGCAGTGTAAATCTTGAGATGCAGTTTTATATCAGGTTCAGGTGACTGCAGGTAGAGGCCTGCTGTTGAACCCTGCTTGGGAAGAACCAGGTGGAATCGGGCGTGAATTGAGGCAAGTAGAAAATTGTTGCCGTAGCCCCAACGTAGCCCACATACTGACATTCACCATATGTTCTTTCGTAATTTGGCTAGAGTTCGTCAGCGCTCGAGCCATTGTCATGATTTGGAGAATTTGGAGGCAGCACAACACTAGGGCCTGCGTTTGAAGACCGGTATGTTGGATTTTCCGAGCATCGCATTGGCATTTCACTTATACCCGTAGTCAGACTGTGTATGAGTTCAGTTGGAGTTCAGAGTTGGGCGACTGTATTTCACTGGCACGTGCTCGACTCTTTTTTTTTTTTTTTTTTTTTTTCTGCACTTATATACCGCAACACTAACTACTAAGACGCGGTGGCCGGGACGCCGGTTCCGTCTGGCCGCTCGGTGGTGGTGTGTGCCGGGTTTGGGATCACGTGCTCGACTCTTTTGATGCGACTCTCCGTCCCTTCCATTCCTGCCATTTCGACGCGACCACCTCCCCCACGGCTATCAGCACCCGACGCAGTTGAAAGAGTAGCGAATGTGTGTACCACCCTTTGGAGAAACGCGAATGACTCTGATCTTCATAGTTTCTACGCCCCGGCAATGTCGGAATCCTTACGGGTGCAGGCGTCAGTGTGGATAGTGGTATCAGAGCATAGTGCGTAGCATTCTCCTCTCTCTACTGGAATTTCTTAGCTCTATCTCCAGTCGTGGTAGCGATGGACGCTACATGAACCCGAATTATAAACCATTGTTCTATCACCAACTGGTGGACGAAACTCCTGCAGGACACACCTTCCGGTCTGTCGACTACGTGCTTTTGACCTTAGGAGTGAACGGCAATATTCTAGTCAACGATACTGGCTGAGATCGTACCTTGGCTATCCCGCCATTCGTTTGACGCTCCCAAACACAACCCATTTTGGTCTCGCTGCTCTTCAGCATGCTGGTGTTGTGCCGAGAATAATAACACAGGTGAAATTCGCTCTAAATAGCTCACCTTGAATCATTCGAATAATCTACAGAACGTTGATGGACTACACCACAGTGCCCTTTCGCTGTCTCCCCGTGTCGGAACCGATAAAATTCTTGAGCTTCACGGGAGTCTGCACGTACGTCACTTGACGCCCAAATTACGATGCCTAATCTGCCACGAGCTCGTCCACTGCAAGCACGGACACACTGTCGACCGCAATATCTTTCAGAACTGGCTTTCTGCCGCAAATCCTCAATGGAAAGCTTTTTTGGACGAAGCCGAGCGGACAGGCAACAAGCCTCGAACAAATCCGGACGGAGATGTAACGTTTCTGTCCGATTTCCTATGACCCACGGAATCTGACTGGGATTAGGTGGCTATCGAGCATTTGGGAACTGTTTATGAGTCGTTTGTCGTCCCACAATGCCCGTCTTGCATGCTTGAGGACAAGATAAATTCTGTTGTGCGTGTTGTGATCCATTCAGACCATGAATGACGAAGTAAGCAGCACAAACCAGGTTCGATGCCTCTGCAAGCTTGGTTCGCGTTATTGACGCGCTCTTTAGCCTTGGTATTCTTTGGAGAGTCGATTCCCAATGCAGTCAAATCACGCTCGTACGTCGCAACGGAGTTTCTTCTGTTGTAACTCACAAGCTTCAAGCTACAATATCATTGAGGAGACTGACCGGCTGCTTATAATCGGGACCACCTTGGCCACATACTCCGCTTTCAGGTCGGGGACATCAATACTCGTACTCAATTGCTCACTTCGCTTAGGTTATTAAAACACGCTGTCGAGCTCGGCAAGCCTGTGCTTGTGCTCAATGTTGGTCCTTCACGGGCCGACACCATCGAGGAAATCGACCGTATCGACATACCAAGTGGTCTAATCATTCGGGATGTTGTTCGAGCTGTTTTGTGGGTTGCTTATTCGTGGACTGACTCCCTGCTTATATTTGTTCAGAGGTCCAACCGCATTGAACGACCCAGTCATTGCAAAGATGCTGGAGAGCGGGATTGTCAAACCACCAGAAGACGACACGATCACACAACATGCGGCGCCGAGTTAAGAGTTGCTATAAAATAGAATAATGAACCAAATAGATACCAGGTACAAGCAAGTGTTAGCGATACAGTGAGTGTGGCTTTCCATTCAAGGAGAGTTGGGGACGATGAAGGAAGAACGCAGTTGAGACCAGTCCCACGATTTCCAGCGCTGCGTCAAGTCGGCGTAGTTGATTGGCACGGATTGGTACTCGCTCTTGTCCTCTGCCTCTGGCGTTGCAGCACGAGAAGATCCAGGTGAAGACGAATTGCCGTCATGGGGCGACGACTAGAGAAAGCAGTATTCAACCTCCCTGGGGTGCATTTATTATACTTTTCTGACAAACCTGAACTGGGAGGCTAACACGCGTTTCTTTCGGCGTCTCGCGTGTTTTCGTCTTCTTCAAGCATCTTCCGCGGTGTCTTGTCCAATGCGACGCGTCGTAGTCGCTCTTGTAGGAGAGCTTGATTGTTGTGCCGCAGTTGAGACACCGCACCAGTGTAGGACTCAGTACATCCACAAGCGAATCCGCGCGAAGTTTCAGCTCGCGTAACTTCTTCTTTGACGGTGGACTAGAGTTTCCTGCCGATGATGTACTGCAAAATAAGGTCAGCCGTTGTTGAGCGGTTGAGAGACAGAAAGGTACGGGAGAGTTGGTGGCGGCATTGGGCGTGGAGAATCCCGAGTGGCGGTTAGAAGCAGGGCTAGCGAATTACCTTATATACTGGTGTGGTCAAAGCACGTAAGGCGGACGAGTCTCCTTCCACGAGCAATCATTGATTGAGGAATGGGGTAGGTACAAAACGGGTATATAGCAGCAATGAAATGAACGTCAAGTTACTCAATGTGAATCAAGGAGGTGCATCCCTGATGCTTTCTTGGAAACCAGTCAAGAACGCTTTGAAGGGCAGGAGGAACCACCCAAACAAGCCTGGCGCTTCTTTTTGAACGGGTGTATAGCTTTCTTTCCGCGGTTTGTTGACAGGACGTGCGTCTGGATCGTCTGCCTCCAACTCATCATCCTCGAGGCGGCGCTTCAAACCACGGCTTGTGGAAGCATCAGCAACTATGGTGCTTTCAGTCGCAGTTGAAACGGTCGAACGCGGAGAAGAAGCGGTCTTCGATGTTGTCGCTGCATTCTCCTTCGCCTTCGCCTTCACCTTGCTTGTTGAGGGGCTGTGGAATATGAATGATCAGAGTCTCCCAAAGGCTGGAACCACGCACGGAGAGCATGTTGTTTTGTGAAGCTCCCAGTTAGTTAAAGTGTAGTCATGGTCGCCAACAAGCTCCACATCCGTGCTGCAGACCGTGCATTCGACCAAACGGGGGCTCTTGATTTTGGCTTGCGAATCATTCACAAGTGTGATTTTGCGTTTGGCCATCGCAACACGGCTGCTAACCCTGACGCAAATATGTCAGGACGAAGGAGATTCAAGTAGAACAACCCCAACATTTCGTCACCACAGTTTTCTTGGTGTTTATTCCAGTTGGCTAATGCATATGCAGTCTTGGTAGACAGCCGAACCCATTTCTGACATTTACGGCACAAAACCTGGTCAATGTCGACCCGTTCGGCGCGTGGGTCGGCCTCGAGCTCTGCTTTACGCTGTTCGCCTGTTGTGCGACGCCCAGATCCTGCTCCAATATCGGACCGCATTTCACTGCGGACGCTGACACTGACGGTATCATCACTGGTATTCACAGTTAGCTTGCATCTGAACGGAATTTCAACGAACATCACAGAGCCAGCCGCCAGTTTCTGGTCACATTTACGTCGGTGGTTCTCCCATGGTTTGACAGTGTAGGTCTGCTTGCGGCCGAGCGCCACGACTTTGTTGCAACGTGTGCATTTTACAGAGTGGGGTTCAACCTATTAATGAGGGTGAGAAATAGGAGATTAGATATGGTTTTACGGCATACCTCAGCGCAGTCGGGTTGGTTCTTAAAGTATTCAATTCGCTCTGCTTCAGTTCGTCGAATTGAGCCTCCGCCCATGACGGAAGATTCAGCAATTGAAGTATTATCGTCGGCAGTTTCGGGCGTTGCCATGCGTCTGAAAGCGCTTGAGGGAATGTCTTCCGGGAGACAATCAAGACTCACTTGCGACTGACAGTCGAGGTGGGTTTCTTCGTAGAGGCACTGGCCTCATCATCAATAATCTTCTTCATGGAGCTGATCGAAGAGGAGGAACGAGCGTGGATGGCCTTGAGATTGGTCTTCGTCAGTGGTGATACATTTTTCGCCTCTGAAGCGGTTCTTGGTGCAGGTCCAGGCAGACTGGTCACGATCAGGCCTTGTCATTTGGGCACATGAGTACACATACTGGACTTCAACTTTCTTCGGGACTTTGCCAGGCGACTAGGAAAGTGGGTGGCATGAAGACCAGTGTTTGGTAATCAACTCACTGCAGGTGTCGTCGCAACAGTGGTTTTGCGGGAAGACGCGGGTTTGGGAGAGGCCTTCGCGTCAGGCATCGGAGTTTCTTTTTCCGAGTCGGATGAGTAGCTGAATCTTTTCGTCAGCACGATGCTAGCGACGCGACATAACACCCAATACTTCTGATTCGTGGATACGGGTCGGTGACGCTACTTCGGATAAGGCAAAGCTCGCGAGGTGTTTGGACGCGTACATACCTTGCGGGAAAGATAGGTTTTAGTGAATGGTGGGCTAGGTTGAAAAGGCTGAGTATGTTGTTGGGGAGAAGATGACATGCCGGTAACGGATCATATTTTGATGGGTACATTGTTCATCATGATCATTGATGCGACTGGGAATTACAGTTTACCCTTGTCCTGGCCCTGCGTCTCTTCTCCAAACACCTCTGAAAACGCCTTGCCAATCTCGGGCAACATGTCTTGTGTAACTACACCACGGCCCTCTTTATCAAATGCCCTCCGACTGGCTGTTCGGGTCACTAAGCTCCCACCGACTGCAGCAAGCAAAGGGAGACGCGAGGTGGCTAACGATTTATCACTGTGAGAAGTCAGAATGATGTCGATGAAAGCGTATAATAATACAGACCCGAAGATTCCATCTTCGTAGCACTTTGCCCAAGCTAACATTGTACCCACTGTACCGCTCAGAATGTCTCCCTGACCACCACATCGCTTAAGACCGCCTTGAACGCCCACCGAAACGGTCTCTTTGGTTGGTTCATCTAACTCGGATGTTGAACCACTCGCATCAATCGAGATTATGTCCGTAGCGCCTTTTTGTAGCACAGTGACCCCACCCAGCGCACGCGAAACTAGCCCAGCCCGCGTTTCGACAGGACTATCCTTGTCAATGCCTAGCTGCTGGCTCAACCGGGCAAATTCTGCCACATTTGGAGTGACAACAGCGCGGCGATAGCCTTTAATGACTGATACATCTTGGCCCACTAACCACAGAGCGTCAGCATCCAAGACGACGAACATTCCTTGCTGACGAGCGAGAGAGATTGCAATTTTTGCGAAAGACTGCATGTATGGTTCTCGACCTAGCCCAGGACCAACGACAAGTACATGGAGACGAGAGAGTATCGAATTGAGCTCAGGGGAAATCTGGTCTGGAGTTGCTTCTTCACGCAAAAGGGGATGAACGATTAAATCGGGAGAGTAGCTCTTGATAGCACCAGCAGCAGTCGGGGAGCATATTACATGGGAGAGATCGCAGCCGTATCGAAGCGCAGAGATGGCAGCAAAGTATGGTGCGCCGGTATAACTGCCCGATGGTTAATTGGAGTTCATCAACGCGTGTCTCTCAGCCCACTCTAGTGCACCACCAAAGACGCCTACCCGACCTGATTGACCCTTGTGTAGAGTGCCGTCGAGTGGAGGAATGAGCTGTTTCACCTGCTTGAGCACACTGCTGACTGTCTGCATTGAGCGTGGTTGATCTGTGATCCCAGCGTGACAGTCACATCACAATGCCTATTTCTGGCACCACAACGATCAAAGCATTTCTGGTCCCACCGGCCATTGTTTTCTGCGCTTTGCTCCAACGCACCTATTCCCTCCGAGTTTCCGACCGCATACGTTACGTACACATGTTTCGCAAGGACTCCTACAAACTCTGAAGTTTTCAACCCCAAAAACACAGGAAGGACTCCACATTTTTCCGGAGTCCGAAGTTCGAGTTGATGAGGTACCAATACCAAAAGAGCTTCTATCTCGCCCGGGAACGGTCTCTGTGTGAAAGCCAATCTAATCAATGCGTGTCCTTGTGGCACTGCTGGTCAAATCTCGTTGTTCTTATAATGGGACAAACCGCCATTGTTTTCTCAGGTTGTTCCTGCTCCCTTATATCTTCCCTCAACCGATCCCCCTTCCTTCTATCAACCCCTCCCCCACCTCATCTTACCGTCCCTAACCACACCTGATCTGCAATGCCCGCTCTCTCCAACCTAATTCTTCTCGCTCTACCCTTTGTGGCTCTAGGCGCACCACCTCGGCGCCATGAACACATTCAGCCACGCGCCACCTACAAGCTCAAAGACCACTACACTGGAAAGGACTTCCTGTATGCCACTCGCATTGCAGAACCGAGTTGTCGCTGACCGATCTAAGGGAATGGGACTTTTTCTCTGCGCCAGATCCAACACACGGCACTGTCAACTATCTTTCCAAGTCAGAAGCTCAAGCCAAAGGATTAGCATATGTACAGAAAGACGGGACAACCGTGCTTGCTGTCGACAATAAGACCACGCTGAAGCCAGGGCAGAACCGTGATTCGTATGTTGTTATCCTCACACGAGCCTCATGTCTTCCGCTCACTCTGCTCCCAGTGTTCGCATTAGCTCCCCCAAGTCATATAGCACTGGTCTTTTCATTGCCGGTGAATATTCATCTTTGTCACCGAGTCCGTGATCTAACCCCACCGAAAGACTTTTTCGCCATGCCACACGGGCCAAGTGTTTGGCCAGCTTACTGGACTGTTGGACCAAACTGGCCCACGGGAGGTGAGTTGCATCAATACAGTTCGGTAGTAACCGGCGCGCTAAATCATCCATATCTGTAGGGGAGGTTGACATTCTGGAAGGTCTGCAATTCTGTTCAGGCGCCAATTCCCGAACTCACCCGAATTGTTGTTAGGCGTCGGTGATTCAACTACAAATCAAATGACGCTCCATACGTCTGCGGGATGCTCATTAGACACGAAACTCGCTACCTCGTTCACTGGCTCGCACACGAGCACGACCAACTGCAAGAGCGGCGATGGAAGCAACGATGGATGTGGCATTACTGATGCGCAGCCCCATGCTTATGGCCACGAATTCAACATTATTGCGGGCGGCGTTTTCGCTCACCTTGTCACCTCCTCCGGGATCAAGATCTGGCGATTCCCTCGTACTGCCATCCCCGCCGATATCACAGACGGAAAGCCAAATCCAGCTTCATGGGGCAAGCCCGCGGCATTCTTCTCTTCTGGCACCTGCAACATTGCCGAGCACTTCAAGGACCAAGTTATCACCATCGTACGTCCACCGTGTCAATCAACCCCCATATTCTGATTGCGATCCAGAATACCTCTATTTGCGGTGATTGGGCAGGCAATGCGTTCCCTGGTGGTCCTTCAGCATGCGCGGCGGCAGCAGCCGACCCCCAAAACTTTGAACGTGGGTCATTCTCCGTTCGTCCGACGGCAACTAATCATGCCTCTAGATGCCCAATGGATGCTCAACTACGTTTCGGTATACGAATCATGAACAAACGACAAGAAGAAAGGACAACTTGTATTTCTACGATCGCCAGACGACACTCACATTGTAGCCGCCACTCTTTATTGGTTAAACACGGTATAACTTTACTTGTACGACACACTCTCTTTTGGGTTTTATTGGTTTCATTGTTGATCTCCATTGCGGGCGTTGGAGATGGTGGGATAGTATGCAAGCGTGCTAGTTTCTAGAAGAAGTATTTTTGGACCAAGGATGGTCGTCTAGGAGTCAAATTAATCTGTGCAAAAAGATAAAATGGCCGTGACCGATTATCAGTGACAAAATCACGAGGTTCGTCGATTGACGCGTCGCAACGTCGCTACGACCGCGACTTGCTGGCAACAACATGAAGGTCGCCGTTGTGGGTTCTGGCGCCGCTGGATTAGCTGCAACTTGGGTCCGTGAACTCTATTGTTTTGAAACATTGGCCAACAGAATCGTTTTAATTGATTCGTTTAGCTTTTGAATCAACACAGTGAACACGAGGTCCACCTCTATGAAGCTGATAGTCGGCCTGGTGGGCATGCAAACACAGTCAAATTCACTACTCCAGGAAGGGCGCCAGATGAAGGCGTATACGTTGACACGTAGGCACCTTGAACAAGGTTTTTGCAGTAGAATTGAAAGTTTGCCAGTGGCTTCGTACATATCTTATGGAGCCTCATATGATCATCTTAACGCCTCATGCAGATTGTCTTCAATCCCAGCACATACCCGAACTTTATAAAATTCCTCAAAATGGAAGGCATCAAGTACGACCCGACCGAGATGACCTTCAGTGTTACCCGAGATGCTGGGGCCTTTGAGTGGGCTGGAAACAACCTATTCACTGTCTTCTGCCAGCCGTATCGACTTCTTGATCCCTCGATGTGGCGTTTGGTTTACGATGTTCTCCGCTTCAACGCCTATGCGCGAAACATATTGTCACAGGAGGAAGAGTTGCTGAAAGAAATGTCCATTGGCGAATACCTGGATCGCCAAGGCTACTCTGACGCATTCAAAGACAATTATCTCATTGTAAGAGGAGTGTTTTCTTCGGATTCAGCGTATTAATGGACTAGCGCCTTGTTCTAGCCTATGACCGCATGCATCTGGAGCACTCCGCCAGATAAATGCGCATTGGACTTCCCTGCACGCACCTTGGTGAGTTGACGATTCCGGTTATTGGTCGATTCAATTCTTACTTGTATGCTAGGTTCAATTCTTGTCGAATCACCACCTCCTTCAGATAACTGGTAAGCCTTCGTGGCTAACAATTGAGGGAGGCAGGTGAAGCCAACTCTCACGATCCATAATTTGACGCTAAGTTGTTCAAGCCGCGAATATGTCAACAAAATCATCTCAAACCTCCCTCAAGACCAGCTCCACCTTGCAACCCCAGTGGCTTCAGTCAGCACAGAAGAAGGAACGGGCGGTATCCGGCTTACGACGAGTAATGGTGAAACGCAAACAACATACGACCATGTGATTTTTGCTTGCCATTCTGATACTACGCTGGCCATTCTCCGCGCTGGGCAAGGAATGACGGTAGATGAAGAGCGAATACTCAAGATGTTCCAATGGAATCGCAATGAAGCTGTCTTGCATTCTGATGTTGCTCTTATGCCGCGCAGTCGCTTAGCATGGACGTGTTGGAACTATCTCACTCGGACGGTACTTGATACTCAAGGAAAGCGAAAGGCAAATTCGGACGAGGTTTCTTTGTAAGCCTGATTTTTGCCCTAGATTTCGTCCCTAACTTGATATAGAACATGTAACAAGTCTATGATTCGTCTATCCGGAGTTGAGCTATTTTTATAGATGGGATGAACGACTTGCAGCATCTTCCTCTGAAAAAGCACGGGCCTGTTCTCGTCACCCTCAACCCACCATTCGAGCCTCGGGAAGATCTTGTTGCAGGACGGTGGAAGTACGACCACCCGGTGCTTGATGCCAACGTACCTTTTTTTGCCAAGTTTTGTTACCAAATATTTTGACTCTTTCTCCAGGCTATCCGTGCTCAGAAACTTGTACGGACTATTCAACGCACACGTGGGATTTCTTATGCTGGGGCTTGGTTGAAATACGGCTTCCACGAAGACGCATTTGCCTCTGGGCTTGACGCAGCACGGCATTTAATCTCTTCGGGTAGGCCCTTACCATTCGACATTGACTTGGAGGTGGATCGGAAACCACCAAGTGCTTGGCTGGCCGTGTTGCTACTAATGTTGTTCGAAAAGAGCGGGGCAGAGTATGTAGTAGGGACTGTGGGGGCGTGGGCCTGCTCTCTATTGGGCTGGGTTGTTTGGAGGGTGTTCGGCTGGGGTGCAAGATTGAGAGATGAGGCTGATGCGAGAAGGAAAATGAAGGTGGATTAAATTTAATTTCGGCATTTGCTGATCGCGTCTCCGAATTGGAGCATATACGCATTGCTTAGATCCTTACATTAGAGCTTTCAAAGTCTCCCGAATGACCAGTCAATTGACAATACTTAATTAGTGACTTAGTCGGTCATGGTCCGAGTCCGAAACGGCTGTGACGGTTTGTGTGACCGGCGCGCTCAAACTTATGGACTCACCACCACAACCTCCAACAGCGACGCCTCCGTCTGCTTCTAATGAGTCCTCGGGCTGGCCAATGACCAGGACCACAAAGGTACGATTCCGGTGACCATAACTTTACTCCGACCTTTCTCATCTGGATAGCAGGCTTGTTCGCGTTGCAGGTACTTATTTGATCAGCGCTCGACGCGTCCAAATAAGAACAAACCTTAACACAACGTCCTAAGGAGCGACAAAGTCTGGTGTGATGGCGCCCGACCGTGTGGGTCTTGTTCCCAGAAAGAAGCCCAATGCAGCGACGGCTGTGATTCCTGCAGATACGTTCGAGTGCCCTGCGTCAAGTGTGTAATAACTTGTCCAACTTTCGAGGCTTGTTTTTGATAACGGAGAATGAAGGACCCACGGAAATTCACGATGCACTCGTTGCACAGAACAGGACATCGAATGTACTGGTCAAGCACCAGACGTTTCACATCCGTCAGCTTCGACCCCACGGACACTACCACCATGCCAGGCTTGTGAAGGTCTCGACCAGAAGGTGAACCTCCGACCAACATTCTCTTTCAACCATGACCTAAAATTATCAGTGTGAACCAGTCCGGCCGTGTTCTCACTGCCTATCTCAGAGCGCGGCTTGCATCCCCTCCGCTACGCCTAGGCACCGACCCTTTCCCAAACCCAAAGCAAAACTCAAGACACCCTGCATTCCCTGCGAAAAGGACCAAATTATTTGCGATGAGGGCTATCCTTGCTCTAGTTGTGCTGCGGGTCAAAAGGAGTGCGTGTTTAGACAACCGGAACACAAAGGCGAACGAACACCACGAACGAAAATGGTTGCGTGTCTCGATTATTCTGACCCAGGTTACTAAATCCGAGGTCTCCACAGGCATGCGTAGCTTGCAGGTTCGAGTTACTATTTCCCGACCATCATCTGCAGCAACTGAGCCCTCCTCACAGACGACAGAAAATTCGATGCGATGGAAGTCGGCCTTGCCGAAGTTGTGTTAAAAAGTTTTTGCCCTGCATTAACTCGATTTGTCAAGCCTGCATGAACGAAGGGAAGCGCAAGTGCAAGCATCGGTTCGAACAGGGGCCTATTATTGACGGCCCTGGTCTTCCAGGTGAGTGTTGTCCAACGACGACTACTACTCTCACGAATAGTCAATTCAGCGGGTGAAACCTCCGTTAATTCCGGAGCTTTACCTCCTCCATCTTCCACGCCAACGCCGCCAAATTCTGACCCGCCACCGCCACCAAAAACACTCCCCCGCCTATCTATGATCATGTCTGACGCGTCCTCTCTGCTATAATCTGTGTTCGGAGTATTATTTAATTTTGTAGCACTTTTTGTATTTATTGTAGTAGAACATCAACAATTCGCCTTCAAAGGAAAGAAGTTCTAGAGTGGGTAGTGTACAGATTATTCCAGTTTCTAAAGTCAGTCCGTCTCTTCGTCGTCAAGTTTTCACTGAAGTGCATCAGAACAAAAAAAGCAGACCATCAAATCAACTCACAGTGATGACCGTTGGCTTGTCGACACCCAGGTATTCTTTCAGTTTGCTCAACTCAAGCGCAACCTCGATAAGCCCCCTTGAGGCCTTCCGCCGTGTCACCCTTGAGTGCTGCCTCGCCTGCCTCTGGTGCCACATATCGTTCAACATACATTCTCACCGTTGCTCCCTGACTGCCCGTCCCGCTCAGCCGGAACACAACACGAGACCCGTCAGAAAACACGATCACCTGCCCTTGGTTTTTGGACACGCTATGGTCAATCGGGTCCGTGTAAGCAAAGTCATACAACTCCGCAACGGTAAACTTGGCCCCTGTCGATGACGTATGCGTGGTATCATTGAGGGATTTGCTGGCGAGTGCTTTATTGAGGTTGTCCACGAGGGCCTGAGCGCCAGCGGAAGGTACTTCCTCGTAGTCGTACCGACTGAAGTATGACCGACCATATATCTTGTAGTGGGCCAGAAGGAGGTCATTAATACCGACAAGCTTGCTGGGTGACTCGGCGTTGGCTGCTGCCAAGATGTTCAGCCATGCAACAACAGCCCACAGTCCGTCTTTTTCCCGAATATGATCTGACCCGGTACCAAACGACTCTTCTCCGCAAATCGACAACCGACCCGCGTCCATCAGGTTGCCGAAGAATTTCCAGCCCGTTGGGACCTCGAAGTACTCGAATCCCTTCTTCTTCGCAACAAGATCAATGGCCTTGCTGGTGGGCATGCTACGCGCAAGACCTTTCACACCACCCTTCTTGAAGTATGGGATGGAGTCTGCCCAATGTGCGATAATGGCAACAGAGTCTGAAGGAGTAACAAATGCGCCTTTTCCGTAGATCATGTTACGGTCGCCATCGCCGTCACTGGCAGCACCAAAGGCAATGTTGTTCTTCTCGACTGCCTCGACAAGGGTATGGGCGTAGGTGAGATTTGGGTCAGGATGACCATTGCCAAAGTCAGGCAGCGGGATGCAATTCTGGATCGAGGTCTCAGGGAGGCCCAGAACGTCGACAAAAAGAGCTTTGGCATAAGGACCGGTAACGCCATGCAGACCATCAAAGAGAACACCGAAGTCGCTCGAATGCGACGACAAGAAGGACTTGATCAGCGCAAAGTCGAAGATCGATTGAAGCAATTCGACGTAATCGGCGACGGAATCGATTATGGATACTTTGGATGGCCCATAGGTGGATTCGCCAATCTTGGAAAGGTCGACCTGGCGCACGTTGGTCATTCTCACTCCACGATAGACAAATCAAGACTCACCGGGGGTGCCTCGATGATTTTGTAGGAAGTAATTGTCTTGGTCTTTTCGTAGATCTTGTTGGTGACATTCTCGGGAGCTGGACCACCATTGGAAACGTTGTATTTGATGCCAAAGTCCTTGTCGGGGCCACCCGGGTTGTGGCTAGCAGTAAGAAGGATACCTCCATACGCCTTATATTTCCGAATGACGTTGGATGCAGCGGGAGTGGAGAGAATCGCGTCCTTTCCGACGATGAACTTTGCTACACCGTTGGCAGAGCCGATCTTGAGGATCGTTTGCACGGTCTCTGGAGAGAAGTAGCGCCCATCACCGCCAATGACGAGTGTTTGGTCCTTGGCATCGATGGAGTCGAAGATGGCTTGGATGAAGTTTTCCGTATAGTTCTGAGCGGGTGGTCAAAAATGAGTATAGACGCGTTCATGTGGTCGGACCTGTTGTTGGAATACTTTCACTCTGGAAGAGAGGTCAGGCAGATGGAACCGGCGAGACAGAGACGGGCAGATTGAGCTACCTCTTTCTAAGGCCAGACGTGCCAGGCTTCTGACCCTCATAAGGGTTGGTCTGGATTTCGCAGAAAGACATAGGGTGTGCTGGAGGAGTTACGAGGTTCGGGAGGGTGTGTTTGGAGGAACGAGGGTGAAGAAGAGTGGTGAGTGAAGTGAAGCAAGGGTCGCGTCTTAAAAGCGAGTGACGTCACATAATATCATCAAAAGTAAAATCACTTGTTCGACAAAGGAACGACCATGGTCAGGAATTTATCCCAGGTACAAGCAATCCATCCGTCCTACGTTCATCCTGCATACTCAAAAGGCATCCATGACTCTTATCGTTGCCCAGCGTGTGGTTGCCCCAGCCTAAATCAGTTCCGATAGCAGGCGTTAGTATCTAGGAGTTTTCTTCGTTATTGCCGAGTGGTCGTTCCTTACCTCCAAACTATCCCCATCGCGTATCACCTGCCGATATGCTCTCCGTTAAACACCAGCGTCCATTCGAAATAACCAAACACCGCGAATCTTCGGTGTCTTCATTGGGAATGCGTGGCGGTGACGTGTTTCCACTCGGAGTGCCGTCCTTCCCCAGCGGAATATAAGCTACCGGTGCAGTCGGGAAACCATGGCAAGTTATCGCAGCAAACGATGTGGATTTGCAACAAACATCAATGACCCTCTGCACAAATTCAGGTGGGAGGAATCCTGTCCATCGGATCACAGTGATGTCCCCAATCGTATCGGAGAACGACTCTGGAGCCTCGTAGACGGCGATGAATGGGTCAACGCGATCATTGGCTGCTAACCTGCTCTGCTTTAGTTATTGTGGGTAGAATGTGGTTCAACTTTGCCTTTGCGCCCCCAATCCCGCCATCCCCACCCACTCAAATAGTTCTCCCATGTCTTCGTCCCAATCATCTGCCTCGTCTGGATCCGTGGGACGTGGTTTTATTAGCTCTATTCCAGCATTAGGCACACGAACATCCGTCATGGTCGAAAGCGAGCATTTCACTTGACGAGTGAAGGATTCGTGACCATAAGCTGTAGCCAGACGAATAGTTTCAGATGTGTCTGGCCAACTTGTGAGAGCATTTTAGCGGAGGGATGGGGGTCATACCATCAGTAGTATATGCAACGTGCCACGGCCCAAAGCCAGCGCTTCGTTGCTTGTCCCAAGCAATCAGGGCCTCATTCCGTTTTTCCCTGATACGGTCTTTGTGGAACGAGAGTTGAAGCGGCAGAGACACGACTGTTCATGGATATGACTGTAGGTTGGATCACAAGTAGGAAACTGACAAACCATAGTCGTCGGCTATTCCCCTCAGCGCACGCGAAGCTTTGACTTTTCTCCCCACAAGTGACTGTCCACCTCCAAGCATTTGATAAGTCGGGCCAGAGAGATGCATCGTCAGAATCGTCCGAGGGTCTATGCACCAAGTATCGTCTTCTTTTGTGTTGATGCTGAGGGCAGTGAAGGCGCTTCCCGATTATCAGTAGAATCATAGACTGAACAGAAATTTCAACAAACTGTTTGTCTTCGAGCTGCATCTGTTCTGCCATTTCCACTACCTTGGCCAGCTCCACCTTCGCGCTGACATATACGGTTTCAAGTTCCACCAGCTCGTTTTTCAGAAGCTCGTTCGGCACAAAAACGACATCAACCTGCAACGTTTACTATGAGACCAATGCAGGGGAAATAAGAAGACGAAAACCTGCCGCGTAAAGGGATGTGCTGCAGCAATGCGATGCAGTTTGGTATTCGCCGCGTCTAAAGAGCCAGAGGTGATTCGCACTCGAGTAGCACATGTGTTTGGTGGGTCCATGGTTGTTTAAGAGTCGAAAAAAATACGGTCACATGATCAAGTCGCGGTCTCTGTGTTTTACAATTACAACAATCCAAGTGGTACAGTACATTACGAAACACCAACAGACGACATAGAGACGACAGCAACAAACACGTCAGGCAGAAACTAATTCCTCGAAACCTTTCAGTCCTGGAATGGATCTGACAAATACACGCTCAAGGGCATCCAGCCATCGATACTGCTCACGGGGACTCTCTGGCATTGCCAGACGAAGTAGCCGCCAGTTGGAATAGACTCTGGTGTCGAGAGCTTCACAGAAAAGAGCCTGCAAAATGATGAATATATGCATTGACTGGACGTAATAAAAACTCGCCAGTTCATTGGGACGCGACAGTATAGACGACTCTTGTGACAACGCAGACGTAACGCTACTGGAAGGTTCATCGTGGATGATCTCCGTGAAACCAAGATGAAGGACTTCGAGTTGAGGAAGGGATCCTGCAAAAGCGTCGATAGCTTGAGGACTGAGCCAGCGAACACGAATACTAAGAGCCCGGAGATCATGTGCCTGATTGAGGACTTCAAGCAAACGAAGGAGTTCGAGGAAGTCAAGTGGCCGTTCCCCAAGCTTAAGTCGTTGTAAAAGATGCAATCCAGAAAGTGATTGTAATAATGGTACAAGACTGGTTCGGAGTGGTCGAAGAGCAAGTGATAACTGCGTGAGTGAAGGAAATGGCGGGTGGCTCTTCATAGTATCACGAATCCAAAAATAGTTGGACGTGGGCTTAGGACAGGGTGCCGCCCGAGTTGTTCCGAGTGTCAGCGAGTCCAAAGACTGGCTGTGTTGGATAAGAAAACGACGAAGACTTTTGGGCTCTGGGAGATGTCCGCCATCGAAAGGAATGCATAAGGAGAAGGCCTTGAGATGACGGCCATGTCCAAGATGTACAAACAGCACACCCAAGTCAAGATGGGTCGATGTGGGCGTTGTGGAGATCGAAAGTGAACGCAAGTTGCGAAGAAGCCCATTGAGAAAGAACACAAGACCTTCCATGCGTTGGATTACGTCTTCTGCAGAGTGGGTGCCGGTATGAATGGTGAGGGAAAGAGAGTCGAGTTGGGGAAGGTGCTGAGCTAAGCATGCAAGGGAGGGCATGTGTCGAAGAGGGAGTTTGAGATTGAGAGTGTGGAGGCTTCGTCCGATGCAAGGTAGGACGTCCATAACTGCGGAGAGAAAATCTTCCTGGAATGGTCCCTCATCCCAGTCAATGTGGTAAGTATGGAGGTTCGGGAGACGGCCAATTGTTTGAGCAATGCGCTGTGTTTGTTTCTGGAGGCGACGCTTGATTTGGGTCTCCGGATCTTCGTCATGTGCAAGAACACACGAAAAGAGCAACTTCCAACTCGTTGACGGTCGACAGTCCTTTGCTCGAATAAGCCATGGCTGAATGCGGACCGAGTGAACAAACGACGAGTCTCTGGTCGAAATGATAAGCTATAAGAGAAAATAGGAGCTGGAACATACTCGATATGCTTTATGAGAGGCTTCGCAGACTTGTACGCGTCAAAGGTAATGGAATTATAGCGCGTTTCGCGGGCGATGTCGAGAAAGACGCGATTGACGGAGTAGAGGGTGACGAGGAATGGCGCAGGTAGGAACTGAGCAATGCTCCTCCAGATATCAGAGGGGATTGAAAGCTTCATCTCTGCACTCAATGACTCCGCGGCAGCTCATATAAAACGTAGTGTGGCGGAGGCTGTGGTCCACCGACATCACGTGTCCATTAACGGCTCCGAGTCCTTCGCTCAAGAGAGTGTCCAATGAGGAGTAAGAAGCATAAAGGACGCTTGGACGGCGTGAACATGGAGGTCGGAAGGAAGAAAATAGTCAAGTTTGATGCTGATCACCAGCGATTGATGCCAATTCATGTTGACTTTCTACAACCTACAACGACTACTCTATAACGCTTCCTCCTTTATCTTGCGGTGAACAACGTAGTCTGGTGGCTGCCTTTCGCGGGTCCGACGTGTTGGGCCGCTGGAGCCCTTGACAGGTGTGCGATATATATTGAGCTTCTCCTCTTCTTTCTTCACTCGTTGCTGAAGAACAAAATTCAACCTCGATTCTATTCGCACAAGCAACTGCTGGTAGTGCTGTGGATCCCTTTCAGCAATCCACTGTGGCCACCAGCAGAAGATTCCCGCAAAACGAGCTATTGTGTCGACATTGTTCGGAAAGAGGCGACCTTGATCCCCTAACTTGATTGCTTGTTCAACCACTTGGTTTATGAGAGAATCCTGTGATTGAGGGGTGCAGTTTTCGGGAAGTAATGCCACACTCCGCAACTCTTCTGTGGCATCCTCTGTCGAGCGCAAGGATCGTGATATAATTCTTGCCATCGCCTCCTGACTCCAACTAGGCAATAAGTCTAGGTAGGTGGTGAACGGCGCGGTGAATACTACGGCTTCTGGAGGAATATATCCAAATATGAGCACTTCGTGGGCGCGTCGAGCAAAAAACGCCTGCGTAGTCCAATACGCGCCACAGAGTTGTGTTCCCAACCAAGCATTGTATGGGAGTTTCTGTGTGTCAATGATGCTTATGTGTGTTGTTTGGGTGCGAAAATAGGCATTCAAACGCGCGGCTTCGTTGAGACCATATGCGACGTTGCATGAGGCAGAGATAAAGGGGGTCGTTGAAAGCGGAGATGTTCCATGATGTGGGCTATAGCAGAATCCTGGCGAGCTTCCGGGTCGCTGACGCATTCCTGGTTGAGTTGACGAGGATTATTTGGTTGAGAGCGAAACGCAGGAGCAATGAATCCTCCATCAACGGGGAATCCAGTCCCAATTCCAGGTGCACAATGGACTCGAAGTAGGAATCGCTGAGCGTCGTATTGGGTAAGCCCTTCGAATGTATGTTCTGCTCTCAGCTGGCCTATTGGAAGGCGCTGAGGCTCAGGCCCAGGCGTCGTCATGAGGGTCTGAAGCAAGTTATGGGGTATATGAAATCGGTCCGTGCGCATGACGAAATCGTTTTGATCCGTCAAATTTGCCGAAATCTTGACCATGAATGTCAATCAACTCTTTCCAGAGCTCCTGGGCGACATCTTTCTCCAATTTGTTGGTCCTAGGAATGAAGATGACTCTTCAGCGTCGAGTTATCGCGAGCCTATCCTACTATCGCAGGTTTGCAGACATTGGCGGCACGTCGCACTCGAAACTCGGGAATTGTGGTCCTATATCTTCATACGTTTCTCTCAAGACCACCTACGGATATGCCCTCCCATAGAACTCGTTGAATGCTGGCTTATTAGGTCTGGAGAACGGTCACTTGACTTTCAAATCCATCTTGCAAGTGGTCAGCACCCAGAACTTGACCCACTCCCAATATTGCGCCTTCTAGTTCCCCACTCCTACCGCTGGCGACATGTACTTGTACATACTACTCTTTCGCCAAATTGGCCACAGATTACTAACTCAGATATCGACATGCCATCTGTGGAATCGCTTTCGCTCTCATGGCAAGTTCGCAGAACCCGGACTAGTGCTCAGAACCCCCTCAAGCCAGGAAGAAAGTGGCGAAGCTTTCGGTGGCTGCCTATACCCTCTTCGGTTTATCATGCTATCGACACTTTCTCGTCTCGCTGGGAGACGCTGACAGCGATTGACATCAGCATCATAATCCGCCTTTCAGATGTGTTTTTCGTGATGACTCAATGTTCTGCCTTGCAAAAATGCGTCTTGGATGATATAGATCGCATAGATCTCCAAACAACACCTGCGGATGTCGTTGCAAAGAACCTAAAAATGCTTCATGTTGCCCAGTCGGAAGCACACAGCTTCCACGCTCTATGCAATTCATTGGTTTGTGCCCAGCTGGAGGACCTTGTACTGCCTAGTCTTCATGGTGGAATTAGTTTGGGGCAAGAAATTATTACCCTTGTTCGCCACTCAGGATGCCCTCTACAGCAACTGGAATTCAAAGACGTGGGGCCTCCCACACAGGTCCTCTTCCACGTTTTGCAACTCGTGACCAGCTCCTTGGAAGCTTTAACACTCCCTCCCGATTCGGGCGACCTCGACATTTCTCTTCTCAATACTATTTTGTGTTTCTCTCCGTCTCCCTCGCCATTGTGTCCGCATCTTACCACCCTGGTTCTTCCTGTCATCGAGCCACGCGATCGGCCTGGTCTCGCCAACATGCTTGAATCCCGCTGGAATCTACCGCGCGAGAGTGAGTCCATGCTGTCGAGGCTGTGTTCTGTATATATTCCGTTTTGGGCTGAGGATGGGTGGGATGACCGGCTCAGGGCATTAAAAGCAGCAGGAATGGTTTTGACTATCACAAACGACCTTTTCCTGAACCACAATGTTGTCAATGAGATTTGAATTCAAACGCACAACAAAGAAACACAGCCTGCCGAGAGACAAATATGTTTAAAGTCAGAGGTGTATTCACCCGAATCTCCATGATTTAACGCCAACAACAGGCCCCCATTCCGCTTCGACCTCCAACTCACCACCTTCCTGGACCTCTCCCTCCTCTGCTAGACTCTTTCTAGTCCGTATTCGCATACCTTGCTCCCCAAACTCGACAGAGCTTTTGCTCAACGAGGAATATAACTTGGTCCTGCCCTCTGCCTTCGTCTCCGAGTAAACATCGAAACAGACATATGAGTCGTCTTTCCCTTCCAACGGCATGAACACCATGTTTGCCCCAGCTGTTGTTTCAACAATCACGTCCCTACTCTTTCGTTTCTGTTTGATCTTTGTCCTCGACTTGGGTTTGCGTTTCGTCAATGCGGCGACCTGTGTTTCGGGCTTGATCTCGTGGTCGGCTGGCTCCTTTTTGTCTGGTTCGAGCTCCATTGTCTGGTCCGGTGGGTCATGTCCGTTTTCCATGCCAGCAGCTGCAGCGTAAACCTCATCAAGAACACTCATCCTTCGACGTTTCTTAACTGGAGCCGGCTCTTCTTCTTCGTCCTCAGAATATTGATCTTCAAGTACTGGGACCGGAAACACGGCGTTACGGAGAACATTGGCATCGTACTTGATCCTGTGTTCGCGATATGAGTAAAATCGCAGATTTATAAGATCAAAGACTAACATTGGAGACCCTCCAAAGGTACAAACTACCGTTCGGCCGAGTAGAGCTTTACGGTCCGCGTCAGTTGAACACGTGCATCGTGGGACCAGCATCTCGTCGTCCGATCCCTCTTCGACAATGGAATCCAACGCACTGGCATTGACGCCCATGCGTCTGGTTGTAGGCGGTGAACTCACTCCACCCGCCCGTCGACGTTTGCGGCCAGCCACAGCAAGTGTCTGAGGGCATGTTGATCGGTCTGGACAGCCGATGTTAGCCGCGGCGAGTGACGGGGAAAGCCCAAGAGCTGCACGACGGGTGGTGTATTCGGCCAAGCGCTGGGTGCGATTGGGTCTGGAAAGCCCATGTGCCGTATGTTTCTATTCAAAAATATTAGAAATAGATTTCATGTCCAAGACAAAAGAAAACCTGACCTCAGCAACAGTGACTTTTAAAACCTCGAAAGCACTTCCGTCATGACCTGCACCCCATCCCGCGCTAAGAATTCTTCGGCCGTCGTCAGAAGGATCATCTTCCACTGGCGACTCCTTCTTGACGATGATCTCACCCTCTTCCTTGTCTGGATTGTCATCCTCAAGTGCGATAGGTGGTACTTCAAGCATCCCTTCCCAATTACGCTCACAACGCGCGCCCCAGCCACCAGCAAACCTCCCAACAACCTCAGTCATTTCCGGACGAGGTTTCTCCACGTGTTTATCTTTTTCGTCTTTTTCGGCAACAGCATCCTTGTTCATCGGCTCCTTCGCAGACTTGCCCTTGTCCTTGTCTTTCTCCGCGTCCTCTGCTGCTAAGGCAGGCATGATGGCGTCTCGCTCAACTCCCAGTACACGCACCAGTCTCAACTCGATCCTCAAATCACGCCCTTCGCGGCGAGCGCGGGCCAAATCCGTCCAACGGGCATAACCCGCATGAACGATTGTTGCTATTGGGTCTGAATCGTCGGTGTAAATCCTCCTTCGAGTGGAAGACGGCTCATTCTTTCGAGACTTTAAGGCAGGATCGTGACTGGAGGTGATGCCACCTCCCCAAACACGTTGGGCACGAGAGGGACGTGACAAGGGCAGATATGCGGAGGGAATGAGGAGTGTTGCACGCGTTTCGAGAGAAATTGTCTCCGGATCGGTGGTTTCCGGAAATTTATCACCATCAGGTGATTTGACCTCTTCGACTGGGAAGGAATAGGGGAACGGTGTTCTAGGAAAGACAAATGAACCGATTGAGATTATCCGACGCGCTTTGAAAACGCGTTCCGGGGTTTCTGGTGGATGAATCGGAACGGCTGCTGTGACCGTGACATTATTTAGTGGTGGTGCTTCCCATTCCGAGCCTTCTGACGGAGGTGCGGGTCCAGGAACTCCCCAGACTTCACGGTCATGGCGTGGCTTTTGTTTGCGTGGCGGAGATGCCTCACGTGCCGGAACGAAAGACGTATGGAATTGGCCTTGGAAAGTACGGGGCCCGGATTGTTGTTGTTGTTGTTGTTGCCAACCAAGTGCTGGGTGTGGTGCGTATTCTCTGTCCCTCTCTCTCTCTCGCTCTCTGTCTCGATGTTCCCTGCGCTCACGCTCCCGATCTCTCTCCCTGTCACGTTCTCTATCACGTTCTCTCTCTCGTAGGTCGCGCGAAAGTGATGGAGGTTGGTGTAAACCTGCCATTGGAGCGTACATCGGTGAAGGTTCAGAATAAGTCGGTGGTCCTGTCGATGGGCCAGCTGAGCCGGGTGGCGGCGAAGGGTAAAGGTGAGATGGTGGTCGTGAAAGATAAGTCGGGCTGTTTATCGGATTTTGTGGGGGTCGAGGGTAAGGCTCACGATATTGAGGCTGGGGGTAGTTTGGTGGGGGTTGTTGGGGCCATGATTGTTTTTGCGGCGGCGGAGGTTGCGGCGCTTGTGACTGTGGCCATGGGCGCGGCTCCTGTTTGCTGGGTCGTCGGTCAGACGGGGAGTCTTGCAACAACGATGCAACGTTCATCGCAGCGGCAAAAGACCGAAGTGCCGTGACACTCAGACACGCTGTCAAATGCCAAAATTTTCGATAGGATCGTGACTGATGTGACATTCTCGTGGCATTTTCTAGCATTTTTGGGAGCATTTTTCGGGAACATGATAATCTTCTTTTAGTGTTTCGTAGTCGTCCCCTAAAGTAACTACACATCTCAGCAAAGTAGCTAACCCTTCCCCGCGCGGAAAAGCATTTTCCTTAATCGATCCTCTTGGCTCTCTATCGTCTTCTGCGGTGTAGGTGGTGCCGCAGGTAACTTTTTGTCTGCTGTGAGATGAGGAGCCTTCGTTATCCCTGCGTTCTCGGGGAGCTTTTTCAAACCCCATGAGCCAGATTTGGCTTTTGGATGAGGCCGAAATATCGAATTGTTCTCCCCGACTGCGGCCAACCGCTTCGCGATAGCTTCCTCCTCCTCTGTTGAAGTGACAGGGAACCCGGAATTGGTCGGTCTTTGGGTCAATGGTTTGCGATTTACGATCCAGCTGTTGGGGGTCCGTTTCGTCGGTCTTCTCCTTTGAGGCGCGATCCCTCCACCTGACTGCAGTTCGAAGCTTAGCTTGTCGGGCTGACAAACGACCTTTGCCCTTTCGTTCACCCGCTAAGCTAACTTTCTCATTGTGATCCTCATTCCCCCCTTCACCCGCACTGTCCCAAGCAGCTTTCATTTCTTGTGAGATGACGAAGCCAAGCGCGTCATGCTCGTCGACATTGAACTCTGTTTCGAGCGTTTTTGGGTCCAATCCATTATCTAGCACACCAGATGCGGCATCGAAACGCTGGCTAATCTCCTCAAACGACAAATCTTGCAGTGCTTCTGAAGATTCGCCTTCGATGTTATTATCAAAGTTCGCAGTTTCGTGTTTCCTCAGCAGATCAAAAATCGAGTCTTGCGTTGTCGAGTCCACACTGGATGTCGAAGAGCGGGAAAATCGCATATTGACTGCAGAGAATATGGCGTCTCGCAAAGTTTCCGTGCCGTTTTCTGGCCCATCATTGAATGTGCGAGACTGTTGTTTCGGAGGTTCGGAGTCCTCTTCACGCAATCCAAACATAGTTTTTCGGCCAGGCTTGGTCCAATGCAAAGGTCGAGCGTTGTCATGTTCTTCTCGTGCAGCAGATTGACGGTATTGTGATTTGCTTGAAGGAATTTCGGAATCGGTATCAGCATGGGCTAATTGTCGAGAGCGTGATTCAACACCATCTCCAGTTTGGAAAACACTTGGGAGTGTTGAGAAGGGGTTGAAATCAGGGTCCGGGGCCTGCTCTGAGTGAGGTCGCACGACCTTGGTTGAGACCGGAACTGGAATTCTCATGGAGGATGTGATATCCGCCCAACGACGCTCTACTTTCGACCCGTGTTGAAAAATCTGGCTGAGCATTGGACGCAGGTGCTTGATGAGCTCTGGATACGGCATTCTATACAACGCCATAGACCAATGTAGGAAGTAAGTCCAGCCTAAGCCAGTTAGCGCATGAAGAAAGTCTGGAAAGAGCGATGATACCTGGGAGAAGCCATTGATCAGGCGAGTGGTCAGGGTCGTAGACCAAAGTCAGTCGACCGTTGTCCACTTCCGCGTGTGCGCCGCGAACTACAATGAGGGAAATGGCGGATTTGAAGCGACGGACGACCTGATGGCGATGATGCTTGGTGAATTTCGCCATTGGCCGGAGTTGTAGCGACATGGTCACAGTTCCTGGCTGAGGATTGACTGGTAGCATTGGTTCGATTGATTTGTTTCCGCCTGCTGCCCGTGCCCGCGCGACCCGGTTGAACCATGGGTCAAACGGCAAGTCTATAAATGCCCTATGACGAACATCTTGAGTCCCATTACGACGCGGTGTTACTCCCGGTTGAGCGAGCAACCCCATTGGAATGGCGCCGAATTCAAAGCCAGGGGCGGTAAGCTTCAAAATCACCTTCCGTCTTTGATCATTGTCTATGGGATGGTGTGGGTCGAGACGCTGGGAGGGAAGTAGGGGGCGGTGGACAGGAAGCGGTAGAGAGCCAGGAGTTTGTTTTCGGAACTGTCTTGTAAGTTCATGAACTAAAGGGAGCGAAGTAGCATACCCTAACGGATGAGATGCGGGAAGTCTTTGGAAGCTTGCTGAGGTCAAGACATCCGTGCATAAAGCGACAAAGTTCAAGACATGGAGTTGGGACTAAAAATTCGTGTGATGTGACATGCGTGACCTCGCTATCTTTGACCTCGGTCTGACAAGAATTCGTCGCGTCTTGGCCGCGTCCAGGGATTGCCTACCATTATGCCGAACTCAATTGGCTCAGGAATCCTCGTTTGTCGCGAAATAGAGGAAGAATATTCGCGATTTCATCATTCAAGTCTGCAATACCCTGTCCTGAGTCTACCGACAGAAATCGTCGTAGAGATATTCGTCGCATATCTCCCCGCCTACCCTACACCTCCAAATTTATTGGGACTCGATTCCCCATTGAATCTGACAAGAATTTGTCGCCTCTGGAGGGAGATAGCCCATACAACCCCGACTCTTTGGAGGGCCATTCGTCTCCAAGCACCACGGCATAAGGTGACCCAGGCTCTTCGCGGGGACTTCGAAATGCTCAGCATTGTACTCAGCCGATCCGGCTCATGTTTGTTGTCCATTCATCTGGCTGGCAACCCTAGCGTCTGGATCGCGGGAGTCATTGCCGCAATTCTCCCTTACCGGTCGCGATGGGAATACCTTAGTCTTGATATAGATGCCTCGGTGGTGTCCAGCATCGCTGGACCCATTCCCCAGTTGGTGGGCCTTCAAATTTCGAGTTGGGATTACCCACCCACACATATCATGGAGCTGGAGGCCACCAAAATGCGTTCGCTTTGCATATGGGACATTGACTGTTCTTCAACACTGCCCTGGAGTCAATTGACAACTCTTAGCCTCAGAGACGCGGGCTTCGGTCAATGTGTGGAAATTCTCCTGCAAGGCGTGAATCTCATCTACCTTCGGGTTTGGATCGACGACGACGATGCAGAAGACTTACCCGAACTAGAGCACAACCAGCTTCAAACGCTTATACTGCATAATTTCAGTGATGAAGAAAATCTTATCGACCCACCACGTCCTTTTCTACGCACGTTCGCCCTGCCTGCCCTTCGTGTGTTACAGGTCGACGAACTCAATGACATCGAGCTCTTCCAGACATTCCTCACTCGGTCGCGTTGCTCCTTGAAGCAGTTGAGATTGCGTGACCAAGGAAAGGGACTGCCACTCGAAAATCACCCTTCAATTCAACAAGTTCTGTATGTGGGCGCCGACGGTGATAAAGCGCTTTTGCCAGATGCCCTACCCGAGTTAGGATGGACGATGTGAACGGAGCGTTAGTGTTTGATATTGAAAAATGAATCACATAGACCGAATGTAAAATATATTCCCCGCCCTACCAAGACCCACCAACCGGCTGAAGGCGAATGAGACTATAACACGGTTTGCTGATGCGGTAGTCATGGATCATGGTGGATGAGTCGGTAAAGCCGCTAAGTACTATCCAAAGTACATCCTTCTCTGTCTGTTACCGGGTCCAGTCGACGAGATGAAGATGGCAGATGGGAAGAAACAATCGTGATCACGTGCCTCCTTTTACCCTTGTTTACTTGCATGCATGCCACCGCGTCAGAGTAGCGTCGGGCCTGCCGGGCGTCGCTCTGGCATCGACAAGGCACACGTGCCATATCGCGGAGAAAACCCTTTTGTTGGCAAACGAACCGGAATTGCCATCGAGCTTGCCCAGACAAACTCAGATGGATTTGAAGACTTTGGGGTGATTATGCAGGAGCAGTATAAGGCTGTAGAGGCGAAGAAGTCGAGTTCAGGAGCAAAGAGAAAAGTAAAGAATAAAAAAAAACAGGTAGAAGAAGAAGAGGAGGACGATCTGGATGGTGAGATGTCGATGGATGTGGACAGTGCGTGTTTGTAATCTTATTTTTCTTCGACTAATAGCTGGCAGGTCCAGTGCAGAACATTAGGGTACCTAACACCCCACGACAAGGGCGACCATCAGGGCGTGCCTCTCGCTTCTCACAAGTCGATTTCGACCAAGTTCCCTCTCCGCGGCCACTTGCCAACCGACGTTTAACGCCAGGCCCAGGTTCTTCACCTCTGAAACGCACGCTTAATGCGAAAGAATTTCTTGCTCGTGATGAAGGGCTGTCTTCTGACGACGAGAATTTTGCCGAGCCCGCGTACAACGACTACCAAGACGATGACGATGACGGACCCAAAGAGCTCAGCTTCACGGAAATGCATGACCAAGTCGACACAGACGACATTGAGATTCCACCTCAACCAGTCCTGTCCTCTTCGCCTCGAAAAGGGAAGCGGAAGGCACCAGACCCAGATGATGAAGAGGAACTTAACACTACTCATGCCATGGACTTGGATTTGCCACCGTCAGACGAAGAACAGGACACTTCTTCTCCACCCCCTCCACCACAACGCTCGCCTCCAAAGAAGAAGGCCAGGCCAACCACACCGGAGCCAGAGCCTGATCCCGAGCCTTCAGAAGACGAAGACAACCAGCCGTTATCCCCCCAACAACCACGTTCTCCTCCCAAAAAAAAGACGAAAACCAAACCAGACAAACCCAAAAATATTATCATCAAATCGCGTGGGCAGAAGGAAAATCGAGACGTGCCAAAGGGGGTTCGTAGGTCGCAACGCGTGCCTATTGCTCCGTTGGAATGGTGGAGACTGGAAAAGTACGAATATGGTGGTCGTGAAGACGCCGATGCGGCTGGTCCAATGCTGGTACCTCATATCCGTGCAATTGTCCGTGTACCCAAGGACCCAGTCGTGCCTCTTGGCTCCAAAAAACGGAGTAACAACGCCAGACGACGATCAAGCACACCTGGGAGCAGTAAAAGCAAAGTCAAAATTGTCGAGAAGATTGTCGAAGTTCACGTCGACTCTGCTAATCCTGAAGAGGGCTGGGATGATGACACAAACACGCAAGCACTTGTGAACTCATATCCAGATGGCGAGCCGGTTAAGCGACGGATTGCGTTTACGTCCAAGATGTTCGCCCCAACCTCGGCTGGCAACAGTCAATGGTCGTACCAGCGAATATTCGGCGACGGCGATTTTATTGCAGCAGGACAGATTGTTATTCCACCCAACGGAAGGAAACCTTCCAAGCCTTCAAAGGACAACACTTTTGTAGGTATTTTTCTTCTTTCCTGATTTCATTGACCATGTTTTCCTCGGCAGATATTTTACGTAATCCAAGGCGCTGTCAACCTGAAGATCTGCGACACGTCTCTGATAATTGCGGCTGGCGGGATGTTCATGATTCCTCGAGGCAACACCTATTTTATTGAGAACATCGCAGAACGGGACGCCAAGCTCTTCTTCACGCAGGCAAGAAAGACGAGGGATGGAGAGGCCGCTGCAGACCAGGAAGATGGTAACAGTGAGGCTGTAGTGTCGGCTGGTAAAGGAAAGCCGGCTAGAGCAGTTTCGCTGGCTAATCCTACGCGAGAGACTTCGAAGGAAGTCGCCCGCCGCGGAAAAAGTTTGAACGTTTAGACACCTCGCATCGTTTCTTTCCTTAATTCACTCTAAATGTTGTAGAGGTAGTTATTATATCATGGATGTGACGAGAATGTCAATTTGGTGCAGGTATCATATGCCTAAAGTACAACACAAGAAACGAATGGGGCAACTGAAAGAAATGCAACTCATCCTCCGACGGTCAAAGTCCTTGTGTCTTTCCTCCTCCCCTTCATCATTTTCCTCGCTTTAGCTTTCTCTGCCAAAACGTGATAGCACTGCATGCAACAAGCCCCACCACGCGTCTTGGTGAACGACATGTCCCCGCCACTTCCGTCAGCACTCTGTGCCAACCCACGGCGACAGACGCGACACCGGAAACACTCAGCGTGATAAGCGTCCCCACCAGCCAGCAGCGCCTCTTCGAGAATCGGGAGAGTACAAGCCGTGCATCGATAGGCACAGCGAGTGCAAATCGGTGTGACCCCATCGGCGTCAGTTAGGACCAGCAGCAATGGATCGCTGTCTGGTTCGTCATAGGACGGTGGCGGAGTCGATGGTGGCGGAGTCATAGACGCTGAAGAGGACCCCGAACTCGAAGGTGACGCCAGTCCAGGGTCATTTTGGGGAGTTGAAGCTGTCTGCTTGGGTCCAGAATGTAGAGACACACTGCATTTTCCGCATGTAAAACACCGACCATGGAAGAGCGCTGAACCAAACTTGACTACAGGCTCTGTCTCTACGAACTGCGCATCACATTTGGCACACATGACGCTCTGTGGCTTGGGTTCCACGAGATCTTCCTCGTCGTCAGATATGAGGAGCGGGATTGGTGGAGGGATCTCGATATCAAGTTCTAATGCATTTGGTACTGGTTCGTGCAAAGCTTGGAGGAGCGCTTTCTGCGGAGCAGGTATCGATACCACCGATGCCCGTGATGACATAACGCCTGATGGGCTAGGACTTATCTGCTCGACGGGGCCTTCCAGCAAGAATCCCTTACCAGACTGCCAATCCGCAAGTACATCGTTTGATAGTGACTTCTCTGTCTGCGCACGTGTCCAGATATTGAGCTCAATATCCCATTTTGGTGCTGGTGTGACTGGTGTTGTTGCAGGGTCAGTCAAAGGAGTGGGTGGTGCAACAGAAAGCCTCGACGATGGTGGTTGCGCAAAAATGATGGGAGTGGTAGGGGAAGAAGGCGACGAGGAAGCTGAGGAATGAGACGGACTCGGAATTTCGATGGCAGGGCTTGTTGTTAATGATGGTGTGAGTGCTTGAACAGGGCTGAATGTCGATGTGGAAGCAAGAGGAGCCTCTGGCGATATTGTCGATGGGCTCAGTGTTGGCACTAGAGGGGGAGACATGGGAGATGCAGGATGGTTTTCAATTAATGCCAGTAACGGAGACATCGGTGGCTCCTCTGGCTGTCTTTCCTTGACCAATTCCTCCAAGCCAATGTCCCTTGAGGAGATTTCTGACAGTGTTTGGGGAATCTCGATAACCAAGTTCACTATGGGGGCAGCCGTAGGTGTCTTGGAGGTAATAGAGGATGATCTTGATCTCATTCCTACTGGCGTCTCCTTTTCGAAAGCAGATACAGCAGAGTTAGACCGTGACATGGACTTGTTTGGTGATGACGGGGCCGACTCAGGAATCGGTCGTCGCCCATCAGCCTCTTTAGGTTTGACCTCAGTCCGCGAAACAACAGAGCCAGACCTGGATCTCGGTTTAAGGTTGGTCGGTGACGCAGGTGCTGAGGCAAGTATCGGTCTTGGGGGTAATGCAAAATCAAGTTTTTCTACGGTTATCCTCGACACGACGGAATTAGATCGTGACCTTGGCTTCGAGCGTGTGGGTGAGGAGGGGGCTGAACCGCCAGGCCTGGGTAAGAGGACTGTATCATCTTCCCTTGCTGCAGGAGGTGTTGGCCAAGGTGAAGGCAATGGGTTTTTCGGAAGAGAAATAACGAGTGGAGGCGGCGGCGGCGGGGGAATGAACATGTTGCCGTAGGTAGACGCAACAAAAGCCGGTGGGAATGTGGACGCACGCAGAGGCAATGGTAACGGTGGAGGCGGTGGAGGCGGGTGAAACGACGGTGGATAGACAGCCATTGGAATCACATGGTCCAAGGGTTTGATGGTGGGCGTAATAGATGGGGGAGTTGGGAGTGCTCTTGGTGCAGGCTTTTCGTGGATGATTAGTGTTGGCGTGGCATTCCCGGACCTCGAAGCTGAGGGCGTCGGCTGGATTTGTTTCTCTGGCTCGAATTCCGGCTGGGCTTCTGCTTGCGGAGTCGACGTTATCGTGATTAGAGACTCTTCGTCTGGCTTCCCCGTCACCAATGGGGGTAGCACCGGAAGAGAGAAGCTGAGAGCAGGCGATACTGAAATACTCCTCTCCAAGGCTAATGAATCAGTCTTCTCTCGCAAGGCTGACCCAACCATGCTGTCCGTTTTTGGCAGTTTTTCTCTCAGCCATTGTCTCCTTCCAAGAATCATTCCAACTACCAGACCATCCTCGCTTTCTCCCCCACCAGCCAAGCGCAGGACACGTTCAGTCAACAGATCCAAGCCAACGTAATCATAACCGACTCCTACATTCCGCGCGGCCTGGACATCGAGATCGATAGAGTCCATGCCGGAGAGGGCTACAAGCAACGCAGCTGACAGCCGGGAGAGGATTTGACGGGCGTGAATAGGATAAGTTGTCGTTGGCGTTGTTGGAGAGTGCAGGTGTGAGTGGGCGTGAAGGAGCGAAACGTGGAAAACCCCAGGAAAAGAGGGCGTCGTTGGAGTGTGAGTCAAGGCAGGATCAGGGAACAGTGTCGCAGAGGAGTTTTCAAGAACGCCGATGAGATAACGAACAGAGAGTGCACGAGATATTGAGGATTGTCTGTCCAAACAACGATTAAACCCCTCAGTGAGAAATGTAGCCAAAGAACGCACGCTGCTTCGAGTAATCCAACCAAACGCTCAAGAATAATGTAGTTTGATGGCTCATTGCTGTGCTCAGCCTCTCTCGAAGTAGAAACAATCCCCCAGACCTCGCTCTCGAGTAGACATGTACCCGCCAACGCCCTGTAAAAGTCCCATTCATCTGCAAACTCTCTTTGTCGCTCCCTCTCCTCATCAATAGAGTCTTCCTCATCGCGGTTGTAAGCAAGCAGAGAACCCGGAGGAAGATAGCGGCATGGGAGGTAATGGTGATTCACCGCGAATCTCGAGCTCGTCTGAATGTCCCATTGCTGGATGTATTGGAAAGAGGTCCGAATTGTTCGAATGCTCCGGCCACAGCGAACTGATATCACCCTCCTCAACCAGTACTCCTGCAATAGACACCGACCGAAGAAATAGTCGGCGAAGAATGGGGAAACGTGTGGTAAGGCTTATGAGATGCTTGAAAGCGTCCAGTTGGAGATCGGGGTTGGCGCTGTTCGTAAATGAATTGGGTTCCGAAAGTAGTAAAAGCTACGGCGCCGACATACCTGCCATCCATTCCCATGGCCATGGCACACTTCATCAACCTCCCACATAACCGCGAAAGCTTTACTGGCGCAGACGGTGCGCGTTTGAGCGCTGTAAGTTGGTTGGTTCGTTGACTACCAGGCGCGCCAAGGAAGGACTCGATCTTGTGTGAAAGGAGTGTCGGTCGTAGGCCACCTCGTCGAGTTGAGTAAGTCGAGAGAGCAGGTGAAGGCGGGCCTGATGTGGTGGGGCTACGGGGGATGGGTGGAATGGATAGCTCGACAGAGAAGTTCATGGATGTCGTCGTCTGTCGTCCTCCAGTGACCCGCCCGCCCTCGAATGTGACTCGAGAATCGAGTGGAAGTAAAAGCAAAGGAGGAGCCGTTGCCTCAAAGACATGCGAAGGATTTCCCGGCGTGTTGATCATCTTGTGGTTGTTGCGGAATCTGACATGGGCGAAATTGACGACATAAGATGAAAAGCTTGATTATGAGAAGTTGAGAAGGTGATAAGGCAAGGTAAAAATAAGGCGACAGTCTCGGCCTTTGTATTCCAGCCTGCTCTAAGAGCAAAAGCACGGAAGTACCTGGAAAGCTTTCCAGCCGATCCTTCAGGCGTTCGTTGTTGGATTTACCCATGGCAATCAAATGCATGCGGTCCCGCCCCCCGATGGAAATTCTGAAGGGAAAGCGGCAGCCGTTGCCATCTCAATCATGTGCGACGATCTTGATTCTAGTGGCCGATATGAATGTTGCGGGAAGACAATAGAGGTTATTATAGAGCGTGGAGACCATCTCGGGGCTTGTGCGAGAGTTCAGGGAACACTTCTGCTACTTTTGAAGGGACACGAACCAATTTCGATAAAAGGAAGCAGAAAAGAGGTCGATTGGCGTCACAGATGTCACTCCGTGGCAGTGTCGTTGATCTTACGCTTTGACCTTGCCGTTCTGGGGTCCACCTGGAGACTGGAGCTTTGAGCCGGCTTGGTGGTACCAACGACATTTTTTATCCAGAGCGCAGGACCCTAATAGCTAAGGCTGTAGGATGAGTGGTCGTTCGATATGGATACAGGTAATGTAAATGCAAGTCCAAGTCGATGTGGCAGGTATAATCATCTCTTAAGCTCGTTCCCTCTTTGCTCTGCTCTCCCGTTCGCTCTTGACCCAATCATGAGCCGCTCTCACTGCCTCGAATGGGCGAATTTTGTAGGTCATCAGATAACCCTGTAAAGAGGCCATCGACACCTCTCGCTCCGGAATTGCCTCCGCGAACCGTTCGGCAAGCGCAGCAATTTGCTTAGGCCGCAACTTCGGTGCATGTTGTCCATGAGTTGTCCCGAAATATGTCGGTCCATCAACAAATCTCCGAGATGTAGTCAGGTTCAAGTCAATGTCGTCCGCATCTTCTGCAGAGGTATAACCAGAGTCAATCTCCTTGGAGACTCCCTTTGTCTCTAGACTTTTCTTCGTCTTGACATCATCGATGGGAAGATAGAACTGGGTAAAGAGACGCCGTGCTTGGTATTTACTGGCGAGCTTGAACTCAACATGAATGTCCATACGACCAGGGCGACACAATGCGGGGTCCAATGCGGTATACTTGTTTGTTGTGGCGTACAGAATGCGACCTTCTTGAGCAGCCACACCATCAAGTGCATTTAAAAGACCACTAAGACTAAGGCGACTTGTGGGTTTGCTTGCAGTGGGAGGGGGAGGAGGACCATCATCGGGTCTAGCAGAGACATTAGGAGGAGGGGGCGGCGGAGGTTCCTCGCGATTAAGGCTCTGAGAAAAGGCACAGTCAATGTCTTCCATCAGGCAAATACATTTTTCTGGAGGATATAGTCAAGACAGAACAATTCCTAATCAGACTTGAACTTACCAGGAAGGTCAGAGATGAGTTCGCTGAGGGCAGCATCATCGAGTCCCGATCTTGATAGAGACACAATGTAGACATCCAAAGAGAGTTCTCCTGCAATCGAACTGATGATGCTAGTCTTGCCCGAGCCCGGTGCACCATACTGGACGAATCAGTCAGTAAAGGGAAATAATGAATAAAAATACCCACAAGAAGGTATCCTCGACGAAATGGAATTCCACGTGCAGCATACCAAGATTTGCTCTCCAAAAAGTCGCGAGCATCGTCAACAAGAAGCTCCGAAACTCCTGGGTCAAGGATGATCGAGCTCAGACTTCGTTTGGGTCTAGATGCAACATGTCTCCAGCTGTTGTTACTGTCGGATACATAGATGTTGACTGATTGGTCTTGCGCGGCAAGATATTCTCTTTTGGCTTCTAAAAGAAGCTCATTGAGAACGCTATGGGTTCGCGCGAGTATTCTGATCTGCAGGGTTTCCTCCTGGCTGCCACGCCAACCGGTCTGGGTCTGGATACGGTTGATAGTGATGTAATGCCGATGGTACCAAAGAGAGAATGTGAGTGTTGGTGATGGAAGATATGCTATCTTGCGGCCAGCCAGCATCGAGAGATCTTCCTCCTCCCCAGGAACAATGACAGCATTGCTGTTTAAGCCGAAGGAGCGTGTAGAAATATCGACTTGGCGAACAGTGTTCCAGGAGGACTTTTTTGAGAGCCAGACCATCATCCAATCTAGTATGATCAGTCCAGGCCTTCGAGCAACGCAACGCACGTACCATAGGAGGAGTCATCTTGGTTGAATGAAGCTGTTATCCAAAAAGACGCGATTATCTTGAAATAAAGTTGAAAAAGCAAACGACGAAGGCTTTCCACAGCTCCGCCCATTACGATTAGCATCAACCAGTCTGTGAGCGCCCGGAATGAGAAGAGGAAGGCCACAAGTGACGAGAAGTCGGTAATAGAGGGTGGAGAAGTGGAATTGCTCGGGCCTTGTCCAGAGGCCTCCGTTGCGTTGTGCTCGTTGGCATTCAAGCTGAAGGCGGACATCACCTGCTGAGCAATCATGAAGTAGGTGGTCATCGACGAGACCTCAGAATTAGCTCCGCAAGCTGGAGCTTAACTAGGCGCTGATGGACGCGACGGCTCCGCACAAGACGTTCAAAGTGATTCGGCATGTCAACTCCTGTGGTCATAGCTTAAGCGCCGACCTGTGTGACAGGTGTCACAGATGTCACAGAGACAAATAGTTAATTTCTACAATTGGCATTTTCAGGCGCGGTCAGAAGAGCAGATTGCCAGTGAGACTGATTTTGGCAGCAGAGGAGAGATATCATATGAGCGACATCCCACACTATAAGCAACTACTTTGCAATTATCAGTACTACTGGTGCTGAACGATACTGACTAAGCAACCCATTCCGCCTTGTGTGCTGCGATGTAGTCTGCAAACTTGGTTGGCTTGCGCCCTGAATACTTCTCGACATTCCCAACATCTCTCTGATACTCCTGGACGAGGTATTCCGTTTTCGTGTTCTCAAACGACGCCAATACGTATTCTATGATTGGATTTGGAACATGTTTCGCCGACAGAAGCTCGGTAAATCGTTCTGGGGTTACTAAACTGGTGTCGATGTCCCGACCAGTCACTTTCTTGATAATGTCCCAGCTGTCCTTGATTGTGAGGCGCTCGGGGCCATATAGGTAGATGGTTTCCTTGCCGTCTGATGGCCCTTCGACCAGTACTGCTCCGCCAACGAGAGCAATGTCTTCCGGTGTAATATTGTCGAGGACGGATTCCTCAGCAACGATCAAAGCTTTGGGCGGTGTCGCCTGATCATCAAACCACGCTCTGAAAAAATTACTCGCGAACCATCCCGGCCGCAGCGCGGTGAAGTATGGGAATCCAATTTCCTCGATGTTGATCTCGACTTGAGCATGGGCATATGGAATCGAGTCTTTCGGTGAAATATCTCGGAGAGCCAGTCCCCCGATGCCGATGGTATAGCTCGACAGGAAGACTACGTGTTCAACGCCAGCATCACGCATCGCCTGCAGTGTAGCCCTGGCGAAGTCGGGAGTGTAGACCAAATATAGGTATGCCGACTTGGCACCAGATTGAGAAATAGCCTTGGAAGTAGACACTGGGTCGCTGAGATCGGCCTGGATCCTAGTGAAGTTGCCCGATTTCTCCACCTCAGCAGGAATTGCGCCGATAGCTTTGGTTATGTCGCGCATGGCTAGCCAGACTTTAGCCCCACGTCGGTTGGCTTCGAGAGCAACGAGGCCGCCTATATCGCCAGTAGGGCCAAAGACAATAACGTTGTTGTATCTGGGAGACATTGCTGGACGAGTTTTTGACTTGAATGCAGTATGAGTAGGCAGGCTCGCATTTTATAATACTGCTTCTGTTGCCGCCATAGTCAGCACAAGCTTTGTAAAGTCTAGTGCAATGAAATAGGCCGTTTTGCCGTCAACAGAGAAAGAACCCAATTTGGATGTGTTCAACCGCGGTTGGTAAGGATGGACGCTGACGCAGATCCAAATTTCTCACGGAATTTTCTGAGAGCTTCCATGCCACACTCACAGTCCTCAACCTGAAGACCAGCTTTTCAGCTCCGACACTCGATTCAATCCTCTGTCACGAAACATTATAAAGTACGATGGAGGAAAACATAACATGTGCACTTGAAGGAGGGGAGTTATTCATTTCAACAACGTAGTGGACTTGTAAGTCTTGCAAGCCCCAACGGTGCTGACAAGCTGATAACCTAGCACTCCCTCGACAAAGGCTAAAATGAACGCTGGGTTGATTGGTTGCCCATTATTGCGTGCCATCGTGCGTTCCACCGTCAAAGTATCGAACATACCCTGGAAAGACTCCGATTCCAGGAGATCGACCTTCAAAATAGCGCGCTGTTGTTATTTTTCAGGATGAAGAGTTTGAGGAAAACGCAAAAACGTACTCGCTGGCTGTCGTTGGGGTTTCCTCTGCTCCACTTGTTCAAGTACGAGGAAAGAAGTTCGAGACTTGACTCATGGCTGCTTTGAACAACAATCGTTGCACCGCGTTCTTCAACAATGAGGATGTATGGTGCTGTCGACTGGAAAAGTTGGTTGGGACGTGCAAGACCATCCAACACTGGCATGCGTTCAATGATGGGAAGCTCGTCTCCAATCGGAGCCGCAACAGCAGTGACTCGGGCTGGAGGCAGGGTTGGACGTGTCGAAATTGCTTCCACTTTCACTTCAGCCCAGTCATCATCTTTGGCGTCGTCATTGAACAAATTCTCCAAGTCCTTGTCCAATCCCGTTTCGAGCTTGGCCTGAGATACGGGCTCGGTCTTGGGGATGTAGAAGTTGAATGTTGCGAACTTTGCTTCCCACTTGGCGACTGGACGGGTGACCTTTGACTCTGCAGCCTACGTCGCAGGTAAGATCAATATCTACAGAAGCGTCATACAAAAATGACATTACCTCAATAGTAAGCGACAGCCACCGACCGTCTTGAAGTGCCTCCAACAACTGTTCTGCCCAATCGGCGTAGGCTTCGTTCTCCAAACGGGCGCTCAAGCGCTCATACCAAGAAATGGTGTAGCGCACGATAGTGGGAACGAAGACTGTATTGTCGGGAAACTTTTCTTTGAGGGCACCCCACAAGAGGGGCCATTCGATTCGCGGCTCGATGGTATGACCCAAAACTTTCTTGAGAGTGGCAATTGCTTCCCGAACCGAGGACTGTGCGTTGTCCCACTGATCACGAATGTCCATGCGCACTTTTAGCGGGCTGGGACTAGATTAGAATATGTCGGCAAGATGAATCGCTCACAGTTCTTTCGACATGGTGGTAGGAGTGGACTTGAAGGAGCAGTTGCGTTCGAACACTTCCCTACATAAAATCTTGGACCGTCAAGGGGAACATTTTTTAAGTGAATTAACATCCCCTTGGCTCCTGTCGACGTCACTTCAGCCACCACCGACGAGGTTGAGGCGGGCTACTGATTGTCGGACAGGTGAGTCAGAATGGCTTATGAATAGTTGATTGAAGCTAATAACATTCGTGAGGTTGGGATCTCTGGCGTAGTCCATTGGGATCCATTACTGGACGCACAAAATCCTCTCCTAAATAACCAAGCGACCCCCCACTTATGACCCCTCCCAAGAACTGTGCGACCAACGTGGCTTCCATTCTCGTCATTCCCCTCGAACTTTCATTCCAGCCCTGTCTTTTGTCTGTCTCCTGCCAGCGCGCCAATGCGTACATATCACACATCTGTCGCATTAAAAATTTCAGGAGCACAAAGTAGGAGTCAGTTCCTGGCTCGACGAATACTACTTAAGCGCCCACCAAATTTCTCGACAACTCAGTCCGTTCCCTCCTACAGTCACTCAATCTCCTCTACACATCCACAAAAATGCCCAAGCCCGTCGTCTTCGCTCCCAAGCCTGCCATTGCTAAGCTCCCGCTTGCCGTTCGCAAAGACAGTGCGTTTACCTTCTGGTTCGCTTGTGAAACTTTGTTTATCGTTTAACTAGTTCGCGATAACTTCGATGCCAACATGGACGACTTCAAGGCCCGCATCAAGGCCAAGCTTGGGGTTGACTATACTATCAACATCAATGCCGCCGAAGTTTGGGCTTACGCGTCTGAGGGCGATACATCCGCTGGCACTTGCTTCAAAGGGCGAGTTTTTACTAGGTTTCAGTTGTCCCTGGATCTCATCGCTTCCAGATACATTGAAGGCTTCATCTCCGGTATCGAGTCCTTCATCAGCAAGTACGAGGACAACGGGAAAACCTACTTCAACGAAGCTGTAACGCAGGCCGAAATCACACTCACCGTACGTTTTTCTGCAATCTTATCGGTATCAACTGATTTTGTTGCAGGTCAACATTCTCGGCGACAAGGCAGAGACTCTGAGCGCTGATGTCAAAGACGGTGTTTACCGCATCCTCTTCCGTCACGACCGTCTGGGTTACAACCAGAGCTGGCAGGAGAGCACTATCCTTCCCGCGATCGAAGGCGTTGACCGCGAGGGATTTTCTCTGTCAGCTAAGCACTCTATCGAAGACGATTTCGAGGGCAGCATTGACGAGGTCCGCGATGAGATCAACAAAATGCTTGGTGCCGAGTTCACTCTCGACCCCAACTTCGAGGAGGTTTATGCCGCCCTCAAGGCCAGCTCTCAACAGGACTGGCAAGCCAACATCGGTCGCACTATCCTTAATTACTTCAACGGTCTCAAGTACCAGCTTGAGAGCCAGGGTGGGTTTTATCGTTACACTTATCGCTTGACTCACCAAATTTCTCTTTCAGGCTTCAAAGATGACGACATGCTCCAGGAAGGTCTCCAGGAGATGGTCGAAACCAAGACTTTCCGTGTCCGTGTCCTCCCCAAAACCAACAGCACCACCGAGACCGTCATCGAGGACGGTGTTGTTTACCTCCAGGTCTGTTATTTTAACGGTTGATTTGTCTTTTTCATGACACTGATATCCTATGCAGACTCGTCCCGACCGTTGGGGATACAACGCCAACGACATGGGCGAAGGTCTGATTAAATTGCTCTAAATAGTGTATTGGGATCTGTAGTGGAATTTGGAATAATATTTGCTTCACTCGTTTGAAAATTATTTTCCTGTTTTTTTTCTGGGTCGAGACCAGACTAGCTTTCACGTGCCGGATTGATCCCGTCCTGTCATTGTCAACTCTCTCCAAAACCTCCCTCCCTCTGCGTCGACCGCCATGGCTCTCCTCGACTTCATGTACAACCGTTCGTTCGCGTCTCGCCAGCTGGGCATAATTTTATCCTAAACATAGGTCCGAATCGGGTGTTGGAGCTCCAAAGGCAATATCAAGCTGACCCACGCCCCATCTTCCTCCGACCTGCTGGTGCGAAACAGACCCTCAGTAAGTTTGCTTTGGTTTTCAGAGTCATACTAAGTGTGTGGCTGTAGTGGTCTACGGTGCACTCTTCACGTGCGGAATGGCATCAACTTTGTATGGAATTGGGTGCCTCGTTACAGGCTACGTGCGTGTACAGTGTCTCTTTCGTAACAAATTACTGACTCTTTTCACAGGGAAAGGCCTCGCCAAAGAAAGATGAATAGAGCAACAAAAGTGCCTGAATTACAATAAACCTACTTCCCTCGTTCCGCAACCAACTTTTTGAGTTGCTCCAACTCTCTCTCCTTCTCAATGAGCTTGAGTTTCCACCTGTCCTCCTCTGCCATAATCGTTCTTCGCCCATCCTCCAGTCTCTCTGTCTCTTCTCTTTCCATCTGCTGCGTAAACTCTGGGGTCCCACCTCGACTGGCAGCAAGTCCCTCCATGTGCGCAAGATGAAATGGGATTGGCTTTCTACGACTTTTGACGAGAGGTGTTGGGGGGTTCTTCATGAGTGTGTCAAGAAATGTGTTGAATGGCTCGGTGAAAACGATTTCGTCGTATTGCCAGCTGTGGACTGAGCCGAGCTTGACGGCAACCTCAAGCGGAGGAATTTCAGGGTCGCCTGCTGCGGCCCATGGATGAAGTTTAAGATGGTGGTAGAACGAGACTGGTTTTTCACCAGCGTCCGAGACAAAAGTTATCTTGATCTGAATCTCGAATTCACCCCAGCTATGTGATAAGTTTGAGTCGTTCGAGCCGGAGATAGAAGAAGCTGTACCCGGTCTCTGTGACTTCAAATGGCGGCTTTTCTACGTCTGCGTTGGGGTGAGGATTGGTTTCAACGGAGCGTATAGGCATTTTTTACGTCGCAAGGGATTGGGGTAAGTGTCGTGAAGCTTGAAGGAAACTCTTTTGACAAAATAAGATATATCGTCTGCCCCTCCGACCATCGAGGTTGCGGCCTCCTTGTCTGGAGACGCTGCCCCCCTAACAGCCACAGTCCAGGTATGAGTGTGGTCTGGAGCTGTTGCGGCAAGCTGTTCACGCTGTCTCGGAGAAAGAACTGATGCAACATTGCCATAGATAATCGGTCGGTGGATGCTGAGATTCTGAGTTAGGATATTAGCGGAAGCGTTAAAAAATATGAGGGAGAATCCCAACTTTTACGCGTTCGCGTTGGACTGACATACCGCTTAATGAGAGAACGCGTCAAGACGCGACGAGCGAAAACAGTTGCACGTGATATGCCGCAGCGTCCTTCAAAAGGACCTCTCATCCACCACGTTCACGCCGGGTCTCCGTTTTTTTTTGGGGCGCCATGAAAACCACCACCAAACTTGCGCTCGTTCTGGTCATAGCCATCTGTTTCTTTATTGCCGAGATTGCTGGTGAGCGTGTTGCGCGGCTCATCGGCTCCTCTGACTTGCAATTGTTTGTACTCAGTGGGGTTCCGCACCAAAAGTTTGGCCCTCATCGCTGACGCGGTCAGTGTTCAAGCTAGTTTGGTGCTGATCGTTGACGCTGGAAAAGTTCCACTACTTGAATGTGCGGATTTCTCAGGCTCAGGCTTCTCATGTTTGTTCAATGTTTTGCTGGCCTGCAGGATATTGTTGCATAGTAAGCGACATTAAGCTGCTCGTTTTGAAAAGAGGAAAAAACCCTCATCATCTTTCAGTGCCATTGCGTTTATCGCTGCTTCCGTGCGGTTTCCTCCCTTCAGTTCATTTCGATTGTTCACCGTTACATCCCAGCTGCAAGACAAGGGCCACGATACTGTTGGCTTCACATACGCATTTCACCGGGCAGAGCTTGTTGGCGCATTTTTCAATGGCGTATTTCTCCTTGCGCTGGCTCTCAGCATCCTCCTGCAATCGGTCGAGCGGTTCATCAACATCGAACCAGTTAAAACGCCTGTATTGATTATGATTGTGGGCTGCGTTGGCCTCTTTCTTAACATCGTGAGTGTGCTTGTGGTTCATGACCATGGTGGACATAGTCACGGCCCGCAATCGAGTCCGGCGGAAGGTCATGGCTACTCGCATGGGTCAGAAGTCGTCACCGTCAATGCTCTGGCAGATGTCCATATTCGGGATGGTGTTCACGCTCAGCATCACCATACGCTGTTTCCGCCCGCCGTGTTGCCAAACAAGAATCTTGGTCTCTTTGCTGTACTCATCCATCTCTTTGGAGACGCCGTCAACAGTTGGTCTTATACTTGCTATTCTGTGAACACAGTGCTCATTCACAGTTCAGATGTTGGCGTTATCATTTCAGGAGTGCTCATTTGGCAGTTACATTCGCCACATCGATTCTACGCCGACCCTGCTGTCTCGTTGGGAATAAGTTTGATCATTTTTGCCAGCGCTATCCCAATGAGTGAGTGTTGCTAATAGTGACGAATCGCAGAGCTCAATGTTTTTGCCAGCATTAAGAGCAGGAAGGATCCTCTTAGAAGCTGCCCCTGTTGAGCTGGATCTTGACAAGGTGCAGGAGGACCTCCTTGCGGTAATTTTGTTAGCTCAATTCCCGAGCCTTGACTGACGGCCCCCAAGCACGAACGCGTATTGGCAGTCCACGACCTCCATGTCTGGATGCTGTCCCAGAAGTAATTCTAATCCAATCTCTTGTGTCATTGCTAAACTACTGACAGACTCACCCTTGCCTCGTTGCACGTTTGTGTACCGTATGGCACATCTCTCGAAGAATGGGAACAAACAGAACGCTCCCTCCAACACTGTTTCTCTGCTTACGGTGTCAACCACGTTACGATGTCTCCAGAAGTCCAGCATGGTGATTCGCCTACCACTTCTGGAGACGATAAGATGATGTGTAAGGGCTCGCAGGAGGGCAGTTGTGCAGTAGGTTCTGCATTAAAGAAGAGGGTGGTGGCAGATAGCGCATAATAAATATGTGTAAGTAGATTATATAATAGTGTATTTTATATGTAAGCGTGGGGGGTGAAGTTGAAGCATGACTAGTTCATTTCGCAGATAGCTCGACGGCGTTCTTGAACGCTCCCAGCAGAGCAGATAATTGAAGCTTTTCGCTGGCACCGGTAGACAAGCGGTATCTACCATCGTTCACGTGAACAAGATGAGTGATTGGGGGGGGGAAACGCACTCGGTTGTGGCAAGATAGTCGACGAGGTAAATTCGTGCGTGTGGCTTGAGCTCGATAGTTTCAACGTATTCGAAAGCGCCTTGAATAAGGTCTTGTAATGCCAACCCGCGTTCGGTCTTCATTTTCGTTATCACTAAGGCGAATAATGAGCAAGATGGGACATCGGTGTGGTAGGTTACCGCGGACAGGAGTAAGCGGTCGTGAATTCGTCTGAAAGCATCGAGTTGCAGATAACTTCAATGTCCTTGGGATGTGGATTGCCAGTGCAGTTATATATTTCGGTTTCACTGGTAAGGTCGTACGCAGCATGACAGGCTTGGAGGACGTTGAGTGCGCGGCGCATGTCGCCGCGCGAAAGTTTCAGGAGGGCCTCTTTCCCATCCTGAGTAAGTTTAACACTATATCGAGTCAATGAAAGCCCAAAGAGAGAAGACAAAATATATACCCTTCTGCTGCTATTACCCCATCCAGTCTCTTCTCGACTTCTACTATGGGCAGTGGGGAGAAGCGGAAACGGGTACAGCGACTTTGGATAGCGGGGGCAATTTTGTTGACATAGTTGCAGATGATGCAGAAGCGCACGTTCTTGGTGTACTGCTCGATAACACGGCGGAGAGCAGCCTGGGCTTGCTGGGTCATCATATCCGCCTCGTCGAGAATGATAAGTTTGTAGCCCTTGGCGAAGAGTGTCCTTGTTTCGGCGAATTGTTTTATTTGTTCGCGGACGACGTCGATTCCTCGGTCATCTGACGCGTTAAGCTCAAGAATTTGCTTCTTGTAGTTGGCCGCTCCGTATATTCGACGTGCCACGGCTAGGATAGTTGATGTTTTACCTGTTCCCGGAGGTCCATAGAATAAGAGGTGAGGAAGACGATTCTTTTCGATGAATTTGTCAACTAGGATGTGTGAATAAGGAGAAGAGGATGGTGAGGCCAAACGCGCGCACTAGTCGAGACAATGTCTTTGTGGGAGACAACATCCTCAAGAGTGACGGGGCGATACTTTTCTACCCTGTAGAACGCATTGAATCAAGATTCGACGCGTTATTTCGCGTACCATGGAAGGGTTTCATCAACTTCAATGGCTTTTCCCTTGCCCTTCGCGGCGGACGAAATCGCGTCGGTCATTTCTGTGTCGGACATGGTCAAGCGCGTTGGTCACGCGTCACTGATTATATCAATACAGATCAATACACGTGTCTATAACTGCTAAGTCACAGTAATCTTGGTCAGCAGGAAACTTTTGTCGACGACTCCACCGTTGATTTCGTTGGACAGACTGAAGAGTCCGCGATGCAGATCTTCGTAAAAACGTACGTTGACCCACTAGCTTCTCAAGATCTTTTTTGAACACCAGACAGCCTTACGGGTAAAACCATCACTCTCGAGGTCGAGTCTTCGGACACGATCGACAATGTCAAGGCCAAAATCCAGGATAAGGAGGGGTATTCGGCTTTTTACAACCATTTGGCGTACCATTGACAACGCCTCAAGCATCCCCCCCGACCAGCAACGTCTCATTTTTGCTGGAAAGCAGCTTGAGGATGGCCGCACTCTTAGCGACTACAACATCCAGAAGGAGTCGACCTTGCACCTTGTGTTGAGACTCCGTGGTGGTGCCAAGAAGCGTAAGAAAAAGACCTACAACGTCAGTCGTCGCCACTATCCTATCTGCCTTAGCTCGCTGACTCTTTTCCCAGACCCCCAAAAAGATCAAGCACAAGCGCAAGAAGGTCAAGATGTCCATCCTGAACTACTACAAGGTGGACTCGGACGGCAAGATCAAGCGTCTTCGTCGTGAATGCCCGACTGCCGAGTGCGGTGCTGGTATCTTCGTATGTCGATCCTTTGACCTTGTTATCGCTCTCACTGACACTTGTGAACCTCTAGATGGCGTTCCACCAAGACCGTCAATACTGCGGCAAGTGTGGCCTTACGTACACCTTCGCTGCTGGCTCGAAGCCTCCAACTGCATGAGCGCTGAATAGTCCGCCGTTGTATGTCGGTCCATGTACTTAGGTTCACCACATGATTACGCTGCTTTCCACAAATTCATTTAGCCACTGCGAATACGTTTTTGCCACGATTAACATAACTCGCAAAGGACAATCGCGAGTCCATATCATCTATTGAGCTACAGGGCTGCTTAGCTGTTGACCATATGAAGTAACAACTCACCGTTTCTGCATCTCTGCTGCCCATGATATCTCCTTCAGTTGCGGTGCGTTTAGTGATGCGCCAACTGTGCCCACGACAAGAGCAAACAACGCTTCCAGTATTATCTGCCGGCAAGTTAGTGCAGGGCCACAGTTTCACCACCGTTCCCTACATCGAATGGCAAAGAACCCTCCGGTCGGCCAACAGCTTTCAAGTGAGAGAGGTCTGACAAACTTGAGCGAGACTTCGCATTCAGGAAGTAACAGTTTCACGTTCATATGTGGAAAACGCCGCTGGACTTCTCGTTCAGTCATTACCCGAGAAGTGACTGCCTTTACTCGCCATGGAAGACCGCGATAGTCGCAAGAGCGAGTAGTAACGCTCCGAGCATGTTGTCGTTGAGAGAGGTAAGTTTCTGTGAGCCACGTGCTCGCAGCTCGCTTCTCTCCACCGACCATGGCATTTCCCATTCCCGACCACCTTCCACGACGACCAAACCCAAAGGATGTGTCGTCTGAGATACTTCTGAAGATCGACAAGGCGACAAACCAAACACTCTCTGCCGAACTTGCGGCTTCGTGGCTCACGGAATTGGATGGGACAATTCAAAACACTAAAGTGTGTCAGTTTGCGACCCTCTTCAGGCCTAATTCTTACCAAAATATGCTCAGCAACAAATCCACCACCGGATACATCGCGACTTGCCTTTATTTGAGCAGCAATTCGAGACCTCTAAGTCCGTTCAGACGCGTTTACAAGCATTATCCACCAATGTGGAGAATCTGGACCGCACCTTGTCTGACCCTGAGGTCCGTCCTCCTTTCCTCCCTCATATTCATTTTCAAGCTCAATGTTCACACTCTAGGCTGGCATAATACCTGCATTAGTGAGGTCACTCACGGCGCATGCAGTTCTTGCACAACAAGCAACCAACGCAGCCGTTCAGCACGAAGCAGTCCTCTACCTCCTTCGATGCCGGAAATCTTTCACCGGTGTTCTATCACTGGTTCAGCTGGGAAAGCTGCCAGAGGCTGTTGTTGCTTGTGACGAGTTTGAACAAGAGCATTTACAGTTTGTGCCTCCTCATCTCAGTCAAACAAGTGTGTTCGCCGACTTGAAGGTGGGTTTTGTGGTCCTGCTCCTTTCGAACCGATTCATGTACCCGTACAGCGCAAATTTCAAGCAGCCAAGTCCAAGACGGAAGAGCAGTTGAGCGAGGCGTATTCCCGGAGCATCGTAATCTTGGCGCAAACTCTCACTGTCCTTCGTTCTGTTGTTGGTGTGTATGCTACAATGCATGCAGTACTCGTTCACTCACAACTTTGTTAGTTCGACAGTCGGACAATGTTCTCTCCCTTTCCGATGTTCTGTCTTCACTTACCCCGACCGCCCGTGCGAACCACCTGACGATTTTACGACGTGACATGGTAGCCTATTATGTTGACCAACTTCTACTGCAACCGGCGACTCTATCATCTTCATCGGAACACGATGAACAACGACTGACAGTCATTCCTTCACCTCCCAATACAAATAACCCAATCGAGCGACTCGAAAACGTTTCTTTGGCACTCAAATTCTTGTCCAAACACTTCACGGCCTATTTGCCCCTGTCAGATAAAGCCTCGGTGTCACGAGCACTTTGCAAGCCTATTGGATCGAGCATACTCTCAAACTTACTCATTCCATCTCTCCCTGTCGCATTTCACGGCCTCCCTGCATTTCTTCAACTTGCGGAGCGTGCAGTGGCTTTCGAAGGAGAGTGCATTGTTCAATTGCTCGGTGGTGATGAGCACGACCGACCAATCAAAATATGGATAGACAACCTAAGCGGGCATTATGAGCGTCGAAGGAGAATGCTTATCCTAGACAACGCACGACTTGTTGTGTTGGCCCCAGAGGTAGTGGGAGATCATGGCAAGTTTGTCGTTGAGGTCGATCCGTTCTTGCAGGAGAAGAAGGCAGCACTGCCGGATATCATTCCTGTGCAAAAGGAGATGATCGGATTTGAACAGAAGGAGGATGTTGACGAGTGGGGCTTTGATGAGGGTACAGGGAACGGCGATGGTGATGATGGTTGGGGCTTTGACGACGATTCTGCGCCAGAGCCAATACCGCAATCGGAACCTCGGGAAATGGTTGTTTCTGGAGATGATGATAATTGGGGCTTCGATGACGAGCCTGTGGGTCCGCCAGATCCCAATGGCGACAAAGATGATGGAGAAGATGCATGGGGTTGGAACGACGAAGAATCATCGGGCGACACTGCCTGGGAGGACGACCCTTGGAATGAAACAACGGAGAAGTCAATCGACGACCCACCATCTCCGCCCAAATCAGCAGCAACAACATTGGCGTCTCCTGTCCCTGCTAGAAAGGCCACTCGTCTAGAGAAACTCGCCAATAAAGGCAAGAAGCATCTTAATGGTAGCTCTCCTCTCGCGTCGCCTACTCCCCCCATCACTGTCAACCCAAATCCAGTACCCGAAAGCCTGAAGCCTCCTGTGAAACGGCCTCCGGAACTGACTTCGCCGCTTGTGGCAGTTGCCCCAAAGGAATCCTACCTGGTCACTCATCGAACAAAGCAAATCGTTGCTATAGTCAAGGAAGTTCTGGCGGAGGGGCAACATTTCACTGTCTCTCGCATGATTCCCATTCGACATGGCAGCGGTTCGGAACCAGGGGCACTGATACTACAGTCTGCCGCCTCTGTGGTTGACCTTTATCGGGCTCTCTACCCAGTTCAGTTTTCCGGCCGGCTGAAGACGGTGGTGGATGCACCGATGCAGCTGTCCAATGACTGCATGTATCTTAGTGAGGAAATTCGAAGATTAGAGAGGACCCTGGTTGGTCCCCCAAATGTCAAAGAAAAGCTCGTAGATTGTGGAGATCGATTGAAGGTGTGGGGGGACAGTTGGTTCCAGGACACAATTGTTCGTATGCCTTTTCTTCTAGTCGCCTTCTTAGTGAACAAGCTACAGGACCAACATCGAGCTTCGATTGACGAAACGATCGCTAAGGGTGCCGAAGGATTTACCTTCCTCGCTGACCAAGACCGATATGATGACTGTGAAGCAGCAATTGGGCGAGCGGTGCAAGAAATCAAGCGGTTATCCCAGCGATGGAAAGGCATCCTGACCAAAACCAAGTATTACACTGCGGTTGGACTGGTCACCGATGCGGCCCTCTCGCGGTTATTGGAAGACGTTTTAGCGTTACCCGATATCACAGAAGTCGAGTCACATCGACTGCATGAGATTTTCCGGATGCTGAGTGGATTAGAAGCATTATTCATCGAGGATGCTAACCAGGTTCATTGCCAGCTTCTGTCATTTTTCTTTCACTGACTGTTTTCGAATAGCAGCCCTTTGCCGCCGATTACGTTCCATCTTGGTTCAAGTTCTCGTATCTTACGGAACTTATGGTGTGTCATCTCCCCGTTGTCTTGACTAGAATAATGAACCCGCCCTTAGGATGCATCTATGGTCGATATCGTGGACTTGTTCGAAAGTGGTGCATTAAGGGACTTTGAAGTGGATGAGTTGGTGAGGCTGGTTCGAGCGTTGTTTGCAGACAATGCCCTACGGACGAATACTATAAACAAGCTTACGGGCGGGCATGGACGAATGTAAACTATGGTATCCAGCTGCTTTCTGATCTACGCTGTCACTTCACCGATTCAGTGCTCATCACACCGCAGAGCGTTCGATAATTCCACGAAGCGCACATGTTCTCAGTGGTTTCTGCTGACCAACGATAGGCTCGTGAGGAGAAACGGTGGAATTCGCGCCGTTGAATTGGGCAAGTGACAATGCGTTTGCTGACTAATCAAGGTATAAAATGTGGGAGCCGGACCGATACGTGAGCAAACCAATGTCTCGCACTTATAACAACGTTATCGTCTTTGGCCCCACTGGTACAGTCGGCGGTCTGGTTGCTCTCGAGGCTCATCAGCGTGGGGCCAAAGTGTGGCTCGCAATGCGGGATACCTCCAAGCCCATTGACGGAATCACTTCAACTGTCGAGCAGGCGGGCAACTTTGTCCGCGTCCAGGCTGACCTCAGCGACCCGGCCTCGGTGTCAAGCGCAATCACCCAGTCTGGGGCCACAGCGGCGTACCTCTACCTTGTCCACACCCCCGATTTTGCTCGGGCAACTCTCCGGGCCATGCGTGATGCGGGCGTGGAATATATCGTCTTCCTCTCCAGCTATACCATCAGACTGGAGGGCGTCCCTCTGCGAGAAATCAAGCCTGACAGAGGGATTGCGTACGCTAATGCACAGGCAGAGATCAACATCGAAGAGGCGGGGTTTCCGTATTTCACAACACTGCGACCCGCGCGGTTTGCAAGTAACTACCGCAAGTTTTGGTTTGACGGGGCGAAAGCGCTGCACGTGTTCCCTGACTCTGTCATGGACAATATAGCACCGGAAGATATTGGCGCGGTGGGGGGAGCAGTCCTCGTCAATCGTCCCTCAGAGGAAAAAGAGACCATTTATTTATATGGCCCCGAGCTGCGCACTGCGAAGGAGAGCTGGGAGGTCATCAAGAACATAACTGGCCGGGAGATCGACATCGCACCCTTGACCGCACAACACTACACGCAAGTTTTGTTGACCAAGGGTTTACCAAATGCAGCCATCCAATATTTGTTGGCCTTGGATCGGGTGAACGTGGGTTTCCCGCAGCAGGAGTATCAGGACGCCGTGGGAAATGTCGAAAAGTATGCGGGACGACAGCCAACCAAGTTCTCAGACTATATCCAGGCGCACAAGGCAGAGTGGCTGGCGTGAAAAAACAGTTGATTACATGTCGACTATTACCTTGGTAGTACTGGGTAATTCTACTTGTCTAACGGTCTAAATCTATGCTCTAGTAGGTTCAAACTCTATATGCCCAGCAGCGAGGCAGGCTTCCACCTCCGTCCAAATATCCGCATGCTCTTCGTCCGCTCCTTCCACTTCTACAAGAGAAGGAAAGACTGAAATAAGGTAACTTGCCATCCTGGCCGGGTCAGGGGGTGTTGGAGAAGATATCAGGATGCGTGTGAGGGAACCAGGGGAATGAACAGCCTGGGGAATAGACTGGACGTCCATCGGTAGCGAGAGCGTCTTCAAACCAGGGATGTTTTTGGCAATTGCGGGTAGACAGGCGCCAGTCGTTCGTGGCAAGCACTCACGTGGGAGACACTCAAATGAGAGAACGCTACCAAAGTCGAGATGAAGCAGCTCTGGCCAGCATCGCAGAGCTGCGAGTTCGATGATATCTTCATCGTCTAGGTCTGCAGGATGGGCTGTGTCTATAACAAGTTTTTGGAGGTGTTTAAACCGTGAAAGTTGCCGCAAGCTCGCTATTGTGATGCGCGGCCGATTAAGGGTGGATTTCGTGTTGGTATCTGCGTCTAAGGGTATGATTTCTAGGTGTTCTATGTTGTCTAAACCGTCTTCTATTATCATTTCGTGTAGCGTTTGAGTACTGCTGTCCCCAATGGACGAGAAAATTCCCGTCCAGTCGGCGGAGTCACTCGCTTCTAGGTGGAGAGTGTGGAGATGGGCCGACTGCGTCAAAGTCATGAAAGTTCGTAAGAATTCTCCGCTAGCAGAGATACGGAGGTGCTGGAGGGAGTGGAAAGACTCATCGCTCGCCCACATAGAGTGATCAAGGGGATCGGGCAGGTGTCCCGCGTAAATATTGAGTTCGTTAAGTCGGGAGAAAGTCGAAATAGCCATCAGGGTTTCTACCGTAAGAAATGGGCCAGTTTTCAATATGAGGGAGCGAAGTTGGGACATCTGTGAGATGCACAAGTTTAAACGCGGGTCGACTATTCCTCTCAGTCGCAGACGTTCCAAATAGGGGGCGACATGGGCGAGAACGGTAAACTGATCTCCATCGAGGGTGTGCAGTCGTTTGAAGCCGAAATCGACATCCAACTGCCGAAGATTAGATGAGAAACTGAGGGCGGCAGGAAGCGATTGGGAGTCCAACGAGGCTAGACGTGTTGAAACTAATCGACTGAGGGCTTTTGGCGGAATCACGGATAGAAGGTGTGGGTGAATGTTTAATGTTTGCCGCTGGGTTATATTTTTTTACACGTCGAGCGTAGGAATGGAAGACGGCGAGATCAGGAGAAACATCGGACTGAATATTCTGCGATAGTGTTAATGAGTTGTTGGTAGATATGCTGAAAGCGCACATATTTTCCGTCCACAAAGACGAGGCCAGGAATGAGAGCGAGCAGAGGCACCAGAGAGCGCAAATTGGACCAGAGAATATCAAGCGCTGGCTCTTTCCACGAGCGACAAGTTCTCGCAACGTTAGGCAGCCATTCCGTAGGACAGACCTCCAATATCTGTCGTAGGAGGTCGTCCAGTAACAGAACTTGGTGCATGCACTTGGGCTGCTGACCGTGAAGATGAAAGGCAAAAAAGTTGGGCACAGCCACAATCGCATCTTTCCTAAAACTCGTCCACGATGGTACGCCTGTAGATTTCGAAAGTGGCTTGGACCTAATGGTTATCAGAGGCCCATTCTACTCCAAGGTCGGTGTGGTGATGCTCAAGCAACTGGTCACTCAACTACCTAGGACACGAACGGTCCCTGACCCAAATAAAATTCAACGCTGAAGGCGACCTGCTGTTTTCGTGCTCGAAAGACCACGTTATCAATGTCTGGTATTCGCACAACGGAGAGAGGCTAGGGACATACGAGGGCAACAATGGGACTGTTTGGACCGTCGATGTTGACCGTGAATCTCGTTCACTCTTTTTTTTTCGGCTCCGCTCATTTTGACTCTAGATGAAACGCGGTTTCTCGTCTCCGGGTCGGCGGATAACACTCTTCGACTGTGGAGTGTAGCAACTGGGAAGTGTCTGTACACCTGGGAGTTCCCGACAGCGGTGAAGCGGGTTGCTTTCAACGAAGATGCGACCCAGGTGGTATGCATAACCGAGCAGCGGATGGGCTTCCAGTGTGCAATCCGCGTCTTTGACATCAACAGACGAGAGGGCGAGGAGTCTAATCGTGCGTCATCCAATCTCTTGAAAACGTTCTTGTCTCACAACTTTCTTAGAATCGGAAGAGCCACGACACTTTTTCAACCCGATTGGCAGCAAAGCGACAGTCTGCGCGTTCACTCTCCTCCCGAATGTCATTATAACAGGCCACGAATCGGGCAAGGTTGCCCTTTTCAACGTCAAGACGGGTGAAGAGATCAACAACAACGAGCGGGCGCATAGCGACGTTGTGACCGATCTCCAACTCAGCAAAGACCGCACCTACTGTGTCACAAGCAGCAAAGACAAGGCAGCACGGATACACGACATCAAGACCCTCCTAGTCGTCAAAACATTTACAACGGAAACGCCGCTCAACAGTGCTGCCCTTGCTCCCAATCGTCCCTATGTAGGTGGATTCTCAATAGTCTTCGTCTAAACTGGATCGCTTTTCAGGTTCTCCTCGGAGGTGGTCAAGAAGCCATGAATGTCACCACAACATCTTTGCGCCAGGGCAAATTCGAAACGCGTTTCTGGCACAAGGTCTACGAAGAGGAAGTTGGTCGCGTTAAAGGCCACTTTGGTCCCATAAATACGTTAGTCATAACTGATTTTGCTCTTTTCCTGGCTAAAAAAGAGTTGGATAGGATTGCGATTCACCCTGCGGGGACATCTTATGCTTCTGGGGGAGAGGATGGATTTGTGCGAGTACACCATTTTGATGATTCTTATTTCAATGCCCAGCCATACGGAGCTGTGGAAATCGAAGACTAGTTTGAAATGCTATTTGTTCGTGCTATGCTACAACAGTTAGAAAAAAGAAATGCAAGAAAGCTCTACTCCTCCATATGTTCAGCCGCGTCTAGTAGTAGTTTCGGCTCTCGTAGATTGTAGATTTCGCCGTCCATCGTGTCATTCGTGCAGTATCGCCAGATATGGACCACCTTGGTCTGTCCGAAACGGACCAAACGACCAACAGCCTGGGTCATGCAAGCGTCGTATTGCTCCTGCGACTGGGCAAGAAGCGGGGAAAGGAAGATGGCGTGGTTGGCGGATGTCAAGTTGGCTCCGCTCGCACTCTCATCCATCAAGTTCAACAGCAGCACCCTTTCGGCACTGTTGTGCTGGAAGCTCTCCAGGGCTTTGCTCTTTGCAGACGCCGATCCCTTGATCTCAAGGTACTTGACTTTGTGATCTTTCAGAGCAGCTGCGACCTTCTTCATCAGATCGGGGAATTGAACAAAGACGAGAACACGGTCGTCTTTCGGGAGTTGGTTTCTGTTTCATCGTTAGCGGCTGCTTGGAGTATAATAAAACACTGCTCACTTGATGAGGTCGATTACCACCTCCAGTTTCTTGCCGTAGTGCTTTCCGCGACCGTCTCGCTCCTCGTCGTCTATGCCAAGAGTGTCACCTTTGACGATGTTGAGAATCCGTGCAGCAGAACTGCACTTCCCCGAGGCAGCATAAACACACTCCTCTTTCTCTGCACAGTCACGGACACATGTCGAGCATCCCATGTGACCGCAGGATGACAACACAGAAATGTCGCTGATGTCAAGTCTTTCCCGGCCACAGGCAGGACAAGAGACCTTGATTGGTATATCGCGCTGCTTCTGAAGGTCACGAACTGCGGTGAAGAATCGCAGAGAGCGAACGCGGCCGACAAGCTCCTTGCTCAGTCGTCGTATTTCGTGCGTGGCCTCTCGATGCTCCCATATCGCGTCCTTGACTTTGCCAGTGAGAGTCACCTCTTTTCCGCTCCTTTTCGACTTCATCGTTTTCGCATCTGTCTGGTCGATGACTTCAAGAATGATTTTTGTGGCATCCGCGTCTTGAACCCCTTCTTCCCTCGATGCACGCACCCAGACGCTGAAATGAGACTCCTCGGGCACATGGCCGAGCGCTATTTCGCGTTTGACCCCAGCTTTGACCGCTCGAAGGAGTTCCGCCTTGCAAGCCTCGAGTTGTTTCTCGCGTTCCTTGACGATGACGTCACATGCTTTCATGGCATTCTCATTTTCTGCGTCGAGTTCAAAATGGGAGCAGCGCTTGAGCAGAGCTTCCTCGGCCGTCCTGAAATGGATTTGAAAAGCTTGTCTGTGGTAGCGGTTGAGCACTTACTTGCTCTCGCCCAAAGACAACGCTAGTCGCTTCTCGCGATCGCTCTCCGTTTTTCGACCCCTCTTGATTGTCATATCCAAGGCTCGCAGGTGATGCTCCAGTTCGAGATATATCGCCCTCTCAGCGGCAGGAAGAACAATCTCAGTGACCGTAGTCTTGAAGGGGATCTCATCGATTTCTGGCACATTCTGCGAGAGGTAAGGCAAAAGAAACGTGAGCAGTGGATTTTTTTGCATACCTGGCGCACAAATTGATCCAAAAACCTCTGCCCCAGAGTGTGGCGATTTGCATGCCATTCCAAACTGTGAACTTCCCGGAACGAGTGAAATTTCTCTGCATCTTTACGAAACTTTGAGTTATCATCGACAAGGCAAGAACGTACTCACCAGTTTGCTCTCGTCGCCGTTTCTTGACTTCGACTGACTGACCCTCCCCATCGTCATCGACACCAAGATGCAAACCGAGGAAAGCAGAGATAGTCTTTAGAGCGGCAAAATCATGGACCGGAGGAGTGCCCGAGAGTACCCAGTGTCGCTCGGATGTGAGATTGGTGATTAGAGGATGTACTCGACCGTCAAGGTAAGTGTATTCGTCGACAACCATGCGAGCGAAATGGAACATCTCGAGCGGTGGTGCCTTCATTTGCCTCCAGTCTTTCTTGACCGCGTTGCTTCCGAGTTTCCATGGATCGCTGTTCAAACGACTCTTTCTCTTCTCCTTTGCTGCCCCAACCGCATCCTCATCATCAGACCCTGCCTTACGCTTAGCTTTCTTCTTCTTGCCTTTCGGCTCCTCGTCTTCAGATTCATCATCAGCAGACTCCCTGGCAGAGGGTGTCGAGGCAACAGAAGACTTGCGCGATTTTGCGGTGACTTTTTTTGTGGGTGCCTTGCGTTTGCTGCCAGTTTTGATTGCGGGAGAATCACTGTCTTCACTCTCTTGATCCGACGAAGCGGCGATCGACGAAGTCTCATCTTCATCGTTATAGTCATCCTCTGACGGTGTTTCTTCGGCTGAGTAGTCATCGTCGTCAGTTCCCGATTTTTTCTTGCCTTTCCCGTTCTTTTTGGAGGCCGCTTTCGATTTTGCCGCCGCCTTTCCCTTGGCTTTCTTTGGCTTTGGCTTTTCGTCTTCATCATCGGATAAGACGATTATTGTCCTTTTAGCAGCGGCTCGTCTAGGCGCACGTGACACTTCTTCCTCGTCATCAACATCCATGGCATCTCCATCGTAAAGTTGCATGTTCTGGCCAAGTTTGTGACCGGGCAAAAGTGGAACGACGACTGATACCTGGCTGGACGAACGCGAAGATGAAGCGGAAGGGGATGCTGCGGGTGTCGTCCGCTTTTGGGCAGCCTGTTCTTTGCCCTTCTTCTCAGCTGCCAACCTCTCTTGAGCATCACGATAAGCTTGACCTTTCAATCGTTTTGTCACGACACGAGCCGCAGCTTCGGCTTCAGCAGCAGCTATGGTAATTGAGACCAGAGTTTAGGTTCAAACCAGGAGACTGCTCACCTTGCTCGCCTCGCTTCATCTCCTCCAGAACTGCAGCTGACCCTTCATCTTGAAGACGATCGGTCTGTGATTTCAGCGCCTCCGATATTTCCTTGAGACGGGCATTGAAATGTCTGCCTGCAGAAGCAGGCAGGGTCCCGTTGCCTGCCAAAAGCTCCAAATTGTCGGTGTACGCTTGTGACTTCGACAAAGTTGACGCTATGACGACAATGTCGGCCTCTTGGAAATCCTGGATAGTAAGCGGATTCAGGTGAGTAACAGTCGGGATTACTAGGACCTCGAAACGGTTGGCCGTAAACTTCTTGGCCTCAGACTGCCATTGTTTCGTGAGATGTGGCGGAACAACCACGAGTGTTGCTTTGGTGAGGATTTTCCCTGGTATCCGTCCCATTTCTTCAAACTCAGCTTCAACCTCATCAGCAGTACAGTCAATCAAACCAAGGGTAGTCGCAGTTTTTCCGTAACCAACAGCGTCAGCCAGAACACCTCCACGGACCCGAACAGGACGCTGAGCACGACCTTCGGCGCGCCATCCTAACGACGGCAAAATGGCTTCCGAAATTTCCTCTTCGATAAACGGGGCTACATCAATCGCTTCTTGCTGGACCATCCATGACAGCGATCGGCGCTGTTCCTTTCGAAGCTTGACCTTGAAGCTAGGAGGCTGACGATGTTCCACGTCCTGCTTGTTACTTTTGATCTGGAACTTGGGCAGATTTTGTGTGATGGCAGGTGTGAAATTCGTGTTGAGTCGCCAGGAAACAGTCGCAGGCTCTGTCCGGTTGAGTGTAGGCAGCCGCGAGAACGCTCGGTGTACGAGAGTAGGTGCATTGAAACCGACTTTCACCGTTCCGACACCGTCACCGCCAAGTTTGAGCTGCGTAACAAAAGGGCTAGGGCGAATCTTCAAACGACGCTCGTATTCGCCGGCTTGATGAGGCTCCTCCAACGCAATCATTTTCTTTTTGGAAGATACCCACTGGATTTCGGGAGGTGTTGGAGCACAACGTTTACAGTTCTCCTCATCGTGTGGAAGCTCAATATTTTGCCAGGACCCATCGAAGCTGTTGCTGATGTGGCGGACACGTTCTAGCAACCAAGCCAGCGATCGGAAAATCGATCGCTCGTGAACTTTGTCCACTTCTCCCCACGAGTCACGAGGCCATTCAGGGCCAGCTTGGTCTCCGAGAGGAACACTACACATTAAGACTGCAGCGGCGCTCCCGCACGAGTCTTTGGAGCAATCGAGCACCATGTTCCGCTCAGGAACGCCGTATTGGGCTCCCTTTGCATGAGATGGCTAGGGACGAGTTAAAACAAGTAAAGTCGGAAAGGACATGAAAACTAACAGACAAGGACATCTGGGCTACCGATTTCCAGACAGGAACACGACATTTGACGCTCTTCTCCGTTGTGCTGTTTGATTGTCTCCATTTGGAGTCGAGGACAGCAACGATGGGCCGCGATTCTCCATATTCATAGCGCCGACGACTGATAGAGAACACAAAACAATCGTCGTCGTCACTTGTTCGTTGTGGATGAAGGAGGAGGAATAGGGGAGGAAGGTTTGCTTCTTCTGTTGTGGCCTCTTTCTTGTGTAAAGCACCATTGGCAGTTCCGCATTTATCGAGCAGCGTATACACACCCGAAATGTCGCGGTCGAATTTGTCGAGATCTTCGTCAGAAACAGAGACTTTGAGTTGCGACATGACCTTCTTGTCCTTATAATCATCACCCGTCAACCCGAGTCGCATCTCCCAAGATGGAACAGGTTCTCCTGCCCCCTGGATAGAGACAGAGACAGCGTTTGTCTTTGGAAGCGCAAGCTCCCAGGAGCCCGAAAGTAAGGAGTCGGTGCATCGAAGCCGACCAACGGGAGACTTGAGAATATGCCTAATCTCGGCTTTGGCGGGGGCACTGGGGTCAGCTTTGGCATAGAGACGCCATTCAGGTTGTTGAGGATGCAGATGTAGCTCGAGAAGTGCCTGAGGGGACTCATAACTTGCGATCCAAATGTCTTGTCGTTTGGGTTCGACGAAACGCAGTTCGGCTTGAGGAATTCGAAGAACAGCATCCCGCCAAGGAGACCATAGCTTCTGAGCGATACTCTCGCCATCAGCGAGGGCATCCAGGAGCTCTTCAGAGAGGCCACCAAAGTTCAGAGTCATGGGCAATGTTGATTTTATCTGGTCGGCGAATTCCGAAGGAGCAAGACGAGGGTTCGTGTTGGTGTCAATCTCAACGGGGTTGTGCTCGGGACGACCACCACATTTGGTGCAAGAGGACGCGCCACAGTCCTGACAACGTGAAAGCTTCCTGGTCGTGATATCAGTACGACCTTCGCAATCGCAAAGGCGGGAGCTCTGGTTGGCGTTGGCGATTAGGTCAGACAGTGGAATAGTGCTCGTGACCGCAAGATCAAGGGGTTTGGTGACCAGCTCATCTTCGCCCACGACATGATCTTCGAGCGTATCCTTCGCGATATCAACGTCCATTGCAGTAGTTTCTGTTTCGGCCATTCCTCGCTTGCTCTCGTAGCTTCGGTCATCTTTCCCATTCTTGAGCAGACGCATGCCGGTGGTGAGGGCAGCGAGGATGCATGCGCCAACAACGGTGGTCGACATAGCGTTGCCTGCCAGATCCGCAAGCTGGTCCTCTGTTTCACGCGTCAAGAGAAGCTTGTCAATGGGGAGTCCTTGCATAGCCAAGGCCTCCAGTCCCACCATAGGTCCCCCACGGTTCGTAATGAATGGAATCATCGATGGCGTAAGACATGGGCAAATCCCCAATTTATTGGCGCCAACCGTACGGTCAACGTTCTGGGAAAGGTTCCAGACTTGGCTGCGCAGAGTTAGCGTTGGGAGCGAAAGACGGGATGAAATAACACTTGCGTTTTGTACGAAGGGTCAATCCCCTTCTTGGCTGACCGCAAAGTGAGGATGTCCATCAAGTCCCAAACGCGTTCCACTTGGCCGACACCCCAATCTGACCAGCTGTAGTCAGGTAGACTACAGGATCCTCCTTCAAATCGATTCAGTGGACATCAATACATATTCCAGTTGAATACCAACCTTCGTCCCAATTGGTCAATGGCCTCTTTTTTCCCAACTCTTCTTCCGCACGAGAACGCTCATGACGACGCTCGCAACGATTCCAATCTGTTCGTCCAGTTCGACGATCAGCTGAGTTGTAGCTCTCTTTCGCGAGCTTCTGTCGAGCAACATGAATACGTGGATCATCAGATGGCAGCAAAAATGCATCGAGCGAGGAGGAGGCCGGTCGCTTGAGGTCGCTGGAAACAATCTTGAGCCACTGGTCGGGAATGTCCGACCGCTTAGCATCAACCGCTACGAGATAAACGCGCGTGCGAGTGTGCGCGATATAATAGAACTTGGTGTCGAAACGCGCAGACGTGGCACTGTAGTCGATTTTCTCAAACTCCGCAACAACCTTCGGCCACGGAGCTGAGCAAACATTTTCGAGAATGACTATCGGGGGACGATGCAGTTTTACCCAGCCCAGCATCCCACGAAAAGTTTGTCCTGACTCTCCTTTCGCTTCAATGTCTTGCTTCTGGTTATTGAGATTTGAGTAGTCGACACAAGAGGTACCGGCCACAAGGATGTCAACGTCGCCTGGGACAGGGACGAGAGCGCCGTAAGCTGTGTGCCTAAATGAGAGTTAGAGACAATACAACCTTGGGAAGTTCTAACGCACGCTTCAGCATTTCCTAATTCGCAGACATCGCGAAACAATATAGGAGGACGGAAATTGCGCTCGATATAAGCCTGCTTGAATGGCTCAATCTCGCAGGAAAAGACGTGCTCGACGTCAAACTTGATATTATGCTGGTCGAAGATGGATTTTTGGATGAGTTCCAGTGCCAGGAGAGGGGACTCGGTCCCAGAACACATGGTAGCGACACGAAGTTTGCGGCCTTGGATGTGTTCGGCCACTTTCTTGATTTTGGGTATACGACTGACGAGGTCGTCGAATATGGCGGAAATGTCGTGAATTGGGGGAAGGTCAGACTCGTCTGGCGCGACAATCTTGGATTCGCCTTTTTCAGGCTTCGACGATGTTGCAGGCGCGTCGTTGTCGTCCGACTCTGACGCGTCGTGGTCTACCCCGTTTCCGCCTTCAAAGTCGGCGTCATCTCCTTTTGAGGGCTTGGTCTTCTTGAAAAAAGACTTGATGCCCTGCTGACCCGCAGGCTTCGACGTTTTCTCTTTTCCCTTCGCCATGGTGTGAGGAGAAAGAGGTTGCGCGTGTGGTCACACAAGTCACGCCGACATGATTGTCCCACGGTCAGGTTCGCTGAGGTTCGCTGCCCACTCAAGCTCACCTCATGTCGCTGCATTGGCAGAGACGCATAAAGCGAATATTTGGCAGCGATGCTCTGGACTGGGTCGACAGAAGCTATCTTACTGACTGGATAGTTGTTGCTGCATTCTGGGGCCTCTCAGAGCTTGCGGGTCGAATCACTGTTTTCGAAAGAGACTTTTATCCCACAGACCCTATCATCAACCACCCACACAAGAAGAACCAGTTGAGGGTTCCCAGGTCCCTCTTGACATGTCATCTCTAATCCGTGACAGGATTAGCGGCAGCTCAAATCATCTCATTGCTCTTCTTGTTCCTGGTGCGGCCGTACTTGCAACAAGCCTTTACCAGCTTTCATTTGTTTCTCTACATCACGGACTTTTGGCACTACTTGCTGCACGAGGAATGACCCGTCTGTTCACAAACATACTCAAAAACAAGTAATAAGCATTATTTTTCTAGCTAAACGTCTCACACTTTTCAGAGTCGGTCGGTCAGCATTTCTCAACCACAAATTGCAAGCCTAGCATACTCAATGCTACCCAGATAGACTAAGACCGGATTTCCTCTCGCGGTGCAAATGGGACACCGAAAAACTCAAATGCACAGGGTATTTCGATCCTTTCGAATGTGATTGTTCTCCTGATCATCTCAGAAAAGCGGACAACATACTGGACGGTAGACGATCTTTCCCAAGTGGCCATTCTAGTGCTGCGTTTGCTGGAATGACATTTCTCGCGTTCTGGCTTGCGGGACAAACAGCCGCCTGGTGTTTTCAAGCCCAATTACCAGCCGCGTCGCTTCGATCAAGCCGTCTTGCACGATTCTGTTTCACACTGCTGCCAATTTGGTGGGCTATATATGTTGGTGTAACCAGAGTCGAAGATTATGTGTGTTTTCTCTCTCTCTTCCTGTTACTACGCTTACCTTGATTTTGTAGCGGCATCATAAAGAAGACGTTATCGTTGGCGGTCTTATGGGAATTATATGCGCCAGCATCTCCTACTTGGCTTTCTGGCCGTCCCCATTTTCTGAGAGTAGCTTTCAACCTTACACTTACGGTCAGCCGAGGACGCTCAGCTCCAGCGATACGGTCCTATATTCTCAATCTGATTCCCGTCGACGAACAGAGGCTGACTTTGAGCTGTCCCGCCTGGAAGAATCCGACCTCGATGTGTAAACAGAAAATAGGAGATACATATATAGAGTACACGGAGACAAACTGGTCACTAATCACGTACAAAAACCCACTTTTCGCCCACTCGTTGCATTTTTCCACCTGAAGTTGACCCAGCTTCTCTGGACGAAGGCAGGTCGTCATCGTCTCATCATCACCACCGCCAAGTACGATAGCATCAGTCCCGGAATTGTCATGCCACGTTCCTCCAGGATGACCTGCGTAGCCTCCGCCACTTCGGCCTCTTGAGAAGCTCCCTCTGCCCCGACCTCTAAATCCCTGTTGTTGATGACCCCCCCAATTGCCATGTTGCTGCTGCTGGTAAGTTTGTATGGGCGCTGTTGTTGTTGTTGTTGTTGCGGTTGCGGTTGCGGTTGCGGTTGTGCTTGCTGTTGTCCAGTCGCCACGGTCATCGTCCCACCAGACATGACATATTGCATTAACTGCTCCATCGTCGGTGCTGTCCCGAAAGACGCTTGCCACATCTTGCCCAATGCTTCCCACGAAGCCGGTGATGTAAAATCAAATGTGGAGGCATCGAAGCTGGACAAATTGGCTGCCACGTTGTCCTCCAAAGTCTGACCAGAAGTAGGTTGGGGGGCATCATTTGCCACAACAGGGAGCGGTGAAGATGCATTCACATCTACCGATGACATTTGACTCTGGTAGTTACTCGCGGACGGTGGGGCTGGTGCCTTTACACTGCTCGTCACCTGATGTGGTTGACTATGTGCTGCTGCTGGTTTTTCGTCGACAATATCATCTGGCGGCTCTGGCGAAGGCGAAGCTTGCCTTATCTCTCTCCCAAATTCGTCCAGTCCTGCTTGAGGTGGCTGTACTACCCTTGGTCGTGGATCAGCCAGTGTTGATGGCCGTCTTGGACTATATGGTCGTGCATTGCGTCGTTCTCCTCCCCGAGGGGGCGGACTTTTTGAGCGACTTCGTCGTTGTCTTCTGTCGTCATCTCTGTTATCCTTATTGAACCGATCACGGTTATCCCAGCTGCGGCCTTCTCCTCGTCCACGACCCCGAAACCCGCCTCGATAATTCCCCCGTCCATCATGCGGATTATTATTGTTATTACTGCGTTGTTGTTGGTATTCGGAACGTGGGTCGTGTCTCCTCCCGTAGAAGTTATGGTCTTGGGCAGGCGAATGGGGAGGTGAATGGGGAGAGAAGGCAGGTTGAGGAGGAGGAGTATTGTTGAGATTGGCTGTAAGCTGCTGGAGCAACGCAAGCTGAGGCGCAGCGGCAGTTGCACTTGGTATTGCTTGTCTAAATACACGTTAAAATAAAATAGTCGAGTTTAGTATTGGTCTTACGAACCCCACATTAGTTTGGATCGCATTATTCGCAGCAGCTTGCGTTAGCAATGCTAATAAGGTCGCTTGAGGATCCAAAACTGGAGGTGGTGGTGCTAATGTTGCAGCCGGGGTTTGTGGTAGGGGAGCGGCAACGGCAACGGCGGCGGCACGCGGGTCGAGCGTGACCTTTACTTGATTATCTACGAAACAAACCCAGAGGTTGATTCAGTTACTGGACTTAAAGCCACGGGACGCAGAAAGCAGGATGGATTATCGGAATACTTAGCGAATACATCTCGCAACAGATATGCACCTTTTTCTGTAGTCACATCCTTCAGTCGCGCTAGGATTGGTGACGGAAATGTAGATCCCTTGACCCAGATATCGAGTACTTTTTTCGTCTTTTCCTATCAGAAGGAGATCGAAACGTTAGGACTGCTATCGAATACGGACTGCCATGGAAACCTAGGGTGTTACGAACCTTGCCTTCAGAGGTTGCTGTTGATATCATGTCTTGGAATAAACCCTCCAGAACACCTTCCAACTTGAGGAGAAAAGTGGCAGAGTTTCCAGGTTGAGAGTTTATGTCGCCAGTAATACCTTGCTTCGTGACTTGACTGCGAGCTGCGCGAGCCAGAGCGTCAAAAACATAGAGGCTGGAGATTTTGGCAGACGGAGTGAGGGATTTGTGGGTGCGGTACAGGATTGAAACCAGTTGAGTGTCGTCCTTGAGTTGAGTTGAGTTGGAAATGAGGAAAAGTAAAAACCTGCGACGCACTGCCATCGATTTCATCGCAATGTCAGTTAGGTTGTTCATTTTTGACGCCGACAATCGTTTTGCATTGACGACCTCTTTGAGAGAGGCTTCGAACTCCTGAAAAAGTATGAACCAGTAAGAGTGTGGTCTAGCAATAACGTACAGCCAAGTGGGACATTGTCCAAGGGCTGAGAATCGTGCGTGGTCGTACAGAGAAGAGTGTTTTGACGTGTGACAGCCGTTGGTCCGCGCAGACGAAGGATGTCGGTGGCCTCACGACGTGCAAAAGCAACGCTTGCTGCAGCCATAGGCTTGTCTGCGCTTACTATATGGGCAGTCCACTTCCAACAAGAACAACAGCATCAGGTCAATTCACGTCAACAGTTTGCTTGGTTGGAGTCTCACATCTATTCTAGACTATGTACCAAGGAGTATTGCGAGACGATGAGCGACGAAGGAAAAAGATGGAACAACGAGAGCAAGAGCTGAGAGAGTCGCAGAGAAAACGGGAGATCTACGAGAAAGTACAACGGGTAGAGTCAAGTGAGGAAACAGGAACTTTTCTTTTGTGCTTTCTGAGCGAAGGCCGCAGATGACGAGCTGAAGACTCCTTGAAATGGTGCTGAGCCCGGTTACTACGTCGTCTATACGCGCCCAAACGCCGTGGAGGGGGTTATATAGGTCAGGAACGCGTGGTAGAGGATGAATGAGCAGTTGATGCTGAACAACACTTGTTCCCCGCTTCGATCTGTATATTTCCAACGGTCCATCAACATGGAGTTTAGGCTTCTCGCTCCTCCTGCCAACGCCTCTTTCCCTCATGCCTGAGTTTTCTCGCACAATTGTCTCGCTCTTCCAGCGAGCCACAGCGCCAGAGCAGGCTAGTTCGACTGCAGTGTTTCTCGTTCGCTAATAATCTGAGCAGGGAGGGTTACTCACGGGCAAGAATCCTTCGGCTTTCAACACAGCCGACCCGCTCCGACTGTGGATTATTCAAGTTGGTTAGTCGCCGACAACGGGCTAGACACTACAACTCACCATGTTCATCTAGGAATAATCGTCGCGACGGCCAGCCTACTGTCCTTGGGGCTTCGGAAGATTCATCAGCCCAAAGTTATTTCGGAAGGTATTGTGTTGTTCTTCTTGACATTCTAGCTTGCTAAATACTCGTTCAAGTTCTTGGAGGAATTATCTTAGGTGGGCTCCTCAAGCTTGGCATCGGGATGACCAGCACTGATGCACCGACCCAGGGCCAACCGCATTCGGCAGTATACCACACTTCTCACAGCGCATATTTCCAAGCGAATCTATACCCTACTTGAGCTTGGTGGCAAACATCGGTCTGGTGCTCTTCCTCTTTCTTGTTGGGTGTGTGTTCTGGTCGCCGGCCTCACCTCATCCACTACTCTGACCTGTTTATAGACTCGAAATCGATTCCGCAATCATCAAGCGGAATGCTCGTTTGTCGGCATCTGTTGCCCTCGCTGGTATGGTTCTACCTTTTGGACTCGGAGCAGCGCTTTCCCATCCTCTATATGAGAAATTCGTCGACCCGAGCGTGAAATTCACCCACTTTATGCTGTTTACGGGGTAAATCATATTTTCATCGCTTTTCACCTTCTTACAGATTCGAAGTGTTGCCTACTCTATAACTGCATTCCCAGTGTTATGCCGCATTCTCACCGAGCTCAAACTTTTGGATACCACCGTCGGCATCGTTGTTTTGAGTGCAGGAGTTGCTAATGATATCAGTTTCGTCTCCCTATCATTCCATCTGACTTGCTCTCCTAACAATTGAATAGTCGGCTGGACTTTGCTTGCTCTTAGTGTGGCTCTCGTTAATGCCGGCTCTGGCTTGACGGCACTGTGGATCCTGATGATCTGTGTCGGGTGGACACTCTTTCTTTTGTTTCCTGTCCGATTCGCGCTGCTTTGGCTTGCAAGGAAGACTGGTTCAATCGAAAGTGGCCCAACAATGTTTTTCATGACGGTCACGGTCCTGCTTGTCTTTGGTTCGGCGTTCTTCACCGACATTATTGGTATCTCAGTTTCTCCGCACCGGCTATGAGCATATCTTGACAAAGTACAGGTGTGCATGCTATTTTCGGAGCGTTTGTAATGGGACTTGTTGTGCCTCGTGAAGGTGGTCTTGCAATCGCATTAACTGAAAAGCTGGAAGATCTAGTCACCATCTTATTCCTACCTCTGGCAAGTGTATTCTTCCAGAGCACTCGTGACCTGACCCGACCGAAAGTATTTCACGTTGTCTGGATTAAACACCAATCTCAAACTCCTCGACAATGGCATGACCTGGGCGTACACGATTGCTATCTGCACGCTGGCTTTCGTAGGCAAATTTGGGGGCTGTACTGTCGCAGCCCGTTATCTTGCTGGGTTTAACTGGCGCGAATCGAGTACCATTGGTTCATTGATGAGCTGCAAAGGGTATAGGTTTCCTTTGTATAACTTCTGTGTTGACAAGCATGCTTTAGGCTAGTCGAGCTGATAGTGCTCAACGTAGGTCTCTCAGCTGGCATCCTGTCACCTCAGGTGTTCTCGATGTTCGTTCTTGAGGCTTTACTGTTGACATTTATGACAACTCCGTTGGTCACGGCTCTCTATCCGCCTGACAAACGGGTTCGCGCGTCCGCAACTGGTGCCAACTTCAATAACGTCAACGATATGGAAGAACGCGCGGCAAGAGAACGGTGGCGAAACCTTCATGATGGAGCGCGCACGCGATTTACCTTTGTACTGGATAAACTCGAGCATCTGCCGGGAATGATGGCAATGGCACAGCTCATCCAACCTCACACCCCTCCAACAACATTGACTAGGCGCCAATCGAAGTCAAGTTCAAGCACTGACAGTCTGATCATCCAGCCCATCTCTATTGAAGCATTGCGTTTGATGGAGCTTTCCGACCGCGTTTCAGCAGTAATGAAGTCCTCCGTATCCGAGTCCCTTGTTGCTTCGGACCCGTTGCTTACTATCTTCCGTATGTTTGGTCGTCTGCATGACCTCCATGTCTCGCCCGCCATCAGTATTGTCCCATTCGACGACTTTGGGAATAGCATCGCCCAAACAGCTGACAGTAGCGAGTCAGATATGATCGTCGTACCGTGGCTGCCCTTCAACACAAACACTCATTCCACGGTGGATGGTCCAAATCCAACTCACGGAGTAGCAGAAACCTCGCGAACTCCCGGACTCCATTCAAACAATCCATTCGACGCATTGTTCAAATCAGCATCATCAGGAGTCCACGATAAATCTGCATCTGCAGTACACGCAAGTTTTGTCCGTAGCGTCTTTATGGCTGCAAAAACAGATGTCGCTCTCTGGGTTAATCAAGCTTCACATGCAGCTGGCGGCAGTAAACAGCACATATTCCTTCTATTCTCCGGCGGACCCGACGATCGAATGGCGCTCGAGTTTGTTTCTCAGCTATGTGCAAGAAACTCAGAACTGAGTGCAACGATGCTCCGTCTAGTCAAGAAAGAGGTAGATGCGCCGTTGATGCAAACAGTGGAACCAGCACATCTAGGAGAGAAGACCCCTGAGGCTCATAATTTAACGGTGGCTTCGGTGCGTGTCTTCGTTACCACATATAGCATCGTTCATTTTGCGTCTATGCAGGCAAACGCCTTCCCTGATACAGTTTATGGTCACGTGAACACCGAGACACGCTTGCAATCTGACACAGCAGACAACATCGCATGGGCCAAATTCGCTGCAGTACATCCTACCGATGCCTCGTTGACTCTAGATTCGGACCACAACACCAATACCATTGAGGCTCGGGAATTGGTCTCACCTGTTCCCCTCCACGCAGCGATTCATGAAGTAAATGCATATGGACAATCTCATCGGCACACCCGTGTCCTGGTTATCGTGGGGAGATCGCGTCGTTTAGCTGTTGAAGACCACGCAGGAGAGCTGAAGGAGCTGGGGGCGGAGTATGGCAATGTTGGAGCGGAAGTGAGGAAGACAATGGGTGATGTCGCGACAGCGTTCCTCATAGCGGGAGCTGGCGACGGACTTCTCGTGCTCCAAGGAGTGAATGTTGCAGATTAATGATAGCGCCAACTGGATTATGACTTGATGAACTATTCATTGCTTTGCGTTAATGATTAATAGCTACTTGTCGTTATCTTATCTTATCATGATCGTGATTCCCTTTCAACAAGCCACGACAAGTTGATCGCAGCCTCAGAGGCTGGAAGTGAGAGACCGGATAATATGACTCGGTGCTCGTGATACAGTATATCGTAGTTGAACAGAAGAAGTTGAACGTCATTAGCTCTCTTCCGCCCCATGTTTCCTCTTTTTGTGTCTGTGTAGAGACGAAGGATCAGACGTTGTGTAGTCGCAAGTTTCAACAGGACATTGAAGCGGTCGGTAATTCGTGCTTGATTACTAGGTCAGCAAAGTTCTTTTTAACAGGTCATGAAACACACTGAGTTCTAATATGCGTTTCGAGGTTTGATTTTTGCAGAGTTTTGTGGCCGCATTCGGGGTAAGGGCACGAGTACATGCTATTGGAGGCAAGGTCGTCTGTAAGCCGATTCAAACGCGGCAATTAAGCAATGGCATACAAGTCTTCTTTGTTCTTCTTATGTGTCAGCATGTGGCGCGGCAAATCCGAAGAACGGCCAATAGAAGTCCCGCAAGTTGGGCACGTAGTTCGTCGGTGTGATTCTGGTTCTGGGCTCTATGTGCAGAGGTCACGAAAGAGGATCAGACTGAACAAAAACCTACCATATGGTTGCTTGGGCCAGAATAATTGCTGTAAGACATGACTTCGAGTCGAGGACGCGGAAAACGGTGGCAGTGAATGTGAGTTGGAAAGGTGGGGTCGCTAGACAGGTTTTAAACCCGTTGGATCTTTAAGTTGAAGGAAACGAGCGGAGTTATAGGGCAAGGCTCCCTTAGGCGAACAAACAGCGGTTGCAAGCAATCGTGATTTCGCCACGTGGGGGCACAACGGTCGCTTTGACCGCACGATACATTTCATTGAGCCTGCGACGAGTTCCAGTCAACTTGAAAACACATTCGAGGTACCTTCATGTTGAATGGGACGTTCCCGGTATGCATATTGCTTGCTGCTGCTTTCAGAGAAAGGAATAGTTTCGGAGATGTCGGCATACAAAGGCATACGGCGTTCTTGTTTTGCGTTATCGATGGCCGACACAACTGGACAACTAAGGCAAATCACACGCGCCGCCGCTCTGTTAGCACATTCCTTTTTGAGTGAAATATCAGACCCGCCATTGTAGGATTGGCGTCAGCCCATCGACTGACCCTTTTTCGATGGCTTCCCAAATTGGCAGGAGGGTTGAAGTAACCAGGGTTCGACTGCCTCATGGTGGGTGCATGGGTTGAGGTAGTTTCGTTGCAACGCTGCCAAGGACTGCATTCACTCCAATGCGCATCTGGATCTCTTGCAGGGTAAGCGTCTTTGTATTGGGCTTGAGACATAGCGTAGAAAGGCGATAATTCTGTTTCGTTCCAGAACTTCGTCTTGAGCCAGCCTGGCATTGTGGTGGCACTTCTACTTTGCACATCGCCTATCATTCTGTGGCAATTGACCCGGCGTCTCTCTGTGAGTCGCGTGCTGGGTTCAATTTGGCCACGCCAGAGGAATGTCACATATCGAAGTCGGGAGGAAGAGGATGCCTATTGGGAAGCTGCGAAAAAGTACGGACACCGTTTACACTCTTCCGATGCACATTTCGTGTTCTCGCGAGGGACATGCAGTCCCATCGACTTTCTTTCCTATGTTCCTGCACTGTTGCCGCTTTACCGTCAGCAGAAGAAATCAAAATTCGACACAAGCTATGAGATTTCGCTGCGTACTATATCCAAGTGGCATCGGATGGTGTTTGCTGGACCGGTGAGTGGTGTTATACTGGTCTCCGCACCTGAAGAAATGCGTAGCGTCATCCGACCATCTCTCAAGCCTCCCAAATGAGAAAACACTTGAGCACAGCTGATAAGCGAGAAATTCATCGAATTTCTCGTATGCTCCCTGACGAGCAAGTATTTGGGAGAAAGGCGAAGAGTTGGACTCCAAAGTATCGCGATATATGGCGGAGACGGCTGGCAAGGACGGACAAGGATGTCTCTGTCTTTTTTGAGTGAAGCGATTTGGTGCAAGTTATTGTTGATGTAATTGATCCGGGTTACCATTTTTTTGCTTCCCTCCAGGCGTAAACTTGTGCCTTTCACTTCGTCCAGGCTGGCTCCATGCGCCGAACAACTATTTTCAGAGCTGCTACTCAATGAAGCTGACGCCGCGGGCCGTCCCGGTCAACTCTCATGTCAGTCGGTGCTTGGGATGTAGAGGCCTTAAAGGAGCAGCATGACAACGGCACAACTACCTCTTACCACCATGACTCAGTCACTCCCCTTGAGTCCCTTCACGGTTTCCCTAGTTATTGCGGTGTTGTGGCTAATTGTCAAACTTACGAATGGTTTAAATCGCCGTCGTGGCACTGCTGGGACAACAATTCGAGGGCCGAAGAACGATAGCTTTATCTTTGGAATGACCCGACGAATTGTGAAGGCTGCCGATACTGGGCTTCTATTTCAAGAATGGGCAGAGGAGTATGGGCCTGTTTATCAGATCGCCGCCCCTTTGGGAGCCAAGCGGCTTGTTCTATGCGACCCAAAGGCAGTCAATCACTTTTATTCTATGGAAAGAAGCGTCTACGTAAAGACCCAGCTTGGTCGCAATGTCATCGCAAACTTGGTGTGTTCTCCGTCGCTCTATGTACCGATTTCATGCCCAACGGACTGTAGTTTGGTCGTGGTCTACTCTGGGCTGAAGGAGACAGTCACAAACGGCAAGTTTCCCTCAGAATGGCTAGTAATTATGATCAACTTGAGACTTCAGCCAACGCAAAGCATTGACTCCTGCCTTCAGCAACGCAGCTATTCGGCGACTAACAGATGTGTTCTATGACTCTGCATACAAAGTACGTTACTCATGTCGTATCATAAGGCTCAAGTGAGTCTAATATTCCTCTCACAGCTCAAAGGCCATTGGGATAGAACGCTGGATGAATCTACTTCTGGAGAGGGTGCTGTAATCGATGTCGAGCATTGGTATAGCAGTTTCCAGTTAACACGGCTTGCATTTTAACCGAGCCTCCAGGGTGAACCGTGTCGCGTATTGGAATCAATTCTTCCTTAAAACATCCATTGACCGAACAATAGCTTGGATAGCATCGGGATCGCAGGGTTTGCGCATGACTTTGGGACTCTCGACGGGAAATACTCCGCCGTCGCAGCCGCATTCGACGGACTTTCGTTTGACGGCGGCCTTATAACCAACCTGCTATTTCTTCTTGGCCTCCGCCTACCATTCCTCGCTCGCCTACCCTCTCAACGGAATCGTATCACCCGCAATCTTCGTCTGACGATGAGCGAAATCGCCGACCAGCTGCTGGAGAAGACAAGAAAAGAGAAGAAAACCCACATCACAGACGAGACTATGGATCGATCGGTTATTGGTCTTTTGCGTGAGTCTCCACCAGTCGAACTTGGTGTTCGTTAACTTGAGATTGCAGTTAAGGCCGAGAGCGACGATGCCGAACTGCATATGGATCCCGTTGAAGTCCTTGCTCAGATGGCAATTCATTCTTTACAGATCGTGAACATCGCGCTTATCGTGTTCTCAGAATGTTTTGCTCTTGGCCGGCTACGAGACCACATCAAGTAAGCTCATCCAAAGCTCAAGCGAATGATTCTGACCACCTCTGCTAGTTAGTCTTACCGTGCGCTTCGTCATCTCTAACTCAATACTTTCTCATTGCGAGATTAGTGGGCATTGATTGAACTCGCTAGGCAGCCACAAAAACAGGCACAACTTCGTGAAGAGCTCATGAAATTCGGTTCGTCTGACCCAACCTGGGACCAGCTTGTATCCGGACTGTCATACCTCGATGCTGTCGTCTTGGAGACGCTAAGACTCCATCCTCCGCTAGCGGAAACCACCCGAGTCGTATGTCCCAAACCCTCACAGTCATGTCCTACTTAAGCCTTTAGGCGGATGTAGATGATATACTCCCCATCAGCGAACCTATCACATTACCAGACGGCGAGGTCGTTGATAGCATTGTAGTTGCAAAAGGGACACTAGTGACTGCTTCCATCCGATGCATGAACCAGTCAGAGCGATTCTGGGGACCCGACGCTAAGGAATTCAAACCAGAACGATGGCTGACGTTGGAAACGGACCCGCTCCGCGCAAAGGAGATCACAGGACACCGACACCTTATCACCTTCAGCGAAGGTCCGAGGGTGTGTTTAGGAAAACAGTTCGCACTGGCAGAGTTCAAGGTTTGCTGTTCTTTTGCCCGTCGAACAAATGAGTGACAGGAGATTTAGGCCGTCCTTGTGGTCTTGATTCGCAACTTCATGTACGCATTTCCTGGTGGTCCTGAAACGGAGATTGCGGCTCATAAGTCGATTATTCCCCGACCGAAAGTCGCTGGCCAGCCTGGGGCCAACGTGCCAATGCTTGTGAGACGCGTAGATTGACTTGTTGTTGTTGTTGTTGTTGTTGTTAGATCCTGTTATTTGGCCTCTACGCTATGTATGGTAGCCATTTTCGGACTACTACTATTCATGGTGTTCGGCTTTCATCCGAAAGGTCTTGCGTCTTTGGCCAGCGTTGGTAAGTCGTCTTCGTCCTCCGCGTCGATGTTATCAAGTCGAGGACCTCGTCTCCTTGCAGCGCGTTCTGGTCGCGTGGCTTGTCGAGTGTGCGGTGTACGGCCTTGTTGTCGTCTCGCTTGCTCGTGGGCGGTGCAATGCAAGAGGTAGTGCGCTACCGTCCGGCGGCAGCATGGACAGATTGGTGAGTCCGCTCTGTTGAGATGTCGCTTGGCTTAGTCACAGGTGTGCAGTGCCCGGTTCGCAGCTGCAGCAGGATGACCGCGTATGATTTCTGGACGGCGGGATATAGGCTGAGATACGACCCCTTGGTTATCTTGGGGTCGTACTGCATCGTCTGCTTGTACCGCTTCGACTTGTTCCATTTCTCGCTGATTTTGACCTTCCTTCTGGCGTCGAGTGCTTGTTTGACCGCTGATTTGCTGAGCGGGAGCGCGGGCCGATATGCCTGCGGGAGATCCTCAACCGCCGTCGCGTCTCCACTCGCCGCCTTTTTTTGCCTCTTCGTCCGCGCGCTGATATCGACGTGGCCCGGAGCCCATCGTATTGACTTGCGTAACGAGTTTTACGTGTGATATCACCGGAATAACATGCCGAGCACCATTGACAGCTCAATATATGGGCAGATCAAAAGCGCAAGTATGGCCCAGTCCTGCTTGTGGACCTCACGGGCAAGACGGTCATGGTACTCAATACTGGGCTGGGTTTCGAGGCAGCAAAATATTTTGCATCGATGAAGCCTGCTCGACTGATTTACATTCAAGCTAACAATTGACTTGAACTTTGCAGTCCTCAACGTTTTTTTGGTCCGTGCCCTTGTAGGCGATTGGGTGATGCGCCAGTCAGTGTAGTGGCGGTAAACCCGGGCTACTGCTATTCAGAGCTTCAACGCAACCTCCCGTTTTTCGTGAAATTAGCCGATCGGCTGATGGAAATTACTATGGCCTTGCCTGCAGCCGTTGGCGGCCAGCATATCGTTTGGGCGGCAGTCGCACCGGATGGCACTGTGAAAAACGGCGACTACGCTTCGATGTCAGAGGTTCGAGAAGTGTCGGATTATGCGTTAAGCAAAGATGGGCTTGCGGTTGAAGCGCGTGTTTGGTAAGTCTCTCTCCCAGGACATGAAGCTTGCGTTGATACGAGTTTTCATAGGGACGAGCTACTGAAGATATTGGAGAAGGCGGATAATGCGGTTCCTGGGGTAGTGGAATTGTGTCTGAAGTAATCAGTTTGCAGAGTTGCAAGTAAGGTTGGTCATGATGACGGTTGTTACTGAGTGCGATATACGGATCAAGTTGTTCTGATGGTCAAGTTTGCTAGCGGTAAAGGGTTGTTTACATTTATTGCTTGAACTATGCAACGGTCTTTATTACGCTAGCCACTCCGCTTTATGCGCCTGAATGTAATCCGCAAACTTGGTTAGCTCTCGACCTGTGTACTTCTTGAAGTTCCCGACGTCCCTCTGATACTCCGCCTCCGAAAAGCCTGCCTTTGCCTTGTCGAAAGCACCCAGCAGATAATCGATGAGGAAGGCGGGTATACCATTGCCAGACAAAACCTCGGTAAACTGCGCAGGGCTAGAGGGAGTCGTATCGATCTCTCTGCCCGTAACCGACTTGATGACTTCCCAACTCTCCTTTGCCGTGCGTCGCTCCGGACCGTATAGGTATATCGTCTTCTTCCCATCAGCTGGTCGCTGAGCCAACACTGCGCCACCCACCAGAGCAATGTCTTCTGGTGCAATATTGTCGAAAATGGAATTCTCGAAGACGATTGTCGCTCTGGCTGGCGTAGAGGAGCCGTTGAAATACGTTTTGAAGTAGTTGCTGGCAAACCAGGCAGGCCGCAGAGCCGTGAAGTGAGGGAAACCGATGTCTTCGATGTTGATTTCGACCTGGGCATGAGCATAGGGGATCCAATTCTCGCGTGGGATGGCCCGCATTTCGTCACCTTCCGTCCCAACGTTGTAGCTCGAGAGGAACACGACATATTCAACTCCAGCGTCGCGCATGGCCTGAAGGCTGGCACGGGTGAAGTCGGGGGTGTAGATAAGGTAGAGGTATGCTGCTTTGGCGCCAGAGTGGGTGATAGCAGTGGAAACGGATGCTGGGTCGCTGAGATCAGCTTGGATACGCGCAAAGTTTCCGGTTTTCTCGACGTCAGCTGGGATTTCGTCGATGGGTTTAGAAGTGTCGCGCATGGCAAGCCAGACTTTGGCGCCACGTCGCTGGGCCTCGAGAGCGACTTGGCCTCCGATAGTACCGGTCGGTCCGAAGACGATAACGTTGTTGTAGGTGCGAGACATTGCGAAAAGTGTTTGTTTGTTGCTTCAAGGAGTCGACAGGGTGCGCATTTTATATCGCTGCAGTCCACAAGAAGTTGAGAGATTAGCCGCTTTGATCATCCGTCTCGTCAATGCAAAGAACAAGGTCAGTAGATTCCCCAGACATCGGCCGTGGTTGGTAAGAATGAGAAGGACGTTGATTGTCATCATGCCAGACAACGTTCCCACGAGGATCATCTTCAGTTCGGAGTCCACCAGCCCACGGCAAGCGATATGCCCGAAAATGAACAAGAGAATCCGGGCATTAGCGCTCTTCGTCGATAGTCATGCGAAACTGTCATTGCACCTTAGGAGCAACTGGGAGTTTCAATCTACAACTGTGTCTGGCTGTCGACACACAACTTGAACTTTGTTCTTCAATCAAGCATTCATTGTCGCTGAAGCACAGTAGTCCCTGGGTCGAAACTTCGGACGTGCACGGTGGTCGAAGGAAAAAAAACTCTCCATGAAGACACGACGTGTCAATCTAACGTGTGCCAGCTTACCAACAACTGTCGCCAATCTGCAGGCCGCGGCTGTCCTTTGTGTGTAACGTCAACGGTGGAATTTTCGCCGTTCAACCATTGCCCACCTCAATATAAGAAGATGCACAGATTGAACGAAACCCTCAATCCGACCGAAAAATGCCTCGCAGCTACGACAACGTTATCGTCTTTGGTCCAACTGGCACAATTGGCGGCCTTGTTGCGCGGGAGGCTGCCAATCGCGGAGCCAAAGTCTGGCTTGCCATGCGAAATACCTCCAAGGCCATTGCCGAAATCCCCTCCAGCGTCGAAATTTCTGATACTGTAGTATTTTACTCAATTCGAATGCCAAAAATGGCGTGACATTTGATACGAAAATTTGAATTCAAATTATTGCCTAATTGGGAAGTTCTTGGCGCCGGAGGCGCCCGGAAACGTCATAAATTACCTTTTTGGGACACAAATTTGAGCAAAACGGTGTGACATGCGAAAAAAATTCGAATTTTATAGCAAGTGTGACGCGTGACATCCGAACTGAGTAAAATACTACAGTAACTTCAGTCGCATACAGGCTGATCTCAGCGACCCAGCTTCTGTCTCTAATGCCATCATCCATTCTGGCGCGAAGGCTGTCTACCTCTACCTCATCGACGGGAGCACCGATTTCAGCAGGGCGTCACTCCAAGCCATGCGCGATTCTGGTGTAGAACACGTCGTCTTCTTATCGAGCTACACCATCAGAAGCGAGGGGAAGGTCTTGCGAGCCATCACCCCCGACAACAACCAATGGATCCCGTACGCTCATGCTCAGGTCGAGATCAACATCGAGGACATTGGGTTTCCTTACTTCACTGCATTGCGACCTGCCTTCTTCGCTAGCAACTCGTTCAACCATTATTTCGACAGTTCAGTCACACCGCCTAGGGCGACCATCATATTCGAGGACGCCATCTTCGATAACATTGCACCGGAAGACATTGGCGCTGTTGGTGGTGCCGTGTTGGTGGAGCGTCCCTCTGATGGCAAAGAGACGATATACTTGTGCGGACCGGAACTCCGGACTGTTAAGGAGAATTGGGAGACTATCATGGCGTTCACAGGACGAACGGACATTGACATGACTCCGATTTCTCCTGCGAAATTCCTACAAGCTCTGGATGCGACAGGCCTGCCAAGTTCACTGGCGAACGGCCTACTAGGGACGCTGGAGGAGATGAGGAACGGATTCCAAGAACCAGAATACCAGATTGGGGTTGCGAATGTTGAAAAGTATACTGGAAGAAAGGCAACCAAGTTTGTTGACTACCTTGAGGCTCATAAGGCTCAGTGGCAGATCTGAAATTGGGATTGATGGTTCTTGTACGAGAAATACATAGTTATAGAGTTATATGCTTTGGGCTAATGCTGTGATCTAAGTGCAATCAGATACTTCTACGGCAATATTCTCGTCTCAACTGATTGTCGACCTTGTCTAAATAATATGCGCCAGGCCAAACATCCGTTATTAAGCCAGAAGGGGAGTACGACACGGCGTTGCGGTGTTGTTCTCGCAGCTGTAAGCGAAATCACTATAATTGATAGAACCGGAAATAATAACGTGACTAGTACCAACCTTGAGACTGCGAGAAAACTCGTGGCAAGACACGACTTCCATCCTCGTCAGGCGAGAGAGTAGATCCAGTTTGTGTTGCATCTCAGTGGTGTCTCCCACAATCCTGAGTGTGAAGAAACTCGCTGCACAGCCGCCGCCGAAAGCGTACATACTTGAGCGTTTGCCACTCAGAGTTGCTGGAGGAACCGAGGCGATGAGTGACGCAAGGCAGGTATAGAGTGAAGCGGTATAGAGATTGCCAAGACGGCGAGCACATGCGAGTGTTGGGTCAACCTTTTTAATGAAAGACTCGCTGCCCAGTTGAATGAAAGCCGTTTCGGTAGTTTTATCCCATATTGAAGGCGGAGGCTTAACATCCGAGGAAGGAGACAAATGAGGTGCGGCGAGGAAGTCGTTAAAAAGGGCCCGCGCATACCCTTTGATGGTCTGTTTGATGTAAGGGGTGTGGAAAATGGCATAGTCCATGTCCTCCAAAGAGAACACCCCAGGGTAGTTTGACGACACTTTCAGTTTTCGCTTGTAGGCGGAGTAGGACGAGTCCAATGCCGTTGAATAGGCCGCAATTGACCCTGGCCCATCCACTTCAGGATACTCCGAGGCCATGTTCGGTTTGTAGAAGTCGTAACTGTCCGCCATGTAGGACCCGTGAATGGCTATCGTTTCCTGATTAAAAATTCTTATGGACAGATGCAAGGCTTACAGTCGAATATAATCGGTGCGTCCGGTCCAATTAACATTGCGCAGGCTCCAGCACCACCCGCAGGACGAGCAGGGCCATCAGCATAAATTGCTATGTCAGCCGCAACAACGATCGCGTTTCTTCCATCCCAGGAGCTGCTTTCTATCCAGTTGACGGCGTTGAAAAGGGCGGCTGTTGATCCGTAACACGCGTTCTTCGAGTCGATGCCCTCGATATCGAAGTTGCCCGAGTCAGCAAAAAGTCGCATTAGCGTCGTTTTCACAGATTTAGATTTGTCCACGAGGGTCTCAGTTCCAACTTCTAGCCACCCGATGGTAGTGGGATCGATGTGGTAGTTGTCTAGAAGTCCCGAGACAGCTAAATGGAAAATATGACAAGGCAATGAGGAGGGTTATCGGTTCAGGCACACCACTGAGGGCAAATGAGTTGATATCTTCTCGGTCGTCTACGAAGGCCATATACTGCTGTCCAAGGCCAATGGTGTATTTCCCCTTGGCGACCCCATTGTACTCTTCGAGATCCGCCAACGAAACACACTGCTCTCTGGTCAGTAAGATCATCTTGAGCGGTGAGCGACACAGACTCGTTTGGGTAGATACACTTCCATTGCTAATATGCCAACGTTTTTGGCGCGCAGCATAGTGGAGTATGGTTCAAAAAACATGGTGCCCATCTGGTTATTATATGAGTCGAGTGAAGCACAAGATCGTACGATGAGAACAAACAAATCTTTACATTGTCGATGGCATGATTGTGGATTGCATGAGTCATCAATGTGCATCAATTGCCGTGCAGACTCTTTATAGTCGCAAGGAAGACGGGGTGGGAGGCTAGATTGGTCGAAGGTACATAGTAGTTGGCCGAAGAAGGTTCTCAACGGTGCGAGAATCGGAAAGATACGGAAGAATATTGCTTCCATCCGAAACAGTCCGCTGTGTCCCAGACATTTTTAGCCCGAACTTGAATGGGCTCCTAATGAATGGATTCCTCGCAGGATCGTATCTACCTCATCATCGCTTCTCTCTGCATCAGAGGCTCCATCTTCGCCTGAATCACTGGCTTCATGACGATGATTGGGATTTGGCACAAGTAAATCGTCTTCTTCGCCGGGAACGAGCTCTTTGACGCATGAATAACCAAACAAGAAAAGGGAGAGTATCTGATACTACCTTTCTGCTTCCTGCTCTCCTCCCAGTTACGCTCCAGCTCATCCATAAGTTCCTGTTGCATTCTTTCAACGTCCTCAGAGGTCGTACATCTTCTGTATTTCTGGATAAAATGTCTGACATAAGGGTTAGTGGATGCTCCACCAAGAAAGAAGCACCGACCGATTGACTTGCCAGAACGAACCACCCCAGCCAAACCCGCTGAGTAATCTTTCTGCATACGAGTCGAATCCAGTGATGTAAAATGCTGCCGCTAAAGCTTCAACACAGTTGAGACGCCAGGGTTTGCCGTAGTTTGTTGGATTGGTAGCGAGGAGGTAAGGGACTATTAGCCATCAAGTTAGTTGCAAGTGACGGGTTAGTCAAGACGTACGCAGTCTTTCGTGGGGACTAGCAATTTTATTGAATGGGACATCGTCCAAACGAGCCCAAGAGCATTCGACGACGGCCAGTCCGTTTGCAAGGACAAGATCGCGATCAGCAGGGCTGATTACTTTAGTTCCCTTGGGTCTGTGTGAGCAATGGTCAGCAAGCTGGTAAGGAGGTTAAGAATTGGACGCTCACGAGACAACGATACCTCTAAACCGCGAACCGACTTTGAGCTCTTTAATGAGCCCTAGACGCGACAGCTTTTTGCCTGAACATCGGCGAGGGTCACAGTGGTCAAAATCCTTCGGTTTAGATTAGTTATGCAGTGAAGATGGAAGAGATACGCACCCACATGGCAACTGGAACCTCAATCTTTACAACTTGCTCTTCAGCATCAGAGTCGTTATTTTCATCCTGGTTGGTATCGCCATCGATGGCGCTTTCGGGACGAAAGTCGGAGTATGCTGAACGGATAGACCGCCCACGACCACCGCCGCGCTTGGCTCGGGAGGTTGAGGCTGGTTTCTTGCCCATCAAGGGAAACGACAAGCGTTCGTGCGTGACATCGACATTACGTTTTCCTCCAGTCGTTCTCCGGTAAATGCAGCCAACAACAGTCAGATGTGGATTGCAGCCCAGGAGACCGCTAAGGTCTTTTCGTGCCAACAAAGACTACTACAAAGGCATGTCCAAACCTTAGCCATCAGAATATCTAACGAAAAACCAACAGGCAATAGACAAGCTGCCCTTCCTGGGCAACGAACTGGCGCGCCCGGAGTTCATGTCAAAGGGCGGCCAGCGTATAAACTACTTGACTCGAAAGTTAGGGTGTTTGTGGCTCCACCTATACAGGACATTCTCGACTCACCAGTGCGATCTCATTTACTCCTGCTCAACTTGGGCTGTAACACAAGTTTAGCTAAAACCCTACGTCGAAGCCCGTGCACGCCCACGAGCGAAGCAGGTTCTCTTCAACGACATGCCTGACGGCGGACTGAACGCTGCCTACTTTCTCGAAACTGCGCGCAAATATCACTTGGAAAAATTTAGAGAGAAGCAAACGCCTGACAAGCAAGTAACCACCGCGCCAGCATCACCATAAATGCGATTCTATGTTATATTTTACAATGCAAATCCAGCAACCACCTCGAGAAAGCAGGAGAAATCGTCAAGTTCGGAACGGAGAGCCTAATTGCTCGCCGTTTTTTGTGGGTGTTTGGAGGCTCAAACGGCTGCGGTGGGGAAGGGGTCGGATCATACGTAGCCGTTTGGGTGTTGATGCTTCAGCGTCAGTCAAAGACGCGTCAACCGCAGAGCTATTCCGTTTGCTGACGTTTAGCAACACAGCGGAAAGGTCTTTTTGCCCGTTCCTAATAAGATAAGGTTTAGTTCTGATGTCGGAATGAAGTAGGCGTCAACGCACTCTTCCTTCAGTGTTCGACAATGCTGTTTCAATTTGTTATATTTGCTTTTCAGTGCTTTCAACGCGTCTGCCGCCTCGATTGCGTCCATCTCGGCACTTTGTCTTAATTCTTGATTCTCTTCTTCCAGTAGACTCTCCCTATACAGCGCGTCTTCTTTGGCCACAACAAGGTTGTCGCGCTCGTTCACCAGCCTTTCATTATCCCTCTCTAGGGCCCGGATAAGTTTCTCTGCCGCCGCGAGTTCCTTGCGTAGCGACGCGGAAGATGACGAGGGCTCGACATAGACGCGTCGAACAGAAGGCAGGATATATTGGTGAAGCCTTCGGGGAATGCAGTTGAGCTGGGGGCTAACACAGTTGAAGGGCTCGCGACATGTCGGGCAGTTGGACATGAATCCAACGTCGTCGTTGCTCGTTGCTGCAACATGGTTGGTGAGGCAATCGGTGCAGTAGACGTGACCTTTGACGGTTGAGCCAAGTGGCAGGGTGAGGTAGTGGTAAACAGACCGCAGGGTATGGAGACTGGGTTCTTGAATTTGGAGAGACAGATGGAACAGGACATCTGTTCTGAATCTGAGTGGTTCGAGACGCGTTTGTTGAAACTCGGGTCACAAGTGTGACATCTCGTGGATCTCCCCAACACCGAAGACAACCCAAATTGGTCCAACGGTTGCATTTCATGTCTCCTGCCTTAATGTCTCCGCCTCCCGGGCGGACGACACCTATTCGCTCATCCTCAAGAAGCTCAATACGGTCAGGTCGAGCCAGCCCCGCTGATGATCCAGGTTAGTCTGCTGCGTTGTGGGGTACTGAACAACTTGCTAATATCATTTGTGAAGTCGCCGTCCGTAATCAGGTTCGTTCGCGATTTCGTCTTCCAAGACAGACAGTGCTTGAATTTTCCCAGGTCTCTACACTCAAACACAACATCCGCCAGCAACAAGCCCAACTCTCTTCTCTCGAAAATATCATTCGAAGTGGGCCACGACCGTACCCAGCAGAGCTGAACGACAATGTACCCACTTCTCCATCTTCACCGCCCAACCAGACGACGCCAACAAAACGCCGATCAAGCTATGAGGTACTGCAAAGCCTTGCTGGTCCAGATTCTGGCCTTCCTCTTCCAAGACGGGATAATTCAGCACCGTTGGAGGATTTCAAAGAAGGTGTACCAATGAGTTTTGACGGCCCCTCATCTCCTCCAAAGCGTATTGGCAGTCCTACAAGGACCTTGAGTCGTGTGTAATGACTTTTTTCGTTAGGTTCAATCACTGAATTCATTTCCAATAGGTATACCCGTTTCCTCAGTTGGTATGACTTCCGTCTGCCGTTGGCTCCACATTTTTACGCGAAGCAGGTAACGCACGGGCTCTTGCCGACGAAGGGCTTTCCCAGCGAGCTTCCACTTCAACCCTTCTCTCGACCATCTCCTCCTCATCTCAACTGTCAATTGATACATCTGCAACGTCCCCAACCTCGTCACTTGGGCTTCAGCCGCCATCACCAAATCCCAACAGCCGTCGACTATCTCTCACGCCTGGCGGCACAACCAAAGTGCTTGCCGACCTGCAAACCGGCGTTCTCAATGCGCGAAATGCTCTTGAAAACACCAAATCCCAACTACGACTGTCGCAAAGGAGTGTCGCTCAGCTTACGCGACAGACTGAAGATCTCAAGGAAGCCCGAGAAAGATTGCGTTTAGAGAATGAGGGACTCAACAATGTGGTTGCGCGGAAAGAGCGCTTATTACAAGAGGTACTGTGTCGTTTTCGTGGCTCTTACAGTATTCTTAATGTGACTTAGGTGCTTGAACGCGCTCGGAAAGCCGAGGCAGAGGCAGCTACGCTGAAAGCACAATTAAAATCCGAAACTTCGACATCGAAGAAGACGATACGGGAGATGGAGACAACAGTTTCTGAGTGCACTGCGACTTCCCAAAAGGCTGAGCGGGAATACATAACGTTGCGTGATAGCATCAAGGGACTGGTAGAGGGGTTTAAACGCGATACGGACCGTCTCCGGGAAGAAATGACGAGAAGAGAAGAGAAGGTCAAGCAAGAAGCGGAAGCAATGGGCAAGAAATATCGTCTTTTGCTTGCCGAGGTCGAATCAGTGGGGGGTGGTCGCGAAACAGTCAAGCGTCTAAGAGAAGAGGATTTGGATACTGCAAAGAAGGTGGAAGGAGCTTGGGCAGACGAGATTGCAGCACTTAGAGCGGAGGTGGAGAAGAGTAATCAAGAGAGCGAGGCGGCTAACGCCACGGTACAGTAAGTTTCCTTCCCTCAAACCCTCCAGATTCTGACTTGAGCACCACAGAGAGTTGGCTGGCGAGCTAGCCCGACTAAGGCGGCTGATGCAAAAGGTCCGACCTCTTTCCACCGATGACCGACCTGCCTAAGTCTGCGGTTCTTTTTCACCGGCATACCCATTACCACGTAGATTATTTCTGCATCCTATTCTACAAGCACTGTACATTATTCACGTAAATCGCGCCAAGTACTTAGTCCACCGGGCCATAACCTTACCGGAACCGGATGCCCGAAATCAGAAACACATTTAAGTGTCACAGCTTGAATCTTTTCTTTCCTCCCCTTCGTCTTCTCCACTCCAAAACCCGCCATGGCAGTCATTTCAACACCTATCACCGAGCTCTTTGGTATCAAGGTTGGTGTGTTTCCGTGGGTGGTCATTCGCAAATACTCACCGAACTGTAGCACCCAGTCTTGCTGGCGGGCATGAATGTCGCTGGTTGGCCACAGTTTCTCTCGCTATTACTCCTCGCTGAGCTGGTATATAGCTGGTCCCGAGCTCGCTGCTGCTGTCAGCAATGCTGGTCAGTCTTGTTGATGTTCCGAAACCCGCCTCCTCAACGCCCCTTGTTTCCAGGTGGACTTGGTGTTATCGGTGGATTGGGATACACCCCCAAGCTTCTCAGAGGCCAGGTTAGCACCCAATTACTCGGGCTGACATGTTGAGGTACTGACCACCAACTTGAAACCAGATTCGCGCCATCAAGGACGGTCTTGTCGATAAATCTCTACCATTCGGCGTGGACTTGTTGTTGCCGCAAGTCGGCGGCAATGCGCGCAAGACCAATGTCAGTGTTGCGTCTCAAACGCACTCCAGATTCTTACTTGAGGCTCCTTTAGTACGACTACACAAAGGGACATCTCGATGAGCTTATTGAAGTTTGTTTAAGCTCACTTCGCGAACCCGGGTGTTAACTTGAATAGGTCATCATCGAGGAGAAGACTTCGCTTTTCGTCTGTGCTGTCGGCGTTCCCCCGAAGCGCACGGTTGAGAGACTGCATCAAGCTGGGATTCCCGTACGTGTTATCTTCAATTGATTCGTCATCATATCTTTATCTGGTTAGGTCATGAACATGGTCGGGCATCCCAAACACGTCCCGAAGGCACTTGAAGTCGGCGTTGACCTCATTTGCGCTCAGGCTGGCGAGGGAGGAGGTCACACTGGTGACATCCCCGCCAGTATCCTCATTCCCGCTTGCGTCGATGCAGTCAAGGGCCACAAATCCCCTCTCACAGGCAAACCCGTATACGTCATTGGTGCAGGCGCTGTCTACGATGGCCGGAGTTTGGCAGCCAACTTGATGTGGGGTGCTGAAGCTGTTTGTACGCCCTTTCCCCCCGCCCCATGAAAACCCAACTGATTATATTTACAGGGGTCGGAACAAGATTCGTTGCTTCCGTTGAGGCTGCTGCGCCCAAGATCCACAAGGAACTCATTGTCAGCGCCGGCTATGAGGACGCTGTGACCACACTGATCTATACCGGTCGTCCTCTGCGTGTCCGTCGCTCGCCCTACGTCGAAAACTGGAATGTCAATCGTGCTGCTGAGATCAAGGAACTCACCAGCAAGGGCATCATTCCCCATGAACACGAATTGGAGAAGCATCCCGAGAAATCCATTGAGCGATCGTGGCTTATGGGTCGTGTTTCCTCTGTGTGTTGCATTCTCGTTTTTTCTTAACGGACTACTGACATGAGGGTCTCATAGCTCATCCACGACGTGCTCCCCGCTAAAGTCATCGTTGAGAACATGGTTAACGATGCCGCTGCTATGCTGAACAAGGGCAACGGATATGTAAAAGCCAAGTTGTAGGTCTGTGAGGTATTTATTGGAACCCCGGCTTTTTGGAGGGCGGATAATACTTTCAAGTACATATAGCTAGCTCGGGTTTATTATATTTCTCTTCCATGACAAGTGCTCGATTCGGCCTCAACCTCAACTGACCACACGATAATTGATCGCATCCATGATGTGTGACGCGACGCGTTCGTGACGTTACCCTTCGTGTTCGAGCCACCATGACCACCGGATTCAACGCAAACTGCCACGTTTGTATGTCTGAACTTCCAGTGGAGGTATTTCGACGCCTCGCTGCATGTGGCAAGCCCTGACCTTTGTTGTGCACCATTTTCTGACCACCATGGCAGGTCACTGCTTCTGTCGACCGTGTATAACCCAAATTGTGCGATGTCCGAAACCGCAAAGACGTTGCCCAAACTGTCGGGCCGTAATTCGTGGTGCAGACGATGCGCAACCGATATTCCTCGAAATTGTTGCGGTGAAGCCGATGGCCAGCATGGTGGCCGAAGGTCTAGGCAGGATGGATGCTGACGCAAGGGTGGTGAGCGTACAGAAAGCAGGAAAGAAGCTAGATCAGGTTGCCGCAACAGAAGGCATTGAGAGGGAGGTTTTGGTGTGTTCCCCCCATCTTAATCGCAGCAACAAGGTGACCCCCCTCGTTCGTCCAGATAGAATTACTTCAGGCTATCACGGACTTCAATGCTCGGATTGTCCCCGTGTTTGTCAAGGCTCGCGAACAGGAGGCTGAAATCATCGTGCTGAAGAAGCAGCTGGAGGATGCTCAAACGTTGCGCGACCAGGCCGACCTTGTCTTGCAACTCAAAGGAGAGGCGGCACTGTTACGAGCTAATAACCTCAAGTTGCGTCAGGATTTGAAAGCCTCCGAGGAACAAACAGATCAAGCAGTCAAATTGGTAGCAGAAAGAGCACAAGAGGTCAAGAAAACTCAAGCAAAACTGGACGACATAGAGGTCAGGGGTCAAAGCGAAATTCGACGCTTGAAAGGGCTATTAGAACGAAATGCCGACGATGTATGTTCGACTTTTCTGCTCAAAGTTCTAGCTTCGCTTATACCGATTTAGCGAAACCGAGAGCGGCAAAAAATAGGCACTATTTCAAGTCAACGAGACTCTTTACAACAGCAGCTCGTTGCTTTACAAAAAGAGTTCGAGAGAGTGAGGGAGGACGACGACGACCTAGAAATCGTCCTAGTGAGTGAATCCCGACTCGGTGATATTTATGCATCATCAGAGTTTGTAGGACGACGCGCAAAGTTCGGAAATGTCGGAACCACCACGTCCCACGCAGCCATTGTTGCCCACACCAGGAAGGATGGTCAAGCTTGGCTTCGAGGGCATGCCAAAACCGGGATTTAGTAGTGATTGGCAGCTTGGGCGAGGTACGAAGCGGAAAGAGCGGGAGGAGACAACTACAGTCGGCCTCAAGCAAGGTGGTCTACTGCAGCTTGGCCCGAAGCGGACGATACGGGTCAAAGCGGTCCAGGCCAAATAGATGTGCCAATTTAATTTATTTTGGGTTGCTGCGGCGGTTTACATAATACCCGACGGTCTTGACAGTCTAGTTCGCATCGCCTTCTGGTTTGCGCACTCATGAGAGTATGAGCCTCGCGCTTTCATGGCCGTCGCCACGCAAGAAGGCACGGCGACAAGGCTCTCTGGATGCCACAAGTTCCATTGAACTACCTCTTCCAACTGTTCACAGGCCTACTTCGCCGCGAAAAGTCCACTTCCATTCAATTTCTTCGCGATGGGCAACTATTCGTGATTACGTGAAGCGCACATTAGCTGCACCTCAACCTCCTTCCAACACTACTCTCGTCGAAAACTCCGCCATTGCAGCGATTTCGCTCTCAAAGAAAGACTCACACCAGTTCAGCGAAACGGATGAGGTTGACGAGGTTGTTGTAGACCGTTCATGGTCAGACGACTTTGAGACCGACACCAACTCGGATATTGCAGACACTGCCAGCAGCAGGCACGACACAACTGTCGCCGATTCTGACCCTTCTGATGACCGTGCAACGGGGATTTGGGCTCTTCCTCTCCTTGCTTTCATCCACAGACGTATTTGGCCAGAGGTCAGGCGCTTTTATATGCCTCGCTTCGACCAAGCGGAAGAACAGGCGTACCAGAAGGAGATCTGGAGCCAGGGGAAAAGACCAGCTCTTTGGTAAGTTTTGCTTGGCAGTTAGAATAAACGCCAAATGCTCTAGGGCCTCCGTGTTTTTTCATCGCAAATTGTGTTTTGGCCGTGTTCAGCATACAGGACCCAGTAGTTCTCGCCGACAAGGTTTGTTTCACGCTGACTTAGACTTTTGGTTGCGCTAACACAGAACGCAGATATTTTATTATGGCGTACGTTCAACATATCTGCTAACGTCAGCAGAACTTCTTACTCGTTCACCAGATCTCACCCCTGCTGTCGGTTCCCATCCTTTTCATGTGCGCTTACAACTTTCCCTACGAACGTCCCTTCTTTTTCCAAACCTTCCTCATCATCTCATCGTGGTCATGGTGCGTTGTGGGCATCTCCGTCGTGCGCTCTCATCTCACAATGGTCTAGGCCGTTCTATGAAGTACTCTACGCCTACCTCTGTGGTTTTTATAAGCGGGGCGGTGCCAGCAAAGATGATATTCTATTCACCTGCGGGTCCAAGGACTTTTTGTCAACCTTTTACTACACTTCTGCACTCCAAGCTGTCGCCTTGTTTGGAATAGCCCTCAAACGCCTACCCGCCACTATCGGAGCCGTCGGGTTTCTAATCTTGCAAGTAATTTTTGGATAGTCACAACCTACCGGTTTATGCTGAAACATAGGATTTGTGTTACAATCGTCCCAGTGCGACACGACTATGTGCGGAGTGGGTAGACGGTCTCACATTTTTTTGGCATTGTCATTGCTGACTTGGTTAACTAGATGTTGTAAATTTCGTGATATTCGAATCAGTCCTACTCTATATGCACAGTGAAAAAGAGCAGGTCCGTTCTATACTATCATTTTTTCTTCCTCTCACGACTTATTCAAGTCCTCGCGCAAATTATTCAAGCTCCGTACCCAGCTTAAACTCCAGTTCGAACGGACCTACAAGGCACAGGTCAACGAGCGCCGGGCTGCCGACTCGAAACGCCGATTGACTTCGTGAGTCCCCACATGCAATGGTCTTCGCCGATCTGATCTTCATTAGCTATGTCTTTCATGATAAGTTCCTTCGCTTCTTCCCATAACGAAATTGATACCCTTGAACAAGTCCGCGTTCCACTCAATACTGCATGTACGCATTTCCATCACTTCTCACTGAATCCTCATAACCCATCTATGTAGTGCTCGCAGTTCAGAACATGGCCTCTCGGCCAATTGCACAAGATCACGAGGTTGAATTCAGTGCGTTAGAGGGCAGCCTAAGCATGATGTCCAAAGGTGGGTTTATCGCTTGCTCATTCCAATGCTACATACTGACTTGAGATAGTTCTAAACGACGTTCTCGATTTGTGAGTCTTGACATGCCTTCGCATTCTGTTCAACCAACACCCACAGCAATCGAATGGACAGCGGTAGACTAGAATCACTATCCAAGGTTATTTTCACTTTATAGATTGACTATGTCATCTCATTCACTTTTTTTATAGCCCTATGCTTTTCATAAGGTCTTGAGGTCACTTTTTATTCCACTCAGGCTAGCCGCTGATGCAAGGAATCTGGAATTCGCTACTGACCTGGATATGCGAATTGATGAAGTTGCTCGACGGGCTGCATACCAGGCGATGGACGCTTCACCCGAAGCTATAGCTCAACATCTTCGACAGCAACCTAACAGCGAGGCCGTTGTTGGTGTTGTTGTTGGCGACGAGACACGCTTGAGGCAGATCATCACCAATCTGGCGAGCAACGCATGCAAATTCACCCCAGCAGGCGGCAAACTCACCATTCGAACACGATTGATTGTTCCTAACCCATTGGGAAGCGACCCTCTGTCGACGACAGCTCAAGACGAAATTAGAACAGACCCGAACTTGACAGTTTCATGCCAACCTGTGGAACGCATTGTCGTTCGCATAGAGGTATAGAGTATAGAATGCGATCCTGATCACGTCTCAAAGGGTTTAGGTCAGTGACACTGGCAGCGGTATTCCTCCCAAGGATATGGTCGAGTGTAAACTTTTCTGTGCGACGCTATTGTAATTTAAATCCTCCCCTCCTCTAACTAACACCTTCGATAGCCGCCTTCAATCAGACGGAACAAGGTCGACAACAAGGTATACCGTTTCATTAGTTCATGACATGTTCTGACAATGAGTTAGGTGGTAAAGGCACTGGGCTTGGTCTTGCTTTGGTGCGCCAGATTGTCAAATTAAGTGGCGGTCGACTTGGTTTGCGTTCAAAAGTTGGTGTTGGCAGCACGTTTTGGTATGCAGCTTCATGCACTTCATTCCCTCTCTCTAACAGTCCTAAAAAGGGTGGAGCTTCCTCTTGGCGTGGGTCGGAAAGCAATGGAAGCTGGACCTGGCACGCCGTCCAGTTTGGCTCACGCGGCACCACAATTTCCGGTATCGGTGTCGATGCCAACACATGGCTTGCATCCCAACTCTATTTCCTCGGTGGGGACTGTCGCTGAAGCTGTGGATGCAGCCACCAAAGCCGCATCACAAACCCTCCCTACTTCAACACGGTCGGAATCTGCCCTACATGGGCTAATGGATCAGGGAGGGCGTTTTGAGCTGATGCTTAGCAAATATGATTCCCATTCACCGACTCCTACGCGGACGTTAGGGGACATCTCAACTGGCACGGAATATCCGTTGCCTTCGCCCCCAACCGAGGCTGATCCATTACCTGAACCTGTTCCAGTGCCTCCACCACTGGAAAACACGACTATCGATAGTACACAGGCTAATACTTCTCGACCCAGACAAGCTCGCCCGACATACGTTCCTTTACCAAGTCCGCGACCCTTCGTTTTGGATGACCATTCGACAATACCGTCGATTGTCTCCTCGATGTCACCACCACCGATCGGCCTCCGAGTATTAGTGGTGGATGATGATGCAATGACCCGGATGTTGATGACACGCATGCTGGAACGATTAGGCTGCAGAGTTTCGTCGGCCGAAAATGGGGAAGTTGCTTTGCAAAAAATTCTTGCGGAAGATTCTTCACCAGTGCAGTCGAGCGCGAGCGCTGAACCACCCCCACTGGTCACCGGCGAACCGAAATTTGCGGTTGTCTTCCTGGATAATCAAATGCCGAAGCTATCGGGTGTCAAGCTTGTTGAGCGCCTGAGGGCAATGAAACGCACTGATTTCGTCGTTGGCGTAACTGGCAATGCTTTATTAACGGATCAACAGGTAGGGATTCTTTGGCTTGTTCATAACTTGCAGCTCATTCTTTCAACCCAAGGAGTATCTTGAGGCTGGAGCCGATCAGTGAGTTTTGTTTGATTCCAGTTCCTTTCCTAACAACGTATAGTGTGTTGACAAAACCAGTATTAGAGGGCAGTCTGCGTAAGATGCTAGGACTTGCAGACGCGCGGAAACGAGGGTGTTAGGGTAGTATTTGGGACTAATCACTTGTTGTATCGCATATTTCTTGCTGTATTTTTTTTTTTTTTTTTTGGGGGGGGGGGGTTTAATGCGCCTTCGGATTTTCGCCGAAGTGCCGTTACTGGGCTGACCTCAACCTGATGACGATGGCGGGACGAGATAACCGTTATAGTGGGTAAGCCGTGAAGAGAGTAAACCCTCCCCCCCGACACAAAAATGGGTCTTTGCAGTATCTGCTTTGACCGCTATGTCGACCCCGTGTCGGTCCCCTGCGGACATCTCTTTTGCCGCCTCTGTCTCTCGCGTACAATTGACGCCAATACCCCTCGAGAACGAGAACATTACTGCCCGACATGTAGAGCTGCGTTTAAGATCGGTATTTTGAGCCCTCTTGAGTTGTGTTTTCAATCTCATGGTCGTCACCCTCAGTGACGGTTGACCCTGCGCTCGTTCCAGCTTATTTGAGACCATATATCCTCCCCGCAATCCGACCGCTCTTTATCGACCACCCCGCCACGGAACCAGGTTTGTGTGAACCATTGGAGGTCAACGAAAAGGCAGAACTCGGGGGAGTAATAACTGCCCTGAGAGCAAGCTCAGCGACATGGCGACAAAGAGCTGAAGTGCACGCCGCGGCGAATGCTGGGTTGCTCGGATTTGCAAGGGCGGCGAAAGAGCACGCGATAGGAATGAAGGAGGAGAAGCTGAAGGCCGTCAAGAGATGCGAGTTGTTGAGGAATAGGCTGAAAGACTTTATGTGTGTGTTGGTTGATTCATCCATTCGTGCTGACCAACAGACAAAACATAGTCCAGAAGACGAACTCAACACATTGATGACCGCTGAAATCGACATACCGAGCAGTTTGGGGACGGAAACAGGCCAGGCGTTGCCCGTGTTCCTAATGCAGCCGCCACAAGGGCCATTCTACGATGAAATCACTCCGACATTAGTGGGCAGGAGAGACCCAGTAGTGTTTGGAACCAATGTCATTGCGGCCAATGTAGCGGAGGACGTAAGGGCAAACGCAGAGCGGATGGCCCAGAGTCTACAGCAGCAGCACACTCCCTCGTGACATAGTTGTCCATGTAATCTCTCTCTGAACCTCCATCTGAATCACCTGGCCAAATGCGATCTTCTCGATGGCCGTACGGTCAGCTGCCTTTCTTGTCTAAACATAGATTCGCGCCAGGCCCATAAAATGGCTTCTTCTTCTTCGAGTCGAAGAAGATATGCTCTCCCATCCGATTGTTCCTCTTATACTGGCGACCGTAGCGCTTGCAGTCACAAACAACTCTCCAAGATTGGATCAGGCAGCCGAGCAGCTCTTTCATGACCGATTATACCAAACTAACCTTCGTGGTCCTCGGTGGAGTGCGCGTTGACACTGTTCTATCTACTGATCCTAATTTTCCTCAGCCGGAAACGAGAACCAAAACACGCTTACTACGACGGTGGCAACCGCTCTGCAGATCGCTGGTCTTACGGTACAGACATTGAACACAAGCTTTTCCCGGTACTTCTTCACCCTTCCTTTGATAATATCGAGTCTGATAAGTCATAACCCAGATGGGATCCACGCTGGTGGTCTCTGAGCCTCAAACTCACCGATGGCACGACACTCGGATTGCCTACGACTGGATATTGGCCATATTCCGGTGACTCTGGCTTACAGGGAGTGAATGCCCGTGTTAAGGATGCTGGCTCGTACGCATTATTCCCCAATCAGACTGCCAACGTAAATTCGTTGGACTTGGCTGATGCTAATGGCTCCATCGTGTTTTTCGACAACCCCAGTCCGACCCGCAACTACTCACAGCCAGGATATCAAGTCCTTGGGTCATCGGTACCTACAGCTGCCATCCCTGAACTCGGAAACCTCACCAACCCCCACTGGCAGTCGGCAAAAACGCTCAACTTCACGCATGTCAAAGAGCTCGGAGTTGTTGGTGTCATCGCATCGTGGGTGGACACCTCGGATGCTAATGGCGCATTACAATTCCTGCCAAACTCCGGCGCTCCTGGCAATGGCTCAGTCCACTACGATGTGCCTGGGCTATACGTCGGAAACTCAACTGGCGAGACAATTCGGAAATTAGTGCAGGAGAACAGAGTTCAAAGCGCGACTATTGTCTTGGATGCACCAACGGTGCAGGCCACTACCACAACTGTCATCGGACATCTGGCAGGAAAGAGTGGTTCAAATGACACAGTCATTGTGTACACACACTCTGACGGACCGTCGATCATTGAGGAAAACGGTCCTATTCTTCTGTTGACGATGGCAGAGTATTTCGCTTCCCACCCTCTCAGTATCAGTGTCGAGTCTGTGGTCATGTTGTGCTCTCTACTCGATTACTGATCCATGGCAGTTTTGTTATGACCACTGGACATATATCGGGCGGGCATGTGAATGAGAGCAGTTGGATGGCTGCTCGCCCCGACATTCTCGCCAATGCCAAAGCAGCCGTGGTCTGCGAGCATTTCGGAGCACTCGAATGGAAGGACAATCATAGTTCTGGCAAGCCTGTTTACGAGCCTACAGGACAGCACGAGCCGATGTGGACGATGGTGTATGTCATCGATTATCTTATCTTCTGATCGTAACTGATTGACATCAGCAACTCATCCAGTGCAAGTGACCACTTGCACCAGCTATACCTTGACGCTTTTGCGGGCACTAACGACGCCCTACGTATGGCCATGATTTCACCGCAAACTGTCAACGGCGTGAGGTCACAATGGTACGGCGCTGGTGGCAGCAGCCTCTTGGGGTACTCGACGATTCCCACGGTGGGTATCATTCCTCAGCCAGACTACCTTTGGGCAGCTATGGTCGACGGTGGCTGGAGTAAATTGGACGTGGAGATGGCCATTACTCAGGTCAATGTAATCCTGAAGCTAATAGATAGCATAGACAAGCAGTTTGTTGCAGGGTAGTAAACCAACTTGGAAAGAAGCGTGCCGGCACAAACAGAACAGCGATTCCCACACAATTCCAACGGTGTCTAGATAAAATATTGGCTTATCACGCGACATGGAAGCACGAGCTCGAGAATCTTTCTCTTTAGCTACCACGACCATGTCGGACGAGAAGATCGCTCAGCCTCCAACACCACGGCAAGACTCGTCGTCCGAAAAGGGTTTTGGGAGTAGCAACGAGGTGTCAATTGACCCGGAAGCAGAGAAGAAGCTCTTACGCAAGCTGGATTGGACACTGCTTCCACTTTTCGCCGGTTCAATGGCTGATCTAAGGAATAACGGGCCGTCGGCGCCCAATTAGGAAGACAATGGCGACTGGTCCGGATTGGCAGTGTCGTGAGTCCGTGACAGTCACCCCCTCAGGCTTGTGGTCAACCTTCTCCAGTGTTGCGAGCAGTGGCTTAAGCAGGTATGCAGCTATGTAGCCACATCTCCCACTAGTACTGGCATGCCCAAGTCCCAAAGCTGCCAGTGCTGCTTGGGCCTCTCTGGGTCATGTCTGCTGTATCTTGACCAATGCCACCTTATTGACCAATGCCACCTTATCAGCCACCTGCCAGTACACTTTGGATTGTTTGAGCTTTTAGATTAATTAGCTACTACTGTTGCTACTACTGTTATATATTTACTTAGCCTAAATATTATGAACTCTTCTACTATAGCCTAAACAGCTCAGTTGTGCCAATGCTTCAGTCCGGACCACTCGCCATTGTCTTCCTAATTAGGCGCCGACGGCCCGTTATTCCTTAGATGAGCCACGCGACCCTTTTCGCCTTGATCTGTAGGTTTTTTGACCATGTTAAGTATCACTGCATCTTATTCGAGAGACAGACGTGACAAATTTCATTGACCGGTGATTCCGAGCCAGTTCCTGACAGTCTTTGAACTAATTCCAGTGGAGAACGGCTATAGGCAACGCAAAGATCGCTGGTTTGTTTCCATAGGTTCAGGTTTGTGCCCACTAAAGTGTTCTACTATGAGGAATCGAGAAAGATCTTGGAATGCAAGGCTTTGACTACAACATTGCTCTGACGATATTCTACATATTTGTGAGCATTTTCTTTTACTAATAAACCCTTAGTTCACAAACCTTAGTACATCCTGGCGGACATCCCCTCCAACCTCGCGCTCAAACACTTCGGCTCGATGTGGCTGGCAGCAATGGTCACCTGCTTTGGCGTTGTGTCCATCGGAACAGCTTTCGTCAAGTCGTATGGTGGTCTTATAGCAACGCGAATATTTCTGGGAATAGCAGAAGGTGGGACTCTGGTGGGCACCTCCCGGCTTCGCGATCTCAAAAGGTTTGATGCCATTGGCAGTCGGGTTTGGCGTATATCGTGTCGCGCGTAAGAGACTGAAAGAAGAGGTCGTTTTGGAAATTCTGAAGGTATCCAGTATTATCGGCGACACGAATTTGTCATGCGTCTGGGGATTTTCTTCGGTACCAGCACACCCCTAGCGGGTGCTTGTGAGCCAAATTGTTCCTCCTTGAAAGTATCTTGATCCATTTTGTGCTAGTTGGCGGTCTTCTGGCATCGGGATTGCTTACGGTGAATGACATTGGCGAAATCAAGTCGTGGCGGAAGATCTTCTTCTTTGAAGGTACAGTCTTGTGCGTGTGCTTAGTAAGAGCAACGTATGTTGATGGGCCAAGGGATAATCACCACTGGAATTGGCTTGTTGTGCTTCATTATAATCCCAACCGACCCCCAGCGAACACGGATGCTGAATGAGGAAGAAAGAGCACTGGCGTTAGCACGCATCGAGGCAGATCAGGTCGTAAGCATGCAAGGCCGGAAAGAGCGGACGTCATTTAAGTTGGTTCGGAGGGCCTTCAATGTCAACGTGAGTTTCTATGTCGTTGCAAATAGGGAGCTCCAAACCTATACCACAGGCATCGCTATGTCTCTTAGGATACATCTTCATCAACATCTCTTTTCAGGGTCTAAGTCTCTTCATGCCGACGGTCATTGCTACACGTAAGCGTCAAATTCTTAAAAAGAAAAGTGAGAGTTGTTAACGCACAACAGTGGGGCATTTCACAGTCGTGGAATCGCAGCTGCGCACCGTGCCCCCATATATCGTGGCCCTTTGCTGGTCGCTCTTCCTCTGCTGGGTGTCGTTCCGCATCAAGATTCAATCCATCCCAATTTTAGTCTCCCTTGCATTCATGATTGCGGGTTATGCAACTTCGAGTGAGTGTTTGGCGGACCCATGGTCTTGTGTTTGAGTACCATACAGTTGGAACGAAGGATTCTCATGCAAGGCAAGTGGAGGACATGACAGCACATCATGATTGGTTGAGCTGACGACAAAGGAAAATGCCAGATATGCAGCATGCTTCTTATCATTGCTTGGTTCAACACCAATCGGTCCGCTTGAGTTGGCATGGGGGATCGACAACGCTGCCCCAGACACCATCCGGGCGGTAACAAGCGCAATTATTCCTGGTTTTGGGGCCCTTGGCGCCGTAATCGCCGTCGTAAATGTTCCTGATACAACGAATTCAGCGACCTGAAACTGCATATAGTGGACATATCTACCTGCAGATGCTCCGAACTACCACAACGGCAACTCGCTTAATTTGGCAGCAGGTTGCGCGGGAGTTGTGCTAACTCTCTGTGCCATGGCATATATAGCCAACGAGAACACCAAACGGGCGAGAGGGGAGAGAGATTATCGACTGCAAGGGAAAACCGCGAAAGATTTAGAAGAGTTGGGCTATCTTCATCCACGTTTTCGTTATCAATATTGAGACGTCGAGTCATTGAAAGCACAAATTTGTCACTGCACTTTTTCAGATAGAAGCACCAACTTTGGTAGACCTCGTTTTTAGGTCGTTTTTTTAAGGAAAATATGACTTGATGCGAGGCATTGCAAGATGCGCGCGGGGGTTCGTTGTTGCCATTGGGTGTCAAATCTATTTCGAGGTCGGAAGGGGAATATCATAGCAGATTACGGCGCAAGGATTTGGTTTAGGATGCTGGGGGGGAAGAACGAAGTCGAGGCTTGCTGACCTTGAAGACAGTGTTGGTGTCACTTGGTGAAAGGCAATGAGGAATCTATCATCAAGTTGTCGGATCAATCGATCAATGTTTCTTCTGACAGTCTTCTGACCAAAGTTGAAAAGAATGCAAGGGGTCTTTGGGCTCTTTGCCTGACAGCGCCCTAGACCACAACTTCCAGTCATCAAGGCCCAATTTAGACTCGGATATCTATGGAAGTTTTACCAATTGCAGAGGAGCACAAAAATCACACCTTCACAAGAGCGTCCGCTATAACGCCTTGTCTCCCGCAGTCAGACTGTGAATTTGGTCTGAGAGGGGGTGAGTGTGACGACCAAAATAACAATAACGCCATATACCGACTCTTGGTGCCAAAAAGGCTTGAAATCGCCACACGCACATTTTGCAGCCAAAGCGATGCTTAGAAAGTCGGGGTGAGTTGGCTGATTGAACACTGGCACTATCGGAATCTCACTCGATCTTATTAATAAGAATTTGGCTAAGTGTCAGATGCCTGCTGAGGCTGGCCAACGTTGCTTAAGTATCTGGTGGTGTGGAACTGTTTCTCCCGTAGATTTCAACCGATTTCATTACTTTTGAACTTCTCAATTGGTGAACAGCTTCGATGTCGCTCACAGGTTCGACGATTCACTCCACCACCATGGTCGACATTCTTCACGTTGCTTTTGCTGTGTCTGGAGGGACATTGATGCGACCCTCGGACGACAAGCTCACTGTGAATCAGCCTCCTTGTTTCCGTCACGGTCTACAAGTGACCAGCAGCCGATTGGGCAACCTTGACGGCTTCCAATGCTGGCATTGCGTGAAAAGCTGCTGCATTGATAATCGAAGCGTCAGTAATATTCGACAACCCAGCGCCGCAACGGTCTTGCAACCCCGCCTTGCGAAACGACTAGGAGTATAAAAGGCGGGTCCTGCACCGACCCAACCCATCATCTACCAATATGTTCAAAGTTGCCCTCTTCAGCCTTTTCACTAGCCTTGCTATCTCCTCTGCGAACGTCGTTCACAGCCGCGATGCCCAGGCGCTTCCCGTTCTTCACAACGGGCAGAATATTACCTTCAACTACAAGAATGTTTTCTTGGACGACAGCAGTCGCTTTGGCATGGGGCTACTTCGCAGCAATGCGGCTTTGCCTGCCACCGTTGTTGCTGATGGGTGGGTCGCTCATGTCGACTTTCTGCTAGGCTAACACGTTTGCAGGTGGGAAGGCCCTGTCGTTCTGAACATTCTTGACCAGGACGTTATCCCGGCGACCTATGTGTTGCAATACCCCTTCTTTCAGAATGGGTCCACCTACAGTGAGTGCCTGCCCCAACACTGCTCGCCAGTTTTTCAACAAGTTCACAGCTGCCCAGCTCTTCGAGTATGATGCCACCACTTTGGTGGTCACCGTACCCGAAGTCCGTAGCACCACGTTTGTGTGGGTTAACCAGCCCGGTCAGAATATTTGAGCGGCGTTAATCTCAATCGCGTATTGTTTGTAATGCACAATGGCGATGTCGTTCATTCCATCTCGGCTGATCCGTCGGAATCCGTCAATCAAGAAAGAGAATAAAACCGATGACTCTCTCAAGGATGAGCCGCTTCCGCATCCTGAATGGTTTTATACGTTCAGTTGGCGTGGAATTAGCTGGAGGAAAAATCCCCTCGACTTGAAATCGGATTGTTACCCTTATTCGATATTTGCTGTTTCCCTTCACTGGGCTGAGCGCTGATCGTTGCTTTCCAGATTCCGGAGTCTGGTTTGGCTGAGCAACAGAGTCACGCAGCGGCAGATCCGAACGTTTGGGAACCTCTCGTTTGAACAGAAGACTATAGTACATGATTTTCTCCGAAGCTTTCAGTAGGTTGCGGAGCTTGCTTCTACGCTTTGCATGATTGCAGCACCAGATGAGCTATGACAGGCTTCAGCACAAACTAGAAATAAGAGTGATATTGAAACGCACGTTCCAATGCGCTCCGCCCCAGCCGCAAACATTTCGAGACACTTATCGAAACTACGGATCCCAGCGGAAGCCTTAACTTTGACATTGGCCTTGTACGCAACAGATTTACGCATGAGAAGGACGTCTTCCTTCGACGCTCCTCCGCCAGAGAAACCTGTGCACGTTTTGACGAATGCAGCACCAGCCTCAGCAGCAATGAAGCATGCTGCGACCTTCTCCTGGTCGGTCAAGAATACCGTTTCGATGATGACCTTCACTGGCACGTTGGCAGAAACCACGACGGCGAATATATCGTTGAACACCGACTCGTATTGGCCGGCTTTCAAGGCTCCGATGTTGATGACCATGTCGATTTCCTGGGCCCCACATTTGACTGCGTCGGCAGCCTCACTGATTGTGATTCGTCAAGGGCGGCAAATGAAAACGCTAGCAGAATGCAGACAATGCTTTAGACGCTGATGTCCCTGCGCCTAGCGGGAATCCAATCACAGCACAAGTCAGGACTCCACTCCCTTGCAGTCGTTCAGCAACTTGAGAAACATTCGCTCCGTTCACGCAACACGACTAAGGCATTATTAATGGTTGAATATGAGAGAAGAATACGTATTCATATATTCATACCTTGAACTTGTTCATGATGGCCTGGTCGCATAGCGAGGCGATTTGTTCTTGAGTTGCGTCTGGCTTGAGGAGCGTGTGATCTATCGCAAGGGCAAATGTCGCATTTGGCTCTGTTATAGAGGAGAATTGGGTTTCGGGGACGATGAAGTCTTCCTCTGCCAGCACCTGCGCGATCTTTGCTTGGACGCGGACAGTCCAATCGTTGGTCGTTGTCATCAAGGTTGAGTGTCACAGTCATGTGCTGATGTGACATTGTCAATATCTGCAGAATAGAATGTTGGATAAATACAATGCGCACACAAATTTAACTACTCCGCGTTCGAACAACATGCGCAGCTTCCGCACTTTCCAGTAATACTCTCCTTGGAGCGCCAGCTGACGATATGGCGGCCTTCTTGGTTACAGACGCCGTAGAAACAGGCAATTTTGCCATAACCCTTGCACGCGAAACCGAGCCGGGTCCTCCCGCTTTCAATTTTCCACCAGTGCTCGCTATTTTTGGTAACGTAGAGCTTGTCGCTTTTGAAGGTGCAACGCTCGCCACAACTCTCCGTCGAATGCTAGAGCCAGTGCGACCTTTCAGCCCGTTTTCCTTCTCCTTCTCTTTGCCTTTCTCCGTTGTAGAATAACGTTCTGTCGGGGGTACCCGAGAAAGGCCACGAGACGATGTAACAACTCGACTCGGTCCTGCAACGGCAGCCGGACTCTCAGGCGGCGACTCTGATACACCCAGCTCTTCTGCCAAACTCAATTGTCGTTTTGGCTCTGTTGGGGGTGGGGGAACAACTGCAACAGCAGGGAACAACTCATCCTCCGTTAATGCGCTGAATCCTTCCTCAGGTAGGGATTCTAATTGCAGCAATGGAGTGTTGGTTGTAGCTCCTAATCCCAAACCAAACGTGGACAGTCCAAAACCCAGTCCAGCGGCTTCTTCTGGCGACGCAGGGGATCGTTGGCTCATCAATAAAATGCGACTGAGTGGACTGGGCTTGGCAGGGGAGTAGGCGTGGATCATCCGCGGAATGAAGGGTTTCGCTATTGGAAATGGGTTTGCAGGCGTGGCTACAGGCGGCACACTTAGTGCTTCAGAACTCGAAGGCGAAGAGGCAGCAAGGGTATCCAGAAGGCTAGGTATTGGCGCGGACGACAGGAGGAGGGGTGTAGGCGGAGGAAAGGCGGAATATGGTGAGGGGGGAGGCAATACGAATGATGTTGGTAGTAAGGACGAGGGGCCAGGTATGACCTCCGTCTCAAATGCAGGCTCAATTTTCGCTCGTGGAGGGGGGGCTAATGATCGTTTTGGTATGCGGCCAGTCTTGCGACTGGCGCCGACAGTGAATACTTTCCCTGGCGATTTTCGGGGTGAATTTCGAACGGGTTCTGCTGTCGCTCCTGCGTCCGTACCAGGATTAGGCGTTGGAGGTAGCTCGGCGAGTAGTCTTTCAACCTCCCATGTTCGTTTTTCATCCTGCAACCTAATGCGGTCTGCCTACAAGAAATGTTAAATCCTTTTTTTGTGGAAAATCACAAATCTGACCTCTACCGATGCCCTCTCGTGGCCCAGCCTAAGCGTTGCCTCTGTGAATTTGTTGCGTTCGACATCCAACTGGGACTTGATCCTCTCCAGCCGTTCCCTCTCAGCATCCCTTTCTGGCCCAATCATCAGCTCAACACTATTTTCGCCAACGTCGCCATCGACACGAGGGTCGTTGGCAAATTGTTCCAGTATTTCTTGTGTCTCCGTCGCCTGAGTCAACAATTCTTTCTGGTACCGTTCAACATCATGATTTAGCCGAGATATTGTTCGTTTCAGTCGCTCAATCTCGCCATCTGAGGATGAAGGTGAGGGTGTAATCGAGGATTGTGCTGGTACTGGTGTCGAGGGTTTGTTGACCGCTTCTCGTACAGCTGAGAGCAATGAGGACAGTTTTTCGTTTGCCGCGTCAGCCGATGCCATAGGGAAGAGTGTCTGACTGGTGAGTGGTAGTGGCTAGCATGCTATTGTCAGCCGTAAACCAAACAAAGAATACGATCCACCACACCTCTTCTTCCTTTTCCCTCTCTGCGGGCCGAGCTTGATGAAGCATTGCCTGTGTCTCATTGACCGCACTGAGAAGTAGCCCTCGGAGTTGACGGTTGTCCTCTGCCAGTCGTCGCCGCGCTTCTTCACTCTGTTGAAGCGCGTTATCGTGGAGAGGAGGACCGGTCAACACTTCTATTCCGGCCCTCTCCACCGCCTTCAAGTTTGAACACTTTAATCCACTGGCTGCCCCACCAACCTTTGTCTGTATATCAGCTAGTTTTGTCCACCGTTCCGCCATGCGCTCCATCTCTCTCTCTTTCTTCTTCAATTCTGCATGGTGGGTGGCGCGAACGGATTGAAGCGCTGAGCGTGCTCGTTGGAGCTCCAGAGTTGTTTGCTTGTGCGAAGATTCAGAAGACTGGAGGAGACGGGTTGTTGCGCTGCCGGGTTATCAGTTAATGGTTGGAAACTCAACCTGCATAGACAAACGCACGTTAATCGAGACTTGTAGAGGTTCACTTCTCGCTCTGCACTCGCCGCCGTGTCTGCCGCTGCACGGTACATAGTTGTGAGTCGTTCATGGTCGTAGGATAGTGTGCGGAGTTTCGTAGTGAGATCCTCAGTTCGACCCATATCTTCCTGTTTAGATTTGGGTAAGCAGAAAACACGACCATTGCTGACGCACCACTCGCTGGCTTAGCATGCCCAGCAAGCATTTCACGACCCGGTCGAGGTCGGCGGGAGCAATGCCATCGAGAGAGAGGCCTGGTGTTGGCACAAATCCATGCGCAATGAGCTGAGAGTTGATATAATCGAGACTGGAAGTGGCGAGAATATCGGATGATATATCGGAAACGCTGCCCTCAGTGCCCCAGTGCACGGCCTTGTTCGCCATGTGACGAGAAGGAGGTAAACACGATGGACGCGACAGTCACGCGGCAACTCAGTTCGCGTTCAACCACCATCATCATGACAAGACGACCTCTGATTCGTCAACAATCGGTCATGGAATGGTCTTGGTTTCCTCTGGTGTCTTGTTCAAACCGCAAAACTATGCGTCTGCCTATGACTTGCCCACTACTGAAACAAATAAGCTTCAAAAAACATTATCCACCATGATGCGGAACAATTTCGGGGTGTGGCAAACCTCGATCGTGTTTCTGCGAATTGGCTTGGAACGAAGGTGATAATCCTCTGTTCAGGTGCTCTCTCAAGGTTCTTCAAGATTCCAGGACATTTGTTACTGTCAATAGGTCGAAGTCTCCGCGATCACATGCTCCTTGTTGTACCGTCATTTCTTCTGTGGGCGCCGGCTCCAAAACTCAACTTCTCTTCTAAACCTTTCGGGTGCGCAGCCCGGATCTGCCGCTGTATTCACTTCTCAAATGTTTCATCGAACTTACCGCTCTCGGCGCCAGCCCTTTTCGAGTATAAAATGAAGCGACCACTTAGAGAAGCGTTCAAGTTCCTCTTTCTTCTGTCATGCAGTCCTTCCTCAAATTCTTTTTGGCGGCAACTCTGGCGGTCTCCGGTGCCTCAGCACTGGCAGCCACAGCAGTCGAGTTCACTGTTGGTGACACATCCTCTGTAAGTTTTTACGGTTCAAGCGATGCTGCCAGTAGCCCATCTAACTTGAATTGTCAGCTTCCGTGCCTCACCAGCTCCGCTGTTTCTACCGCCCGCAAGAACATCGTGAGGGCTGGTATTAATGGTGGCAACTATGTCGTCGTTCCCAACCTCGTGCGTTAACTTTGACGTCATTTCTTGAATCAACTGATTAAAGCCTCATACAGCCCTTGGCGAACTGTGGCTCATACGTCTTCTACCTCAATACCGCGACACCATCCGTCAGCTACACTGCTATTGCCATTGCTAACTCGTCCGACGCGACACTCGGCTTGGGACCGGTGAGAAATACTCATAAAGAGTTGTGCCACACAAACTGATGGGATGCTTCAAGGCCACGTTCGCCCAATCATCGGGAGGCGCAAGCTCATTCGACTCGACTTATACCATCTCTCCCGTCAACGGGCGTCGTGGCAGCATTTAGTTTTACGACTCGAAACAACAAGAAGTTCTGAACAATTAAACTACAAGTTATCGTACTTAGTGAGGCCCATCACGAGCTATATCTGCCAATCAATCCAGCTGCTTAGTCATTTTTGGTTGCAACAACGAACCTTGCAAGGTTTGCACAAAGGGCGCCTTCAAAACCTGACTCAAAAGCTTGCCGCCCGTTATACCGTTCAATTGTCTATTCAAAAAAAGAAACACATCTACCACATTCTGCCTAATCCTGCCATTCTGCCTTGTGTGCCTCGAGATAATCAATGAACTTGGTTGGCTTCCTCCCTGCAAACTTTTCGACATTTCCCGCACCAATCTTGTACTCTGGCTCACGGAAGGCGCGTCTCATCTTCTCAAGAGAGTTGACTAGATACCCGCTCATGGGTGCGGGCATGCCCTTGGCAGTCAAGGACTCGACAAACTGCTCAGGCGTGGACGGAGTAATGTCGATATCACTGCGACCGGTGACTGTCTTGATAAGCTCCCAATTTTCTTTCGCCGTCCGCAGCTCTGGTCCACACAAATAGATGGTCTCTTTCCTGTCTGATGGCCGCTGAACGAGGACCGCACCGCCTACCGCCCCCATGTCCTCTGGCGTGATATTGTCAAAGATGGCGTCCTCGTAAATGAGGGTGGCCTTGGGGAGGGCTCGCAGAGCGATCAAAAGAATTGGTGATGTAGTTGCTGGCGAAGAAAGCAGGACGCAAAGTAGTGAAATACGGAAAGCCGATATTCTCGACGTTGATTTCCACCTGAGCGTGGGCAAAGGGAATCCACTGGTCCCGAGTAAGGGCCCGCAGGGCAGCTCCCTCGGATAAAACGGTGTAGCTGGACAAGAAGACGATATATTCAACACCAGCGTCGCGCATGGCCTGGAGGGTGGCGCGGGAAAAGTCGGGGCTGCTCTGGATAAGATAGAGGTAGGCAGCCTTTGCGCCCGACTTGGTAATCGCCTGAGCAACAGAAGAAGGTTTCTCGAGATCAGCTTGAATACGCTCGAAGTTGCCAGATTTTTCTACATCAGAAGCCTGAGGGATGCCTTTAATCGGCTTGGTCGTGTCGCGCATCGCCAGCCACACTTTGGCACCGCGCTTCTGGGCCTCGAGGGCAACCAAACCACCGACAGTCCCAGTGGGACCGAAGACAATGACGTTGTTGTAAGTGGGAGACATTATGGTGGAACTTTGTGTTTGTTGATACCTTCACCACACAATGGTGCTTTTTGGTTTTATGAAACGAACGGCCATAATTTTACCGTTGACGTCAAATCTATAGACACCGCGGCTGCATATTTTCCAGGCAAGCGCCCAAGGAAACCTTCGCAATTGAAGCGAGTTGGTTGGTAAGCAGTCAAGAATAACGCGTTGTCAACTGAGCGCCGCCACGAACCGCCAGTGCCGTTCAAATGGTTTGACTTCGATCCGAAAATTGGACAGTATCCAACGACACGCTCAGCTATTTGCAGGGGCAACGGCGAAGAGGAACACGTGATCGCGAAATACTTGGACATCAAGCATGTCTAGGTTATCTATATCTCCAAAATGCAAGTCTAAACAAGCAAAGCGCGAAATCCATCTACGAACTCTGTTGCGTAAGCTTCAGCCAGCATATCATCCACCGCAGTTTCTGACCACGTCAATGCGATTGTCATCGCTCCCGTGGGGTCTCCGACGACGCTCATTGTCAGCGCGGAGCCCAAAATGACGTTGCATTGGGCAAAAACCATGTCTTCGATTCGCCACTGGCCTTCGCTAGACGCAATCCTTCCAGCGTTGGAGATCTCGAATGTCGACCCACGTTTTCGGCCAAGCTGACTGTTGAAAAAGCCGATATAGTTGCCAGAAAGGAGACTGAGCATCCCGACCTCTTGCCGGGATACCAACCGCTGGCGTTGCAACTCCGTTGCGTAAGACGTGGCTTTCGACCAGTCAAACACAGTATCAATTAACGGATACGATTTGTGGGCTGTTACGTAGTCGCACATGAGGTCCGCAGAGGCATTGGCGGGGCCCCTGAGAGAGATGGCGACGGCAGCTACCAGTTTGGTATATTTTTCTGAAGACGGAGGAATTAGACGCGAGATAGTGGTAGCCGCAAGAACGTAGAGTGCTGAGGTCACTGTCGCTTTGTGGGAGCGACAGACTTGAGAAAATGTGTTCATCTCGCTGCTTGTGAGCGTGATGAGCTTCACGCGTGGTTCAAGATTTGGCTTGGCTGCAGGAACAGGATTTCCCGTCCATGCAGAGCCCAAACGCGTCCATGACACAGGGAGGAATAAGCCGAGTATTTCAGCCAAGATTTTGAAAATAGATGGCCGAAGATTGGTGACTTTTTCGAGTGGAAGTGGAAGCGCGATGGATTTAGGAATTTCCACTATTGTTTGGAGTGATTCGTTGGGAGTCATGACCTTGACTGCATCCAGGAGTGTCATATGAAATGCAACACCACTGAGGCCATCGCCAATGCCATGATGGTATGCGAATACTACAGTATTGTTTGCCAGGACCTGCAAGCGCCAAAGCGGAAGCTCTGCGGACGTGTCAAACCGTGTCGAGAGCTGTCGCTGAATAGCAAGCTCCACGTCTTCCGCGTCCGAAAACTGCACAACAAGCGAAAGGTCAACTTTGTCGAGTTTGGCGTAGGAGGGTTTGGCGTCTTCTTGTTGAACTTTAAGACAGAGAGAAGGGTGCTTCTCGACAACCGTTTTCAGCGCAGCAAAGAGGGTCTCCTGGGAAAGTGATCTGCCATCCAACGACGCGTATTTGGCGGCAACAACGACGCAAGAGTCCAATGAAAGGTGGTGCCGTACGATATGGAAGCATTCGAGCAATCCTGAGGAGTCAAAGGCATTAATGATGCTACAATAAGGGCAGAAAATAACGTACCGGCAGATCTAAGGGTTGTGGATGAAGCCATGTTGGCTAGACCTGCATCAAACCCTTTTATTTATACTGCGATGAGTAACCGCATTTCCGGACGCATTTTCTTGGAATCCTCACGATCGGTGCAGCCGAATACCCATCCGTATTACGTTGCCGGATGGTAAGGACGGTCAGACAAGACCGAATGGAGGGCAGGTTCAACCGTTCAGGACGACTTTCAAAGTTCTTCGGTGACCTGGTATCACTATCAGAGGTGAAAACTGGCGTGACCAATCGCGTGATTGTGACTCGGCCGAGCAGCTCCGAACCAAACGCAGGCTCTGTTCGAAATCGAGCGGCTCATACTCAGAGAGCAGCTTCATTTCCTCAATACAGTATTGATTTTTCGAAAACTACTCCAATTACCCGAAGTGTTCTTACCAGTCCGAGTCGCAGCTGCCGTCCCGGCTCCGTGAACAATCGGCAGACCCGACCCGCGCAACCGCTTCCTGCGAAAAATCGGCGAAGAACAGCTGCTTTTGCAACTAGGCTGCCGCTGGACGTGGCTGAAGCTAGGGTAGTCGCCGATCTTAAGGAAGAGCAGAAACGGAGACTTTTCGTTGGTCTTGCGCTGTGAATCACTCTCACATCGCAAAAGACATTGGATTTGGAGTGGGCCAGAACACCAAACGCGCTCGTCTCGTCATCCATCGAAACCTACAGTCCGATCCAGCTCAACCCTTTCACCAGCTCTACCTCTCCTCTGAGGTGAATATTGTCTGCCGACGACCCAATCTCGACCAAATATTTTCCGGGAGCAACTCTCCACGTGTTGGTACCAACATCCCAGAAGGCAAACGCATTCCGATCCAACTCGACGTCAATCGTTCGTGTAGCTCCCGGTAACAGGTCGCTGGCCTTGCAGAATGCTCTCAGCTGGCGCTCCGGCGTGGTTGGAATTCCTTCAGGGGGGTATCCGACATATACCTGAGACACCGCGGAGCCAGCAACCTCTCCTTCGTTTCGCAGAGTATGCGAGATATGGACACGGAGATTGGCATGATCAATATTTGCCTCTGAAATCGAAAGATTGCCGAAGGAGAAGGTTGTGTACGAGAGTCCAAATCTTGACAACGATTAGATAAGATAAGATGATAATTTGGTACTGACCCAAATGCAAAGAGTGGCTTTCCACTGACAGTCAGCGCATTCTATTCGCTCATTTTCGCAAACCAAACCTGGATTTTCCGCGTATGGTAATGCTTATACCCGACGAACAAGTCTTCGCGGTAATGTATTTTGCCATTCTCGCACTTGTCGTTCAAATAGGCCGGTGTGTCCTCGATTTTGACAGGGAACGAGAGTGGAAGACGACCACTTGGATTGACATTCCCCCAGACTATATCCGCAATTGCATTGCCTGGCTGGAATTTAACTGCAGTTCACTATATGGTGAAACGTCGTCTACTCACCAACTTCATTCCCAAGATACCAAGTTTGGAGGATGGCCGCGACACTATCGACCCACGGCATGCTCGTCGCCGAGCCCTATGTGCAAATAATAGGCATCAAGGCGTCTTGTCCACGCTAAATGACCCACTGCTTGGATGACAACACAAGTCTTGGGATTTGCGGCGGCGAGTCGGGATATGACCTCATGTTGCCGGCCAGGAAGATCAAGTGTTGGGCGGTCAAAACCTTCACTCTCCCATTCCGGAGTCAATCCTGGAAAAATACGAATCATTAGTGGCTCGCAATAAATCGGTTGGGAGCGTACCGGCAACGAACACAACAACATCACAGTCTTTCGCCAATGACACTGCCTTTTCTATCTCCCCCTCCTCGTCGATTTTCTCACATCCGCCAAGACGAACTCCACGCATCAGCGCGGGCTGAGAGCTGACATTTGTTTCACCATCTCTCGGAGGAGGTCTGTTGTTGAATTCGACGAGTATGTCGACTGGCTTGTGGGCGGTAAGATCGATCACTGCCTTTTCTTCGATGGTGCCCTTTAGGATTCATAGTCTAGAACGGTTGTTTCATAGGAACGAACCACGCACCTGCCCGTAGAAAAAGTCTCCTGGTGTTTGATGGTCCCAGTTGTCGATTGTCATTTCCCCGTTGACCCAGAGTCTAGCGCGACCTGAGAATAATTGGTTATTGATATCAGTGGGCTCGAGACTGAACATACCTGCCACAGTCAGGCCTAATTCGAATGGCGCCGTCTTGTCCACTGTCAGACGACCTGTAAGCTTGACTGACCAGAGCGGTGCCAATCCAGGTGGTAGAAAATCTACACAATCACAAGACGGTCAGTATCATGATACTACAATTTGTGGAGTCTCACAACGCACCGACTAATTTGATCCTCGTGTCTGTAAAAAATGTTCCTCAGCCAGCGGTAACCCCGAATACGGAAAGCTAACCATTTACGATAACAGATGAAAGCGGTTCGGGCAGAGGTTGATCGTCCTTGTCGTGGTTATAAAATGAGCACAGCCAACCAGGCTCTCCCTTATGAGTTTGAAGGTTGTTCTCCAATGTGGGTAGATATTTATGGGCTGAAGATTCAATTCAAATAACAATATCCACAAGTGAATCGTACCATAGCATCCAACTGTGTACGCAATTTCTATGCCGACTGGCGAGCTGTTGACCAAGCCATCGTACGGCGAAATTGAGTAACTTGGCTTGAGTGCTGCCGAGCCACCTCCAGATATGATGGTTTGCTTAGCATTGGGGCCAACGACAAGGATCGTTTTGACTTTGTCTAAGGTCAATGGTAGCAGCTTGTCTTGATTTTTGAGGAGTACGATCGATTCTGAAGCGACACTTCTCCCAAATGCACGCATCTCGGGCGAGTCTCGCGTTCGTTCGATGCCGTCGCCATAAACCACTTCGGGATTGCGTCGTGCCTGTTGCTGAACAAATTGAAGAAGGTTGGTGACGCGTTTGTTGAGCGTCTCCAGTTGGATTTTCTGTGCCGTCAGACAATGGTTGACGAGAAGCGAATCGCGGAAACGAGGGGGACCAGGCATTTCGAGATCCAACCCTGCGTTGATCGCACCATCGATGGAATAGGTTCCATACCTAAAGTACTCAATATTTGAGACCAAAAATGACCCGAACTGACCAATCACTGATAATTAAACCAGAAAATTTCCACTCGTTACGCAAGATGTTTTGCAACAACCAGGAATTCTCAGAGCAGTGGGTTCCATGAATACGACCGTATCTGGAACAATCAGGGTCGACATTCGCTGAGAGAGAGAGAGAGAGAGAGACGCACGATGTCATGTAAGCCCCGGGACTGGCATACTTCTGGGTAAGCATGAACCTAGAACGATTTAGGTAGCGTATTGTTTCACGACGTAGAAACATACGGATAGAGGTAGAGTTCCCGCAGCGCACGATCAGAGACTACCGAGTCTGCCGCGGTGCGCTATTTGCCCTGAGATAGAAAAACAAGAAGAAATCCAGTAACAAACCTCATGTTCCTGATCATTACCAACGAAATGCTTGATCGCTGGTAATCAATTAACCACAGTCAGTTAAAAGTTGCTTCGCACGGACTAGCTGAGACCCCTTGGGATTGCAGTCCTGAAACATAGGCCGCTGCCATAGTGCCTGCACATTTCTGAGCTCAAAACGTTGTATGGGATGATGCCTTGCACCAGAAAGGAATGGGTCTTCTGAGAAAGACTCGAATGCCCTGCCACCCAAAGGAGATCGCTGGATATTGCAGGTCGGCGCAAGCAAAATGACGCTTGATTTGGCTTTTGCTTCTTCACCAAGCAAACTGCCGACCTTTAAACGATGTCACTTTTTGTGATACAGCGTTGAGAGTACCACATTACCTTGCGAATAAGATCAGGATTGAATGTCGCTCCCATTGCGGTACCACAAGGAAGACATTGCGCCGGAACAGCAATGAATTGCGAAGAGCCGCGAACGCCTCGAGTTTTGTCAGTTGAGAAAGAGAGCGAAGGGGGGGAAAATGGCGGCACCATTTGGCCCATCACTCATACGAACAGACTGGGAGAGGAGTTATTTGCAACTGCTCAGCCAAGCGAGGAAAGGACAAACAGGTATGTTGAGACGAGGTATCGCGGTTGTGTTCCACCAATTTGGAGCTCCTAAGAGAGAAATCTTCTCGTTTATTGTCAGGGACTTTTCGACGAGACTTGTTATGTCGGCTTGCAGGAATGAGCGGTCCATGGTAGCTAGAAACAAGAACCGGCGGTCATAATTCGGATAAATATACCCCAGCTATTCGGCATCGTCGGCCCGAGCCACACAAGTCTCTCAGTTGGGTTCAAGCTTCATGCGTGCTTCCTGAGTAATAGACGCGCCGAGAACGACACCAAGGTCAATGCTGGTCAATGGATGGATTCGTCACGCCAGGTAACGCCGGTAACTCAGCGATTCAACGAGACACGTGATCGAGGAGTTCCTTCTCTGAACCGCCTACAACTGCTTATCACTTACCGAAAGGTGCGAACGGCGATGCGAAGGGCTCAAAGCGTTCGAAATCACACGCGTCCTTCACTGGCTTTTGGCGCCGATGACTTGGGCGTGCTGAGGGAGGCAAATGAGACGACCGAAGAGGCACTACGGCGGCAACTTATAGAAAAGGATCGGGAAAACGACCGGGTCAGTCGTCGTCACCGTTAGTCCTGAATCCACCTTGGCCCTCGTTGCTCACAAATCCAACAACAGCTCAAGTCACAAATCGAGACTCTCCAAGGCATGCTTTCACAACGACCAGATGTCGAATCCGTGCAAGAACTACAACGCGAGTATAAGAGTCTGGAGTTATTGCTGGCGGGAACCCAGCGAGAGAATGAACGGTCTATGGCGGAGATTGAACGGTTTGTCTCTCCTTGGCGTCAGCAGCCGTCAATTAACAAGGAATACAGGGGGAAAGCGAGGGAGAAATTGCTGGAAGGCGAACTGGCGAAGCTGGCCGGAGAGAATTGGCAGGTGTGCATTGCAAACAGCTGACAAAAAACGTTGCTGATTAGCGACAGTCTGCCCTCGATATTGCGCCGCCCAATGTTTCTGGAACGGCTGCCACCATAACTGGGCGGTCGTTCTTACACTCACGATCCAACACGTTGAGTGCGCATGCTTCACCCGTGCTGGCCCACGCACAAGCAGCTAGTGTCACAACTGCCTCCCCAATCGAAGATCCTCGAGCTCAACAACAACAAACACAAGCGACTTTGGCGCATATCGAGCAGGTTAGGTTGCTGATAATGGGCATGGAGCAAAGACTACAGACCCGTGAAGAGAAGCTTGTCAAAAGTGTGCAGCGCGCCGAGAGCGAGGGACGGAGGTTCGAAGAACTTAGAAGGGAAGCCGCTGGCCGGTGAATATTAACGGGCTGTATGCCATTATTGGGCTGAATAAGTACAAATTTTCTAGTTGTGGTCTAATCAAGAGGAAGCATTTTACAACGGCTTGCGGACGTATTTCCTGCGGTACTTGTCATCGACATGATCGAGATAGTAGGCGCCAGGCCAGATGTTGTCTACCGAACCCTCCGGGGTGAAACCGACCGCGTTATGGTTCTTTTCGCGAAGCTAACCCCAAAATGTCAGCTATGACTAACGAGAAAGAGAAATAAACGTACATCGAGGGCATCCACGAATTCCTGACACGGAACCACCTTCATCTTCGCTAACCGATTGAGCAAATCCATTTTTTGGGCGATCTCAGAGATGTCGCCCTTAACGCGGAAAGTCCAGAAGCTACCCGCACAGCCACTTCCAAACGCATACATGCTCGCCCGCTTGCCCTTCAGGTCAGCAGCAGGAACAGTTGAAAGCAGTGATGCCAAACATCCATAAAGGGATGCAGTATACATATTTCCCAGCCTACGAGAGCAGGCCATTCCGGGGTCGACCTTATCCTTGAACGACTTCTTGCCAGCGGCAATGAAGGTCTTCTCGATGTTTTTGTCGGTGAGGGCCTTGGTTACGGGTAACGCGAGGATCGCCTCCGCATCAGCGACGCTGGCGAATTGGGGGTCTTGGGGGGAAGCAACAAAGTCGTTGTAGAGCATACGAGCATGGCCTTTGACGGCTTGCTTGCCATATGGGCTGTGGAAGAGCGCATACTCGACATCGTCGAGCGAGAACAATGAAGACGAGCTGCCGTTCGCGTGACCGTTGCCATTGAGGGCCTTCTTGGCTGCCTTTGCTACCTTGGCTTTGTAAACCCGGTAAGCGTTGTCCAGGGCTTGGATGTAGGTGACGACGGAAACGGGGCCATCGACTTCCGGGTATTCCGACGAGAGGTTTGGTTTGTAGAAGTCATAGGTGTCGGCCATGTAGGTCCCGTGGATTGCTGCCCAGCAGTCAATTAAACGTAAGCTAAAGGCAGAGCAAGAAAAGAAAACATACGTTCGAAAACGACTGGGGCATTAGGGCCAATGAGAATCGCACAAGCGCCAGCACCACCAGCAGGACGAGCAGCGCCCTTCGCGTAGATGGCAATGTCACCGGCAACCACAATGGCATTCCGTCCATCCCAAGAACTCGACTCCACCCAATTAATCGCGTTATATAGCGCGGCAGTGGAACCATAACAGGCGTTCTTCGAGTCAATGCCCTCGATGTCGAAGTTGCCAGACTCGGCGAAGAGACTCATAAGAGTCGTTTTGACCGACTTGGACTTGTCGATAATGGTTTCAGTGCCAACATCGATGCGGCCAATGGACTTGGGGTCGATGTTGTATTTTTCCAAGAGACCAGAGACGGCTGACAAAAGTGATCAGCGACAGCGTGGCTCAATAGCACACGGTAGCTCGTACCGTTGAGGGCGAATGAATTGATGTCTTCTCTGTCATCTGGCCAAGCCATGTATTCTTGCCCAAGGCCAATCGTATACTTTCCCTTGGAGACACCGTCGTACTCCTCGAGGTCAGCCTCAGAGATGCACTAGAGTCAAAAGTTTAGCCAACAAGCAACGGTCCAACAACACGATGCAACCCACGCGAAGAGGGAAGTAGACTTCCATGGCAAGGATACCAACATCCTTGGGGCGAGGGGTCTCGGCAGCGTTGAAGACGGGGAGAGTCATAGCAGTAGGTGGTGGTTAGGAAGAAAGAAGAGTCTCATCTGCCCGCTTTATGTATTGTCAGAAAAATATGGCACCAGTTCGCGTAGCGCGATCGTACGACCTTATTTTCGGGAAAACATCCACGTTGAAATAATATCTGCACGATTGTTAACACGCCGCCTTGTGTCTGACCCTGAAGGCTGCCTTGTCCGTCGTTTCTTCGCTGCCTTGCTTCTTGTCGCTGTCCATATCTGGCCGCAGGTAATCGGAGTGTGACCGCTTGTGACAAGCAGTCCGACGGCCGCCAATCACGCAGCATGCAACGAAACACCGTTGCGGCCGTTTCACTCGATTCAGTCGTGTTAGGTTCTTGTTGCGAATAAGGAAAAAACCAAGGAAGGGACTCAAACCCGGCATCGTGTTCCTCGATTCTTGCCTACGCTGTGCCAAAAAGACCCCCGGTTCGGCAGCTGCAATACAGCATCCTTGGAAGCTAAACTCTCGTAAAATCACAGCACGTAGCGATAACCACTCCAGCCATCTCCTTTTTCGCGTTTCGCCTCCTCCACGCTCGCAAATCGGCCATTCCCGTTGTCTTCCAATGTCTCTGGTCCAATAACCTCGTCGCGCTCGCCGCGATCACGCCTCATATTTTCTTTCTTGAGCGAGTATAGGAATAGTGAGTTGGCAAAAATCCCAATGCATATGTACAGGAGTACCAGCCCTGTTTGGAGTTAGTCTCAACTAAGAACTCGCAAATAACCGTACCGTGACCTAGCAAGACAAGAATTGAACTTTCAGTTCTGGGATGTTGAACTTGATCTTACCCAGCCGATACCACGGTTGATCTCGAGCGCGATACTGAGAGAAAGACCTTCACATAAAGAAAAGAAAACTAGCCAAATAAACGTACAACATTTGAGCTAACAGCGCCGTTGAGATTACCACTGCGCGGGACTAATGAGCTGAATGAACCAGAAAGTGAAAGAAGCACTCACATGCTGATCGCCGCTGCCAATGCAACACCGCGCTTTAACGATCCCTCATGATTGTTGGCAATCCAAGTGCTTCGCAACTGCGCGTCAATGCTGTCGGACTAGAAAAACGCGGGCACTCACATAGTGTTGGCTGAAATATTGTCGATGTCGAAGGGTCAGCATTCAGATGGAAGGAACTTACGAACGACGGGGAAAATACCACTACAGTATACTCAACAAAGTTGGAAAACATTCAGAGTCATGCTCACCAACTGGCAACATAGACAGCAAAGTAGGATAGTGCAGCGCTCCGCGAGGCAATCAGAATGATGTAGCCAACGCCGCCTGTTGCCTGGTCAGATGGTTCAAAAAGCCAGCATAAACGAACCAATAGAAAACATGATGCTGGAAGAAAAAAAGTCAGAGAAGAAGAAAGAGACCCCAAGTCAACCAACATGTTCCACATGCCTCTGCGACCTCGTCTGTCGGCATACACAGCGACCACACAGGTCACAATCGCAGCGAAAGCGTAGATAGGGACAGTCAGCAAGTTAGCTCGTGTTGCCTTGAAACCTGTTGACATCTGAATATATGTCTAGCGACGAGTTGAACAAGGCCAAACCAAGCTGGAAGTTTGTCGTTAGCGTCAGCATCCTATCCGACCATTACAAACCTGGTTAACGATTGATGGTGTGAAGAGAGAGAACGCATATAAGGGCATATCGCAACCCATGCATTGTAGCACTTTGAAAGCACGTCAGACTCTTGGTTTGACACAAATGACTTTGGCCCGCACTATTGATCCATGTCTTGTAGTCCTTGAAGCTAGCAACTATATTTTTCAGTTTTGGATGCTCGCCTGCAGCTGAAAACAGCCCGTCGCCTTGCAATCGGCGAATGACAAAAGTCCGCTCCTCCTCTGTAAGGAATTTGGCGGATTCGGGGAAATCTTGAACAAACCAAAGACATAGAATACCGGCGACAATGGTGACCAGACCCTCGATGATGCTGCCTTCCTTTTGAGTCAAGTTCAAATAAACTTGAAACTAACCCACAAAATCCAGGCCCATGCCGGTTTGCCTGCTACACCACCCATCTTAGATATTGCCGCCTGGCGAGTTGATAAGCAGCAGAGCAGAGTTTCACAAATCAACAAACGGCAAGCAGTCCGCCGAACGCGCCAGACAATGTAGTTGCCGAGGTGAAGACTGCTGTGCGAATCTATGTTGGATATTTCAAACTTGTTTGCCAGTGCTTTGCATAACGAGACCACTAACACCGAGTTCAGAGCGCTTGTACCAGCTACTTGATTTAGCCTAAAACGATGGAAGGATCGACAACGCACCAGCTCAAATGGTAGGCGACGCCTATTTTTGTTCACTCAGACAGTTGACAAGCAAAAGGGAGAAACACGAGCCTGGATAAAGCCCCGCTTCGAATGTTCCTAACATCCAACGGATCGCTGTTGCAACTCTGTCATGGGACGCCTTGAGCTAAAGAAGGAGCTAAGTACCGGTCAAACTCCCGAAATCATGTGCAGCGCCTTGAAGCGTCTGCGACGGCTGGGTGAAAAACATTGTGCAAGGCAAGTCATACCATAAACACTCCCCATCCTATCATAATGGTCGAAAACCAAATCGCTGGCCGAAAACGCTTCAGAACAATATTTGACGGTATCTCAAATGTTGCATAACTGTTCAAATTGTTAGCTCCGACTGCAAATGATCAAGTATGGACAGCATACGCAATGAAAAATACGGTCAATGCGAGTAAATATTGGCTATCTGTGATCTTCAGGTCGGCCTCCAGATGATACAACTTTTTTTTATTCAGTAAAGTGAGCCAACATCGTGTTATTCCAGGCACCTTGGCGCTGCAAATAGGTTTAGTTTGTGCTTTACATATACTCAGTTCATGGGTACTGACTTTCCGATACTTGTGCGGTCAAGGAACGAAAGCAGATAGAGGCATGAGAACCAAGGGATCAACGCAAAATCGATCTTGCGTAAGAGCTTCTTCTCGTCCACTCCAGAGGTGTCCACTTGAGGATTATAAATCGGCTGTGAATCTTGTTCGAAGCTGGACTTCTCCTCTACGATGCGGATGGATTCTGTGGGCGACGATTTGGTGTCCATGATGAAGGGTGAAGAGAAGCTTGCGCTTGGCTTGCATTCGGATAGAAGACGTCTCCCTCGACAGCGGCAGCTTCCTGGGACAAGGACGATTTTGTATCACACGGAGATACGGAGGTGAGAAGCTCATGGGGAGGCTGGGAGTCCCTCAATGTGGCCATTTGGCGCTCCATTGCAGCAAAACCGTAGCAGACAATGTTATTTAGTCGCTCTGTTGAGAATAAGCAAGACAATCGCTCTTCGAAGCGACAACAACAAACCGGAGGCGTAGGACAGGAAGAAGGCAGTCTGCACGATATGTGGTAGCGTGAGAAAACTGTATCACATCAAAAGCTAAAGTCACATGTCTTTCTCCGACGTCGCCACGGAGCTACATCTCTTTCATCCTGCCTCCACCAGCCACCAACATAAATTTCTTGGACGTCGGGAGGTCGTGCCGACAGCGGCAGCAGTGGACTTGAACGTTGTACCGGCACTCTACACAAATGGTGCGAAGTCTCCCAGGCTGGCAGGAACGTCTGCCAAATCTCAGATTCTCAGTCACCTGAGCACCTCGGGAAAATAGCACTGCTTGTTGACCCACAATATCTTCCTCTTCCGTGTCTTGCGGAAATGCTCAGAAGGCGCTGGAGAAGTCAGCGATTCAGAGACAAAGCCCACGATGTGTGTGAGTGAACGGTCTCGTGAGGGTCTACACGCTAACCCCATATAGCATACAACGCGTCAATCTCCTGACCCCGCTCAATGACATGGTGACTTCGGGGCGGGCGTAACATAACGCAAACGACCTCATTTTCGTATTTATTTCGATGATGTTAGTCAGATCTAGCTCGGAGCGACTTCCTTTCCCCGCACCACCACCACCACCACCATTGCCATGGAAAAAGACTCGAAGAGCTCACCCACCGCGTCCCTCCGCGCGTCTGACAATTCCACGTCCGCTGCAGTCTATCATGCCGATGTTGACACAGACGGAGTAGACGAGCGCAAGCTCATGCGCAAAATCGACCTGGCTCTTATCCCATGGCTCTCGTTTCTTTACCTGCTGAGGTGCGCATCGTAACCAGTGGGTCACTGCGTACTTATATAGGCCAAGTTTTCTGGATCGAACGAGCATCGGAAAGTATGTCGCCGGTTTTCGTCCTCAAACACAAAGAATAAATTTGTCTTTTCAGCGCCAAGGTATTGTGTAAAACAAATCCACGCATCCCGTCCAATTCAAGACCACTCTAGCTTTACAGTCTCGTCACAGACTTGGATATGACGGACAACCAGTATCTGATAGCTCTGACCGTGTTCTTCTTCAGGTATGTTTACCAGCATGATTGGGGGGTCAATTTCTAATGTTGACCCAGCTATGCCATTTTTGAGGTCTATTCATTCACTGAATATGCTACTACCGCTAACCTATGCAGGTTCCGAGTAATGTTTTCCTCAAGCGTCTCAGGCCATCTATCTGGCTTTCACTCCTCATGCTACTCTGGGGTGTCATGATGGTCTGTTCACAGCTCTTCTTCAGACCTTCCGCTCATGACGTAGACTGTTCAAGGCTTGGTCCACAACTATGGTGGCCTTGTCGGTCCGTACTCCTTCCCTAGTATTACGTCGCTTTGGCTCCTCAACTTCAATATAGGGATGCGATGGATGTTGGGCATGTTCGAAGCCGGTCTATTTCCAGGTAAGTCTCGCACGGCTTCCCTAGACCATGCCGAACTAAATATAGCCAGGGGTGAACTACTATCTTTCATGGTGCGGACACATCGTCCCATGGGATGCTAGTAGCCTCTTACTCGCTTTCCATCAGCTGGTACAAGCGCTCAGAGTTCGGGGTAGGTCTTCGTTGTTTTTCACGTCTCAGTGCCTGTTCCTAATTATAACTGTTTCCAGATCCGAGCGGCCATCTTTTTCTCAGGCACGTTTGTAGGCCACTTGTGGAGTTTGGTCATGACTTCATTTTACAGCCGCAACTGTTTCTGGCGCGTTCGGTGGGCTGCTCGCAGTAAGTGGGAGCTTCATCTATCGTTCAACTGCCTCATCATTCTCTCTGCAGGCAGCCATTTCCAACATGGATGGCGTCGGGGGTAAGCCTGCCTGGGCCTGGATCTTGTAATTCGAATCATATACCAGTGTTTTGGTCACTAACCTTGGCTTATAGCATCCTCGAAGGTCTCGCAACAGTCCTCGCTGGCGCGGCCTCATTTTGGATTATCCAGGACTTTCCCGACACCGCCACGTTCCTGACAGAGGCCGAACGGGCGGTTGTTGTACGCCGTTTGCAAGGCGACGACCAGTTCTCGGCAGCGGGCGAGGAGCTGAGGTGGAAGTACATCTGGAAGTCGTTGACGGACTGGAAAACATGGGTAGGCAGTGAGTATTTCTTACCCTCGTTCGTTCCCAGAATAATCTCGCCGTTCCATTAGTGGCTATCTACGTTGGAGCAGTGTGTGGTTCTACTATTATTATGTCCACTCTTAATTTTACATCAGGACATGCCTCTATACGCCTTCTCCTTGTTCCTCCCTACCATCATAAATCAGGTTAGTTCTGACAACTTCCGCATTCTACGACGATTCACTTGCGCTGTAGCTGGGTAAATTACAGTGACTTTATCTCGCATATACGCTTCAACTCCACCACAGGATATAAAGCTACTGCTGCAAACCTTCTCACCGTTCCAGTTTACTTCTTCGCATGCTGTATCACGTTCGTCGGGCCATTGCTTTCGTCTTCCCCCTTCACAATGTTGTCCAGGTGTTTGGTTGGTTTCCTTGCAGACCGATATCAACATCGCGGGATGTTCAACTTGATCTTCCTCACTATTGGTATGTGTGGATCGCTGTTGTGTTACCAATGAGTTGACTCAAACGTCCAGGCGGAGCAGGATATATCATACTGATCGCGTCACGCAGCCCTGCACTGTCGTATTTTGCAACATTCGTGGCAACTTGTGGAATTTACCCAATTATCCGTGCGTTTTTTTTTACCAACAAGCCCCCATAAAAGACTAATACTTCATCAGCTAATACGATGTAAGACTCCATTAACGACACTCTGATCTGACCACTGAGAACTGTTTGTAGTGCTTGGATGTCCAACAATGTCGAGGGATCCTACAAACGCAGTGTCTCGCTTGCTATGGTGATTAGCTTTGGGAACATCAACGGCGCAGTTAGCTCCAATGTAGTGCGGAGATTCCTCTTCTTCCATCGTCTGGCCCGACTAAAACAATTCCAGTATCGCTCGAAAGACAAGCCATGGTACCGCCTTGGACATGGACTCGTGCTTATGTATATTGGCATCGGGCTGATTGCGTCGGTCATATACTACCTCGGTGTGCGTGCGGAGAATGCCCGCAGGGAGCGTGGTGAGCGAGACGAAATCATCGGGGCTGGGGAATCAGAAGATGTGGATCCAAAGAGGGCAAAAAATGGGCAGTTTAACACGGTTGCGGAGGCGAAACGGGAGAAGGGAGATGAGTGGAGTGGATATCGATATACGCTTTGAGTCGGGCGGAGATCGGACCGTTTGTCCCGACCATGCATCATTCATGTGAATCTCCACCGGCTCAGAAAAATTCATTCCCGAGAGGCCAAGGTTGAGGTTGAGATGCATTCCTTTGATTGCTTTGCCTTTGGGTACGATTTACAGAGTATAGACACCAACCAATGAAGAATATGAACAACAAGCAGCCAGAGAGAAAAGAAGAGGAACGAACTAAAAGCTATGTACTCGGTAAACTATGTGGCGTCAAAGTAAGGTATATGGTCGTTTGATGGGTAGATACGAAAAACAAAAAGGAATATATAAGTAGAAGGAGGTCGGACTCGAGGGCGAGTGAGGTGAGCGAGCAGGGGAGAGGCGATTATTTGGAGAGGAGAGTATGCGAGTCCAAAGAGGGACGAGAAAGAGAGATGCCGAGTGCTACTTACGCCTGGGTCGACGCTGGTGTTGCCGTTGCACCGCCCCATAAGCCAAAGTATGCTCCAGCGCTGGTGACCATACCCACAGCTTTACCCACGATAGTACCCTCCTGGTGGTGCCCTTGTGGTTGAGCATGATTGGTGCTAGTAGGCGACGGCGGGCCGCTTAATGTCCTGTGAAGCGCATTCTCACTGGGACTGCTGCCCGACCCTTGTTTTACATGTCCAGGGACACTCATCACGGGAGTGCCAACTTGGAAGGTCGCTTTGGCGGGTGAAGTCGGGGCGACGTCTATCGGGGGTTTGTTCCTCGCCAATGGTTGCTTGCCTGGGCTCTTGGGCGGCGAAATCGGTATTGACTTGGCTGTTGTTGTGTCTGGGGGCGACTTCTTAACTGGCGTAGCGCCGTTAACAATTAGTGTTGACGGTGGGTGCCGATGTATGACGGGGGAGTTGGCTGGAGTAGCAGTTGCCGTCGGCGGCTGTGGCTCGTCGTCGTCAAGTACGAAGAAACCATCGACGGAGGCATTGAGCATGTCCATATGTGGCTTGGGCCGAGGCATCGATGCAGCGGTGGTTGCAAATGCAGGGTCTGATTTTCCAGGCGGGGTCGAAGGAGTCCTGATGCTTGAAGAAGATGATCCAGAGGACGATGATGATGAGGAGGAAGAAGCGATGGATGAGGGGGGTTTGGCTCGATTTACATACGTGGGTGTACGCGTGGCCACGATAGGCGAATTGGCAGGGGTGACAGACGGTCTCGGAGAATCTGCAACTTGCACTGTAGGGCGAGTTGTGGTGGTTCCACTCGAATTGGAATTGTCATCTTCAGATATCGTGGTTGTGCTTGTGGAACTTTTGGGTTCCGGACTTGCACTTGGTGGCTTTTCACGGTCCCATTTGCCACCTTTGACCCCTCCTCCGTAGACAAACTCGCTCGAGCCACCACCACTGCTGCTGCTGGTGGTGCTTGCCCTAACACCAGTATACTCCGGGCTCAGACTACCCAATGGACTGGTATGACTTGAGCCAGATCGACTCCGTTCACGGTCACTGCTGCTTGAAGTTGTCCTTGTCGCACTGCGACCACGATTTGATGTGGAAGACGATGTCGAGGTTGACGGGGAGACAGAAGTATCCCTGCCTCGAGGTGGGGCGACTGGAGGGGGTGACAGCAGGCCTGAACGCGTATTTGCGCTAACACTGATTGCAGCACTCTGAGAGGGAGATGACACATTGGGGGGAAGTATAGCAGGCGATGGCGTCCTTGATCTTGAGCGCGACTTAGATTTCGACCTTGACCTTGACCGTTCACCCTCCACGGTGTCGTTGGTGGTTATACTTCGACCACGTGGTTCCCTGGGAGGGGCGAATTCAACGCCAATATCCGGGCCAGCAAAGTAGTCATACGCATCAGCATCAGCTGAAAGGTAGAGCGACTCGTGGTTGAACACCTCACTCTCATCGAGATCATCGTCGTCATCATCGAACACAGAAACGAGAGTGTTGGCCGCGGCTGATGCAGGCAGATTGACTGTTGCGCTTGTTCTTTGGAGGTGGGCTTCCTCAATATGGAAACCACCTTCATCGCGTGTGCTGACCCACTCCCCGCCAGCCCAGCTATTCCCAACCCCAGTTGTCTTCAAACGCGTGGGTGCGATCGGTGCGATAGTTTTGCTTGCGACCTTATTCGATAAAGTGAGAGCTGATTTGGATGTCGACCCGGAAGACCTTGATCCGGAGCGTGATCGAGGTAAACAAATTTCAAGAGCGTCGTCAGAGTCGCTCGAAAGCGCACTCTCGCTGTTGACAGTGCGCTGATTGACATCGTCATCGTCGTCGTCGTCATCAGTGCCTGCCCAGCGTCGACCACTTGTCCTGCCATCCCAGGAATGTGTCCGATTAGTCAGCATGGGGCCATCATTGGCAATAAAATCGCTCGAGGCCGACAGCGAAGAAAGAGCAGGACGACGAGGACTATCGATAGCGATACATTGCTCGACAAATGTGTTGAACGTGATGTGGCGCTTATGCGAGGTGGCAAGACGGGAGGATTCACTGGCCATGGCAGGAGGCAACACTCGAGGGGGAGACGGTTTACGAAGTGCAGGATGAGTAGGCGGGTGGATATGGGGCGCACTCTTCGTATGCAATAACGGGGGCCGTACTGGTTTGTCGTCCTCCTCAACCAACTCTTCCTCGTCACTCTCCACAGGGCTGAAAAGAGACGAGGCAGGCAATTCACTCTGCAATAACTCTGTTATGCTCCGGTGTTTGAGAATGGACTTGTGCTTGGCCTGTGCCAGGTCCAGTTTGTCCTCGGTTGACGACTCTTTGCCAACCTCCGTCGGATCAGGTTTGGGTTTTGGAGGAGGAGACCAGTCAACAGCGGTGTGCAGGGGCCCATAGAGCCAGGTGACATCAGAGTCTTTAAGCCTTGGTTATAGTGTGAGCACACAGGAAGCTAGACAGAAAAGAGACGAACCAGTTGAGGGTCTCTGGACTGATAGTCTTGAGCTTGTTCCGCTGCTTCCACCAAGTCCTCCAGCTCGCATTCTCCAATCTCATGCCATTGGTGATTTCGTTCTTCTGGCGTGTCATGCTCCGCCATGACCGCCAAACGTCCTCCTCCTCCCACTGGTGTGAAAGGTAGTCGACTTGTCCGCGAGGTTGGGGCTCGAGAGAAGAGTCGTCTGCGTTGGCATTCGTCGACACGGAGACAAGCAGCACAGGTAGGTACTGCGCCATGGTCTCTGAGTGTCGTTTCGGTGGGTTGGTGGTTGTCGGAGCAAAGATGGTGAAAAACGAAGGAAGAGCCCAACGATCGGCCCGTGAACTTCCGTGATCACATGGTTCGTGTTCCCACGCTTCTGGACGCCAACCAACCATTGGAACGAAACTAACATCGTTCCTTTTCCTCGGATTCCGATGGACCCCACAATTCAATCCGTTCGTACCATCATGCGGGGTAATGCATCTCATCCGAAGCGCCCACTGATTCGCCCCACGACAAACAAGCCTCGTGGTCTTTCGCCCTGAAAATGCACTGAAACGCAAACGCAGCTTTCAAAACTAATATGGACTTGGTTTGCTCCCGCCTAAAACTCGGATCGGCTCTCCACCCTGCCAGCGCACCGACCGCTGATGTCGGCTTGCTCCATGTTATTTTGTTTGAATCAACCTCAGGCTAGGCCCTGACGTACTCACTACAAGCATGCGGAGTATCACAAGAATATCAAGCGGGAGGCCCAAGACGATGACGTCGTCGGCTCTTCTCCGACACGGAAGCTGCAGGCTGGAGCCAGCCATGGTCCAGAAGGAATTATATGTCATAGTCACAACGAGCAAACTGCCTCCGTTCAAGCAACAATAACACGCGAGGCTAAGGCTTTCCAATGGATATATCGGCCGGGTCATACGCACAGCAAGGGACTCACAATGAAAGGGCGGCTTGAAAGCAAGAATTAATCTACTGTATGTACACTAGTCGTACACTGCTTTTGCCTCCGCGGCTTGGTAAAAATAACAATTCCAAAAAAGATCACGTGGGGCTTTGGTCGCTCAAGGTCTGGTCCCAACGATGTGTTTATAAAAAAATGCGAGTACTAATGCACAACAACACGACGACGAAACAAATAAACCTGGTCTCAAGTCCCCACAGCGACAACAGGCATGGGCAGTGGCGGAGGCGGCATCAGTGCTGCATCAGACTTGCCGCCATTGCCATTAGGCTTCTTCTTGTTCGGCGACCCAGCTCCTGGACCGTTCCCATTCGCTGATGCATTCACAACCTTTTTCGCCTTCTTCTTCTCACCGCCGTCCTTGTCCTTGTCCTTCTCAATAACCTTCTTCTTTGCGGCAGTCGCTGCAACAGCTTTGGCTCCAGGTAAGACGATTTGTCCCAATGGGCCCATCTTGGTGTGTATTCCCGTGGGAATATCATCGGGAAGGATCATGGAAGAAGGGATGACGATCGGTGGTCGGGGTGCTGGATCGAGAGTCGGAAGAATAGGGGCAGCGGGTAACGGTGGAGGAGGCATCACTGCAGAGGGTGTATGAGGGACTATACCAGGCAGAGATGGGCCTGATAGTGGCGGTAATGTTGGTCCAGGAAGAGAAGGTAATGCGGGGCCAGGTAGTGGTGGTATTATCGCATTCGCAGCAGCCTGGGCACTGGCTTCTGCAAGAGCATTGAACCGTGCCAGATAGAACGGCTGTAGGAGCCCGATCTGTTCTTCGAGTTTGCCACGGGATAAAGAAATAAATGGTGGGGGTAATGGATACGGTAAAGGTGGTGGAGCTGGTGCGGCGTTAGCAGCTTGACCCATTGTTCGTCGTCTTCGTAAGAGTTTCTTGGGGATACTGAGGTTGGACATCCCAAACTCAGCCGCTATACCAAGTTCACGGAGACCAAGATAGTCTTCGCCTAATGCCTCTGCAAAGTCACCACTAAATAAGACGTTGAATGTGTGTTCCCATGAGGCAATAAAAACACAAACAGAGTCAGGGCTCCATCGTTCTCTTCATCTTCTTCAAACAAGGTATCATCATCGATGATTTCGCCAGCAATCTTTATCTAGTCAGCCAACTAAGAGCAAGAAGCAAAAATAATCACGCACGACTTCGCTATATGCGCTATCGAGTTTCTTTTCGAGATCACTAAGTCGTGACCCATGTCGCTCTACATCATCGCGGACATAACGCTCTAGTTCCTGCACGCGCGAGACACCAGATTCGAAGAGAGTGTGGAGGATGATTTCCTGCCAATTGTTTCACATGATGTTCACGCCACAAAACTTGCAGGAATCCTCCAAACTGGCTGAAGCTGAAATCTAGATGAACTGGCTGGAACGACGAAACTTGACGTAGGTTTGACCCTTGAGATCGTCATATTCTCGCCCATTCTTCTAGATTACAGTGCCAGCCAACTTGGAGAACTTCCACAAGCCTAGTGACACAATATACCGCGTACCTCTGCTGTCATTGTCTTCGCGTACTTGTCTGTTAAATATCGCATCGTCCGACCCACATTGAGCAAATATTCCGAGGTAACCGAGGCAAGGACGTCCAATGCAACTTGTGATGTCCCTGCATTGACCTGTCAAAACACATAAATGGTAAATCCAAGAAACATACCTTGGAACCCTGAGTGTTCAAGTATCTTGGAGCCCATCCAACGCATACATTGTTCTGCATTCTCTGAGCCAATCTCAATCGTTGGTACTTCTTCATCATCATCTAAATCAAGACCTAACGCCTTTGCTTTCCTCCGCCTCTTCCTCCACTGCTTTGGTGTCAGTCCAATTCCAGCTTCTGCTCCCCACGGTCGATCGTCCAGTTCGGTCTTTCCACCAGGATAGAGTATCTCGACAGGAGCAAGCGGCGGCGGGGGTGGGGCAGGGGGCGGCAGTATAGCAGGTTGCGGCTCGTCATCTGGCCCTGTTGGCCCATTATTGTTACCCAGGCCCAAAGCCGCAAACCGGGCATGGGTATCTCGCAGTCTCCTCATTGTACGGATGTTATTGTTCATCCGAGCTAGCAACGTCGTCTCTTTGGCCACTCCCTTACCCTTGTCCGTTCTGCGTTGCTTTGACTTCGAAGGTGAAGTGAGTATTGGTTGAGTTGGGGGCCTCCATGAAGCATGGGGAATATGCGGGAGCCCGTTGGCGAGAAGAGTGTCTGAACGCAGGGCGGTCCACCAAGTGTTAGGATCCACATCCGGTCGACTACGTTTTCGAGGAGGCCCAAGCGCATCCGAGCCATTCCTACAGGTGAAATTAACACATGCTGTTGACTGAGATGCATGACGCACCATCGCCTCTTGTCCCCGACCATCGTGTCAGTGTCGATTACTTCCGAATCGCTATCCTCCGTTTTGATTCTAACCTCGCCTTCAATGTCTGGAGGAAGGTACGGTTCTAACACAGTCGGGTCCCATTCCAATCTCGCATCAGCAGTAGCAAAGGCTTGCATGCCTTGAGCTGTTCTGACAAGAGCTGGCATGTTCTCAAATGGAACCGTTGAGGTTACAACGTCACGCTTGACACCACCCAATGGTTTATGTTGAGGAATCTCCCCGCTCATTGATTTGCGTGGCTTTATTGTGATCGTCGGAGGCCTTGAGTGAACTCCGTTTACACCATTAACGGTTGGAGTTGAGCCGTTGACAGTCACAGGGCTGGTGGTGCTGGTAGAAGTATTGGAGGGCTTCAAAGAGGACATTCGCACTTCCCCCGCAACACCGAGTAGAGCGCCTGGAATACGAGGGTCCTGGCGTTCTTTGCGATCGGTGATGTTGATAAGCAGACGGTTTGCCCGAACTCTTAGACGCAGAGCACATGCACGGAGTGGATGTCCCTGGAAGATGATTGAGAAATTAAAGCGAGATTTAGTTTTCACTCGCCTCGACTGCGTTATAGGTCAAACAGTTGTTCCATATTAGTTCCAAGTCAGACTTAAACTCGGCCTTGGTCTTATAATGTCTAGCCTTCACTCTCTTGAGCATCGTCTGGAGGTCCATTGGGTTCTTGATGACTGTAACAAGTTGGATTAGCCCAAGAATATCCCGCAAAGCAGAACGCACCGTCGTAATAGTCCGGCACTTCTGACCTCGAAACGGGTTTGAGAAATGCTTCAGAATCGTGGTTGTCCTGTGTAGAATGAATGAGTATAATGGTGTGGCGCGGTCACCTGCACTTAGACGTACGATAGTCGTTGTTCGTAGATCGACCAAAACGCCTTCAAGCGACTCGTAAAATGGGTCTGATATCTTCCCGTCATGCGCCTGCTTCTACGCCCGCGTCAGAACGTGTAATTATCAAGTCAACATTTGCCACCTACTCGCGCAGCGTGGATTGAGGCAAGCAGGGGTTTGAGGTCCGTGTCATTCGCTAAGGCCTTAGACTTGTGCTCGGACAGTGTCCGGAGGAGATTCTAAGAGTCTGTATCAGCTTTCGCCGATGGATGTACCGTTGGTTGACGCACATTCATCCTCCAAGGCCCGAGCACTTGCTGATGGTGGCCAGGGTGTGCTTGTCACACATGGTCACGACAATGCCGTAATGCTGATCTCTTTCTTTGGTGGAGCATGGAAAAAGAGCTTTTTCGATGACAACCAGGAAAAGAGCTGCATGAGGTAGCAAATATCCGCAACAAGTCTAAATATATATGTATACTGCGACATCGAGAACCCTATTACAGCTTTTGCGGTGCAACTGGGATTTATTCTTGATTTATTTGAACAGCGCAACTTGAAGATTAGGTAGGTGGTCGAGTCTGTATTGGCGTCATTTGACGTATGCGGTTTGTTATTGAGCGCAGGGTGAGTTTGGAGCTCGTGCTTTTGTAGCCCTGACGATGCGTCGGTCAGAAAGGCATGAGTCAGTAAATCGTAAAAGACAAATAGATTGTAAGGGAAACAACACCAACTGCGAGGTTTGGCGTCAACAATTCACAATGGGCGACCTCTGATCAACGCCAGTTTTTGATAAGATAGAGCCTGAGCGTTGTAGCACGAAGTGAGCTAACCATTGGATGGTGTTAACATTCTTACCGTGACTTTGCATAGTTGAATCACACGATTCCTCCGCAAGTGGGGGAAGAGCTCTGTCTGGAAGTGAATACCGATGCTCGAAGATGAGACTGGAACGACACTGAAAGGAAATCCAACAAACATTCACCAGTGGACGCGCGCCAATCGTCTCTTGTAGCTGTCACCCCAACATCGTATCAAGTGGAGCCCTCAGGCAACGAGATGGATGAAAGCACGGTATTTAATGCCGGAGCCATTTTGGCGAGCGTAAGATATGATATTAGCTAACAACAAATAGGGCGGATTTTACCCTCAAGTTCGGGAACAACAACAACGTCTTTGGATAGAGAAGAGGATAGCATTACTTGGTTCAATGGTTGAAGGAAAATCATTGTGTCACAGTTGTCACGCGGCTTGACGCGGTCGTGAGAAAATCAAACACGCCCACGCCTTTACTTTCAACACGCGACTAAGTATGGCGGGCATGCTTGAAACCCCGTCGCGCATATGGCGACGGATAGAGTCCATAGAGAATAGGGATATGCCCTCACTGCCATCCCTTCCACTATCAGAAGAGGACAACGACGAGTTCGACAGCCACTCTGTTGAAAGCCACAGCGACAATGCCTTCCCCATACATTCAACCCCCGCTGCCTCCTCCCATCACGCTTCGACAATGCGAGCGGCTTCCAGCACAACCTCGTCGGCTTCTCGCTTCGCCAACTCTATCGCTCGCACTTCCCGCTCGTCAAACACTAGGTCGTCGACAAGACGTAGTTCAGGCCACAACAGCATAGATAGCTTCGATGTCAGCCGCATTCCCTCGCTACCTCAAATTCAGCCCGAATATACGACTGGACACTACACGGAGGACGAAGAAGCTGAACAGAGTGAAGAGAGTGTGCCAGAAGTATATCTCCCTCCAGAAGACGATGACGCAGACGCTCTTTCCTTGACAGACGCCCTCGAGCTCGTCAGCTCTCCACAGCGAAGAGATGCCACTCCAAAGAAAAACTATGACTACTCTGTTAGTCTTAAGTCTGAGCCCAAGGCACGTTTATCGCGACATGCCATCCTCAGATATTCATGTCTCTAGCCATCTCCTTATGACAAATTTCGTAATGTTGCCCTGCGTCGACCGCCTTCAAGAGCTCGGACACCCTCCCTCTCCCGAACCGCCCCTTCACCGACTTCGTCCCCAGCGAATTCTACCCCACGGAGTAACGCCTCTCTCGCCTATCAGCAACAGTCCCCATTATCAGCGACGCGTCTGCCACTTCCTCGATCTCGAACAGCGTCACCAGCCATCGTTATATCACGTCCGCCCGACGACGAGTCAGAAAGCGAGGTTCATGAAATCTCCTATGAAGGTTCAATGGATATAACAGACATTCACGTCTCTCCAGCACCACTCGAAAACGGCAACACTTTACCCGCTTCAGAGGAAGATTCACGCGAACCTACCTTCTCGTCGGAGGGTGGTCCCACATATCAAGCTGACCAGACGATATCCAGGCGTCTCAGTCCATCAAAGTCTCCCGCAGCGCTTTCTTCACCGGCTACTTCCATCGCAGCGACACCCACACCAGCAGCTCCGCGTCCTAGAGCTCGTTTTAATCTTCCACACAACGATCCTACGCCATCAAATCACAACGAGGACGAAACTGACGAGGCAGAGCCCACCAACGACCAAGTATTGACTCCCCATACTCGCCGGCGTTCATTCCTACTCTCTGTTATCAACTCCACTGCTCGACCTCGCCTCAAATTCCCTACTCCGCATCCTCGCTACAATTTTGAGATGGAAGATGCGACACCAGGACCCAAGATAGCTGGGTTACAAACAACACTGGCAGGCGCAACGCCGCGTTTACCTCGTCGCGGGTCCCACCCATTGGCAAATACCCACCTGGCACAATCACCTGCAACGCCGGAGGCAGAAGGAGGAGGCAGGATCAGTCCAAGTGGGTGGGCAACTCCGGGGCCTGGCCATGATGGTGCTTCTGTTATTTCGACGGCTTCATCCCACGATCTAACGACGCATCATTATCGAGCAAATACTTCCTTTGATCCTGCTATGGGATTTAATGGTGCCCAGGCTTTGCATGGTGTAGGACGATTCAATGCGGGGAAGCTGAATACGTACCTCCATGGACTCAATCGGCGGCTGCAGGAAGAGAATGAAACACTTGCCGAGCGGATTAGAGAGCTTGAGGGTAGCCAGAGCGATGGCGGCAGTCGCCGGAGCAGTCTGGGTGGCGCTTCTCGACGAACGAGTCTGGCTACTATGCCTCTCGGCAATGTTGCAGAAGATGTCGCTGGGGAAGGATGGCTGGAAGAAAAGGCAGAAATGGAGGAGTTGATCCAAGTTCTCAAAGAAGAGGTTGAACAGCATGCCACTCGACTTTCGGAAGCACAAGCTTCATTGGAAGAAGAAAAGGCAGGTCGCTCTGAGGACAAGGAATCATGGAAGCACAAAATGCGGGAGGTCGAGAGAGGGGTAAACGAGCATGTGGGGATTTTGGAGCAGCGGGCCACGTCGGCCGAAAAGCGAGCCGAGTCGGCCGAGAAAACTTCACGACAAGCTGTTATGGGAATTCAGGCTGAATTAGAGCAGATTCAGTCCGAACGTGATGCTGCGGTTGAGCGTGCTGCGAAAGCTGAGCATGCTCTCGAAGGGGATCGTGAACTTGGAGGAGAGCTTCGAGAGGCGCATGATCGGCTAGAGAAAGCTCTTGCGGAGTTGCGCAATGCCAACTCTCAGATCAAGGCCCTTGAGGACGAAGTTATCCAAGCGGATGCCCGACTCGATGACCTCGAAAAGGAGCTCAAGAGCGAGAGAGCAATGACGCGCGAGCTTGATGATGAGTTGAATGTCAAGACAGAGGAGATGGACGCTCTCTCACATGAGCATTCCAAAATGCAACAGGACTTGACTGCTACCAAGGCTTTTGTGGAAGAACTTGAACAAGCAGTCAAAGAGGCGGTTGAACAGACCGAATCGCTTCAAGACCAACTCGCTGCTGCCCATGAAGAGATTGATCAACTCCAAGCCGCTGACGATGAAGCAACAGAACATGTGGATCTGGCCAACAGTGCTCGTGAACGTGCAGACGAACTTGCTCGGCAATTGGAAGACGCCTTGGAGGCCGCTGAAAAGACAATGCATCATAACGACGAGGAGATAGCACAACTTCGAACTAAGATCACATCGCTGGAGCGGGAATGCGAACGCCTTCGGGAGAGATCAATTTCTTCTCATAACATCCTCGCTCCTGGACCGACCGAAGCGGAGATGAATGAGTTAGAAGATGAGCTGGACGCTGCAAATCGCGAAATTGCTCGTCTTACAAGGTTGCTTGAACAGTCTCCTGCTCGCAAAGCGATCGAAACTGCTAGGGAGACCAAAATAGAAATGCTAGAGAAAGAGAGGGACGAACTTTTGGAGAGAAACAAGGCACTTCGGATGACGGTTTCGGCGACGACGACACCGAACAAGTTGTACAACCTCAGCAATATATCTCCCATTCATCGCCATGTTCTCTCAATGTCGATGAGAGCCCCCAAGACCCCTGGGGGACCTCTCCGAGATGTACGCAATTTGGTTTTCTATTTTCCCCTGCTTATTAACTGGTGGTAGATGTCTTGGCTCAACGCAACTGCTGCAGATGGTTCTGTGTCTCCCCTCCTTGCCGAAATCCAGAGGTTGCAACTGGAACTCGATCGGGCGAATCAAAGCATCGATGACAAACTTGACAAGTTGGAAGATAACGGGCTTGGGGTGGTTGGGCTGACCAAGCGACTGGCTGACGCCAAAACCAAGATCGCATTCCTTGAAGATGAGGTTGCACGTCTTTCACGGCGAGAGGATCGTCGGCTCAAGCGATTGGAACGCGCAAGGTGTCACAAATGCCTTGTCAAACTCAAGCTCGACAATGTCATACAAGATGAGAGGTAATTGCCACAAAATCAGTTGATGATTCCAAACTGAATCGTTATTTTCGTACAGCTCAATGGACGCTTTCAGCGCGACTCTCCCAACAGAACCGCCGACCCCGCCGACAAGGACCACCGACGTTCTTCGTTCTGACCTCCGCTCCGTCAATGCGAATCTCAACAACATGAAACGGCAATGGGAGGAAGAAAAGGAGCGGCTTCTGGGCGAGAAGGCTGTTTTGCAAGATGCTGCCAATCGCCTCAACGTGAAAGTCCGTAGTGCCGAAGAGGAAGCGCGTCAAGTAACGGCGAGCAAGAAAACAAGTGACAAGCTAAAGGCTGGGATTGAGGGCGTGAGTGGGCTATATTGTTCCGGGAAGCGTCCAGCTAAGAAAACGCAAAGGAACTCGAGCAAGCTCGAAGGACCATTGCTGAACTTGAAGCTGATCTTAAAGCAGAACGGTCACGACTGAGAGCGTCGGCGGCTGAGCAGACTCGCGCGCAGCGTGAGAGGGAGAATGTTTTAGTCCAACTGCAAAGGACAGAAACGGTATTCTTGCTGACGCTATCTCATCCGTCCTTTCTTATCCCACTTTTAGGATATGAGAGATGTCAAGCAGCAACTACTGAGACTCAAGGATGAGAACCGTGAACTGGAAGGAGAACTTCGCGGTAGGGACCAAATTGATTCCATTATATGATTGCTGATTGTAAATCAGTCAACGACAATGCTGAGCAAAAAGCACGCTTGCTCGAAGTTCGAGTCTCCGAAAATGCAGAACTTGTTGAGCAGCTGAGACAAGAACGGGCTTTCCTAGTTTCTGACCACAAGGAACTCCAACGAAAGTTAACCGAAATCACCGAAGTAAAAAAATGATTTGTAAGGCAGATTCGAAGTCTTACTTTTTTCTAGCAAACAAATCGTCTGCGGGCTGAATACCGCACGTCTCAAGCCTCCCACAATGACCGCCAACATGAGCTGGATATCCAACAAGCGGAAATAAACGATTTGCGGCAGGCTCTTGATGGCCAAGCTGATCAACTCCAGCGAACCGCAGTCGAAAAGGATCGCCTTGTCGCAGAGAAGGGAGACGTGACCAAGACTATTGCTGCTCTTCAGGCAGAGATGGCCCGCGTCAGACGAGAAGCTGAAGCTCTTGGGCGTGACCTGAAACATCTTCGATCTGAGAAAGAACGACTAGAGTCGAAACATAACGATGAGAACCAAAAGGCGGAGCGGGCTCGCAAGCAAAGTCAGGCGCAACTTCGGGTGCTCACCGAGCAGCTTGAGGGTCAACGGGAGAAGGCCACACGTGCGAAGGAGGAGCTGAAGAACCATGTCTGTGTGATGTATGGTGGTTGTTTTTGTGTCTCTTCAAGTTGACTAATATTGGAGTTGTGTAGGGACGAACGTCAGGTGTCGGCGATAAAGTCACAACACAATCGCGAGTGCAAAGGGCTCATGGTCCATATAAAATACCTCAAAGCTCAAGTGACACGGGAGACCTCGTTGCGAAACAGTCTCCGGTACCAGAAAGAATATTTGCTCGTCTTAATGTCCAAGTTTGAGAGAAGGTTTGGGTGCCCATTGTACTCCATATGCACTATTTAACCACCCTTGCAGTGAAAACACTATCTTGGCCTCGATTGCCCAAATCGGATTCCCGTTGTCGAATGCGCCACCACCGCAGAAGAAGCAAAAGCGGTTGAAGACAGTGGCCTTGACCGTCATCTTTTTGGCAAGGGTCAAGTTTGTCATCCATTTTTGCTTTGTTTCAACGAGCTGACAAGCCTCAGACGTGCTAGTGAATGGTGGAAAGGGCAGAGGGAATCAAAGCAAGCGGTTCGCACAGCGCTGGAGGAGGTACGGCGGAATCGCGCGATTGTTGCATCCTGACGGTGGATTTATTTCGCTTTTTTGTTGTTGTTGTGTTAGCATTTGTACAATTAGTTACACATCTATTTTTTTGGTCTTTTTTGTGTCAGATAGGTGGTTTGGGCCTTCGATTGGTGACTAATCGCACTGCGTCCTTTGAAAATACGTAGGAAAGTCCACTCCAGATAGTAGTGACGCCAACGGTCATTCTGGGATTTGGTATTGGGGGATGGGAACAGAGGTGGAAAAATGCGCACTGCAATGCCTGAAGACACATGGACACATCCAGCGGTACGAGGGGGCTAATTGTGGTTGTACCCATAAGGAAAAGCTGAAGTGCAGTGTTGACCTGAAAATCGCGTCGTCAAACTGAGAAGTCTGTTGTTGGAGCATGGAAACTGACCTTGCTAATGAAAGTAGGTCGGACCTCGGCAGATGGTAAAGAGAAGTCCCAATAACGTGCGAATGTTTTCTTGTGGGCCATTGTTAAGCTCATTCTAGGCAGACAAATCAAGTACTCACCGGGGGTGCAAGAGACGTGTACCGAATGTAAAACGCGGAGAGACTGAGAAGAACGTCGCGTCCGAGTATTATAACGGTTAACGGAACTGCCCATTGCTTGAATATTTGAATGGGAGCGAGAAGACAAATCATACGCGGCAGCATTCCTTTCATCGTCAAAGTGACGGCCAACGTTGTGACCAGGGCTTTGTCTGCAGCGGGGTCCAATATTGTACCAAGCACTGTCTGCGTTTTGTATCGACGCGCCAACCAGCCGTCAGCCTGAGCATCAATTAGCGACCGTCAAAATATGGGCTAGAAAACGCGTACCAGATCTGTGAGACCGGCATAGACTAACAGTGAGGTCGCTATATGGAACTCTCCATTGAGTACAGACCAGCCGAGGACAGGGCATGCGGCAATTCGTGACAGGGTGAGGAGGTTGGGGAGTGTGTAGATGTTTTCCTTCACCGGTGTGTGTTTTGTCTCAGTCGAGAAGTATCTTGGAGGGATATTATGGCGGAGTAGAGGAAACGCGCCATTTCTCGTCAATCGGCGTGTTGAGGCAGTTTGCAGGCGGGAGACAAGCCGGTTCATGATGCGTTGATGATGAACCCATTTTTCTCTCTCTCTCTCTCTCTCTCTCTCTCTCTCTCTAGAAGAATGCTCTTCCCCAAACCCACACTTGCGATCCACAATCTTAGCTCCCTTCCGCGCTGACTCGGTCCTCCGACCTTTGATTTGAAGCTCATGAGAAGCCATGAGAACGACACTTCAACCAGCTGACTATGTGTTGCTTGCCCACCGTATTCCAGCGGCGAACTTGTTTTCCACCGCCATCTTTTTGTCATGTATACCACTTCGTCGATTCTGCTCAAGTCCCTCGCCGATAATGGCATTACGCACATCTTCGTTAACTGGGGCTCAGACCACCCCGCCCTTCTCGAAGACCTCCAGCGGCAACGGAAGGAAGGAGATGGGAAGACGGAACCGCAGATTATAACCTGCCCCAATGAAATGGTCGCATTGAGCGCTGCTCAAGGCTTTACGCAGGCCACAGGGAGGCCAGCCGCTGTCATCGTTCATGTAGATGTTGGAACCCAAGTGAGCTATCATCATCGTAACCGCCTGGATCCAATATCAGGCAGGCTTTGGCAGGCGCGGTTCACAATGTCGATCGTGGCCGTGCCCCAGTTCTCATCTACGCCGGAGCTTCTCCGTTCAGCAGGTTGGGTGAAATGAAAGGAAGCCGGAACGAGTGGATTCTTTCCGTTCAAGGTCATTTTTGAGCCTTCCAGCTAGCCGGGACTGAAGAGAAATGTCTAGATGTTCCTGACCAGCCTTCAATCGTCCGGCAATATATGCGCTACACTGCCCAGATACCGAGTGGGAAAGTCGCTGCTCAAGTTGTGAACCGAGCGTTACAAATGTACGTTCACACATTAAATGACAATAAAACTGATCTTTCGTAGCGCTACAAGCCATCCAAAGGGGCCCGTATATCTTTGGGCCCGAAGAGAAACTACGGAGGAAGAAATCGACGCGGCATTATTCAACTCTGGCCCCTCTCCGCGAAAATGGCCAGCCATTGAACCCACAGCCCTTTCAACAGCAGGCAACTTTTTTTGTTTCATTTCAGCTTGTAAAGTCGGACTAATCCCACTTCTAGCGGCTGGCACCATCGCTACCGCCTCTCCTTCAAGCCAAAGCACCTCTAATCGTCACCTCGCACACTGGCCGTGACCTCAACACTGTCCCATTGCTGACGCACCTGTCGACGCTTCTCAGTATTCCTGTCATCGCCACATGCGCTTCTGCTGTTGCAGTCCCATTTTCACATCCATTTTTTCTTGGAACAACTTTCCTCAATGGACGAACGCATACCTCTCGCCTCGCAGAGGCAGATGTAATTATTGTTCTCGACTCTGATGTGCCCTGGATCGAAGGGATTCAGCCTCCCAACGAGCATGCCCGTGTGTTTGTGATCGATTCGGGGGACCCGCTCAAGACTATCTCGAGTGTGGGACAATGGCATGTCGATGCAGCCTTGATATGCAACGCAGACGCAGCCTTGGCATTGTCTGCCATCATCGCAATAGTCGAATCTAGCAACATTTCGGTCGATATGATTCAGCAACGGGCAGCAGAGCTTATTGCAAGCCATAAAGAATGGGTTCATTCTCTCGATGTTTTAGAAGACACCTGGCCGAACGGTGTGCCAGGCGATGTTAGGGCCACTTTACCGAATTTCCTCGGTGTGCTCCGTCGTACTATCGCCCAATTAGTACCTTCTGGCGGCTTGGACAAGACGCTCGTTGTCAACGAAGGCATCACTAACTACCCTCTCGTCTGGGATCACATGCGGACTGAGGCCCCGGGCATGCATATAACCAGTGGCGGCTCCTCGTTAGGCTGGGGACTGGCTGCAGCCATCGGCGCCTCTCTCGGTGGTCGCGAAAATTATGAGCTAATCGTGGGAATAATTGGAGATGGCTCGTATCTCTTTGGGGTCCCGAGTTCAGCCTTTTGGATTGCGCGCCGCTATCAAACCGTACTTGTGCATTCTCATTCGTCTTTCTGTGGCTAATATCTCACGGAACAGCCGTTTCTCACCATCGTGATCAACAATGGGGGCTGGAAGGTAGATAGTCTTCATCCTCAAATTCGACACACTTTTGATCATGATAACAGGCTCCCAAGCTCTCGATGCTTGGCTGCCACCTCACCGGACATGGGAGTCTGGCCTCCTCTGGCGTTGAGCTCTCCGTTGGCTTTGGCCCCGATGTTCCAGACTACTCTCAAATCGCAGTCGCGGCATCAGCTGGATGGGTGTGGGGTAAACGGATTGGGACTGGTGAACACGGCCGCAATCTGCAGACTGAAATTGACACTGCGATGGCCGAGGCAGTCAGAGTAGTATTGGAGGAGAAACGATGCGCAGTGCTGGACTGCGTATTGGATTCTTTTTGATTTGATCAAACAACGTACTTCATGAAGATTGTCCCTTCCAAATCTGTATCATAGTATTTCTCGGTGACCACGAAGCCTGCTCTAGAGTATAGCTTGATTGCGCCTTGCATGCGGGGTAACGTGTCGAGGCGAAGCTCAGCGTAGCCTTCCTGGCGAGCTGCCTCCAAAACAGCATTAATCATCGCAGACCCGATACCACACCCCCGCGCCGAGGGGAGGGTATAAAGGCGTTTGACTTCTCCGATTTTGCGGGCCGGGTCGGGGGGTTCTGTGTGCACGTGCCATCGAGCGAAAGTGTCGCTTATATCGCGCAGCGCGATGCATCCAACTGGCCAGTCCTCGTCTCCCATATAAGCTAGCAGTATTCGTCCCCCATTCACTGGCGCATATTTGCCCGGGAGGGAAGAGACTTCGCTCTCAAAGTCCTGGAAAGTGAGGTCGATGTCCAGCCACGCGTGGTATGCTAGAAATAGGACTCGGGTGGTGGCTATATCTTCGGGCGTCTCTGCGACACGGATGGTAAACTTAGAGGAGGACATAGAGGTCGAGTCACATCATCACTACTTGATCCTAATATATGTGATTGCGTGGCCGAAGCACTTGCATCAGTTATCACGGGATCGCGTAAATCACGTAAGCCGAAATTTCACAGATCGTGTTTCATTAGATTTTGCCTCGCCACCTGCGAAGAAGTAGCTGCCTGGTTGTGAAAAGCAGCATGACTCCCAGCACGATCGTGCTACCTAGAATAGGCCACATCAGCTATAAAATATTTCTCTACGGTGGCGAAGCTCACCGGCATAATAACCCATCGCCTCGAACCCACCAGTCGCTGAGTTAATGGCGCCGGATATCGGCGGGCCGGCCAAGGCACCTACCGCTGCAATAGTCAGCGCCATTCCCGTCCGCCGACCTATGTCTGAAACTTCGCCCATAGCAATAATAGGGATCGGAAAGACGCTGACATAAGTTCCGGACACGATGCCATATAGGACCGCGACAATAATGAGAGACGTCTGAGAACGCGCATGGGGCCACGCAAATGTCATCCCCGCAGCGATCAGAGTCATTGGTGTAAGGACGTTCAGTGGGCCTGGGCAGAAGATGAAGGGTAACAGACAGTCAAGTGCTTTTTTGGCCTACCATAAACGTCGGATGCTATTCCTCCGACCACCCGACCAAGCAAGGAGGAGCCATTTGCGATGGACACAAGGTAGAAGCTGAAATCCGGTGACACGCCGACCTTGACGGCACTCAGTTCGATGTAGGTCAGCACTGTGTATAGCCCGAGAAATGCGATGAACCCGGAGACGCAATAAACTGTGAACGCTGGGTTGCGGAACGCGCGTAGGTTGAGTAGTCCTCCTGAGATGTCTTTAGCTGGCAGGCGTCGAGCAAGGACCAGGTTGGCGAAACCAAGAGTGAGCATGAGCATAAAGCCGCAGATACGCATTGTCCATGGAAATCTGGTGCATGAGGTCAGAGAAAGGGGGGCGGAGAATAATTCACAAAACCAAGTACGGACCCGACCAACGGAATCAGTTTGTGTGTCGCAATGGGGAAAATCGTCCCTCCTATTGAGGAGCCCGTAGCTGCGATGCCTAATGCGATCCCCCGCCTTTTCTTGAACCAGTGGCCTATTATTCCTATCGCAGGCCCAAAGATGGTTCCGCACATTAACTAGAGAGTTCCATGAGTTACAAGAATGTCTACCTGAACTGCTTACACCGATTGCTATCCCCTGACACAGAATAAAATGCCAATACTGGGTGCATTGGCCGACGAGGAAGGTCAAAACCACGAGGAGGATGCTGGCTGTTGCATAAGGTATTTTGAAGTAGCCGAGGTCAAAGAGACGGCCAGTCAGCAGGCCAGGCAGAAAAACCAGTGAATATTGCACGGAACCAATCCACGCACTGAAACTGTCAGCAAAAGAGGACTCAGGGCTATGACTGACAACACACATAGTGGATGGAGACACATCTTTCAGAAGCGTTTGCTCATAGTATGTTTGGAAAACCTGGAAATATAAGAACGAGAGATAGATAAGTTAAAAAAGGCACTAACACCCCATGCGTTCACGAACCCAAATCTAAACTAGTCAGACAAACCAAACACTGCTGCAACCACGATTCACGTTGAGGCATTACTTGCCACAGTCTGTCCACAGATGTCAACACATCGAACGGGAAATCATAAGGTGACTAACGCACACCCGCGACAATGAGCCAAGCACGGAATCCTCCATCCGGGAAGTCCGTCTCGGATGTGTCTTGCTTTGACGGGGGAGAGTACTCTGTTTCTGTCAGTGTAGACTCTCTCCCATCCCCCATGTCGAGTCGAAGTGAGAGCCAAACACACCGGGTCCTATATTACCCGTCAAACACCGGGCCCGGGCAACCGGCTCATCCTTCAGTTGACCAGTACGACCGTTGCCCCATCAGGCTACACCCTCGTTATGAATGCCGTGTGTGGATGAGAGAGCAAGAAGCTTGGTAAGAGGGGTGACGATTGCGCGAAAGATGCATTGATCGAAGTACATAATGGACGGTCTTGTTCGGCGTCCTTGAACTTGACCAACTTTAGCTGCGACCAGCTGACCGCCATGGTAGCTATATAAATGCCTCGTATCACTGCTCATCTCATTCCCTCCAACCACTATGTTCTGCACTCGCACCCAATCATTAATATTTCCCCGCATCCGTCCAACTTTGAGTCCTTTGTACCAAAAACGCACTGAGGCAAGCTCGGTGGGACTGGTGCCGGGTAGCCAGACACTTGCGCAAGCGACACGAAATATTCGTGAGGAGGCAGGCAATTCAGCGAAAGACTTGGCCCGAGCAATTGCGGGAGCAAACCTATTCGTTCAAGACAAAGCGAAGGATGGTTTCGTATGTAGATTGGAGAATGGGCGCAAAATCGTTCATCTGTATTCCAGGTTGGATTAACTAAGGTCATGGTGTCGGAAGTGCCCAAGCCAGTGTTAATATTCGGTCTTGCGGGTAAAGCCTACATAACCTTCGTTGACTGTTAACTTTATGAGCCTTTGGAGGTGGACTCCCGTATATCGGTACTGGACTCACAACGGTCTATCTTGCGCACCAAGCCAGCCTTGAGGCTACCAGTACTGTTGCACGAATTGACCCCGGGATTGCGACGAACATATTCATTGACGCTCTCCACGTCCAGACAACCTATGGCGCCGTTGTCCTCTCCTTCCTGGGAGCCCTTCACTGGGGAATGGAGTTTGCCGAATACAACGGGAGGCAGGGCTGGAAAAGGCTTGCTCTCGGTGCAGCACCGGTTCTGATTGCGTGGCCCACTCTGGCGCTCGAGCCAACACTGGGCCTCTGCGCTCAATGGGCGGCCTTTACGGGATTATGGTGGCTTGACTTGAAGGCGACTGCATGGGGCTGGGGTATATTGCTCTTCCTCACCCTTCTCAAGCTGATTGAATTCGTTGAAGCGCCAAGATGGTATGCACAGTATCGATTCTATCTCAGTATTCTTGCGGGGAGTTGCATTTTGGGAACACTGGGTGGATTGACGTATTGGGGCCCAGTTGGCGGTCATGGGTTCATGTCTTCTGCTCACGAACTCCATCTTGTGCGCGAAACTCGGAGGGCGTTGTATGATCGAAATCCAGAGGTGAATTATGGGACAGAACTGATAATAGTGAAAGGAGACGATGAGGGGAGGTTTATGCGTTTGAGGCGGAAGGAAGATGTTATCAGAGAGGAGTTGGCAAGGTCCAAAAGGCAACGAGGATTGAGGAAAGAGGATGATGATGTGAAAAGCGCAAAGTGACGGCGGGGGGCATCTGATTCAAATATTCTTCTCTATCCCTCTCAGTCATCCCCAAAAAATTGCCTCAGCCACTCGAAGTCTAAATGTACAAAATTACCCACTGTCGGGAAGCCAATGGAGTGGATGTGTCATTGTGCGTATAGTGCATGTCAACAAGTTTGACTCTACATTCTTACCAACCACGGCCGATGTCTGGAGAAACTACAGACCGTCGCCGTACTTTGCGTTGACGAGACGGGTAAATCCAATCCTGCTGGAGCTTACTGAAGGTCGCAAAGTCGGTGCTACTATAAAATGCACCCTATCGACTCCTTGAAGCAACAAACAAACACTTTTCGCAATGTCTCGCACCTACAACAACGTTATCGTCTTCGGACCGACCGGTACTATTGGAGGCCAAGTCGCTCTCGAGGCCCAGCGACGTGGCGCCACCGTCTGGCTTGCCATGCGCGACACTTCTAAACCCATCGACGAAATCCCAGCTGACGTCGAGAAAACCGGAAACTTTGCGCGTATCCAAGCTGATCTCAGCGACCCAGCATCCGTTTCCACTGCTATCACCCACTCTGGCGCCAAAGCAGCATACCTCTACCTTATCTACACCCCCGACTTCACCCGTGCCAGCCTTCAGGCCATGCGCGACGCTGGAGTTGAATATGTCGTGTTCCTCTCGAGCTACAACGTTGGGACGCAAGGTGACGAAATGCGGGCCATCCCACGCGAGAATTGGATCCCCTATGCTCATGCCCAGGTCGAAATCAACATCGAAGACATCGGTTTCCCTCACTTCACGGCTCTGCGGCCTGCGTGGTTTGCCAGCAACTACTTCAAAACGTATTTCAACGGCTCCTCTACGCCAGCCAGAGCGACAATCGTCTTCGAGAATTCCATTTTCGACAATATTGCACCAGAAGACATTGCTCTGGTGGGTGGCGCAGTGTTGGCTCAGCGACCAGCTGATGGGAAGAAGACGATATACCTGTACGGTCCGGAGCGACGCACGGCAAAGGAGAGTTGGGAAGTCATCAAGTCGGTTACGGGCAGAGAGATCGATACGACTCCCTCTAGCCCTGCGCAGTTTACCGAGGTTTTGTCTGGAAACGGTATACCCGCCTTCCTCATCGATTATCTGCTGGGTGCTTTCGACAAGGCAAAGGCAGGCTTTTCGGAGGCGGAGTATCAGAGGGACGTCGGGAACTTCAAGAAGTACACAGGTCGAGAGCTAACCAAGTTTGCGGATTACATTCAGGCACATAAAGCAGAGTGGCTAGCGTAATAAAGACCGTTGCATAGTTTAAGCAATAAATGTAAACAACCCTTTACCGCCAGCAAACTTGACCATCAGAACAACTTGATCCGTATATCGCACTCAGTAACAACCGTCATCATGACCAACCTTACTTCAATAATACTTGCAACTCTGCAAACTACTTACTTCAGACACAATTCCACTACCCCAGGAACCGCATTATCCGCCTTCTCCAATATCTTCAGTAGCTCGTCCCTATGAAAACTCGTATCAACGCAAGCTTCATGTCCTGGGAGAGAGACTTACCAAACACGCGCTTCAACCGCAAGCCCATCTTTGCTCAACGCGTAATCCGAAACTTCTCGAACCTCTGACATCGAAGCGTAGTCGCCGTTTTTCACAGTGCCATCCGGTGCGACTGCCGCCCAAACGATATGCTGGCCGCCAATGGCTGCAGGCAAGGCCATCGTGATTTCCATCAGCCGATCAGCCAATTTTGCGAAAAACGGGAGGTTGCGTCGGAGCTCTGAATAGCAGTAACCTGGGTTTGCCGCCACCACACTGACTGGTGCATTACCCAAACGCTCCGCGAGGGCACGCACAAAGAAGACGTTGAGAACTGCAAAATTCAAGTAAATCACTGGTCCATTGCACTTCTGACGCGGCCTGGACATACGCTTCGTAACGAAGTATCGGTTGCTCATCCCTTGGCTATATGCAGAATGCGTCAAAAAGCTTTCAAGCAGACAGCCTGAATGCCTACCGACTCTTGCAGAATTTCTCGTCGGCAAGCTCGTGAAGAATTCCTTGGCTCGCAATAACGCGTTTGTCGAGGTTGGCCCAATAATGAACATCGCTGGCAACAACCACGAGTCGCGTACGAGTTGAATATCGCTGCCCAGTCTTGATCATGGATGGAAGAAGACGGAGTGCAAGCAAAGGTGTGGTAACATTGTTCACGAAAATGCTAGAGGCACTTGGGTCAGTCGTCAATATTCCAGTCAGACTTACAAAACTCACGAGGCTTCCCACCCATCCTGTGCAGGCTCATATACCATGTTATTGAGCGCTGCATTCATAACGAGAATATCCAAACGGCCACCATCGGTCTCCCACTTGTTGCCAAACTTGGTCACAGAGTCAAAGTTGCCAAGATCAACGAGCCATAGTTCGGCGTTCTTGTAGCCTGTTTCTGCTGCCAATTCTAGCAATATCCATTACTTCTAAATTTGGACAGCAAAAAATGGCGAACTTGTAAGGGCTGCCTTTCCTTTCGCTGCATTGCGACACGCCAGAATTAATCGGGCAGGGTTCATCGCGGCAAAATACTTGGTTGCTTCGAAACCCAGTCCTGTGTTTGCACCCACGACCATGACCGTCTTGCCAGTGAGATTTGCATGCAAGACTGGGCCATACTTGCGCTTCTGGTCCGCCCAAAGGTTGCCGAATGTCAACTTCATGGTTTTGCTGCAGTGAGGGGGGAAAATAGTGTCCAAACAGGCTCATTTCGGCTCTTATATATCCTTTGGTTTCCGTGCCGAATGCAACCCGCCAGGAGTTTGTGAATCCGTTACGTGTGCCGAGTTTGTAACATACACGTTTTGTGCCGTTAAAACCACGTGCTTGTTTTATCTTATCGTACCCTTGAGTCCTCCTATTTACTTTTGACAACTACACGCAGATTGTACAATAATAGTCCAATAAGTTACTAGCCAATGACAACACCTCAACTGCCTTCAATCTTCAACCGAACGATCCTCCCGTCGCCCATTTTCACCACAACTTCAGGCGTTGTACACAGCATCTGGATTCCCTCACGATCCCACACAGATTGGACCAGCTTTCCTGTGTCAATGCGCCATGCATGCATCCCTCCGGAGAAAAAGGCTAGCAGAAGCCGCGATCCGGCGACGAATACCAGCCTCTTGGCATTTTGCGGCCAGCGGATCGCGAAAGTGCTTTCTGAAGAGTTTCCGGCTTTGTCCATGAAGAAAGCACAGCCTACAAGTAATTGAGAAATGAATGTTAGTTCAGCAATTGGAACGCACGGTCATAACAGAGCAGGAAACGGGCGTCATCGACTCGAAACATTGCCCGACATTTTCTTGGCCCAGCGCCAGCGCTCTCCTCTGGCAGTGTAGCCGCTTGCGAAGATACGGGAACGGCGAAAGTCACCAAACTGAGCGGGTCGACGCATTGGAAGCCGGTCCGCAGCGCAGCGCCGATCGTTTTGTTGAAAATGTGCACATCTCGCGCAAGATCAGGGAGATAAAATGACCGGAAGGGGATCAAATTTGTGCTCAACGGCTTAGTCTTCGACTCCGTGGTATTAGGAACGGCTTCGAGGACCTTGAAATGACTGCTGAACCGACCAGCATTCACAATGCATATAACCCGTTTGCCGGCGTGTTCGCCCACTTTGAAGAACGACGCCTCAGAGAGGACCTCGAGCTGTTCGCGCAGTTTGACTGGATTGGCGTGAGGACCGACAGCCAGGTGAAGAGGACCCAGAAGTAAACGACGACCTGAGGCAAGTTATATTTCTAGCTGACGAATCATGGATAAGACTGGCCTGATAATATCAGCAGCATATCGTTCGATTCCAATGCGTCGATTTGTGTGCAGGGTAGTTTGAGGAGTCGGATGAAGTTCGACTGGCTAAGATATATGCCATCGGTTGACCCGTAGAGTGCCAGCCCTCGTTCTTGGCGCGTCTTGAGCAATGAAAAGCTGAACAGTCAGTTTGAACAACGCACCGAGGAGTACGGCCGTATTGACCTTATGGCATCCCTCTGCGAGAATGTCTGGTAACACGGGTAGAAGGGTAGAGAGGTGATATCGACTGGTCGGAAATATGGCATGGCAGACGAGACTGCAGGCTAGAAGAGAGTTTTTATCGTCGTAAAGAAAGTCGAGGATTCGTTCCAGTATTTCCAGAGGTAGGTGCGGGGTAAACCCTCCGAAGCTCTCTCCGATGACATTATTGGTTGTGACAAGAGTATTTCGGGTTTGTTGTTGCTGCTGCTGCTTCAGCCTCGAGACGGCTGTGAGTGCCACACGCTGAAAAAGAGCGACATGGTGGCCGGTCATGGACAACCAAGCATTCGGCGTTCGGTGAAGATCATTGAATTCCCGACAGCGGCCATCATGTGTAATTATCCTTGTTCTCGACACTCATAGCTTCATTGACTGGCAACCAGAATAGCTCTACGCCACATAGAACCAACATGCATCAATACTCGGAATGTCACTTCCTGTATAGAACCAACAGCCTGTCTACAAGAGTATTAAAGCAAGGCAATGTGCTTACGGGCAGGCACGACACTACCAAATGGACACCACTATTCTCCCTCCTGGACGACTGCAAGAAGGCCACACCTACCCCCAGTTCCTCTCTCATGAAGCCAATCGTTACATCTTTCGAGTCCATCGTCAATACGGCCGGGGGCGGTTGATACCTGGCATTGGCTTTGTAGCCAGGGCATACGATAAAGACCCGGAAACAGCAGTGAATGTTCGTCACCACGAATCAAGAAACGAGTTATCAGCAGACGCTTCAGCGCATATCACACAGTGGAATGACGGGACCTACTCGTCGCTGCAATCGCAATTCATCTCTGCTTCCTTCAGTCTTGCCTATGCGTTATTCGAGGGTCACAGATGGGATGACCTCTTCCGCTGTCAGTCAACCCAGATCAGTGTTATTGACCCAACCAAGATTCCTGGCGATGCTTGGCTGGCGACAGAGCTCATCGGTGTTGAAGGCAGCCCAGCCAACAGAGCACCCCGTTTTGCTCGCTGGGCCCAGGAAGTCCTGGTTTATGTAAACATCCCCGACGAAGCGGTCGTATTTACCGCCCCAGTCGAAACCTACTACCATACCCTTCTTCCCGAATGGTGCGACCCCGTGACTGATCTCATCGCGTCGCGTACTCTTAAGTCGACAGAGGCAGTCGTCGATGCTCTGGGTGACGTTGCGCGGAGTTGTACCGCCGAAAGAGAGCGAAAGCTGGTTGACTATGTCGTGGAGAAGTGTGTCGAAGCTTTCGATCAGGGCACATTCAATAAACACAATAACTCGCCACACAACGTTGTGTGGCTAGCCGCGCTATTCTGCTGGTGGCCGAAACGTATGAGAAGGGTGCATCCCAGAGAATTCGCGGAGCTCAAGGATCTGGTTCGCAGAAAGGTGGAAAGCCAGTTGAAAATTGAGGTCACAGTCTTTGCTCAGGCTGCGACACCGGAACCTATGGAAAAGGTGATTGTCCCTCCAAATGCTTATGGGGAACTGGTGGAATCATACGATGACCAACACGAGTCGTCATGTAGTGGAAGATGTGTCGCAATGTAGAATATCTGCTTTGGTTAGAACTCGATTTCCTTGACCAGAAGAAAGGACCAGTGTGAGGCTGTGGCTGTGACTGTGATGTGGCCACTTGTTCTTGAACTCTTGCGTCGCCAATCCAGCTTTCATCATTCGTCGTCATGGCTCTTGTTTTCTCTCTTTTATTGTCCTTGTCGCGTTCGCAGGGACAAGCTCAAGACCACTGCTTATTGTTACCGTCGTGAACCGTCGTGAATCTATATATCGCGTCATTCCAGGCCAAAAGCAAGAGTTCTTCTCGGACGACGGAATCTCGCTTCGTGCTTGAGCTTGGCCCACAGCCGCCAACCCGAGGCTGTCATGAGTATTCGTTTCTCTGAAGCCATCCAACACAACCAGCAAATTATCGTGCCCTGTTTTCATAGTCAACATACCTATGACAGTCAATCGGGATGCGGAATTGCTGGCCTTAATTTCATCCGTGTGGCAATGGAAAAGGTGCGAGGCAGAGCGAGCGACATTGAATTGCTCTACCATATCGCTTCTCCATTGGCTGCGGAGGTTTGTTTCCCGATATCTACTTGTGCTGTTGGTCATGATACTCGTCCTCAGGAAGTCCTCCCGCTTTGCGGGCGATACAGAGCCAGAACCCATCTCGAGGTTGGACACATAGCACAAGTAGGTTCTGAGCCTCTGAATCAGTCGAGGACGCCAACCTTTTTAGCTACCTTCTTTCAGACGCGCGCTTAACTGGCACTGGAAACGAGCGGTTGTCAACGCCTATGTATCCTTGGATCGCTTCCGCCAGGTTATCAGGTAAATCCTCTAACTCCCTCCCACCATTCATTTCTAATTGGCATGAACGTACCAGTATCCTATCGTCGATAGGCCTACATGCTGGGGCTGTTATAACTTGTTCCTTCCAACATATCTCGTGCTTCAAGCTTACCGTCGACCGACAACCCGTTTTTGTCATCTTCGACTCGCATACGAATAATGCCCACCCAGAAGGTGCAGCATTCATCATTAGCCCGTCTGTTCACGATACGGCAAGATATCTGACTCGGCTCTACACCGAATTGTCATCCCAAAACATGTTCTCGGCGCATTTCTTCACTGATCAGTCAGAGAACATTGTAACATACCAGGTTAATTGCTTCCTCAGATCACTGTTCGACTGCTAATCGTCTTTTTCCCGAACAGGAGCTGTCTACCGATGTCGGCTGGCTCTCTTGGACTCACGAGACTCACGACTCCAAGTAGGAGTAGAACCCAATTGGGAGGACGCCTTCGCGCCGATGCCAGATATTATAATACGATTTAATCTACCCATCCTTTGTAATTGTCGAAAATAAATGTCACACTCCGTGACACGGACGTGGCGATCTTATGTCGCCAACTCAAAACTCTTCCTTCACCTCTTCGCGTCACCCTTTCTCGTCGACTTAACAGCTTTACATGCTTCCATAGAGAAATGGACGCTCAGTTGCTATATGCAGCCGCCACTCTCGTAGTTTTGGGGCTGTCCTCTGTGAGTTTTGGTGGTCTCTTCTACTTCAAAGCGATGAGCACCCCTTTCATCCTTGTTCTTCGAGCCTCAGGCAGACCTCGGTCTGACGCTGGAGCGACGACGAAATTATCCATTGGGTCAGGGACTTTGTTCCCTCACTGATCATTTCGCTTCTGCATTAATTGAAAGCCAGCTAACAAGCCATATCGTAGCTTTACCTGGCATTGATAATGTGGTCTCCCCCGCCAATACTCACACGCCCCTCAGAAACCACCTACCTTTCCCACTCCTCTCCCAAAAAGCGGAAACCGCTCAGTAGACTTGCGGAGCGCGCAACTGTCGACCTGAGCGTGGTTGTTCCAGCATATAATGAGACTGAACGTCTTCCAATAATGATTTCCGCCGCCCTCACCCACCTTCAAAAACAAAAGCCACGCTCATTCGAAGTGATCATCGTGGACGATGGCTCGTCAGACGGGACTTCAGCCAAGGCGCTCGAATTAGCTTCCCAATATCCAACAGCGGACATTCGTGTTGTCACACTCGAGCAAAACCTGGGCAAAGGCGGGGCTGTACGGCATGGAATGCTGCATTCTGGCGGGGAAAGGCTTTTGATGGTCGACGCAGACGATGCCAGCCGGTTTGTTGACCTAGAGTTACTTTGGAAGGAAATGGATCGAATTGCGCCAGATAAGAAGGCCGGTGTGGTCGTGGGCAGTCGTGCACATTTAGTCAAAACGGAGGCGGTGGTCAAGGTCCGTGTCTTCTTTCTATTCACAAGTGAGTTATTGACTGGTCTTTTCTAGCGCTCCCTTCTTCGCAACATCCTTATGTATGGTCTCCACACGATTCTCCGTATTGTTGGCGTAGGCCATATCAGAGACACTCAATGTGGATTCAAGCTATTCTCGCGGGCTGCCGCACGCCAAATCTTTCCGGCCCAACATTTGCCTACATGGATATTCGATGTCGAGCTTCTGTTGCTGGCCAAGCAAGTTGGTATTCCAGTGGCTGAAGTACCGATCGAATGGCACGAGGTGGCGGGGAGTAAGCTTAATGTCGTCAGCGCGTCAATCCAGATGCTTCGCGACTTGCTTATTGTGAGGGCGAACCACCTGCTCGGTAGATGGAAGCCTGTCCCCCCGAGAACGCCGACGACCTAGTGCTAGTGTAATTATAATATTTTCTGTATTCCAGCCAAAAAACTAATGGGATGCTCTGTGGGACGATGTGGGTCCAAATCGGCCAACCTACTTGCCATTCTTGTCGCTTGGCTTAAAAGTGTGTTTCCCCCAACCTTGCGCCAAACTCCCGGTTGCGACGTCTACGGGCTGAGAAAGGAATATCTGTTTGCCCGGAAAGGGTAAAGACGACAGAATCTATCTCGTCTCGAGTCAAGTAGTGCGCCAAACTACACTTTCCAGCGATCCACTACAACTGTCACCGCCGCAACAACGTTTTTCGGGTGTTTATTAACGTATAACGCTTCCCTACTTTAACAGTTCGATGCATTGGCCTAACAGCGCCTACAAACACCCACATGCGGCCTTTTACTGACTTCATATCCCGTCTCCCACCCGAGCTCCTCGCCCGCATTTTCCGTGGAACACAGCTCACTGATGCCAAAGACGACGATTCCGATGACCTGGAATCAGCGGCGACTAATGGGTTGCCTATGGAGGTTATCTGCTCGCATATATCGCAGTACTGGCGCACTGTCGCGCTTGGCAGTGCCCTTCTCTGGCGAAACATCACCATTTCTGATTCCGACAATACCCAGGCCTCGCTGGAGAAGATGCACGCCTATCTCGCTCGCTCGGGCGCCGAGACACCCTTACATTTCAGGGTCGAGTTTACCCAGCATCATGAACATCATCAGCCAGAGCTGGCGATAAAACTTGAGCTGTTGTTTGCCCACCGTACTCGCTGGCAACGTCTCTTTATCAACGCGGCAGTTGAACGACCCTCACTCCCCATCGTCACGCGTTTCTATGACCAGTCCGCACCGCTGCTCGAACGATTGACACTCTTCGTTGAGGATATAGACAGGGAAGTGATACTTCCGCTTGCCCAGCTCCGTCGGTCCCACATCCACCAGATTTTCACTGGAGGCACCCCCAAACTGGCGGTCCTCCGTCTCCGTGGATTGTCGACCCACTTTTTCCGTCCCTCGCTGAGCACGATAACCACACTCTGCATCGAGCAGACGCGGGATTTATATCTCGGTTTTGAGCGTTTTACGCGTCTGCTCGCCTCTGCACCCCAGCTAGTCCATCTTTCCATCCACGACACGCTTATTGATGACACAGAAGAAATTTGGCCTTTGGACGTCGACTCTACTATTCTGGCACCGCATTTACGCTCACTCCGACTCGCTCTACCAGGCACTGCGCAGCCCCTCGAAAGTGGGATCCTCCTCGCACTCTCCTCCCCCAATCTCTCCTCCCTTGTGTTCAAAAACCCAACCTATGATGGCTTTCTGGCCTTCACCCGTCAGCCCGGCGCATGCCTTAAGTTCCCCTATATGACAAGTCTGGTCTTCTGCGACTTTGACTACAATTCCGCCGACCGATTGCGGCCACTGGCGGAGGCGCTGCCCGGCGTTCAAGAGTTCACACGCCTGGAAACCACGACGAATGAACCTGCAGTGTTGCTGATGCTTGCGGGGAAATGGATTTCGATTGACTCGCCCCAGGCCGGCAGTTGCGAGCTCTGGCCCTCTCTCCACACAATCAACGTCACACTGGACACGACTCACCTGCCGCTTCTGCGGTCTGCAGTGAGACGGAGGAAGCGCGTAGGTCACCCTCTCCGTGTGGTACGTTTACCACCATGGGTATTTGAGGAAGTGGAATCAGACGATGAGGACATTGAATGGCTGAGGAGAAATCTAGACCTCTTGGAAAAGTTCCATGATATGCCTCGATGGCCTCCTGGAGAGGAGGACCTTGATTTTGAAGATGACTTGTTTTGAATAAAGGGTCAACAACGTTAACAACAACAACATGCTATAAATGCAACAGAAGCTTGAGGTAGATACACGTACTGGCACAGTCACAATCAATTCGCCTTGGTCTGGTCGTACCATATCCTTCTTATCCATCTCCTTCGTCGAGTAACTCCTCCGACATTGGGAGCATATGATGCCGATGGAGGACGCAGCTCTGTCCATGCATCGTTAGTGTACACCCAGCCATCTGTTTCTCGTCAGAATCTGATGAGATAAGATTGAGTATGTAAGCAATACCTTCGTCACCGGGTTCCCCCGCTCCGTCGATTCTGGCCCACCGGGCATCCACATCTGCACGCCAGTCCTCAGTAGTTATAAATGCCCACCCGGGATCGAGCGAGAACGTGAGGTTGCTGCTATAAATAATGTGGGATTAGCTTCCTGGAAATGAAAAAAGAGTTCCAGACCTGACAGCACCACTCCCTCCAACACCACTCCAGCCGTCTCTCCCTCTTGTCCAGCCGCTTCTCTCTCCATCCCGCAAATTGGATTTACTCCACTCCTGATGATTGGAATCTGGACCCGCGAATCGCTCGTTCTCGAATAGTTCAACTTCGCGTATTTCGGCAGTCCAGCATTCGTCTGTGAGATTGGCATCGTCGAGTACCCGGACAGTCAAGGCCCGTAAGCTTGCGTTGCCCTTCATGTCCATCCTGGCACGAATTTTCTTGATGAGTGCTGTTTGCTCAAAGTTGGCGTGGGCGATGGCGACTAGCCTGGGTAGATGGGCCGAAACCCATGGGTGCGTGCATAACAGTGGGACTACTCCCGCGAGAAGAGCGATTGTACGAAGTGGGAAGTGTGGAAGCGAGACGATAATGACACCTGGCAAGAGCGAGACGAATAATATTGTTAGAATGTGGGTTGAATACGGTGACCGGTGGGTGAGAATCGGCAAATATGGCTGTAACATTGCTTCGGCGTCGGCTCTAAAGTGAGGAGTTTATATTTGTAGGTGGTTGTAATGAGGGACCTACACAAAACCCATAAGGTTTTGGATTCCTTGGATGTTCGCTTGCCAGTCTACAGTGGTATTGGGCTCTTCAGCCGACTTGGCAGTTCCGTTCTTCACCCCAGGCGTTTCTTCCGGGTGTGTGGCGAGCATAATCCCAATTAATATGATTTGGGGAAGAAGCAATATTAATCTCGGGAAGTAGCCTAATCGCTCTCAGTTCCGACCCTGTCAGACAAGAATCACTCACACAAAAAAGCCCACCCGGCAATCCACGCCCCGGTCACTTGCCAGCCGCGTCTCCACATCACGACCTCCTCAATTCTGTCCTGCAGCCAGAATATTGGCCCGACCCGCTCCACGAACCGCTTGAAGTTGACTGTTAGAATCGGTACTGACAAAGGGTCGCGCGAAGACAACAGTTTGCCTTTGCTTGACGCAGGCTGTTTTGCGGCTCGAGGATTGTTGTTGGTCGCGCCAGATTCATTCGACGGGAGGGATGAAAGTAGCATTTGTGGGAGGAGGTTAACCGCCGTCTTGGTCGGCGAGGTTATTGACGAAGCGGACTCTGAACGACGGTGAAGTGGTGGTGGTGGTGGGTGAGGAAGTGAAGTGACAATCCGGGAGGCCCGCCGTATGTGGTTTGGGTTGTGTTTAGTTTGCGTGTTTTGGTCCCGCAAACGAGATGCTGCCGCTGGCACATCGATATAGTCCAGCGACGCCATGCCGGACAGAAGCAAAAGGGATGTGTCACGCGATATGACATGCGCGTCGACCTTTCAAGTGCCCACAAATACATTCATCGAAAGCAAACGTTCAATCAGTAAGTAAGTAGTACTAGTAGTAGTGCTTCACGCAGACGGTAAGTTGGCGTTGATTTCGTGTAGTAAATCCTGCGCCGCTTTTGCGCTGCCCACCTACAAACGAATGTTGGACTTGGAAAGAATAGGAGTAAGGGAATAAAACGAACCCGAAGATTATAATGAGTCGCTTGTCCCGCTTCCAGCACGCTTAACCTCAGATATCGTGGGTCTTGTGCTACTACGCATTGCATACCATGGAAAAGCGTGACGTTCAACAATACTGCGTAGACCGCTTCCTTGCGCATTACTAGCGAGAGGTCAGCCAACTTACGACGAGAGATTGAGGCAGATAGACTCACTCAATCTAGCCCCGCCTCCATCTTCTCGTCTAACATTTAGCCTAAGCATCCCCGTTCCCCGCTCCTTCCATTGTCCGTCCAACAAAACGAACAGTTTACCTCGTACTTGATGCAGGGTCTCTTCGTTCTCCTCCCCCAGTCGTGACTAGCGAGCGATATGAGCAGATCAGGGTAAGATAGAGAAGCCACATACCCTCCTGCTCGTTATAGACCACACTGTCATCATCTGCCTGTTTGTCTTCATCGTCTTTACTTGCCCGCAACTTTTCACCAAATGACGCTGATTTGGTCTCCTCCTCAGCGCTCCCTTCGCCATCTTCACTCCCATTCGCACTGTCTTCTCCAGTTTCCACATTTCCATTTCCATTCACCGGTGTCGATGTCGCTTTCGATTCAGCCAATGCAAATGCTTGTGCTCCTTTTGTTGCATATGCTGAGAATGCGCTGCCACTAGTGGCAGGAGCAGCTCGTCGGACAGGTGACTTGGCCCTCGCCAATTTAGACGTTGACCCAAGAACATCTTGCTTCGCTTTAGAAGACGCGCCAAATGGCGACGGGGAGCCAAAGACCGGAGTTCGTTTAGGTGAGCTAGATGACTGGGTTGGTGATGACCGGCCAGGGAAGGGAGTCGTAGAGACAAATGGAGATGTTGCGTGAGCATTAGTTGTGACAGCAGCAAATGGGCTCGGAGAACTGCTTTTCTTGAAGAGATTTTCGCCTTTAACGGTGGCGAAGGGCGAGCTGGTCGACGCATACGCCATGAAACCACTCTATTGTCGAGCTTCAGGATGATACAGACCAGTTCAGCAAGATATGATACTCACAAGCTTCGCTGGAGATGGAGAGTTCGGCGTGGGTTCGGGAGGTGGGGAAGGTCGTTTAGTTTCACGGGGGTTTGGGTCCTTGTCTGGATCATCTCTGGGTCGTTTGAGGGCTTCTCCGATTTCCGGTTGTTGTCCAGTTGGCTCTGCGCTGGTTCCTCGTTCAAGGTATTTCCTTTTGAGTCCTTTTTCCTTCTCTTCAGTGTCTATTGAATCCCCAGCCGAATCAGTGTCAACTTGGAGTTGGACACTATCAGGTGCCGTATCGGTATCGTGACTCTTGTCCATGTCCGCGCTATGGTCTGGCGAATGACGCTGCTGCCACCGTAGTTCTTCGACGCCTTGACTGATCTGCCGTACCCGAATTTTCATTTCTTGTGGAGGAGACGCGCTGACTCCCTCTCCGGGAGACGGTGATCTCGACAACGAATTGCTTTCTTCTTCAACCGTCGAGTCGAGCTCGCGTCGATTCTTCTTCGCAGGCACGCGGATGTCCTGTGGGAAATGAAGGAGAACAATAGCGGTGAACACAACAAAATGATAAATAAAAAGTCATGCTCACCGACGAAGACGCGGGGGTAGACGCTCCAGGCTCAAGAGAAACCTCCCGCTCACGCTTTCGGGAAGCTTTGGTGTCTGGGAACAACAGTTAGTCCTTTAGGAATGCATGCGATAAGTACACTCCACGGACTGACCATTATCTGAATTCGCTGGGGAAGGAGGGGAGGGTGGCGGAGACCCGTCTGGCATGGTCGTCGAGTACTAGCCAATAAGCTCGGAATAACAAGCAAAGTTCAATGATGGTGGTTGGGTTACAACTTCCAGTGGCATTCACTGCCGCGGCTTCCTATTTAGGCCATCACTGATTTCGGACGAACCCTTGTCTCTTCCTCAAGCATGCAAGCAGGTCGCCTACGGTTGGGTACTGGCATTATAACCAGGCGCTGGCCAGGTGGCCAGCAAATACACCTTGCTTAGAGTATTTTAAGTAGCTTACGTCTCAATGTTTCCTATTCCGGAACATATTTTAAAACTTCAACATCTCCTGCACCTTGATCATGTGCACTCGCGTCTACTTGGACCCAGAGCTCTTGCAGTTCACTATAATATAGTTTTTTTTCCGCTGGAGAACGACGCCGGACTCAGGCTGTCACGTGTCCCGGCAACCTTGACTAAAAGCCGCGTCCCTGTTGCTGCCGACACACGTCGCCAGGTTCTGGTGATCCCATCATTGAATTTCGCCGCCTTTCGATCCCAGCACTACACCAACAACATGCGCTATAACCTAGTGGTCATTCGCCAACTTATCGCTCGTCGTCCGATTATCGCGTGTGGTTTACTTGCCTCCGCGACCTGGGTTGTGGCCCAGAATTTCTCAACCTCCATGGTGCGTTTGCTGTCTTTCTTGTTGGCGCCTCCTGATTTCCTACAGTTTTTTGTCCTTGAAACTTCGGTCGGAAGAGTACGATCTTCATAAGAACGTTCTACGCGTAAAGTCGGTGCGTTGTTATTTCAAACTTTAGGGTTCTATTTGCTTACTTTTCTCTTGTGCGCCAGTCTCGCGTCATGTTCGCGAGCGGCGACCCATCCTACAGCGCCATACCCCCCCTCCTTTCGCCTGAAGACATTTCTATCCACCACTTGGACGTGGGTGATGTTGGAGGCAAGCCCGCGTTCACGGGTTCTGCGTCCCGTCTCCCCACTCCTGCGTACCTCGCCCTTGTTACGCAGATCCAGGCTCGCCGCCACCGCGCACGCTCCACTCGTTCCCACAAGTCACAGTAGCCTTTGCGACCTCAAAGAAGGGACGTTAATTAGTTTTGAAATTGAAAAAAAAAACCGTAGCCCCCTTTTCACTTGCCTGATCGCTCAACCGCTGCATATACGCGATGTTCTTTCTTGGTGTAGGTTGCATTTACTAGGACAGTAACGTTTATTAGGGTCTAGACGGGCAAGCACTCACCGTTGCATTTGGGCAGTTCTCCTTCTTGCCTTTTGCTCTTGAAAATCGCGACGTACGCCCTGGTGACTAGTCTTCGTTCTAGTGGAACTTGTTGTTCTCCTCTGCTACGGCTATGGCAACCCTCTTGGTTTTCGGAGGGTTTTTGTGTCTAGTGCAGGTCAGCAAAGCCACTCGTCTGGCGATTTGAAGACTTAACTCTACAATTTTCTCAAGAAGGCACCGAAGTGAAGGGAGACGTTGGGGATGGCCTATGGTTGCAGGTATTTTTCGAATTCTTCTTTTTCTGGACAAAAATAAACGTCAAATCAGGTGGAAGCACTATCAGGCGTACGATCGTAGTGGAGACGCTGCTCCTCTCTTTAGCCAGAGATGCTGGCGGTGCATCGCGCAGAGAGATGAGGGGGAGGGAAATCCACTTGTCGGTAAATGGCCACTCAGATCCGCCTTTTGACTATGAGCGCACAACAGAAGCGTCGTCCTAAGATCGAAGACCTCCAGGCTTCCGGAACGATAGCCTTGCCGTCGTCTGAGTTGGGGCTCCGCGAACCTCAAGTCGCATTCAAAGGCTACCGGTGCATTCCCTGCGTGCTGTTGGTTGCGTCGGGTAGCGACGCCCGGTTGACACGGAGGGTACCAAGGTCGAATGTAACCAAGGCAGGGCGCTCGGTGGGTGGCATTTAACCCCCGTCGCCATTATCTCTGGTTTCTTGGGGATCCTCCGCTGACCATTTCCTTTCTGACGCTGGGTAAAAGTCTTGGTGAGCACAAAATGTAGCAAGCGCCCACCCTCTCCTAAATCTTTTGGAGGCCTCTGGTGCCCGTCGGCTTTCTCCGTTGTCCCTTGTCAGACAGCTTCGCGGGTAGCTTTTCTCCGCGACCTTTTGTCTGTTGCAATTTCCAGTTTGTGGGCGACTGCCCAGCGTCCTCGCTGTCTATTCCTTCGTCGTTGTGAGTTCAAGCGTTGTTTTGATGACCTCTCTTACTTACCCATTCGGTTGAGGGGCAAGTCGACCGCCTCAGTGGTTTTGGGCAACGCTACATGGGGGATCTGGGCAACATGCTTCCCTGCGAAGAGCCGTGTGACCGTCTGCTAGCTTGGCTGATTAACCCATTCAATCGCCCCTCTTCTTTCCTCGCTGCTTCCCTTCTACAGTCCTTCAGGTGGCCCCGCCTTCAGTGCTGCACAGGACCATCGTTTCGTTTTGCCCATCGATGTTGGAGGTGAGTTCAGTTGTTTCATTTTCGCCAAGACCTTTCAAGATTTGTATTCAGTGCCGATAGTTGCGCGTATTGGTGTAATAATTTATCTCCGCCCGTTTTTTTGGGGCATTCTTGTCGCTGGGAATTTGCTGTTGCCGCGGACTCAGTCGCGCTTACTTGAAAAAGCCGACAATGTCGCTGAAGCTTGAACAGGTATAAGCACCGCGAGCTTGAGTGACCAGCGATTAGTGGTGTTGATCGGCTTGGGCCTAGAGTATGTTGCGATTTGTCTGCTTGAACTCTTGGCTAAAATGCATATGCTAGTCCTACTAGCATCATCAACGTTGCGCTTGACGAAGGATCGACCGTCGTTTGATTTTTGATGGGTATCATCAATCGCACCTTTTGTCTGTCAGTGGTTGGTCAAAGGTCATTACACCACTGCGTACTTGCATGGCCCATCCCTTGGAGCCGAGTTAGCCTCAAGGTCCGTCTTTTCAGCTCCTTTAGCACATCTTATTCACCTGCTGCACAGATACAGACAAGTACCACGATTTGGTATCGGCGCCATTTGCCGTTTTGCAACAAATGCCTCAGAAATGAAGAAGCTCAGTGCGCGTGACTTCGAAAACTAACGTGCGATCCCAGCTTTCGAGGGCTTGTTCTCTCTGCCCACTACTGATGAGCACAACTTCGCATATACTCAAGTTATTGTACTGCGTAGTAGAATGGCATGCATACGCAAAGCTCAGAATGCACATCGCAAATCCTCAACCATCTATATTCTATGCTAGACGAGTCTCGTGGGCTAAGCTTTCCCAACAGCAGCAATCCACGGCCTGGACTTGTTTTCAGTTATGGGGCACATCGAAAGCTCCATGTGGTCTGCAAATGGAAGTTTGGATTGACAATTTTGTCGGGGAACGCTACAACATTCTTATAACAAAACAACATGACTGGTTTCACACTTATCGAGAATAGCTGCAATGACATCTTTGCCTTGGACACAGGTTGCCTTGGCTCGTTTCCTTCTCTCCTTCACTTCGCCTCCAACCAGCTCTTTTTGCTTGGGTACGTCGCGAAAAGAGTCGCCAGGCCCTCGGTCAACAGGCTACATCGCGGCTGCTTCATAAACTCTCCCTCATATGTCGTGAACCGTGTGCTATCTGCACAAAACACTCGCTCCACTCTCGTCCAAAGACCTCTCGGATCGGCGCCAAATTCGTACAAGTTGGAGACTTTGAAGATCCCGTTGTGATGGAACAGTGGCATGTACTTGTCGAATTCCCCTGTGTCGTCCAATTTCAGCAGGAAGGTTTCCAAACTTTCCTTTTCTCCTCTCCCTTGAGCGGACGTTTCGCCTCTGGCATTGATGACTGGCACCGCTATGGGCCTTTGCCTCGTAGAATTCGTTGGCCTTCGAGTGGAACTCCTTGGCCGCTGAGTTGCCTTCAACGGTCGTCTCGACTGTTGAAGGTGTGGTGTGCTTCGTTTCTCTGGTCCCGTAGCAACGTCGGAGCTCGAGTCCGACAATGAGGCAGCCGGCGTGGTGATTTTGGGGGCATGCTTGGCTAGTCTCGTTTGCTTTGTGCTAAGGCGCCGTCCCATCGATGCATTTCTGGTAGTTGGCGCTGCTTTCTTGGCCGGGGCGCTTTTCGTGGCCACTTCTTGTGATTCTGAGGCCTGAATATTGACGTCGTTTTCATCGACACTAGATTCAACATCCATCATTGTTGTTCCAGTGGGCTTCACTGGTTGACGCGACTGAGTAGCAGGGCGACGTGCTCCCTTGTTCTGCGATGCTGTCTTTCCAAAGTTCGGCCTTGGCTTCGGCCTTGGCGCAAGCGCGGGAGTTTGGGAGACCTTTTCTGGTTGTGAGGTGCGACGACGCTTTTGGCTCTGTTCTTCAGTGGCTTCTGCTGTAGTCTTGCGCTAAAAGTAGGAGTCAATACATCAAACGGTCTCCGCAATAGTCGATCGACCTTTATTTCGTACTGCAAGGTTTCTTTCATGAGCTCTTCCAATTCTGCTTCGCTAACGAGTTCGGTATCTAGCTTCAATGTGTCCTTCACGTTCTTAGCAATCTTGTTCTGTGTCACGCGTGTCATAGTGGTTGGGCTTTGGTCGTAGTATCTGCCCATCGCTGCTGCCGATCGGCCCTTGTTGATCAACAATCTTGATACGGCACGGTCTTTTCGGTCCAAATCCACCAGCCAAGTGTTGAATTCTGTCCTAGATCACACACTCCCTGTGAATATCTAGTTGATACGGGCGTTGAGTCTTACTTTTTTTCACTGCTGTCGGTGACTTCGTCTCCTTCAGCCGGCGCACTTTGAGCGGAAGGTGAATTTGGCGAACGCAGAGTGTGTTGCGCTTACATTTGACCGGCAACTTCTTCCTGCTGCACTGTCAAAGGAACCTCAAGTTGATCGACGTTGTCGTTGGCGTTGACCGTCTCATCAGTTTGCGGTATCTGTTCAGCAGTGGCTTCCGAAGTCGTCACTCTGCTCCTCGGAGAATCGCTGTTCGAAATTTTCTGTTTTTATTTCCCAGGACTCGATATTTGGTGGCTCGTCGTTTTCGAAAG